CAATTTTTCGGATTTGTCGATTTGGACACCCCAAAAAGGGGTGCCATCCCCCCGTCTCGCACCAGGCACTTGTGTTACACAATTACAACTCTCAACCGCCGCCCCACACCAACCTCGTGGGTGGTAGCGAAGACGGCGAACATGGCCGCCACCTTCGCCGCATTGGGCGCTTGGCCCTGGCCGAGCCAGGAAGGTATGAGCTCTTCATGTGATAGTCCCGGGGGTTAAGGTGCGCCCCCCGCCCCCGCCCCTCTTTCCGGGCCGCCGTTGGCAGAGTCGTGAAACCGATGTCTTATCGGCGACGGTGCACTTCTTCCCCCACCAAACCGTCCACCGGAACCGACACCCGTGCCGCACGCTGTACTGTACTTCCTCCCAACCCAAACTGAGACACCTGCCACGTATATAGGTACTGCAACTACATGCCTCACTCAGCGTCACATTCCCTTCCCAATTTCTGTGGTTTGCTTACTTGGAGGGCTGTTGTCGGGAGAAGGGGATGCAAGTTCAAGTTATCAGTAGTATGCAATGCACCACTTGGTCGCGCGGTGTCACTTCCGGCATTTGGAAGAGATGCCGAAGCATCACGGGCCGTCGCCCCTCTTTCGCACTTGGTGGTCGGCGCATTGATCTATAGTTGGTAAGCGACTATAAGCGCGGTCCCAGGCCACCCACCTGTTCACCACACCAACCCACTGACCGGTCAATCGGGTCGGTCGGGTCGGTTGGCCGACCCCACCTACTTATTGTGTACCCGTAGTCAGACATCCATATTATAGAGGCGAGAGACAATTAAGTAACAGTAGATACGATCAGCGGACGCCCAGGGTTGGATCGAAACCTCTCCTTCCCGCTCATATAGGGCTAACAACGGTTTGGTTGGGTGGGTTACGAGCAAGGAGAATGGGGTGAGGACCCGAGGCCTAGACCTGCTGTCTATTGCAACTCTCCCAAGCCGCCGGGCTGAGTGAGTTGGAGGTTACCTACCTACTGCGGGAGGTGGGCGAGGCGGGAATCACGAGGTGCCATCTGAAACAGCAAAGATTGGCTGAAAGGTGTTGGAGGAGGCGTAGCAAAACGTGACCACCCTCATCTGCTCACCCCTTTCGCGGGTACACACACAAGAGTGTCTCTGCCTTAAGAGGTAATTCATTTTGCGGGTTTCCTGAGTACTGTGCTGGGTTGTCAAAATGTACTACTGGTGAACGGTTGTATGATGCCAACGCCAGGCGTTGGTGGATTTGAAGTACTACCGTGTTAAACAGGTACCGTAGGTACTACAGACCCATTGTTGTGTCTAAATGAACTTGAAGCTACCCAAGTCGGTGCCATTGTGATGGTAGTCGTTCCGCTAGATTTCGTTACACGGGCATGATATCAATGTGCCATGCTTTCCTTCTTATCCAGTAAAAGATCTGGGTATTTGGGAAGCAAGACAAAGACAGCCGCTCCCCAGAGAGTCCACGGAGATCAGCTACCAGGTAAGGAGTGGTCCATCTGACAGCGCATAACATGAACAATATGCAGTAGCCGTCATGAGTAATAAGCCCCAATGCGGACATGGTTGAGGACTAAGTGACGTGACAGCATTAACCACTCGTCTCTACTGATAGGATAACGGCCTTTGGGAACGCTTAGTCTCGCGCCGGATTTGCTTAGCAAGGTAGCAGACAGTATCCCTTCTCATTGTGTCTATCAAAAAGCGCCTTGTCTATGCTCCGCCCTCGAAGGAGGTTCAAGTGGCTTACCAGTCCACCTTGTATGAGCGACTCAGGTTCGCGTTGAAAGATCTCATTGCAGTGATATGCCATCTAGAAGGTGGATACTGCGTACAACTTGAACGGGTAATGGTTATTGTTCGAGACCACGAACATAAGAAGAGGCTTCTGGTGTCGGGTCGTACATGTCTCAGTAGCTTCTGTAAGCCTCCGGTGAGCGCCGACTCGGTGACATTTGCATGCCAGGCAAGAAAAGCAACTCCTTGAACCATGCCAACCGGAACCGATAGCTGGGCTGTAGGAAGAGCCCTCCACGTTGCTACTGCACATGAACTTTCAAGACACCCCTACCAGCGTGTATATAAGACCTTCTCGTTGGCCTGTCTCTTCATTGCAGTTGACGGCTGAGGTCCGAAGTTGGTAAGTGATTATGTGAGGTGCTATATGTACCCCTGAGTGTATATAAAGACTCGTCCCTCTATAACACCTGCGGCATTGAAGTTCTCTGAGGGAAAGGATGTGCACTGCTAGCTCGTATACTGTTGACTGAAGATGTTCCGACTTTCCCATGTTATACTCTGATATTGTCTGACCGAGCGGCTATGAGGTCTAACAGCTGTCTGTGCCGTGATACAAAGCTCGTCTGGGAAGACGATTGTCTGGGGCTTGTGGTGATCAGCTTTTCGATCTAATGCCTGGTAAGGGTTACAATTGTTTCTGAGTAGAGACCACCAAAGAGGAATAGGTAGGTATCTTGTCCTATGTCCTCTGCACTAGAACGCTACGAAGAGTCGTAGCTTTGTCGTATACGATATGGTAAGGTAGTGAGGCGGTCAGATCAGGAGTGCGACGTGTAAGACTGTCAACTATGGCACCCGTATCTTCGGAATAAGCACGTTTGGCATAATCTTCACTCTAGGTACTGGTCTTCTTAAAGAGTAACTGTACTCTCTTGTTGTCACCAGCCAGGGTTTGCTCGTTACCGCCTGCACATACTGAGGTACCCCTGTTTACCGGCCAAGGTCTAGCAGAACCCAGGGGAGCAAAACAGGTCACGCGTGGCCAGGTAGATATCAGGGAAGAGTTAAGGTAGAGCAGATCGCGTCTTCCAGTCTCGTACGGCCGAACCCAAACGGCCATGATCTAGAGCCGCAGTGTTCATTCATTCTTGGAGGAGAATCATCGCCAAATTACAAGACATGACAGGATATCCTCTACCTGAACAGGCTGAGGGACAGTACATCTGTGAGAAAAAGACTCAAGTATCCGTGGTATCTTGTTCAACCCCGGATCGGCAATGCAGGTGATGCGGATCTTGTTGACCTGTTGAACATTTTGACGTGCTCAAGATGGCAGTTCCAGTCATCCGGTCCCTGGAGCGGTAGCATCGTTGCAGAATTGAGTAGCCGACTGACAAGGAGGGATTTGTGAACTTTGTTCGATCACTCGGATCACTTGGCACGTCGACGTCAGACGTACAGTTGTATGGAGGTCTCGTGGGGTCTGGTGCCTGACATCTGAGTGGTGATTGATGCGGCAATGCGGCGGCATTGTATTTTGCGGGGTGGATGTTAAAGGATCTGCAGCAAGCAAATCGAGATTTCCGGCGATGGGTTGAATTCACGTGTTGAGGCTCCTAAAGCTGAGTCCCGAGAAGCTGGCAGCTATGACGTCGATGTTATCGGGCCGTCAAGACGTCGGTGTAAGCAATGGGTAAACATTTGGATGCCGTTGCACTCTTTGTGGGTCAAACGGACATCCATGAACCAGCTTGCTTTCTTCAACCCCTGGGATACAAGACAATTGATAAAGAAATAAATGAAATAAATTATGTTTTCCACGGCATTGGGGAGGTTCTCAAAAGGATGGAAAACGGAGACAGCGAAGATGTACGTGTTACGGCCGCTTCTCGGTCCCCACTTTCCGATTCAGTGAATGTCATGGATCTGGTCATTTCCCAAAGGAAACGCCATCCACAGGGGCTTGTAAGCCGCCGGGATTGGGACTTTTGACGCTCCTGACAACCTTCTGGAAGCAGCGACGAGGCTAAGTGATTCAGGGGCTTTCCGCTCCTTGCGTTAGTAGTGTAAGGAGGTACATGCATGTACCTCCATAGTTACACTAGTAGCGCTTGTGAAGCGCACTCCCCTTCCGTACACTATGTAGGTAGCTGCCCCGTTAATTTCGCGCCAACCTAGTACGTCGGTGGTTCTCGGGCCTTAACTCTCGGGTAGGAAAGACCAGACCCACGCCGGTGAGTCCAGGGAGACGGATGCCCCTTGCTTGTTGACGTCGTGACGAGCCTGTTGCATGTCTCCCATATCAGTGCGATGAGAGTTGCATGTCTCGGTGTCTCCGCTCCTATTTCTCGAGAAAGGGCGGGGTGTGCCTAAGTTATTTGGGCATCATCGGACAGCCATGAGCCGCCGAGCGCTCCCATGTCTCTGATTGATGCCTGCTGCACATAGAAAGAAATCAAGCTTGTGATCCGTTCGCCGAGGACATCAAGCACGAAGTGACGAAGGCAAAACCTGCTTTGCCCGGCGATGTACCGCGTGTGAGTCGGCCCAGGTAGCGCGGAAGTTGTTCGATTGCAGTGTGCAGGACCGCTTCACCTAAACTGGCGGCTTGGCTTGCTTCTTCCCCAGACCCTTAGCGTCGGCGGCGCCGCCTATTGCAAGCCTACGGCAGCTTCACATGGCTTAAGCCGAGAGCTAGTCCGGTGCCGCCCCGGACGCACCCCTTCGGAGCGCTTCTTCGAGAAGCTCAATAGAATCTCGGATGGACGATCTCATAATCAGGAATGTACAGGTACTTTGAGCAGCGACCTAACACTAGTGTTTGAGGATAGAACGTGGCTTGCTTATGTCCATAGTGTAGGTACACTATATAGAACTATTTTAGTTCCCACCTGGCGAGGTCGGCTGTTGATAGCCGTTCAGCTTTGTGAGCTGTGACGATTCAGGGGTTCTGTTTTAGCTTACTTGCTCGTACTGGGTATGGCAGAACGGAAGCCAAATCATTCGGTAATTATACATTTCCCTCCCAATATGTGGCGCTGTTGCCCGAAAAGTCACAGTGTCAATCTTGAGAATTGGTTGGAAGCAGGAGTTTAAAATTTGAGTGGTTGATGGTGACGACCGTCGTCGCTGAAGGAGACTTGGATGGCAGATGGCAGTATCTCATGTTGATGGTCTGTGCGCACCACTAGTGGATCTCACTTCCGCACTCCCATTAAATCGGCGACTGATGAGTCATTCCTTTCCGACGATTGCAGGTTAGCTGCACTTTCGTCCTCGCAGAATCATCGTGACAGCATATGATATCGCCTTGGCGGTGGCAAGACCTGTGCCTCAAGAAACCCGTAACTTTTGGCTTATTATAATAGATTTTCAAGCAATTGGTAGGCTCTTAAGGAAGGGACGTCGGTGTCGTCAGGTTTTGGGAGTCGGTTGCAGACCTCCTGCTTTGAATTCATCACCATCATACCAGAGTATTAGCATTTAACTATCTCCCTTCTTTGCGACTCAACTTGACTGTTGTCTGAAAGGGCCACCAAGATGATTCCCATCCGGACTCGTGGTGGCGCATCGCCGAGATCCAGCAGACAAGCCGTCGCGGACGCTCCGGCATCCAGAGTTGTGCCAAAGCCGGTTCCTGCGAAGCAAGCCAGAGATGCAAGGGCTTATCAGCTCGAGCAGCTCAGACGCCGTTACTCCCCGACGGAAACGGAGCTCGATAGCGGAGAAGTCTCCCTTCTGTTTAACCTGACCCCATCCGATCCCGACTTCCCCTTTGACCTTCACCATCTGGAATGCAACCTTCGGGTGCCAGCAGCATATCCGAGGCAGCCGGCTCGGCTTCAGGTCAAGAACAAGGACATCCCCCGCGGCTTCGCCATCAATATCGAGAAGGGTTGGGACCGGCTGGTTCAGGAGAAGCGAGGCGCGACCCTGCTTGCCCTGACGAACGCTCTTGACAGGAATTTGGAATCGTTTTTGTCGGAACAAAAGGCCGAGACCCTGAAGTTGACGATCTTCAAAGACACACCGCATACAGATAGTTTACCATCGACACAGACAGCGGAACAGCCTCCTGGGCCGACTGCCAAGCCGTCCGCTGTGGCTCGAATATACGTCCCGGAGGAATCCTACACTCGGGACCAGATCGCGGAAGCCAAGGCACGACGCGCTCAGGAGGTGAGGCAGCTCGAGGCCCGCATGAGCCGACTCCCTTCCTACCAGAAATCCAGCGACGGCATCATCTACACATTGCCCCTGGAACCGAGGCGAAGAGACAGTCTTCCTGTTGGCCTTCAGTCATGCCGATCCATCCAGCTCATCATCCCCCTACTCTACCCTCTGCAATCCCTTCGCATCCTCCTGAATGATGTGGAGTCCAAAGATGCCGAGCCAGTGGAGGAGATCTTCACACGGAAAGCGGCAGAGCAAAAGCAAATGTCCCTGATGAGCCATCTGAACTACCTCGCCCAGAATTTGCATGTGCTGGCAAAGCAGGGCCACCCGCCGACTGCGACGAGTACGGCCACTGCTGAAGTGCCAGACGGCGTGGCAGACCACGAAGCAAAGGAGGCCGGACACTCGTCATCGTTGGAAACGGGGAGAAACCATGTTCATGTCGTCCCACGGCCGCCGGAATGGTCCTTTGATGATGGAACCGATGGATCCGACGAGGGAGACTCGTACGATGAAGAGGATGATGAGGATGATGATGACGATGGGGGAGATGGAGCCGTGACGATGGAGCTCCGGAAGAATGATGGTCTGAGCCTGCCTACGCAAACACCGGAGCTGGGGACCGCACTGTCTTTCCCTTCTATTGAGCTATACGGCGTCGAGCTGCTCCAGCTTTCCGTCCTCAATCTCAACGTCAAATGCGATCGATGCAAGACACTGAACGAGATTACCGGCCTGAGAGACAACCTGGGAAAGCCAAACAGCTGCAAGAAATGCGCGACCCCTTTTACCGTCCGCTTCCGCCAGGAGCTTATCCACCAGAACTCAACCCGCGCGGGCTTCATCGACGCCAGCGCTTGCACCGTAGCAGATCTTCTTCCAAGGTACTTTCCCCAGCCCTCCTTTCTTTTCCGACCTGCTTGCCATCATCCCGCTGTGTGACTAACCAACCACCCACAATTAAACAACCTCCAGTACGTTCATCCCAACTTGCGCCAAATGCTCCACGCCGTTCAGCACGGGCCTCGTCTCGGTCCGCGGCGAGACGACAACCAACGTCTGCCGCGAGTGCCACGCCCGCTTCACCTTCAAGATCCCGGACGTGAAATTCCTCGCCTACGCCCCGGGGATGCACCACGCCTCCCGACTCCCGCCCACGGCGGGGCCGCGCCGCAAGCAGGAGAAGCTCGGCCTCCACGCGGGCGAGCCGCTGCCCAGCCGGGGCGCGTGTGAGCACTACCGGCGCAGCTACCGCTGGTTCCGCTTCTCGTGCTGCGCCAAGGTCTATCCGTGCGACAAGTGCCACGACGCCGCCGAGGAGCACGTCAATGAGTGGGCGAATCGCATGGTGTGTGGCTGGTGCTCACGGGAGCAGAGGTATAGCGTGGAGAGTTGGTACGTGAATATCCTTTGGCTTTCTTAATTGATCCCCTGGAAAACTCTTTCCAGCCGCCAGGGACACGGGTTAGGCTGGAGTGTTATTCCTTGAAGAGTCCTTTCCATGGTGCCTTGTCCTTTGGAGCTCTACTGACTCTTTGTCTCCTTACGTAGTGCTTTCTGTGGGAGGAGCGTCATTGGGAAGCGAGGAAAGGGATTCTGGGAGGGTGGCAAGGGAACGAGGGACCAGAGGCTGATGCGGAGGAACGATAAGAGGAAGTACAGACGGCTAGGGCCGGCGAAGAAGGACGAGTGACGGCTGACCAGCCTTTCAACCTGGAAGAAATTGAACGCTGTAAGACTAGTGTAACGTGGCCTCATATTAGTACGTCAGATGACTCCAACGAAAGCCTTGATACACACTCGCAGATCACATCAATGGGAGGCGTCTCAGCTGCCAGGTTGCAATGACTTCCACTCGACCATTGTTTGGGAGGGAGCAGAGTGATGCTGTAGTATACCCCTCCACCTCCCATTCCTTTCTGCCGCTCGACTCAGGCTCTCCAGCCCTGTCGAAGCAAGCCCCCGGGTTCCAGATTATCGTGCCGTTCCTTGCGAGGCGGATCGTCTGCCCGGGCCATGAGTAGGTGGCCTGTCACCATCGCTGAGAGGAGGCCCAGGCGCTACGCAGCTAGAGGGGCCTCGGATATGGCGTAAGTCTGTCGTCATGGACGGTGGTTGGTGATGGTTCAGTGAAGAGCTGCGAGTGGAACTCAAACGGAGCTTTCGCCACAGGGCTGTTGGTCCTCTACTACAAGCTTCGGCAGACCAAGGGTTTCCGGCCTTCTAAGAGATGGGTATGTTCGTCCTGGGTCATGAGGCGATAAATCACCATGGTGTTGAAGACCGCGACGAGGTGCTGCCTCGTTGGAGCACTTCCTCAACCGGTTCTCACAAACGGCGTTGCGAGTCTTTTCCATCTCCAGATGGTAATCCCCGTCGCTATTGGTTGTGTTCAGGATCTACTCTTGCGTACCAATGGCCTTCTGCGAGTCGTCTGTATAACCACATCCTTAGCCACGGAAAGGGCCGGATAGAATATCGGTCACTCCTTCCGATAAGCACAGTGACAGACACGTTGTCAGAGCATAAGACAGTCATTTAGAGCCAGTTGTCCTAGTAATACGCATCCTAAGCCAGGGGTTTGGACATAGATAGAATGCTGTGTGACTTCCTGTACTCAGGGTTGACACCCACGGTTACACACTCCACGCGCAACAGTGCAAGTCACCAAGCGGGTACGTATCTATGCACAGAACGTTCAACTCAGTCGGGATAACTCAAGCCATTTCGGATCGAAGTTGTCTGGATACATCATCCTTTGTCGCTGGTACTCGAGGTAAGGCAGCAACGGCGCCCTGGCCTCACTGAGCCCAACCCGCTACAGCCTCGAAAAGCCATCGTGGCAGATGAACGGCGTTCCGTAGTCCGCGCCTATAGTATATACTGTACTCCGAACGAAACTGCCGCAGTATGAACCAACTGACTGCATGCAACAAAAGACGCACGAGATGCCCAAGCCAACTGGTAGCACCCCGCCCTCGCGAGGCCTGACTGGGACGCGGAGGAGATGCATCCATCGTAGATGGGGCGTAGGAGTGATTTGAATGTTGACACATGCCCGCCACGACTGCAGCCTCCGGGCACCGAACAGCGTGATCGCACCAGCCCAAGCCATGCATTAGCACAATCACGATTCAGCATGGTTGATCATCAGAACGCAAGGAATGATGTACAGATTACGGCATGCATGGCGCATGCATACGGAACCAGGGAATCGCCCAGTCTAGACAGACAGACAGACAGACAGACGAATGTCCTGGATGTACAGTACATGTAGCTATGTACAATACAATCCATACAAACAACAAGTCAGAGTTTGGCTTCTGATGCGCTCCGGCCACGTCAATGGGACGGCGCGCCTGCCCGCGCGGTTGCCGGTGCGCTCGAACGGTTGGGCCGCGGATGGGCGCCAATCCGCTGGCCGGCTCGGCGTCTGATGACCCCAGGGCTGCGATGTCGAACGCACGCTGGTTGGACTGCCCGTGCGTTCTTGCTGCTATCCCGTCACGCACCAAAGCCTGCTTCTGTGGGAAAGGACGGGATGCGGGATGGCAATGATGAGGGCGATAGTGATGAGGTTCTGCCTTTGGGCTGTCCAAGTTCATTCAGCGGCCGCTTTTGAGTAAGGGTAGGTACAATACACGCTAGACATCACAGTGACTGATTTCTTGGTGTCATCGGTACTGGAGCCACGGGAACGTCGGAGGGATTGATGGATTGCGGAGGTAGCGATGACGATGGGTTGATGTTGGCGTCGCGGGAGATAACCACTGTACATCTTCCTGTCGTCCCCGGGGTCGTCAGGTGACGTTCGAGATTTCTTGGTCTTGCTGCATTGGCAAGGCCATTCGGTGCCATTGCCCGGTTCTTCGCGCCGGGGTCGCAAGACGATTCGACCAACAGCGAATGGTAAGAGCGGTGTAATACTGCTCAGCCCGGCGGTGCTGGCCGTGGGATTGCGGGATATCGTCCAGATGCCGTTACTCACCTGGTGAGAGGTTGATGAGTTGGCAGTCTCGACCTGGGCAGATGACCAACATTTCAATGCAGCCGAGAGAGCCCAGCCCGCGGGTTAGCCACACATCCTCCGCGCTTGATGATAAACTTTTAAGGCATCCCCCAAAAGCCTGGGCCGGCAGCGGGGCTTGGGGAAGGGGCGGGACGGAGAACGACGCTTTGCGGGACGTCCAGGTCTGTAACGTTGTATTGTAGGCAGTAGCAAAACTTCCATGCCGACAAACAACACCTGAAGGTTCCTTCAATTTTTCTCAGAATATCGATCTTATATTTGGGAAAAGCAATAAATCAGTTTGGGTCTTTGCTTCTTTTCTGCGCCATCAGCCGGAATGTGGGTCTCCAGTGCAAACAAACGCGCCGCGGGTATGGTTGATGCCCGTTCTCCGGACCGGAACCGGGCCGGGACAGGTTACAGCAGCCACTGTATATGATATTGAGAACCAGTAGTAGGTACTGCATCTGGCCAGTATGACATAAATGTCAAGGTACAGAGACGTATATAGGACCTTCCGGGGTTGTGGACTTATGGAGTACTTGCACTGAGAGATAACAACCTACGTAGGGTACCTACAACGCTTGTGTCTCTCCTCAAGGTTCACTTGGCGGCCTCCATCTCGATGATTCGCACCCCCAAGATGGAAATAGGGCAAACGACACGAGGAATCCAGGGCCGGATGCGATCGTCCGATGTGTCAGCTGGGCCTGGAGAAAGGGGCGAGAGGCAAACCAGCAAGCGAGACATCAGGGTCCTGGGTGTGGGTGGTGACGGCCCTCTCTCATTTTCTCGCCCACGATGCGGCAGCAAACAGGCTGGTTGGTCGGCAGTTGTGCTGCTGATGAGCGCAACGAAACGGCACTCCCACCTGATCCTACATGTACTAGTATGTACAAGAAGCTGAAGGCCAAAAAAAATAAGAAAAGAAAAAAACAAAAAAAAAAAAAAAAAAAGCCAGAAAAGAAATCGATAAATTTGGGCCATTATTTTCTGCCAGGCTTTTCACTACAAAACGGACGTGGACACCGATACGGTCCCTAGCTCCCGAAACGGACCTGGAGATCGTGTCACCCCTGATCTCAGATGCCATCGCCAGCCCCAGACCTCTGCTTCGAGTCGAGGCACGGTGAGGCGGTGCAGTTCAGCCCTTACAATTTAGCCAGGTCACCTGAGTCACCCACACTCCGATCACTCAATAGACTTGGTAGTTGCGATATTGGTCATCGTCACCGACCTCAGAGCAACAACTGGGACGACTGAATAAACAGTACATAATAAAAGCTTGGGTCTTGACAATAGTATGTTACGCCTATGAAAACAACATTGTGTGACCATGAGCGTGAGCCCTGCCCGGGCTGACGTCAAATCATCCTCCATGTATTTCCCTTTCGTGGTCAGTTCAGAAGTCCCTTCCCCTTTCTGTCCCCTACCCGAAACCAACACAAACCCCCACGCTGGTCGGTGAGTACAAGAAAGCTACAGAGCACACAAAGTGTAGTACTTCAACGCCAACGGATGATATTCCATTACAATGTCAATCCACTACCTTGTGTCTGTGTCCGCATGGCATGGCATGGCATAGCATGGCAAGCTACCCCGTCCCCTACCGGCGTTGTTCCGTGACCGGCTTGTGTTTCCGTGGATGTTGACCCATCTTGTCTTTATACGAAACAAACACTATCTGGAGGTGATATGACTTCAAAAAGCTTGCAGTTGCACATGCCGTTACACCTGTATTTGTACGCTTCCGTTGGGGGTGGGAGGGAGGATAAGTGAGAGGAAGAGAAGAAGCGCTACACAGGGCGCATCAGTCAGTGACTGGAGGTGTTCGGCCGGAAGCGGGCGGGACGGGGTTGAGTGAAGGAATGGCGAGTGAGGTGTAACGGCGCTTCTTTTCGTCATCACTCGACGACCTGTCCGTAGACGACAAATGTAAAGCACCATATACAGTACCTGAGCGGCAAATGCTGGCTCAGGTAATCGTTCGAGAGAAGCGTTTATCCTTAGAACCCAGCTGTAGGGCGACCCTCACATCAGTCACCATGTCCACAGGGACAGAGAAAGTGTTGGGCGAAAAGGTTTCATACACGCTTTCAGCCGCGGTGAGCGGAAACCATCACTAATACTACGTCTAACCGCTGCCTTCCCACCAACCACCCGTTAGCTCTGTACTAGAAGGTATATCGTAACACAAACATCGCCTCAGCTTTCGGACAGCCTCATCCACTGCTGGGCGCTCCGTCTGCCGGAACGTCTCCGATCCCTCCCGCCTTTTCGCCACATGGTTCTCCCTCTTCCCGTCCACCTTGCTCTTGACCAGTTCTCTAGCCACCGCACTGCTCCGACTCCCTGCTCCAGGCCTTCCTACTCACCCCTTGGCACAGCATTTCGGTCAGCGAACGGATTGGCCTCGTCCTCGTCATCTGCACCCTCATCCTCATCCTCAGAGGCCTGCGCTTGCGCGGTTGAACGTGAAGAGAACATCGAAGGCTTCGTAGCTGCCGATGGACGCGGGGGCGGTGCAGGACGCGAAGAACCAAGGCCGAGACTAGCCATCTCTGGGACGGGTGATTGTGGGCTGGTGGGCGAGTTTGTCTCCTTGCCCTTGGCTTTCTCGGTGGCCACTTGAGGGCCGTTAGTCACTAGCGGGAGTGGAGAGAATATTCAGGGGGAGGACATACAACGGTAGAGATGCGCCTGCTGCGCGAGCTCATCGTCCGAATCGCTGTCGGCATCGATTGAGCGGTCCAGCTGCTCAAAGGTCATCAGGGCCGTGACTAGTTCGTCGTTCGCGTGTAAGAGACTGCCGAGCCATTGCTCATCCTCGACATGATGAATCTGGATTCTGTCAGCAACCGATATAGGGAGAGCATGGTTGCACCACATACGTAGCGTAGGATTTTCCGACGAAGTTGTTTGCATGCTTCGAACCGTTGAAGTGCACTCTGGTTCTCAGAAATCCGCTCTTTCTCTCTGTTAATCGTCTGCAGCGTGTTCAGGAGGTTGGTAGCCGCCATGGTTGCTTCGGCGATTTCGACCTTCATTTTCTCCTTCTCCGCTTCAAGGTTGAATGACTTTAATTTCTTGCTCTTCTTGTCCTTCCTTTTCTTGTCTCTCGGTGGCGACATGAATGACTGTGTTACCGGTGGGCTGGTCAGGGACGACCTAGGAGTGTGCCCCCTGGACGGGCCTGCCGGCGCGGGCTTCTCCTCGTCGTCCTCCTCGTCACCGAATGGATTCGCCGTCTCCTGAATGACCTTGGACCGCTCCTGGGTAACAACTTGTTTCCGCCGAGGGAGTTCCTGAATAATAGTGAGCTCCATGAGTGCAAGGCACGCCTGGGAGAGCAGGGCTAACCTTGTAGAGATTGGCAACTCGTTCCATCCCGCGCACGTTTTTGTACTCGACTGCCCAGCTGCGAAAGAGTTCCGAGCACTTCTTCTTCACCTCTGGATCGGAGAGATCCGCCGTGCCGCAGAAACGTAAACGCTCAAGCAGGGCTTCGTCCGCAAAAGTCCTCTGGAAGCGAGGACCGGCATTTTGAATGAGGCCATCAAGCAGAGTGAGGGCACGGAGCTGGCGATGCAGGTTGCCGTACTTGAGCTTCTTCCTGATGGCACGAGCAGCCTCAGTGGGCCCAGTGTCCTGGAGGTTGACAACCTCGACGAGGTCCGGGATACCGCTAACGTCATCCACAGGAACTGCCTCGCTCGTCAATCTTTCAATCGTCACCGTGACTGCCGAGTAAGGTTTCTTCTGTCTCGTCCGTTAGACTTCAGCCTGTAAGACATTTGGGTACGGAGTTGTTGTACTTGAGAGAACATGGCGGCGGCCTCAACCTCACCGGTTAAGGATACCCTGGTTACCTCTACCTGGGAGGCTGGGATAGAGCCAACTGACAAAGTCTGGCTTCTCGGTTCGTTTGCTCGGGTACTACGCGTCTGCGGTAAGATGCAGACGGATATAGTGTATATCCGTGTTCACCTTGTGAGCGTCCCGAGAGACTAAGAAAAGATATCGGGGCGCCGTGGTTGAGGCCGATGCCAGCACGTTTAAATGACGCAGGAGGATATCAAGGGCTGAAGTCGATGCCAAGTACTGGTATGTGAAGAACTGTGTTTAATGCTTGAGAATAGCAATGGATCCCTCTCGATCAGCCTTGAGACGAGCCCAAGGGGAAGCTTCCGGATTGAGACGACGAGGCTCTTGGTAGGCGCAGCTGCCGCAGTGGGACAACAACAGCTGAGCCGTGGTGTGTGCGATAAGATAAGGCGACCGCGGGGTAGCTTGATGCTGAAAGCAAACCAGTTGGGGGAAAGGCCAATGGTGTACAGACAGAATCATGCGTCGTGCAGAGCGCGATCAGTTTCACGCCGATATCGTTTATGGTCAGATAGAGGATCGTCCTACTTGGTGTCTCTGTTCCTACAGATCAGGCTCGATGTGGTATCAATGAGTGAGTTCCCCGCAGCCCCACGTTTGGACGATGACAGGGGTCAAAGCTTGGACGGGACTCAAAAGCTAAAACAATCCCCCTTTTCCTGAAGGCATCATTGTAATGGGTGTCGAAACCTCTGGAGAGCTCTCAACCCTTAGACCTTGTTGGACCTCGAAACTTAAGACTAGTTTTGAGATCAGGCATGCACGCTCCTTATCGGAAGGAATGTTCAACCCCTTAAGTGATACGGGTGTTTGAAGGTCACAAGTAGGATCATACGCAGCAGGGGAACGAGCGAAACATGGGCTGATGAGATCAAATATTCTGTGCCAGTGTTTAGGTTGCCAGCTTTTTATTTTCAGATTCCTTAGAGTACCGAAGGAGGCCCTTATTTGCATATGGCCATAGGCCTTCAGGCTGCGCCTGCACATCACAGTATTTCCCACATAACCAACCTATAGTAGTTCCGCGACGCGGATTCAACGCTTCAGGTTCATGTCCACGGACTCCTGATCACCTATGATTCGCTGTCGGTCTGCAACCCGTAAGCCTCTCGAGTTGCACTGGCTGGCCATAGCCGCACACTTGAAAACCCAAGAGCTCAACGCAAGTAGGTGGCCGGATGAGCAGCCTTCTCCTTGATTGCCAGCCGGGTGTGCAGCATTCCTTTGCTCTTCTGGTTGGCCCATTCTTGCTTCCGACCCTTGTTCACTACCGCTCTGATGCGACGATCTGAAAGAGTAGTAGCGCCCAGTCCTTGCAAGTCCCTCGGGATCAGTGCACGCCCGCGTGCAGTAGCCTCTCTGCCCGGACGGGCACCGCCATCAACCTCCATCTGATTCTCCCTCTCGGCAGACTCAATAGCAAGACGCTCAGCTCGCTCCTCTGCTGTGGGGTGGTTGTAGAGGTTTTGACGGTAGTACCGATTGAGTGACCGGTGACCGACAGACCTCCCAGATGGGAGATGGAGCTCATAGTCATCGTAGAAGACAGCATGGACGCGTCTGTGGGAGCGTGCATGCCAGCCATCCGCTTGATGATGGGCACGAGTAGTACTACGGGAGTGGTGAGGGTGCTTGTCCAAACGTTCGTACTGATGGTAGTGCTGCTCTGCAGGGACTGCATGGAGATCGTCAGAGTCCAGCGAGGATGCTTCACTGTCCGTCTCCCAATTTTCGTCTTCCATGATTTCGTCGCCGTCGTCGCCGGTGACCTTGCTCTCGCGCTTGGCACCGAGTTTGGCACCCCCATTTTCTTGTGTCTCGTCTTCAGACTCATCCTCTGATCCCCCTTCCTCATCTGAGTAGGTGCTGCGGAAGTCATAGAACTCGCCAATCTCGAGTTGCTCCTCCTCAGTGGTGTAGGGGATTTGGCAGTGACCCTTATCACGCATGTGCGTCTGCACAGCATAGACGTTCGCTTTCACTTTGCCACAGGTGAGACACTCGTTTAGTGCAAAAACCTGCTCTTGAAGGTGGGCGAGCAGGCCTTCAAGGTCCACCAGATACTGCTTTTCCGGAATGAACATGCCGTGAATGCGCTCCATATGTGTGACATTGAGGGGCGCTGTCGGGGAGTCGTAGTTGCAGAAGAGGCAAGTGTTGAGTGACGGTGTTGGCGCAAGAGGCTTGGCCATGGTCGGGGTTGGCGCCAGAGGAGTCTTGGAGGGAGTCTCATCCTCGCTGGAAGCCCGCGACAAGGGGTGTTCTGGTTTGTTCTGTGCTTCAGCAGACAAGTGGGGATTTGAAGGCCGCTTGACGGGAGATGTGCTGTCGTGAATTGCGGCATTCTTCATCCCTTCGACAACCTCGTTGAACTCCTCCTCAGCTTCCGAGTCTACCACTGACTCGGCCGCAGGCTCGCCCAGGGAGAAGGACATGGAGCTCGCCTCATCATCGATCTTGCTGTCGGACCGCGATACCAAAGCGGCAGCCCTCGCCTTGTGCTTCGCGCTGCTGAGGTGATTGCGGAACGAATTCTCGCTGTAGTATGTCTTCTGGCATGTCTCGCAAGTCCGCTCGAAGCCGGCCTTGTCTGCCTGTGCAGTAGTCTCCGCTCGAGCCCGGAGGACCTTCTCGGTGAATACCTCGGAAGAGATAGGCGGTAGCTGAGCAACACGGCGCTTTAGGTTGTAGCGGCTGCGTAGTGAACTATAAGCCTCGGGACTAAATTGGTAGGAGTATATAGTAGAAAAAAAAACCACTCACTGCCAGTCACTACGCATGTGACCCCTTTGTAAGTCGCTATTGCGAAAAGCGACTTGACATGTGTTACATGTGTAGGGGTGCGTGGACTCCATTCTTGATACATCGCTGGGCGGAGCTGTCCTACTGCCAGAGATGGTCGCCATCGCGTCGAAGGTACCAAGAGTCGGTGCTTGTTGTTTTAGGAGGCGGTTGGAAGCAGGGTAATGGCAGGAGGGGTTTGCAGTAAATACTAGCAACCTTCTGTTGGTTTCAAATCAGAAGCCGTGGCACTGTTGAAGTTTGAGCAGCACTCGCAAAACTGGGCTCGATATTTACAACTGTCCAGCCGGGAAGACACAGCAAGTGGTGCCTGCTGAATAATGGGAATCAGAGGCAAAACAAGGCTTTGATGCAGTCATACAGATCCCGGGGAATAAATTTCTCTGGTGGCGGTTTCTTCACGGTATGCGGGGTTCAAGTGTGGACGTCACATTTCCCGGTGCCAATGCTTGGCAAGCAGAAAGACAGATATGGCTCCAGGGTTAGGGTATCAGGCCCGGTGTACCCGGCCTCGCCGGCACAGCCCGGCTCTCGCCGCCCAAAGTTTGTTTTGGTTTGCATGAACAAAGCCTGTACAGTTGGTAGCTTTGGGTCATTTCCATGTTCTTCCAAGCATTACTTGAATATATCACACTACCAATTTTTCGTGAGACGATAATGGAAGTTTAACAAAAACTGAGTCATGAGGCAAGTGTAATCCGTACAGTTTGGGTAGTGTAAGCGGCTCCACCTGAGATCGCGGGTCGAGGCGCCAACCAGAACAGGGAAAGCATGTCTGGTGGGCTCAGCCGAGCTCGTTCACGCTGCAGCTGCGCCTTGGCGTGAGTCCCGAAGGCGGCAAGCTGATTGCAGCAGCGCGGCCGCCCGACCGACGACGTCAACCGAAACCGCTCCAACATTCGCCGTCTTATCCGGATTCAACCTTCTTTTCCTGTATTCCTAGTCATCCGCGTTTTCACAACCTGAAGCCGCCTGCTACACAGCATCCTCCTAACCCCTAGAATACCCGATCGCAAGCGCCGCTCTTCCGCGCCTTTCGCAACCTGACAACCTGAGCCGAGACGCTTCACTTGCTAGCTTCTTCCCCATCATCCATGTCATGACGGGGGACGCTATGCGGCCAAGTAGCGCCGGCAACCTTAGTTCTAAACTTTCTGATGAACTCGACCTTCTGGCCGGTCTTTGGGAGGAAGCCCGTTTCGCGAGGCTGCCGTGGGATGCGCCGAGCGAATTGAAGGAACTGGTCGAGGACATTGACAACCCAAAACGCGTCTATGCCATTCATAGAGCTAGCCGTCGGCACAACTTTCAGTTGCTCGTGCAGAAGTGAGTCCACGCTATGTTGCTCGCGCCAGACTTCTCCGCTGACGGTTGCCATGTGTGTAGGTACATCGTACAGCTCCGCGAAGGCTGTGGTGCCGAACACTGCACAACGTCGACCTGCTTCACTTGCCGAACGCGGATTGCTGGCCGTGCGCCAGTTCGTAGATATAATACGACAAGCGCAAGGATCTTGGCCACGTATCTCGCGAGCCAGGACAATCCTGAAAATGGCCTTTGCCCCAACCTGAGGCCCTCCCAGCTGTCGCCAGTCAGCATCAATTCACTGGCACTCCTGGCGAGCCCTAAGCCTCGACTGCGAGACGATCATGCTCCACCTACTTCTCCGAAGGCGCAAGCTATCCACAGTCGTCCTGGTTCGCCAAAGTCTGGCCATGGCGGTGTGCAACCGACAGCGACTCGGAGCAGCAATGGGACAGCAAACGGAGGCAGGAAAGAATATTCGAAGCCCGCAAGTCCTCGAAATAGACCAGATGCTGTCATGCAATCCCGGCGACCCGGTTTCATAGTCACGGAGAAGCCTGTCAGTAAAGACCACCGGTCCTTCGCCGCGAATGTGTTTGATACCGTGGCTTTCAAAATGCTGGAGTGGCTCACCCCGGCGGCTATAAGAGATTTATCGGAGTTGGCGCAGGGCTTTCGTAACGAGTCAGAGCCTGAAGATGGCGAGTCCAGGCCAGGAACTGCCACCAAATCCGGCCAGCCTAAGTCGCCGCATGAGGTACGCGCCGTGCCTGCGGAGTCTAACGCAGAACTGGCGAACGGCAGAAATCAGCATGAGCATAGTCAAACCGAGAGGGAAACCCGACCACCAAAGGATATTCAGCAGCCGCACGAGTCCTTCCCAGCATCTCGTGCAATGAACCCGCGCCGTAATTCGAATGCCAAGGTGCGCCCCCCGTCTGGACCGAAGCCGAAACGGCCGCTCTCGATCGACCCATATGCAAAAGAGGCTTCGGTCGAAGAACCTTATGCAGCACTGTTAAGGTCTCCTCGCGCAATTCCCGGTCCTGCGGACAAGGGTTCGCGAGGTCCCAAAACGGCTGGCTCGACACTCTCACGCCCTATCTCCCAACTTTCCTCAGCGGGCTTCTTTGACGACGTCTCTCTGGAGAAAATGCCCCCGCCGAAGTCCATCGATCTCAAGTCCAGGAATGCCCGAAGCCAGCTGGACGGCTCGAGACCAAGCGAGCCCGGTAGCCCACGGCAGCTCGCTACTGGCTCGGGCGCTTCCTCTAGCAGGTCCTGCAGCAATGGTTCGAACGCGGCCGCGAACCAAGAAGCGGAATCCGAGGACGAGAGCCACCTCCCCCAGGCACTATGCAGGTTGGACGCGAGGGTCATCGACTTCATTTGCGATGTCATTCAAGAAGATGGCACTGCCGAGAAGCATCTGCTCGAACCCCAGTCCGTTACGAAGTCCCACAATCGACAGGCAGGCCAAGGAAAGCTAGCCAGACGGAAGCGTCGGTCAGCCAGTGGCTGTCTCCCCAACTTGAAACTAGAGTGGAAGTTGTTCGTTGAGCAAAGCTTATTCTATGTCCTCAGTGATCCCCAGTTGGCTCTCCGATCTTTTACCAAACAGGGACAGCTGTACGACTCCCAGACCCTCTGGTATTGCATGCTCAGGTTGACTCGGACTGCGCCTAGCCTGGTGTTCCATAGTCTATGGATGGCAGCGGCGAGTCTGTTCGCTCCTCCCAAGTCATTACAGACGCTGAGGTCGCCGACGATAAAGGTCTTCCCCACAGCTGAGTCCGGTCTATCCAACCCGGAGGCAGGACGTCTCATGTCCATATGCTTGCACGCCTTGGTTGCCGCGGCACCCTTGGTTACCGATTCCCGGCAACTCTACGATATGTCGAGGATCAGATCGCACGGCCTGAGTCTTGCCGGAAGCGGTGCGGTAGCCCGGCAACCACCAGAACTCTGCCTACAATATGAAGATGCGTTCACCGATGATATGGCCCTGCGCTTGGCGAGGCGTTTGTTCGCAGCGATAACCACACGCCGTTGCTTTGACGAACTCAGCCGGTTTAGCAATGGAGGAGACGAAGAAAACGAGCAGGACATACTGGCGCCGTTGTTCTCACAACTGGACTTTTTGAATATGGATGCCGTCTACGTTCTGGACTTCTCATTCCCTGACCGCGCTCTGCATGAAACCCGCGTTCCGATTCTCTTGCTCGATTGGGCAAGAGCCGTCATGCTTCATGACTGGGATGGCTCACCCGAGGTTTCGGGAGATAGCCCTTTTGGCGGCGCCCTTGCCCTGATCGAGGCCATGTGTATGTCGATTAGTCACCCCTTCAGTTCTACTGGCAAGACCTCTAACGCTTACCGCAGATAAGAGACGCCAAGAGCTCCTCCTAGCCGATGCCCAGTTCCGGTCCGACTATTTCGCAGAGCGGTTGGACACAGTCAAGATGCCCATCTCGTGGCTATCCCATAAGCCGACGCGGCACCGGCTGCACCTTCTAGACTTCCCTTACATTTTTAGCCCGTCGATGCTGGTGTCGTACTTTCGATCGATCAACTTCTCCAGGATGAGCCGTTGCTACGAAGAGTCTAGTTCACTCCACGAGAAAACCAAGGGCATTTATGACCGGGGAGGTCTGACGGCCTGCCACAGGGATGTGCTGATGGAGCGGATGAGGGTGGCAGGGTCTAAGTATCTGATACTTGATATTCGGAGGGGAAGCGTGCTCGAGGACGCGTTCGACCAGTTGTGGCGAAGGGAAGAACGTGAACTGCTGAGACCCCTGAAGGTCCATTTGGGAGAGTCTAGCGGCGAGGAAGGCTTTGACTCTGGTGGTGTCCAGCAGGAATTCTTTAGGATGGCCATCTCTGAAGCACTCAATCCGGACTATGGTGCCTTCACGGTCGACGAGCGGACCCGCATGGCGTGGTTCTTGCCGGGCTCCATGGAAGACGAATGGAAATTCGAGCTGATCGGCCTTCTCGTCTCCCTCGCGGTATACAACGGGCTCACGCTCCCAGTCACGTTTCCCAAGGCGCTCTATCGGAAACTCCTGGGTCAGCCTGTTACCGAGCTGCATCACATCTCGGATGGCTGGCCTGATCTGGCAAGCGGTCTCACCTCGCTTCTCGAGTGGGACGAAAAGGATGGGCTCGTCGAAGACGTCTTCGCCCGCACCTACGAATTCTCTGTCAATGCCTTCGGTCAACATGTCACGAGAGAAATGAAGCCAGCCTCGCCGTACACTGGTTCCAACCACCACAGCCCGGGCAGCCTCAGAGAGTGGCCACAGTTCGCCAAAACCGTCGCTCAATCTTCTTCCTCCCCTGCCCCGCACCAGGGCAACCCGAGCGAAGACGATGCCCCTCTGGTCACCAGCGCAAACCGCAACGCTTACGTCTCGGACTACATCCGCTACCTAACCGACGTCTCCGTCCGGCCGCAGTACGAGGCTTTTGCCCGCGGTTTCCACACCTGCCTGCATCCGAAATCCCTCAGCTTGCTGACCCCGAATCTCCTCCAGTCCATCGTCGAAGGCGTTCAGGAGATCGACATCTCTGAGCTTAAGCGTTACACACGCTACGTAGGCTGGGACGCCTCACATCGCACAATCAAGGACTTCTGGAGCATCGTGAAGAGATACGACGACGGCATGAAGAGGAAGCTGCTCGAGTTTGTCACGGCTAGTGACCGCGTGCCTGTCGGGGGCGTCAAGAACATGATGTTCATCATTCAGAGGAATGGCGAAGAGGATAGTCCTGCAGGGCGACTGCCGACCTCATACACGTGCTATGGCACGTTGCTCTTGCCGGAGTATAAGGACAAGGAGATGCTGAGGGGACGGCTGGCTATGGCGTTGGAGAACGCTCAGGGCTTCGGGTTTGCTTAATCTCGGCACAGGGCGCACAGAAATGGAACGGAAGGCGGGATGATCAGCGGGCAACGCAGCAGTGAATTCGGAAACCCTAAGATGGAGGCGGCGATCTTGAGTTTTACTGACGTTCGAAGGTCAGTCAGATCTCCTTTGCGTCTGAGCGGTCGTTTCTGAGGGTAGGGCTGAACGGTCCACGGCGAGCTTAGGCAGCGGAACGTTAGCGGATTCCCTAATAAACACTGTGCTTTCTTTAATCTGTATCTAGCGAGTGCAACCCTCCGGAGCGGGCGGCGTAGACCACCTAGAGAGATAGGTTCGCAGCCCGAACAAGTCAAAAGCGCTTCTTGTTCTTGAACCGTTCCTTCGCCCATGCCTTTCCTGCCGGTTCTTAACAGCTCCGTCATGACGCTTGCCTTATATATGTTCCCTAGGCTCCTGCCTCACACACGGTACAAGGCCGCTTTCATGTATACAACACAACCTACAGGCCTTGCCACGGAGTTGACAGGATCACTTAGAACACTTATTAAAACAGGAGGACCTAAAGCACGTTGACCCTGTCATTGAGCCTTTGCATCTAGCGTAACTGCCGACTGCCTTATTTTGGTATTCGTCTCATAGATCGTGCGTGCATGTATCAACACTAGCAGTATGATACCTTCATGGTGACCAAGGGACTTTTTCAGTCCTTTCTTTTCTATGTCCACTGATAGTCTAAAAGTCATCCTCACCCGACCCCGACACGATCACATTATTCACCTTGAGCACCATCCGGCAGAGCTGCGTAGCCAGCATAAGCTGCTGCTTCTTGCCAATGAGTGGGTCAATCACAAAGGCCTCTTTCATGTCATTGGATCCGCGGCCCATGCAGTCGATACCTGCGCGGCCGCGGTTGGCCGCGCTCTTGACCTGTTGGCTCTTGACCTCGGCGAGTGTGGCGATCGGGTTCAGACCGCTGTTCTCGGCAAGCGCCATGGGGATGGCATCGAGTGCGTCGGCGAAGGCGCGCATCGCGTACTGCTCCAGACCCGGCGTCTTGACGGCTGCGTCCTCCACAGCCAGGCTGCAGGCGATTTCGGCGGAGCCACCGCCGTAGACGACGCGGTTGTCGCGGACTAAGTTGCGGACGACGCAGAGGGCATCATGGAGGGAGCGCTTGGCTTCGTCGATGATCTGGACCTTTGGTTAGACATTGGGGGCCATTTAGTTTAACGGGGGCTACTTACCATCTTGTTGCTGCCTCGGACGAAGACCGTGACGGCCCGCGTGTTGGCGCACTCTTCGATGACGAGCATCTTCTCTCTTGTTGTGCCGAAGGTCATTTCCCGGACAATACCGGCTGTTCCAAGCTTCTCGGGTTTGAGGTCCTCGAATCTGGGCACGATCCGGCCATTGGTCGCGATGGCAATCAACTCGATCTCTGGGCCTCCTACCCACCTTACCGCGGGCAGGTCGTTCTGGAGCAGAAGGTGGTTGGCCTCGTCATCAAAGCCCCACTGGCAAATGGCTAGGTTCGCGCCTGCATCCTTTATTTGTTGAATCATCTCGACAAACTTCTCCCGCTCGTAGTTCTGCAGCTTCTTGAACTCCTCCACGCTGCTGATCTCGAGCTTGTGCTTCGTCTTAGGCTTGGGCGGCTCGAAGGCGCATGTTAGGATGGCGATTTTGGCGTCACGCACCTCAGATGGCATCTGAGGGTGCGAGAAGTCCTTGTCCACGATGACGCCCTTAACGAGAATTGTGTCCTCAAGGGCGCCGCCCACTTTGCCATCCACCTTAATCAGCTCAAAATCCACGTCCTTGCGCTCCAAGTCGGCCACGGAGAGGACCGCATCCACAGCAATGTTGGCGAACTGATCGTGAGCCTTCGAGACGATCTTGCTCCCCAAGCTCGTCCGTGCCACCTTGACGAGGTTTTCTGTGTTGTCCTTGCTGAACTCGATGACATCCGAGATCTTGTCCAGCTCTGCCACGGCGATGTCGCAGGCCTGGTCATAGCCGTCGGCGATCCTGATGGGGTGAATTCCCTTGTCAATGAGCTCTGCTGCCTGTTCTAAGAGTGCGCCGGCCAGGACGACCACGCCCGTTGTGCCGTCACCAATCTCGTCATCTTGGGACTTGGAAAGTTCCACCAGCAGCTTCGCGACGTGGTTCGAGATCTCCATCTGCTGCAAAATCGTCGCGCCATCGTTTGTTACTGTGATGTCGCCGTCGGGAGAGATCAGGATTTTGTCGAGCCCGCGTGGCCCTAATGATGTCTTGACGATGTTCGCAACAGTACGCGCTGCAAGAATGTGGGATTTGACGGCCTCGTTGCCGTACTGGCGCTTCTTCTTGCCCTGACTGGACGGGAGGGTCAGCAGGAGAAGTCAGTACTCGGTAAGAACAGGCGTACTGACTCTCTGACAACGATGAAAGGCCTGCCCTGCTCATCCTTCATCACCGCCGCTGCAGCCCCGACCAGTTAGCAAACGGCTCGCCCCATCTTGTGCTGGAGAAAATCTCGTAGCATACCGTTCGACAAATCCAAGTCTGGTCAACTGCGGGTTAGCTATCTGAATCCTGACTGAATGCGGGGCAGACATTTGCGACCTACTCAACGCCATGTTGGCAGCTATCTGTCTCACGATTGCACGAAGGTGGTCGAAGAAAAGGTGCAGTCTACAAGTCGTTGCTCAAGGCAATATTGTCGAGTGAAGTCGGAACAAGCACCGGGGTGGTCTTCCAAGCTCTAGTCGATGCTCCCCTATCTCCGTCCAAAGAGCTCAAAAAATTGGGAGAACATGCACACTGCCCGCCTGCTGGCTTCAGGCGGACACCGGCAGAATCTAAGTCCGGCTCAGCGCTGCGATTGGTCTTGGACAGGCGACGGACCAGCTGCCCCGCGATTCTGGTTTTCACCGCCTTTGCCCGATGGAGTCACGATGGGGGTGATAGTGGGGTCTCAGACAACACAAGCCCGACTCACAGATGGCAGTACCCCACGACAAACAAAGCTTCATCATTGAGACGACCGTTGCAGCCTACAGTGTTCTGAAGCAGACATCTACCTAAGGTACCTTAGTTACCCTGCGGTCTGCTTGAAGCTTTGGGCTTGAATCCTGCTAGGGTCTAGGGTCCATCTCTCCTGCCCTGAAACCTTATCTGGCTGCGCGGGGTCAACCTTATGACGTGAGCTCTGATCAGGACCACAGGTTCTCTGCCCGGTTAAACCTCCATCACCTACTCCGGCCTCTCACCAGATTTTCACTACTTTGCAACGTATCGTACGAACGCCCTTGTTCCAGCAATTAACAACTCACCCGGCGATCATTCCGAATCGACCATTCCGCCAGACATGTCTCGCCACCAGTTTATCCGCAACTTGGACTATCAAGATGCTGTGGACGAGTATGAGGGTTACTCGGAAGAGGAGGATGAGCTCAGCCCGGAAGACCGTGCGTTGATGAACCAAGGCACCGCCGATGTTCAGGCCGCCCTCGGCGTTGAGGCTTCAAAGGTCACAGTTGCTCAGATTGAGGAGGCCTTGTGGCACTATTACTACGACGTCGACAAGACGGTCGCCTACCTCAAATCGAAATTCATTAACCCACGTCCAAAGACGACAAAGCCAGCAGGTCAGCCACCTATTGGTAAGTCCGTCATCTGTGCAGTTGGTCCCGCTGAGGAGGCCCTTCTCTATGAGCTCGGAATACATGCCGGCTGGGCCGGAGACGGCCCGGACATGACGGACGCCACATCCTCACCGTCTCTAATCCGACCACGAAATGCGATGCCGCTGTGCGAACTTTCGGGGCGTTCGGCACAGGGGGAGACTGCTCTCGCTGCTCTCATTACTTTCTCTTCAGAATCTCGGGCTGGTGTCTCACACTACTTCCGAGATATGCCTTGGGGGAACATCCCGAAGGATAGAGAGACCACGTTTGTTCCACCGTTACGGCCAAGGGGCGGGCTACTTGGAGGGTCTTCAGCGCAGCCCAAGATGTCTAAGCTGCAGGCGCTGGCCGCCGCCCGGAAGAAAAAGGCGGAGGAGAAGAGTGCCGGCCAGGACAACGTGGAACAAACGCGAACCAAGATGACAGAGCTCTCAGTCGGCGATGCACCATCAGCGAACGCGAAACTACCCGTGCCTGAGAACGGAAAGGCACCCTTGGCTGGACCCTTTGGCAAACGTTTGAAAACCTCCGAATCAACGGCCGAGGGGCGCTCACCTGTGATCGACTCCGAACCGACAAGATCCGGGCTGTCACAGCCACTGTCCGGAACTGTAAAAGAACCAAACAATGAGCCAGTGGTTGAGAAAGCCCAGCAGTCCGCCTTTGCTCAAACCCTCTTTGGCCCTTCCGGCGATGTCTTCCAGCGCCCACTACAGGAGTCATACTCCTTGTATGCCGATCTGCCTTCGTCTGTTCTCGATGCCTTCTCTCGGCCCAGTCCGGACGACGTGGTTCTTGCGGCTCAAGCGAAAGGTTCGCTTTTGTGGAAAAGCAAGCGCTAACGTGGACACTAATAGTCGAAACAGCTGGAAAGAAGACGGCCGCAGCTCAGCCTAAGAAGGGCCCTCCGTCTACAGGTGCCATGACAGCTGAAGTAAAGGAGTTGAAGATCGACGACGCCCCGCTACCCAAGAGCCGAAATCTCGACGTGCTCTCTGAATTCGAAAAGAGTCAAAAAAAAAAGAATGCCAGTTTTGTGGTGGTTGGGCATGTTGATGCTGGCAAGAGCACCATGATGGGCCGGTTGCTCCTGGATCTGAAGGTCATCGATCAGCGTACCGTCGATAAGCTTCGGAAAGAGGCAGAAACCATGGGGAAAAGCTCTTTTGCCCTTGCATGGGTTTTGGATCAGCGGTTGGAGGAACGCAGCAGAGGAGTTACCATCGACATCGCTACCAATCGGTTCGAGACCGACCGGACCGTCTTCACCATTCTTGACGCGCCCGGGCATAGAGATTTCATTCCGAATATGATTGCCGGCGCCAGCCAAGCCGACTTTGCCATCCTTGTCATTGATGCCAGCACAGGTGCCTTTGAATCGGGACTGAAGGGGCAGACCAGGGAACATTCCCTCCTGATTCGAAGCATGGGTGTATCTCGCATCATCGTGGCCGTCAACAAGCTCGATACAGTTGCCTGGTCTGAGGAAAGATTCAATGAAATCAAGGACCAGGTTTCCGGCTTCTTAACCGCTACGGGTTTCCAGCAAAAGAACATTGCCTTTGTCCCGGTGTCCGGTCTGCATGGTGACAATTTGGTTCGGCGGTCGTCAGATCCTGCAGCATCATGGTACACCGGGCCGACGCTGGTTGACGAACTGGAGAACTCGGAACCCAATGCCAGGGCGCTGGAAAAGCCCTTGCGGATGAGCATATCGGAGGTTTACCGGACGATGCAGAGCCCTGTCACAGTCTCCGGGCGGCTTGACGCCGGCTCCCTGCAAATGGGCGATGCTCTTCTCGTCCAGCCAAGCGGGGAGAAGGCCTATGTCAAGTCACTCCAGGTCGATGACGCACCAGCTGAGTGGGCGGTTGCCGGGCAGAACGTGGTGCTTCATCTCACCCACATCGACCCCATCCACGTCAGGGTGGGAGACATCATCTGCGATCCAGCGAAGCCAATCCCACGTGCTGACACGTTTACCATGAAGGCGCTGGCTTTCGATTTCTTGATGCCCATGCAGGTGGATGTCCACAGGGGCCGGCTGCACACGGCGGGCAGGATAGACGGCATCACCGGGATCCTTGATAAGGTCACAGGAGCGGTGACCAAGAAGAAGCCTAAGATTGTCAAGCCCGCCCAGGTGGCGAGAATTGTGGTGAAGTTGGAGTCGCATGTGCCATTGGAGGCGGGACAGAGAGTGGTGTTAAGGAGCGGTGGGCTGACGGTGGCTGCCGGGTTGTTGGAATAGAGCTTGTCACGGGAATTGAGGCTCTTACATCGTTTCGGCAACACTTAGAGTGGGCTGTGGGGTAATACAAACTTTATTTATTACCTGGCATAGTTAAATGATGAGGTACCGCAGTAACTACGACTTCCCGCAGCAGCGGCGTCGGTGTCTCAAGGGGTGAAAGCTCTTCTTCTTTGATAATCCTCTTGTGGACGTGATCTGGACAATGTAGGAATGCAATCGTTCGCATCTGTCCTTTCTGACGTTTCAAGTTAACTACCCCTGCTCATGACAGCAGAAGGTCTCTTTCGCTTTTCTCTTGGTCTTGAGATGCGGAAAGCCAGAAGCCGTGTCCATGTTCAGACATCACCTCAGAACTCGGAGCTTCCAGTCAGCATAGCAAAAGGCCACTCTGGCAGGAACAGGGGGTACGGTGGCTACTGCATGGGCTGTGGCCCGCCCTTGTTGGCAATCATATGCGGGGCGATGCCATTGTCTCCAGAGAGACTGCGCTGAATGGAATCAGCTGGAATCGAGGACATCCAAAGGGGCCCAAGGTGCTGGGTACAATAGAGCACGAGAGGAATCATCAATGGTTATGCTGCCACTACCCGCTACATAGAGAATCTTAGTAGTCGGCTGCAATTGTGCTAGAAAAGAGTAGAAACTGAGATGGCTATCTTTTGCCAGCTGTTTCGTCGTCGGGTCCAGCCTCAGGAGGTCGATGGCCGCTGACAGATCTTCCATTATGCGGAGGCAGCCAAGAATAATGGGGCATGTAGCGGGAACTCAGCGTGTGGTCCGGCTGACGGCAATACTGGCAGGGCTGCAGGTACCTAGTACAAGCAGCAAGTGCCGTCCTGCTGATGGAGCCAATCAGCTGCTGCAATTCGGGCGGCGAATGGGCCATCGCTGTGTGGAAGCGCGAGGTGGCTTGAAGCACCGGGATAAGGACAGATTTCCCATTCTCCAGTTTGGGGAAAGCATTCAAAAGGCGGAACTTGCTTCCAATTCCTTTGCATTCTCTGCAGTCTCAACAACCATCTCACTCCCAACGACGCCGGAATTCTCGAATTCCCTTCCTCTTTAACCTGTGCCTGGTAGGATTGGTTAGAGGAGAGTGTGCCTGTCGGCATCGGCAACTGCCACTCTTTCCGCTTCATTTCTTGGACCCTTCCCACGCCTGCGAGCAGAAGCGCGAGGGGGCTTTTCCGTTTTTCTCCCACACAGAGCTTTCGACATGGAGCGTCGATCGCGGAGCTGGGCCCTTGGCCTCAGCTTCATCGGGTTCTTTGCCCTTCTCTTTTCACTAGGCTTCGTCCACCAAGTCAAGGCGGACGATGTCGCCGACTACGGGACTGTGATCGGTATTGTACGTACTCCACGCGCGGTTCTCAGGGCATTTCTGGCAGGACTAACACGCAATTTCAACAGGACTTGGGCACCACATACTCGTAAGTTGCCCCGCTGCCGAAGCCGAGTTTCTCCTGGACTTCGCGTCTTTCCCTGGGTTCGGAGGAGGTCGCTTTAGGCCACAGTGTCATCGCAATTTGGCTGGATAATGCCGTGCAAAGGAGAAGTGCGGAGTACTAACAGGAATCAGATGTGTTGGTGTAATGCAAAAGGGCAAGGTCGAGATTCTGGTCAACGATCAAGGTACGTCTAGAGTCGCGGCCGTTCCTCGATGATCTGTGCGCCAGCTAACTGAACGCTTTTAGGAAACCGTATCACGCCCTCCTACGTTGCCTTCACCGATGACGAGAGATTGGTCGGAGACGCCGCCAAGAACCAGGCCGCGGCGAACCCGTTCAGGACAATCTTCGATATCAAGCGTCTGATCGGTCGCAAGTTCTCGGAGAAGGACGTCCAAAACGATATCAAGCACTTCCCCTACAAGTACGCCAAATCTACATCCATATCTCTTGAGCGCCTACTAAACGAGCTTCTAGGGTCGTTTCCAAGGACGACAAGCCGGTTGTCAAGGTCGAGGTCGCTGGGTCTGAGAAGACTTTCACCCCCGAGGAGATTTCCGCCATGGTTCTCTCCAAGGTACGTTGACAATATAATCACCCGCGAGCCCGAGACAGACGCTAAGAACCCGAATAGATGAAGGAGACCGCCGAGGCCTACCTTGGCAAGAAGGTCACCCACGCCGTCGTCACTGTTCCGGCCTACTTCAACGACAACCAGCGCCAGGCCACCAAGGATGCTGGTATGATCGCGGGGCTTAACGTTCTCCGTATTGTCAACGAGCCCACCGCTGCCGCTATCGCCTACGGTCTGGACAAGACCTCGGGTGAGCGTCAGATCATCGTATACGACCTTGGTGGTGGCACTTTCGATGTGTCTCTCCTTTCGATTGACCAGGGTGTGTTCGAGGTCTTGGCTACCGCCGGTGACACCCATCTCGGTGGTGAGGACTTCGACCAGCGTATCATCAACCACTTCGCCAAGACGTTCAACAAGAAGCACGGAGTCGACGTCACCACCGACGCCAAGGCCATGGGCAAGCTCAAGCGCGAAGCCGAGAAGGCCAAGCGCACTCTGTCGAGCCAGATGTCCACTCGCATTGAGATTGAGGCCTTCTTCCAGGGCAAGGACTTCAGCGAAACGCTGACCCGCGCCAAGTTCGAGGAGCTCAACATGGATCTCTTCAAGAAGACCCTGAAGCCTGTCGAGCAGGTGCTCAAGGATGCCAAGGTCAGCAAGAGCGAGGTCGACGATATTGTCCTGGTTGGCGGCTCCACCCGTATCCCCAAGGTGCAGGCCCTTATCGAGGAGTTTTTTGGTGGCAAGCAGGCCAGTAAGGGTATCAACCCCGATGAGGCCGTTGCCTTCGGCGCCGCCGTCCAGGCCGGCGTCTTGAGCGGCGAGGAGGGCACCGAGGAGATCGTCCTCATGGATGTCAACCCGCTTACCCTCGGTATCGAGACGACTGGCGGTGTCATGACCAAGCTTATCCCCCGCAACACCCCTATCCCGACCCGCAAGAGCCAGATCTTCTCCACCGCCGCCGATAACCAGCCGGTCGTCCTGATCCAGGTGTACGAGGGCGAGCGTTCGATGACCAAGGACAACAATCTCCTCGGCAAGTTCGAGCTCACCGGCATCCCCCCGGCTCCCCGCGGGGTGCCCCAGATCGAGGTCTCGTTCGAGCTCGATGCCAACGGTATCCTCAAGGTCTCCGCCCACGACAAGGGCACTGGCAAGGGCGAGTCCATCACTATTACCAACGATAAGGGCCGTCTCACCCAGGAGGAAATTGAGCGCATGGTCGCCGAGGCGGAGAAGTACGCCGAGGAGGACAAGGCCACCCGTGAGCGCATTGAGGCTCGCAATGGTCTGGAGAACTATGCCTTCAGCCTGAAGAACCAGGTCAACGATGAGGAGGGCCTGGGCAAGAAGATTTCTGAGGATGACAAGGAGACCATCCTGGAGGCCGTCAAGGAGGCCCAGGACTGGCTTGAGGAGAACGGTAAGCTTTCCTCAGTTTGCTTCGATGACATGACGCGAGTAAGGAGGCTAACTTGTGATGCAGCCGCTACCGCTACCACCGAGGACTTTGAAGAGCAGAAGGAGAAGCTGTCCAATGTGGCGTATCCCATCACGAGCAAGCTGTACTCGGGCGGCGCTGCTGGTGGTGATGACGATGAGCCCGCGTCTCATGACGAGCTTTGATTGGTATCATATCATAAATAGAGATTCCCCATTTTTGTTGTTTTTATGGCATTAAAATACGAAGCCTCCCTGCATTGAAAGGGGTTGGGTTATTTCGAGTTGCTGCTTGCTGGTGTCCGGTTGGCTGTCATGGTGCGTTTTCGTCTTGGTATGTATCTTCATCGATGAAGCATCTGGGTGGTATGGCTGGACAGAAGGTCGGTTGCATGCAATTGAGGTGTCACTCAAGGTTGACGTTGTAGAACAAACAAGGTCGTTAATGAAGACTGGAAGAGTAAGGGACTGATGTGATGTTTAGACCCTCGTTAATATGGCAACCCACTACATCTCCGGTTCTGGCTGAGCAGGCCAGACTCTCCGTCTACATAGCTGGTATCCCAGATATGGAGTTGAGATAGCAGAAGTTGTTTTTTCTTTGCTCTGACCCTAATAACGTACATTAAACTTCTGTTCTTCTCTTTCCCTTATTCACCCTCCACCTTTCTCCCTTTCCCCCAATGTTTGCCGTCAAGATGCTGCGAATCGGCACGTTGCCCTGGGTCTTGTATTTGCTGTGATAGATCTTAGACGTGAAGTCGTACAGCATTGTATCACTGAGGTTTCCTGTTGACCAAGTTGGACCGGAGACATGCAATTAGTTAAAGTTAGGTCCTAGTGCGGTAGGATGCAACGGGCTACTAGTCACATGAAGCTAGAGTACTACTTTTCGGCAGCCATCTTGGTTTCCTCAATCAATCCCAAGTCATGCTGGCGAACACCGTTGAGAGCAGCCTCCTAAGTTAACGGCGTGCGCATATTCATGTCGTCGTCGCTCTGGTAACGGCTGACCCCTGGTTCCACTTTCTGTGGGCCTTGTTTATTACCCCTGAATGCGCTGACTGTCAAGGCGTCCACCTCAACGTCCCAATGCAGTAGAGACACGAAAACGGAGACATTCCTTGCAGATGCTGAAAGAATAGGGAGCTCGGGGGGCAGCGTGTATGAGGTACGTACTGCATGCTTTTGTGGTGTAAATGACTTCATTATTCATGCTCCGTGCCGCAACGTTGCTAGGAGCGACACAAACATATTGTAGGAGAAGACAGAGCTACTAAGGAACCGACAGCTTGGTGATATAGAAGTAAAGGAGAATAGGGAACAGTACATATGAGCCAGCGGGGTGTCCCAGCCGTCTTAGACAATCGTCCGGAATAGACCTCTTGTAAGACCGTAGGTAGACAGTGTATGAAATGAGTATGCCTCAATATGGGATAAAGTTTCCACGAAATCAGGGACCTGAGCCTCAAAAGATGGTCCGTAAAATCAGAGAAAGGCGTCCTCGACAGGTACCCATAGTCTGGCGCCCGTTGTCTTGTCTTCGCGCCACCAACGCTGGACTCCGTCATCCCACTGCCATTCGCCCAGCTCTACCGGTGGGATAAACGGTAGGAGAAAGGCGGCAAACTCGCGAGGGTCACCGGTAGACCTGTGTCTCTCAACCATCTCTTTCCGTTGTTTCCGCTCCATGTTGATGATGACCAGTTGTCGTTTGTCATAGACGCAGTCAGAGGGACCCGGGTCCGCCGGGATGGAGGTTCGTGGCGGTGCTTCCGGCGGCTTGGGCGCCTCGTTGTTTGTATTTTGTGTTGTACAAGCTCCGGGACTCTGTCCGCTGCCTTGTCGGCTTTTGATCCGAGTGGATTGTCGCTTGCGGATCTGGGACCTTAAGCGATCTCCTCGTTGCCGTCTTGTGCCGGCGGAATCTCCTGGATCTTCTCGCTGTTGTGGTTGGGTTTGGCTTTTGGAGCATACGCTTGTCCGGCCGTCATGCAAGTGCCGACACGTGGAGATATTGCTGGGGTGGCGAGCTCGAACGCCATCTCTCATGTGCCTCCGAGTGCGGTTTCTCATCTTGTGTGATGGGGGTGGACGGAGGTTGCTTCGTCCGTGACCTGTACCTGTGTAAACAAGGCGTCCCTAAGGTAGTCGCCATCCAGCGGGTTTGTTTGGCCTTAGGTTCTCGTATTGTTGATGGCTTGGAACATCATAGCCTCGATTGAGTCCGGGGATCGTGATCAGTCCAGACAGCAACGTGGCACCTGTAAACCGCTCGGGGCCAGAGATAACTTAAGTACCTAACCTAAATGTCGCAACCAACTTGTGTTCGTTGTGCCAGTTCAGCTCGGAAAAATTTAGCGGTTACCCTCACCTGCGTTTGGCCGATATCCGTCTATTGCCGTCGGATGGCGTTGCAGCCTTGTGACGCACACCTCAGCTGCCGAGGATGCACAGTTCTACGCCTGCATAATCATAGCCGATACAGAGGCTTTCGGTCAAGAAGAAGGCTACAGTTAATCAAGAGTCTCGGCAGCATAGGTAATCATTGCCCACTTTTCGCTGTCATAGATAGGGTGATTCGGCTGACAACTCGAACGTTGGCGCTCGAGAGATAGTCTGTTCGCTGTGTCTGGACTTTGATAAGCAAGCGCCAAAGCTGGCCGCATGCTTTGCGGTCAGGTAATAGCAGTGCTGTCGATCCGTTGACTGTCGGCTGCGGCATACTCAATTGGGGGCGGTTGCGCCCGCGGGCCTTTCAGGGCGACTCGTCATGAACCCTCCCCCGCTGCTGTGGCGTTCCCCGTTTATGCAGTAGTATGGTGTAGACCGCCTTGCAAAGAATGTCGCCATTCCCGGGACCTAGAAGAATGAGGACAAAGGATAACCTACGGACAGATACGTCTACCCCTGGTCCGTACCATCACTACACACCTTGATAGACAGAGGCAGCCCCGAACCCGACGTGTTATTTCCATCCTTACGGCAGACTCCTTGAGGGGCCACTGACAGATCTGAGTCACCATTGTATTTTTGCCCCCAGCAAACCTCGTTTTTTTTGCTTGTCTTTTTGGTATCCTGCTTGCACCATCCGCCACAAGATGTGTATATTCGGCTGCTTTGGTGGCTTTCCTCGGTACCAGTGATTCTGTTTCAAAATTCCTTCGTGTACCTACCTATGTTGCTCTGGCCTTCTAAGCAGCAGGCTCTCCGTTCCTGGACAGGGCCACCTCCTGCCGGCTTCTGCCTACCTTATGGCTTAGCATTCTGCCGCGAATTTGTGAAATCAGACACCTCTCGGGAGAACTAGGCGTTTTTCCCAACAATTGCACCGACCAGTCTCGCTAGCTCCAATCTCACCGTCTCGATGTATGTGTGTATGTATGTACATTGCTACCCTTCATCGGTCGTACGGCTAACGCGTAGCTGTAAAAGCCATTGTCCTTAGGCTTTGCTATCAGTCTGGTAATTCAAAGGGTAACATAGCTTGGAAATCCGGGTCAGCCTCTCAGTGCCGCGGACCAAGAGCCCCTATGAGCATAAATACTGGTACTAGTCGAAGCAAAGCAACGGCAATGCCCCGAACTGCGAGACTCTCACCGAATCCAGTCCCCCTTTTAAACCCTCCGATCCAACATCAATCGGTCTGGTTACCTTGCAGGATCACGCCATGAGTCAAGCGCCTTGCTTCCCGAGTGGCGGCGGACTGCCGGCAGCTGAACCGCTGCGTGGTCCGGTTCTTTCGAGTGACAGTGGTCAGGCGCCTTCAGCTCCTCATGCTCTGTAAGCTCTCAATCTCGCCAATCGACGAGTCCTGGTTACCTTCTGACCAGCGCAGGCCTCAGAAAACCCCAGGGCGCCAACGGCCGGAACGCCCGCTAAGAAGCCGCCTGCTGCAACGACTCGAGGCGAGCCTTGCCGTCGATCCAGACAAGGAGGTGATACTGCCGGTGCTGGTTGTTGGTGCGGATCTGAGGCAGCATGCCCTTCTGGCTCGTTTCAGTCAGCTCTACGAGCTGTCGCTGGTGACGGACGCTGCAGTTCGCTTTCTCGGTTTCGAGCCACTCAGCCTCCCCGCCGGTGTCCTGAAACCCTTCAGCTGCCCCCTGGGGCGTATCAACCCCGTGCGCTACGTGGGACTGGTGGTCGAGCAAGCGCGGAATAACCTCTCACAAACCACAATTGGGCATGTCATTGTACTGGACGGCAGGTTCAATGACAGGGGGCCTGATCTGTATCTGGGACGGCGATTCTTGCAGGATGTTTTCGATGGAGGCCTTCCGCCAAAGGCCGCATACGCCGTCGGCGGCGCGGGGCAGCAGAGCAATCTCCCCAATCCCATGAGCCTTGGTCAATTTGGCAATCCAAATCCACCCTCTTGGACGCCGGTGATGCCCGTGGGGACCGCAGCACAGCAATTTTGGGGTATGTTTTACTTCTGTCACCAACGATGGTTGTCGTGATAAGCATGAACTCAGAAATGAGGCTCTGTCCACGGCCCGGCCCGTTTGTGCCGCTTTGTGCTCGGCTGATCCTGGCTAACACTCTTTCTTATGCGAACAGGGCAAACTCAAATGCCTTCTTGGCCGGGGCAAGGAGGCGGCAGCAGCAGCCTATCATACGCTCAACCCTCCGAAGGATTCCCCGTTGCGAACCAAACTTCGGTCCTCCCCGCGCCGCAGATCCCCATGGCCGGAAACACAGGTGCCCTGCTGTACTACGCCCAAGCAGCAGGCGGTGCATACCCGTACGAATTCCCACAATCGACGCAGACACCCGAAGAACAACACGCCCCTGGGCCTGGGGGTCAGGAGATGCCGCTGTGGAACGCTAGCAACATCGTCTCGAATCAATTGCTGTTCGCATCACCACCACCACCACCACCACCACAGGACTTCGATCCCAGCTTTGGCATCAATGGCGACCGGGAGGTTTATTAAGAGTCCTTGATGGTCAATAGGCTGCTTCCGTTTGACGTACGACGTCCAGCCCAGCCCGACATTGTGGCAAACCACCGCATTACCTACCAAGGGCTGTGAGGGGCTTTTTTTTTTGCCTTGTACAACACAATACAAGAGTTCGATACACGTCCAAAGTGAGGAGAGGACTGCGGTATTGAGCTGCCCTGCTATTATCTGAACGGAGTCAGTCTTTCCGAGCGAAGGAAATTGCTCAGGACCCCGGACAACGTTGACACATTGCTGACGATGACCCAGCTGAAGGACCTACAGCTCTCTATATATCCTGGAAGAGGTGATGACGTGCCGCCGTGGATACATCTGTGTTGTTCTTCTCTGCTGGATTTCTTCCCGCACCCGCGGTGCTGGCGTTGTCAGACGTGGATTACTATGGCGGATCTGGATGCCGCCAACTCCGACGACTCGCGGTTTTTTTGGAGCCAGGTGTCTGTATTTGATTTCTGGTTTTTGCAGTTAAGGTACGTTGACGCTGCTTGTATTCGGGTTTCTTCGTCATTTTGTATGGGTGTTCAGGTGGTGGTTTTGGGTGCAGGGATTTCTGTGTATTTGCGTATGTACTTGTCAATACCCCTTTTCTTTCACGATCCCGGCGGATCCTCGAAATTATATGTCAGGGAACATTCAAGTATTGGTCTCCAATCTCGAGGAACTTACCTACGGTAGGTATACTGTACAGAACATGGATTACGTACGGTAAAGCGGCCATATACAGGTTGTGGCAGCGTAACAATCATCTCCAAATCAGTAATTACATGACCTTGCCTCCTTCATAACATCATGCTAGCGTCGTGAAGTGGTAGTCGCCCATGTGCTGCAGTCTTGCATGCACCGAAGGCAGTCACCATATCTCCGGAAGTTAGAGCATATGCCCGAGTATCGTAACATCGAGGTAAAAGAAACGAGAAGGAAACACGGAAAGTAAAAAGAGAGAAAGACAAGTCAATGGCTACGACAAACGCTAGCCCCGTGGTTTCTTTGACGTCTGCAGCAAACTACCCCCCTCCTCCCCTCCAGCACGCCTCATCCCGTTGTTGGGTTCTGGTCACCCTCCGAGTCCCGTGCCACACCGTTACCTCCATCCCTGCGACAGATTTCCAAGTTAGCGTTACACTTGCATGCGGGTAATAAACTGTATAAGGGTTTTGTACGACAACACGGTGGCACCTACCACTGAAATGATGCATCAGTGTCCGTCAGCCACTCCCGGATCCCATCATGCTCATACCCATGCTCATGCTCATTGAACGAATGGTCGAATGCGAATGCGAATGCGAACGGCATATCATCATCCCCGTGGTTCTCCCCGTGCTGGGAAGGAACGTAATGCCCGAGAGGGACTTCCTGCGATTGCGAATACAAAGCAGCATTCCTCCTGATGTGCGCGTCGCCTATGATCAGCGACACGCCGAGGTTCCCGTGCGTCTCGGTCTCCAAGACGGGGAACTCCATCAGGGAGAAGTTCTCGTTACTATTAACACCCCCCACCAGCCGGAACCAGACGGCCGCGTATCGGATCATGGGTATTCGACCGCGAGGCGTGGCGTAGTATTGGACATGGTCTCCGGGGAAGAAGTGGATGGGGCATCTCAGGGTCTCGGCCACCCGCGCAGGGATGCACGAGAGGGTCCAGAGGGGACTGGTGAGGCAGCCGGGTAAGGTCACGAAGTTGCCGTCGCCGGTCAAGAACTCCACGTCGCCGACTGACTCGCCGGGACAGAGGGAGTTGAGGTCAATGGGTCGACACGGGCGGGGACGTGGACGTGGACGTCTGAGGGCCGGGCCCGGAGGTCGAGGCGGCGGTAGCCTTTCGGGTTGGGCCGGCGTAGAGACGGAGATGTTGAAAGAACCGGACCCGGAAGGGCGATGGCGGCTAGGGGCGTTGTTCATATTCTTGGTCTGGAAGAAGAGATTATTGGCGCGCGGCCACGGCGTCTTCCGGGTCTCATCTACTCACCTAGGGAGTGACAAAATTGTCATGGGCGCCCCCACGCAGGCGGTTTCGGACTTTGACGGGTGTCGACAAAGCTATTGTACCGAGTCTTTGGATGGCTTCGACGCCGTTCACACCCGCCGTTTTCGTCCGTGCCGAGGAGAACCACACGAGGCGAGGCTTCTTCACGAACAGTAACAAGGCTGTCCGCAACTAGAGCTTTGACGAACGGGCATGCTGGCGCCCGCGTCTCTTGTGGTTTTCGACCTCCGGCGGGAGGGTTGAGATTGGCCTGGGCGGTCGACACCAGACGTTGTGAGGCTGCGTACTAGTGAAAGCTGCAAGTGCACAAAGTACCTGGCGCGTAAAGGGGGGTGAATGGGGGGCAGGTGCTTGTCAAATAGTTGTTGCACACACTTGGGGGAGCTACTAATACTAGTCGCATACAGTTCGAGCCCCAGAAAGACACGGGAAAACTAGAGGCAGCCAACGCCTTGGGCTCATCTTGTGGCACGTCACAGACGAACATGTTCTTTCGGGGTCTTGGTCACCCGAAGAGTAAATAGGTACCTTACCAGTCGACATCGTCTTCTAGTTCGCGCACCGCGGCCGCTGACTCCCAGGGCGGACTACTACGGCGACATCGGCTGTGCTGGCCATTGAAAGGTGTTCATCCAATTCGGATTGAGGCGTCCTGTGGCTGGACGATGGCTGCATATTGCTGCTGCAGACTGTGGGCGGGGGAAGAAGCGTCGTGATCATAACTCTTGTATTACCGACTCCATGCAGGTCGCCTCCCAATGATGGGGGATGGGCCGTCTCTCCTAGTGGTTGACTGATGCGCTAGCTCATCATGTGTGAAGATGTACAATTACCCAATAGAGCCAGCTGAATACCCATTGGGGCGGTACAAACCCAGCCGCGTCCCATTTTTGTAGCCGGGCTGAGGTCATATGCAGAACTGATGCCGACAGCACCACCAGGTTTCCACAGCATATGCCGCCGAAGATAACGAGGCGAGGCTCTTAGAATGGAGGTCAAGTCCAAGTGTACCACGTAACTGTGGCCACAAGTATAAGAACCTCCCGGTGTCTTTTAATGAATCTCCCGTTGTCCCTCCCCTATCTCCCATGCCTCTATTTGCAAGCCCTTCCTTTTCTCGCTTTCAACCAATGCACCACTAGTTTGATGGTGTATCACGGCTTCCCACAGTCGTGCTGGTATGTGTTTTAGGATGCTTCTGTCACACTGAAGGCATCAAGCATGCCGGTACAGTCAATCCCTAAACCGCTTTGGGGGGAGAACCCTTGCTGACCATCAAGCAGTCTGCAATCTCCATCCAGGCAGTATCAGTTTACGGAGAGACCGGCGTGCTGGCGGAGCCGTTGGGGTATTTCGTGGAAGCCCAGGGTCACGAGCCCGGCGGCTCTCATGTCATCTCCGCCCAGCTCGTGGCCTCTTTGAGCGGTTACGAGCTGCGGGTCATCCAGAAATGGGCAAAGACCGGGGAACACTTCATCAGGCTCGATTGGACCTTTCCAGGCCACACCTACCCCAAGTTCACGACCCGGCATACCCTCGACTCAGGGGAAGCCTCAGGAGATGTGAGCTTCAGCGGCGGCCTCGATTGGGCACAGCGGATGCTGAACGTCACTCAGGCACTGCAGCTTCCCCGCCATGCAGCAAGCTTTCACGCCGCCGAAGGAGGCCAACATCCGCCTATGCCCAGCTCGGTGTTCACAGGGGATAGTCCAAAACTCCCTTTCCAGACTTTGCACCCGCCTCACCCCTATTGGAACACGAGTGCTACATTTCTGAACACCCTGATCCATAAGGCTCCCAAAGACGCGGACGATGAAGCATCCGTCTATTCGGAGCCCACTTCGGCGAGGACTATCTCGGATACAGACGCCAGCTGTCCTTCCTCGGATCTAGCTTCCACAAGACAGCCTTCCCCCTCTTCTGAGAGTCTCCCGCTCCCACTCCAAGAGTGGACAGAGGACGACCTAGTTCAACATCAGCTGCGGATCGACATGCTCCATAGGCAGAGGAGGGACGCCGAGGCCATGTACGCCCACAACGGTGATACCAGCGGCTTGGTCGCTGTGATGGCTTCGGCGTCTCAATCCATGGCCAACTGGGATTCTTCTGGGATGCCGAGGTTCTAGTTTTCTGTCATCTACGTCTCAGTGTGTAAAATTTGGGGAATTTCGTGGCCGATGACTTGATACACGGTGGGACAGTTTCTGGAAGCATGTCCCCTAGTCTGTCTACAGGGCAGTACGTTGACCTACGTTTTCATATCCGTCCGACGGGGCTTGGAATTTTATAGGGACGGTCTTACGGATGACTGAGATATAGTATGGTCGTCTTGATGGTCTAAAGCCGAATGAAATCAAGTACATAGGCAAGATATATAGTTAGCACAGGTACATTATACGAGCAGTTCAACATCCATGTCTTGAAAGGCAGCATATACCCGCATGATCAAGATGAAACTGGGATAGAAGTCGTACAATACATGTATGTACAGTAGTACAACACATACATAACGTACCCTGAACGGTCTGCGCTCCCATGCGCACCTCGACTGCGAGTGAGATAGGATCCCCGGTACTCACAGGAGCTTTCGACGAAGTTAACCTCAAGATGCTCAACCTAAGCTTCAGTCCCAGAGTCTAGCAGCTGCCCTTTACCCAGTCCTTCCCTCTACGCCGCGGCTTCCATTTTGTGCTTCACATCTTCTTAACCATAAGTACAGGCGAAAACCACAAAAGAGAATGTGTCAAGGACCGTAAGAGACACATGCAGAGCGGAATACACGGGTATTATTTGATCTCAATCGTCGATGGTGTCGAAGGGGGATCCGAAATCCCGAACCTCCTGCTGGCCCCTTGTCTCCATCGAGCTCCTCAGCAAGTCCACAACATGGCAAGGACACTTAAAAGTTGCCCAGGGAAGAAACCAACGGACAGAACCGGCATTCGCCAACTGTGTATAGCCTCTGATTGCGACATTCCCATTCACACACCTTATACCTTAAGTACTAGTAACCTAGGTCGTCGTGGTCTAGGCGGAGCGGTCGCCAAGCCTTCCCGAACAGGAAGTTTGTTTCGGGCTGAGCCAATCAGCGATCAACTACAATCTCGGGTCCTTGTGACTCGAGCGCTCATCGGTCACCAGGGTCACACTTGACCAACAAAGGGCCCTGCCAGCAGGTAATGAGTGAGGTACTACTAGTAGTGAGCTACGTATGTCTAGGAAAATACCTAGGCAAGTTCCATGGATGCCAAGCTGGTCGTCATCGGAGAGCGCCGGCCGGAGGCGGAGCAACTTACCGAGCCGGAAAGGCGTGGGTGCACGTCGGCTTCTGCAGTCCGTCGGAATTGTACAGTTTCAATTCCGTCCCGGCAAGGTCATCGAGAGGTACTTGCCGAAATGTGGGCTATGAAGTTAGTTGACGATGAAGATGCCCTTTCCGGCAGCCCGGCTTTTGTTATCTCTCAATTACTGATAACGGTGCCCCCTTTCTCGGAGCCAGTATTGGAGGCGGACGTTCACCTCTATAAGAGTCGGTCTTCTTAGCCCTTTCGACGGCCCGGTTTATGCCACCTCCAACTATCACCACCTCATCATGTCCTTACCCAGCAAACTCACCATCCTTATAACCGGCTGCTCCACCGGCGGAATGGGCGCCGCCCTGGCCAGCGCCTTCCACAGCGCGGGCCATCACGTCTATGCGACGGCACGAAACCCGTCCAAGCTGGCGCCCCTTGCGGAAAAAGGAATCCAAACGCTGACCTTGGACGTGACCTCTGCGTCCTCCATCGCAGCCGCCGTGGCATCCGTCACCGCCTCGCTACCAGCAGGCAAAGCGGGCCTGGACATGCTCGTCAACAACGCCGCGGCCCACTACATGATGCCGACAGTAGACGCCTCGCTCGACGCCGCCCGAGCCCTATTCGACACGAACGTCTGGGGCCAGCTAACCGTCACGCAAGCCTTCCTCCCTTTACTGCTGCGCTCTTCCTCCCAAAACAATAACAAAAACAAAAACAACAGCAACAATAACAACTTCCAGCCCATGATCGTCAACCACACCTCAGTCGGCTCCGTCACGACACTGCCGTTCCACGGGGTCTACAACGCGTCCAAGGCGGCGCTGGCCATGCTGTCCAGCACGCTGCGCATGGAGCTCGCGCCCTTCGGCCTCCGCGTCGTCGACCTCAAGTCGGCCGGCGTGCGGACCAACATCATCGGCAATAGCAACGTGCACGACCCGGCCCGGGCCGATCGCCGCCTGCCGGCCGGGTCCATCTATGCGCCGGCGCGCGAGGCGGTGGAGAGGGCCATGGCGCAGGAGGGGTTCCGCGGGAAAGGGATGGCGCCGGAGAGGTGGGCGGAGGAGGTCGTGGGCTTGTTGTTGTTGTCGTCGGGGAAGGGGAGGAGGGGTCCGTCGCCGCCGAAGGTGATTTGGAAGGGGGAGGGTGCGATGCTGGCGAGGGTAGCTGCTGCGGTGCCGTGGTGTGGCGGGTTGTTTGAGGGGACCGTGAAGAAGGTTACCGGATTGGATGTCGTTGAGGCGATTCTTGATGATAAGCGGCGCAGAGCCGATGGGCACGTATGATTGAGCAGGAGCTGGCGGTACCTACCTTACCTTATGCTTGCAAGGTGGAAAATGGGGGGGAGCTCCACGAACCGCTTGGGCTCTCGACCTAGCCCCTAGGCACCAGTCAAGATACCTACAGTCATCTTCAACATTACCATTTCCCGCGCTTGAATTACCTATATGGGAGAACTAACGGGAACGCACAGCCGTTCGCACGAGATCTGTGATCATTTACCCGTTGAATGGCGTCAATACGAACCACGCTCATACCATATAACACGGTAACAATTTCTCCGTCCGCAAAACGGTTCATTCCTGCACTAAGCTCCGCCCCATAGACTGGCATTTATTTCCTCCTTTCACCTCGCCTCGGCAAACCTAGTCCACAACGGCTCGCTCAACAACCTCTCCAGACTGCCTTCCTCCACGCCCACCAACACCTCCAGGCCCCCGTCCGGCAGCGCCGGCAGGACAACTTGCAGCCCATTGATGATGCCCTCGCTGGGCGCCCGCACCGCCTGCATCTTCCCCCCGAGCACACCGCCCCAGTCCACCACCAAGAGGTCAAACTTCGCCCACGTGGTCTGCACGCAGTGGTTGCCAGGCACATCCAGAAACGCCGTCGGCACCAAGCGGTCCACATCGTCCAGCCGATCCGCCAGCGCGGCCACGTCGTCGGTGAACTGGCCGTCCGCCCGCCGCACTGCCTGGCGGATGCGGACCGCCAGGTCGGCCAGGCTGAGGGACGACGAGAGCATGTCGCGCACGGGCGCTGAGGCAGCGGCCCACCCCAGGAAGCAGCCCAGCGTGTGCGGGTGCACAGGCGGGTCGGCGGTGCGCAGGCGGCCGTCGAGCGCGACGATGAGCACCGACACCGGGTTGTCGTCGTCGTCGGCGGGGGCGGGGGCGCGGGCGGGGTGCGGTTGCTGCACGGCCATGACGGTGCGCCAGAGCAGCGCCGTGAGCGCGTCGTTGGTCGAGATCCATGTCGTCTCGCTGTCGTCGGTCGGGCGGGTCGCCTTGGCCGGGGACGCCTCGGCCTTGAGCGCGGCGAGGGCGGCGGGCGAGAAGTAGAAGATGTGCCCGCGGTGCGACGGCGACGTCATCTTGCGCGGCGGGCCCTGCGGCGTGAAGGGCAGCAGCGTGTATTCCGGGTGGTCTTCGGCCCGGCCCGGGTTGCGGCCCGACGCGCGCATCACCCCCGGACGCTCGCGGTCGGCCAGCATGGCGGGGTCGATGTGCACGGGGTCGAGAATCGCCAGGCCCTGGGCCCGGCGGCACCCTTCGGCCCAGAGTTTGGTCCAGGTCAGGAATGTGTTGCCGTCGCCGAAAACGTGGAAGAGGCACCACGTCAGGATCAGTCCGCCCGGGATGAAGTTTGCTTGCACGAGAGAGATGGGCAGGCGTTCGCCCCGCCGCGGCCACGCGTAGCGGCGGAAGAGAATGTCGCCGTCGAACGCGGACAAGGGGAAATGCTTCGCCTTGAGGTCGGCGTACGTCATGGGGAACGTGCCGGGAGAGCGCAGATCCTTGACAGCGATGCCTTTGATCTCGTCTCCGTCTGCTATCGGCTGCGCCCTCAGTACTCCGGCCTGCTTCGGCGCGCTGTCCGGCACTGCCTCGCAGCCAACGATGGGCAAGGTCTTGGTGAGGGCATCGTAACCGCTCTTGAGGATGTCGGCGACCCTGTTGAGGTCGTAGCCCTCTCCGAGCTCAAAGGGGAACACGTAGCGCACGTACACCTTGGGCCCGATCCGCTCCAAAGCCGTCAAGGGCGGGATGGCCATGTCTGTAGAGGCTTGCAACAGGCCCATTGGCATTTGCGGGGTGGAGAGAGAGAGGACTGGGAGGTCGGGAAGGTCTGGTATGGCTCGGAAACATATAACTAGGTATCACCCGAGGGCACGACAGCGCTCGATATGAACAGCCTATAAGAAGACGAACAGGACATGCCGTTCGCCATACCACCCACAAATGGGAAATGTCCCGACGAGGTGCAGTTTCACATCTGGTTACACGCATAGTGGCTGGACATAAAGACCTTACAGGTGTAAGGAGTCGTTCCATACACGGTACAGCATGTAAGCACCCGGCAGGGCTGCAGGACGTTCGTGTAACATCAACTTGCACCTGGGTTTCAATCTTCTACCATCGCCAGAGAATACCGGGTCTTAAAATCTCACTGGATCTTGGATAACACGCAACCAAGCATACATCGCCGTTGACACGGAGTCAGTTTCCCGTGTGCCAAGAACCTTGGGATTTTGTGTCTTGATGCGGGCCGTGAGCAACCCGTTGGGTTTGCAATTACTCTAGATTTCCTGTTCAAGCTAATGTATTGTTTCTGCTTCCTCGATATCGGAGATCAGTACTCTGTAGATATAGTATAGATGCTATCCTTTCCTTCCACATGCTCTCCATCCTGGTTGACCTCTTTTCATCCTCCCAGGAGGACTGACGGCTCGACTATCTGCGCCAATGTGAGCATAGGAATCCGTTGTTCACAATATATTGGGGCTGCTGCCCACCGGCATCGCTTGAAGAAGAATACAGTCCTCAAAGTGACGCCGCCGCCATTGCTACGGTGGATGTCTTGGTGGCCATTCAGGGGTAATAAACAGTCGAGAAAGTGGAGCCAGGGCTTGCGGTTGTCAGAAGCGACGACAATCCCTTCCTACTCCACTGTAAGATCTCTCCACGTGCTCTCTCAACCGCTCTAAGGTCAGACCTGCGTTTAGCCACATCCGACAGTGTGAGGTGTAGTCACCAGCTGCCGTCAACAACTCAGCCGAGGGCCGTAATCGTCAAGCACTATCGATGTTCGCTTAGAGAAAACCGTGATGCCAACTGGGTCTGGTATTAGTGAGCTACAACCACGGGAACGGAACCGTACCATATCGCCGTCGTCAGCCCAAAGCTATGGCACGCTAATGGTTCTATATGGCGGATGCCGAATGTGAAGATGCAAGTCACCCTTTGGTAGGAAGCAAGTCCATCCTACGCCGGGATCGAATCCTAACCGAAGAGGTCTGATAGCCGACGGACGAGACAAACATCTGCGCTGACGGGCTGATTTAATAGCATTGACAATAACGCATAGCCTCCGTTCCGGTATCTGAATAGAGGCAGAAGGACCTCGGCTCCACGAACAGCAAACGCGGGTTGTGAACTTGTAACTGGAGTTCCAGATGTCAAGAAATCAGCGGCGTCATGTAGACCACCCTAGCATGTGTCAATAACCCGCGACGAGCTGAAATGATAAAGGAACCCCCTCGCCCAACGCCAAGCAGGGAGCCCAAGAATATACTCCGTAGTCGAATGCAAAACCACCACTGAAGCTAGAGCCCTCATCTTCCTCCAGGTCATTCTCAGCTTCACAAGAAAGAAAATCGTCGTAAAGCACGCCTTCTATGCGCGGCCACTTGCCCTCCCTCTCCTACCGGCACCCGCCCCGCGTCTCAGCCGAGATCATTATAGGATCGGCCCCATCACTCCTTCATTTTGACGTAGTTGCTCGGGAATATTCCGTGCCTTGTCCCAATCATACCAGTCCTGTAACAACAGTAAGTCAACCCACAACTCTTCTTCCCGGCTCCTAACTTTTGAGAAGATAAACGTACCACCAGTCGTTGTCGCTGTCCGTCTTCTTCAGCACCGTGATGATATCCCCCTTCTTGAAACTTAGATCGCCCGGCTGGTCAGCTTCGAAGGTATAGAGTGCAATCGCCTCGTTCTTCTTCATGAGCGCCTCCTTGCTTGCATAGTTCGGCTTCGGCGCCGCCGGTCGTCCCGGCCCGACCTTCTTCGCCGCCCCGTTCCCAGCCGCTCCTGACCCGCCAAAACCGTCACTGAAGGTATTGGACCTTGAACCCTGCCCAAACGACCTTGGCTGATCGTAGACATCATCCTGCCAGGTTGACGACCTCTTTGGCCGGTCAAACTCGTCGTGCGCCTGGCCCCCGCTACCGTGCCCGTTGTCTCGCGGCTGTCCCTCCCTGTACCCGGATCCTGCCGAGTTGCCCCAGACAACGTCGTCGCGGTGATCGTCATAGACCGGTACGTCATTGTACATCCGATCATCCATCGTTCCCGGCGACACTCCGCTAAAGACGCGCGAGTTGAGGACGTTCAGGAGCGGCGCGGCCTGCGGCGGCGGCCGCTCGCTGCCCGAGAGTAGCTCGCGCGCCGAGATGGGGCGCCCGTACAGCTTGGTGTTGGCATCCTTGCGCTCGATGATCATCGACCCTTCGAGCGACACGCCGGCAAACAGGCCCTTGGTCTTGGAGTAGCTGAAAATACCCGCCACACTCCTCAGCGACGCGGCGCCCGCTGCCTCGGCATTCCGGCCAACGGGACCCGCCGCAATCGACACGTTGCCACCCAGGGTCAGAGAGCCGGCTTGCGAGAAGGTCTTGACGGCGCTCGCATCGTTGAGGATGAAGACGAAGTCGGTCAACTCGAACCCGATCTGCCCGCCGAAGCCGGCGCCGCCGGTCGCAATCGCCGTGGGCGCGCTCCACGAGCCATCGGGAAGCCGGGCAACGACCAGGCCGCTGCCGAACCGCGCGGAGCCCAGGAATCCGGCTTTTATTACTGTGAGAATCGCGAGACCCTTGTTGTGGACACATGGATTTAGTCTCTGGGGAAGCAGCACGAGCGCGAGCGGGGTGTGGGTTGCTTACCTTCGCGCCCGCGAGTACCGACGGTGGGATGACTTTGTCCGGGCCGAACGCTTGTCTTGGGTCAATAAATGATGTCAAGATCTTGCCGCACTTTTTGCATTCCGCTGTTCACCAAGGTGTCAGTAACCCGGATCCGTGAAACAAGAATCTGCTGTTTCTCCAGCGCTGAGCGATCGAAACGAACTTACATGCCAAAGACGACGGAAGGGGGTTGTTGATGCCCATGGCTGCTGAGTTTGTGCGGTCAGTTGACAGTGACCGAAGGAGCCAGAAGAGGTAGATTCAAAGTGGTGCCTGATAGTTCTCTAGCAATGGCGAGGTGGTAACGTCCAACGGTCGCAAAGTAGCCGAAGGAGCCGTGGAAGAGTGTGGGGATGGCCTTCCAGGTCGTAGGTTACCGTCCACTGTTCAAACGTTGGTTCAGTGGAACCAAACCGACAAGAATCACGGATCGCCGGCAGAAACCTCGTTTACCTTCAGAAATCGGCAAAGGTGTGATTGTTGAAGAAATTATGGAATGGCGCCGCGCGTCATGGCGGCTGTGAGAGCCGAACGAGCGGGATGAGCGGAATGTTCCCCGCAGCAAGTCACAAGCCAAGGATGCCACAGTTCTTCTTCATGCTTTGCGCGACAAGCAGACTAGTATTCCGGTAAAAAACGCGGTGATTTACGAGTAGAAACTCCCTGGTGTTTAGCATTCAGTTGGCTACAGTTGTTCATTTTCAATGATGGCTTCAAGGCACGGGAAGAACACCTTTCTGTCCTGATGAACTGAACTCCGTTTCGCAACCTCGAACCCCTGCAGCAGGTTGACATCATCGCCCGCCACACTGTGGCTGGAGTTGTCTTCAATGCCAAGTCGGCTGGGTTCTGGATCGTCCGCGGCGGAAGACACCTTTCATGCCTCCTGGTTCACTCGAAGTTGCAGGTTGCCGGACATCTCGAACGAAGAATCTTATCCGAATTCTCCACCATAGGGTCAACCTCGCTGTTGCTTCCCTTAAACTTGCAATAGGCTCAGGAGATCGGACGACCAGAGCCTTCCGGTACCGCCCACACTTACTTCACCTGAAACACCGCTCGTTGTCCCGAGCCTCACGCGCCCTGACGACCCGACAACAATTTCAACGTGGCGGGAACGACAACCTCCTTACTCCATCTACCTTACACAGATAGGAAAACGAACGCAAGCAGCTGAAACCAACTCTTCCTATTCCCATCCGCAACCAGACTCCACGAATACAATCTCGTACGCGACGCAAGGAACCACAGCCCACCCGGCCGGGGCCACCTAATCGCCGGCCCAGTCACCGCATCACCTCGCCAACAAACCAAGAAAGGCCCCTCACAAAGCAGGTACAAAGTCAAGCAAAAAAAACAAAAAAGAAAAATGTCAGAAGCATACGAACGCGAGCGGCAGAACAACGCCCGCCTAGACGAGCTCTCCGCCAAGGTGTCGGCCCTGCGCGGGGTGACCATCGACATCTACGACTCGGCGCGCTCACACGAGGTGATTGAGTCAACGGTAAGTCATTCCTACTTTCCCCGTCCGAAATATGGAAGAGAGAGGGCGGGGGGGAAAGGCTGACGGGGGGACTGCTCTCTAGAGTGAGACCTTCTCTTCCATGGGGACCCAGCTCAAGGGGTCAGCGAGCCGGTTGGGGCGGATGGCGGCGTCGGGGAACAAGGTGGCTATTTTCAAGCTGTCCGGAATCATTATTGGGGCAGTGCTGGTGTTGTATTATATCTGGAGGTTGTTCTTCTAGGCCGGTTGCTATGAAGATCGGTGTGCGCTGCGCGGTTGGGTCGCTTGAGCAGGGGAGGAGGATAATGCTGTCAGGGCATAGCCGCGTCAAGGGCGCGGTATTTGGATGAGGCACGGGGCAGGGCGGCGTATCATTTTGTCGGGGCGTGGGCCGGGGTTATTTGGGCTTGAAGGATGGCCACCATACCGATTTTCGGACTGGTTATCTGGCATGGGCATAGCACGGCGTTGGGTGTTCTTTGGAAGGATTCCGCACTGGTCGAGCAACACATAAAACACAACACAGGATACGCCGGTTGAGGCCCGGTGGGATAATAAGTGAGTTTATTATATCTGTCAAGTCTTGTGTACCAGTACGAGACCACGATCGACCGCCCTCCCTTTCTAGTACCGCTGGCTATATGATTCCCTGCAAATCCATGCTAGGACTTCGCCATATCGCTTTGCATGCTTCCTCCAGGTAAATTGATGGTGCAAGCTCGCTCTTCACTGCCAGACATTCGAGAATAGATCTTCACTCGCTCCAAAGCCGGCTGCAGGCTTTGGAGGGCCGCTGGTATCTGCCGTTGTCGTGCTGCTTGTCCACCCGCCAAATTCCTCGTCGGCCGCTACCTTGGGCACAAACCCTCCTGATGCCCCAGGGACAATGGGCTTGCTGGCAAGTGCCGCCCAGTCATTTGTTGCTGCGGGTGTAGTTGGCTTAACTGGTTCCGGGGCGGCCTTGGGCGGTTCGGGAACGGCCCACGCGTTACCACCCCATACATTGGAGTCTGATAGGCCGATCGGATCTAGGCTTGTTGTGGTCGATGCTGCAGGAGCGGGCTTCGGCTGGCTCGCAGAGATATTAAAGACAGAGCTGCTGGTTGTTGTTGTGGTTGGAGCCAACACAGGCTGAGGAGTAGGAGCTGGCGACGAGGAAGATGCGGAGAAATCAAACAGATCGCCGAGGGCTGAAGAAGCCGACGTTGCGGCCGGCTTGGGCGTTGACCCCGGGGAGGTAACAGCGCCCCAACCAGACGAGCTTCCAGTGGACTGCTTTGCTTCATGAGTGGAGGCTGCGGGCTTGGAGTTGAAAAAGCTGCCACCGCTTAGAGCTGAGAAGGCAGAGCCAGACGACTGAGGCGCAGTCTTGGGAGAGGCTAAAGAGCCGAGATTAGAGAAGGCATCAACCTGAACCGGTTTGGAAGATGGGGAACTGGCAAAGCTCAGACTACTGAAGGCATCATTGAGTCCACCCATCGAGGACTGCGTTTGTGTCATGCCTGTCGGGGAGGGCATTCCGCTCAGCGACCCTGAGGGAGTATGAGAGACTTGCTGTGCGGGCGGTTGGGGCCTGGGGGCCGTCGCATAGAGTGAGAGAATGGACTGCTTGAGATCTGGACGCGACTGGCCTCGGCTGCTCGACGTCCCGGTTGTGCTCGCCGGCCGTGGCGGCGCGGCAGGTTGGGTACCTAGAAAATCTAGCCCTAGAAGCGAGTCTTTCGTGCTCGTCGCCTTGGGCGGAGCAGGGTCGGACTTCGGAGGAACCTGCATCGCCGCGGGACCGGCACTACTAGCTCTCGGTGGTGCCGGGGCTGGGGCGGGCACTGGATCCGCCCCGATAAGATCGGCCTGCGGGGCGGCTGCCTGGCCAACGGATGCCTTGCGCAGAGACTCTCTCCGCTCAATGTTCTGTTTCTCCTTTACAACGCTCAGCGGCACATCGTCATCGCCGTCTGCATCGAGCGTCGCCGGGTCCGGCATCGGCCCGTCCATTACCCATCTCTTCAGCTCGTACTTGGTGCGGATAAAGTTCTCAATCTTGGCCTCGGACGGGACATGGCCAGGAGCCAGCTTCGCCTCCCAGTACTTATTGGCTCGCGCATTTCCCCAGTTCAAGATGCTCTGTAGTTGCTCGTCGGTCCAGGCATCCAAGTCGACGGATTTAACTCGGCTGATATGGGTGCCCATCCCACGGTGGATGCCCGAACAACGGATGCAGATGAAGACGCCGAGGTTCCAACTTGCCCATCTTGGGTCTGGATCGCGCCGTCATCAATGCCAGTTCGGCGCAGCAGCTTGAGGGAGAAACACTCACGTTTATTGCGCTTGCAGTCGGCGCATACCTTGTTCGGCTCTAATTTCAGGAGGTTCTTGATGGTCTGTTGATTCTGCGCTGCCCGCTCGGCAGCGGGGTTGGGTGGCCGTCGAGACATCGGGAAGTTGTTGAATGGTTAGCCGTGGTGAAGGTCGTGAGTGTGAGGTCAGCACGAGACACAAAACCACAATAGGTAGTAGTTAAGACAGGCCCCTTTTTGAGTTAGCGGTTTGGAAACAGAAGTTGGGTTCACCGATAAGCCACGGTGCGGGTCTACCCAAGTTGCTTGAATTGAAATAAAGGAGTGAGGGGCGGCAATAAGCAACCCCGGTAGTTGCATCTCTATGCAGTACTCCGTGCCCACCTACCCTGTGTCTCCCGAAGGTAGGTACAGGTTACTGTACTTCCGTACATTGGCCCGTCCTAACCCCTTCCAGCAGAAATGGTGAACAACAGGCCATGAAAGAGCAGCAACCTCTTTGTATCAAGCAGCGCGTCTTGATAATCTCCAGGGAGCAAGTCGAGCATATGGAATTCGAGGCTGTCGATTACCTCTGACGTCACTCGGGTCAGTAGGTAAGTTGCCGAACTAATATTGCATTGAGGTCGAGGAAGTTGGAAGTGTTGATTCCAAATGTCAATCGCCTCAGCCTCGGCTAGGGTTCAGTAGTCTCTGTCGCAATTGCTTTAAACTTGTTGTATTCTGTTGGCCTCCGGCCGTATATAGACTTGCGGTCTCTCCTTGATGCCCTCACGACTCTTCAACATCCTGTTCACCCTCTCCAAGCTCACACGGCCTGGCGCCTTTCGGGCCCCGCTTCGAGCTCTCAACAACACCACCACCCTCAGGTCGATGCCCTCAATCCCCTTCCTCGGCGCTTTATTCGGAACTTCAGCTTCAGCATCGAGCGCGAAGAAGCCCGCCATGGCACAGCAATATCCCGACCAGCGCAGTGATGACGAGTGGCGTGCCGTTCTCAGCCCAGGTAACGCTTATCTAACATTCCGTATCTACTCCTTTCCAGATACGAACAATAGACTAATGGCGCTCCAGAACAATTTCGCATCCTGCGTGAGAAAGGCACTGAACCTCCGGGCTCCGGGAAATACGACAAGCACTACCCGGATTCTGGCGTGTACACGTGCGCTGGGTGCAACGCGCCACTTTACAAGGCACGGCATAAGTTCAGCTCGGGCTGCGGCTGGCCGGCCTACTTCGACAGCATCCCGGGTGCCGTGGTGCGGCACGAGGATAGGACGTTCGGGATGCTCCGTACTGAGATTGTGTGTGCTAAGTGTGGTGGCCATCTAGGGCATGTTTTCAAGGGAGAGGGCTTCCCCACGCCGACGGATGAGAGGCATTGTGTGAATAGCGTCTCGTTGAATTTTACGCCGGAGGAGGCAGAAGACGGCACGAGTGGGGAGGATAAAGAGGAGAGTAAGGCCTAGGTGTGGGAGGGATGGATGGATTGATGAACTTCTAGTAGTGGCCAACCGAATGTGAAGTTGTCGTTTCGAGATCATACGCCGAAGGCAGTGAGATTACCAAGCTACGGAGCGATACAAAGAGAGCTCCGTTTCATCCATCTGTCGGAATAGACGCACAGAGGCATCAACTTCTGCTGGCTATGGCGTACCAGATACAAGCAAGTCTGAGCCCTCAGAGTACATACGGTCCAGATCGAATATCCCTCATCTGCTGCAAAGTGCCAGATACAGCTTCGTCCCACCTCCGCGTGAATTCGCTCTCAAACTTTGCCAGTGCCTTGGATAAATCCGTTAAACTCTCCGTGGATGCCGCCTTGACGCCTGACCTTTCCATGAACTCATCCCAAATCCTCCTCGCTTCACACAGCCCTTCAAGCTGGATCTCAGAGACCCGCAGCAGCCAGTCATCGTTTGGTATAAGTGGCAGATCAAACAATGTCTGACTTGACGCTGGAATAGAAGCATCGTCGACGGATCCTCCAGTCTTTGACGACGTTTCGGGCTGGGAGAACGCAACCCTGGCATTTTCAGAACAATGCTGGAAGTCCACACCATCAAAACCGGTAGACATGCTTGGCCTTGAAATATCGTCGATCGTCTGCAGGCGTCTCAGCGTCGATTGGTGTCTGACAGCCGCCGGTACACCTTCTAGAACGCCTGGTGCCCTGGTAAGAGGGTCCATAACCGGATCTGCTTGTCCAAGGTTGCGGTGGCTTTCAGCGTCCAGGGGCTTCATGACAGGTGACCCAGTTGGATGATTTGCTGACTTGCCGGCCCGTGGGTCTAGTGACAGCCCCCTACTCAAATGCTGGGCTCTCGATGAGAGCAAGACATCCGCCCTGTTGAGTGTCTTGTCAAAATGCCTCGAGACAGTGTATAGCCTAGGACCGTGAGGTTCCAGTACTGTTGAGGTCCGTCTCACTCTCGGCCGACTTGATGAGACAGACCCTATCTTGCTGACTTTGTAGATACCTTCTCCGAGAACCCCAGGCACGCCCAGGGCCGACGCTGGCCGTAGTGGCACGAACGCTGGTGACCAAGGCCGATGGCTTGCCTGCAAACCCGCGGGGTAACCTAGCGGTTGACTAGGAGTCCGTTGTACCTGAACTCCATGTAGATGGCTTTCCAAGTATGGCCAATGCAAACCTTGTGATGCGGACGCCGCAGTTAAAGGGGGGCTTGAACTGTACAGGTGCCGGGGGTTGCTGGATGGCCTGTAACCTGGTGACATGTTTGGGTTTGGTCCCGGTAACGATCCGGCGGGGAAGGACCCTGGGGCGGGATAACGATCTTCATCAGCCTGTTCATGGTCAATCTTGATGCCTAGGCTGCTGAGTTCACGCAAGAGAGTATCGAGCTCGAATGAGTTCTTCAACGTGACGCCAAGGGTGGAGGACCCGTCCTAGGAGGAACAGGGTGAGTAAAGCTCTAGTACTAAGGCGTCGAGCTGTAGTTTAGGGATTGCTTACATTTTCCGCTTCCTTGGTATAGCGGAAAAGAAGCGAGCACTCCGGGGAGAAGCAGGTGACAGTACAGCGTTGGACCGGGGTAGCGTCCGCTGAAGGCTCCTTGAAACTAGCCAGGTCCAGCTTCACCTGATGAAGAGAGCTTCAGCTTGTGTCTGATGCGCGAGATGGATCGTTCAACTGACCAGCTCATCCGCTTTGTCTTTCACATGCACCATCAGAAAATGGCGCCACAGTGGCATCCGCGGTCGAGAGCCGGTGTATGGCCTGCGCGGTGCAAGCTCAAGCTGCGGCTTGAGCACCAGCTGCGGTTCCCTGAACACATTCGGCCGGTCATCTATGCAAATGCTCTCTAGTTCAAACCGGAGAATTGTTCGCTTAGTGTTCGTCGTCCGTCGTGAGGCTGGCATCATCTCAGAGAGAGGGTTGTCCAGACTTTTGAAGCTACGGTACTAGGTGATTATAAAAACAGCCAAGCTACACACGCCATATTGCAATCTGGGGGATGTGAGCGTTCTGATCTTCTCATCCGGTTCCCACCTAACCGGAAGGAGCTACCAGCACGCACTTGCCTGATGCAGTACATTCAAGTACCGCCTGTACTAGTGAGTCTAGCGAGCACCAGCGAGTAGCCGAATTCTTTACCTCGCAGATCAGGGTTCAGGCAGTGTTGCATCAAAGTACTTCAGTCCCATTCTTTCGCTTGCGGATGATCGCCAGGTCTACACGCTTGGATTTTCGGCGTTGTTATGCAAGTTACTATGTACTGTTGCGAAACCAAGGGATAACGTTATGTAGCACTCCGTACGGAGTACAAGACATCCATCATACATGAAAACTGTATGGCCCGTGCACGGCGCTAGGCCGTAGACCCACGCAACATCGTTAACCATCATCTGCATCGCGGCCAAAAACTTCCGCGAAACACCAATCGCAGCCAACCCTTGCAGCCTCGCGTCGCATCGCGCATTCCCCCTGAACGTTGACGAGGATTCTGTCGGTGCAATTCTTCCTACAACGTGTCGAAATCTCATAACGTATATTGATTCCGAACATATCTCAGCCTGCTCGTCCTGAGCGCACTGGTTCTCTGCGCCTCGTTGAGCTGAGCTCAATGCGCCAAAATGGCCCCGACAAAACCGACCGTTGAGCACACGGTCGACCGCACACCCGAGTATGAGAAGTTCATCGAGGAATTGCGCACATTCCACGCGAAGCGCGGTACAAACTTCGACCCGGAACCTAAGATGGGAAACCTGACTGTCGACCTGCTCAAGCTCTTCAAATATATCGTCGACCACGGCGGTTATGACAAGGTTTCCGACGAGAAGCTGATGTGGCGGAAGATGTGTGAGGGCCTGGGCTTGATGCGGCACAATGCGCCAGCAGATGCATATACGCTGAAACAAATATTCTACAAGAATCTGGCAGCATACGAAATCAAGACGATACACAACAAGGAACCTCCACCGCCCGAGATTCTGGAATTCACTACCGCCAAGGGTGGTGGCCTCCTGACGCGGACACTGGAGTCGTTTCAGGCCAGAAACAAGGCTGACAGAGAAGGATCGACTGAAGATGGTACCCCAAGTAGGGAAAGGCGGGCGGAAGATACCCCAGCATCTGGCCGGGCTTCCCGTGGTCTGAGAGAGGCCCCAGCCCCAAGGGTCATCTTCCACCCGGATACCAATCCAGCGCGGCAGAGCCGACACGCTTCGGGCCAACATTCCGGGGCGTCCGGCTCAGCTACGCATTCTCAATCCCATTCTCATCTTCCGCACAACTCGCAGGCACATGGCAACACGCCGGTCTCAACACCTCAAGCCCATTCCCATCCCAGTCGCGGAGGCACATCTCATCAGTGGGCCCCCATGGGACCTGACCTGAATAGCCAGTTGGTGCTAGGCTACCAACCGCAGCAACCGCAACCGGTGCCGCTGCGTATTGTCGACACTCCGATCAGTAACCCGGAGTTGTTTGCAAGGAAACAGCGCCTCTTGCGGCAGCCAGCAGCCCCGATACCCAATCCGGGGGCGTTTGTGCGAGCTTCTGTTCCTCCAGGTAAGTCAGCATGTGAGCGGAGGTTGTGCACTCGACTGTCCCCTTGGTCATCCCTTCGCCAATCCATTTAACATATGAACAGGGACCCTCGACGGGCCGAATATTTACGAGCGGTGTCTTCTATCCCTCCGGTCGGGCATCAGAGCAGAACAGGCCTTCGGTTTGAATCACTTGGTCAAGATCTCTTATGAGCGCGGTGATAAGTACAAGTTCGCACAGTTCCCTGGCCTCGCAGAAGGGCTGACCGAGTTCGCTCTCGGGGTCGGGAACATGTTTTATGATGTCGAGTGGACTATTTCGAACGACCCGGATTTCGACGAAGGTGAGGTCGGCGAGCTCGATGGTATCAATGGCACCGCCGACATCCTCGAAAGGATCGCTCAACTCCAGCCCAAGGACGTACATGACAACTTTCAGCCCGCTGAGTTCACTGACCAGCTGACGTTGGTCACCGAAGCCGTTTTGACCATTCGAAATATGGTCATGTTACCTGACAACGCTTGGTACATCGCCGACTATCCGCCTGTCAAGGATCTGCTGTGCATCATACTCAACCTCCCGCCGCTGGATCTCGTGGTTGAGCTAAAACACTGTGCTCTCGACATCGCGGAGCAAATAACCCCATACTTGGTTCTCGACTCCGACGACTCGTTGTACCAAACCCTGCTGGCGCAGCTCCAATCATCGGACCGTGGGACCATTCTCACTGCTCTCCGAGCCATCGGCCGTATTGCCATGAACCATGCCACCGAGACGAACAGGCTGGGCGGCGTCTCGCCTGCTACCTTACAGTCTCTCATGGACTGGCTCCTGCTCAACGACGATGAGCTCCTGGACGCGTGTCTGGATTTCCTCTACCAGTACACAGCCGTCGTCTCCAACCTGGACGTTATGTTGGAGGGGACCAATGTCGAGCACCTTGTAGTGCACCTTGTCCGGCTACTCTCGCATGGAGCTAAGCGCACACACCGAGAGATTGTTGTGAGCGAGGCGCGTCTTGCCTACGAACCCCCCTCGGAGCAGGTCATCCCGATTCCCAACGACTTGCAGGAACGTCTCCTCGGCATGGAAGAGCCCGAGCGCTGCTATGCTTGGCTTCGCTGCTTCTTCGAGGAGGACGCCGAGGCCCAAATCACCCAGATCGCTATCTGGCAAGCGTACAACGCATCATTCCTCGAATCCCTGAAACGCCTGGGGCGCTCTATGATTAACGCTCCAGAGTTTATCAGGCACATAAGTACCGTCTGGAAAAACGCGGGGGCGCAAGTAATCCGGGAGGGGCCCAACGGAGAGGTCCAGAAGTTTATTATGCGCGGAATCCGCCCTAGGTCCCACCCGATAACTCCGGAAGGTCAAGCATACTTCCAGTGCCAGTGGCAGCGTGGCCCCGGACAACCTGTCAAGTGCGGGATCTGGAATCTCACCGCCGAGAAGATGTGGACACACATCCTAGCCAACCATCTAAACGTAACCGCAGGCGAGGATGGCAAGTATCCGAACCGCGAGGCCAACTTGATCTGTCTCTGGGATGGCTGCACAAAGTATACGAAACCAACCACCATGAAGCTCAACCAATTCATGACACATATGAAAACCCACCTGAAAGCCGAAGAGGCCCGCCACGCCGCCCTAGCCGCGGCCCAGCCCGGCGCTGACCACATCAACTCACAAGCACAACAGCCGTTCAGTGCTGGTGTCCCCGGTGCCTCCCCTTCCAAGCGCAACTCCAATGCGGGTGTCGCCTCCAAAGCGCGCGTCATCAAGCCCGCCAAGACGATCACCATCACCTACGAAGAAACGGCCAGCGCGCGCGACGAGCGCAATCCCAATGCCCCGCCGCAGGCGGCCGGTATCCCGCTATCTGCGGTGCTGATCCTGCGGAACATTGCCCGCAACGTGCCCAAGACCCAGGCTGAGGAAAAGCTGGTCAAGGAAGCTGCCCAGAAGCGGAGCGAACAAGGTGATAATGAGGACAACAGTACTGATGCCGACCGGGCTGAGAAAATTGAAGCTGAGGTTGGCGGGTGGAACGAGCGGCTGTTCCGGCCGGTGATGCCCCGGTTGTGGGAGGTGTTCACGGAGAACCGGCTACTGTCGCCGTATGTGACCAGTCTGTTTCAGTTGTTGGATTGGAAGGATGAGGCGGATGCGCTAGAGCGGCCAAAGCGTTATTAAGGCGGTGAAGAGCGGGGCGGTTACTACTAGGTTGGATGAGCGTCGATCAAGTGGTCGCGGACTTCAATCATCCTCGATGAACTAATCCCGGGGGTTCAGCCTGCATACTGGGGTTTAACAATGAAAACGGCTACTGCGTTGCCTAGAGAATGGGAAGTGGTTGGTTCAGGGAATGGCAACAAGACGGAAGACGGACGCGGCAAGCCAGAGGGAGCATGGCGACCGAATAACGGGTTTGTGGGTGTGGTTTGTGTATGTACAGTAATACCCTTCCTTTGCCTGGCTGGAGTTGATGGGATTGATGGGGGAAAGGGATGTAGTACTTTGCTGACAGCGGACGAGATACGTCAAGGCTTCTAAAAGGTGTGTAATTGTTGGTATATGGAGCGATACACCAGTTATGCAATGCCTCGCAATCCCTTGCAATCGTGTCTGTACTGACAGTAGCCCGCGAAGGGTCCATTGAGAGTTTGACATACGTCATGCCTGAGCCACGAGAGAGCCCCGAGCCCGAAGAGTTTCAGGGTTCACGATGCTTCGCTCCGCACGTCAGAAACGATGGAAGCCCCGGACCCGACGATCTCTTGCGGCCCCGCTGTGGACTGGCCCGCTTCGGCTCGAACATGTGGAAGCGGGACGAAACATCGTGAACACTCTTATATTACGGCAGCACTGACCTCGCATAGGGCTGCATGCTGTGGGCAGGCGGTATGCTGTGGTCCGAGCTTTATTGAGCGGCGTCAGGGATCTTAGTAGTTTGTGGCACGCTTGCTTCCGGGTGGCAACCTTCTTTTTTTTTGAAGCTATCGTGAAATCCGGGGAAAGCGGGAAGCAGGCTTCACGATTGGCGTTACCGGCAGTCCGGTTTGGTTCTGGCGGCTCGCTTGTTCGTGGCCTGTTCCTTGGCGCTTTTGCGGCATCTCTGAGAGTATCAGATGGCCTGCAACCTATGTATTTGTCTCAACAGTTGATTGTCCCGCCTGCTCTTTAGGCGAGTCGGGTGAAGGTGGAAGCACATCCAATACCACAGTACGGAATAGTCATGGCTGGCCAGTAAGGACCATCTGGCTAGGAAGCCGGGCCCCTACACTAATAAACGATCAAGATGGAGTGCACTTACCTCTCCTTTTTTTTTGTTTGATCTGCAACACAACACCGGACCGAGATTTTCTCTGGCCCACCTTCACAATGATAGGGGCTCGGGATGATGGATCGGTCAGCGTTGTGGAAAAGTTTGACAAGTGACATGGATGTGTTGGTGGCGAGCTCTACTGTAGCTGATGAGCGGAACACCGCTTGGAAAACCCAAAACGGAGGATGCTCCCAGTCGCTCGGTGACGTTAGGGGGAGCTGTACTGATGGGTCACCGTATTGACGACCTTTGGTGTTTCCACCAAAACCACAACATCTCCGGTTCTCTCTTTTGTGATGCAAAAAGTGTTTACAATAGGAAGTGATTGCCGGTTTCGACGCGTCACCTGTCTAAAGATACGAACCGACAGACATGGTATGCTCTAGGTAGATGTTGCGAGAGGGCAGAGCGGAGCGCATGCGCTGCGTCCATGAACTTTGGTTGGGCAGAACCTAGGTAGGACGGTTATCTATCCTCTGTGTACCGGTTTGTTGGACACTACACTACACGTGTAGAGTGTTTGCAAGCTGTGAGAACGACACCTGGCTCCGACGAACGGCGGTCGATCAGCGGGTCGAGATTCGAGCTTTTGATCCAGCTGCATGGTGATCCATGAGCCGTAGCATTGCAGGAGAGTGCTTGTTTCCGGGCGAGTCTCCGCGGCAGGTGCTTGCCACCCCGGTCCTTGCCTCACTGCCCCCCTGAACTCCATCCGAGTCAAGAGGTTCTGCAGCATGGAGCTCGGGATTCGGAACCCAAGCAGCCCAAGTGGCCACATGACCAACAATCTTTTCCTGATGAGTTTCTACACTACCTAGTGGAGTGTAGTGGCAAGGTGAGTCTCAGTGCACCAGCAGTTTGCCTCGTGTCGCTGGGATACAGGTTGCTCTTCACTACACATTTTCAGGGGCTTGTAGTATCTCAAGTACCTTACATCCATGAACAGTGCAGACTCGGTGAACACTAGAAAAGCTTTTCTCACCAGAACTGCCGAGGAAATTCTACAATTATCATGTAGTATATAACGTGGGGATTTGGAGGAGCTCGAGCCCAAGTGCTTTTTAGTGTTCAACACGAGAGCGAGCGGGTCGTGGGGGCTCCAGCCGTCTGCAGGAGACTCAAAGAGCTACCTAACCTCGCTAACCCACACACATCGCTCACCGCCCTGCCTAGCTCGCTGCTCTGCACCAACGACGAGTGTTTCTTCTTGGTCAGTGTATCGATGAAAACTTGGTGTTGAGGCGGGGACAGATGCGAAATGCGCATCTCTCTGCCCCCACGGTCTCCATTCATCGAATTCCTTCGCCAAGCTGTCGGACGCACCCACCCGCGCCAACTTAGCACCCCTGCACTGGCGGGCTCGGCGGGGTGACAGGGGCCCCCACCAGGCCTTGGCGCATCTCGGTGACTGCGGCTGGACTAGGAATCCCACGCTTCGATACCGGACGAGACAGACTGGAAGTCCAGTATGGAGAAAACACCGCAGTGCTGACTTTGGTAGTTGAAAGTGGAAAGGGACTTTACAAGCCTAAGGCGGAGATAAGTGTATGTATGTAAAAGTACTAGTACGTACTGGTAGGACCGGCGTCTCTCGGGCCTCCGCATACCCGTCTGAGCCCGCCGAGAAATCTCTGTCAGACATATGGAGGCTGGATGCAAGAAAGGAGCTGGCAGCCTTGTCCCCATCGCCCCCCACTTCCCCAGTCGAGTTAAGCAGCTAAGTGCCAGATTTTATAACGGCGAGGCGAGCTTACCCTACATGTACAAGCTTAGTGTATGTAGTAGTGTAGTGGATTTATTACTGAGGTGTCTCGAAAACTTGTGAAGCTCGGGCACACCGGCTAGTTTCCGCGGTTGCGTGCCCCAGAGAGGCGTCGCTGACTCCAGGATGCGACACGGGATGTGAAAAATGCCACTGGTCTTGTGACTTTGTTCTAATCTCTTGGTTCCACAGATGTACCTCACCGCTCACTCCTGCTACATCAGCATCCTCAGACTGAGCAGTTGATGATTGTCTGGGAGGGTGATCCATCGAGGGCTCTGAGTGTATAAATGACAGGCGATGAGTCCCATAGTAGACATCGGAAGTGAACCTCTAGACAAAGCTATTCCATTTCCTTCAAGCTGCCAACACAATTGACACATTCCAAACCCAGATTCCCCAGCTAGAGGTATGTGGACTCGTGCTTTTTCTATGTTCTAGCACCAGAGGGCTTGGTGTCTGGACTCGGGTTCAGTGCACCCCGGGACTGCGAAACCCAAGTCGACGACTTGACTGGGGTTGAAACGCTTTGGGAACAACAGAGAGCCATTCACCCAGGAATGGGATACCAGTCTGGGCATGCCGTTCCCCGCAAGGTCCGGTAGTTCTTGGGCTGTCCGCGGTCCTGTACTGGCGCCCGGGGTTGTGCTGTTGCTCTCGCTGGCACCTTTGTGCCGCGTTGGGTCTAGCCGAAGCATCCAGAACCCAAGCTGACCGTCACCCGTGCAGCAGTCCGTGGTTTTGTCACTTACAGTACCACTCAAGACTCGTCCTCTATCGGCATTTACGAACGCAGTGCGAGTGGGGAACAGGAGCAGGATTGCATTGCCGCCAAAAAAGGAGCGATCTCGACTCGTTTCGCCACTTCTAGACTCCGCTAGTCTTTCGCCTCATCTGATCTACGAGTGCCTGACCCTGACCGGCCCCTGACTTCGGATAGCCGCGCTTCGCCATCGGGTCGAAGAATCTGCTCTTTAAATATCCAGGGTCAAACAACCTGACGGTTTCCTGAGCTGTCAGGTTTCAATCAGAACTCACGCAGTTTTGTTGTCGCTATTGAGGAGCCCAGGTACCTTAGACGTACCTTGAACCCCGCAGTCCCGACTTACACGCCAGACACAAGCTCAACACTCTTTGCCCACCACAAGCAGAAGTGCTTGCGTGGACCTCTACTTGGCAGGCACGCCGATTTATCTCCCCGTGAACGAACCGCATCGACTTCAGGCACATTCAGCACATTCACTCAAATACCTTCGCTGGGTATTCGGTAACCTTGAGGTCCTTCAATCTCATCTCTTCAACCTTATTCCAATCCATCTCAAACTCTACTACAATGGCTGCTGTTGCTCGGACTGCCCGCTTGGCTTCGCGCCTTGCCACCACCCCTCTTCAGACCGTCGCCCGGCCGGCGGTCTTTGTGGGCGCCCAGCGTGCCGCCTTCTCTGTGTCGGCGAAGAGGACGAAGTCCGAGGTCATCAAGGAGACCGAGATCCCCGTCTCGGTGTACAACCCGGATGCCAAGGGTGTCGCCTCCTCTAGCTCGGTCGACCACTTCAAGATTCCAGTCCAGCCCGTCACTTCGGGCAAGCCCACCCCCGACGAGGACGCGGTCCAGCCGCTGCAGAACAACGTGTACGGCCAAATGCCCCGCACCCTCCAGAGGATGACTGTCAAGGACAAGGTCATCATTATCACTGGGTGAGTTTTACTGCACTTGAGTTCACCGCGCTCGTCCACGTGTACTAACCTGGGATTCCAGTGGCGCCCGTGGCCTTGGGAACCACATGGCTCGTGCCTGCGCCGAGGCCGGTGCAAAGGCTATCGCCATTTTCGACGCCAACCAGGACCTTGGCGACGAGGCGGCAGCTGAGCTGCACCAGAAGACGGGCCTCCCCGTCTCGTTCTTCAAGGTTGACGTTCGCGATGGCAACGCCATCAATGCCGCCGTGCAGAACGTGGTGGATCTCTACGGCACCCCCGACGTGCTGGTCAACTCGGCCGGTATTGCCGACTCCAACATCCCCGCCGAGACCTATGACCCGGCCATGTTCCGTCGCCTCATCGACATCAACCTCAACGGCTCTTTCCTCATGGCGCAGGCCGTCGGCAAGGCCATGATGGCCGCCGGAAAGCCCGGCTCCATCATTCTCGTCGCCTCCATGTCGGGTAGCATCGTGAACTACCCCCAGGAGCAGTCGTGCTACAACGCTTCCAAGGCCGGTGTTATCCAGCTCGGCAAGTCGCTCGCTGCCGAGTGGGCCAAGTACAACATCCGTGTCAACTGCATCTCCCCCGGCTACATGGACACCGCCCTGAACAAGGTCCCCGCGCTCGATGCGCAGAAGAAGATCTGGAAGTCGCGCACCCCTCAGGACCGCCTCGGCGCTGTTGACGACCTCAACGGCCTGTGCGTATTCCTTGCGTCTGATGCCTCTGGCTTCATGACCGGCTCGAACGTCATCATTGACGGTGGCTACACGCTCTACTAAGCGGGCATTTCCGGGACACATGGGATTCATTGGCTTGGCGGGATACCCCTATAGACGGCTTACTGGGTTTTTATGGTTTCAGACATGGTGTCTTTTCGGCAACAACGATCTCAACGAATGGATTGCAGAAGGGTAATCATGAGTGCAGGGCTTTCGAGCTTGGGTTTTGCAACGGCGGCTTTGGAGGGTCGGTTTTCATTTTTTCGCATCTCTAGTCGTTTCTCTAGCATGTTTGCCTGCTTTGGTCTTCAGGGTCGGCGCACAACAGATACTCCGGGAAAGGAGGGAAAGGATCCTCTTGGGTCGGGCATGGTTGGGCAAAAAAGCATAAAAACAGGCTATACTGTTTCTAATCTCACTGGTTGATCTTGACCTCTGCTTTTCGTATCCGCAGCGTTCCTGCACCGTGACATCCAAATGTCATTCTGATTCTCAGATGACTAGGAATAATATACTTGAGAGTAAAGGAGCCACAGCACGACTGGTGCGATCACAAAGTTGGTGTATCCGCATCAAGGGAGCGTCACCCGAAGACCCCTTTCCCGCCACCAACTCCAAGTCATCAGGATGACCCTAGGATAGTTGTCATTACCAACTTTCAAAAGTGACCAAATACTTGCCCCCATGATCTCATATCCTGCAAGCCTACAAGACCACCGAAAGATAATAGGGCGAGGATATGTAACCAGTCCGAGAAGTATCCAGCCACAGTTTGAAAGACGAAGCCGCGGGTGTAAATAAGTGGGACGTATGATGTATACCACCCTCAGGCTTTCCACATTACACAATCACTGACTCATTGATCATGTCATGATATCGTGATTGAAAATCACGCAAAATGCTCATTGTCACTCAGACAGGTTGAGAAGCCCACAATACCTTGCATAGACTCCTCCCAAGATACCAGACAGAAAGGCCTTTCCTAACATGGGTACCGTACATGAAAACCTCCCAGATGCACAGGGGAGACCACATCCCCTCGCTCCTGGGAAGCACAGACAAAAAAGAAAAACCCAGCTGAAACTGGATGGTAGCCCCACAACAAGCTGCGCAGCTTTGCTCGCATGCGAATGTTCTCAGCACTGCCGACCGCCCGCAGTGTTTGCTTGCATGCGGTGCTCCAGTGAGTTGAGTCTGCTCCTCCGCCCCGGGCCTGTCCAGCGCAAAGCCAAGACAGAAAAGCATTAAAGACCGAAGCCTCCCAGACTCCTTGAGAGTAAAAATCTCACATCATGGCGCCAAGTGTCCCCAAACAAATCCATCAACCACTTCCTCGGGGACACCGGCACCAGTAGCCTCCCGACTCCCATACCGAGGGGAGCCCGATGGCGTGAATGACGCCTTCCCACACCCACAAAAAAACAGGCACAGTGCATTGAGGGGGAGAGAGTGAGCCGAGGCTACTGACCAGGTAGCCATCCAACCGTCCCACCCCCGCAAAGACGCCATGCCTTATACCCCCAGTATCCGATCCCATTTCCCTGAATGGCACCCATCACCAGATCCGTGACCAAGGGATCAGTGACAATGCCATCTCTATGTATGACTGACCACCATTGAAAACCCGTCGCCATCCATACCTCCAAAAACCCCGCGGGCTACCAATGGTGCTGACCAGGCAACCAGTAGCCGGAAGAAGGTTGGCAACAGAGGATATTGAAGCAAAACACCAACTTTTAAACAACATCGTTAGGTGGTTTCCCCATGCTCCCTCATCGAGACGCCATAGCTAACGGAGATTCGTCGTCGCCTTCATCTTGGCCCCGCGGCAGGAAGTGCTCCCTACACAGATTCGGGGTGATGCCCGGCTCTCAGCCGCTAAGAAGCGGAGCGGAGAGGTAGACAACCATGCCAACCGGGCGAGTATTCCTCGCTGATGGTTCTTGCCTGGTTCTGTGCGCTGCTGGATAGACTGACATTAAACCAACACATGTCTTCTCGCTTGCTGTGTATGTGCAGATGAGAAAACTGAGATGGAGAAAACAAAGCAATCATGCATTGATCGGGATTTTAAGCTGTCAATGTGCAAATGGGTCGAGAAAACCAATCCCGGAACAAGGGGGCAAGAAAGAAGTGAACCCAATGCATAATGCCGCCCGCCTACCATGAAAAAATGTAGCAAAAACTGAAAAGGCTGAAATGGGCTCGCTCTGATGATGGCCACGAGATTCCTGGTGTATCAGAAATGTGAAAGGTGGCTCAATGATGCGCGGAATAAATGTCGCTAGGGTCGACGGCTGGTGCGGATGGGCCAAAAGCGGCGGGGAGCAAGGAGGCTTTTCTATTGCCCCTTGCGGGCCTTCTCTTGCGCTTTGGCTTCACGTGCTAATCGAACCAGGGGTGCGAGCTGGGATAAGTCGACGCACTCTTTCATGAAGTCGTGCTACGTGAGATGTTAGCTTCCGCGGGTCTCGGTCGAAAGAGAGGGTGTGCAGTGGGGGGAACAGGACATACCCGCAAGAGGTCGTGAGCGCTTGCCCGCTTCTCGGGGTCAACTTTGAGCGCGAAATATAGGAAGTCGCGGAAGACAGGCGATAGCTCCGTCTCGTTCTTGATCTTCGGAGTCCCGTTCGTGGCGATCAGCCACAGCGCACGCAGCGGTGACTCGGTCAGATACGGCGGCTCGCCCTCGATCATCTCAATTGCCATAATGCCCAGTGACCAGATGTCCACCTTGCGGCCGTACTCCTTTCGCGTAACCACCTCCGGCGCCATCCAATACGGCGTGCCGACCATGGTTGTACGCTTGTTCTGCGCCTCATTGATGGTCGCACAAAAGCCAAAGTCGGCTGTCCAGGGGCCCAGTTAGTCAAAATGGCAACTGACCAGGGATGGAACACACAAGAACTAAGGTGGGTGGAAGGGAGCTAGACATACTCAGCTTGATGTTGCCCTCCATGCTCAGCAGAATATTGTCCGATTTGATATCGCGGTGGATAACCCCCTTTGAGTGCAGGTGCTGCAGGCCAAGAAGGGTCTCCCTGCACACGGAGGCAATCTGCCCCTCGGTCATGATGTTGAAGGTCACGACGTCGGTCAAGCTGCCACCCTCCATAAACTCCATGACAACCCACAATTCGCCACCACACAGGTAGCTGTCGATGAAGTTGACAATGTTGGGGTGCGAACTCTCCTTCATGACCAGAATCTCGTTGATGATCAGATCCTTCTTAGGTTGCTGCTCCAAGTTCATCTGCTTGATGGCCACCAACCGATTGGTGCCCCTCTCATGACCCGTGTACACACCACCGGAAGCGCCCTGGCCGATCTTCGTGAACCCGCGGTAGACCTCCCTCGGATCACCCTCGGAGCATATTCTCTTCAGGGCGGTGACCACGTCAACGGCATTGCTCTGTCGTGGTCTGTGTCGCGGCCTCGAGCCCGGTTGCGCAAGCCTAGCTTGCTGAGCCTGCAGCATCCGATTGGCTCCGTTCGGGTCACCTTGCTGTGGGTACTGGTGCTGCGACGTTGGCGGAGTGGGTTGTTGCCGCTTGCTCGCTTGTCGCCCTAGTTGGCCAGTCATAGCCGCTTGCGCCTGGGCCATTGCCTGTTCCTGCTGGTGTTGCAACAACTGCTGCTGGTAAACTGCTGCTTGGCTAGACGGGGAGGTGATGGACGGGGACGGTTGGGAGGGTAGATAGGGCGAAGTGCCATTGGCTCGTGAATTGGATCTCGACCTCGACCTATGCTCTTCCGGCAACATCGGAACGTTGTCTTTTGGAGGTAGGTACGAAGGTGAAACATCGTCCCCGTGTGGTTGCATACCGATCCCCGAGTCCTTTGCCGGGTAGGCTCTTGACGCTAAGCTTGTTGGAGCCTTCGGCGCCGGCCGGCTAGGCATGAGGTTGGACACCGGTCCCTTGGGAACCGGAGGCGGAGCTCGGGGATTCTCAAAGCTGCCCTCATGAGTAACATTGGGAAACCTCGGGCTTGCAGGCGGGCTGATCAGTGGTGACATGGCACCATAGCCGGTTTGCAGTAGGCCGGGAGAAGGAATTGGCGTCGCGGATGACGGGGTAGTGGCGAGGCCACGGTAATCTGCTGCTCGCGCATCGTGGAACTTCTCCAATTGCTGGTCCTCTTGCGGCTTTTCTTGGGTCTCTTTGTAGAAAGTCAGGACGTCGACAAGAATCTGGGGATGTTCACGTGTGTCCTTCTCGGTGATGCCGCTCTCGTTGATCAGGCGCTGCCATTCTTTCGGCAGCCCCTGTGGCCAGTCAGCACCGCGGGCAAAGCAGACAGGCGATGAAAACTACATACCGTAAACTGGCCCGTCGAGCTGTCATAACCGACATGTGTAACGTGGACTGGGTTCTCTGGTGCAGAGATCAGCGGCTTCTTCGGTGACCCCACCAAACTGTTCATAAAGCCGGAGAAGCCCGATTTCTTTCTGAGCACGCTCGGGAGCTTGCTCTCCTTGGACTCGTCTGAGTAGCGCTTGATCAGGGCTGTGCCGTCCACTTTGGATGCGCCAGCTTTCTCGTTCAAAGTAGGGAGATCGCCGGCCGGGAAGGTCGCCGACTGGCGGAGGGGCGGGGGAGAGTGTCCCATGGTTCGCGTCCCGGGGTCCGCGCGTAGTGTCAGTAGTTTAGAAGGAGGGCGCTCCGCTTGGTTGTGGTAGTAGTTGGTATTGTCGAGGCCACTGCCGTTGTTGTTATTGTTGTCGACGTTACTGGCTTGCACGGGGTATTTCGTGGCGGCAATGCGATCGAGAATCGCTGTGCCGTCAAAGGGAGCGCCAATCAGTTCGTCCGAAGTCTTGGTGCTGAGGGGTTGCAGGATGTTCGCCGGGACGGGTCGTGATTGCTGCGCGTCAACTCGGGTCTGCAGAGACGTGGAATGCGATTGCGGCGTGGAAAGCAGCGCCGCAGACTCGCCGCCGGGAAGGATGGGGGAGGTGTGCGACCGGTTTGTCGCGAGCGATACAGCGGGTGAGGGTGCAGCGGGGAATCGTGGCGAGCAATCGGACGCGTTCGAAGCGGGAGTCCTAGGGCCAAAAGGGGCACTGGGAGCCCGCCTCAAGCTGGTCGAGCTTCGTTTGCTTCCTAGAGATCGGGCGTCAACACGACCGTCGAAACCGGCACTGAAGAAGTCGTGCGCTGCTGCTGACGGAGGCTTCTTGGTAAGCCTGCGACGTTGCGAACTGGCGCTGGAGCCGATCTTGGGACTGTCCATCTCACGGCCCAGAAGCCCGGGAAGGGAAGCAAAAAAAACACCCCGTAGCGATCAAAATCAAAGAAATATCAACGTACAGTTTCGAGCCAGACAAAGCACTTAGCTGGATGGGCGCCGGGGTAGTCGAGCATGAAACGAGGGTAGCAGCGTGCAAAATTGCGTTTTCTCTTCCGTTCGGCTGCTCCTGCTTGATCTCGTTCTCCCGTCTGCTTGGCTCTTCCCGGTTCCGCTTGGCTGCCGTTCAAGATGGCCCTCGCACACTGGCGGGCCGGGGTGGCGTTTAGCGGCGCTCGGCATGATTGGCGGCTGCAAGCCTGGGTAAAACGGTAAAGTCACCAGGGGGTTCAAGTACCTATGGTACACAGTGTCAATTTGGGTGCATTATTAACCCCTCGACCTTAGCACAACCACAACGAAGGACAGACAACGGAAGGTATGGGGAGCTGGAGAGTTGTATTTCAAACGGGGCAGATAGAGGACCCTGCGAGTCCTTTGCACAGACAGATGGTCAGCCGGTGGAACGGCTCGCAGTTCTGTCGCACCATCACATGTCACTGGTCAACCAGATTCATGATTGATTTCGCTGGTTGTGGAGGCCCGACAGATGAACCTCGCAATGCCGCACCACCGCCTCGAGGCGCTCGGGACTGTCCCCATGGCGGCCCAGTCACACTTCGAAATACTAGTACTACTGGGCAGCACGGCACGCACGGACAGCACAGCTGGTGACGGAACAGGACCCAACGGGCCACCTGTTGCCGCCGAGAGTTCGTCTTCTGTTTTCAAGCTACTGCATTCTATGGACGAGAAACCAGGCACTTTAGTGATTGACAGGAAAACAATCCATCTGACCACATCCCATCATCATAGACTATGTATTTAGTACTTAAATGTGTGCAGAGCATAAGGGGCGTTTAATCAAACAGCCTAGCTAGAAGGTTGGGTAGGGCTAGCCGCTTTGCTAGGTAAAAGAGATCAGATAATGATACGGGTACATATATTTCGTAGGTACGGTGCAAGTACCTACAGAAGGTACACACAAGGCCCACCGTCCGACCTGATCGTGGTTCGACCTGCTCGTGGGTTCGTTATGAGCAGGGTGCCCTTCACTTTCTTCCACCAGGGCTTTACCTGTAGTATATTTAATCACAATCATTTACTTTCCTTCTACTACTATCCTTTTCTTCTAGCTACTACTAGTCTACAAGCACTTGTATTTAGATATAGTATCTAAGGTAGCTATGATTGTGGTTTGACCACCGGTTCTCCATCTAGATACGTCTCACCCCTGACCGTTAGCGCCTGACTTGAAGACCAGGGCCTGCCCTAGGATTTTCAATCTCAATATCAAAACAGCCACTTCTTCTACGGAAACAGACGCATAGATGTTCCATTCCTGTCTTTAAATCATACCTATTCTTTTCATGATTTAGCAGCGTTATTGCGGATTTGAAGCAAGGCCCTTGTTGCCAACTTGCCAGTTCCGTGCTAACAACTTGAAACCTCTAATGGTCGTCCTGTAGTAATCCGTAGATGGCCGGGGATGAAGGAGTGAAGTGGGACGCGAAAGGGCCCACACTGGACGGAGAACAAGCGCTTCTACGGATGTAGATAGTGCGCGCCCGTGAACAGGGCGAGCTTGTCAGCGCCAAGTTCCTCCAGGAAACGACAGATACGACGACTTGGACCGTACTGGTAGTTATGTGTTTTGTTACCCCGGAAAGCACGGAGCATGCAGTTGCGTACTTCGTAGTGTATGGACGGTTCGGCTGACAGCGAGGACCCGTTCGGTCCAGTCTTCGACCCCACCGATGGTTTAGCGAACTCCAGCCCAGAAGCGGGGCAACATCCTAACAGGTTTGCTCCTCCAATACGGAGGTATCATATCATACCTTTGCCGTACCGACGATTGTTGCAAGATAGGCTCGGGCCGGCGATCGAGGCCATGACCTGCCATGATGCTCTAGTTATGTCTTTATATTTACACCCTTTGACTCACAGCGATGTCTACGGAAAATATCAATCTCCTACCGGCAGACGGAAGTTGTTCTTTACATAGTTCTGTTTGACCTTAAGCTGACTATGTGAAACCAAAACGGAGAATGCGCGACCCTCAGTAGCGGGACTCGCTACCTACCTTAGCTAACTAGGTATGCAGACCCGGAGCTTGTCCCATACATAGGTGGACAAAACTGTGAGACCGTGAACGGGGTTGTCGAACACAGTCGGATTAATGAAGCCCAGGCGAGCGACAACAATGTGAGCTGTGACAGTACGACCCCGGTTGGATTCGGGCTCAACACAGGCTCGGGAAACAGGATCACTATCCGCTTTTCCCTCTCCAGTCTGGCCAAGTTGATTCGAGTGAACTGGTCATACGGACGAGCGGCCCCGAATCGTACCTGTAGGTTGATTGGCGATGTCTCGCACCAACCGCCTCGATACTGCAGCGCATACTTGCTTGAACAGCTGTTCCAGTTGGGCGTGCTTTCGGAAACCGCGTACTGTGTTCTATACAGCATGTCGTTTCCAGAGCTCGCTGTCGATGTCACAGACTTATAATCCCGTGAATTCTTCGGTGGATCATGCAGAGCATCGTCCGCTTCCCTCCTTGATGGACATTTTCAATCCAATTCCCCTTCTTCGTCTGACCTCCAGTCTTGATCGTAGTCCTCGTCGGTCGCATTTGCAGAGCCACTGATAGACCCAACTCGGAGGAGGTTCTACTACAGATCTAGCAGCTATTGCAATGCTTGGAAGATCCTGAGGGTCCTGCGTTCGAATGGTGAAGGTTTGGCCAGTTCTTATGGGATGCCGCTTCTGCGATGAGCCAGGTTTGGGCTTGGGCTGAAAGTTCTTGATCGTTCCTGATCTCTGACTGCGGCTTGCGGGTAGCGTCTGTTAGCCAATGCCACTGTACAGCAATCCTATTCTGAGTTTGACAAAGAAATTATAGCGAAAACTTGGTATTGTCGAACCAGAAAGGTAGCTGGTCGTTCATAGAAATCATGCTCTGGGCAGATTGGGCAACCACCGAACTTTCATAACATCCTCGCCGGGCTGATGTTCTATCGGCGCCCCAAAAGGCCTGGAGCGTGTTGTTGAGGCATTAAAAGGCTCCTCTCTTACTCTATGCGCTGCCGCAGGGTCGCTTCTTCCAGAAAGGACCCAGGAATATCCATCTCATTCTCTGGCAGCTGTGCTTCCATCTCACCAGTAGCATCAGGAGGGCCCAAAAAACCCGATGATGGTGCTGAGAGTGGTGTTTCTGTTGGCAGTACCGGACGGCGACCTGTCGGAAGTCTAAGAGATTGCTAGCAGAAGTGCGGAAAACATTATGAGTAGTGAAACTAGCATACAGTCTCTTAGTGCAAGCACAGCACTTCCTGCTAAGCCAGAGGCACCAACGAAGGGCGCAGTAGGACCAAGGCTGGCAAATTGCCTCATCAAACTGATCACTGTCTTGATTTCATGAATCGGGGCCACCATAAAAAGAACCAGCATAGTGGCGTGTATCCTGAATTCCCAACAACCTGGAAGTTGCTTGCAGTTCTTGGAACAGACTGGCAGCGTATATCGGCGTGTGTGATGTAGTAGTCTTCGACCGGTTCGACAGTAACCGGGTGTCAACGAGGGCTCCCAAGCTGTGACGTACAGCATGGAGATTGGCGGCATTGGTTTTGATGGCTTCGAGAAATTGAAATCGGAGGCTCAACTCCATGCGAGCAAACTCTTCCATTTCGGACTCCATTTTCTTTTTGATGCACTCGGAATCGCCAGATTTCTCAGAAGCCGTTGAGGATAGGAGATCCAGCGAGTGCCTTGCATGTGATGAGACGAAAAGATGGAGGGAGGAAACAGAAGCGGGTTGGGGTTTATAGTAATTGCCTGCTCGCGAAAATAACCCTGCCCATTTATAGCCGCGCCAAGCCCCCCATGCTTCCCCTGTTCAACAATTTTTGGAGTCCGCAAAGTTGCAGGAGTGAAGCGTGCCAATGTCGGCCGGGATATAAGACCCACGACATTCGAGACTCTTAAGCTTGTCTGGCCTTTTCTCCGTGCTCCGCTGCGACGGTCCAAGTCATCATATACCACTTCCCGCCTTCAATCAGTGTCCCATTCGGTCTTGCAGGGCGCAATTGACGTCCGTCGGCCCCTCTTCCGGCTGCTTTCCGTTGATACAGCGAGGCCTCGTACAACGCCCAGATCCGCTCTCCATAAGTCCTGTCACTACGACCAGGTGCCCAACCTTCTCTTTCAGGCTCGCACATCCTTGTCGGCCATACTCTTGATCACCCTGCCGCGCCTGCTCAGGGAACAAGTCAGTCGTATTGCCCCCTTCCTGCGATGCCTCAGGTACATCGTGTTGATCAGATATGCTGACGTCGCACTTGAGCCGCACTTCCAGACACCCTAACGCTTCTCTCGCGGTTACTCGAGCCGCAAACATCTTCTGATATCGCCCCTGCCGACCACCATGTCCGACCATATCGCGGCCGAGCCTAGCGCTGCAAGCAGGCTTCTGCAGCAGCACATGTCACACCACGTCACGGTCGAGGATACGGTCGATGAGGAGCTCTCCTCTAAGCCTGCCGCTAGCACTGAAGCTACCGGGAGCGACGCTCCAACGTCGTCCACAAGCCCTCCCCCCGCTACTATTGCAACAAAGCAGAAACCTCGTCTGGCAACCGATTCTCACGAGCTGTTCCCGGAACTCGGTGGGACGACAGCCAAGTCTGCAGCCAACGCCGCGCCTGTCTGGCCTGCGAGGACGAATGCGAATGGCAGAGCCAACGGCGCCAGCCCGGCTAGCGGTACGCCCAAACCGTCTGCGCCGACCTCCGGGTCCACCACGCCAACGCTCCCGACGTTGCATGCTGCTCCGAGCCTCTCCATCCCAGGCCGGAATGTCGAGTACATGCTTCTCGAGCCGCAACATGTGCTGCCTCGGAGCCAGTTGAAGCGGCCGCTGGCCGACATCGTCAAGGACTTCAACCGCAAGTCTCGAGCACAGGTCAAGGTGATTACTCAGCCCGACAACAAGGTTAGGGTTGAGGCCACCGGCCCGCCGGAAATCGCGACGCAGGCGCTCAAGGACTTTGTCCGGCTGATCGGTACCAAACTGACGATCAAGGTACCCATTCCCCGGTCCGCGAGGGCCCACATCATTGGCAAGGGCGGGTCCACGATCAAGGCCTTGCAGGAAAAGACTGGCGCTCGGATCCGGATGCCCAAGGCCGAGGAGGGTCAGTCGCCGGTGGAGGAGGATGATGACAGCACAATCGATGTCACCATCGAAGGGAATTCCCAGGAGGCCGCCGCAGCTCGAAACGAGATCCTCAAGATCGCCGGTGAGCGTGCGGGCAGCGTCAACGCCCCGGTAAGAGGCATTCCTGCCGAATTCTACCCCTTTATTGCAGGCCCGAACAACAGCTTCATCAACACCATCGAGCAGGACAAGGGGATCCAAATCCGAGTCCCACCTTACCAGGCATGGTCGGCTCAGCCTCCTGTCGCGCCGGTTTCGGGACAACGTCCCGAGTTCGCCCCAGCCGTTGACAGCTTTATCCAACTAGCTGGCGACCGGGATGCCGTGCGAGCCGCTCGGGAGGAGATCGAGAAGCGCGCCCAGGAACTTCGGGAGCAACTGATCATGGAGCAGCTCTCCATCCAGCGGGGGCGTCATCAATTCATCATCGGGGATAGAGGCATCCCGGTGCACAAGTTCTTCGAGGACACGGGATGCACCATCGTCTTGCCCAACGACGATGATGATGATATTGTCAGGATCATCGGCCCCGCCCATCAGGTCCAGGCTGGCTTGGAGAGAGCGATGGATTTGGCAATGAACATGCAGTGTTCGAACATTGACATCTCCCGTTTCCACCGCCAAGCCCCCGGCGGAGCTGCTGCACACGCTCGGAATGTCACCAGGTATCTACGGCAAAGAAGAGAGCTCGAGCGGTTGGAGAAGGAATATAATGTACATGTCAACACCCCGTTCACGGACGAAGGTGCTTTGCCATGGGAGCTCTACGCACGCGACGGCAAGAATGCGATTAGGGCGCAGTCCGAGATCAAGAGCTTGATAGACGGTCACCCTCCGGCTCGGATCGCTACTGTTGTCGTGGACCCATTCTTCCACCACTACATTCGGAACGAGGTCATGCCCCAAGTGAGGCAGATCTACGGTGTTCACCTGGTTGTTCCGGAAGCCTCGGAGCCGAATGCGCCGGTTCTGTTGGTTTACGAAGGCGCCTCAAGCCCCGACTCGTACCAAATCCCGCGTTCGCAGCCCACCCAGAAAGACCTTACGGAAATGCAGAAGTGGCTTCAAGAGGCGCAGAGTCATATTGCCAACTTGATGAGCCAGCAGGAAGCCGTGTCCTCCCATTCCATGGAAGTCCCTCAAAAGTAAGTCTGAACCCATGGCCGTATCCTGGGAATAGTTTAAGAGGTAAGAGTGTCTAACGCGATTGCAGGTACCATGATAAGCTGCGGAAGTTCATCAAGAATGAGCAGGACAGGGCCGCCAACCCGGTTCGCGCGCGCGTCTCGAATCTCGGCAGCACGGTCACCATCCGCGGTCCTAGCTCTGTTGTCGACTCGCTCTCGGCTAAGTGTCTCGAGTTCCTGGAGCAAGAGAAGCAGGATGAAAAGGAGCGTGGCTTCACCCTCGAGTTCGACTTCCCTCAGAAGTTCGCCAACCACCTGATTGGCAAGGGCGGAAGTAACATTCGGGATCTACGCGAGAAGTTCGACGTGGATATCCAGGTAGCCGACGGTAAAGTGCAGCTGAAGGGCCCGAAAGCCAAGGCGGAGGCGGCGAAGGCCCACATCTCCGCCCTCGCCCGTCAGTTGCAGGATGAGGCGACACACGTGCTCAAGGTTGACCCCAAGTTCCACCGCGAGCTGATCGGCGCCCAGGGCAGCCAGATCAACAGGCTGCAGACCCGGTACAAGGTGCTTATCTTCTTCCCGCGCAACACTAAGAACGCCAAGGACGATGAGTCTGTTGCTGAGTCGGCCAGCGACTCCGGGAAGTCGCGCCGTCAGCAAGCCCCTGACGAAGTCATCGTTCGTGGCCCCAAGCGTGGGGCCGATGAGGCTCGGGACGAGCTGCTTTCACTCCTTCAGTATCTGAAGGACACTTCCTTTACTGCGACTGTGACTGTCCAGCAAAAACAACTGCCGTCGCTGATCGGTACCGGCGGTGCTGCCCTGGAGCAGCTACGCCAGGCGACCGGAGCGAAGATCGATGTGCCAGGCGCCAAAGAATCTGCCGCCCCCGAGGTCGAGATTCACATCAAGGGCACCAAGACGCAGGTCGCGGCGGCCAAGAAGGCCCTGGAGGAGAAGAAGGCCATCTTCGAGGACACCGTGGTCAAGACCATCGATGTGGACAGAAAGTACCACAAGGCGCTCATCGGCAGTGGTGGTGAGTTCTCGTGGCCTCGAACAACGGTCAAGCGTGGTTGCTAACGGATACAGGTTCTAACCTCCGCGAACTTGTTGTCAAGGCGGGTGGTTCTGACGACCGCCGCGAGCTGGCTCGTACCATCCAGTTCCCTAAGCAGGATACGGATGGCAACACCATCAAGGTTGAAGGACGTAGCGCCATTGTGGACAAGATCATTGCCCAAATCGAAGCCTTTGTGTCCGAGCGTGAAGGTCAAGTTACCGAGGTTCTGGATGTGCCCGTCGAGAAACATAGGTCGCTGATCGGCCGCGGCGGAGAGACCAAGCGGAACCTCGAGGCTCAGTTCAAGGTCTCCATCGACGTGCCGCGCCAGGGCAGTGGCCAGACGGCCGTCAAGATTGTCGGGCAGACGGCCGACGTTGAGAAGGCGAAGACTCACATCCAATCCATGGTTAAGGAGCAAGAGGGCGAGTCAATCCAGGTTCCGCGGGCTCTCCACCACGCCGTCTCCAACAACGGCCAAATTTTCCGGAAGCTCAAGGGCGACTTCCACGTCACAGTCGACCACGCCGGACACACTGTGCCTCCCAAGCCGGCCACTCCCACCCAAGCCCGTGTCAATGGCAGCTCCCTCCCCCTGATCACGGACGACGAGGACGCGGTTGCCGATGCCCACTCGTGGAAGGTGGTCGAGCAGACAAGCGCTGAAGAAGGCGACATCCCCTGGGTCCTCCGTGGCTCGGCCGAGAACGTCGAGAAGGCCAAGAAGGCCATTGAATCGGCCCTTGAACAGGCTAAAAAGCACAACGCCACCGGTTACCTTATCCTCCCGGACCCTACGACGTACCGTTTTGTCATTGGTCAGGGCGGTAGCAAAGTTAACTCTATCCGCAAGCAAAGCGGGTGCCGAATCAACGTCCCGCGTGATCAATCCCAGGGTGAGGCTATTGAAGTCATTGGCACCAAGGAGGGCGTGGAGAAAGCCAAGGACCTGATCCTGGCTGCTGTGAGGGAAGGTCTGAGCAGCCGGCAGCAGGGGCGCGAGTAGGGCCGCGATTCTCCTGCTTTCCGGACTCAAAATGCTACTTCTGTCATCCGCACATGGGGCTGAAAAGTGGACGATCGCGTGGGGTTTTTCAAGACCTGTTCACTTACTTACACTTGCGCTCATATTAAGGAGGGAGACGGAAAAGGATAAGATTGGAGGTTGATACTACTACTAGGTAGAAACTTTGACGCAAAACGAACTTATAGCTACTAAGCAGGTATGCAAGGTATGCATACACATGGCGCGGACTATGGCAGCTTTGTAAAACTTTGCGAATCTGCTCTTGGTGATGTAGTTTTTGTGTGCTTTAGAACTCCCCTGGGTCATCCCTGATCTTATTCCCCCAAACATTCTTCGAACCCTTTTGGAGCTGGTTGCTATCGAGGCACCCCTGTCAACAATGCAATACTGATCCCCCCATCCACAGCCATTTCTTCTTATTTCCTTTACACCACCGAGCTATGATCATCTAGCTCTATTCCGGTTGTTTTCTCAGCAGTTGATTTAGCTGCGGTGACATGCATCGCAGGAGGACACCTACGCTACCTTTGTGCATACGGTACACGCAATAGGAAGCCGAAGGTGACGAAGAAAGGAGGAAGATAGGAAGCATGACAAGAAAGGGATCTTGAGGAGTGGCGTGTCAATACGTACAACGCGATAACTTCCTCATAAGCAGCGGCGTATACCCAGAACTTTGGACCTTAATAAGCAGCTTTCTAGTTATCCGTATGCTCGTATTCAAAATGCTCTTTACCCGATACACTCCGTCTTGGGTAACTTCCCAACGTTCTAACCGGGCTTTCACATTTTCCATCCCTGACTCCCTCCGCAAAGTTGTATAAGTATATTGACAGCACAGACAAACATAGATCGCTGATGGACATATGCGAAATCCTCACATCCCTCGATCTCATCAAGAGTCCAAACCGTCATCACTCACATGAAATCCTCCTCCTCCTCCTCCTCACCCTCTTCCTCCTCCGTCTCATCCGCATCCAACCGCCGCCCCATCGCCAACCGCGCCGCCTCGTCCGCAAGCGTGATGATATCCCGCAGCAGCTCCTCCGGGCGACTCCGTGACGGTAAACCGGTTGTTCCGGTCCCCGCTGCGTCGCCCCCATTAGGATTCCCGGACCCAGACCGGAGAGGCGGCAGCGTGTTGTTATTGTTGTTGTGGCCATTGCCCGAACCTGACGAGCTGTTATTCACATCCCCCACCGCAGCCGCAGCAGCGGCAGCGGCAGCTGACGCAAGCGGCGGAAGGGCACGGCCTGCCAGAGTTGACCCGGAAGGACGGGGTCCTTCGCCCGGTGCTCTCAGTCGGACTTTCACCTCGCCCGCAATCCCGTCTATCCTCAGGGACGTTGTGGGCGGGTCTCCTGCGGACGACGAAGACGGAGATGGAGGAGGCCGCAGGTTGGGGGGTGGGGACATGGCGATGAGCTCGCGCAGGTACTTGTTTGCCTCCTCGGAGCCGTCCATCAACCACTTGAGACAGATCTGCACGCGCTCGCGGGCATAGCGGTTGTGGTCGTCGTAGACGCAGCAGTTCAGCAGGCTGATGACGCCGTTGTGACGCAGGATTTGCGACTGCACCTCCGGGTTGCCCGGGCTGCTCCGGCCGGGGGGAGGCTGGAGAAGACCGGCCAGGATGTGCAGGATTTGGCCTTTGATGCCGGCCCAGGGGTATTTGTGGGCTGGTTCTTCCAGAGGAGGGGGAGGGGCGAGCGGGTGATCCTCCGAGTCGTAGCCGTGGTCCGGGTCGTCCGGGTGCGGTGGCGGTGGTGGTTGGCGATGGGCTGAGCGGTTGGGCATCTCAACCATGGGCTTTTTCGGTACGCCGGCTTCGAGGCCCTTGAGCAAGGTGAGGAGTTCGTATGTGGATTCCCATTCGATGAGATACTGTCTGGTCTCGGGGAGCTCGTTCACAGTTATCAGGAGCTCCAGGAACTGTTGGATGCCGTCCTTGGCGCGCTCCATGTCCCAGCTGTCTACCGGGAAGTCGGCCGGGTCGCAGAGGTCATTGCGGATCTGCGCCTGAAGATACATCAAGGCCGCACACTCGGGCACTATGCGGCTGCGGAATTGGATGAACAGGAAGTGGAGCAGTTTGACATCGCGCAGATGCTCCTTCGAGTCGGCGGGTGGCGGGTCGTTATTCCGAGCGCGGAACATGTTGTTTACCAGCCTCAGGAGCACAGTCTGAGCAGGCGATATGATGTCTTTGGGAATGCGCAACGACTGCCAGGCGTAGGGAACTAGCGCGCTGTGGTGGATCGCCTCGACGATCTGGGTCGTGAGTTGGAAGATCAACGACTGCTCGCTCTTCTCCCACACAGCAATGAACACGAGAATCTCTCGCAGCAAGCTCCTTCCACACTCGAGTGCCAAGAACATCCTACATCTGGTCTTTTGGAGGTTTTCACCCGCCCTACTCAGCGCTAGGCCGGCGTTATCGAGGATGCACGACTTGACGATCATGTGCAAGGCCTCGATCTGCTTGGGATCGAGGATGTTGGGGACCTCAGTGAGCAACCCGTTCATCGGCCCTTCACCGTATGATTCGTCGTCATCGATGTCTTCCTCCTCGATCATGTCGTCGTTGTAGTCGTGGACGTAATGGCCGCCATCTTTCCCTTCCTGGTTGCCTGAACCTTCCGGCAACGGAGCGCCTTCAGCAGAGTGGACAGAGCCCTCGTGCTCCGCAGCGCGGTATGAGTGAGCGTATCGGTTGACGAGATTTGCCTTGCAGTTCTCGGCCCTCTGCTGCGCGAACTCCACCGTAGGCATGGGAACCACCCATTCGTCATAGTTCGCGTCCCGTATCTTCAGCCACCACGTGTCGATTTCCCTTGACACCCGGCCGTAGGCTCTGTCTTGCTCGAACTTATCGGGCTCATCCTCCTTCCACTGCGGGGTGATCTTGGTGTCGTCGTCGACGTCGTCTGCTCGCACACGCACTGCGCCCTCGGGTAGCCAATTCCAGGCAAGCGGGGAAATGCGAGGCAGGTGTCCCGGAGGAAGGCCCTTGCTTGCTACGTTCTCCTCGTAGGCCGTGAGCAGCTGCCGGGCCTTGTCACAGAACCGGGAGTTCCGCTCAAACCAGTTTTGGACCTCAGTCTTGGCGACGTCGGGCCGGAACTCTCCATCCACGCTGCCGTCTGGCTCGTCCGCGAGGGCGTCATCGTCGAAGAGGACGGTGGACCAGAAGGCCATCTTGTTCCTGTCGTTCTTGGCGATCCAGTTGTGGGCTTGCTGAAGACAGGTGACCAGCAATTTCTTATCTGAGCGTTCAGTCAGAAGAGGTGGCTCAACGGTGGGGATGGGACTACGCACAAAGCTCGGTGATTTCGCTCAGCTTCAGCCGGGCAGCCTCTTCAAGGACGTCGCCGTCATAAGCCTTACTTGTGACGTTGATGCAGAGGATGATGGTCTGGTAGAGCATCTGATCGAACTGGGCAGCGGCACACAGATCCTGGGGGATTTCGGGTTCCGGAACAACCAGCATATTCCGAGCAATGTGCATGAGCTTGATGAGTAGCTGCAGATCCTCTTTCAGGGAGGGATAGTTTTTGGTGATCAGCGCCGTGCTCTCCTGGGGAGTGACCCCCTTGTCAGGATCGTTGAGGCTCGCTAATGGACCAATTGATCGTGTAGTTAAGCTTGGAATAGCAGCCGCAAAATCCCTTGTGAGCCATATCCAGACTTCGACACTCTTGGATAACGTCTCCCTGCCGGGTGTCAGCAAGAATGCTAGGACCCCGGAAGTCAAACAGCCTCACCTAACGTCTTTCAAGTTCTGTGTCTTTTCAAGTGTTCTGGTAATGAACTTGGTGACATATGCCATGGTACGAGGACCGATTGCCGGGTCAAGCTTGAGCCACCCTTCAAAGCAGCTCATCGCCGATGTGAAACAGAGCTCCTCAATGCTGAGCGGACGGGGCTTGTCCGCCTCCGGGGGAGAGGCCGACTCGGCCGAGATTGATGTAGATGCCATTCCCGACTACTATCACGGTTTCTCCCTCTAGCAATCGTCCTGGGCGTGACGTTAGTGAGAGCCGCGGAGCCGCAATGAAGCGGCGATGAGTTTGTGTAGATGGAGAGATAAAATGTCGTTTGCAACAGCTCAATAGTGAGCCTGGTCTGATGGTGCTAAAGATCAGCTTCTATTTGCTTCCGATGTTACTGAGAATCCCTTCGAACTCCGTAAAAATTCAAGATGGCGGTTCTGCCGGATAAGTTCCTGTTACTGAATTTTGAGTGATCACCACCCGAAGTCCAATCTGGAACATGCAGCTTCGGAGCCAAGCGAAGACCTTGGCCCCCGCGCTAACCGTCTCGGCGCTAGCGCCCATCCCGCCCCTGCTGTGACAAGGGTAGAGCCCCTGCAGAACCGACGTCCTCCCAACGGCGGGGTAAAAATCGCCCGTCAACCCCTCCAAAAATTGCGACAGGTCGAGGGGGGAGGGGCACATATTGCTGATTAAAACAGCGTGCCGTCCGAGAATACCGAAAGAGACGGGACGGAGTCCAGTCTACCCGTCGAAGATACAGAAACCCCATACTCCTGCCAGCCTATTCATTCATTTCATTCAGTCCTCCATTCATTTCGTATACAGCATACCGCACCCACCATGACGGTCCTCGATCTTCCCACCCACTTCGACAGTCAGTCTTCCCTCTTCTCCTTCCTCCCGATCCGCGGCAAACTAACATTCTGCGTCTTTCAGGACCGGTGCATATCGCCGTGATAGGCGGCACGGGCCTGTCCAACCTCCCCGGCTACACGCCCGTGGCGGCTCTGACGCCGACGACGCCATGGGGCACGCCGTCCTCGCCGATTCTGATCCTCGAACACTCGGGCGTTCCCGTGGCCTTCCTGGCGCGCCACGGCCTGCACCACCAGCTGGCGCCGCACGAGGTGCCCGCGCGCGCCAACATCGCGGCGTTGCGCTCCATCGGCGTGCGCACCGTGATCGCCTTCTCGGCGGTCGGCTCGCTGCAGGAGCAGATCAAGCCGATGGACTTTGTCGTCCCCGACCAGATCATCGACCGGACCAAGGGGGTGCGGCCGTTCACCTTCTTCGAGGGCGGGGTGGTGGGCCACGTCGGGTTCGCGGACCCGTTCGACGCCGGGCTGGCGAAGGTGGTGCAGCGGTGCGCGGCCGCGATGAAGGGCGAGGGCGTGACGCTGCACAGCGGCGGCACGGTCGTCTGCATGGAGGGCCCGCAGTTCAGCACGCGGGCCGAGAGCAACATGTACCGGGCGTGGGGCGGGAGCGTGATCAACATGAGTGCGCTGCCAGAGGCGAAGTTGGCGAGGGAGGCGGAACTGGCGTACCAGATGATCTGCATGGCGACGGATTACGACTGCTGGCACACGACGGAGGATGTGGATGTGGCGATGGTGATGAAGTACATGGCGGCGAACAGCGAGAACGCCAAGCATCTCGTAGGTGCGGTGCTGGATGAGCTGTGCAAGCACGAGAATAGCGAGCTGGTCCTGGCGAAGCATTGGGAAGGAAGTGCTCAGGGGGCAGTCAAGTTCATGACCAAGCCGGCCGGGCGGGACCCCGAGGCGATGAAGAGGGTGGAGTACCTGTTCCCTGGGTTCTGGAATGAATAGCTAAACGGAGCGTGTGGCTGGGCGTCGCGAGATGGGATACTTGGGAAGGGATATAGACTCAAGATACGGCCGGCATAGAACCGCCGTACGGATATAGACGAATGCTTGGTGACAACGTATCCCAAGCCTAAGCGTTTGTTATCGAAGAATATGGATGAAGGTATCCCAAGGTACCTATCCATCCATCCATGGAATGCTGCCAAAAAGCCAATGATGCTCCTACCAACTCAACCTCACCACCACCAGCAACCGAAACACACGAAACACGCCAAAACACCAAACACACAGACATATGTTCTACCGAAAGAAAACGGCCTTCCAACACCATCCTCTGCCAGCCCATATCACATCACATTCACATCACATCAAGAGATACAGCACCCGAACCGCCTTCTCGACGGCAGCAACATGCCAAGGCCTGACATCCACCTCTTTCTCCACGACCCCCCTCACCCTCGCCAGCGTGCCCAGCCCCCTGAAGTAGGCCAACATCTCCCGCAACAGCCCATCATACATGGCCCTGGCGTTGTCACAGTACACCACATTCACCTCCATCGCGACAGGCGGATCTTCGGCCCTCGGGCCCGCCCGCTTGACGAGGTACCCGCTCGCGAGCGCAGGGTTGAGCTCGGTGAGCGAGGGGGAGTTGTTGAGTCTGTGCGAGACGACCACGCCCCAGGTTGTCTCGGTCGCGTCAACGAGGGTCGTGTCCCCGTCCTGGAGCTCTGGTTGTGGTTGTGGCTGTGGCTGCGGTTGAAGGGGGGGCTGGGAGGAGGCGGCGCCGCCGTCGCCGCCGGGGGTGCCCAATGGCGTGGACGGGTTATTCCCGGATTGATCTGGGGAGACGCCGGATTGGGGTCCCGGCGTCGAGGCGGGCGTTGTGTAGAAGGCCGAGGGAGCCGATAGGGGGATGGCGGCGACGGGCGGGATGAGCTGGAGCGACGGGTCGGTGTCGACTGTCAGGAGAACTAGGCTGACGGTGGCGCGCGTCTCTGCCTGGGCCACCCCGATCCACAGTTCCATCTCCTGCTGGTCCATGGGCCCGGACTTGGTAATGACCACCCGCCAATGGACCTTGCAAGTCGAGATCAAGTCGTGTGTGGTTTCCCAGATTTCGTGGACGACCTCGGCCAGTTGCCTCGACATGGGCTTGCCCCGTCTCCCAAGGCAGTAAGAAGCCGTTGCTTGGGTGCTGCCTCTGTTGTCCGTCCACGCGGTAGTTACCCATCTTTCATCGACGCTGCGTGCGTAAGCAACATGAATGCATGAATTCTCGCGTAGCAGGTTCGGAGAAGGCGTGGCGGCCAGCTTGAAGTCGATCCCTCTCGGCAAGGCACATTCTAGCATGATTGCCGGCGCGGGCATGGGACCGCCGAAGAGCGTGCAGCGATCGTACGTCTCTAGACAGAGCCTGGTGCAGTCGGACGGGGACATGACGACAAGCGACGTCTCCGAGGCGACAACGTCGAGGGGCACGAGCTGCAGAACCAGCTCATTGGTGATTTGTTTCCTTCTGTCCACCATGCATCGCTTGTAATGTTCGAAGACCTCCTGAAAGGTAGAGCAAGCGTCCACGACAGAGCTGGGACTTTCCGGCGCGTATGCAGCATATACCACAAAGTTCTTGCCGGACATGGGAGCACTGGAGAGAGCCATGGCGAGACCAGTAATTGCATCGACATGCGCCGACCGGGCAAAGGGTACGTTGAAGTCAGAGGAAACATTATCCTGATCCACCGGGAGCAGAACGATGCCGTCCACAAGGCCATCGGCATTGGATAGCCTTTCAAAAGCCCCCAGTCTCAGAGACTCGTAAGTACTCTGAAGCCTGTCCAGGAACGCGGTTGCATTGTCCCGCATGCCTTCAGCGTTGGGAAGCATGCACACAGCTACGACGTCCTTAGGGCCGTGTGCGGGCCCAAGGCCCAGAGTATCCCAGAACGAAACGGCAGATGGCAGCACCGATAACTGATCATCGTACCGCCGGAGCTCGATATGGGGTGCGGGAATCAGAAAGACGCTAGCCTTCGGCAATTCGGCCGGTCTTACCTGCACACGCCCGTGTGGCTGCATGAGTAAGGGCACGTCTTGGACTTCGGCGAAGGACCGGAGTGGACATCCAACGGCTCCGGCCAGTGACCGTGGTAGAGCCTTCTGTAGGCTTCTGATTGAGTACCGGATGGCCTTGACCAAGCTTCGGCGCACATCCTGTATTTCCGATGTCTGCCGCCGCGGAACCACCTTGAGAAAACCGCTTGCCGCTTGTTCGGTAAGGATCTGCGCAACCGTGATGAAGTCATCATCCGAGACGGATATGCGGATCGGCACCGGCTCTGGGTCGGCAAAATATTTTGAGAGTGAAAACTCCGGTATTTCGGAGTTGGACAACCGTGACAGGTCAAGTGGGCCATAGCCAGGCGAGTCGGCCGATATGTTGTCCAGCTCCCTGAAAGACGCAGCCATGGAGATCACGTCGTCATCCAGCCGCCTTCGGATCGCACTCGACTTGGCTGGCGAAAAAGCACGGCCCACGCGGTCACTGGCCTCGTCTTCGTCTGAAGCCCCAGTGCTGTCGTCCGATTCCGAGCCAGTGTCATCCCGTTGCCTCGGGCTGTTGGCATCACCACCAACCAACTTGGTCAAAATCGATCCAATGTCGGATGGCAACTCTTTGAGATTTCTGCGTTGCCTCGCAGAGCCCAATAATCGACCCATAGTCAAAGGCCCGCCGGTTTGAAGTGCTCGCGTCTGGTTGTCTTTTAAGGCTGACCCGTAGTCAAACTGTCCCTTTTCTCCATATTTCCTCCCGACAAGGACTAAGTCTGGGTCGAAGTCCACCTTTTCAAAGAGGCTCCGTCGTCGGTGTGAACCTCGCTGGGTGGCCGGCGATGGATGCGGTGAGCGCCTCGAGGCGCGGATTCGCTTGAAGAGGCTTTCATGGTTCGATGGACTGGGATTCCTCTTCGTCCCAATCGTAGAATTAAGATTAAAGCTTTCCATATTAGTTCGTTGCCGACTCTCCTCAGCCAGCGTGCTGCGGGCATGCCTCAACTCGGGTTTCATGAACTGAGGCGAGCCTGGACGGACGTCTCTCTTGCTTTCGTCGTTGCCAAAGCCGGTCTGAGAGAGCCCCTCAAAGGGTTGTTGGCCCATGTTCTCCTGAACTGCCATTGTTGAGGTCGCAACCTCCGGAAGCTCCGAAAGGTCCATCTCGACGGTAGTCGGTTGCTCATCGAAGAAGTTGAAGTCAGCATCGGTGAGCTCGTTCCCTTCAAACAGATTCTCTCCCAAGTCACCAAATAAGTTTTCAGAGAAGTTGGTTGCCGGCTGCTCTGGCCTGGGTTCCACTCCGTCCCATCCAACGGTGAAGCCATCAGGAGCTGGCGCATTCTGCTGCGTTGCTAACGGGGCAGTACCGCTGGGCGCATTCGCGACGGGCGGTCCGGTGGCGGTCCCTATACGTCCACCGTCAAATGATGGTATACTCCCTGGCGGTTGCGCTCCTTCAGGAGGAGTCAGATACATTGCTCCTGTTGGGAGCGGTGGCCCGCCGTTGCCGGAGCGCCAGAGACCCATGGGCGAATATCCACTGGTTTGAGGATGGGTTCTGGCTTCCGCGTCCACATGCTCGTCAGCTAGCGCCACATCTCTTTCCTTTTTCCTCCGCGCAACTGCATCTTCCCTCTCTGAGGCACCTTTACACCACCACTTCGCCCTGATCAGGGGGTCCACGTTCTCGGCGCCCGATCCCGACAACGCCTTCTCTACTGACGTGTCCGCCATGGATTCCAGCTTCGGTTTGCGAAAACAGAGAACAGCCGGCCATGGAGCGATCGGACCCGAGCTCGCCGCAGGAGCTTTCCGCCCGTCTACCCTCTGCTCGTATGGCTTTCTTTGGAAGTGTATGTTCAGCCAAGAACAATTGTCCAGCAACGACGGCGACATACCGCGTATCTGAAGCAACTTGCAGCAAGTCGTTTTCCATTGTTGAAACCTGTCGCTGTGATCCGACCTCAGTCGGCTGACCTGGGTATCAGGAGACTGGCCGAGCCCGCTGTCGCCCACTTGCATCTCTGTATCCACCACTCCCTGCAAAGCGCCAAATGTTCCGAACGGCGCAGCAAGAACAGTCGGACTGGCATGCAGCAGGCTCGATCGCAAGACGTCCGCGGAGGACACCAGGCCCTGTAGTACCGACACGTGAAGAGATATCACAAGCGACCCTGTTGTTGTCAGGTAGGTGCGGAACGTAGCGAGGGCTGTTCTCCGCGCTGCCCACTCGGCATCACCGCAGTTGAACGCATGGGAGGGTAACAGGACGCAGCGATGATTCAGCAAGATGGCACCGATAGCACGGCAAAAGTATGTCGTTAAAGACGACAAGACGGCCGTGATGAAGAATTCGTGTATCTCGCGTGCAGGAACCGACCCGTACCCTTTGACATCGCCAACTGGTGTTGATGCAACCTTGCCGTCCACGACGACCGGGGTAGGAGGAAAGCTGAAGGGTTGGGCGCTTCTCGCGCTCATATCCAGGGCGGAGCCGGTGGAGGAGGAGCTGCTCGGAGTATTGATGGTGTTCGTGCCCAGCGGCCTGTTCTTGAGGAGCCCGATGGGTTCCAAGTTCCCATCTCCAACAAGGCCCAAAGGGTAGCCACAGACCTCCATTCTTGGGTGAAGGCCGAGCAGCTCGGGATGACTGGTATGGGCGGGGTCGCTGGACGAGAGATAGAAGCACCATATGCCGTGCCGGACAGCATCCATATAGACGAGGTGGCCATTACTGCGCAGGGCGTCCTCGACATCGGAAGCGTTGAACGTGTAAGTCGAAGACTGCGAGGCGATGGGTTCATAGATGCGAAAGGATATGGCAGAGAGATTGCTCTGTGTGGATATGAGGTGTCAGCAACTCATAAAAATGTCAAGCCGAGAATAGAGAGGCCAGCCAACTCCTTGGGCCGGGCGTTTTGCTCCTACAATCAACAAAGTGTTTGTCTCGTATTCCCCTGCGTCCATGTCGGGGAAGAGCCCGCGCAAGGCGTCTGAGCTAGGGTGGGGGGTTCAGCCACTGAGGCCGGGGGTCGACGGTGGGTTTTCTTCAGGAGTCGAAGCATGCGGACTGAATCTCGAGCTCGCTAACGAGACCCAGATGGAAGGGCACCGCCGGGAACACTGCATGGGGTACCCCCCGTGACAGTGAAGGGTCTGGATCGGATATTTCGTGCTCTGTGTGCCGGGCTGCCAGGCTCCATGGCAGCAGGCAACACCAGGATCAACCGAAGCCCCGAGGATCACCGAAAACTGACTGGCCGAGACATCCAAAGTTGTCAGACTGATAGTGCGGTAACTCTCGGGGGATCGTGGCGCGCGACGAAGCACGGGGCAGCCTTGCCGCTTCGACAGTCGGACGGAATGGACTTCGGTAGAGGGGGTCCGGTTTTTAGCAGGCCGGCATAGGACTCGATACAGCGAGGTGGAAGCAACTGTGTCGGAAGAGAGGGACGTCTCGGTGCAACTTTATTAGGCTGGGGTTTGCGTCGCACGGAGACAATCCATGATGCTCGTCCCGGCAAGACAGGAAGTTGCCGGGTGGATCGCGCCAAGAGCAGGGGTAGCACATGGGAATCGATAAGGCACTGTGTACAATTATTGATTGGAAACATCTCTCAGTGGCGATGTCAAAACCTTCAGTTGAACATGCCGATTTGAGGGAAATATATTGCCAGGGCACCACGCACAGATAATATTACCTTGAGAAGATGTCGGGCTACGGCTGGCTAAGTAGTACCGGTTCTTCTTCGATAAACAAGTACCTACAGTAAGATCGAACAACAGGATTCCACACTGTATGCGCCAAGATTAAATGCCAAGAATGGACTCCAGACCTCTCCCGGGCCCCAGGCGTTCCCGCCTGCACTCCCCGCCTTCCCTTTTAACTGGGCGGTCGAAACTTTTCGGATTCTGCCCATGACCACCCAACAGCTCGCAGTCTACGACTCCGGCTTTTTTCGCAGCAGCAACAGCAACATCAACCATGAAATTGACGAATCCAGGGCCAAATCCTGTGTAAGCACTCAAAACCCTTCCATCAAAAGACGGGTTTCGATTCTAGGCCACTGTGTCAAAGCACGCGCTGACTTTGGGTTGCAGATACACTGTCGCGGGGCCCTTGACGGCCCGGCCGCTGCCAGACTGGCTTGCGCGCCGCAGGAAAAGATCGTCTAAATATGACGCCGAGAATCTCAACAACTTTGAACTATTGCAAGAGTTTGAGTTTGAGGAGGGCAAGTTACTCCGTCCTTTTCCTTGCTGATTCAATCCTCTGCGCCCCCTAGATACTAACGCTAGCTTGGATAGCCAGCAACTGCGTCCGAGTCAGCGAAGATGGCAACTGGATCATGAGCACGGGGACATACAAGCCCCAATTCCATGTCCATTCGACGCAAGAGCTATCCCTGTCCTTCTCCCGCCATACGAAGTCCGAAAATACAACATTCCTCCTTCTCAGTTCGGACTACTCGAAGAGTGTACACCTACAGTCTGACCGGTCGCTGGAGTTCCACACGCCTATGGGATGTCACTACGAAGTCAGGCTTCCGAGGTTCGGCAGAGATTTGGCGTATCTGCGTCAGAGCACAGAAGTCCTTATTCCTGCCGTCGGGCTGAGTTCGGATGGGTCTGGGTATGGCGAGGTCTTCCGACTCGACCTAGAGAGGGGCCAGTTCCTCCGGCCTTGGCAGATTGATGTGGGTGACGACGAACCGGGGAGTGGGTTGCAGGGAAGCGTTCACGCGGGTGCGGTCAACGTTGCCGCAGTTGCAGAGAGGACCCACGGCCTATGCGCATTCGGTACATCGATCAGCACCGTTGAATTCTACGACCCCCGCAGCAAGGGCCGCGTTGCTGTCCTCGGAGGCCACGACGGCGAGGTGACTGCACTAGACTACAGCGAGGATGGTCTCTCCCTTGCTCTGGGAACAAGCACCGGCCAGATCCGCCTATTCGACCTCAGAAACCCGCGTCCGCTCATGAAGAAGGACCAGGGGATGGGGCTGCCCATCAAGAACTTGATTCACCTGAAGACGCCCACCGAGGAGCGCAAGCTTCTTTCGGCCGACAAGCGGATCATCAAGATCTGGGACGAGCAGAGCGGAGATTTGTGGACCTCGGTTGAGCCGTTAGTCGATCTCAACTTTGTCACCCATGTCCCAGACTCGGGCATGATCCTGACCGCGAATGAGGTAAGCTTGTGACTTTGATGATGCACTCAAGTACTAGCACCGCTAACGCAGCGACTGTAGGGAAAACAGATGCACTGCTTCTTTATTCCCAATCTGGGTCTTGCGCCAAGGTGGTGCCACTTCTTGGACAATCTGGTCCACGAAATGGAGAACGAGACACACACCGAGACTTACGACAACTACAAGTTCTTGACCAAGCCTGAGCTCAAGTCCCTCAGCTTGGACCACCTTATCGGAAAGACCAACCTACTCCGTCCGTACATGCACGGCTACTTCGTTGCTGCTAAGCTGTACGACCAGGCCCGTCTCATTGCCAACCCATACATTTGGGAAGAAGAGCGTGCCAAGAGGATCAAAGAGAAGGTTGAAAAGGAACGTGCAAGCCGCATCAGAGGAGTCAAGAAGGTCAAGGTCAACCAGAAACTGGCAGACAAGATCCTTCAGCGGCAGGAGAACAGAGAAAAGGTGGACACGGCGGCCGGTGTCCTTGGGGACGATCGTTTCGGCAAGCTCTTCGAGGACGAGGAGTTCAAGGTGGACGAGACCAGCTATGAGTTTCGAGCCCTCAATCCAAGCACCAAGGTGGAGGGCGGCCCAGACCGGGACATTCGCATGGGTGGTGGCGAGACCAGCGACGAAACCAGCGACTCGGAGGCCGAGAGCGAGCGTAAGAAGCCTAAGGACGGCGTGGTCATGCAGGTATCTTCCTCGAAAGCACAAGGCGGGAAAATCAGGGACACGGCCATCGGCGACAGGGCACAAAAACAGACACGTGCGGCGAGGGTCCGGACCGGCGACATCGTTGGAGAACAACAAATCACATTCGTACCGGAATCGAAGAAGAAAAAGAAGCCGCAGCCATCAGCACCGCCGGCGAACAAGCGCCAAGATAGGAGAAGCGCGAGTACCAACACCTTCCGCCGATTATAGACGCCAGCTCTGCTTCCGTTCCAGCCGTATATTATACAAGAAAAGTCGTGATACCCTGGGATCTGTTCCCTTAATCGTCAATCAACTCGGTGTTTTGCAGGTCAGGATCGTCATTCCATTGCCGCCAGGCTCGCCCTTCCCTGAGCCAGCCTCAAGCCGGCCGGACACCCCTCTCTTCTATCCCTCCGACCCCTCTCACTTGCGACTAAAATTCGCGCGCTTCTTCTTCGGCTTTTCAAGCCCCTTTTCCAAATCGAGATACTCCGGCTTGATTCTAGGAGTCGGTGGCACGTCGTCTAGCCTGCTCCGCCCTCCCCTTCCAGAGGACTCTTTGACTGATTTGGGGAACTCGCTTCGTCGCGGTGTCAGTGCCGTGACTACCTTCCTTGCTGACCTCCGCAGCGTCTCTTTCACCGTCCACTCGCGCTTCTTGGCGACCCAGAATAGCACCATGCTAGCAACTGCGCAGACGGAGTCAGCATGCCATCTGGCGGGACAGCAGGGAGGGGTTTTCTGGCGGGAGTTGTACTTACTGCCGACCAGCGCCACCAGAACGACGACTACGATAATGGCTGCGAGCGCCCCGCTAGATAACACCATCCCGCCGGTGGAGGTGCCGGATGCCCCGGCCACACTGCCGTCGAACGTGTCCTCAGGACCAGCGTATGAACCATCGTCGGCTCTCGCGAGCGGGAAGTCTCCCGTGGTTTCCGCCATCTTGTTTCGTTATGTCGCCTGTTTAGCTGTTGGTGTGGCGATGTCTCCCGAGGAAGTCGTGTACGGGTCAAGTGGGACGATAAATCAGGCGACCGCGAGACCAGCAGCGGCGGGAATGAATGGGAAAACAGCTGGGAGGGAATGGTTGCGAAGGATGGAACTAGGGCGTGGCATGCGAGTACATAATAAGACTGAGTGAGACAAACCACTGGAGGGTGTCACCCAAACCTGGAACATTGAGTGAGATTGGGGGACGATGGGGCTTCGGGTCTTCCTTAAGCCGTCACCCATTCAAGATGTGACATAGATAGTACTTCCCTTGCTCCTATAGTAGACTTCTCATCACACAGCATAGTCAACGAGCATGTGTGCTCTGATAACCTTCTTTGGTGGGTTTGCATGGGCCCCCCTCAGGCTCGGCACTTGCAGCGCACTGGCTGCATGCGTTTAAACCCATTCCTGAAGCAGTCTAATGCGAGACCCGTCTCTTCATCCACCATAGTTTCGCTCCCATCCTCGACATCTCATTGGGGATCAGCTTGTTCCCGCAAGCGCCCGGCCATGTGGCGGCACCTTGCATCAAGCAATCGGGCAACCGAGTCGACGATTGACGACTGTCGTTGGGCAGCAGGGGCCCAGAGGGACCCTTGTCCGATCTAGGACCAAGGCCCACAACATCAGGGGTATGTTTGGGTGTTGACCAATCGGATGAGGTTGATGCGCAGGACGGCGGCTCGAGGGCCGTGATGTCTGGACCGGACCATCACGTCACATCACCTTCTTCCGTCACTGTGTACCGTAGTACAACTTCGGCTTGTGCTTTGGCGGGATACGCGCCATTAAGGCACAGGATGTATGGACGCAGATTCGTATCTTGCATGGAGTCGAGAAGGCGGGGTATGCCAAATTTAACCTGAGATATCCGCTATGAGGCGCAAGGGCCGGACGATGAGGACCAGTGTAAGAACAAGACACCGCCCCAAGCTTCCAGACGCTGTTGTATCGGGCCTGTGCTTATTATATGTGCTGCAGGGAGCTGGTTTGTTCGTCTGAGCGAGCATCGCTGTTTTACTGATCCTCTCTGAAGCTCTGAAGCCGTTCTCGCTTTTTGGGAGTCTCGCCGGCATGCCCCCAGCATTCATTTTCAACGAGAATGGCCATATGCGCTGAGAGTATGGCAGCGGCTTATAGTACGCTCCGAAGGTTACTCTGATGCCTCAAGCTCTCCCACACACTCGTCCCTTGCCAGGCTGAACTTTGACAGTTATTCCTGCGGCTGCAGAGTAGCAGATGCGTGTCACTTGGCGCCTCTAGCCCACATCGTAGATAGGGCAAGGGGACGGGGAAGTCCACCATCTGAAGCGCCTCAACGCTTTCAAGGTTGAACAAAAGCCCTCAGGTTAGTTCAGCGTAACTGACTAGATACAAGAAAGGACAGTACATTTTCCAGGTTTGACCCCGGTTCATCTCTGTCGCTCTCTAGCAAGTACTGCCGGTCGTCTAGGTAGGTTTCTCGGCAGCAGGACACAACACGTCTTCAAGCTACCATTCACACAATATTAGGCTACGACCTCGCGGATAACGTTCGATAGTTGCTCTAAGAGACATGCAGGGAAACTAGGTAGGTTTGGAAAAAGGAAGGCGAGGGTCATCGCATGGCCTCAACATCCTCATCCCTCACATATATCAGTCATCTGCTGAGTCCACTCGAAGACCTGATGACTGGAGGGACTTGAACAGGCTTCATTCTTCACTCTGCTCACCTTACCTTAGGAGACTGCAAGGACACCGCTGCAAGATGTTCAGTTGTGCTTGTACAAGTACATTCGAAATCGGATGCCGGGACATGACCTAAGATAGGGAAGGGGTAAGCAACTTGAACCTTCAAACCATCCCAAAATGCCCACAGATTGAACTTGGACCCCGGGGCCGTCTGAGCTTGACCAGGTTCCAACCCGGAACTCGGACTCTCAGTACTACCTCTACTAGTAGTAGTAGTCATTGTCAAAACAGGAAGGAACGACAGACCTGGTGACGATGGGTTCCGAAGGCACACCCACCTTCCAGATCCAAACTTCACCCGGAGGAAACTTGAAGCCCAAACTTCAGCTATTGCATTCTAAACCCAGTCCTCTTTAAGGGCGCGCCAGGTTTGCCAATGTACCAATGCAGAAGACATCTCCCTGAGTCAGGCACAACCTTATTCCCCAACGAGTGAATTGCATTTACACTCCTATTGCTATCCAAAGGCCACATACCCTACGAGCTCCGGGCTTAGCAGAACAATCCGCCAATCGGTGCAAACTCCCCGCTGAGAAACGCAGCCTTCAACGACATGGCGAACTCATCGCCCGGACAGGCTCTGGCCTCCGGTCCCATGATTCCGATCACAGGAAGTCTCAGTGACTCTGCGGCGAATGTCGTGTTGCACGGTAAGGACCGTGAAGTTCCACTAGAGCAGCAAGATCACTCGCTTGCTCTACATACATCTCCAGAAAAGGACGGGCATAATCACCAGGTCATACCCCAGGGGCAAACAAACCGTTTCGATGCTTCCGGAGAAACCATGTTGTTGGAAAAGCCTCCAAGTCTTTCCAGGCTGCCAGACCTAGAAAGGGGTTACCAGTTTGGTCCGGCGATACGACTAGCCCCTGACCATTTCACAAAAGTTCCAGGGCGACAGGTCCCCATTCACCATGATATCCATCCCCAGCATTCGGAAAGGACCTCCCCAGTTCCCATGGCCAAAAAGGCTCAGAGTTCTCGGTCCCATCTTACTTCTACGCCGCGAGGAGCAGCTGCGAATGCCACTAACAGTGATTCCTTCCCACTCGACTTCTCGGTTCGCTCCCAAGCAAGTACCCAGATAACCGGTCAGAACATTGAGGAGAAGAGAAACAATGGCATCTACGAGTGGTCTGAGACGAAGAAACACGATCAGGGAACTGAAGTGCCTCCTTTCCCGGACTCGCCACACACCCGGACCCCTCTCGCCGAGAAAACGCCTGCTGTGTCAGTCAGTGACCGTCAAACCAGAGTTCAGCGCTTACTCCTAACGTCTGCCGCAATGAATGAACCCGGGGCTGGTTCAGGCGCCCGCACATCCCCCGATGTGGAACAACATTGCGACCATATCAAGAGCCCACGATATGAGTACTACAAACACGAGCAGGAAGATCTACGCTCAATAGCAAAGGAGGACAAGACAGACGAAAAACACCATTATTCTCCTCTCTTGCCAAGGGGGGAATCCAGCGACCTCACGCGCGCATACAAGCATCATCGGAATCAGATAGCAAACCGCCCACTGAGGGAAACAGGACTGCACAGGCCGAAGAGACCTGCAAATGGATCTCGACCATCTCGTCCAGAGTCGCGGAGCTCTAACGTATCAAAGCAGAGGTTGGTTACTCTTCCAAGTTAGTGTTCCACATAAACTGACCACACCCAAAGGTCCAGGTGCGGGTCGCTTGCATCAAGTCCAATGCTACGGCAGCGGAGGGTGGCTATCAACCACGAGTTCACGACCGGCATGGCTGGGATCATCAATCAATTCACACAACAGCAACACGAAGCACTTGAAGAGCAGAAGGTGAGATATCACAAGTATATCAGACGGCTCAGACAGGAACTTGCCGAACAATCCACGCACGTTGCTCGGCAAACATCCCAAATTGATGCCCAGGCCAAAGACCTCGAGGATCTTCATATGTCCAAGCAGGATCTTATGAAGCAACTGAAAGACATCGAAGCCAAGTTGCGGGCTTCTGAGGACCGGGCTCGAAGACTCGAGGAGAAGTACCGCACCTGCAAGACGCATCTCAATTCTGCAATCCAAGAGCAGCAGGACCTCTACACTCGCTCAAAGAAGCACTGGGGCGAGGCAATCGAGCAAGTACGGGCAATGGAGAGGCTTCAAGCCACCGAGGCAGAGATTACGGTCCAGAAAGCGGAAGCAATTAGGGAGCAGATGATGGAGAAGGTCCGCCAGACCATCGCGCACAACAAGAGTGAAGCCTTGAAGCGTGAGCCCTGGAGATCCATACAGACTGCTTCAACGCAGAGGCTGATCTTTTAAATAGTGTACGGAAAGATTGACGCTCTGACACGGCAAGCTGAGGAGAAAGAATCCGAGCTCCAGAAAGAACGCGATTCTGTTCGTGCCCTATCCCAGAAACTGCGGGACCTTCAAGCTACTTCGAACAACTTCGAAGCACTTGCTGCTCAGGGTACGGAGATTCTAGCCAAGCTCGGCCAGCAGCAGGAAAAGGCAGAAGAGCAGCATGAAAGTTCGGCAAAGACAATCAGGGACAGGCAAGTATTTCTTGAATATGGGTGTCTCGGAAACGTATCTGATATCATTGCAGACTTGACCTCGTTACCAATCGTCTGGAGGCGCTCTGCAGCATCGCTTCGAGACAACCTGACGTTTTGGCCAGCATTCGACAAGCCCAGCATGAATCTTTGAACGGGTGAGCCGCCTCCCGGCCTAACAGCCACTTCCGACGGTGCAGCTGACTGGAGAAGCGTCGCGAATAAGCTTGACAAGATCCTAGAGTCTCGAGATGCGGCAAGAGATGCCACAGGCCAGTTGTCGACCAGTCTCGAGGCCCACATGGAAAAGATCTGGGAGCGGCTGGATCACCAACTCGAGTCATTGAGTAAACAGCTGGCGGAGAAAGCGGAAGAAAATGGAATGCTGTCGACACTGTACAGAAGAAAGGAGGCCGAATGCGAGGAACACAGCAAGGAGCTCGCAGCCCTGAGGGAGACTACGGAAAAGCAAGCGCAACAAATCCATGAGCTTGACGCAAACCTCTTTGCCATGGATGCAGCGCAGGATGAGAACGAGGACAAGATTCGACGCCTGGAACGGTCGGGGGCTGAAACAAGCAAACTCAGAGAAGAACTTGAGTCTAAAGCGGCAGCGATGGCCGATTTGCAGAGGACACTCGACGCTAAGGAGAGATCATTTGCTTCCGAACTGCAGAAGTACGCTTCTAGCCTCCAGAAGCTTGCTCTGACAGTCCAGGAGAAGGATCAGTCTCTGGGTGTCGCAACTCAACAGGCTGCGGAGACAGCCCGCCGCGAAGCTCGGATTGATATGGAGAGAGCCAACGCTCAGGCTGAGAAGCTTCTCCGCGAAACACAGCAGCAACGCGATTCGCTGGCCGTTGAGCTACAAAGTCTCAAGCAAAAGCTTCAGGAAAAGGAGTGCAACGAGTCCCGAGCTGCCTTCACCATATGTTCCCTGCAGGAAACCCTTTCCAAGGCAGAAGCAAAGGAACGGATGATTGCGCAAGACTTGGAGCAACGTTCAGCTAACCTAGAGGGACTAGAGATAAGATTGACATCTAGAGTCACAGACCTAGAAGCGCAACTCAGGGCCGCCCAGGCTCGAACCGCTGAGTTGGAGGGGCAGAACCGACTTCAGCATACACGATTTGAAGCGCTCATTTCCGGCCTCAAACATTGGGCGTCCCAAGAAGCTCTCAATACTGACGCCCTGGACTCCCTCGGAGCTTGCGACAGAAGCGAGGAGGAGATCAGGGCAGAGGTGATACGTGCCCTGGAACAGCTGTCTTTCTCTCCAAAATTGCAAAGCGAAATCCCGGGAGAGCACCTGAATCTGCTGCTGCGCGAGAAAAACTCAGAGTCCTTTCTGAACGAGGATATCCAGGGCCCGCGGGTTGATCTAAAGAGCCAGAGCAAAGCTGGTGAGTCGGCGGAGGACGCCGCCGGCAGAGTGCTAGTTAAGCATACGGTGACGGACGAGAATGCCGCGGAGGGTACGTCTGCTGAGAATGACCCGCTCCCATACGCATCGACACTACATCACGTGAGACGTGTTATCGTTCGCAGCCCAGCAAGTGTTCCGAATGAACCAATTCCCCCCTCGATCGACCAGGAGAAGGTCCGGAGGAGAGGGGCTTTGCAGCCAAGGTCTATCATGAAGCGTGCCACCAGAAGCGCATCCAGAGAACTGGACACTGTTACGGGGCCCGGAGTGTTCAAACGAAAACACGACGAGTACTTCACGGAAGGGACCACCCCCGATCACCCAGGACGCGAGCAGATGAAGACTGAGGCCGTTCCGGTTTGGGATGCTGAGCCCACTGAAAGCGCATCGGCAGAGGCAAGGCGACGTAGCAGACGGAGACGGCCAGAAACTGCAACATCCAATGGATCTATTGGACACTCGCACAGCTTGAAGCAAGCGGAAGGAGGAGGATTACCCGGATCGGGTGAAGAACCGACGGCAAACCGTCAGCTCCAAGTTCCGCTGCAGCATGGAGGCGAGGAGGGTTACCATCAGCAGCGCCACACTTTCGCCAACGGCTCCCAGAACATCGAGGCCAGAACGACTCGCAGTTCTAGGGGAAATCCAGCCGTTGGACCACCGGGCTCGCATAGGACCTCCTCGGCCAACACAGGCCGAGCTCTGGCCACAAGACCGGCGAATGTACGGACATATGGCACAAGGAAGGCGGAGAGAGGCCTTGTGACTGCTGCTGGAAAACCCGATCCCCAAGGTGCATTGCGGTCACAGTCACCATCGCAATCTAGGTACTGGCCACGGCGGAAGGAAGAGTCCCAGGACACAATCACTTTCTCTCAGGGTGTTAATGCCGATGAGAACCTGCTTCTTTCCCTCCGGGATTGACACAGCGGGAACTTGCACGCTGGGGTTGCTCAGTATTTTGGAGGACGTTGCATTAGCAACTCCATGAGTCGCTTGGTGTGTTCAACCACCCTGAACTTGCTGAAAAGTCGGATGGAAGAGTGAGACGGGAAACATGTACTTGTACATTGCTAGGTCGGCTCACCAAGGACTCTAGGCGTCGTGAAGGTTCTTTTGGTGCAATTGTATCAGGGAAGTGCGAGAATTGAAGATTGCTGCGGCGCATATGTTTGGGGGTTCCGTTTCCGGTAACAGAGTCCGTTCATAATATACAAGTGTTCGGACCGGTTTCCCCGTTTCGATGAGCGACTTATTAACGGTCTTGCCTCACTCGATAGGTAAGACCCTGTCACCGCAGTACGAGTCTTGTCGTGATTGCTCTAGATTGTCCTGTCCTCGAAACCTTATAACTCCCGCGCCCTGTCATGCTGTACACTGGCGAGCCCATATAATACACGCCCTTGGCGAAGCGTTGGCGGTTGGGACCGCCGCCCAAGCTCCAAGAAGATCTGAACCGAGTCGGGTGAGTCGAGTCAGTCGACTTCTCCAGTTCAGTATCCCGTATCTCGTGATTCGAGATGACTTGCCGTCCGCCCGCAGTCCATCACTCGTTCCACACTTCACGCGCCGAATCATTTGCCCTTCCGTTTTTGCTCGAGGAAGAGTACTCTCCGCCGGACTGTCCCAATAAATATCTATTAGCGATATCCGCCCTTCTTTGTCTTTTCCAACCACGACCGGCGATGTGTTCTCTTCGCCCAAGGCGACAAGTCCCTGCCTTCCAGGGGCAGCTCAGGGAACCCGCGTACCGATTGGGTCGTATTTGATCATGCTCATGGGCAGCGCCGTGCGGGGCCGTGTGAAGGTGTAGAAATAGCCCGTCATGGCCATGGACAGGAGGCGCACGTTGATAATGCGTGTTTTCGCTGTTCAGTTGGTTTTTTTGGGCAAGTGTCAGTTTGACAGGCGCGGAGGATCGCGGGGGAAGAAGTCTATTAGCCTTACCCTTCTTCGCCATGTTAAGTCTGGGGGTTTTGGTGTTATGGCGCTGGCGGCCCTCGTTCCTCCTGGCTGCTTCGCGGATCGTTTGTCGCTCGCGATGGTCGCCGGCGGGTCGTCGGTGTTCGATGTAAAGATTTAGCGGTCCGGCGAGCCCGCAAGGCTTGGACGGGGAATGGCGTCGGAGCTCGGGCCGGATGCAAGGGTTAGGGTTATCTATGGGCATTCTTCGATGTGACCTCTTTTGCAAAGCGACTACTAGTACGAGTAGTACCAATTACCTCAGCCTGTCTGTCATCACAGTTTCTCGGGGCAAGAGCCTAATAGGCTTAAGGACAAAACTTGGCTCAAAATGGAACCTCGATGTCCCGACGAAACGGTTGCACAGCGATTCTTGCCATGACCCTTCCGGTTCCTGATAGCGTAGCTCCGAAAAAAGGGGGATCGCACGGGCGGTGTGAGACTCGGAGGGCCCGGATCGGAGTGAATTCGGATCGGAACACATTATCCCTGGTCTAGGCCCGAATTCGGACATCCTACGTAGCATGTGCGTACTAGTAGTAGTTACGTGTTTACCTTGAATAAATAAGCCACCCAATGGAAGATCCAGTGTGCTTGGAGATCCCGCGATCCCCCTCTCGTTGCCGTGGAGGAGCTAAGCCCTTGGAGTTTCTTGCTAGGTATCCGTAGTACAGTAGCTAAGCTTGATCTAGCGGCAGGTTAGATAGACCGCCCTCAATCTCTAGCTCTAGGTGTCCATATATCCATCCTTCTGAGTCATCGATGTTCGAGCGCTTTATCACTCTCCCTCGTCTCTCAGCACTAGAGCTTGTGGTCACCATCAGCACCTAGCTGTTACTGCCAGCTTCACGGCATCAGCCGCACATAACCGCCCCAGACAAACCAGCGCGCCCCACTCCCTCACACTTCCCCAGCTTTTTTTTTCTTGGAATCGACTGACCAACATCGAACTTGCTGCCAAATGGCACCCTCAATGGTGCATATTGCTCGCCATGGAGCGGCAGTCAACCGGGCACTGGGGCAGGGTGCGCGGTTGGCCCCGCCATTGCTGCAGGGTCCTGTCCAGCGAAGAGGTAACGGATTTCTTTGCCCCAGCGCCTGCTTTTTTTGTTTCAGGTCAAGTCACCGCCGGCCTTTACTGCGCACCGGCGTGGAGCGCGCTCCACTCGGAATCAACTTCTCGAGTCCAGTATTGAAACCTCAAATCCCGCGCTGCTTGTATGAAGCAGCCGCCGGGCGTTCACTTCCCGAGGTCATGTAGCAGCTCTTTACCGCGCAGTTCCGGGATAGCCCGCTGAGGCAAATACATTGGATGGCATGATACTACCTACCTTAGGTATTGTGGTACACTAGTTGTACAAGCCATCTCGCACTCATGCACTGATGCCTTCGGCTGGCTATAGCCCAAGTGTTTTCAGTCATCTTCCCATTTTCCTCTTTGCGACCCCCCGCTTGTTCGTTGTCTCTGCCAATCTTCATGGAAGAAGGAAGAACAGTGGCCCTTCGAGACTTTTGAGTTGCCCCGCAACCCAACCTGTCGGGATACCCGACTTATTAACCTTAAATTCCAAACAAGCCCCCCTGTCGCTGGTGTTTTATCTGACAGCCCGCTCTCTCTGCCGCAGACGTCTCCAGTCTGACAGTTGGTGCCCCGCCAATATATTCTGCTACCCCGCCACCGGATTGTGCGGGCCGCGTCTTTTCACCTGCCTTCCGGAGTCGCTCATCTCAGCAGAAGCGCACCATGGCGTCCAACTCCGGCCGACGACTCAATATCGACAACATCAACCCGCACGTCCGGGCTGCCAAGTACGCCGTGCGTGGTGAGCTGGCCGTCAAGTCGGAGGAGTACCGTGCCGCGCTGCTGAATGGCCCGGCCGCCGGCTTGCCCTTCAAGGAGGTCATCTCGGCCAACATTGGTAACCCTCAGCAGCTGGACCAGAAGCCCATCACCTTTTTCCGCCAGGTCCTGAGCATCCTCGAGAATCCAGCCCTGCTCGAGAAGGCCGATGTGTTAGTGAACCACCTGGGCTACAAGCCGGACGTTCTGGAGCGGGCCAAGAGGTTGCTGGCTCAGGTAGGCTCCGTAGGTGCCTACAGTGCCAGCAACGGCGTCCCTGCCATCAGGCAGAGCATCGCCGAGTTCCTCGAGAGTAGGTCAACGATTAGATGGCGGAAGACTGGTCAGGGCTGACCAAACGAAACAGGACGTGATGGCTTCCCTGCTAACCAGGCCGACATCTACCTCTCTGCCGGTGCCTCCTCCGGTGTTAACACCCTGTTGCACGTTATCTGCGCTGGGGAGAAGTCGGGCATTCTGGTCCCCATCCCGCAGTACCCCCTGTACACGGCCTCGCTCTCCGTCCTGAACGCCGCTTGTGTACCGTACTACCTGGACGAGTCCAAGAACTGGGGCACCGACCTGGGCACTATCAAGGAGGCCTACGAGAAAGCCAAGGCCGAGGGTGTCGATGTGCGCGCCATCGTCATCATCAACCCCGGCAACCCCACTGGCGCCTCCCTGTCCGAGGAGGATATCCGCGCCGTGATCGACTTCGCGCGGCAGCAGCGCCTGGTCGTCCTCGCCGATGAGGTCTACCAGACCAACGTCTTCATCGGCGAGTTCATCAGCTTCAAGAGGATGCTGCGCCAGATGCAGAAGGAGAAGCCCGGCGTGTACGACGACGTCGAGCTCGCCTCGCTCCACTCCGTGTCCAAGGGCATGGTCGGCGAGTGCGGCCACCGCGGCGGCTACTTCGAGCTCGTCGGCTTCGACCCGCAGGTCCAGGCCGAGATCTACAAGTTCGTCTCCATCATGCTCTGCGCCCCCGTCATCGGCCAGTGCCTCGTCGAGCTCATGGTCAACCCGCCCCGCCCCGGCGAGCCGTCCTACGAGCTCTACCAGCAAGAGTACGACGCCATCTTCAACGGCCTGCGCGAGCGCGCCACCGCCCTGCACAAGGCATTCGAGCAGATGGAGGGCGTCGAGTGCGGCGTGCCCCAGGGCTCCATGTACCTCTTCCCCACCATCAAGCTGCCCCCGAAGGCGGCCGAGGCAGCCGCCGCCGAGGGCCGCACCCCCGACGAGTTCTATTGCATGCGCCTGCTCGAGGCCACGGGCGTGTGTGTGGTGCCGGGCTCCGGGTTCGGCCAGAAGGAGGGGACGCTGCATTTCCGCACCACCTTCCTCGCGCCCGGGACCGAGTGGGTGGGCAGCATTGTCAAGTTCCACAAGGAGTTCATGGACAAGTACCGCTGAGCGTGGGTGGCATGCTGAGTGGGTACCGGACGGTTTAGTTGGAAGCGTGAGAGTACCCGAGATCATAGCCGTGTATCCTTCGACACCTGAGAAGCCTTATAAGGTAGGAAAGCACGGCGTGCGTCGGCTCCCGTAACGGCCGAGCGTCGGGGCTCTGGATCTCGTGCATGCCTGGTTATATGCGATGACTTTTTCCATTGCATTTGACATGGAGATCTCCCAAACATAGGTGGAGCAATGGTGATTTTGGACTTTAGATAGCCAAGCGCGGCGTCTCGTTCATAGACAAAATTCGAGGGCACCCTGAAGCATTCGTGTGCATGTGACTGCGTCCGTCCTGTGCAATACACAAGGTAACCATTCCATGGCCCATTCTCCAGTTGTTTGCGTTTATAGGTATCATACACAGGATGCCACACTTCCCCTGATGTTGGTGCGTCGGAAATATGGGGCATTTCACGTCATGCGGATGTTCATGTTTATTATACCCCGTGTGGCAGCGGGCAGGCCTCTAAAGCTACGACAGCCACTCCTGCCTACGCCCTCTCACTCCCTCTCAACCGAACCGCCTGCCCGTACTTTTGCAGCTTCGTAATCAGCTGATCACCCTGACGCACGACATCCTGGTACTGCTTGTTCTTGTCATCCGGCCGGTTGGTCTCGATGACGCCGTTGCCGGCCACGCGGTCAATGGTGCAGGGGATGCGGCCGGCGGCGATGAACTTGGCGAGGTCGCTGTATTGTACGTCAGTACACATCGTCCACACGAACCATCTTTTTCCCTATGTTCGGGAATGGAAAGCAGGAGAAGGAGAAAGGCAGTGAGGAGGTTTCTTACCGGTCCAGAAAATCAACCGTCACGCCGAAATCGTTCGCCATGCTGTCGAGCCCAACAACCCGGTAACTCTGCAGGAGCTGCTGGTACGCGCGCAGGCGCATCTCGCGGATGAACCAGTTCTTGTGCTCGTGGAGGTAGCGGTCCTGCGTCAGAAACTGCTCCTCGACGAGCGCCAGCGCCTGGAAAAACAGCTTGTACCGCCCGTTGTAGAGGCTGCTGACCAGCTGGGCGAGCGGACCAAAGTCCACCGCCATCTCCGCCTCGGGCTGGTCGCTGCCGAGCGTTGTCAGGTTGACGACCGCGACTTTGGAACCGGCAGGCGTGGCGGAGCTCGCGTCCACCTCCATCTCGGCGTCGTCGGCACCCGGACCCGCGGAGATTGCGCCTGTCAGGGCGAGCAGCTTATCCTCGCCGTCCCCGAGGATGGCTCGGATTTCTGGGGCATCCACCACCTTGGACTTGAAGTCCACGCGCTTGAGCGAGACGGACCCCGCGAGCACGGAGTAGATGACCAGGTTGCTGTAGGTGCATAGCTCGTAGGAGGTGAAGGTGGACAGGCTGTCGAGGAGCAGGGGCGCGGCGAGGTTGTAGCTGCGGATGGTGAGCAGGTACAAGCCTTCGTACGCCTTCAATCGGTTGCGCCGGTCCCAGTCACCGCCGCTCTCGACCAGTGTCTTAGCCCGCTCGACGTGCTTCTTGACCAGATGCTTGTCTCCGTAGAAGAGCCCCATGCGGATGATTGCAAGCACCAGGTCGATCTTGGTGCCGAGGACGCCGGTCTTCTCGAAGACGTCTTCGTATGCGGCAATGGCTTTCTCCTGAAGGAATAGAACGATCAGTCAGCAGCTCCAGCCAAAAAATGGCTGGCATGGGGACACGCACCTTGTCACCAACTCTGGCCCAGAACTCGGCCCTCTTGCCCCGTGCAGCTTGAATCTCCGTGTCGCCAGCTTTCTCAACTGCCTCCTCCTCTTCCTTTTGGTACTCCTCTAGCTCACGCTCGTTGTCGGCATGCAGCGACTGGTACAGCTCCTCGTCCCACGGCAGGTTTATGCTAGCGGTTGCGCTCCTCGTCGCGATCATTCCCGCAGCGCTGTTCTTCCTACTCGGTGCCTTGCCCGGGACGTTCGCACCGCCCTCTCCAACCACATTGAGAATGCCATCTATCGGGTGTGCTAGGTAGCGGTAGAAGGGCGCCATCCTGTGCTCGGAGATGGCATCTTGGAGCTGCTTGGCCGCCGCCTGTTGCGAGGTCCGGGAGGCGTATGAGTTGGTGAGGGTAAATACTTGCTGAGCGAGTGGCAGCAGGGGCCATTTCGCGTATTGCGGGTCTGAACCCATGGCTGTGGTGGTTGAGTGGGATAGGGAAAGGCGGTTGCGGGAGGGCGTGGAGGGTTGACAGATCCTTGGATTGAAAGCGAAGCTTGGTTGGACCCGGACGTATGTCGAGGGAAAGTGACCGTGACCGTATCAGAAAGGCTATCAAACCGACTCGGATAGAGCTTCACGGGTTGGGAAATTGGACCACGATGTGGTCGTGGATGCAGATGCAGGTCACAGGCCGCTTCGATTGCTTGTCGGTTCTCAGCGGGCGTCAGTTGGCTCGAGCTTGGTTCGCAAGGCTGCAAAGAAGCTCGCGTCACTGCTGCGGGCTGCTGATGGGGTCTCGGGCTGTTCTCTGATTCGCTGTTTCCGCTGGGTGTGCGCCGAACGTTATCGTCCCTGCACTTCAACTCGTGGTCCATCACCCTGTCAATCACACTGCATCGCCTATCCAACCAACACCTTGTAACATTCAAAAGTCACAAGGAGTGCCTTCCAGCCGCCCTCCAAACTTCCCTGTTCACGCCGACTCACTTTCCGGCTTCAGTTCCATCGTTGAGCTAGAACCAAGGAAAGATACATTGACACTTGGATTGCACTGCAATTCGAACACCACCGACCGCGCCCCGTCTCCATTGACCCGTGGATCGCCATGGGCGATCACGAAAATGATGACCTCCCTCAACCTTTCGACGCCAAGAAGCTAGCCCCGGCCAAAAAGCGGCAACGGTCGACCTCGCCCAGCGCAAGCGGAAATGCAAGCGGCTCGGGCGAACCCCCGCGCAAGCTCAAGCGACCGGGCCAGCGCGCCCGCATCACCGATGCCGAGCGCGAGCAGATCCGGCAGCGGGCTCTCGAACGCGAACGACAGGCGCAACACCAGGCGGCCACGGAGGAGCTGAAGCAGCGATCGACAATCAACGACGTGGTCCGGGCACACTACAATGCCGTCCCAGAGCGCGGCCGCGAGTGGCGCAAGACGGATAGTCGCATCAAGGGCTTGAGGTCGTTCAACAATTGGGTCAAGAGCTGCATCATTCAGAAGTTCTCCCCAGATGAGGACCACTCGCCGGGGGCACTGGAGCAAGGAATAACCTCGGGCAATAAGCTGCTTGTGTTGGATATCGGATGCGGCAAAGGAGGAGACTTGTTCAAATGGCAGCAGGCGCCCCAAACAGTGGATCTATATGTCGGCTTGGACCCAGCCGAGGTGTCCATCGATCAGGCGAGAGAGCGTTACCGGAGTATGATAAACCGCGGCGGAGGCGGCGGGCGGGGCGGTAGGGGCGGCCACCGGCGCCAACAGCAGCGGATCTTCGAAGCCCGGTTCCACGTCAAGGACTGCTACGCCCAAAGCATCGATGATTTAGACATCGTGCGGCAGGTTGGGTTTTCAGCATCCAACGTCAGCAGCAGCCGCGGGTTCGACGTGGTCAGTATGATGTTCTGCATGCACTACGCCTTTGAATCCGAGGCGAAGGCACGCCAGATGCTCAAGAACGTGGCCGGCTCTCTGAAGAAAGGTGGCCGGTTTATTGGGTGCATTCCCAATTCGGACGTCATCAGTGCCAAGGTGGAAGCCTTCAACAAGCGCATGGAGGAGAAGAAGGCAAAAGCCGCCGCAGAATCTAAGAACACACCCTCTTCCGACCCCTCCGCAGAAAAGGAGGCACCAAAAGAAGACGGTGAGCTCGAAGAAGAAGGCGAAGCCGAAGAGACGGCTTCATGGGGCAATGAGATCTACCGGGTGCGCTTCCCAGGCGCGACCCCAGCCGACGGCATCTTCCGCCCTCCCTTCGGATGGAAGTACAGCTTCTTCCTGCACGAGGCCGTCGAGGAGGTGCCCGAATATGTGGTACCCTGGGAGGCTTTCCGGGCGCTGGCCGAGGACTACAACCTGGAGCTGCAGTACCACAAGCCGTTTGCCGAGGTGTGGGAGACGGAGAAGGATGACCGCGAGTTGGGAGCGTTGAGCGAGCGGATGGGTGTGCGGGATCGGGCTACAGGCAAGCTACTCGTTTCAGACGAGGAGATGGAAGCGGCCAGCTTTTACGTGGCGTTTTGCTTCTACAGGGTCTGAGCGAGGGCAATCGGAAGGTTGGTCTTGTTGCGGTATCATGCATGCCTTCGAACTCGAGGAGGAAATCTGTGCCGATGGGATACGGTTATGATCATCTCCTGCTCGCGGTCTCTTTCTGGAGTGGACCACTCATCGGGCAAGGCTCTCGGTTGCATTTTAGGAACCTTTCTTGAACGGGAAGGGCGAAAAGGGTGCGCGGTTAGAAGGGAATCACGGTCATGAACAACACCATACTTGAGCTAGATACCCATCATCCTCAGTCCCCAAATGGTCGAGGACACTAGCATAGTCCCGGAAGTGAGAGAATTTCGGAGCCTCATTCCTTCTCACAAGGAGTTCCGTTCCACTGATCGGTTCCGAGAGCTGAGCCCGCACACTTGAATGACCTGCGTATAATGGTGAAGGAAGCGAATCAGCCGGGTTCTCTACGGAAAAGCGCATTACAAGGTGAGATTAAACACTTATATGCTATGCTTATTGCATCTGAATCTGAAGGAGGAGTGTGGGTATCATCATCCCTGTTGCCAAACGGCTGGGGGTAGGGGCAGCTGTGGCTCTCGAAATCAATGACCAAGAAGAAAAACCCCGAGTTCGCCAGCGCCTCACTACCCGACCAAAAAAAGACTCCTCTGAAATGCGCACTTCCTCTTTCCCGAGGCACTCCAACCTGACCGCCCTGTACCTGAATTCCAGTAGCACCTTACCAACCAACGAGCAGCTAGGACTCCACGCGCTACATGGAGTTCGTCGACCGCCGCCAAATCATGAAGGCCGCGAGCGCAGCACACGACGTGGCCGCAAACGCCATGTATAGGCTCGTTCGGTCCGGCGGCTCCTCTCTCTTTGGGAAGGCGGTGCTCGGGTTGGTGGCGGCCTCGGCCAGCGCAACAAACAGCTCGCTGATGCTGCTCCACGTGACACTGACGTGCACGGGTGCCGACATGTTCAGCGCGGCCGTGTAGGCGTCTGGTTGGAGCTCGCTGCGCTGCGTCGCCTTGTCGCGGTCGGCCTTGAGCGCCGTGTAGATGGCGGGCAGCTCGTCGAGGTGCGAGTAGCGCTTGCGCAGGTCGACAATGTGTGAGAAGGAGTCGGCCTCGGACGAGTCATACGCGTAGCAGATCAGGTCACACGCGTCGAGCTTCGCCTGGTTCTCCAGTATGGCCGGCTCCAGCTCGCCGAGCTCTTCAAGAATCAGGTAGACCTGCTTGCCGCCGGGCAGCTCGACGCTGTTGACCGCGCGGCGGGGCTTGATGGTCGGGTGGTAGAGCGAATCGAACGGCCGGTTGAGGAAGGCGTCGAGAAGGGAGGACTTGCCTGCTCCTGAGGAGCCGAGGACGTAGCAAAGCACAACGTTCCGTTCGACGCGGCCCGGCCTCCGCCTCCGCTTCCGCGGCTTGGTCACCTTCAGGGCGGCTGTTGTGGAATCGCGAACGTTTGGCCCCTCAAAGCCGAGGTAGGCGAGGTATTCTAGCGTGGTTTTTGGCTCCAGGAAGGTGGTCATGCTCCACTGCGCAAGCCAACCTTGTAGCGTGATGTGACCAGCCTCGTTCCGGAGGGTGGACGAGGGGAATGAGGTCTCTATCCAGGATTGCGGTAGCCCAGGGGTGGGGGCAAACAGGGCTGCCAGTTCCTGATCGTTGAGGCCGCCGTCGTTGTCCTTGTCGAAGGTCAAAAAGAGGTCCATGAAGAAGCGGTACCCCGCCGGGCTGAGCTCTGCCGAACCATAGTCTGGGACATCGAATCTAGGATGCAAAAAGCTGTCTTCCAGACTCAAGCTGTCCGTGTAATGGTGCTTCCTCAAAATAATCCATATCGTCTCGTGGCGACCCTTTTCTGCGTACAGCTTGTTCAACTGCAAAAAACCCTTAAGGTCAAGACCCTTCTCTGAGCTGCATGTCGGCACAGCCTTGCTGACAGTCAACTTGATATTATCGAGTTCCTCCGCCAATAGCTGCTTATTAAAGGACCTAGCTTGAAACTCCTGCATCTCTTGATCGTTCAGATAGCCGTCCTGATCCTTGTCCGACAGATAGAATACCCTCTTCAGCGCGGCCACGCACGCGGGCTTCAGCTGCCCCTCCTTGTGATCGTACAGAGGCGCTATTGGGTGCGTGACGGCCTTTTGGCAGAGGTAAAAGACCTCGATGACGTTGTGCTGCTCCTTGGCGCTCGTGCGGATGCATGAATCGATTTCTCTGAACTCGGCCATAACCGGCAGCATCTCCTCCTCAATCACCTGCGGCGTGTTGCCGGAGCCCGCGAGGTCCGATTTATTCGCACATAGCACGACAGGAACGTTGACCCCCAGCGAGCGGAAATACGGCATCCAAAACAGGGCCACGCGTTCGTAGCTGTAGTGGTCTGAGTAGACCAGCATGATGACATTGCACTTTCGGATCTCCTTGCGCAGCGTCGTTCGGTCTTGGGGGCGGGCCGACGTGTCGACAATGGTGGTGGTGACATTTTCGGGGGTGCCGATGGTTGGAGGAATGGTGACCTGGGGCAATACAGACTGGATCTTGTTGGCGACGAAGGTGTCCTTCACAAGCGAGGCAATCAGACTGGACTTGCCCGTCCCCTCGTCGCCACAAACACAGATCCGGACTGCTGTGTTCGGTCAGCTTGGGTCTTTCTCATGCCTGCAAGAGCATCTCGGGTTCGGGTACCGGTCGCCATGTTCGATTTGGTAGATCAATGTTTTCTGGCTTGCAGGACCTTAATGACCTCTTCGGGGTTAGGCCATGATCGTCCTGCTCTTGGTTCGGATCTGGGATGAATAGCCTTGTATTGGCGCCAACAGTACAACCCAACTCCTTGGCAATGTCTACTTTTGATTGCGGGGATATTTGGGTTGATCAGGCCATCGAGGGCTTGCGGTGGTTGATGAGCTTCGGTGTTGAGAGCAAGCTGCCAGCTAGCGTCTCTTTCTGGGTTAGGTTCCAGGCCCCGCATGTTGACGTCCCTCTTTGTCGAGGTTGCATTGGCTGGCTCCCCACCGTCACACTGTGGGGTGTAGGTACAGTACATACCTACCTGAGCCTGCCTACTAGATCGGGACAATGCCAGCTGTCCTGCAAGGTAGTGAACTTGATCAGAAGACTTACATTTGTATGGACGACTTCAAGCCATAGGTTTCGGCGTTCTAGCAGCATGCAGTGCATCTGGACCGTATCTGTGAGAGTATGTTGAGAAGACCCGACTGTAGCATGACCCGGCCGCCTTAACGCACTGTGTATCATTAATAGTAGTGACCTATCTCTTGAAGCCTCAGCATCTCATTTTACAGAAAGAGCCCCTAAGAACCTAATCAAGTAGAAAGAAACTAGGTCTCTGCTATAGTGAATGCTACTAATCTCTGTGTTCTATGCTTTATGTTGAGAACTTAGGCATTAGTACGTGACGAGGGACAAAGTGCAGGGAGAGTGAGCGCCATCTCCTCCGCATGGCGGGGGCTCCATTACCCCACAATCTCCAGCCGTGCCGTCTGTTATTCCTAGGATGCTGTGAAAATGAACCCTGTCCTGCGGATGGATTGTAGCTTCCCTTGGGCCCGGGCCGTTGGCATTGTTGGGGTCCGGCTCTCCGGATGAACCTCCATCGACACGTGTGTTTATAGTGTAGTGTAACTTGCATGGTTGCCGATCCTCCGAGCCGTCATCTCCAACGTCGCTGTCCATATTGTAGCTACCTGTAGTAGCTACCTTATCTTCTCTCGCTTGACGGTCTTATCCAGTCACGGTCACACCGTTCAGTTTCTACCACTCTGTACCGCCACGTTTGCAAGCCGCGACCTATAGCCGCCCGCTTGGCGAGCTGTCCGACCAGTTTCAGCGCATTGCACGTACCACCCTGGTCGATTAAGCAGCCATCACACAGCAGCCACCATGTTGTAAGGAAAACAGTACATGACAGAGTCACAGTGTAGCACAATAACTGACGCATCTTCCCAGCGTCCTTCCACCCCCTCCACGTTATACGTCCCAGCAAGGATACAATGGCATGTCCGCTAGCCAGCCTATGCCAATGATTGAGACGAACAACGTCCTCACCAACCCCTCGGGGCCCGAGTACCAGTTCCTGGTCGGCGAGGGTGAGTCGGTCCAACCCACTTCCGTATCCGAACTGTGTCCAGTTCTGTCCTAACCCTCCCAGGGTTGTATGTGCTAAAGGAAGATCTACATCTTGCGACTCCTCCTCCACACCCCTCCGAGGCGCCGGTAGTGAACCCGAATCCGCTCGCGACAGCACCTCAGCCGGCGACCGCTGGAACGCGGCTTTCACTGATCAACCTCGACGTCAGCCCGCTGTCGCCGGCCTTCTATCGGACAACTTCACGGTCTGATGGCGCTCAGGGCAGCATCCAGGAACACGTGGAGGAGGGCCAGTCATCGAGTGATGTGCGCGAGAGCAGTAGCGATGCTGGGCGCCTCAACTCGAGCGACGCCCAGCTCGTTGCGTCCAACACGCCAGCATTTGGCGAAGGTAACAGTTTCCTTGCGCCAACATCTCAGAAGGATGCGCATAAGCGGCGCAAACCGAAGAACAACATGGCTAAAAGCAACTCGTCCTTTATATCGAGGGTGATCAACCACGAGGCATTGAGCAAGCGGCTGCAGGACCGGCCACGGGATGGATTGTTCGCCTTTGGCAACGTGAACCGCGCTTTCCAATGGCTCGACCTATCCTCCCCGATGAAGGTAAGGCTGCCACTGGCATGACCATATGCGCTCACGCTAATCTCCATCAGGCCGAGTACCTGACCAAGATCTTATTCACGAAAGCTCACTGCTTGTGTCACGACGTGAACAAGGTAACCAAAAGCTCAACACACATAGATGTGATCATGGGATTTTCAACCGGTGAGATCATCTGGTGGGAGCCCATCACCCAGCGGTACACACGGCTCAATAAAAATGTAAGTTGTCTGTCTAACCCAATGCTTTCTGGCCTTACGACTTAGTCCTTCAGGGAATTGTCAACGGCACGCCCGTGTCTGAAATCGGGTGGATACCCGGGTCTGAGAGCCTGTTCCTCGCTGCCCATATGGACGGCACACTCGTAGTCTATGACAAGGAGAAAGAGGACGCCATCTTCACTCCAGAGGATGAGGGAATCTCTCGGACGAGCGGGGAGACCAGCGGCACCGGCAGAGTAAACTACTCGTCACAAATACATGTACACAAGTCGGTACATTCCAAGAACCAAAAGACCAACCCTGTAGCTGTTTGGAAGCTTTGCAACCATCGCATCAACGCCTTCGCCTTCTCTCCCGACAACCGCCATCTTGCCGTCGTCTCGGAGGATGGCACCCTTCGGATAATTGATTATCTCAAAGAAGAGTAACCAACCCCCGGTTTTGTTTTGTTTGCTTGACTTGGCAGTTCCCTTCTCAAGGCACTTAACATACTTACAAACCGGCAACTGACCTCCATTCTCCCATAGACTCCTGGACCTGTTCTACGCCTACTACGGTGGCCTGACCTGCGTGTGCTGGTCGCCCGACGGGAAATACGTCGTCACCGGCGGGCAGGACGACCTTATCTCCATCTGGTGTCCGTTCGACCAGGCGCCCAACACAGCGCTCATCGCCCGGTGCCAAGGCCACCATTCCTGGGTGACCTCGGTTGCGTTCGATCCGTGGCGGTGTGACGACCGCAACTACCGGTTTGGGAGCGTCGGGGAGGACAGGCGAATCTGCTTGTGGGATTTCAGTGTGGGCATGCTGCATCGGCCGAGGGCGGTATGTTTTTTTACACTTCTCGACTCCCTTTTCCCTCCCTTCTTCGCTCTCCCTTCGGTGTTTCTGACACGTTTCGCCCTTTCGGCCCTTTTCGGGGCGGACCGGGGCGGAGCGGGTTCTGCGTTGGAGTTGCGGGTGGGGTGGCTGGTTTTGGGCTGAGACAGAGTTTTCATGGTGCAATCTTGACTGACCTTTTTGTGATTTGTTTGAGCCACAGGCGTCGGTCAGGCAGCGCGGATCCATCTCATCTCGGCCCGGCTTTGTGCCCCTGCAGCGGGCCGAAACATCCGCCACCGCCGGGACCAGCGGCTCGGGGCGTCTGCGGTCTGATTCGAATTTCTCGGCGGATCTTGCGGACGGGGAGAAGGAGAAGGTGCTGCCGCATCCTGTCGAGCCGAGGGCTACGACAGCCACGTTGCCTCCTGTGCTGGTATGTCACATTGTACTGGTGCTATTGCGGGTGGCGAAAATGCATGATGGGGCTGACCCGGGCAGAGCAAAATTGTGGATGATGATCCGCTGTGTTGGCTCGACTTCACGCCAGACGCTATCTTGACGAGTTGCAAGATGGGTACGAGCAGCCCCCATTGCGCGTGGGGGCGCAAGTTGGAGCTGTGTAAAAGCTAACGGGATTTGCAGGACATATCCGGACGTGGTCCAGGCCTACAGAGCTGGCTCCGCAATTGGAGAAAGTCGAGAGCTAAAAGACGGTGGTTGCTGCCGTGGACAAAGGTGTTACGGCCGAAACCCGCAGCACTCCCTGGGTGGCGATCAACTTGCCTTGGGTGTCCAGTGTCATGGTTCATCGGCGGTGGACGTGGACCGCCCGGGCAGCGATACTATAGCCTTATAGCCTCAGGTCTCATGGGTGACTCACAGAAGACGTGATCCCGTCCAGGCCAACTGCAATTTTACCTGTAGTGCTATTGTTACGGAAGAATCGCTTTTCCTTAACCATAGTCATTACTCGCAGTTCGTCAGACCTTAATTTATCAGGATGGTTGATGAGCGTGGGCACAAAGTTCGAGTCTGATGTTTAGCTTGAAGCTCCGAGTCATGATTTGTCCATTAACGCAAGCAGATGGAACTCGGCGGTGAAGGACCTGGCCGACTTGGGGCCCGAGTCTGGGTCTTTATTTTTCCTCATCCCGCGGTTTCGAGTCCAGAGTAACTACTACTTTACTCTCTTGAGAAAATCGGAGCCTCATATTTGACAGCATATATAACAACCGATCATCTTTTCGCTCGTCAGATGGCGCATGTGCCAAAGCTTGTGCTGTCTTTTACCGTGCCAACCAGACGGCGAGTTTCAGTTGGTGGCATGATATGAATTTAAACGTCCTCGGCAATGAAGCAAGACAGGGCACCTCAGGTCACTTCGGGGACCGCCGTTGATTGCTTCTTGGCTCCTAAGGTTGCTCATCAGTTGGTATGTAGCGTGTAGGGTGGTGGGTTACAGCTGTTCAAGTGGTTGTCCGCGGGACGCCCATCCCTGCTTGTCGTCTTGCATGTGCATGGCCATCAAAAAGTAGTTAATGCACATGTGGTTCGGTGCATGCATGTGAGGCTTGTGAGACTGTGATAAGTTCACGAAGTTAATACCGAGTACCCGGGTCATCTGAACCCGAAGACCGGTAACCGACGTCTACATACAGCGTAACACACAGCATTCGCGGCCATGCCATCTGCAATCCTGACGCATGATATCAGATGTCGGCGGTCAGCCACCCCTCCGAGATTCGGTTGTCGGCTTTGCTCGGCTTGTTCCTGATATGCACTTGTAGATCGTGGTGAAGACTGCCGAACCTACTGCCGCCTATGTGGTGTACTGTGTATCCCACGTGGAAGTGTTTGTGGTATGGTGTGATAAGGGTTGGATCAGCGACCGAGATACGACAGCACTTACCGTGCGATGTAACATAAGATACCGGTTTGCAGATACTACCTCTTTCAGTATAATACAATACACTATTAGTATATTTCAATACCGCACTAACTTCATGCCGCTAGCTGGCACCCGGAAGGATTCCGATAAGCATCCAGGCATCCTGCCCACCACCTTGATATTGGTGATGAGGCTGATGAATGATCGACGATCCAAGCTGTGGTGACACGCCAAGCATTCGGGAAGGAGAAGCGCACAGGCGTTCCATGAAGATTCTCCGCCGTCGTATTTGGATCTAGTGTAAGCGAATATAGCGCAATGCATCACTGCATTCCGACCGCGGGCGCAAGCACCAATCCGTTCCTGAAGCTCGATCTCGCCTTGCGGTGAGTCAAAGAGGCATTTTTCTTTGATATCGCAGTGTGTTTCACTTGGACCCTACGAGAGCAAGGTGACGTGCGAATGGTATCACCGGAAGCCTCCCGATACTCGATACGCTTTGTGGGTCTGTGGGTCATCACCAATGTCTAGACTTTTCGAAATACAAGACATGCCCACTCTGATCCGCTTTGTTGATGCGTTATTTATCAGTTCCTAACGTCAATAACAAGGCTGTGAATCGTTGATACCTCACTTTCGGTATCCTATCTGTGATGGCTACCTATTGGGAAGCGCGCTTCTTAGGGCAGATCGCGGATAACGTACGGGAACTCGAGATCGGCCGGCGATTGACATGGAAAGTCATTGTGTGACATCGGATTGGCTCTTCACGAATATGCTATTCACAGGTCGCGCTGTGCCCATGAAGGTCTGCTGCGCCCTTCGACGCCAAACCCCTGCATTTGGAGGCAAGCACACATCCGATTGTGCAGGCTATCTTTGTTGTCTGAATGCAGATGTCGTCTAGAACAAAAGATTGAACCAGGGTGAGAAAGATTTCCCGACAAATGCCTCAAATGCCTGGTCACTGGTCAGGTAGTTATCGCGAGTGGATACCCATCGGGTCTTGAAGCTGACCTACCGTAACTTACACAATACAGTACATGTAAATACTTATAGCTAATCCCAGTATTTCCGAACTGCGGCCTGAAACACGAAACTTCTGTTTGTAGCGCGTACCACAGCATCCTCTAGGCTACAGATAAGGTGGCTGACACGAGTGCATAGATCAGCCCAAGCTGACATGCACAAGCTAAGCACAACCTGGGCATTGCTGCCGTGGTGTGCTGAACCACACCAACATCGTATTGAGCCTTGCCGCAGGGCTGTATTATTAAGGACGGATGAGCGGCCAATCCGAGCCGTTAACGTCACCACCAGGATGTTCAGGCCCGTTTTCATCTGAAGCCCCGCTGTGCTCTCTGTTTTTGGTGGGGGCAGCATCGATTTCAATTTTTTTCCCTGAGTCTTTCTGCCCCCCACTTTCTCCTCGGGCATTGCGACATGCGAGTCTGCTGCGCACCTTTCGGCCTCGCGAATTTCTGGATCTTTCCGTTTGATCGGAGATTCCCGGAATCGGTTGAGAGATCAGGTACATATTTGACGAACCTTCACTGCTCATCAGTCTTCACAGTCCATCACTGGTATGTCCAGAACATTGCTCTGGAGACCATGCCCCAAGGGATGGCACCAGTGTACTGTATTGTACATGCATGGCTATGCTGGCGGCAGTGTTCCAGAACCACCGATTGGATCGGGTGGTGAGTGTGACTTCACAATAGATGACAATAGATGGAGCCCGCATCAGTAATTCAAAAGTACCATTCAACATTTCACATTTCAGCTTTCCGGTTTGGGCAACAGTGGGAACTCATGCATACATTACCGCACTTGGTAAGCTGGATCTTGCCTGCCGTGCCACGCCACCTTGACGGGTACCTGTATCTTGGGACGACAAGTTTTATGACCCTTTGCCCCCAACATGGAACCCATCCGAGTGATCCCACACTCCCTCTGTTTCCCTACCAGGTACTTATGAATCAGTATTTCTAAACTAGGTCCCTCGCGGGCCCTTCTTTTCTTCCTAGAGTACTCAAAAGTGCCTGCTTCTGAAAACATGAGGTCCCTCAGTCTCTTCACTCCAGCGTCCGGAAAATGCACTCTATTCGAGATCCGGTGAGTATTCTGCAACCCGCAGTCATGCCCGGTCCTCTCCTACTGACCACTGCCCCGGAATAGTCTCGACAACAACATCATCGTTTTCCGCGGGAACGACCACGAAGCCGCAGGCCAGCTCCTCAAGGGCACCGTCGTCCTCTGTCTCTGTGCGCCGCTCAAGCTCGAAAACATCCACTTAAAGTTGACAGGAACTGCTCATTATACGTACGGTTTCTATGCGCTGCGAGTTCGAGATCTCGCAAATACTGACATTTACCAGTTGGACCGACGCTAAGGTTACGGCCTCGGGCATTTCCACTCACAAGGTCGACAAGACCCTGCCGTTCTTCGAGCACCGATGGCCTCCATTCGTAGGTGTTGGCGCCCCAGATCCCGAGACGGATGGCGTCCGTCAACAAACCAAGGGCGTTACGCTGCCGCCAGGAAACTACGAATGGCCCTTCGAGCTGATGCTGGGAGGTGACACTACTGAGAGCGTTGAGGGCATACGGGAAGCGAGCATTAGGTACAGGCTCAAGGCGACGATAGCACGAGGGAAGCTGCAACACGACATACATGTCTACAGGCCACTGCGTATCATTCGGACTCTCGATGCATCGGCGCTCGAGTTTCTCCATGCCATGAGCATTGAGAACATATGGCCCAACAAGATCGAGTACTCGATTGTCGTACCGCAAAAGGCGATCGTGTTTGGCAGCGCCATTCCGCTGGAGATGAGATTTACCCCGCTGATGAAAGGCCTGGAAATCGGCGACATTACGATAAGATTGCTCGAAGTCCACGAGATTATCCTACAACCAACCCCAGGCCACAGCGTTAGGGATTACCACAAGGAGAGGGAGATCGATCACTGGACGGTTTCCGTAACCAGGGACGAGCACTGGAGAGACATCATCAACGACGATAACGGCCCGGAAGGCTGGGTGGTGGACACGTCGCTGGATTTGCCCAAGAAGTTGGCCAGGTGCCTCCAGGACGTGAACGCTAAGGGGATTAAGATTCGGCACAAGCTGAAGCTGGTGGTGGCGCTCAATAACCCTGATGGCCACGTTTCGGAACTGCGCGCGACGCTGCCGGTGATGATATTCATCTCGCCCAACATGCCGCTGGACGACGCGGGAAATCTCGTGCGTCAGCTACCCAATGGGACGCCGGTGGGTACAGAAACTACCGCCATGGCGCCACCGAGTTACGATGACCACCGGCTGGACCAACTCTATGAGGATATGGAACCCTTTAGCCTCCACTCGCCGATCGGCGGCCGGTCAGGCGTGAGCAGCCCATTGCATATCCACTCCAGGGCGGGCTCAACAGACAATCTCCCGGCCCTTGTGGAAGGCGCCTTCATCCAGCCAGACTTGCTGGCGTCTAGGTTACACAGCATGTCGTTGGAGCGGCAGCATCGAAACAACTCCTGGAACTCGAATCTCTCGGCAGCAGGGACAGTGTCGAGGACGGAGACGGGGCCGCATCCTGGTGACGAAAGCCACCTATCGCCTTCAGCCCCTCTCACCCGCCACAACAGCAACGACGACCCCTCCGGCCCTAACACCCCACCGGAACACATCGATTTCGCCGTAGAGATAACGGCGCTTTCCAGAGTGCCCAGCTACCATACAGCCGTCAAGACGCCGGTCAAGCCACTCGCTCCGGACATGTTCGCTCTGCCGGATTACCAGACAGCCCTGAGCGCACCGAGCTCGCCACCGCATTCCCCGCAGCTCACCGCTTCCACACCATCGGTCACCGAGAGCCCCGCGTACGAGCTAGCGCCAGATTCGGCTCTAACTTCGGCCGCAGCCACCGTCGCACCTCCAACTCCAGGCCCCTCGTCGACAGAGACTGGCACGAGACCGGCGCACAGGAGACACCATTCGTCCGGTCTATCGATTCCTAGGCTTCTCCACATGCGTGCAGACGGGGATGAGGCCCGCCGACTGCAGCTACTGCAGTCCCGCGGCAATTAGGCTAAGACAGTATCCAGCCTGTGCGAGGGCTGCTGGTCAAACTCGCTGATATGGGCCGGGCGGCCGTGTATTATCATGTGTTGGGGGGGTGGGAGAATCGGTTTTCGTTCATCAAGCATGGTACAAGTGGCGTTCTGGGGGGACGGTATTGTCCCTTGGATTGTTTGGTTGGCAGTGTGTGCTGGTAAACTGGAAGGTTGGCATTGGGAAGGGTCCAATGATGTTGCAAGCCTCGGTGGTTTCTTCCTAGTAATCTTTTGATACCCATTATTCGTCCGGTCGGCCATCCTAATAGAGATTCTTTAAAACCGCTTTTCCCCGCCTGAGTGTCTCTCACCTATGGATAGTGTTGAAAGAGGTTGAGTCCTGAGCCCGTCCCGCCGTGTGCATGGTAGAAAGCGGCTGCAATGGCTTTCTCCAGGGGCTCGAGACCTTGTTCTTGAAGTACTACCTACCCAACTAGCGTGATGTCCTCGCGGACAACGGCCTCGCGAGGCTTCTAGGTTTGATCTCGCCTTTCAAGCATAACCGTACAGGCTTGCTATTAACACAACAAGACCATCTAAATCATTTCGCGACTTCCTCAACGTCCTCGGCAATGTCCTAGCAGCGACAGCGCAACGGTTTCCAGCTGGACAGGGTCCTCCGGGGCTTTCCCATTTACGTCATGGCGTGATGTCCATCCAATCTTGATCGCCACAGGGATAAGATTAAGACCCACCTCCTTACTTCGTCCTTGGTGTCCACTGGTTCGCAAAAGAGCTGCGAGACCCACCGAACACCAGCGACAATCGAGGGGTTCGGCGCCGCCAAAGCTCGCCGATCCGACTCCTATTTCAAGCTCTCATAATTGGGCAGGCGTGTTCCCCAATCTTGGTTTTGGGCACTTATTCTTTTGGAGGTTATGCGGTTTGCCCATGACCTCATTTGATCGCGGAGAGCAAAAGCTTGTTTGTATCTGTCCAATTCGCGCCGACTTGGAGACGAACTCGTACAGGATACAGCTTTCCATTCTATCGGAACCAGAGCGTCAAGCTACCTTACCTTAGGTACAGAGCAAACCACACAACACCATAATCCGAACCTGACTAGAGGCGCATCTTTCTCACACAATGAAACGTTTCACCAGCATTCGCAGAGACAAAAGGAAATCCGCAGACATGGCGACCCACGAGCCCACAGCTCCATCGAGGCAGGAGACGCTGGCCAGTATCGCAAGCGATGAGGCTGTTCCCGACACCGACCCGAACACCGTATGTGCGATATTTTACCAGGGAATGAATCGACGTGTCTGACCTGTCATAGACCGCGGGCCTCCTCGCGGAGAGACTGCGGGCGTGGAAACATGCCGTCGTCTACCTTGAAGAATACATGGGGGCCGTCGAGAAGATTCACAAGGAGCAGGCGAAGGAGTACGAGAGAGTGTTGAAGGTAATACCCAACATTCTGCTCCCTTTTTCACGAGCAGTTTCTTATCCAGCGAATCGCAGACCATCTCGAAACCCCTTAGAGAGGGCGAGCACTTCGACCAAAGTCTCGGCGGCGTGGCCGGCTTCTTCGAGAACATGCGGGTCAACACGCAGGAACTCATCAACAGCAATCTCGAGACTGAGAAGAGCATCAAGGGCACGGCCCTCCCGATTGTCGAGCGCTTGCATAAGGAAATCAAGCACAAGGCCAAGGAGTTGGTCCACGGCGCCGAGAAGGCCGCGAAGGAGGTCGAGAAGGCTCGCAACACGACGCAAAAGCACATTGAGCTCCTCGGTCAGCACACGGCCGCGTTCGAAGCCACCGGCGGGAAGGCCAACCCTACCGACGACCCCTACGTCATCTCTCGCGGCGTCATTCACCGGCTCAACAAGCAAGTCATGGAGGAAAACAATCAACACAACGACCTGGTCGCCGTCCAAACCAACTTCGAGACCTTCGAGCGGCACATCGTCCAGGTAATCCACCAAGCCATGGAGACATTCAACAACTTCACAGGCGGGCAGGCGCTCAAGGTGCAAGCACTCCACGCAGACATGCTTGGCGCCGTACAGCGCATCCCGCCCGACTTCGAATGGAAGGCCTTCCTCAAACGCTCCAGCGACAAGCTCGCCAACCCGAACGAACCACCGCGCACCGTCGAGTCCATCACATTCCCCAACATGGACCACCCCTCCACCAAGCCGCTCATCGAGGGCTCCCTCGAGCGCAAGAGCCGTAACAAGCTCTCCTGGGGTTACTCCACGGGTTACTACGTCGTCACGCCGTCCAAGTTCCTCCACGAGTTCAAGGATGACGACAACTTCCGCAAGGACCCGACGCCGGAGCTGAGCATCTACCTGCCCGACGCCATCATCTCGGTGCCGAGCGGCGAGAAGTTCAGCGTCAAGGGCAAGGACCGCTCGGGCGGCATAGGCGGCAAGCTGGCGGGCACGTCGGAGCTGTCCTTCAAGGCGCACTCGCCGGCCGAGGCGCAGAAGTGGTTCGAGGTCCTCAAGCGGGCCGCGGGGACGACGGGCCCGGCGGCGGTTGTCTCGGCAACGCCGACGCCCGGGAGCGAGGTCGCCAACCCGATCGATGCTGCGGCTGCGGCCGGCGAGAAGCCCAAGCCGACGGTTGCTGTCCCCGCGCCGCAGCAGCAGGAGACGGGCATCACGGGGAGCGAGACGGTCGCTAGCCCTGTCACTGTGCCTGGTACACCTATCTCAGTAAAGGCGGCGGATGGTGGTGGGAGTGGATCGAGTGAGAAGAAGGGGAGTGTGGGCTCCGCGGGGACGGGTTCCGCGGTTAAGGGGTAGCTAGATGAGAGGCTTCCGGCGTGAGGACTCGGTCTGTGGTAATGTAATGTGGTTGGATGAGACCGGAGGTTGCAAGGTTGGATAAGGTAATGGGCTATTGGACTTAACGCTGGTTGGTAGCACACCATACCCCCTTAGTATTACGAGGCTTGAAGGATGATGGTGGGGAAGGAGTTGCAATTCTCTTGGATTTTAGACAGATGATGATACCTTGTTGTCTAGGGGAGCGAACCCATTCAGTGCTTACTCGATTGCGTGGCCTCGCAAGTGATGCTGGAACTGGTGAACCATAGGTCCCAGTCAAAAAAGAGGCTGGAAAACAAAGAAGTTCTCAAGAATGGTGGGATTGCTGCTGCTCTCGCCCTGGGGTGTCCAGCCAAGGAGAGAAACGATCGACTCTGTTCCGCCGCGACTATCTTCCTGTTTCCTTGACGCCCTAGCAACGGAATAGGGGCGATCGATGGACTGTATGCTCTTGCCAGCTCTGAACAAGGCCGTCGCCTAAATGACACTACCCCCGAAGCCGCCGGTAGTAGATAGAATACCTGCGACAGGACGGGACAGCGATGGTAAGAAAGAAGGACGACATGCCACGTCGTTACCGCAAGATCAAATCGTTTTCGTTCCGCCCTACCCGGTCCCGTGCGGAGGGTAGCATTCACCATGGTCCGACGAGGGGACCTAGATTCTAGACCTCTTATGTAATTGTACGATCCCGGGTAGGTCCCGCTGCTGAGGCTGGAGCGCATCTCGCCGTCGAGCTCTGAAACAGGTGGCTAATAGGAAGCCATTCATTCCTCCCCGCTGGCTTTGGGTGCGCGTAGGGCGGCTCGCCTCGTTTATTTAGGGTTACCCTCCTCCCGCTGTGATGAGGTACATATCCGTACCCTACGCAATATTCGCGGCATGGTATTGCGTGGAGCGGCTCAGGGCGGGTGGCTTGCATGGTGAAGGGGAGGTGAAACCCGGAGTGAGATGTGACAGAGCAGATGAAGCGCATGCTAGAAAAGAGAGTATAGTATGTAAATGGTCGGTATGTGCAGTAAGCCTCAGCTTCGCTTCGCAACGGAGTTTCCGCAGCCACGCAACGTGCTTCGTCTTCCGCCTAGAATATACCAGCTACGGATATAAGAGGGGTTAGCTGAGGAAGACAATATGTAGGCATGGAGCTTTCGGAAGCCAATCATCACACCGGCCGGGAACTGGCTGGCTGCCTTGCCTCAGCTGCATGCGCGCACCAAGACAACGCTCCGATAATGCGGTCCGGCAAGACTGGGGCGGCGGGAGAGGGATTGGTGTCCAATAGGAGATATGATAGTAAATTCAATGAGGCTGAGATGCTGGCGTGTTAGTGTTGAGCTTGGGACCAACCACCTGTTGGGGACGCGTGGGGAAGATGTAGGGCACACGAGGTGGTGCCTTGCCCGAGCTTCCCATTGAGGCATTATGCAGCCAAGCGCCTCGAGTCCTGTTGTACAGCGGGGCTAGACCAGCCTTGCACGACATGCTATACTGCGACTCGGCTCGGGGTGTGGGAACGGCATCTGTATGGAACCTCCTCCTCTGAAGCTTCGGTTCAGTATCACATTCTGCAAGCCGCGGGCCAGTATGTGGAATGAAACCCTTCATGGATTACGAAGTCGTCAAGCGCGGCGAGGAAGTCGACAACCACAGTTGAGGGCCGCCCGACTCATTCATAGGCCTCGGGCCGTCAGGCTGCTCGGAAAGACTACACGCCGTCGTTTCCGTGAGCCTTCCGAGAGCTCGGCTGAAGCAATGGCATCGTCGTCCATTGGTTGCCCCGTACAAGAGCGTGTCCAAGCCTGTAAGCACATATAAAGCAGGCGAAGTGAAAGGGAGGAGTGCCTTCACGGACAGAGAGATGCCAATGGCTCTGAAGCCTTGTGATATAGGTTTGGTTATATCACCAACGTACTTCATTCTAGTTTGCCCTTGAGGCGATCTCCAAGCTCCAACGCCGTCGCCAGTCTTGACTCGAATGCTTCACCAACCTGCCACCCTCGTTCAAGCAGCCTCCCAAGCTTGACTCGGAGCCCTGCCAGCTTGCAGTTGCCTTTGTTGACATCTTGGACTGTGAAGGCGCCTGAACCTTGTCGCACCGGCAAGCCATGACCAAACAATGGGACAAGTACCGAGAGATCATCATTGCCGAATACAAGGACCACAATAAACCGCTTCGTGAGGTCCAGCGAGTTATGCTGGAGAAATACGGGTTCAGAGCGTCGTACGTTGTGGCAGCCCCTTTCCGTGAAGGTTCCCCATCGTCACGTGGTTCTTCTTCCCCTCGGCACCCTTCCCCACCCCTTTCCCCGGCATTCAGAAGGACCTGCTCAACCAAAAGTGAGAGCTGGGCTGGTTGTTGACGTTCTGCATGTCCGTATCTAACATCGCATAGAACGCGCGCATACAGATCGCGTTTCGACCGGTGGGGAGTCCACAAGTACTCGCGGCGCAGGCGCCTGCGGTCTACGAGCCCCGGCCGAAGGGAGTCGTTCTGCGACGGAGCCGCCCCTGATGACGACGACAGCAACTCTCAAGCGGCCTCGCCGCCCGATACGACCCCAATGGAGCTGCTCACTCCGGGACTCTGCGTAGCATCACCGGAAATGGGCTTCAGGAGGTGAGACATCCCAGTGGCCTTGTCAGGAGATGCGGCGACCCAGTGCTGATGTGACCCCTTTTATTTATGTGCCAGTCCTTTCTTCCAGTACGCTGGAGCTGCTCCCTCGCTCAACTCGGCCATTCCGCATGGCCATACGTTTTCTTTGAACCAGTTCGGAGGCGGGCTGGCGGCATTCAACTCCCAGAACCTGGGCTATTATCCTTCTACGTCCGGTCCGATCTATCGCCAGGGCCCCAGAGGAATGATGGCTGCCGCGTCAGACGCATCGGATCGGGCTAACGTTTCCATAGCTGGTATTCGACCTGCTTATGAGTATTCATTGCACCTTGCCACAGGCCAGGAATAGTTGCTGAGCACCAACTTTGTATCCTTCGGGGGTTCGATTCGATCTTCTCATTGCCAAAAGTTTGGACGTTACAAGCTCCTGTTTTCGCGGGGGCGGCCGACGTTGTATTCAGTCAGGGGCGAGGCGGTGGGAACATTTTGTGTGAACGTTCAGAATCCGTGACTCAGCAGACGGACAATCGGGATAGGTAGCAGGTAGCGAGTTGATGGGCCGTGTGTTTATTCAACGACATCAATCTTCGTCTTCGTCGATATCCTCCATCCCGCGGCGGATTCGATCTTTCTCATTCTTGACCTTCGAGGATTTCCCGACGTTGGCAGATTTCCCGACGACCAGACTAGAGTCGCCGTCTTCTTCCGGTTCAATATCCGACGTGTCGTCTAGTCCTCTCCTGGCAGCTTCCTCTGCCCTCCTCACTTTCCGTAGGATGACCTCGTCGAGATACAGATCCTTGAGACGCAGATCCTGAGTCATGTGTCAGCAACCGAATCAACATGTAATTGGAGCATGAGGTAGGGTTCATACCTTAGAACACACGGGGCATTTCGCTGTGCCGCCGTTGTCGCGGATAAACTGCATAATGGCGTCCTTCTCAAAGGTATGCTTGCACTGGTGGTTGCTGTATGGCTCCTTGAAGCGTTGCAATGAGAGCGGACACTTCAGATCGAGGATCTCACGCTCTACCACAAGCTCGTCGTCCTCGTCGGCGGCATCTTCCACAGTCATCCTCGGCCGGCCATCTTTCCCGAACCACTTGGATGCATCAGGGAGCACCTTTCCGTTGTCTTGGTGCAAGGCACTGTGCCAGTTGTTTTTGAAAGCAATGTAGTCGTTGTTGACGGCATATCTCTGGTAAGCGCTCAATGCCTCATACTCGTCCATCTTGGCTTGGCGGGCAGCTTCGAGCAATTCCTTCACGCCGACTAGAGGGGCGACATCTGGTTTCCTTTCCTCTTCGGCCTCCATCGCCTCATCCTCTTCTTCCGCCGCCTCGGCGTCGGATCCTTCCTCGTCGTCCTCCCCGTCGCTGCCAGCCACGCGCCGCTTCCCTGCCCTCTTGGGTCTCGGCTTGGCTGCTTCAGGCTCCGGACGCGGCTGCTGTGCATCCAAGCCCTCCACCACCTTGTCCAGGACCACCTGCTGGTCCTCAAGCTCGGCACGGTAATCAATGACCGAGCGCAACGCCGCCTCAGAAGAATCGGTTAATTCGGTGATTATTGCGTCCAGCTGCGCCACATATTCCTCGAGCGTCCGCTCGGACTCGTCCTTGTCTTCATTGTCCTTGCGCTTTGCGGCCTTTCTCGCCAGGGTTTGTCTCCGCCTGAACAATATCTCGTTGATGCTGCCGACACTTTCGAACAGTAAGGCGTTCGACTTGGACAGATGCTTCTCGTACTGGCGCCGGGAGCTGTCGGTCTCCCGGCTGCTGTACATTGACGCCAGTTTCTGTTTCAGCTTATCGTCCATCGGGTGCGACGGGGGCTCGTAGGGTGGCAGCTCTAGAGGGGCATCATCAGTGGTCGAGTGTCCCGCCCCCGCCTCCGGCCGGCGGGTGCGTTGGAGCAGTCGCGGCATGGCGGGGCTCTTTTCTCCCAGTGGGCAGTCGCTGGGCAGGTCAGTGAACTGGATGGTGTTAGATTTGAGAACGTTGACAATAATCAGTGAGCGGGCTAGATGTGCGTGTGCCTTCTGCGAAAAAGATGGCAATCCGTCACCTCTCACGTTTGGTACAGGAGGATGTCCCGCAATCACTTTAACACTGGAATCGCGTCAACGAGAAGTGGACGCGCCGAGATGGATTGATGGAGTATTTGACCAATCGCAGGAGTACCCGATGCCCCACTCACTCCACTCTTCAGCTGCCCTTCTCCACACTTTTCAGATTGCCGGCACTAGAGCATCTCGGAGGATGACTAGATGTTATCACATAACTAGCTGAGCATGGCTGAGACTTACTCGTAGTCATTGGACCTCTTTTTGGTAAGTTTTAACGTTACTGCTTCCCTTTCTCTTCCGAAAAGGTTTGAACTACACGAGCCAAAGCATGTTCATGTGCAGACGTCATAACTTCTGTTGTATACCGGACCACTTATGCACAAGGAAACGGACCTAATCTAACGGCGAATGCATCGTGTGCTCTCTATAGACATGCCATGTCTTCAATACGCTCTATGCTCCCACATCAACCGCCTTAGGGCTGCTTGAAGGTCGAGCCAATGGGTCCGAATTTGATGTTCGCTGTCATCCACGGTCAGCTACCTACTTACCAAGTCTACCGCAACCGCAAAAGGGGGTCGGGGATGAAGGAAGAAGACTCACAATAGATGACCTGGTTGCTGGCCTGGCTTGCCTCAATGTCGGCCGGCACACCCGAGCCAGTGTCGCAGGTGCCGCGGCCCTTGCCGGGCTCGTCGGGGCTGGCGTCGGTCGGGTAGGTGGAGTCGAGCCAGAGCATGTTGGCGTAGTGGTCATCCCACAACGACATGACGAGCACCATGGGCGTGGCGATGCCCTTGCTGAACTGCGAGAAGCCTCCCTTCTGTTCGAAGACGTCTTGGTCGCCGAAGGCCACCTTCTGGCTCTTGCAGAAGTCGGGCGTGATGCTGTTGCCCGGGTTGCCCTCGATGGCGCTGTCCGGGTTGGCAATCACCTGGCCGCCCTGCACGTAGAAGCGCTTGATCTCGGACAGCTCGCCGTTGGAGCCCTTGATGAACTGCGTCACCACCGTGAACTTCTTGGTCGTGTCGACCGTCATGCCGGGGCCGTAGAAGTCCTTGACGCCCTGCCGGTACGCGTTGAAGTCGCACCCATCTGGGTCGCACGTACCGCCGTAGCGGTCGTCCGAGTACGTGCCGCCGCAACTATCGCCCTCACACCGGTGCTGGCCGATCGTTGTGCAGGGGTGTGGGGTGACGGCAGTTGAGATCGAGTTGGCTTCCCTGAGGTTTTCATTCTCGGTCAGATATATTGGGTGTTGGAGACTTTGCACCCCCTGATTCGGAGTAAGACAACCCTACCAGATGTCCATCTCCGTGCAGCAGGAGCCATACTGGCCGACACCGGCATTCTGGTCATTGGTCGACGGCTTCCAGTCGTTGGCGTTGGCCTCGCCGTTGATGAACTTGAGATCGCGCGGACATTGCGCATCGCAGTACCCAGTGCCGTACTTGGCGCCGGCCTTGTTGGACGAATATTTGGATGCGCCGCCGTCCTCGTCCATGGCCACGAAGTACAGAGCACCATTCAGGCCGCAGCTGGATGAGGCAGTCAGTCTCGGCTTGCTGGCATCATGCAATCTGCAATCCCGGGCTGATGACGTACCCCAGTTTCGACACGTCAACGTCAAAGGTGAATTCGTTGCCGAGCAGAGTGAACATCTGATACTTGCTTGAGCTGGCCATCAAGTACAGACGAGAGCCGATGTTGGTGGCTGCGGGCCATTTCCGTCAACGTCAAAAAGTCGCTTTCCAGATCCGGCAGGTTGGAACTTGGGAGAGGGATTGCACCTACAGTAACTCCCCTTGGTGACGAACTTGAGCGTCAGCGCATTGCCGCTGGTCGAAGCACCGTAGGTGCCCGAGTAGTCGGCACCGTCCAGAGCGCAGTTGGACGCGCAGGTCTTGCCGTCCTTGCAGATGGTCGTGTTCCACGTGTTGCCTTCGTAGCAGTTGGTGTAGCCGTTCTTGTCGTGGACCCAGCGCCAGTTGGAGTCGATGGTAACCTCTCCGTTCACGTTCGTGCAGGAGCCGCTGGAACTGCACTTCTGCCAGGTCATCCTGGGGTGCGTCTCGGCCGTCTGTGTGCCCACTTGCTGGGCAGCGGCCGCGCCCAGTAGGGCGCCTAGGGCGAAGATCTTGGAAATCATCTTGAATGGAGTTCCAGGGGCGGGTGGCTCTGTGATGGGGAGGCGGGAGGCCAGGGAAGATGACGCGGTGGCTTCCCTTGGGGAGGAGGGAGGCTTTATAGCACTGCCCTTCGTCAATGAAGGGGTCGATATCAGCCTCGTATGGGAGGTAGCTCTCGGAGCATCTCACTCCCTCTTCGGCAAACTGGGCCTGGGATCCGGCAGCGTATGCGCGCATGAAAGTCGGCACTAGCCTGGGGTAGGTAGCCGTCTCGGTAAATGGGCAGACAGGTCCGTAGTAACCAGCGGACTGTCGTCTCCCGGACGCGGGCCGAGGACCAATCTGGGGAAAGTGACTTCGATCCCTGTCTGATCATAACGGTCGTTTTGGAGTCAGCCGGAGTACGAGGACCGGGAGGAGTCAAAGCTACCATTGCTGACGGAGATCTATATCTGCGGGACGATATTTGCAAAGCTGGAAGGAGTGACTTTCCCAAGGCACATATTTAGGGGGCGCATCGATACGACCTCAAGCCTGGGAATAAAACGTCGGTAGATATCATGAGCCTCTAGTTGATGCTATCGGTTATCTCGATCATGTACTCCGACTCAGTCACAGCGGCGATAGCCGTGAAGGGACCGTGGGCTGGAAGGGGAGATGTCTTATCCAACATAGAGCTTGTACCTACGGGAAAACAACCAACCACCCAGCCTGGGGAAGTTGCTCAACCCTCAACTAGATTGCTGGAGCGGGTAAGCATCGAAGCTGTTTAAATTCTATGGGAACGGCATGAAGGGCCGAAGACTTCTATGTGGGGGGAAGCGAGAGAAATATCTGGGGTACTTGGAGAGGCAAGGACTATCAGGACTGCGCCTGTAGGGTGAGAGCGAGCGTTGATAGCAAGTGGATTCTGTCTTTCGAGCCGTCCCATGCCACAGCACGGTTGGCACAACGCCCGGCTTGTACACACCAGACCCACTTACACTTAAGTTGAAGTTCACAGTACAGCGCCGGAACCAACCGTGACGGGAGGGAAGGAGGAAGGCCGGCTAAAGCATTGCGTTGAACCTTATCCAAGTGGAGGAGCGTTGAGCGGGTGTAACTAGGTATGAAGGTGATATCATGAGGCCAATACCTGAGCCATTGGTATGAACCGTTGGAGAACTTGAACGTGGAGATATGACGAGGATCTCCAACTTGGCAAGAGCCTCATCTCTGGGCGCGGCTGAGGGATCGAATCCAACCTGGATTGCGGGAGGCCTGAGGTTGGCCTGCTTTGCCATCTATCGCAATAGTCCTTGGGGCGTTACCTTCTTCATCGGCTGGGACAGGCGTCCAATTCTTCCAGCTCCTATCACTTAACAGTCCCATCCCGCGGTAACGGTCTCAGGGGGGGCGGGAGCGCGGGTGGGAAAATGAGGATGGCTTGGTTCATCAAACAGCCTGTCGCGGACATATTAGCCACCCGGTTGTCTTTAGCCATGCTGCAACCTTCTCCCAGCTCATCCAGAGTTTAACCGCCCGGCGTGAGTCTAATGGAGCAACACTGAATGGGAGCTGTATGCTCAATACTGTGATGCTGTTGGCCGCTCTGTTGGGGATTCGTGTCATACTTCCGGGCAATACTTGATGGACCGCTAGCTCCCCACAAGAACGGATTACGGCGTCTGACTGCCGGCTCGGGAGTGCTTGCCATCCGGAGATTTCTTGAGGCGAGTTGCGAAGAGGTGGAAGCGGCAGAACAGTGAGCTCCTAGCTCAGACTACAAACTGGCAAGTACGGCTCGGATTAGACTTCCGTACTAGTACCGTCCAGCTTGTAATGCTCAGTGCATCTCTCCATACTACCTTAAGGAAATTCCAAAAAATGGTGAGCAGACTCCTGTTTGATGAAGTCGAACTTACAGGACTGGCACCTGAGGATACTGTCTGGTTGCTGTGTGAAGTGCGAACAATGACGGAAGGCGGGAGGGGGTCAAATGCGGAGACCGCCACCGAGCTCCGGCACCCACTTACTCCGGGCCCGAGCAGACAATGCAGGAAGAACCTAAGAGAGAACCACAAGCCCGACAGAGACAAACCTAAGGTAGTTGAAGAGACCGACAGAGAGTCCAAACCCCCAAAATGCCAATCCACGGTCCGGTCCCTGTGAGGCTTCACAAAAAAGACGCCACCGAGACGCTCCGCGTGGGGCCAATGACAATCCGCGTGTACGAGGACGGCTCGTTGACGGAGAACCGGGTCAGCAGCGTGCTGCTCGAGGTTCCCGCCGGCACGAGCGGGCCGCCGATGCACTGGCATCGTTTCCACGACGAGCTGTTCTTCGTGACGAAAGGTAAAGCCACCTAGGTCGTCCCGTGATCAAAGAGCAGGGGTGATGAACGAGTCGAGCTTGTTGAAGTTGTCTGTTGTTGATGATGTTGTTGTTGACCCGCGTGGGCAAAAGGGACCATGACTTTCGTTACTCCGGACGGGGAGGTGACCGCCTCGGCGGGCGATCTGATGACCGTCCCGCCCGGGGCGATACACACCTTCAAGAATGCGTCTGAGACGGAGGACTGCGAGTGTTATATGACCGCCACTCCAGGTGAGTGCACCGTACTGCCATAACAAACTGAGGCTGACTTGATTCGCTGATTACATGGCATCGGGGGGCAGGACACTATGTGGATTGTGAGTTGCACGAGGGCCCTTTCCCCAGACATGATGCCCATGCTAGACGAATGACTCTCGTGCTAACTAGTGATCGGCAGACTTCCGCATGCTGGGCAAAGCAACGGAAGCTGGGAAGCCGCTCACCCCGGGAGATGCCCGGCATTTGATGGCTCTGTTTGGGACTTTCCCGCCGGATGTGCCATCGGAACCGTGATACGGGTGCAGGTCAGCGCAACAAGACACTTGGGAGTGGCTGCTTATCTGATGGCATTGCCAATGTGTTATACGCAAGTCAACGCGAGCCTTATTGAGCTGGCTTCAGTGATTGTACCGGCTGGAAGCCCTATTATTCTAATCAAGCAGGAGATTTCATGGGAATGGAAGAAAACCGGGGGGACGGCTGTCCCTTTGTCTCAGGTCAGGTAGCCTTCTTTTGCAACCTCCCAGAGCGCCGCCTGCCAGAGTCAGCCTCGTTATCGACCGCGGTGGTCTCTTCTGCATTGGCTGTCTTCGACCCGCGCGATGTTGGTGCCTTCTTGGGAGCAGCTTTGCTCTTCTTTGATGGCTGCTCCTCTTCCTCCGCCTTCCTTTTCATCTTGTTCTGAGGCGCCTCACCCTCGGTCTTGATAGACTTTGACTTCGCCGCCTTCTTAGGCTTTGAATCTTCCTGGTCAGATTCGAGAAGCTCCTCCTTCACCCCTGCCACGATACGGCCGCTCTTCTTCTGCACATCAGGCACATAACAGCTCGTCCTTCCGCCAACCGTGAGAAAGGCCAGCCTTTCGCCGCTGGGAAGGTGACCGTGAGCTCCCTTTTTGCCTTTGTCCCACCGATAATGAAAGAGCCACGAGTTTGGGAACTGGTCACTATCCCCGAGCTTATCGACGGCAAACTGGCATACGTGACGGATGGATTCATAGAGTTGTTTGATCTGTTCGTCATTGAAGTCGTCGCAGTATTGTTCGGGATGAAGTTTGGCTTGGTAGAGGACTTCATCCCCGACCCAATTACCCACCCCGCTAATGACGGTCTGATCAAGGATGAGGGCCTTGATGGGAACATGTCTCGACCGCATCTTGTCTCGGAGATACTCCTCGGTGAATACATCGGCATCGACAACCGGATCAGGCCCATTCTCGACGAGGGGCGAGTACTTTCTGATACTCTCGCCGGGGCAATCCACCAGCCGAACGCGGCCGAAGCGCCTTGGGTCAGTGAAAGCGACCTCGACCGCTGGATCTTCCGTTCGCAGGTGGAACTTCCAGTACTTTGGTGGCCAAGCGTCCATTTCTTCAGGTTTCATCTTCTTGTAATAGTTGGTGTAGGCTGTCCGATCATTCCTGATGTGGATCCAACCTGGCGAGTGTTTGGTTAGCTCGTCCTGCCGTAGAGCGAAGAGGAGCCCGGCATGAACAACCATACCTGTCATGCCAAAGTGCATTACCGGATGGGGAGGTTGATCGAGAACAAGCCTTGGTCAAGTTAGTTGCCATGTTGAAATTTACTTGTTCCTGATGAGCAACGTGCCAGAAGTATTTGCCCTGCTGCCCTGCGGAGACGACCTTTTTGCCAGTCAAGGCTAGAGCGACCTTTGCTCCGGTAGTTCCTACTTTGCCAAACACATTGTTGTCTTCTACCGCTTCGACCTGCTTGATCCTCTTTCCGACCAGGTGCAGGCGCAGATAATGCACAATGCGGGCGACTGGGGTTTTGGTTCATCAGTTATTCGTCGATGAAAACAGGGAAGCCCGGAGTTGGCCTTACTTTCGGCGATCTCAGGCATGATGAGAAGTGTAACGGTTGCCAAGTCTGATATCGAGTTGTAGCGACGGCAGCTACTAGAACTCAATTAGCGGTCGACGCGTAACTAACAGGATAGAGATGGAGCGGTGGGGATGAGTGACGCGAAAAGGAGGCGACGACACGTGAGTTTGCGGAATAACTATGGCTACGTAGTACGTACCTACCCCACCACAACCAGCTTTCTCCACAAGCAGCCAGCTAGCTTCAAAACTCTGCACCAGGAAACTTTTTGTTTCTGTTCTTCCCATTTACCACCACGCCATGTTCCCAAGCAGCTCTGGTAAGTGCACATTTCCTCTGCTCCCGCGACGCGCAGCAGGCAATTGCCTGATGACAATCCAATACCGCAAACTAGAGTCTTTGATCTCCGGACATGAAACTAGAAATTGATACGTCAGTCTGATCATTACCGCTGTTGCTGTTGCACGGAACTGCCATCCAACTCAAATGCATTGGCCACGAAGCTGACAGGCAAGCAGAGCTCTAGCTTCCCACGAGCACCAGTCGCTGGTCGAACTGGGAAGGGCAGCTGGATGTTGGTCCCACACTAGGCTTCAAATTGTTCCGGCCCTTGGGCAGTGTACGAGATGATGGCCACACATCTGTCACTACCCATGCGGCCGAACGCTCACCTCCCATGAGGCTCAACAGGTTAGTGCGGAGCCACGCTTCTTGATCACGTTTCCATGATGAACATTTTTTTTGCTTCGGCAAGTTGGAATTACCGACTGATTCCCCTTGAAGAAAACAACTGGCTGTTTCTGATTCTGGCCCATCTTTTGCTTCACACGACCCCATGTTTCATGGGCTCTCAGTGGCTGACCATCAACCGGCAGATGCAATCCCGTTGCGTAAGCAAACAATTCTCCTTGGCAAGCGTCGACGTGCTTCCATGATGAAGCGGCACTGGGCTCCGAATATCACATGAGCAGACACGCCATTCTGCGACAGGCCTAGAAAACCTCGTCCACTGATCAGCATCCACCGCTCCCGTTCAATTTCGACTACGTTGGGAACCCGAGCTAACAGTGTGTGGAAGGTTGCATTGCTCTGCGGCATGGCCAGTTGCATGGCAAATCGATTCTGTAAGTGCGCACAAGACAATCACATTCCATTTTCTTCTGTGATGACTCTAGATGACGAGTCTGATTCGGGATTCCCGCTGAAGACAACTTTTTAACTACCATTCATGCTTTTCTGATCTACTCTCCTGGATAATTTCACATGCCTTTCCAGCATGAGCTCCCGCTGACTTATTGCCAGGACAACATTGCAGTTGGTCAACGGGTGCACCCAGCATCATCAACAGCTGATTGTATGTCGCCAGCTCCCTCTCAATCCTTCACCTCCCTACACCCATCTCATGATGACTTGACTTTAAATTGACAAGCATATGTCAGAGCTTACGCGAAGATGACATCGTCCTATCTGACTCTTACCCTTGGCACATCATTTTCCTCGCTGCACTGGCATGAATGCATGCTGACCGTCACAGACGCATCTTCCTTTGGCCTGATGATCCGTCAACCTAATTTGGTCCCTCGAGGATCCTGACGGTGGTAAGCTTTATCCCAAACTTTCTGGTCTTGTCTTGCTTGCTTTTTTTATGATGATTTCAATTTTATCACGACGGTCTACATAGCTTCTGCTTTGATGATGTCGCCGGTGACACGGCATGAATTCTGATAATAGCCATCCCACAAGCCCTTGTTTCGTTGTTTACTTGGTGTTCCCAAGCTGACTCGGATTAAGTTTGCAGGCAACGATGAATGCTCCCGTTATTCAGCCATCTCGCTGGTTTGCTATGAATATTAGGTCAGTAGCTCCCCAACATCGCCACACGGCCATCTTGTCATCAATTTCGCTTTTTCATTTTCATCTTCTTTCCCTTCTCATCTCCTTCGTCTTATCGTCTTCGTCATCACATTCCTCACCATTGCTTGCTTGTTCATACTTCGCCCCCCATCTTCCGGTGACTGCCAACGGTTCGTCTTTGCACGTTTCCACCGTCTACCTGGCAAGAAAGAGGCCAACCGTGGTGTATAGAAAATGAATGACTTGTCGGGAGAGTCAGAACATGCGCTAGAACAACATTGTTGCATCAGCTAGAAAAAAAGGTTGGTGATGTCCTCACACGACGCAATTCAATAAAACTGTCAATGCGTACGAATATAAGTCATAACGTCACCTCTAGGATCCATGCACGTATAGAAGGTCCTGGGCCGCTCTTCGTACCTACCAATTCTGGCCTGAACCCATATTCTAAGCCACTAGTTAACTGCTTGGCAATTCCGCCCTGGGAATTCCCAGCATTGGCACCCCCGTGGGCGGCGGGCGTGTACCTTAACATGCGACCTCCACACTCCAGTGTTGAAGCGGTGGCTGAACAACTAGAGAGATATAACCCAGTTATCCAGACCGCTTCACAAGGCCTTGTCGCGGCGCTTGATGATCATGGGGATGTCCTTGTGGAACATGAACCACGCATTGAAATGCTTCCACTCGTGGTCCGGCTTTGCGAGCTTGATATCAAAGACGCGGTACAGCGTCGCAAACAGCTTGTACATCTCCGTCTTGGCGAAATGCTTCCCCATGCACACGCGGTTGCCGGCGCCGAACATCAGGTCAGCGGCCTCGGCCATGCGGCGGTGCCGGTGCGCGTAGTCGTCGTCCGTCTCCCCCGTGCGCCGCAGCCACCGCTCCGGTCGGAAGGCGTCGACGTCATCGCCGTACAGGCCCCGATCGCGCGTCACCACGCATGGATTGATGCCCACCTTGGTCCCCGCGGGGATGTACCGTCCGTCGGCGAGCCGTAGCCCGCCCGCGGGCACCTCGCGCTCCAACATGAGCCCCACCGCCGGGCTGATGCGCTGCGATTCGTACATGACGGCGTCCAGGTAGGGGAGGTTCTTAATGTCCTTGAACTGCGCCGGCACCGCGACGTGGGCGGCGTCGAGCTCCGCGACGAGCTTGGCCTGCGCGTCTGGGTTGCGGCCGAGGTGGTACACAACAGAGAACATGGCGCCCGCGGTGGAGTCGCCGCCGGCCAGGACGTTGAGCATGAGCCAGTTGAGGACCTGCGCGTCATCCACAAAGTCGACGGTGCCCTTGAGGCTGTTGTACTTGTCGATGATCAGGTCGACGGATTTCTTCTTGGCCGTCCCCGCGGCCAGCTGCTGGCGGTACTCCTCGAGGATCTTGACTGTGTAGACGAAGCCGTTGACGAGCGGACGCGGCCCGATGCGCCACACGGGGTTCTTGTCGAGCCACTCGTCGATCCAGGGGATCTGAGACACGGGCGCGAAGTACTTGAGCCCCGCCGTCGACTCGGCGATCATGCCGCCGACATCCCGGCCCTCCTGCATGAAGCCGTAGGGCTGCCCGAAGCTGACGTTGGCGGCCGTGTCCCACGAGAAGTACGTCACCCAGTCGTCCATGGGGCAGACTGCGCCCGTGTCGGCGAAGCGCTTGCCCAGGGTGTCGACCAGGAATCGCAGCGTCTCATCCATGAGCGGCTCGAACTCGAGGATCCTGGTCTGGCTCCAGAAGCCGACGATGGGCTTCGTGTACTTGGCGTGGAACGCCTTGTCCGGCGTGTTGAAGATGTTTTGGATGCGCTTGCCATCGACCAGGAGGTCGTTCGGCCGGTACATGTCCGTCTACGTTTTGGATCAAAATTCGTGCCCAGTTAGACGAGGCGCAACCAGGAGGTGTGCATTGCATTCTGGACGGTCGCGTACCTTGAGCCAGGCATTCTTGGTGGTGTAGATGACCCTGATGAGGTCCGGGTCACCGAGGCTGATGGCATTGGGCCCGACACGCACCGCCGGGCCCCATCTTCGGTGCCAGGCGCGCTTCCAGTGATCGAGCCGGCCGGTCAGCGTGAGCCCGGCACGGTAGAAGTCGGTGAACCTTGCGAGCAGCGGTCCGGGAAACTGCCGCAGCGGAGACAAGAGCAGCTCATAAACGACCCCGACCCCGACGAGGGCTACGACGGCCCACAGCACGTAGCCGGCCGGCACAGACGACAAAGCCATTTTTTGCCACGGCGCCGAGTAACCAAGGGAGCGGGAAGGGTGACCTTACACAAAAAAAGAGAAAGAAGGGAAAAGCAAGTCTGCAAGGTTCATTATATTGCCGGCCTCTCTGCCCGTTTGCCCGCATCATCCCCCCTTGTCTCCCTTTCGCCTCAGGATTCGAGTACTCACGATTGGCTCTCTAAAAATTCCCGTTCCTGGCCTGGAAGTACGAGAGGGGAGGTCGGCAGCAAAGTTCACCTGGTCTGCAGCCACTCGTCAATAGCCTCATGCAAGACGAGGACCCTCGAAGGATGCATGTTTCCCCACTTGTTTGCATCCCGTTGAAACCCCGGATTGCCGCTCCGGGTGCAACCCCGGCAAGGGTCCTACCGCGTTCCACGGTAGTTCCCGTGTTAGTTCCCACGCTCGCCCAAGCCGACTCAGCCGAGTTCTATTGTAGCAGCCTACGGTCCGTAAGAAACGCTAGCCACGAAGCGAGGAACAAGAGAGTGTTTCTCCCGAATCCGCTAAAAATGGGGCTCTTCGGCCCTCGGGACTAGCGCGATGCGGTGAATGGGATGCTCTAGAGCTGCTAGTGAGTGTCAAGTGTCTACAGTAACTGATGGACGGGTTGAACTCGCTGCCAGCACCGAGTACAGATTTATCGTACATAGATTCAACCCTCCGGACGACCGAAGAACTTTTGGCTTTTGGCTACCGAGACGAGCAAGTCGAGCGAGAGAGCCCCATCCCAACCCCGGTACTCCCACCGCTGTGGAGCCAAGGAACGGAGCGCGCCTGGCCGGATCGGCCTTCCGACCCTAGTAGTGGCGTCATTCGGGAATCTGCTCCTGCAAGTCTGCGGCGTGTAGTTGCAGACCTAACATTATCATGAAGATTTTCATGTGCGTGATTAAGGATTGCAGGCGTGAGCCGCCATCCACCGCGGCCAGAACTCATGAGCAGGGTGTTGAGCCCTGCTCATGAGTTTGAGCTCCATCAAAGTTCAGCCTCAAAGGCTCAAAGTTGACATAATAATGCAGAGAGGGCGGCACCCCCTCAGGCTTCAGCCTGTCATGGCGGAACTCGAGCTTGAACTTCCTTTTTCCCCCTTCCTGTGCCCTTTTGTTCTATCCAAGCCTTTATGACGTCTTGTTCCCCAGGTCCGGAGGAGGGGGCAAGAACCGCGTGCAAACGAGGATGCCGTCTTCACAAGGACTAGATGGCTCGCCGTCGCCAGAGTATCTCGCGCAATCTCTGGCTCCGACCATCCGAGCTGTTATGTGGGTTTCCATAGCAATACCTCTGGTCTTTGTTATACTACGTTGTTACGTTCGCCTCGTCATCCGGAAGGTGTTTGGCCTCGATGACGCTCTGCTTGTGATATCTCTGGTGAGGTCTCTCAAGCTCTCACCCAAAAACCTTCGTGCCTTTCAGCTACCTATCTAAGACACCTAGGGTATACTAACAAAGAGACATCCCAAGATCCTTCTCATCGCCTTTGGGGCCGTCATCGAGGCGGCGCTGGCCAAAGGGTTCGGGCGGCATGTCCAATGGGTGATGCTCGAGGCGCCGCAAGACGCCATCTCCGTTGCTCTGCTGGCCCAGGTGTCGCAGCCCCTCGTCATCATGTCGTGCGCCTTCGGCAAGACGTCCATCGCGGTGACTCTGCTGCGCCTTGCGCCCCAGCACTGTGTGAAAGTCGTGCTGTGGGCCGTCACGGTCATCATGAATGTCCTCCACATCCTCGTGTCCATCCTGCTCTATTACCGCTGCAAGGACCCCCGCGTCCTCTGGGATCCCAGCGTGGAAACGACCTGCTGGCCAACCGAGGTCTACTTGTACGTCATGTACTTCATCGGCGGTACGCGTTGTTTCAACTTGGTTTCCCCCTACAACTCTCAGAAGGGAGCTGCGGTTTTGCAGCACTAGCAGAGCCTGGGCTGACTGTACCTACCTACTTAGCCTACTCTGCCGTGACGGATTTCATCCTCGCCTCCATTCCCTGGGCGGTACTCTGGAAGCTCAACATGAGGAAGAGGGAGAAGTTTGGCATCGCCTTTGCCATGAGCCTCGGTATTTTGTGAGTCTAAACCTGACTGACCCCTTTCGCTCCTTTACCCCCCTGCGCCTATGATAGGTTGGACCTCCGCATTACCTAACCCTCTCATCCCCTTTCCCAGCGCCGGCGGAACCGCCATCGTCAAGTGCACCAAGCTGGGCGCCAACAGCACCAGCACGGACCCGACCTACGACGTGGGCACGCTGCTTCTATGGGCCGGGGCTGAGAACGGGCTCATCATCGTGGCCGCGTGCGTGCCCACCCTGCGCCCGATCCTGCGCGCCTTCTGGCGCTCGACCGTCAAGAGCAGCGGCGGCGAGCCCTCGCACCCACTGGACGATATCTCGAACGCCAACGCCAACAACAACAAGAACAGAAATAGCGGATTCTTTGGTGGTGGTGGTGGTGGTGGGCGCAGGAGCAAGAGCGCTGGCGGTGGTGGCCCGGGGCAGTGGACGGTCATGATTGAGGCGGAGGACCAAAACTCGGATAACAACAGCGATCGGAGCATCCTCAAGCAGCACCACCACGGGGCCGACCTCGCGGTAGTGGAGGGCGCGGACTCGTCTTCTGGCGCATCGTCGGTTGCAGGCAGGGGCGTTAGGGATGATGCAGAGAGCGGGTGCGAAACGACAGGGGTTGAATCGCCGTGGAGCGGCAGGATACACAAGACGACTGAGGTGACCGGTACGCGCTGAAGGCGACTGCGAAAGGGGTGGCACCACAGCAGGGAATTTTAAGTGCCGGGGCTTGAGGGGGTTCGTTACTGGATCAACGTACGGATTACACAGGACGGGAATGTACCAGATGTAACCATACCAATACTAGTAGGTACTGACCCCTTTTCAACTTCCAACCCCGCCTTCTACACATTATTCCCTTACCAGAAACTTCATGGACTACCAGGGACCAAAGCGGATGGAAGAGGGAATGCTTGAGCCAACGCCCTTTTTGTAAGCAGGGATTAAAAGTCGTATGCAACCTTGGGTATCTTTGGAAACTTACTAAAGTGTCACGTATTGTACAGTAAACATGGATAGCAAATCCTTGGTGCGGCAGGAGAGTATCCCATCATACCCTCAACATGGTCTCTTTAGTGCCATGCCTCTTCCCTCCTCCGTCCTCCTCCTCCCCCAGCTGCCCAGCAAGCGTCACCTTCTGCATGACCACGGTCGTCGTTTTCTGGATCCCGTTCATCACATTCCTGCTCTCCCCATCCCTAGACGCCAACCGACCAATAATACCCGCTTCCGGCTCCTCCCATCCGCCGCCAGCTACCACGCTCACACTATACCCCTTGCCCCCGGCCTTGCCCGCCGGCCCACCCTTCTCAAGCACGCCGAACTCGATGTCATTGTCCCCCATCCGGCTGCGCGACCGCGGCAGCACAGCCTCCTCGTCGGACGCCCGCAGCCCCTCGGTGCTCTCCGACTCACGCAGCAGCGTACTCCCCTTGAAGCCTGACGACCCGGCGCCGCCACCGGTCCCGCCAATGGTGGGCGGGCCGCGGCCGCGGCTGCGGCTCGCGTAGCGCCCGCCGCCGCCGCCGCCCGAGTAATCGTGGCCCGCGGACCGCAGCAGCGAGCCGAAGATGCGCGGCATGGCGTGCACCAGGATGGGCCGCAGCGTGGGCAGGCACACGGCGATGACGCCGACCGAGAGCTCGAGGAAGGAGAAGGTCGCGGCGTCGACGTTGTCCCAGGTCGGGTCGGCCGTGCGGGCGGCCGAGTGCAGCGTTTTGATGCGGTAGATGGATACGGCGCAGGGGCTGGGGGGAAAAAAAGAACCAAGTTAGATTGGAGAATTGCCGTTTCTTGCGTTGTGTGGGGTGGGGCAAGGAGCTTACAAGATGCCGAGGGTAAAGACGATCAGAAGCATGGCCTTTTGCTTCTTGGGCAGCTGCAGCGAGCTGATGACCGGGATGGGCATCGTGAAGACGGCAAAGTCGGTGAACACGTTGACGCCCGCCATGACGTACCAGATGGTGCCGCTGTTGAGGCAGAACCCCTCGACGTTGGGGTCCCAAAAGGCTGCGACGGGCACGCAGACCAGCGGCAAGAGGAAACAGAGCGTGATGGTCCAGCATGTGAGGAAGGCCAGGCCGGCGAGGATGATCTTCCGGAGGATCGTGTTGTTGAAGATGCGCTTGTACTGCAGCAGGATCGAGATCTTGGTTATGCAGACTGCGACGTTGTAGACGATAATGGAACTGTAGAAGGACTGGTTTCGGAGTCAATACTGGAGAAGTTTGTGTATTTTTCTTTTCCCCGATGAATTCACCTTCATATAAGGGATGTAGTCTTCATCAGGCATCACCCAGCTGTGGCGGCCGAGGCCATATTTTGATTCTAGCCAGGGGTCAGTTGGCCGTCTGAGCGTAGATGGAGACCTTTATATAGTATATACTTGTACGTACCAAGTCCGATTGCTAGAGCTGACGCCAGTGTCAAGATCTAGGGCAAGCGGAGTCAGAACCAATATTATATCCCGAACTGGGCGCGAACATTGGCAGCTTCGCACCTGTGCTGGAACCATGACGGCATCATCTAGCCCAAAAGACCGTAGGATGACGGCGCGAGAATAGCACCGTAGGGCGACAACCAGCGTTGAGAGGATGCTGGCGACCGAGAGGATGGCGACGATTTCGCCTACCCTTGACTGCCCGTCCAGTTCCGGATGTGGACTTGGGCCTGCCATGATGTGTGAGCGGCCTGACGGCGTTCGGGTCGATACTCGGGTGCCTCCCAGGTGCGAATCGTGAAGATGCGGGTAGCAGTTGGCTGTATATGTGAAAGCTGGGAGAGAATGTTGGGCTGAGCCCCCGCTCCCGGTGCAACCGGTGATCTCAGATCGACGAACAGCCCAGTCCCAGAACGGTGAAGAGTTGATGACAAGTTCTGTCCGGATCTGCTGTCTCAGATGAGAAGAGATGCAGACTGTTAAGGTCACGGGTTGCTGCCTCAACGAAGCCAGGTTCAAATTTGACTTTTAGGCCGTCGTGGTCACGCAGTGGCCTCCAGACTGGTACGTCGATCGTTCATCGGAAGTTTCTGGTATTGAAAGGAGGAGCGGGAGAAGCCTCCCACGATTCGACCTCGAATTCACAAGCCCTCCGAGCCCCTGGCACCGCAACTGGTGTGTCGCGATGTCAGGCCATCCCTGCTGGAAATCTTAGACACCACGCGGGCCGGTAGTCGTCGGGGCCATTGCGGAGTCCCGCAGGAGAATTGTTTCTGATGACTGATAACTACGGCAGTGTATTGTACCTACCAGGGAGGTCCCTCAGGTACGCCTTCACATGGCACGACATGATACAGACACTAGTACTGGCAAATTTGCTTCATGTGCTGGGCTCATGAGCGCGCTGCCGCTGAGTCCAATCACAGCCCGTACCGTCCGCTGTCCATGCTAACCGACTGTTTAGTTCTGGTGATCGTGATGACTGGGCACGCCGGGATGCACACAAGTGGGCTCAGCAATCTGTCGATTGCCCTGGCGGACCTGGCAGCGCCAGATGCTTGGGTGCTGAGCGTACCCAGTGAGGCGGGGCGAGCGGCGAGCCCAGACCTTGGCCCGACGTCGCGGTTTGACCGCGGACCGAGCTCTGGCGACCGGTGTGGTTGGGCTTGTGGGACATCTTGGCCCGCGTGGCACCATTGTTCGAGTAGGCGGCGTGTTTTGGCTTTATGGACAGTGGTCGGACTTGGATGACGATGGAGGTAGTTGATGTCTCACTTCCCCAAGCGCCAAGTGAGCATACATACCCACGTCTGACGACTTGCGACCGACCTCGCTGGCGACAGTCGCTGAGGCAATTTGTGTGTGAAGCGAGATGGGTAGTGGTGGGGACATGGAGTACACTACTCCGTATAGGTATCGTTATGGTGAGTCGCAGCGAAGATTTGCATCGCCAAGTCTGAAGGGTGGTGGCGATCATGACAGGCCCCTGAAACCATGCAGAACGTGCATCGTGTGACTGTATGTATTTACCTCATCAGTAAAGCGTGTTCGGACTGCCGGAGAAATCTTGGACGGCGAGCCACACCAAAACTTCCAAAACTTGCTGGAGGCTAGAGCCATAACTACCTGTACCTTGCCGTGACCACGAAGGCAAGACTTAAGGTCTGCAGGAGCCACATCACCTTCGACGACTACGATTACATACTAATTGCATGCCTAAAAACGAACATGTACCCGTCGTTCTTCTATCTTCCCGGTACTAACTGTACCCTAACCATGACCCAGCCTATAACTACTGCTCCCATAGCTCTAACCGCGACTTTTGTGTTGGCTTGCGCTGAAAGCAGTATCCAGATATGGTTAGAAAAGCAGTCTGCTTACAGCCCTACAAGTCGAGCTCGTGTCGCGAGGCCTTGGCTTTTGGCTTACCTCATGGATCGGCTTTCAACTACCGGAACTGGAAAGACTAAACGCGAACCAGGGACCGCGATGCGATGTTCGAATCGACAATCGACAGGGGTTGAGGGTGTCATTTTAGATCGCCGATGTCAAAATCCTCATCTCCACTGGCTGCTTGTTTACCCCGCTCAGGTATGAACGAGCCAACGATCAAGTGGTTGATACCACAGTATTGAGTGGCTAGCGGTCAGAGTTCGGTTTTGAGTAGGGCTCTGGGTCACAGCTCGGATCTGGGTGGTCATCATGACACCAAAGAACAATGATTAGTGTGTGTTGTGCGCCTTAGTGTAGTGTATGTGTAACCCATAAGTGTCAATGCTCATCAGTCTGATGCCAGTGATGTGCGAGTCCGTAATGACTGCCAGCTAACCGAAGCCGGTTAGATTCCGGCGATCGGGAAGACTTACCACATCCAGGGCAACCGTCGATCTCAACCAGGTGGCCTGGATTTTCACATGCACCTTCAAATATCAGGTAGCCAGAGAGCCCAACATCTGGTAGTTTCTCGGGGGTGCGGTTTGCGCACGTTTGCATTTCTCAGGCTTCATCCTTCCTTTCTTCTAAGTATAATTCGTTGTCCTCCTCTATCACCATGAGGGCGAGACTACCTTCATAGAGCGACATAACTACAGGTGGGTTCGGGTGCCGATATAATGGTATATCGAGAAAAAGAGAATGGAAAGAGAAGAAGGAAAAGAAAGAAGATAAGAAGGGAGCCAAGGGAGAACGGAGCCAATCCGTTAGAATGCTAGGGTTGGGGTTGTGGTATATTCCCGCGGGAGCAACCAACCATGCATATCTGTACCTACTACCAGGTAGTACTCTACCTGACCTACTAGGTACTACTAATGTAATAGTCCCAAAAGACCGTATCTTATGAAAAGCCCGAGGCCTAGACACTGCCTAGTGAATAGCACCTTCCTCTATCTCAGCACTCATTGCGTGGGAAAATGAAACTATACGTTGTCAGCCCCGACTGTGCGCCGAACGATCAGTGCCTCCGCATCAACGGCGCCGGGTGGGGTCTCCTGGAGCAAGACATAGCTGACACACAGGTATTACAGCTCCACCCCAGCGAGCACGCCGACTTCATCTGCGTCTCCTACTCATGGGGCCGCGGCCGTTGCCCAAGCCCCTTCCACCCGCCGTTCGAGGTCTCGGACCGGACGCTCCCCGCTTTAACGGCCACCATCGCGCAGCGTCCGACGTGCCACAGGATCTGGATTGACGCCTTCTGCGTCCCGCCCCCCTCCAATCCACACCTCCGCGCCGCCACCCTGGAAAGCATGGGCTTCATCTACTCACGCGCCGCCGAGGTCATCGTAGTCGTCTCTTCACAAGCCCTGCCCGTCCTCCAATATATTACTACCACTAGTACTACCCCCACATCCTCCTCCTCCTCCTCCTCCTCCTCCCCCTCCCCCTCCCCCCCCGCCGCTCACCCCGGAACATCTCGACATCCTCGCGGTAGAAGACTGGGTCACGCGCGCCTGGACCTACCAGGAAGCCGTCAACGCCCGCCAGCTGCACTTCACCACCACCACCACCATCAGCGCCGCCGCCGCCGCCGGCAGCGGCGTGCTCGTCGACAGCATGCAGCTCTTCTCACGCCTCGGACACGCGCTTGCGCTTCTCGCCAAGACGGCGCCCAAGGAGCGCAAGCGCTACCCGCGGCTGAGCGCCTTCGAGGACGTCATGTGCGATCGTGCCGTGGCTGCGTATCTGGAGAGGTCGGCGCTGCAGGTCATGACCGTCATGGAGGAGCGCACGCAGACGTGGCCGGATGACCACTTCTATGCGATGATGGGCGCCATCTCAACGGAGCCGGCCAGGGCGAGTGGCGCTGAGAGTGCGTGCGAGGCGTTCATGGCATTGTGTGAGCAGAAGGGGGACTGGAGTTTTGTGTTTACTTCGGCGAGGAGGGATGGGAAGATCGGGGGGACGAGGTGGAGGCCTACCAAGGAGGGGGGTGAGGGCCTGAAGCCGATTATCAAGCTGCCTAGCTGGGGAGGGGGGCTGAAAGGGGAGTGGAAGGATGGGTGCTTAGTTCTAGAGCATATTGTTGTGTTGGGCCTGGGGACGGCAGCACACGAGGTCGGCGCATGGATTCGGTGGTGGTTGGAAGGTTTCGACCCTCGGCGGTACGGGTCTGATGCCAAGCTAGGACCGGCGGCCTTTGAAGCTCTTCGGGAGCTGGGATTCTCGGGGAGTTCAGAGTACTTGGCGACAGAGAACGGATTGGTCTTCCCCCAAAATCCAGTGCCTCCGTCGGCCCAAGTGGAAGTGCTGGTCACCGCCGAAATCAGGTGGTCGCCTGGGGCCCCTGCTCTGGTCCGGTATCACGGAGACACTGGCACCGACCCTGGGTTGTTTTTTTACGAGCCGGCAGTCTTTGGGGAGATGCCAAAGCTTCTCGCCGTCCACCGCCCAACAGCCGTCTCCCTTTCCTAAGGAGTAGTAGATCTCAGCTGTTCCAACTTCCCTTCACCTCAACCATATAACGCTGTCATTCGCACCTCCCCTGCACATACGACCATACCTGGTAGGAAACTCGGGATCCTATCCGCTCTCTTTGACTTAAGAGATCGTATCTCGCCTTTTAGAACAGTGTCTATAAAAGAGCTTACACTTTTAGCTTCGAGATGGCTTTACTTGTTAGCACGGATAGGTATCATATACTACATAGTATATCATGCGGAACGCAGTCAAATAATGCAGTATGCATAGGAATCAAGTAAGAAGAAGGATGATGAATTAAGAAGAGGGTGGCTTGTCTGCGTGGAAGATATTCCACGCAGTTGGGCCTTATCTAATCTACAGGACCGGGGTACCCCACAATGTGGAGCACCCAGAATGATTGCGCCCGTTCCGGTATCAGTATAAACAACATACCTATATAGAAGCCAAAGGAAGACTTAACCTTAACTATAATTCCCCTTTGAGAGCATCCAACCACCATTTTGCCAAGTCGGCAACTGCCCAATCCGCTAGGCGACGTATAGCCGTTGAGATCTGGTAACAGCCGGCGAGTGTGTGGGAGTCGCCGATGAAAATACTATGATAGACAAACTACAGCCCCTATTGCTTAGCGATGAAGTTCTACGAATTCGCAGGTAGATATATCATATCCGTATCAACATACCGTCTTGCCCTCTCGGCGAGTAGCAACATCGGCACGCCACTTACTGCCGAACGCGGATACAAGTGGTAGAGCGGGTAGTGGTAACGTATTCGTATCCTCTTGTGCGCTACCCCTTATGGCTCGCAGCGAATCTCGGGCTATCTCTAGGTGTCGGAAATGAGCGCGTACCCAGGTAGCAAGCTGAATGGACCCCGTCAGAACGTCGGGACCGGCGTTCTTTGTCACGATGCTAACGGCCATAGAGTGGGAGCTTCATTGGTCAGTTCGCAGTGCGTAACGGGAACATTCCCGAGGCTCAAGCGCAGCTGTTGGCCATCCACCACGGCTTCATTAATGAACAACCCGTAGTCCACCTTGTGTTCGCCCAAGGATGGGTCCGGATCGCGAAACATGGGTTGAATGCGGCAGGCCGTTCTATATATTGAGAATATTAGCAATGCTGGAATTGAGAAATGCAAATCAAGGGGGGCTAGACAGAAGACGAAAAAGGCTTCAGGTTCGCTCACATGTTGCGGTAGTGCACAGACGAATGGCCTACAAGAGCATCTTTTAGAAGAGGGGCATGCACCATTTCGTTCCATCCAGGTTCATGCTCAAGCCTCTCCTCGCAGAGTATGCTCTGCTCGCAAATGGCCTCTAACATGGCATGGCGGTGGCGGAGCAGGAAGTCCTGGTTTGGGTCATTGCTCGGCGGCACGGGAAGAAAGAGGCGGTCGTAACTTTCTTTTTTTTTCGTTCCAGTGGCGGGGTACAGAGTCCTATGAGAACATAAGTGGTCAGCACGCTACTCCGTAGAGTTACCACTCTCAACAGAGCCAGTGAACTCGAACCTTGAAGACAACCGGGATCACGGGTCTTTCGCCTCTTCCAATATCGCCTAGATCTTGGAGAAGTTCCAGAAAGGGATGCAGGCAATTGTGGCGTCGGGGGGTTAGATCCAGGTCGGCGCCACTACGCTGGCGCTTTTGCGGGGGTCGTACCTAGGGTCGCTCATGGCCGCCAGCGTGTCGGGATCATCCGCTTCAATTGTTGCGAGCCAAGCGAGGATCGCGTCGGTGCCGCAATACGTGGGCACTTGTTGCTGCGGCATCCCACTTGACGAGAATAGCGCGAAGAAAATTGTTGCTGAACTGGAATCGGAAGGTTGGATGTTGGGTACACTTAGTTGAACAGGAACGCGATTTTGTTTTTGGCCCAAAAGGAGTGATAAGGCATCTGGCCATGCGGGAATGGAGGAATTTGCTGCCACTCTCTTCACCAAATCCCTGAAATGGGCATGTATGCCCCGTCAGACTTGAATTTGTGGAAGGCCTGGGCTGAGAATGCGGAGACGCGGAGGTTGGATCTCGCTGTGCTACGGAATGACCAAAGCACACGTTTACGTGCGCCAGGCTTCTGGTGGCAGGACGGCCTCGCCACCCTTGGAGGGGATATTGTTGATGGACCTGCAGCAATGTCTATGGCTATGGAGGGGTCATCACTCTAGGGCATAAGGTATCTATGGCCAGGACTGTCAATCAGCTCTCATTTCCGGCCGGTCATACCACTATTTGTACTCTACAACAGTTATGTCATCGGCATACTAGTACTGTACATACAATATCATACACACATACCCACCACTCCTCGCCCGACATCCGCGTGGTCGATGCGAGCTCACGGAACTCGCTGTACCCCAAAGAAGTAATTCCCAACCTTCTCACTCCCTCTCACCTCCTTCCACCCCAGGCCGGGCACATACACCACGCCCATGACCATCGGCGCCCCCACGCCCCGCCCTTCCCGTCAAAATACCTCCTCAACTCGCCCTCATTAATATACTTATTCCAGTCATGCGTCCCCTTGGGCACCACCCCCAACAAATCCTCAGCCACCAGATTGGTCGTCACCCAGCTCGTCCACGTCCTCGCAATGGTGCTCAGGACGAGCCACCCGCCGGGCTTGACAAACTGCCCGACCCGGTCGAGGAAGGCCGCCGGGTAGTCGACATGCTCGACGACCTCGAACACGCTGACCACATCAAACCTGCCCACTGGCGACTCCGGTAACGGCAGCGACTCGATCGTCTCGTTCAGATACACCAGCTTCTTGCTCAGACCCAGGGCAGGGTCGCGCCGGGCGTGCGACCGCGCCACGGCGAGGATGGTCGGGGACGGGTCGATCGCTGTCACGGAGAGGGTGGACGGCAGGCGCGCGGCTGACTCGGCGAAGATGCCACCTCCGCAGCCGACGTCCAGGTATCGGAGTGCTGTCGGGGTGGAGGTACTGGTTGGAGAGGACGAGAGGCAGGCGCGGATGAAGTCGTGTCGGAGCGGGTTCATCAGGTGGAGAGGACGCGACGGGCCGTGGGGGTCCCACCAGGAGGAGGCGAGGGCGGAGAAGTGGGAGATTTCGGTTTCGTTAACGGAGGAGGAGGAAGAGGCAGCGGAGGCGGGGTGAGTGTGGGGGAGGGTTGGCGTTGAGCTCAGCTGTCGGTAGGGCGTCGATGGTTGACATGGTTCGGCCGCCGGCGTCGAGTGCGCGGCTCCCGCCGCCACCCGCCGGAGTGACTGCGCCGGTCGGAATAGTCTTGGGGCGTGCCGCAGTAATGGTCGCATTTTCAGGTGCAGATTGTCTGGCCGTGGCATTCGGCACGCCGTTCGGATCGAACCGGTTGAAGCAGTTTAGACCCGCAGCTCTTTTTTTGGAGCTCCCGTCCTACACTACTGTACTCTGCCCGCATCTCAGGTCCACTTCAGCATGGCCACGCGGAGTTCTAGAACAGTTCTAGCGCCTGCCCCGCAGCTCTCTCTGATGCCCCGCTTTTCAGGGACTTCTTGTGTGCATGCTGTCCCGAGGATCACACGATTGCCGAGCTGCGACCGGACACTGATGAGTGACATGTTTGTCAGCGCCAGTCATCGATTGACTGGAGACTTATTAAACAGAACCGATGGTGGATAGTGGAATCATAGCCACAGGGCCACGGGTTATTAAGTCTTTCTTGACCTTGAGCCGCGGTGCGAATTGACAGGTTAATGTCTTGTTCTGGCTACCTCCGCGAAAGAATCTTAAGAAGACTTTAAAGACCAAGACCGAGCTTCGGCATCGGAACCCCACCAACACCGAGCCCTGACCCGGCTGGCCGGATACTCGGCTGACATCTGATACTCAACACTTGCCTTCGCACTCGTTGATAGGCATCGTGGGCTTCGGTGACAGACAAGTCATTTTCCACGGCAAGTTTTGGTCGCGGCTGAGTCATCCCCGGCGCCAGAGTCCGCAAGCGGATTCATTCACCACATCCCTTAATTCCCCTCCACCCTCTCGCAACACCCCGCCGGCACCCGTCCAGAGCAAACAACCAACCCCAACAATCGTAACCATGCCGTCCCCAGCCTTAGCCGGTCAAATTGACCCATCCCAATTCGACTCCATCCCCGACACAATCCAAGCCTTCCGTACGTACGCCCTCCCTCCCTCCGCGCTCGCTCAACCCACGGGTACACACTTCTAACTCCACCTCAAACAGGAGATGGCGAATTCGTAGTAGTCCTCGACGACCCCTCCCGGGAAAACGAAGCCGACCTGATCATCGCAGCCGAGGGAATCACGACGCAACAGATGGCCTTCCTGGTGCGGCACTCATCGGGCCTGATCTGCGCGCCGCTGCTGCCGCAGCGCACCGTCGAGCTGGACCTGCCGCAGATGGTGACGCACAACCAGGACCCCAAGACGACCGCCTACACGGTCAGCGTCGACGCGGCCGACCCCAGCGTGACGACGGGCATCAGCGCCCAGGATCGCGCGTTGGCGTGCCGCGTGCTGGCCGACGAGCGCGCGACCCCGGCGAGCCTCCGCCGCCCGGGCCACGTGTTCCCGCTGCGGGCGAAGCCCGGCGGTGTGAGGCAGCGCCGGGGGCATACCGAGGCTGCGATTGACCTGTGCCGGTTGGCGGGGAAGAAGCCCGTGGCGGTAATCAGCGAGCTGGTGGATGATGGGGCAGAGGTGCCTGGCCAGGCCCTAAGGGAGGAGCCCGGGATGCTGAGGGGGGAGGCATGCGTGGCCTTTGCAAAGAAGTGGGGTCTGAAGGTGTGCACAATCGCGGATCTGGTGGACTATTTGGAGAAGACAGAAGGGAAGCTTCAGATTAATGGCGATTGAACGGGTTTTGAAGCTGTGGAACGGCACACGACAGGTGCCCGTACATATGGCGCGGGCAGCACGACGCCGTCGCACGCCATTGTCCGGTCTAGTTGCATGGAAGGATTCTTCAGGGCCGATCTTTGCCTGTGGGTGTAAATATGGCCTTTTGGGTACTCGGGCGCACTGCCGCCATTGGGTTTTGGCTATGGTAGACAAAAAGATACACGACCTTGCAAGAGATCAAATCGCAGCTCCAACCAAACGTTCTTTTGGCATTGCCTCGATACCTGGATGTAACAGGATGGCCCTTCCGTAACGCCACTGAATGCATTGCCTGATGCATCCTTCCTACCGGTCCCATTTTTTGTCTATCCCAATCTACAGAACAACAGATTAGAAAAGCCAGGCCGAGAGAACCAACTACCCTCCTGACTTTCAGTACATGGGATTCGACATAGGCGCAATAATGCCCTGCTTGACAATGATACGAGGCTTTGTCGCGTCTTGGAACGTCTCCTTGGTCACCCACTCGGGGCCGACAGGCAGCCGGAGCGAACGCTCGTACTGCTGTTGAGATTCGAAGGGATGAGGCAGCCCCGGAGCAAGATACTTGTCGTTCTGCAGTTGAGTTAGCCTTCAGTCTCAGTCACCCACCAAACAATTTGGCGACAACAAACCTTTTTGATCCGCTTCTCGCTGATGATCACGTCCTTCAACCTGAAGTCCTTCCGGTCCCTCTTCTTCACACCCTCGACCTTGGTGATGAAGCGGCCCTGGTGACGTCTCTTCTCGCGATTGCTCACGCCTTCACCCACCCAGCTGCCCCAGCCGGGTAGAGTGTTGTCGATCTCCTTTTCGTCATCGTCGCGCTCGATCTCGGCCTTCTCCTCTTCAAACTGGCCATGGACGTCCTCGCCGGCAAAGGCCCGCTCAATCAGCTTCTGATCGCGGATTGCCATGGGAAGATGCAGGTCAGCGTCATCATCCGAGTCTTGCCCTCCATCTGCATGGACGGTTGGTGTGCCGTCAGACGTGGGTTTGGGCTTGGATGACTTGATGCTCAGCGTCACGGCGCCAGAGATGTCCACTTCCTCGGCCCTCGTCTTGCTCGCCTTTTTGCTTTTGCGGCCAGACGGCTCGACCTGAGACCAGACACCAGCCGCGGCCGGTGCCGGCGCCGGTGGCGGTCCTGCAGTCCAAGCACCACCGGCGCCGGAGGTTGATGATTGCGGTTCGACCTGCCTGGCGGGCTGAGATTGCGATGTTGGTTGTGGGCGGCCGAAGGTACTTGTTGAGTTGGCAGGCCCGCGAGCATCGGCGGCATTGGCTCTTTTGGCGGCAGTTGCGCTGGCATTGGCAGTGGCTGCCGAGTTACCCATGCCGTACTGCCGGCGACCAATCTCCATTTCCTCATCGGACGCCACTTCATTATCCGAGTCTAGCTGGCGACGCAGCTCAGCTATAGCCTCATCGTTTTCTTTCTTGCGTAGCTCTTCCCCTCGTTGCATAAACTTCATCTGCATGAGTTTGGATTGGGGCGCTTCGTCCTCGTCATAGGCAGCTGCTCGATCAAGTTCTGCCAAGAGACGATGCCGGTTGTCTCCCTCTTCAGAAGCGTCTGAAACATCAGAAACGTCATCGTCGTCGTCATCCGATCCACCGGTCCGACCCTCAATGCGACGGCGCAGCTCTTCCTTCCTCTGAGCCATCTCGGTCAGACCAGCGCGGAAATTCTCATCCCAAACTGCGCGCCCAGCCTTCTTGCCGAGCTTCGCCCATTTGCTCTCCCGGTGGCGCGTGCCCACGCGCTCCAGCGCCCGTCTCCGGTCAAGAAGCTCTCGCTCGTCCTCCGAGTCCAGCTCGCCATTTGCGAGGGCCGCCTCATGTTCTGCCTCCTGCTCCCGAGCGAGCTCCTTGCGATGGATGCGACGGTACGTCTTGCTCTTGATCTTCTTGATGCGCTTTGCCCTGGCCATCTCACGTGAATGCAATTCCCGCTCGCGCCGCCGCTGTCGTGCTATCTCTTTCAATTCCGCCTGCGTCAATCCGTTCTGCCCGCTGCCGTCTCCTTCCTCCTTCTTCTCGGCCTTCGCGCTCGGCCCAAGTCCACTCTCCTCCATGATAGCCAGGATGGTCTGCTCCAGCTCCGTCCCAGACGTCTTCTGGTTGATCGGCATTAGCTCTGCGCCGTCAAGGCCACGATCGTGGGCATTCTGGGCGAGCGGAAAGACCAGATGATCTGCCCGCCGGTTGTGCTTGACGGTCTCAACCCATCTGCCGAGCGTCTCGTTGGTCTTCTCGTAGGCGGCGCTGCGGAGGAGGCGATCCTGCTGGCGCTTGGCAAGGGGAACATCAAGCTTCTTGGAAGATCCGGGCTTCACGGCCTTCTCTTCCTTGTTCATGAGCCTAAGGGCCCGCTTGATGTGCGGGTCCTTGACACCTGCCAACCCAAGATCTTTGAGACTGAGCTTGGGCTTGCCTTGTGACCCGGTCTGCTGCTCGCCTTCCTCCTCATCCTCGCCAGCAAACCCAGCGATCATACTCTGCAGCGCGTCCAGTTTTGACTCGTCGTCCTCATCCTCTTCGCTCTCGTCGTCCGCATCAGTAGACTCGTCGTCCTCTTCTTCAGATCCAGACTCTTCTTGCTCTTCATCGTCGTCTTCCTCAGAGAACTGATCTAGCGCCGTCGCAAGGTCAATCGCATCCGAACCAAGCGACTCAAGATCATCTTCCTCCTCCTCCTCCTGCTCTTCACTGTCCTCTGCCTCGCCCCCAGCCTTCCTCTTCCCTTTTTTCCTCCCTCCCTTCGAACCACTCCCCGCAAAGCCAAACCCCTCGAACCGCTCCTCATCACTCTCACCAAACGCCTCATCCGAATCCAGCTCGGAATCCTCATCCTCGCCTCCAACACCTACATGCCACTCCTCACTATCACTCCCTGCCGCACCGTCATCATCCGAGAATCCATCAAACCCGTCCTCGCCATCTTGTTCTCTCCTAGGCCTCTTCTTCCCTCTTTCCCCACCGTTAAGGTCCTCATCCCCGTCTTCGTCGTCGTCATCATCCTCCCCGCGGCGCTGCCTCTTCCCGGGATGCTGCTCGCCGCCGTCGTCGTCGTCGTCCAACGCGCGCCTGCGCACGCCCCGCACGGGCGAGTCATCGCCAACTTGCTCGGCGGCACGCGCGAATGCGTCGAGGGCGTTGGCGGTGGCTTTCGCGCGGGACTTCTTGAAGTGCTTGACGTGCGATTTGCTCGGCTTGTTGTGGCCACCGCCACCACCACCGGCTGCTGTGGCGGTGGGGAGCAAAGGGCGGCCGTGGGCTTGACGGCCTGGCATTTTTGTCGAGTTTTCTTCTTTGTAAGGAGATTGTGAGGAAGGAAGGGTAGAAGGTGTTTGCGGCGAGTTGCCGCTGGTCGATGCTGCGATCGTCAACAAACCAGGAGATTCTGGTTTTCTGCCGGGAAAATTGCTTGAGGAATTTTGGGCGGTGAGCATTGAGAGCTGGTGGGGAGTGGGGTTGCATTGCGGGGCTCCGTGGAGCACTGGGCTTGGCGTGCCGGGCAGGGGCTTTTTTACCTGCCGGGAGCGTGCCGTCGCCGCAAAATTTACCGGACGGACCCCGAGCTTGACGATTTGCCGACCGCCGACCGCTGCGACATCAACCTCCCGCTCATTGATTACCCACCGCCCGACAAACACGCAAGCCGCCCAGCCAACAAGATGCAGCCTACCCGCGTGCTCCAGGCGCTCCGCTACCGCAGGCTGCGCCTCACGACCAAGGATGTCAACAAGGGATTCTACAAGGGCACGCGCACGGGGTCCATGGGTCGGCACACCAAGCACGGCGGCTACATCATCGATTGGAACAAGGTGCGGACGTATGTGTGCCCTTCGCTGGAAGGGTTCAAGGTGTGTGATCTCCTACTGCGATGCTAAAGAAACCCAGGAACCGAGTGCTGACCAGAGTGGAAACAGCTCACCCCGTTCGTGACACGAAACATGCCGCGGACGTTTGGCAGATACGAGACCAAGCTAGGGCCGAAGGACCCTGAGATGTATCTGGCGAGGTGGAAGGCCGAGAACGGGCTGGATTGAGGAGCGACTGTCTGTTGCAGGAGGGTTCGGTCAGGCTGCGGCATCAGCTAGCTGGACATTGTAAGAGTAGAGTAGACACCGGTGCGGTCAGGGAGAGGTGCACTGAATGTCTAGTACTCAGGGGAGCTAGATGGCATTGTTTGGATCATGAAATGGCGTTGAACGGCGTTGCGACAGGAATGTAGCATATAAGTACTTAAGGTATACTGGGTCAATAGTTCGCACCAGGTCTTGCACAGATTGGGGCCTTTTGAGAAGCTATAAACACTACAAACGGCTTACTAAACGACGCAGCCCGTCTGAATTATTCTATCCTGAAATTCGAAGGCTCTGTTTCGCCTGTCATCAAAGTGAAGAAAGGGGTATCCAAGCTAAAACCACACCGGTCTCCAGCTTTCGAAAACTTATCTCGAAATGGGCTCCTCTTCCGCGGTGATAAAGCTTTCCAAATCTGACTTCGCCCCAGGCGAAGTAGGCGACAAGAGAGGCGTCGGCGTTCCAGGAGTCACGGCACCATGATCGCGGCTCGGCCCCTTCTCCGGCTCAGCCAAGTCTGCCTTCCCCTGATGGTCCGAGATATGCACCGACGGAGGCGCGACGAAGCTACTCGAGTCCGCGGTCGATACCCTGACAGAACTTTGGTCCATTGGGGTGGCGAGTGTGATCATGCTTGCTGTTTCGGGTTCCTTGCGCAAGCTGAAGGGCGTTGCCAGCCCGCCAATCATGACCCGCTTTCCGGTGACGCCCGTCTCGTGCGCGTTATTGCGGGATAGGAAGCCCTTCGTTTCCCCATCCGCAGCCTCGTCTGCAGCTTCCTTGCTGCCATCGGCCACAGGTCCGGCTGGGCGGAGGTCGAGGTTCTCATCCGAAGGCTTGACCGCCTCAGCACGCTCGGCCGCCTCCTCCTCGCCGGCCAAACCTTTCCAAGCCCGGCTCTCGCTCGTCTCGCTCGTCGTTGGCACGCTGTCTTCCTCCCGCACCGCTCTCGTCTGCTTTTCCAAATCCGAGAACGCGCGCGCCCCCTGTCCCTGACCGGGGCTGGCGGTGGTCATACATGGCGTCTTCGCGGCGTGCTGCTCCCTCTGGACAGTCATTTGGTCATGCTTGGAGCCCCACAGCGCCCACAGCGACAAGCCCAGGCCGCGCGCCTTCTTCTTCTCGAAGTGCTTCGCGCCCAGCTTCCTCTGGCCTGCGAGCGCGCTCGGCGGCGGGACTTCGCCTTCGCCAAAGACTTCGTAGCCCACGGCCATGTCGCGGAGGCGCTGCTTGTGCACGCGGGCTTTGGCCTGCTTGAAGCGCGCGTCCCAGCGCCGCTTGTGCTGGAGCCACTTGCGGACGGTGCCGACTTTGACCACGCCGACCTGATCGCGGGGCATGCAGCATGCCGGGAGTTCGGACGGAGGGGGTAGGGGGAGGATCTCGCCGTGCCGCGTAACCCGCTGGCGAATCATATGGTTCTCAAAGGGAGGGAGAGGGTCGCCTGCTCGGCCAACGGAGTTTCCTGCGTGCGACCTGTGGTGCTTGACGGCTTCCTGCTGCTCGGTCTTCTAGATGATGCATCAATACGATATGCGACAGCTAGGTTGGATATGCAGAGAGAAACTTACCGAAGCATCAAGCTCGTTCTCACTTGGGGAACTAGAACTTGAGGAGCTGCTCGAACTTGAGATGACGGATATTTCGTCGTCGTCAAGTATACCGACGTGGGTCTTTTGGGCACCGGCCAGCGCCCAGGCCGAGAATTGTGCAACACTCTGTATCTCCCGGTCAGCAACTGCAGGTCTGGCCGAGCACCGGAACTAACTTACCCTGTACATGTACTTCGCTGGTCTGGTGAAGCTCAAGGTCGGCGCAACATGACACAAATCGTCCCAGACTTGCAGCTGGACATCGGTAGGCTTATACCTGTCGACCAGGCCTCTCGCCTTGTCATCCATAAGCGCCTCAGGAGGGAGGTACTGCGCGGGGTTGGCGCATTTATGAGCAAGGTAGATTTGCTCATCACGCAACAGCTCGCCGCCTCCGACCATGATGAGCAGTGGCGGTAGGCCACCCAGCGTTGGCTGCACAATCGGGCTGACCAAAGGGTGGGCTAGAAGCTCGTTGGTCGTGTACATCTGGCATCCGCGTCAGCACGAGGGATGGCTCGATTCGTCCTCGCAAAGCAAACCCACCTGTATTTGCTCCTTGACCTCAACCTCCTCGCCGTCAATGACAAACTTCAACCGGTGCGTGTGCTCCGCGACATCCTGCGCCGTAGGCATGCCGCTGTCCTGGGCAGGCTCGCGATCCTGACTTTGGATCTCCTTCTTCTGCGCAATCGCTGCTTTTTTGAGTTCCTCAAGCTCCTCCTCATCAGGAGGAGGCCAGGCACGCGACGGCTTGTGGTGGAAGCCGGACGACGGAATGTAATCCAGCGGGGACTCCCCAGCGACGCTCGGAAACGAGTGAGTCAAGTCGACCCACGGGCTGATGAGCACGGCGCCCGCCGGGAGCGGAATGCCCCTGTCCCTGAGTACGACCATCATCGAGAGGATCATCCCACCGCCGGCAGAGTCACCAGCCAGAATAATGGTGCTCGGTTTCTGATGGGCGATGAGGTACAGATACGTAGCCAGACAGTCCTGCAGGCCGCATGGGAACGGAAACTGTGGAGCAAGCCGGTACTTGGGCGCCAACGCCCTAGCCTTGAGCTTCCGTGCATGGCGCTGGATCTGGTAGCGGTGCTCGTCGACGCTGCCAAAGTAGTAGCCTCCTCCATGCACGTAGAGCATGACACGGTTGCCGGGATCGGAGTTCTTCTTGCGCTCCTGATAGTCGGCCTTCATCTCGATCCACTCGGCCTTGAGCGGGCTCTTTGGCTTGCGCCATTGCCACCACTCCTTGCCGCCGACCTGGCGGATGCCATCCGGACCAAGTTGTTCGACCACAAGATCGGCCGCGCGAGACAGGTCTTGCTCCGGAATCTCAACAGAGTCGACTCTCACCCACTGAGGATGCGGTACCCACTGGCTAGTAAAAGCCTGCAGTTCCTCGACGGTGTGGTGCGACGCATGAACGAGAAAGGAGCGTATGAGGTGCAGCCCCTGGTCGTACGACAAGTGCGCTGTTGGCTTGTGGGCGAGTGGTTTCCGGTTCAGATACTGTGTCTCTGATCAGCCCAGTCCAGCCGGAGGGATTCGCTCGACTTGACTGACATGCGACAAAAGAGTGGACAGAACTGTGGGCGTTACCGCCAGACCCACGGCCGCGGTATTCATCGTCGATATCACGCAGTTATCCTAGATTGTCTCATTCCTTCTTCGACAAATAAGTGTATATTGATGCTAGTTGCCGGCGGTTGGCTTTCTTTTCTCACTGTAGCGTGATGTCATTTGCTATCCGCACCTGGAACCCAACAGGACGGCGCCGGTCCTCCTGCATCCAAGGCAATGCCAACAATAGCTCAGGGGCCAATGCCAAGGGATTGGCAGAGCGGCGTCGATCTTGCTTGAAACCACTTCAGGTTGTCAGCAACTTATTCCGTTCATGGGACGACGCCAGTTTGACAAAGGGCACACCGCAGGTACGTTGGAGACACCATACAGATACTCTAACAGCAACTCACAAAAACATGTCTCTACCACACTGTCAAACTCGGTGTTGCTAAACACCAAGGGAGGAGTTAACAGAAGGGATGCAAGCACTGTGCGAGGTCCCCTGAGCCGGGCTTGGCATTTTCAGGGATGTCCTTGCTTAAGATCGTCTTATCGATAAGACTCTTTAGCTTCCTCTGGTCGAGTTTCCCCACGATGTGAAGCTCCGCGTCACCTTGAGTTGCCTGCCCACAGTACAGATATATCCAATTCCAAGTCCAACCCTCCACGAACTGATCTCTGCAATCTACTCCATCTAGAGCACGAAACAAACAACACATGTTTTGACCAAACTGACACCTTCCCTAACAACCATTCAGAATGGCGACTCAATACGAGGGTAAGCGCCTCGGCACGTCCAACTCCGCGATGCGATGCAATGCGATGCGGCATACCCATCCTCTCCTTGACGTCTACCTCTAAGCACCTTAACTGATATTCAGTGTCCAGTCGAGCACAACATCAAACCAAACCATTCTACGACCCGTCGGCGGCGGCAAGTCGACATGTCAACCTTCAATGCGCACCTGCACAACATCGTTCCCGAATCCACATCCTCCCCTTCTACATCCCCGCAACAGGAACGCCACCACCACCACAACCCTCACGCCGTCCCGAACCCGACCGACACTGCCGCGCTCTTCCGCCTCTTGCAAGACCAGATGGGCACGCTCGCCACAACAGCACCAACCGACGACAACCGCGCCTTCCTGCAGTCCCTCGTCGAAGCCCTCGAGCTGGATGTGGCGCACCCGCCGCGGGAGATTGAGGGCGTGACGCAGGAGTTCCTGGACGGCCTCGACCGGGTATCGCGCAAGTCGCTGAAGCAGGACGACACCTGCCCGATCTGCGCGGAGCGGTACCTCGACGACCAATACCCGCTCGTGGTGGAGCTTCCGTGCCACGGGAGTCACCGGTTCGACCTCGAGTGTGTCGGGCCCTGGTTGCGGGCTAAGGGAACGTGTCCTCTGTGCAGGAAGGAGATGGGGAAGCGGAGGGCGGTGGTTGTTGCTACGGAGGAAGACGATGAAGAAGTGGATGATATGAATGGGTTGTATGCTTGACTGGGTGAGCCAAAGGCGTCGGCAGGGAGGTGTAGGGTGGTTCAAGGGGGGCCGGAAGGGATGATTAACTCCCACTTGCATCACGGCGATGCGTTTACCAAGCTTGAGCCAGTCCATACTGCATTTCATGAGCAAGTAGTTTGGCGTGGGGCTTAAACAAGTCATGAGTGATGAGCATGCCGAGTGTTGGACTCCATGATGCAATTCCCCAACGCCGAAATGCAAAACCCATGCGTGTTTGCGTTGATTTGTACATTCTCCAGCCAGTCAGCTGGGGATGTGCGGTCCCTTGTCCCCTTTTATACACCTCCCCTCCCCTAACCACTCACGTCGGTTCCAACCTTGCCGTGCTTCTTCCCACCATGCCCCTTGCTCCTCGTCTTCTTATCTCCCTTGTCCGCGGTCTTCTCCTCCGGATTATGTGGCTTCGAGAAGTCTTGATTCGCTCCGCTCGCGTCGAGCGGGTTCCCGTTGCTCTCGTTGTCCATGGACTTCTTCTCAGCTTCCGGGTTGGTGTTGTTGCCGTTGAAAGCCGTGGATTTCTCGGCCACCTGGTCGTCAACGCCGAAATTAGTGCCCTCGGAGCGGCGGGGGTTGAGAGACTCGCGATCTTGAAGATTGTCTTTGCCTGTGCTGAAAGGCCGGGCTGAGTGATATCTCTGGAAGAGGTATGGCGAAGGCCCTGAAGACCTCGAGGCTGTCGAACGCAGTGTCCGCGCCTGGAGGAAGAAGGATTGCGAGCCGGTTCGGAAAGCCATTGTGTGGAGGGACTAGTCGGCACGGTCGGTCAATTGGAATTTAGGAGCGTGTAAAATGGCGGAATTGCAGGTATGAGGAACAGTTCAAATCCGCCAGACAACAAACTGATCTTAAAAGTACAAGCTCTTGGAGTCTGTCACAGGAAATGGTTCAATGTTGCCTGAGTGAGCAAGCAGGTGCCCAGAAGAAGTGTGACGTCATCACAAGCCTACAGTTCAAACTCCACAGCGGGGCTAGAACTCCGAGGTTGCAACCGGCCCGCATTTGCACCAGACTCCCGTCGGCTCGATATCGAGAGCTTCACCTCCTCATGTGTACAAAACCCAAGCCCCAGCGAATACTAGTAGGCGCCATCGAGGCTCTTAGTAGAACATTCAGGCGACAGAGCTTCACATCCACAATCCCAGTCATCTTCAGCTTCGCTCACGATGACAGTCAACCACATCGACCAAGCCCGATCAAGCCGAACGTGATTGTCACGGGAACGGAACTTCAACGTTCGCAAGCAGCAGCCGAATTCTCAAAACTCATCAGCACGCCAGTGGCTACCACCGAACTGCCACTAACGAGCCAAGGCGTAGACATGACAGAAATATATATACCGGATCATCCTCGCGGGTCGTGACGGCCGCTGTTTATTCACAGGAAGGTCTGCGATACGGACGTACCGAAACAGCGGTGACTGCGAAAACCAGTCTCAATTTTCACCGCCCTTGCCACGATCCCGGAATTCTGATACGGTCACTTCATCGGTTCAGTCAACACCGTCCTTACAGAAGTGGAAGTCGACGCAATCGTAAGCCTTGCCATATAGTCTCAGTTGTGTCTTATACGCCATATCCTGGAAAAGGAGGACATAAATGCGGAACAGTATTCTAGACAAAGGTAAGCGAGACGCCATGTTGCCATCGGGGGAAATTGTCTCCTCTCGCCGAGACTGTGTGAAGGAGGACTGCCGCCTCTAAGCGCATGTCACACCGACAGCAAGGTGTTCTGTCCTCTGTCAGGGATTATCTTCTGCTCAGGAATGGAGGGATGTTCTTGGAACCATAGCAATGTTCGCTAACGCTTTGATCCGGTTGGTCAACTGCGGATTCGGATCATCCCAAGACGCGTGGTCTAACGCGAAGGAAACGAAGAATATTGGGCGTAGAAGGATACGTAGGTTACGATGAACGCGGAGGATGGTGAGAGACCTAACTGGCTCCAGCTTGACCATCCAGGAGTATTTGCAGTTGCATGGATATAATGGGAGCACCGTAAAACATACACAGCATGCCCCAGTATGCTCGCAGCTTGTGAGCTTCATGTCGATTGCTGTCCCGAGTCCTGGAACAAGGCGATAAGTCAAAAGATCACTGCATCGGCACGAGACGTGAATGGTTTCCCTAATCCAGTGTGTCAACCCCTGTCATCAATGGATTTTGGCTCTCATGTCCCCTCTCCTGTCAGCTACACAATGTAGTCGAAAAGATCACGTTCTTGTTGATGTCAGTCGGGCGGCGTATCCGAAGTTATGCCTGTCAAGGCATAGGTATGTGCCACAGGCATGCCGTATGTGAGGAGAGATGATTTAGAAGTGGATTAATGTTGATCTGCCGCTTTGAGCAACCGGGAAAGCTGTCGTGGCACATACTTATCTAAGGGACCTTACATACCATACTGTGTATACATCATCAGCGAGAACTGGTCCAACGCAGCTCATCTGCACGTGCGCTCCAAGATGGTGATGTGCCATGCTTGTTGTAACTTGTGACAAATCATAGCACTCGGATATGATTTCTCAGAAATCATTTCTGAGAGACCGGAATGCAGGCCTGGGTCTGGTGGGGAATAGCCCTGGCTGACAGCTGACGTGGCTTCCATGTGTCAAGCACATGGCCTGAAAGTCTCCTTTGTTGATTGAAGCAGCGTCTCAAATTTCCCGTGCCGCAGAAGCCTTCTGGAAGCATTCCTTTGCTGGAAAGCAGCCCATGGTTTCAGGTCGCATGCATACACATGCAGCCAGGGCTCCGGGTGGCAGCGGACATCTCCGACCGGCGGGAAAAGGTTGTTGGCACAGCGGTGAGCCTTCCGAATTCGGATGTTCGAGAGAGCAAGGGATTCGAACTCTGCAGGATCATGGATGGGATGAACATCCATCCTGCGACGTTGTCCATGCGCCTTGGTGAATAACTGGTCTTCGGGGAGGTTGATCAGCAATACATTATGTAAACTTTCGTGTTTGCTCTCTCCTCCCTACTGTATACTGTAGGTTCCTTCCAGCATGCAACTGTCGGGTATGTTCGAAGTGGCAGGACTTGATCCAATGGTTCAGTTAAGCGATCGCAAATCACGGCAGCGATGCAACTCGCACGTGGAATACATGGATCTTGCGCTCCACTGTCTGCTAACACGCGGGCTGTTGATATAATCAATAAGAAAGGGTTATCCTGAGAACGAACTGCTGGAGAGGGTTGGAGGCACGGCAATATTTCATGCTAGTTTTTCTTCGGCGTCCCGAACGGAAGGTTTGCGCCTTTCTCGGTCACATGCCACCTATCTAGGTTCCTATGTAAACACAACTCGGAAACCCGGGTCTCGGTAATGCAGAACACAGTGCATGATTCCACTAACTTTTTGGGTGGTATGTGGTGGCTCCGCTAGTGTTTTACACTAAAACCTGGAGGTCAGCAAGTGGATCATCCAAGCCCAGCCATCATGATAACGTTAACATCAGACCGACGGTTCACGGTTGCCTATTGGATTCATCCGAACATACCTAACTTACCGACCAGCGCGAGCAAGCTCGGACTAGATTCCTTACCTACATGTACATAGACCGGACGATGAGAAGGGAGCGGCAAACATCGACATACTCATTCCTAGCCCAAGGGTAATAAGTCTCCAGCCTAACTAGCTGACAACCTCTCTCCCTTTCGAGGGCCGAGATGACCGCTTTAGCGTCATGGCTAGCCCTGCCGGGTTAAATTGGCTAATCCGCTCCCATGCCGCGAGCCGTGGCCACGAGGTTGCCACCCGCGGGGGGGTTGAGAACCATTGAAATCTTGTGTCAGGTCACAGTCGCGAGCTCCCTGCTGCAGACGATCCCACAGTAGGTCATGAACTACCGACATCAGCAAACTCGTTCCACGATCCAATGAAGCATCCAATTGGCGGCTCTACCCCAAACGTGTCGAAGGTTCCGCAGGCTGTGTTGCCATGTGGCTTTAGATTGCCTCGCCGTCCGCCACTCAGAATGTGACTGAAACCTTCTGTTCGGATTGATTAGCGGCTGGTGGCTTCACAAAAGGAAGCCGTGGCGGATTGCGCTGCAGAAGCAACGCACCATTCAGGGCGCGATCTGCGCTCGCGAACGCAGCGAGGCGTTCAATTGGCGTTGCTCGAGGCCAACCCTCCACGCCGCAACGGAAAAATTCCCTTTGTTTCTCAATAGGGCGAGATAATGACAATGGTAAATGACTAGGATTGTCTCATTGTTTTGAGTGCCCGGCAGGTCCTGGTGGCACAGAAACCGGATGGTGTATCGGGGCCAAACATGCAGTCTTTCACGATGTCCAATGTCCGTATCGCCGGAGCGCATCCCTGCATCCCAAGCCGCCAACTTCGGCCAGGGCACGTCAGGTCCCAGGGCTTCAGTTCTTGCTGCCGTGACCACGCCTCCCCTAGCTAGCACCTCCACCACACTCACAGACCTGCTCCATTCCTGTCCCCTTTCTCATAAACCGACATTCTTTTTTGGGCAAACCCCCTCGGCCCCCGCCCAAACACACTCACCGCTCACAAACACGCTTTTGCAAACCCGAGACAGGAACGACTACACAGTAGGTAATAGTTCGGCTTCGCAACCAGAGACCGGCTGTTCGGTCCTCCGTCTTGGCTGTCGTCCTCATACCCCTCAATCGCCCTACCGTCTGCCGCTGGCTCCGTCCTCTGCCGGTCGGCCTCTCCCCGAACCGACCTTACCTCCGCCCTCCGACCGGTTCCGCGACAGCCACATCCTCCGCTGAACATCCCGGGTTCCTGTAGAAAGCAGACCCCCAACAGGCCTTGGTCGAATTCCGCTTCTCCCGGAAGAGTACGGCGGACGCAGAGCCGTTCTCAGCTTCGGCCGGCCCGATCCGTTTCCCGCCTAAGTCAGACACGAATGTCGATCAGGTTTTGTTTCGTTCCGTCTACGAACCGCATCAGCCGTTGCGAACGCCCCCGGAGCAAGCAGTTGCGCGTGGCTGTATGGGGTCTCGACCGGTAATCTTTGTGTTACCATAAAAGCGGGCCGAAGTTTTTGGAACGGAACAGTCGAGTTCTAGGAGGCAATGGGCAACAGCCAAGGCAAGCCCGTCGACCTCGACGGTGAGGGTGAGTTCTCCGGCCGGTTCCGTCACCGTCTGTCTGCCATCCGCCCCTGCTGACACGGGTGTTGTCGATGTTAGTGAACCTAAACCATTTCCGCCTCCTCAGAGTCGTCGGCCGGGGTGCCTTTGGCAAAGTACGGATTGTCGAGAGGAAAGACACGGGCCTGTCGTTTGCTCTTAAATACATCCGGAAAGACGAAGGTGGGCTATTACTCGGGACCTCCCCCGTGACCTTGGGGCAACGCAGAAAACTGACTCGAGTTGACCATGGCAGTGGTGCGGTCTGAGAGTGTGCGCAATATCATACGGGAAAGACGAATGCTTGAGCATGTGAACCATCCGTTCATCTGCAACTTGCGGTACAGCTTCCAAGACATCGAATACATGTACTTGGTTGTCGACCTCATGAGCGGCGGTGACCTGCGCTTCCATATTTCGAGGAAAACGTTCACCGAGGAGGCCGTCAGGTTCTGGATAGCCGAGCTAGGTTGCGCACTGAGGTACATTCACGGCCAGGGGATTATCCACCGCGATGTCAAGCCGGACAATGTGCTGCTTGACGCCGACGGACATGTGCATCTAACAGACTTCGTATGTGCTACACATGATCTGCTTTCGACGCTTTAGGCTCAGCTAACTGGTCGGTCAGAACGTTGCATCAGATGTCGTCCCAGGCAAAATCCTAACCAGCAAATCAGGCACTTTGGCCTACCTGGCACCCGAAGTCTATGCGGGGCATGGGTACGATGTTCGGGCAGATTGGTGGTCATTAGGTGTGCTGTTCTATGAGTGCATCTACAGCAAGGTACGCTGCGTTGCTTCCCCCCCTGAACGTGCTGGGCACGGAGTCCACTTCAGTCCATCAACCGCACCATTAGCGCTAACGTAAAATACAACCAGAGGCCATTCGAAGGCAATTCCGAATCCTCTCTGAGCGCTGTCATCCAAGCGGCCAGGCCGAAATTCCCAGTCACGAACCCCCCCGTATCGTTGCCCTGCATGTACGCCATCAAAGACGCCTTGGAAGCCGACCCAAATAAGCGCCTCGGTTCCACGTGGGAAAGCTTCACCCAGCACGAGTTCTTCTCGTGTATCGACTTCGTCGCGCTGGAGAGGAAGGAGATCGAACCGGTGTTTGTGCCATCGTCCGAGAAGACCAACTTCGACGCTACCTACGATCTAGAGGAGCTGCTGCTGGAGGAGGCTCCGCTCGAGGCACGCGCGCGGCGACAGAAGCCTCGTGAAAAGCTCAAGGATGACGCCACTGACAAGGAAATCCGCGAGGACGAGCTGTACCGCATGATCGAAACCGACTTCCGGCCGTTCGACTACACAGTGGCAGCCTATAAAAAGTAAGCAAACCTCGCTACTTTCCACTCTGCTCGCGCCATGGCCTTTCCACACCTTTTGACTCACACCTCTTGTCCAGGATCACACAGCAGCAAGAAGCAATAGCGAACAACGCCACCACAACAACAACATCACAAGACCCCAACAATCCGAATGCCCAACCTCAACCCCAAGCCCTCACAACCGACGAAGCCACGCCTGCCCCAACCGCCACCACCACCAACGGCTCCCCGTCGCCACAGCAACAACAACAACAGCAGCAGCAGCAGCAACAGCGTGCCGCGATAAACCACCAACGGCGCGGCGCACCGGGGCGGCCGCCGCCCCCGCTGCCTCCCTATCCCCAAGCCTACACGACGGGCGCCAATAGCACGGCGCGCACGGGCCGGGGGATGGTCGTGGGGAGTCCGACGGGCGGGGTGCAGGTGACGCTGGACGGGGGCAGCAGCTGGAGCGACCTGGCGCGGCAGGACGCGACGCTCCCCGCCGACGCGGCGGGCGCCAACAACGAGCTGGCCGGCGGCGCGGGGGCTAAGAGCCAGGCGGAGAGCTCGGGCGGCGTGTTTGGCTTCTTCCGCGGGAAGAAGGGGCGGGGAAACAGTCCGAAGCCGAAGGAACGGGGTGTGTTGGGGAAGGAAGGGGCCCGGGTCATTCTTGGGTGATTTTATCAGATTTATGTTGCATTGCGATACATACCATACCGTCATGGATCACTGCGTTGTGTGGGTGGATGGATGGAACACTCTCAATCCGGGAGAAGGGAGGCTGAGAGTGAGGGCACCGCGGCTGGGATGTACGCCGTGGCGCTAGGGGTGACGTGGGGGTTTCGAGTCTCATTTGTGAGTGAGTGCATATGCGCGTGCTATTTACATGCATACCTACCCTACCGTATGTACCTTGTTTTGCTTACCATATACGGAGCTGGGGTGGCAGAGGCAAAGGAAGGCCAGGGGATAGCACCTAAGTGCCCGAAAACTAGAGTTGGGCCTTGGATGGTGGAACGGACGGAGTCTCTGTCTTGTGGCTCAGGGGTTCATCTTCAGGTCGGGGGGCTCCGGGTCTTGCATGTTCTTTTTTGCGCTCGTTTCCCATCGGGTCTGGAGGATCATCATCATCATCATCATCATTGAGAAGTAACTGCAAACTGTACATGGCAGGTTCTTATTTCTTAGCATGTCTTTTAGTATCTTTGGTTTGAGTTGAGCATAACGGAGGGGAAATCGGTATGTTGGTCGGCTGTTAGATTCAGTGCAGCTCGACCTTTCGGCTATTCGATACCCGAGGTTACTAGTACACAGAACATGCACATGACGCCACTTCCGTCCCTTCTCTCTGTGCCCATTGTAAAGTCTCGTGTACGTGGCGTTTACAGGCCATGTCCGGGTCTCTGCATATACACTTGAAGCTCGTCGGAGCGGCCACTCGTGGCGGTAGCTCTATTCGGATGCCTACAATACCTACCTGTAGGCTTGAAGCCAATATAATATTATCTATCAACCTCTCCCACTTGCTTCCTTGATTTGGATAGATCCTTTTCAACAGACTTGGGCACTTGGCAGTTTCTGGGTCAGTGGCTCAGGAGCTAATCCAGAAAATCCCTTACATAGCGGATGTCCTTGATTCATCACATACAATTTGGAACCCTTCATACTAATGTTGAGCCGTTTAGCCGTTACCATAGGCAACCAAAGCGCAGTCTCGTCCCATATACTGCCTCCAAAGGCAAATAGAACTCCAACTGCCCTGATCTAGCGCAATTCGCCTGCGTTATTCGAACCGAGCTTGAGAAATGAAAGCAAACAAGTACAAGTAGGTTGTTTTCATAGTTCCTCTCAAATAGGTATATCCCCCTTACTCCAAGTCATTCCTGGTCCTCCATATGCCCATGAGCGGATACGCACGCGAGTGCCGCATCACTTTCCGAGATCGTGTTTTGAAACCGTTTTTGAAGCTCTGACTTGCTAGGGATCCGGCCAATGCGTTTCCACGTTATCAAATTGAACTCCGATGTGCCGATGTGCCGCCCGGAAAGAATGGCTGACGGAAGATTCGCCGCCAGTTGGCCCCTGGGTGATCCGCCTTTATTTGTTGTACAGAGCTCACAGCGACGCTGCGAGTAAACCGTCCGGATCAACGCTGTGACTGCGTCTGCTTCGCTGCCGCAGCGACCCTGGCCGCCGTCTCTTCGTCCTTGCACACATACTTCTTTAGGGCTTGATGAAAATCCTCCTCGCTAACCACTGGGCCGGTGCCATCGCACTTGGCCTTCTTTTGTAGGTCAGCGCAGAGACCTTCCAGGTCAAAGTCGCCGGTCTGGGCCTTCGGGCAGTTCGATATTTTCTCCCTGTGAGGCTGTCAGTGAGACTGTACGGAAGACAAATCGGATTCGACCGAACGTACCAGACTTTGTTGCAATCCAGAACCTGGCCCGGCGTGCTCATGTGGTCGCGGTAGTCATCCTTCGCGGCATCAATCTGCGCAATGAGATCCTTCTTCGGCGGTACCGGGCTTGTGGCGGGAAGGTTGAATGGCGTGACGAAGTCAACGTCCAGCGCGTCGTTAAAGAAGTCGTCGAAGCCATTCGACAAAATGTTCTCTTGCGGGTCCCGGTAACCACCGAACACCTGCGGGTCGAACTGGAAATCGGTTTGGGGAAGCCACTGGGCAAAGTCGTCCAAGCCGCCATTGGCGAAACGGCCGGCATCCTGTGATTGATTGCTAAGACTGGGCTGCTCTTCGCCAATGGTAGAGAGCGTATCAATGGGCTTGAAGCCCAGGGGGGACTGAGTAAAGGGTTCGGGAGAGGTCCCGCATGATGAGCTGGGCCCGCCCGCGTTGGAATTGGACGAGGCAGAAGGCGAGCTTGTTGATGCCGCGCCGCCATGGTTGTACTGAGACTCCCCACCGACTGACGATCCATGCCCGTTGTTGAGGGATGACGTGTAGAGTCCAGAGAGATGTGCCATTTCGTCCTTATTCCGAGACTGGCCGTAACTGCTCGAACATTCAGGGCTGACAGTCCGAGACTGGCTGTAATTGCTCGAATTTCCTGGACTGACACCGTCCTGCGAGTTCTCACTGGGACTCCGGTGATCAACGGTTTTCTGCTTCTGTGGCTGCGATGGAATGGTGGATGGTTTCTTGATATCATTGGCAGGCGGTCCGGGAAGACTGCCGAACTTGGGGAACTCGAATTGGAAGTTGACATCGTTCAGATTGTTGATGAAGAGGCTTCCGAAGGGCGTCGTTGGGCCCTGAGGAGCAGGTCGGCCGCTGGCGAGCAAGGACAACCGCTTCTTATACTCGTTCAACTCGATCGTCATCTTCTCAACCTTGGCACGAAGTGCCTCTTTCTCACTGTTTGCGGCCTGGGACTGCTTTTCCAACTCCTGAACTTTATTCTCTAGGTCCTTCAAATGCTTTTCTTTGCGCTCCCTGAACGCTCGCTGCGCGGCGCGATTTTGGGCTTTCCGTTTCTGGTGAGGGGTCAGCAACAGTCCTGGCTTCGAGATCAATGTCACGGGGACCTACAGAACTCGGCTCAGTAGTGAGGGGCTTCCTGCCTGGTTTCTTCGCGACTTTCTCCTCGCTTTCCCGTCTCTTCGCTCCGGAGTTCTCCCCATCATCTGGATGGCTTCGCTTTTCCGGAGAATCCCCATCGGCAGAATCGGACGGTGACCCCTTCTTAGATCCTGGGAGGTCGCCAATCATCTTGGGCTGATTCGTATCATCGAAAGAAAAGTCGAAGCTGGAATCACCACCCGCAAAGTCGTAGTCATAGTCAAAGTCCGGGCTGCCTTGGAAGCTGCTCAAACCATCGGTCCCTTGGACAGACGACCCTTCGAACTGCATCGTAGACAGGCTGAGGCCAGTGTTCGACGTCCCGCTGTTCGGACGATTGGAATTGAGCGCCGCAAACAGCAAGCTTTGCTGCTGCGGAGTTAGGATAAGGTTCTGCAGCGGGTTCCGAGTCGACGTCATCTTGGCTGAATAGTGCTAGACCGGCTTGAGTTCAGGTCAAACTCGCCACGCGTGGAGCGAAAAGGATCCGTTGCGAAAGGTGAAATCCAATAGCTCAGATCCGCATGCGACGGGTGTCTTCCTGGCCGAAGGGCGTGGAAGCAGGTCGGGTGAGAGCGGCGATGGGGCGCTAATTCCGAGGCCCAATCAATCCAAATGCACAGCAGGCGGGGTATGGAAAATGTCGAACAAATGGAAGCACACAAAGCAACTTGGAAGGCGAAGACGTAGGAATGATGTTCTAACTAGGGGACGATGCCGGAGAGACAGGCCGGCAATGCTGAGACGAGCCAGCACAGGAAGATGCAAGACGCTTGTTCCCCGGATGGGTCAAGTTCCATGGGGAAGTGGGAGGTCGCGGTCGAACCAGAGCGTCGGGTGGAGGAATGAGAAGTCGCCCCTGTTCTTGCCTGGTTTTCTGGTTTCTGCCTGGAGTTGCACCTGACCGAGTGCATTCGTCTGTCTTGAAAGGGCGGAAGTCTGCTGCAAGGAGGGGTTGATCGAGGCGTATTTGTCAGCGATCGTAGAAGAAGGCGCGGGAATCTGTCCGCGTGGCCCTGTCTGTGCACGCCCGGTGCTAGTTAGGTACAAGATCCGTCTTTGTCCAGCCACATCCAACTTCCATCCTTCCAGTGGACACTCAGGTCAAAGGTATGCGGTCTCCGCCGTCTGAGTCACACTTTCCTAGTCATGAAATACGTACGAAGTATGCACTTAAAACAAAACCCACCGCCTACGCCGCTGACTTGACATGTAATAAGGAACTGAGACAACGGAACATGTAGTTGGTGCCGATTCGACTTCATTTGTATAGCTTGATGGCTACAGCATTGCACAGTCTTGGACTTCAACATCTACAGGACGACCCCTGAATGATTATTAGCGCGGAACTTGCGACACGGGTCTTCCTCTCAACCCCGAAACTACACTCTTAAACAATGAAAAGAGCTGATCCAACGCAAAAAAAATAGGGCATCTTGCAATACCTCAAAGGCTGAGTACATCTGAACGTTTTTTTTTTTTTGGAGAAAAATTGGCCGTTTTGACGTTGAGATTGAGATTTGGGGCTGAACCTGGTCTTCAAGTCAGACGCTAACGAACTTTCAGGGGTCCGACTGTACTGTACTGTGTAATGTCAGGTACTTGTGGGTCCGGCGTCTTTCAATCCAGCTTGAGGCACTAAGCAGCACAGTAAAAAGTGCGGCTTCGTACTGTGTACAGGTTGGATCCCAGCCCGTGCATCTTTAGACTTGAAGTGCCGAACCCGTCGACAGCATCTCCGCTTGCGGCAGCGGCAGGCGACCTGACATCACGCCATCAGCCTTGTCCAACCTAAATCAAACCGCCAGGCTCATGTGACAGCCTTGACACAGTACCCAACCGTTGCTCCACCGTGCCGACTGGCGTGTTGGGACAAGTGTATTTTGGACAAAAGGTGACTGATACACGGCGGAGACTGATCGTAATGGACATTGCGTATGACCATATCTTGGAGTCGAGTGTGGCAGAGGAACAGCGGACTACGCCTGCCCAACAATCAAGCTTGAACGCCGACCTGCAGGATGCCTACCGCACCATCTCCTCGAGCGCATGGGGCGCCCGGATTGGGGGCTTCTTTGGGAGCGTCGTGAAGCAGGTGTGTTGACTGCGTCGTGATCACATCGCCACCGCCGACCTGACTCTCTGTTTCAGGGCGAGGTCGTCTACCGCGAAGCGCAACAGGAACTCTCGGCCGTTGGGCAGGATGCCACGCGCGGCTTCACGGACCTCCGGCAATCCATCATCAACCACACACGATCGCTGTCATTGAACACATCGGTTCCGTCCGCAGCGTCTTCCTCAAATCAAGCGACCGGAGAAGCAGGCGAGAATGCCGAGACCACACCCACAGCGACTAAGAACCTGTCATCGGAGGACGCGATCAAAGAATCCGAGACTGTGCTGTCTCGGCTGCGGGACGAGGCTGCCAAGCGACTGAGGGATCTCCAAAAGGCCGAGGATGCAGCGGACGAGGCCCTACTCAGGTTTGGATCAAACCTACGAGACTTCCTCCGCGACGCTATCAAGATCGCCCCTCCAAGCAGCGATCAGACAGAAAACCAGTCCAGCACGGTCTTATTTGAGAGCAAGGATGCGCATGGGAAGAGAGTAATCCACACGTCGCGGTTCGATGCGCAGCTTCATGTGATCCACACCTCGCCCGACAGCTTCACTAAGGACGGCACTGGGGCTGAGTTTGAGGCCTGGGTGAAGGACTTTGACATCGACAAGAAGACGGAGGACATCAGCAGCGACCTGGAAAAGTACCCGGAACTCAGGGCCACTATGGAAAAGCTTGTTCCGGACCAAGTACCCTATGCGGAATTCTGGAAGAGGTACTACTTCCTCCGGCATGGTATTGAGACAGCTGAGGCACGGCGCAGGGATCTATTAAAAGGTGAGTGGAAGGACGGAATCATATTCGCTTTGGCCTGATTACGCTAACGCTTGACAACAGCCGCTTCAGCGGAGGAGGAGGTTGGCTGGGACGAGGACTCGTCGGAAGAGGGCTCGTCCGACGACGACTCGGAAGACGAGCCCGAGCCCGAGCCCGAGCCTAGAAAAGCGCCAGAGGCTTCCCGCCGGCCTGGTTCGACGGATTCCTCGACTACCATCCACCCGCCTGCCGCCAAACAAGGTCTCTTGAAGCCCTCGGAGCCGCGCAAATCCAACGACGAGAAATCGCAGGCGGACAGTGATGCGAGCTACGATGTGGTTGGGGCCAGATCGGGAGTTCCCAGTCAGGCTCCCAACAGCCCCAAGGACTCGAGGAAGGATGATGATGATAGCGACGAGGAAGATTGGGAATAAACTTGCTGTGTTACTGGCGTTTGTGCTTGGAAGGGTGGCCGAGTTTGGCTTCGAACAGGGACCTCGCAGGAGTTGGATCGTCGGTGGCTTCTCCAATGACTCTTCATACCGGGCGTGCGAGATGTAATAAGTTGCGATGTGATTTTAGTTCCGCTGTTGTCGCAATGCGCAGGCCTCATCCCTTGCCGCTGGTTTCCTCATATGTCTACCTCTTCTTCCTCGTAACCTTGGTGAACCCATCTTCGTCCACCTCAGGCTCCTCCCTTTGCTTCCTCGCAGGCGCCTCCGCCAGTGCGGGCGCCTCATCCATCTCGACGTCACCCTCTTCACCCCCTTCCTCGTCGTCATCCGTATCCCAGTCCGTCTCGCCATCCTGGTCCTCCGCCTGCGCGATAACAACTTTGCTTCCCTTCCTACCCTCCCACCTCTTTCTCAACGCCTCCACCCCCTCAAACTTGCCCCGCAAACATTCGGCCCTCAGTTGCACCACCTGCCCCGCTATGTCCCATGCAGATTCGTCGTCGACATTAACTTCGAACTCATCCAACATGACCTGCAAGAGCCTCTCCTCAACGTCCTCCTGGTCCGGCTCCTCGTTCGCCCCGCTGCCCGCCCCATTCTGAGCTAATGTCTGTTGTTGTTGTTGCGGCGGTGGTGGTGGTGGCAGCTTGTGTTGCTGCCATTGTATCCTCTGCTGCAGTTGGGAGGGCGTGAGCTTGGAGACGTCCGGGAAGAGCTCGACAATGACGCCCGCGAACCAGTCGCGCTTGTCGGACGAGTCGGGCCCGCCCCAGTTGTTCTGCACCGCGAGCGTCAGGGCTGGCCACAGGTGCAGAGCGAGGGCGACGCCCTGTTCGAAGGTCTCCTGGCAGGTCGCTAGAAGAGGAAGCAACAGGGCGGGGTTAGCAGGGTAGGTTGTGGGAGGGTGGCGGGAAGGATGGGTTGCGTACCCGGACTGGGGGAGGCGTTGCTGCTCATGGTCGAACTCGGTGTGTTCCGCGAGGTGCGAAGGGGGGGTGCTGTTCTGGAGGGTTTAAGAGGAGGGGGTATTACTAGAGTTAACGACGAGGTGGGATGGTGGGGTGTTGACTTGCGCGAGAACTTTTTCTTCAATCGATTATCCAGGCAACCGGGGAACAAGCAGGGTTAGGGGCCAGCGAACGGTCGATCTACCTAACCACTGTGTCCGGGATAAAGGGGGAAGTGGATGTTACAGGATACGAGTCAGGGCAAAAGAGATAGATAGGATGTGATTCAATCGCTTCAACTGCAAGGTGCTCAGATTGTGATAGTTTAAAAGCCGGTATAATCATATGTCACGCCCCAAATCTCTTCTGAATGCGAGCGATTCTTCAGACTAGGTAGGTAGGTTCGGGCCCACACTCTTTCAGTCTTCGGGTCGCTCTCTCCAGGCACGCACAGATGACGTCGGAAGATAAGGTCGGTAGCTTAATCCCTGAACGGAGATAAACCCGTTGCTGCCCTGCGAACAGAAACCACGACCCTGAGAATAGGAAAGGCGGTCGGCTTGATATAAGCTCCGATTGCTGTTTATGTTTCCGGCTTCTTCGATTCTGAAAGCCTTTATAAACTCGCCTCCTATTTGCGGGGTTATCTTGTAGGCATCCAGTAGTTCCATCCACAACTTCTCCTTGAATCACAGCTTCAAACTCACCCCAATTTCACACCACACCATTGCCGCCACCATGGCTTCGAACGTCGTCTTCGGCTGCACAGGCTTGGTTGGGTCGAACATTGTCAGCACACTACTCGCCCACAGCCCCGTCACTACCGTAACGATCTCGCGTCGGCCACCCAAATCCTCCGGCCCCAACCTGAACGCCATTGTCGAAGCCGACACGACCCAGTGGGTCTCCAAGCTCAAGGCGCTCAGCCCGACCCCGACCACCGTCTTCTCCGGGCTCGGCACAACCCGCGCTCAGGCAGGCGGCATCGCCAACCAGTGGAAGATCGACCACGACCTGAACGTCGAGGTGGCGCGGGCCGCGAAGGAGGCCGGCGTACGCCACTTCGTGTTCATTTCCAGTGCGGGCACGAGTAGTCTGTTCGCCAATGCGGTGCCGTACAGCAGGATGAAGCAGGGCGTGGAGAACACGATCAAGGGGCTGGAGTTTGAGACGGCGGTTATTGTCCGGCCGGGGTTCATCTTTGGCGAGCGCGAGGTGAAGCAGCAAGGTGCAGCTCCCATTGGAGCCGCGATCAAGGGGTTAGGGAAGGTCTTTGGCCAGTGGGCGCAGGATAAGTTGGGCCAAGAGGCCGAGGTGATCGCGCGGGCCGCGGTGCACGCTGCAAGGATTGCCGAGGAGGGAAAGGCGCCCGCCAAGTTCTGGGTGCTGGAGCAGAGTGATATCGTGAGGTTGGGCCGGAATGAGTGGAAGGACTAAGCAGGAGGGACGCTGAAGTGAGAGATAGGGTTGCGCGAGCAAACCATTCGTGGAAGAGGTGATGAGGGCCGTCCAAATTGAATGTTGCGGGTGTAATTGGGAGGCCTCGGGACTTTGCTTGACATAAGTCAGCTCTAAATCAAAGCTCCAGATGCGCTTGTTCAGCGGACTGGATTATAGCAGTTGTATGATACTCTGGTGCCCGATGGATGGGTTGTTTATATATTACATACTATTCCGTATAGTATTCCCAGTACGGAATACTGGTAGTACACTACCAGGTACGATCTGTTTACGCTATATATACTCCCAGGTTATTACCGCGTCCTTTCTGTTCCTTTACGGTTTACACTATCCGTACTTGCCCGGAACAATCGTTATCTCATCAAGATCCGCTGGTTACTGAGAATCCTGCACGCTCAATACGTCGAAGAGCCCGATCAACCTGAACCAGCTACATCCAAACGTCCATTCCAGCGCCCATGCGACGCTGGTGCTTATCGTGGGTTGAGAATGCAGTCGGGGTCCGGTTTCATCGGTTGAATTGCTCGTCCGACGTCGATGTGTGTTTTTGTCGTCCGGACCGTTCGGCATTCGGCGGCCGGCGTGTACATGGACCCCGGTTCAGGGGTTGTACACTTGAGACAGAACTACGAGTACGCGGAGAGCTAGTACTATCCCCGTCGGCCGACCATAGCTCCATATCTTCTCCGTCAATTACGCGTTTGGGCCTACTACCGTACGATCAAACGGAAGGGGGAGTAGGTATTCATGGAGGTTTTAACTTCTACAGATAATTGCCGTGTAAGGACTTGACTGATGGATGGGATGAGAAAATCGAACCGACCCTCAAGTCTCAGCCAGTGTGGCTTGCCGCTTGCGTGTGGCGATCGGTGGTTTTGTTGAGTTCCTTGCACCTTGAGAGGATCGTAGGGCAATAATGTTCTTATAAGAGGTAAGGCAATGGGCGGAATAGTAGTGTCCTCACATATTGAATGATGGAGGACGTGACATGAGAACTTCCCTAGACGTCCTTGTATACTGTTCTGACAAGGGAGAACTCCGTACAGGAAGAGGCAAACGGCGAAAAACTTGCGCAAAACTCACCGTCGATTCGTAGCCTCCCACCCTGAAGGTGGACTTATATAAGAGACATTCACAGTTGGTGGACTAACTTCGTCCGCGGTCGCGTCGCAAAACCGCCCGCACACTAGGTACCTTACGTACATACATAGGAGCGCTTTAACGTCTAACAGCTAGCCCTACGTTTTCAAATTCAACCAGGGTCGGAAAGCTTGTTCCGTAGCACCAAACAAACCTACTTTCCGAGAGCTCGATCCCGAGTGCCCACCACCACAACCGGGCTGTCTTCCTGTCCGGGAATAAAAACCCTTGCCCCGATGTTTCACGTTGCATTCCACGATGGCCATCATCTTGTTCAAGGGGTTGATTAACTCCACCGATCACGACATCGCCTTAGTTCTCTATTACACCAATCCACATAGAGTTGATCTAAGTTGTAAACGGAGAACTTGGACTAGAATAAATACGAATATATAGCTAGCTGCCTTTGAAATCCAGCCGGTCCCCCCAGTTGACCACAGGAAGAGACCTGCCCAACTCTTTCCACCAAATCGAGGCCAATCTCTCCTTTGAGTCTGTTCCGTGTTGTTCAGCCCCGTCGAAGCTCCAAAATGCCATTCTCCCGTCAGATTCTGTCTGCCCTTGCGGCCGCGGCCATCACGGCAGTGGAGGGTGCCATGGGCCCTGCTTTCAGCACCGGGCCGGTCGCGACCAACTCGTTCATCCGCGAGGCAAGCTCAACCCTCATCCTTCCCAAGGCTCCCAGCGGCTCCTCCGGAGACGCTTCGCTCTGGGTTGGGATGGGCACTTCGAATGGCGACTTGATCCAGTCGATCGCCGATAACTGGTCGTCCGAAAACTGGTCTATCTTTGCTTATACTCTCGTCAGCACGGGGCGTACGTTGTACCCATCAGTGAACTAGCGGTTTGGGCAGCATCGTGGCTAACCAACGTGTCTCTCCGCAGCCAACTCGCAGATGCCAGTTCAGTCAGATAGCACCACCGCCTACCCGGGTGATCAGATCACGATGCATTGTGAGCAGTCCCCTTATCTACGTACATTACACAGCTGTCAGCTGCCCTCGGGATGGAACCCTTAACTTACAGCATCACACCCCGGAGCAGACAAGTTTGACGATTCGACTGGGAACTACACCCAGTATGTTTCCATCAATGGCAAGCTGGTACACACGCTGTCTACCAGTTCTGGACGTGCCCAGGGCTTTGGCAGTGCCGTCGAGTGTGGCGAGACCAACTGCGGCACTATGCCCGCTCATAGTGAGTCTTCGGTCCATGTTACTGTTATCGCTCCTGCGAGGGGCGCGTGTGATATGTGTCTCCTAATAACCCATCTTTTTTTCAATAATCAGAATGGATCAACACGACCATCATCATGGACAAAGCCGACCCCAACTACATAAACACCTTGGGCAAAGGCCCCAGTGTCACTGGCGAGATGGTCACCAACGACGGCGGCAAGACTTGTAAGCAGATATTCCGCTTTAGCCTTTACCTCTTTACCTCTGGTTGGCAAGCATGCTGCTCCTAATCCAGCCGCGTTCGTCCGGAAATGAGATGCATCCCCTACTACCTGAGAGGATTTCTCCTGCTGACAATGTCGGTAGGGACCGTCGATACCATCGATATTCCCGGATATGATTTCTCCACGGGTAAAATCGTGACGGGCACGACCGGAGCCAAGACGAAGGCTGCGACCATGGCCTCGACCGCCCAGGCGTCGGCGGCAACGTCGTCGCCCTCCTCCTCCGGTGGCGCCACTGCCTCACACTGGGCCCAGTGCGGCGGTATCGGCTATTCCGGACCTACGACATGCGAGAGCCCGTACAAGTGCACATACGCCAACGACTGTAAGTTTTCTTAAGCTCCCCTTGTTCATGTTCATCGGATGTCTCATTGACGGGTCTGTCTAGACTATTCCCAATGTCTATAAGGGAGAAGGTTCATACGCACAACAAGACTAGCCGCCGTGGCTGCAATCATTTCTCCTTGGCTCGACATGTATTACCACGCATCTACCACGGTCCCTATCTCATACACACCTGTAAAACCTACAATGCTCCTTTGTTAACCAGTGCGGGATATCGTATTTCTCATGTAAATACTATTTACCAAGGTACATACATACGTACGTAAATCTAGCAGCGCCTCGTCGGCCGTGTAACTAGCATATTTCATTATCATTTTCATAAATCTAAGTTGAAAGCTCTTGAATCTCTTGCTTGTTCTTGGGGACCTCCGACCTAGCCTAAGGGTAAAAGGGCTCGTGTAAGAGGACAATGACTCAATGAGACCAATATGAAGGGAGCACTTGGTCTGCTTCAGCCGTTGTAAAGTAGGAGGTGCATTTGGGAAGATTGCTAGGCAGTACTAGCCTGTTACTTGTTATTTGATTCGTACTGTACAAGAATACGGGGCTCTGCGGTAAGATCGGACTTCTAAATATGCCACCCGATCCCGAGGACCGAGACAATATCCAACGATTTATTACAAGGGCCTTCCGCTGCCATGGAATGCTTGAAGTCACCTTTATCTTATCTCCAAGAGAAGACCCGTAACCCCACAGTTGGTATTGTACCCCGCCATCGAAGGAATTCACTCCGTTTCCATCCTGATCCCCTCGGTCTGTGTCAGCATTACGGACGGTTCCTTACATCAACTGGGCTCACTTAAACGAATCACCTCACATAACTCACATCTCACCGTCTCTCATCAGCCGAGAACCCAAACTGGACCGCCAAAAGTTTCAACACCTGCAATCCGTCTTGGACAAAACAAACAACTAAACAGGCCACTCGCCCAAACCCCCAACCGACCTCTCTCTCCTCCCCACACTCCCATACTCTCACAAAACAAATGGCAACCCCCAACAGACCATCCCTAATCGGCGACCCGTCCGGCCCCTCTCCCCCTTACCCTCTTCACATGTCCGGGAGAGTAATAAGCGGCTTCGGCCGCGGGTCCAAGGAACTCGGGATCCCCACGGCCAACCTGCCCGTGGACGACGCCTCAACGCCCTGGATCAGCACGACCCCTTCGGGCGTCTACTTTGGCTGGGCGTCGCTCAACCTGCCGCCCACCCACCCGGATTACATCCTCCCCACCGTCAATGTCGATAACAACAACAACAACAAGAGGAGAGCTGCTGCGAACGCGAACGGCTTCGCCGTGTACCCGATGGTGATGTCGATCGGGTACAACCCGTTCTACAAGAACACGGTGCGGTCGGCCGAGGTGCACGTGCTGCACTCGTTCCGGGCCGACTTCTACGGCGCCGAGATGCGGCTGCTCATCACGGGCTTCATCCGCGAGGAGAGGGACTACAGCGGGCTGGAGGCGCTGATCGCCGACATCAACTTCGACTGCGACGTGGCGAAGCGGAGTCTGGCGCGGGAAGCGTGGGCGCCGCGCGAGGTGGACGTGGAGGTCGACGTCCCCGGGGAAGAAGGGAGGAAGGTGGTGTTGAGGGGCCAGTTGGAGGCTGCGTGGTTGATACGCCCCAGCGAGCAGCAAAGCAGTCAAGGGGGGACGGCGGAGGGGAAATAGGGGGCGGAAGTTAATGCCGGGGATGCGAGGAGTGGGCGTACTGGACAGCGGAGCGTCGTTTGCTGAGACTTTGGGATATAAGTAATAGAGGGAGCATGTAGTAGACCTCGCATGCGACCCATGAAACGTCACCGATGATGATATTGCTTTGTTCCGCTCCTCCATCCTGACGCTACGTAGAGCCAAACTCTCCCCAGAAATATAGGGTATCCCGAATCCAAAGCTTTGCTTGACAACCCCTAAGCAGCCCTTCAATATCCCATTTTCCGTTTCCTTTTCTTTTCCCATCCCAAATGCATCGATGCTCCAATCACACAGCTAATTGGTTGTGATTCCGATAATAACATGGAAGGAACTTGTGAGGATGTCAGCTCTTGTGTACCTCCTAATGCTCGTGAACAAAGAATAGAGCGTTAACATACTTACGTTTATAATGAACAGCATAGGCATGTCAAACATGTCACGCTTAATAGTCCACGTGTAGCTGCACTCGAGCTTGCCGTCCCGCTCCAGCTTGGATATCCCGTGCTCGCCGTCGATCTTGGCCACGCGGTTGCTCAGGATGCTATTGCGAGGGTCTTTCTGCGGCGCGTGCCCCTCGGCGCTTCCCTCACTCGCGCCTTCCTCCTTATCCGGCGCACGGTACTTGAGGATGCGGCACTTGCGCGTCTTGTGGCCGCGGCTGTCGTTGAAGGCGAGCTGGGAATAGTCCTCGTAGAACTCGACGACGCTGTCGTGGTCCAGGATCTCGGCGAGGAAGACCGGCTGCGGCCCGTCCGATGACCCGAGAGTATCCGGGTTGAGGCTCTTGAGACGTGGGGTTGTGAGGCCGACCCGCCCCTTGGAACTGGAGGTAGACGAAGCGGAGCCTCCGAGGTTGACGTTGCGATTGGGCTGCTTGCCCAGCAACACATCTTTGGTCCAGCCAGTGAGGGCGGTGAACTCCTTGTTGACGCTCGCCACCTCGCCCGTCCGCCTGCAGGCCAGGGCAGGGCTTGCGCAATGGTGCATGAACTCCTCGTACTCGAACAGGGAACGCTGGAAGTACTTCTCCATGAATACCAGGTCTTGCCTGGTCAGGTTCCGCGTGGAAGCTAACAGGGACGGTCGAATGCTGGCCAGGGACTTTGCGATGCGCGATGTGTGTGCTGGCGTAAACCGGCTCTGGATGAGGTTGAAGAGCTTATGGAAACTTGCAACATAGCCAAAAGGCTCTTTGACGGTGTCGTAGATAGACGACGGGTCCCGCTGCCGTTTCGCGAAGATGGATTGCTGCCCGAGCTTCGCTAAAGCATTTGCCTGTCTGGTGCTCGGCCGCGTCTGGTTGGCCGGTTTGTTTCCCATGCCAGGCGTCGTCGAGTAGGAGGTCATGGTGGGAGAGCCGTCAAAGCCAAGCGTAGTGGGCTGCGGGCTGTTGGTGTCGGTGCTGGGGCTTTGGACGCTTGTTGGGCCCGCGGCGATTGCATACGCATGTGGGAGGCCATGTTGCAGGTTACCCTGCGAATAGACACCGTTGTGGTTTGTGTCGATGCCGAGGAAGCCGTCGATGAGATCGAACTGGTTCACGCCGCTCCCAAACACTCCAGACCCAAGGTTGAGATTGCCGCTCGCCGACCCGGGCATGGCGGTATCCTGAGGAGGCGTCTCCGCAGCACCCGAGGACATGTGTCCAAGCATACCAAATTCCATGGCCCCGTACTGACTTCCAAAGTTAAGCCCTTCGAGATTGAAGTTGAAGATATTGGGGTCGCTAGGGTCGAACGGCAGGGCGCCGAAATTTGCCATGGGACTAGACGCCTGCGGCACAGTCAACCCGCTTAATTGCGGGTTCCCTGATGTCGGGAAGGAGGGAGACACGGGCGATGGTTGACTGCCGAAGGGGAGATTCTCGGCTATATTCGCTATCGGAGTCTGGGCGCTCGAGAAGAGGGGAAACTGAGTAGCAGTTGACTGTGAGAAGAAAGTTCCCGCCGTGGAGGACCCCTCTGATGTCGGAATACTGGCGTTTCGATGGCCATTCTGACGCGTTGGAGTCGGGTTGGGGTTATAATTTGGACCCAGAACCGGCCTCAAAGCCTCAGGCGGCGCATCATGAAGATACTTGGCCTTCTTTCTGACTCCATCCTGGCAGCTGTCCATAAGTCCGCGCTTGATACATCGTTGGCACGGCCTCTCGTCCCCTAGAGGTAAGTCAGCTAACAAACCATTCACGGGCACCCCCCAGAGCTTGCTTGAAGAGGTAGATCAACAAGGAGAGCAAAAGGGCAAGCACAAACTTCCGTGATGAAGAATTCTCGCAGTCCCACTGCACCCCCTGCGGAAAGAATGGGGAGAGGTTGAAGCCACACAGGCAGAAAAAAGGCTTACCGCAAGTAAGGTGAGCTCTCTGGCAGGCGAAGCAAGCCCGTCTTGCTTTCTTCCTACGAGGGCGCAAGGGGTCTTTAGGGTCATACTTCTTTCTGGGCTCACCACTGGCGTCAGCGCCCTCCGAGGTGGCACGTTGATCCGCCATCTTGTCGTCCTCTTCTTTGACTAGCTGCTCGTGGTCGTCGTACTCGTTCTCGCTCTCCGACGTGGCACCCGAAGCCTCTGGCCCGGAATGCCCACCTTCTTCCGGCATTACGCCCGGCTTATATACGGCACCGATCCGTAGAAAAGCGCAGAAACACAGAAACACCCAGCTCGACCCTGGGCCCGTCGGCTCCGGGATGGGGGCTCTAAAGGAGAAGCAGATGATGAGCGCCTGAGCTCTCCTGCGGCAATATCACGGCGGTGGCACCGCGATGCCAAGTGATTGGCGCTGCACGTCGCTCTAAATGTCAGGGCTCCGGCTGACAGAGATACGGAAACAGGTAGCCCAAACAGTTGTCCCGAGCGAGTGGATGACGAACCCTGGCGGCACGTCTAATTCAGGCGTTGCGGGCGGCAACGAACAGTGGCGGCCGGGCTCCGCGAGGCGGATGTAGCACCACTGGCTCTCCGCGGCTTTCAAGCTGCTGGCCTCCTCTCTGAGGATCCTGTGGCTTGCCAGAATAAGCAGTGTTGATCGTCAACACACGGAAAAGGGCCGTGTCTTGTGCCAGCTGACGAGGCCTGATACACCACGATCGCGGCTATCCTCGTATTCCCAGCGGTTCTCTTGGGGAGCCACCCAATTGGTTCGGGGAATTTAGGAAGAGGTACTCCTGTGCGACAGAGCGCCACCGTCCGACGGGATCCAACGTAAGGCGGGTTGTGGGAGGGATTGTGCGTGCGGTTTCACAGAAGAACCTCGAGTCACGCGGGAGCGGATAGGGCACTCGTAAGGTCTGCAAAAGCTCGAAAGCAATTGCAGTTCGCGTCGTACAGGAATGCTAGGAGGCGCATTCACCCTGCAGCTATCCGTCGCTCTATGGTTTTGCGCGGGCCCTTGGCGCAGCGTCAGCGCGGGTCTGGAAGCAGGCGCTCGAGGCGTTCGAGACTCAGCAACCCAACTTGGAGGACAATTGGTACGGATGCGGGATGTCGAAACGCGTGTGGCTTGTGCAGTACGTCGGCGTTCAGCGGGTTGCGCGGCCAGGTCGTCGTGGGATGTCTCCAGCCAGTATCCCCGCAGTTCCTCCTCCTTTTCCCTGCTGCCTCTCCTGATCCCAGAGCTGGGTGATGTGCTTCCGCCACACGCCAGTGCCGCCGAGTCGCAATATGTAATATGGCCGAGCCCACGAGGGTGGTCAAGGGCGAGCTACTGCGGCCTAGGGATACGCAAGGCGAGCGGAGAACAAATCCCTTCCGGCTGTGTTGCACGTGTCAGTGCCGTTTCCGACCAGGAGTGCGCAATATAGTCCGCATCGCACGTATGCGAAGGGAGCGTTGTGCCGATTAAGGGAGTGGGATGGTGTCGTGGGTGTGCGCTTCTCCCTGATTCCTCCATGGGTGAGGCCAGTGCTGAGTCGGTGTGGTTTTGCTGACTCCAATTCCGTCAAGTCCCTCACTGGAGTTATTTGCATAGCCGCGGTGGGCAATGGCAAGAACCTTGTGCCGAGCTAAATAAAACCTCGTTTCCTTCTTCCCGCACTGCGGGGCTGGGCCCCACTTGGCACATTGGCCAGGGCTCGTCAGGTCGCAACCCACCCCAAACCCCAAAGCACAGCAGTCTGGAGAGTCTGGATCTCGACAGATCAGACCCAGCATTTCTGCGTGTTCCTCTCCATGCATGCGGCTCGGCAGTGGATACTGTGCTTGTGACATTATCTGGGGATTGTCTCGTATGTAATTGGCGACTGGTGCCTGACCGCTGATTCAGTGGCTTCATGTGAATCGCTGGTGTCACCCCATCTATCCTCGCACGGACCATCGGCCCCCAGCTCGACTCCAAACCCATGGGACAGCGAACGCCAAGATAGGCTGAACGGTGGGAGTTCCATATGGTGGGTAAAGGTAGACATCATTGCACCAAGTGTTCAAGTCCCAAAAGGCCAAAACCATATGTGAGTTGATCCTGTTGATTTGAGCGCGACGTTTTCGCGGGGTCAGGGACGGGTAAAATCGGTAAGTATCCCGTACAGGTATACAGTTATACAGTAGGGATTACCTTCGGTACCGGACTCGAGGAAATACAATGACCCGTGAGCTTATCCGTTGCACCCGACCCCCTGAAGTCCCGTTGCAACAACGTCTCTGCCACCTCACCGCGAATCATTGACGGCACAGCTCAGCACAACCGAGACACGGACATGGATGATCTGTTCTACTTATAATCAATGCCTGTGTGACCCCGGAGGCAATATTAGGATCAGGACGCCCTGCCAGACCGATTGTCGGTCGGCTGAGATATTTGCGTCTTCGACCTCGCCGTATGTCAGCGAGAACCCCAAGGGCCGCATCCGTCGTGTTCGAGGGAGCGACCGACTATCCAGAGAGTCCTGGAGAAAACACACAAGATAACCTAGCCCGCTTCTACCATGCACCCGTACACGTAGCGGTAGATAAACCGGTCAGCCTAAGGCGGCGATCAGAGTCCGGTTGTTCCGTCTGATGTCTGCCTTCCTGCCCACCGTGTCCCGATCTGTGAAGGCCCCGGTACCTCAACCGAGCCGGTACCAGCTGATCTCTCAGCCAATATCGCCAACAGCCGGTAGGGGCCGGCAGACGACCCGGGGGTGGGAACCACAGTGGTCGATCGGATCGGCTCCCGGCTGACACCATCTTCCCCTGGTGTAGATCCTCGTGCCTGCACCACCGGCAGACCACAGCCGGGCGCAGTGCAGTGCAGCCTTGGACACGTCTATCTCTGGTCATGGGGCTGGTTTCGGACCGGTGTTCCCGTGTTTCCACCCCGATGTGCCCCCCACGCTCCTATGCGGTGGTTGCAAATCGGCTCCTGGCTCGTATCCTCTTGCCATAGCGAAAGAAGATGTAGGGGAACGGCATCAGCGCCAGTGTTATGAAGGCAACGAGCCCCGTGGCCCACTGAAAGCCAAGTTTCTCGTACATTTGGACGCCAAACAGAGGGAATGCGGCTTGGGCAGCGTCAGCTGTATGGTCTGGTGACTGCCTCTAACAGGGGAAAGAGGCATTGGTCACGGCGCGTAGGTGGGTGTATGGCAACCAGAGCAGAGCTTACCTGCGAAAGTACACCTAACCAGGGCATTGGACGCCAGAGCGCTCGCCGCGTACCGCGGGTATGCGTCGACCTAGACCGAAGCCAACTCGTATCAGCATCCATCCCATCCAATGCTTTCCAGGCCGGAACCCGAGCCCCGGTCCGCGGGCCTGTCTGTGCTCAAGGAAAGTTGGTTAGACTCACCAGAAAAGTGAAAACTCCCGTGAAAGCGAGCGACATCCTGCAGGAGAAGCCACGGTTAGCGACGGGTAAGCGCATGAGGCTCGAAGACGGTCGGATATGCGAGCTGAAGGAACGGGCCAGGATGCCCTGGATACCCCCAGACAGCCGTGACCTAAACAGTTCCCAAAACAAAAAAAGCGATGAAACCGTGGCGTCAGGGCGTTGACGTGGCTGTTACAGCGTACTACCTGAATTACGAGCCATCAAGGGAGATCTCCAGGACGGATGCATCATCCGGACCACACCCAGGGACGCTGCCATGGCTTGGAGCCTCCTGAACCGGAAAATGCACACAAACGTCTCCCTCCCCTGTTGCTCCACAAGCAAATTCACAGCAAGCAGCGGAAAATCCAAGGAACGCTCTTGCACTCACCCAAGACCAAAGACGCCAGAGCCAATGATGGGCACAATCCAGTGCACTTGCGGGTATGTGGTGAAACCAAACCAAAACAGGCCACCAGTGATCAGCGGCGCGCCGAAGATGACGGGCGGCAGCTGGTCCTCGGGCTCGTCCTTGAACACGCCCGTGTCCTTGAAGCGCTTCTCCCTCAGGTGATGCCGGAGCTTCGTCCAGAACGGCGTGCTGAGGCAGGCGATGATCATGGCGACCAGCAAGCCCATGAAGGTGAGGCCGATCTGCCAGAGGTTGAAGCCGTGATTGGTGCTGAAGATAAGCGGGAAGGCGCCGAAGAAGAGGTAGAGCAGGCCCAGCAGGACGGCCGTGTACAGGTTCAGGATGACGGCCATGGGCTCGAGGAGGAGGATCTGGAATGGCCGGAGAAGCGAATAGGCAACTGTCTTCGCCACCGACCTGTTGGTCTTCTCCATGGGGGCGCGCCACCTGTCATCGCCGGTTGCCTTCCGGATCTTTTTCGCTTTGTTTCTCAGCAGCACCGGATCTACACAGCGCCTCGTCATCAGTACCAACACACACTCCCTCTCCTTCTATTGTTTTCCTGGATACCACTCAAAACAAAAACCAGCGAAAAGACCCAAAAAAGGAGAGAGAGCCACTCACGATAAGTCTCCGGCACGAACAACGCAATGCTCAACAACAGCACCCCGGCCCAGATCAACAAGACATAGTGCGTCCACCGCCAGCCCGTATACATGTTGATCAACCCGCCGATCAGGGGCCCCGTCGACGGCCCGATGAAGGGCGCGAGCGAGAACATGGCCATGGGCGCGAGCATCTTCTCGCGCGTAAACAAGTCGCCGACGGTGCCGCCCGACACGGAGAGGAAGGCGCTGCCGGCGAGCCCTTGGAAGAAGCGGGCGATGATCATGGTCTCGATGTTCTTCGCGACGGCCGAGGGGATCAGCCAGATGATGAAGCCGGCGAAGGAGGCCAGGTAGATGGGGCGGCGGCCGTAGAACTCGGCCAGCGGCGACCAGAAGGGCCCCAGCGCAATGCCCAGCACGAACGTCGACAGCCCCAGCGTGGCGACCAGCCGCGTCGTGTGAAACTCGGCGTTCATCTGCGCGTAGGTCGCCGTGTAGCTGGCCGACGCGTTGGTTCTGTTGTGTTTTTACAAGTTGGCAGGTGAGCAACAGCGTAATGGGGTGTGTGAGAGTGAGTGAGTGAGTGAGTTGAGAGTTTTGCTTACACGCAGAAGGAGCCGACACTGGTGATGCAGATGATGAGCCACTTGCGCCAGGCCGGAAAGCTGCGCGGACAGAGCGGGTCGCTGTCGCCGCCGTCCCAGCCAACCTCGTACGGGTCGTGGGCTTCCGCGTTGGGGTGGTTGTATGGAGCAATCTCCCCTCCGGCGGCGTCCTCTTCCACGTCGTCGACGCCCCATCCATTGTTCGAGCGTTCGCGCCGCAGGCTGGAGGCCGTCTCATAGCTCAGCCGGCGGCTGTCGGGACCGGCGCGGATCGGCTCAAATCCGGTCTCTGTGCTGATCTTCTCGAGGACTTGTTCTGTTTGTTGGCTTCCTCCCTCCTGGGTCTGGGTGGTCTCCCTATCCGAGTTGTCCGTGTTATGGTTCCCGAAGTCGGGTTGCCTCTCTTTTTCCTCCATCTTTGTCAATTGGCCCCGAGTTTGTTGACTTGGTTGTGTTCTGAAAGTGCCGATGATCCTCCGGTTATATCATGCCCGGGGCCCCGGTCAGTCGAATTAAGCGGCTCGTGAGCTGTTCAGCATCACTGCGTGTTCCTGCGACACCTACGAATCCAACCGAGGTGAAGTCACAGAGCAATGCCGCCAATAATCAACAGATATCCAAAGACGGCTGGAGGCTGAAGGAACCATAACGTCTTATGAGCGAAAACTGGCTCCCCGGTGTGCTTAGTGAGTCTGACTGATCCCCAGTTACATCGTGGGGCTCGTTAGTCCATCTCGGGGATAAGGGGCTCGCTCAGAGTTTGCCCCGAGGAAACGGCTTGTAAAGTTACAAAAGACGGGGCGACTGCTAGTCTACTGTGGAGAGCCAATGCTCATCATGACGGACTCCATGTGTATAGCTTCAGTCAGCAAAACCTTTCTGGTTTTTACATCCAAGTTACTAAGCCTAGCGTTAGCGGTCGTTTTGTTACTAGGTAAAATCCATGACAGCTTCTTGCTCTGCTCGGTGCTGGTGAGGGAAAACGATGTTCCTCCCATAGTATTCATCAGCAACAACATACGTAAGATGGGCTCGTCGGATCCGACATGGGCAGCTCTGAAAAGGGGACATGGGTTGCGGTCGGTAAACCACTCTCTCTAGCAAATGGCAAGCAGGCATTCAAGAGAAAAAGCGGAATGCGGAGGCAGCGGGCCTCCACTCTTTCAAAGACGGCACATGGGACCAGGGGTGTTGCGGCACCGACAGCCGGTGCTGTGCATCCGTATCCGTTGAGACATTACGCAGTAATGCAGGAGGAACTATACTCAGTACTAGTATTCTCTAGGTTGGCCGAGCGTGCCGAGTTATCCCCGCAACATGCTAGTACACGCTATTAAACTGCTTACTCATTGTACAGCCCGGGTTGGCACACTTGCTGGTGTTGAACGTTGTGTGTTTGTGCGATACTCGCGGTTCGTGATCCAGTACCCATGCAGCATTCCCGTGGTGTTACCGGTGCTGTTGGCAGAAGAGCGAGACAGATTCCGTCATTGCACTGGTCTTGGTCCCGGACCGAGACCGTAAGCAGTCGGGCAAAAAGGAACGAGGTACAGTAGTACCGAGTTCGGCATGATTCCCTTTATTAATTGCCCGAAAACATCATGGGATTTGTTCTGGTTTCTGGCATCAGACTACGCATACAGAAAGTCTATCCTAATCTGTTCATCCTATACGGAATAAGCAACCTCCTGGACATACCTTAGTGTAGTCTGCCTCCCCCGAGAATTACCAGTGCCATCACTTCGGGATAACCAAAAAGAAAGCAATTACTCCTAAACGCCGAACATTGCCAACAAGCATGTGCCACTCTCCTCTAGTAAGTCTCCGACAAATCCGAAAAGCTCGGGATCTTTGACAAGTCGCAGTCAAACTCCCTCTCATACGCTTTGGCCGGCAGGACGCCAGCTTCAAGCCCCTTTTTGTAGCTCCACTGCGGCCTGCAGAATAATAAACAGCCAAGTCAGCAACTTCAATCCCGTTGAAGCAATCGCAGAAAAAAAAAACGGGGGAACAACTCACGCGTCCTCGGTATCCCAAACCCAATAAAACCAGCCCCATCCCTTCTCGAAGCTGTGCATCTGCGCCTCGGCAAACATCTTCAAGAACTGCTTGTACGAGTCGCTCCATTGGCCGGCGGGGGCATTCGCCTGCTCACAGCTGCACCGGTTATCCTGCGTGGGACACCTGGGCGTGGTGACCTGTGAGCTCTTGTCGCCCTGCAGCAGCGTGCCCGTCCAGCGATTGCCCCAGCCGACGTTGGTCAGGTGCTTCGCGCAGTCCGTGTCGGCCTGCGACCACTCGGCGATCAGCGTCGGGCCGAACCCCGTCGACCGGTCCATGCTCTCGAGCGTCTGCTGCGTCCAGCCCTCGCACGCGTAGCGGATCTTGGCCGAGTGGTTGAAGACGATCTGGTTGGTGTTGAAGATGACGTACTGGTGCACGTCGAGCGCCGCCTTGTCGAGCCCCGCCAGCTCGCCCTGCCAGTTGCCCAGGCCGCGGAAGCCGTCGCCGAAGACGACGATGGCGTCGGACACGCCGTTCTTGCGTACCATGGCGTGGGCGCTTTCGGTCCAGGAAAGCACGTCCTGCGTGGGGAGGAAGGTCATTTTGGGCTCGTTGGCCAGGCCGTAGTGGCTGATGATGTTCTTGTAGCGCGGCTGGGCGAAGAACCTGGAGAGCCGGTCGTGGATCTCGAGCGAGCGTTTGGCGTTAAGCGCCCCGTCCGTGCCGTTCAGCCAGCCGATGGGGCCCAGCCGGCCGCTGTGGTTCCAGCCGTTCTGGCTGCCCGGCAGGCCGTGCACGTCGAGGTTGACGCGCAGGCCGTAGCGGCGGCACCACTCGATGGCCCGCAGGAGGTAGCGCCACGACGTGCGGAAGAGGTACGGGTCTCCGTCGTAGGTCTGCACGGCCCAGTAGGAGAAGGGGATGCGGACGTGGTCCAGCCCGGCGTCCCTGATCTGCCGGAACGTGTCTTCTGTTACAAAGGTCGCGTAGTGCTTCTCGAGCGTGCTCTCACACCGCGATGCCAGGTACGCGCAGAGCGTGTACTCGTCCACGATGCCCATGCGGAGGTCGTAGTTGAAGAGCGAGGGCGTGATGAAGGGTTCGAGGGAGAGCCAGCCGCCCACATTCACGCCGCGTGCCGGCCGCTTTGCATAGTCGCCCCAGTCTTCGTCCAGCGCCGGCACATTGTCGTTCGCCTTCGCCGAGTCATCCCAGGTCGAATTGAGCCCCATGATCGGGAGATCGCCGACCATCTCGTCTGTGTAGGTGAGGTTGAAATCTGCCGTGTCTTGCCAGGTGAACGGATTCAGCCACGACGGCGCCCCCTGCGGGATGCTGCTCGGTGAGATCCCTAGGCTATCCGGACTGCTGCCGCCGTCATCTCGCTTTTTGTCGCTCGACCCAGCTTTGGGGACTTCCACGGCGGCCACGATAATGACGATGATGGCCAGGACAGTGCAGACACCAATCAGTATCCCTAACGCAGTCAGTCAAAACCCATTTGCCCCTCTCAACCGGGGAACGGTGGGCAGACTCACGAAGCTTCTTCTTGTCCTTATGCCACGGCACCTTGCCCCCCTGATATAGCGCCTCCTTCTCCTTCGCGACGCTGTCCACACTCCCTCTCCAACCACCCCTCAACCCCGTCCACCCCTTCCCGGCCCCTCCCGCTCTCCCCTCTTCCAGCACCGCCCCGCTCACCACCCTGCCACTCCTCCTCTTCTCTTTGACCGGATCCCGTTGTCTCCGGTTCCCGCCCTCCGGCGGCGACACGTCTACAATATCATACCCCCTACTCCTTTCCCTAGTCCTGGGCGGCGATGCGTCCACAATGTCATAACCCCTGCCCCTGCCCCTCTCCCTTTCCCTTTGCCTCGCTCTTTCCCTCTCCCGTTCCTGATCCTGCCGCCGCTGTTCCCTCCTCAACTCCCTCTCCTTCTCGTCCCTCCTCTTGCCGTTCCCGCCCTGCCTTTGCTTCTGCTTCGCATTCTCCTGGTTCAATCTCGCCAGCGCCGCCGCCGAGAGTACCTGTGACGGCCCGCCGCTGCCCGTGCCTTCAGACGCTGGGCCGTCGCGCGGAGCACCGCCGGTACTAGGTTGGCGCCTCTTGCGGCGTTGCTGGTGATAGGCGTGGGCGTCTTCGGCGGCGGAGGAACTTCGTCTGTGCCGTCGCTCACGATCGCGGTGTTGGCGACGATCGTGGGAGGGAGAGCGGGGCATTCCTGTTTCTATCTCTTCCGCTTGGGCCTATTCTTTGTAGGGATGGAATGGAATGTAGCTAGCGCATGTGCGAGTCAGGAATGCATCGTGGACGGGTATGGGCGGCAGAGTAGTAGTGTTGCTATCCGGAGTAACGGTTGCGCAGGCATACACAGTTTGCAACTGAAGACAGATAAAAATGTCGCACGTCGCAAGTGCTGCCACGCGTACACATCTCTGATTCGTTGGTGGGTTTGCAAACTGTGCCTTGATCCTGCGAAAGTAAAGAGTGGGCGGGTGTTGCCGGGCAACGATAACTTCTGCCGGGCCTCGCGCCGCCAAGAGCTAGAAACGAGCCAAACGTCATCGTGATGGAACCACGGGGAACGTGGCACATGTGGGGAAGTGACACAAGCTCACGATTTGATCCGGCGTTTTTTTACTTGTAACAATCAGCACGTTGGGGATCTCGTCGTATGGCTTCAAGACCGCTTGACCCCAGTGCTTGCATCAGTTGGATGAGATGGTCGGGACCTTAACGTAGATCCGAGGCGGGGCCCCGCGCTTTGCCCAGGAACATGGAGGCCGGTCTAACAAAGCCGTCGCAAGCCGACACCATGCTCATCCCCCTTCCAGCTTCGGTTGCCGCTCGTTCACGACACCTAATCCTCCAGGCAATGCAGAGCGAAGTCTCATGAGATAGAGGCAGCATAGGCGATCCGGAACTCCGCGAAAATGGCAGGCACATCAATCCGCACCCTGTCGAGGGTATTGACTCGAGGGTCGTCGCTCGCTTCATCCACCCCGGCACTTGTCTCGTCTCGACGGCAGTATTCGAGCCACCCTCCCAATGCGAGACTCAATCTCCCGACCGACTACTCAACTACTCCTCTACTAGCACACAGCTCGCAGTCAGCGTTGAGCAACCCCGAGCTGCCACCCGAAGCCCGCAATGGCACCACAAAGCGAATGAACCTCTTCCAGGCGGTCAACGACGCCCTCTCCATCGCGCTTGCCGAAGACGAGTCCGTCTTGATCTTTGGCGAAGATGTCGCCTTTGGCGGCGTCTTCCGCTGCACGGGCAAGCTTGCCGAGACATACGGGGGTGCGCGGGTGTTCAACACGCCGCTCACCGAGCAGGGCATCATGGGCTTCGCCATCGGCGTGGCAGCCGAGGGGATGCGGCCGGTTGCCGAGATACAGTTTGCCGACTACGTCTACCCGGCCTTTGACCAGCTGGTCAACGAGGCCGCCAAGTTCCGCTACCGCGACGGCGCCTGTGGGCGGAGCGCTGGCGGGCTGACCGTCAGGATGCCGTGCGGCGGTGTCGGCCACGGCGCACTCTACCACTCTCAATCGCCCGAGAGCCTGTTCACGCACATCCCTGGTTTGCGCGTAATCATGCCCCGGTCGCCGCTCCAGGCGAAGGGGCTGCTGCTGTCCGCAATTCGCAGCAACGACCCGTGCGTCTTCATGGAGCCCAAGATCCTCTATCGGGCAGCGGTCGAGCAGGTCCCAACAGCAGCATACACACTGCCTCTGTCCAAGGCCGAGGTGCTGAAGGAAGGGTCCAACGTTACCATCGTGTCATACGGTCAGCCGCTCTACAAGTGCATGGCGGCGCTCAAGCAGGCCGAGCATGATTTCGGTATCTCGGTGGAGTTGATCGATCTCCGGACCATCTACCCCTGGGACAAGGAGACCGTGTTCCAGAGTGTTCGGAAGACGGGCCGGTGTCTTGTCGTCCACGAGGCCATGATCAACGCTGGTGTCGGAGCCGAGGTCGCTGCGGCAATCCAGGAAGATCCCGAGACGTTCATCAGGTTGGAGGCGCCCGTCGCTCGGGTTGCTGGGTGGAGCATCCACACTCCGTTGTTGTACGAGGCGTTCAATGCGCCCGATGTCGCAAGTAGGTCCCCTCGTTGTTGAGGTGTCACGGCGGCGCTGACTCGACCAGGAATATATGACAATCTTAAGAAGGTATTGGAGTACTGAGTTGGATATAAATAGATGTCGATGTCAAATCAGAGCAGGCGTGGCGTTGATGGGCGAACCGGCGCATTTCGGAGGAGAGCGGGTTCTTCTTACTTTGGCACATGTTCATTATCTGCAAGAGCTGCAATCGGCTGTCTCACAGTTATTTTATGTGTTGCTTCGTCCGACTCTGGTGCCTTATGGAGAAGTTGATGAAATGATGAACTCTTGCTGAACTCGGGCCGAGCTTTGCAAGGGGCAGACCATTACCCCTGCCGCTCTTGCTTGGCATCCCGCTTGTGCCCCGCATTCTTGGTTGAACCTGGCAGCTTGCCGTGACCGCCAGCAACCGCACGAGCGTCCGCTTTGGCAACCCGGACGTGACCTCGCCCAAGCACAGAGCTCGGAGATTATTCACACCATTGTTCCAGTCCTCCCACCGGGAATATGTCATCTCACAGAACAATCGTCTCCTCCTTCGTGGAGGGAGCTCCTCCAGGAGAGGTAGGCCTTGTTCTACCCAACGAAGTGCAAGCTGCCAAACAAACCATCGGTACTAACAAGCTCTTTCTAGTTAGCAGACGTCCTTGCAGGCATGTACTTCAGTTTACGACTCCTTCCAGGTCCATAGTCTAACCCGACGCCCATTTCCAGACATCAAGACCCTGACGATCTCGAACCCAAGCCTGGTGAACGAACTCGGCCCAGCGTTCCAGAAATACAACGAGGAACAGTTTGCGACGGTCAAGCTCCCGGGGAGCAGCCAGCAGGTCATTATCAGCTCGCACAGCTCGCTAGGTGGCGGCCGCTACTACGATGTCGAGAGCTCTTGTAGTTTCGCGTTCGACCACACCACACAGAAAGCTAGCGCGGTCGAGAGCCACGTTCTGGACGGTGCGCAGGCAGATCTAGCGTGAGCCCTTGGAGTCTTGGAAGATGTTGGGAACGAGAAACTCAAGCTCCGTCATCTAGGAAATCGGTGCTTAAGGGGCTTTCCACCTACGTCAAGGAGCACTTTACGAACGCAGCGTACGGTGCCTACCCGATAGAAAGCGACTCGAAAATTGCGATCATTATCGTCGCAAACAAGTACAGCCCGAATAACTACTGGTACGGTCAAGCGGCGCCGCCCACGGCCTCGTAAACGCTAACCGGGAAGCAGGAACGGGCGCTGGCGCTCGCTCTACATCTTCGATCCGGCCTCGAACTCCTTGGAGGGCTCCATCAAGGTTGACGTGCACTACTATGAGGATGGCAACGTCCGCCTCCTGACCAGCAAGCCCTTGACCGCATCCGTCTCATCCGGGACTGGAGCCGGCATCGCCAAGGAGATATCGACGAGCGAGAAGAAGTACCAGGAAGAGCTGAACAGGAGCTTTACGAGTCTGAGCGAGGGCGCCTTCAAGGCTTTGAGGAGACAGCTTCCGGTGACGAGGCAGAAGATTGAGTGGGACAAAGTCGCGAGCTACAGGCTGGGACAGGACATCGGCGGTGGAGCGGCGAGGAGATAGCACAAGCTCTCCTCTTATTAGTCCTAACCAATGTTTTGTCGTTCGCCAGTTGGGGGAGTGCTAGCATGGCCATGCAAAGAATCTACTTCCTACATACCGAGAACTCGAGGAAAGAAACAACTGCGATGCTGTTTATCTGTACGCGAAGTGTGCGAACACTCCAATCAGATTTGAAGATAAGCCATCAGCAAGTCTCGATACACTACGGATGAGACCCCGAATCAGTGCAGCGGGGGTTGCAACTCAGAAAGTGCGGCCGGCAAGCAGGGGTCGGAACCTTCCCGGATAAAGGTCGCCGCACTCGTCGCGGAGAAGCGAGGAGATCACCAGCGAACGGCCTTTTGGAAGGCTGACAGCGTCTTCCTGGCTGACACTGCAGTTGTCAAGCACAGAAGATGAGATGGGTCCGCAGCTTCCGAATCGAACGACTCAGGCCTCGGACGAATCAGGGCCTGGATAGCCTCATTTTGGTGGTGGCTGATTGGTTGTTGCAAGTGCCAAGCGGATATTCACTCGGGGTCAGACTTCCCGTCCAGGGGGGAAAGCTGGCCATTGCCGGGCGCCTGCCCTTGTCCGGATTGCGAGCGGCCCGGAACCTTGACCTCTTTTTCCATTCCGCCCCTTTCCTTCCTCAGCCGTCTTCCAGTCTCTCGTCGTCGCCGCCTCGCCGTAGTCCATCACTTGTCGTGACCAGGTCTCCGAATTTTGGTACGCACTGCTGCTAAATTGCTGGTTTCCACGGCGCCTATCAGTAATTGCGCGTTTCCGCTAACAGACCAGCTGTCCAAGAAAGTAAAAAAAAGTCAGCCGTTTCGAAGACGATAAGCTTTCACCGACAACCACAGTCAAGATGGCCTCCAAGGAGCTCACGTACCAGGACGTTGCCGAGCACAACACCAAGAAGGACCTCTACGTCGTCATCCACGACCAGATCTACGACTGCACCAAGTTTGTGGACGAGCACCCGTAAGTGCCATTCCGCCCGCCGCATATCGTCTTCCGAGAGCGGTACCACCATCTCGGTTGTTCCCCGCACTAGCCGGGCTGCCAGTAGCAGCATGAACCAGCACAACTAACAATCCAACAGCGGTGGCGAGGAGGTCCTTCTCGACGTCGCCGGCCAGGACGCCACCGAGGCCTTTGAGGATGTCGGACACAGCGACGAGGCCCGAGAGACGCTCGAGCAGCTCAAGGTCGGCACTCTAAAGCGCAACGTAAGCAACCCTTTCCTAGGGGCACAGCTGTATAACACGTGCGGTGGGGAACAATTTGATCGCTGACGTGTTTTTACAGCCCGGCGATCCCAAGCCCAAGACGCCCCTCCCCGGCGCGGTTGCCCCAGCGGCCAACAATACCTCTGCCGGCTTCGGAGTCGGTCTGTACGCCGTTGTGCTCATTGGCGGCCTTATCGCGTACGGTGCCTACCAGTACCTGCAGCAACAACAGGCTGCACAGAGCGCCTAAGTTGTCTTGCGTCGAGCACACGGATTGCTATTGTGCTGGGGGGTTTTTGACTACTTGATGCTCATGGCGTTTCTGGGTGCTACCGGTGTTTCTGCACTGTGCCGAAGGAATCATGCATATGGGAATACGCTAGCGTCCGTCTGGTCTTTTGGGTCAACATGGGGTGCATCTCCGGCGTGCATCCACCGACGTGTGGCCGGACAGGGGTGATGGTTACTTCGTCATTCAACCACGGAACGGCCAGCTGGAGGGATGGATGATGTCTGGTCAGCTTGAGCCTGATGTTTCCGGCGTTAGAAACGAGAAGACGAGCGAGTTAGCCTGCTGCTCTCCCATCGTACGACGAGAACGAGCTGACGCGACTGCATGACTGGAATTGGCACACATAGGTTATAGATTTTTGTAATGATGCGAAGTTGGTGCTCGTTTTTGGTATGGTCAAGAAGGTTACTTCGTAAGCCATCGCGCACAGTGCACGCTCTTGCCCAGCAATTGAGGTCCGGTGGCGTCACCTTAACGAACCCAGCGCTACAGCACCATTGTAAACATGCGCATGTCAACATGCTCAAAGCGTAGTGATTGAACCATGGTTCTGAATGATACAACCTCAGTCTGCACTCCTGCCTTTAGTTCAACTTCTTCTCACATCTGCACACTCTGTTCTCAAACAATTCACAGCATCTCTCGGCGAGATCCAACAATCACATTATTGGTGTATCACACCTGTCATTCGGATACGTACATATCTTGATCCATTTAACCGAGGTGTATCATTCCTGTCGTTCAGACACGCGCACATTATTCAGTTAACCGAAAAGATGTCCACGGATAACCGAGCCCCCGATAAGCCCGATAACAGCTCCACTCATCTTCCAGTCGACCCACAGCTACTCGCAACGCCGCCGGCGCCATCCAAACCAAGCGATGCCGAGTTGCTGCAACCTCCGCCGGTTCATCGCAAAAGGACATCGCAGCTGTCAGCGCTGCGAAAACCGTGGATAAAGGAAAGTCGCGACCATCGTGGCTACCACCAGCTGATTTCACCATGGCCTCAGCATTTTCGCTCGGCGTCAAGCGCAGCCTTGCGCCACCGTCGCCATCGCCGTCGGTCGGCTCAACCACGTCGGCCGCCGCGGGCAACATGACGCCCCGCCGAGACCGCGACACGCCGAACATTGTCTACTCCCAGCCCGCGGCCACGGGCACGGGCGACAGCGTAATCTCGCAGATGGCCTACGCTGTCCGCTGGCTGCGCGACAAAAGCGAGCCGCAGACCTGCGTGGACGTGCTCGGCTACCTGTCGTACACCAACCGACCCGAGAACGAGCAGGAATTCTTCGTCGAGCAGATGCGCCGCAACCCCCAGATCCAGTGGATCCCGGACCCGGCGCTGAGCGAGCAGACTTGGCGGTCCGGCACCTACGTGCACCGCCCGACGATCCCGGACGTTCGGAACAAGACGCAGCTACTTGCGTACTTGCAGAAGAAGACGGATGCGAGCGGAGTCAGCGTCAAGGACCTGAAGGACGGCTGGCCCGACTGCGAGGGGGCCATCAACGAGCTGGAATCGGAGCACAAGTTGCTGGTGGTGCGCCACAAGAAGGACGGGGCGCCAAGGATGGTCTGGCTGGACGACCCGAGCCTGCACCACGAGGTGGATCCGGAGCTGAAGCTGATGTGGTCGCGCGTCGAGGTGCCCAGCACGGACACCATTGTGCAGCGGCTGGTGGCGGCCCAGCAGAAGCCCGCGTCGGAGGACCCCCAAGTCAAGGCGGCGCAGGCACCCAAGGAGGTGAAGAAGAAGAAGAAGGCCCCGCGGCGGACGGGCAAGTCGACCAATGTCCATATGGAGCACCTCCTGAAGGATTACAGCCACATGAAGCGTTGAGGGCTGAGGGTGGCCTTGGAAATGGACACGTCAGGGGCTGGTCAGGTCAAGGCACTGCGAGAGGGTCCATGCTGTGTTCTTTGTTTTCCTTACCTTTTTAGCATCGGGTCGGCGTTGGTTGGGAGTGGGAAACGGACTTGGGTTGCACTCTACGGCAGCGGCGCGGCAGCATTGCATCGGTTATTCGGTTTACTCTGGCTAGAGTAACTGGTTTACAGGGACACAAAAGCATAATCGGTGATTCCATAGGGCAATCCAAGGGAATTGTCATCAGGCGTCGATTGTTTGGCTTGCAGAGCTATACGAATGTAATCATGGAAAATGGATGGTCATCGGCTTTCCAACGGACGGCTCAACCTGCGCTTTCAGGGTTAAGCAGTGCATCAACTGAGAAGAAGTTTCCTTCATCCTTTTCCGTCCAGGACTCAAGAAGAGACAGACGCCAAAGAAGATTGAAACTCGCTCCATGTCGCCCCAGTCCTCAAACGCTACCCCCCTACCGGATTTCCGTCGACTCTTTCTGCATTCCCCCATTCGTAACCGTAGGCTGCTCCTCCCGTGTCGTAAGCCCATCCAAGCTACTTCCCTCCTCGTTCTTCTTCCCCGACTTCGTCGCCCGAACCTTCTCGAAGATCCGTAACCACACATCTTCTCCCTGCATCCCGCCAACTTGCCTAGAGTTACGCATCCAAGAACGTCAGCCCATATGTCCCTCTTCCATCGCACAGCACCGTCCGGAAAAGAGAAGAAGACTTTCACGAGGTTCTGGACACACACACACACACATAAAAGAACGAGCGACAAAAAAAAGGGCGAATGAGGAGGCGGGCCCTGGGGTTGAAAAAACACACATACCACCGCCCCTGCACGACGTAGCTGGGCACGGCCGTCATGCCAATTTGCCGTGCCCGCGCCGAGGACTCGTCCACTCTCTTCGCCAGTCCCCGCCGGGCCGGGCCCGTGCCCGACCCAGGTTGTCTCCTCCCTGCTTCAGGATCTTCTTCGTCTGCCTGTTGTTCAAGATAGGCGAGCGCTTCCTCCTCGGAACCGACAAGCCCGAGCGTGACGGCTGCGCGGGCGAGGAAGGCGCGCGAGGAGAGGTCCTGCCCCTGCTCGAAGGCGGAGGCGAAGAGGTGGGCTATGGTGCGCTCTTGCTTGGTTTGCTTGTAGGTCAATAGTGGGTTTGTCGTCGCCGTGCTGTTGTTAGTGGTAGTGGTCGTAGCGGTGGTGGTGGCGGTGGCGGTGGTACTGGTTGGTTCAAGACCTGGAGGCGAGGGAGAGGAGGAGGAACGGGTATCATCATCATCCTGCTCCATGGCCAGCAGGATCAGCTTGTGCGAGTCCCGCGAGTTCCCGGATTTGCCCTCCCACCGGAAGTCGATGCCGTGCAGCGCACCGAGTCGTGCAAGGCGCTCGAACATGACGGGCGCTCGTGGGCCGTAGATGGCGTGCAGGATGGCGCCTTTCTGGTAGGCTGGCATAGCATGAAGATGGGTTAGCTGGAGGAACGAGGAAAAGAGTATACCGGGTCAACATATGTCTTGGAGAATTTATGCGCAGTCTTACCGGAGGTTTTGGCCGTGGGCCACAGCATGAACGGCTTCCATGTGAGCTTGAAGTCCACGGCGGGGTGTTGCGCCGTGTAAGTGGCTATGGCTTTTTCGAGCGTCTTCTTGCCGATGTAGCACCACGGGCAGATCGTGTCTGAGTAGACCTCGATTTCGAAGGTGAACTCGGCCATCTTGTTCCGTCGCCTTGGCGTGGGATCTCGTTGCTCATCAGATACTGATCAGCCTTGGTCACCAGCGGTCCAGGAGGAGAGGCCGGCCTCCCGTTGTCTGTTTCTTTTAGTGGCTTGCTGTCATGGCTCGTCGGCTCGTGGTTGGGATCGCGAGGAAGTCGTGCATAGGAACAAGGGAGGGGAAGCTAAATCTGCCTCGGGGTGAGGGTCTCGTTTTGACTCTTCCGACCACCCATCAAGGTACCAGGGACGGATATCTGCGGCAAAACAGGCACGCAATAAGCCCACCGCAAAGATTGAGTCGAAAAAAGGCAATCTTCCTGTAGGTGGGTAAAGCAGTGACTAGGTTGGTGAAGAGATGTCGCTGGTGCTTCACACAGCAGACCTCGGTCCACCACACGATGAGAGAAGCAACTGAGGATATACGGAGGGTATAGAAAGAAGGAATGGGAGACCCGCAATGCTCTACCAGATGCGATCAGGTTCTCCCGTCACAACATTCCTTCATGTCTCCACCTTTAAGACGCAGAAATGGGTGATGGATTAGTGATCAAAAGAGCACACAACAAGCCGGGCCTCATGTCATGCGCCATTCGAGCACATCTGCTTTCCGTATACGGGATTGTCTCCCGATTGGACGTAGCAGCGAAACTGTTTCTATCCTGTTACTTACAAAGGGAGGACGGCGCATTTGGATTGGAAAGGGGGAGTCAGCATTATCTCGCGGTCATCGGTTTTGGAAAAGCACCTGAGGACACAAGGCAGAGGAAGAGGTCTGACAGGAACATGGTATGTAGGCCGTAGCACTGGCTGTAAGAGGAATACCAGTAGAGCGTGACTGTGGATCCCGACCCGCGCTGTTGACTGGGAATCTGATGGTCAAGGCAAAGCTGTATCCACATGCCCGTCTGCTTTTCGGGTACCGTACCGAACGGAAATGCCTAACCCATGTATTCCTTGCTTATCAGGCAGGCGGTTGAACGGTCGACTCGCCCTTGCGAGAGTGCTTTGCGTCATATCCCCGGCTGCCTTGCCCTCATCCTACAAGGAAACTATTCTCTACGTAGAAACGGAAAGTTTGCCGGAGGGGACGGGCAACACTAGGGTCGTCGAGTGTTGTGGACCCCAAGTCTAGGAGCCTTTAGGACTTTAGTCGACAACGGTTAACAACGGCGTTGCCGCTCGAAACATCAGGAATGGAGGGGGTGACCTGATGGTTTACGACTCGGAATTAAGGTGATTGTGTATAAATTTCAGCCTTCCAAGCCCATGGGGGACGGACCTAAGGAAGAGTATGCTTTACGAAATGATCTGAAGAAGGTCAACTGGAGCCATTCCTCTGTTGCTCAAGTTCACCACCGATCGTAGCCTGTCCTGCATGGAACGTTGAATCCAAGACGCACTTCAACGATTCACGGAGACGGTAGTGGGTATGTTTCGGGTGCTATGCATGAAGTCCACCTTGATACTGGGGACGGGGCACCGGATCGGGCCCGCAGGATCGGACGAATCTCGGGTAGAGAGGATAGAGCGGACTGCAGGTTGCAAGATGACGTGAAACGACCAGTTGCTAACCATTGCACAAGATCGTCCAGAATGGAGTTAATAATAAATGCACGGTCATACCGACAAGATCGCGCTGACGCATCATCTCCGCTCCAGCGCTGCCGATCTCCGAGATTGGCTAATTTTAGATGCTCAACGTTCTGACCGAGCGATGTCCAGAAAAGGGAAGAGGAGAGAGAAGACAAGATGACGAACCAAGGACGGAACTTAGAGCTCTCGCACTGGATGAAATTCATATGCAAACGGTAGTAGATATTGGTAGTTATTTGCCTGGTGCCTATAGGTAGTTTCGATGGCTTTGATGTGGATGATGGACACGCGGGCGTCCGGTCCTAACCACGAATGCTAGGTAGGGTACCCTAGGCTTCTATAGAACAGAGTAGGTAGCTAGAGTGGAGATGAGCGCGGGTGCAAATTCATCATCGGGAACATGCGGTCTGCTGGCCTGCCTCTGAGATTCTGAAACAAACAACCTTTGAAGGAGTGTAGTTGTATTGTATACACATGTACATACGCACTGGCCGGTCCATAGCAGCATGTTGTTCACCGGCAAATCCGTCCTCGGAACTTGAGCTGCATACGGCGTAGTGCCTGTTTGGCGGTAACTTGCGGAAACCGATCGAGCACCGAGAGCTGCTCAAAATCAGACCGTAATCCACAACGGGTCAAGATGAAGCAGCTGATGAGGCCGGAAACATTTCAAGGCGTCGGGTCCCTGCGCCGTGCATGATCCGAGCTTGCAAGGATCCACAACGTGGAAGGGGCGGGAGAAGCTTCGGAGAAGCGGCCCAGAAGCTTTTTGGAGCTCGTTATGCGGGGGGCACAGGATTGACGCAACGGGCTGATGGTGCCGGTTTTGGGGCTTGAGTTTGTTAGAATTGGAAGATTACGCCTCAGTAAGTCTAATGACTTCATTTCTCAAACTGAGTTGCTGTTGGGCGTTAACTGATGAATCTTTGCTTCAAAATCTCCTAGAAGGATTCTGGAAGCTTTCCAGAGCCAGGTTAGCAGGTTTTCAGGGGTGAAATCCCCTGTCCTTCGGGCACTCCGCGTCTATCATGCACCAACCATATCGGCCGACTCCAGACGCCCAACAAAAGCGCAACAAAACCAGCTGGGAGCTTCGCACCCGCCGATCTCATCAATCGTAATATCTAGCACTTAGTTTCACCTGACTCTGCCAATCTCGTATCAACGGGGCTCACAAATCAGCTGTCAAGTACGCTGCTCATTGCCGTGGCCCAACGCATGCTGTCTTGCTAGAGGATGTACACTACTGTAAGGAGGCCGGGCCGGAGAGCGTTCAGCCATCGCCTACACTACGTGTGTAGGGCGCGGCAGTGCACAGGCAAATTTCAGGGGCTTGAAAAGGCGACCGCATCGCCGATGTGGGGGTTACAATGGAAGCCGGCATGGAAGCTCTGGACCCCACTCACCAGTTTAGCTTGATTCGGGAAGCATTGACCAAGGATCTACCACAGCAAGGCACAGAGTATTCGTACCGTATGTACATACCTAAGTACGAAGTACCTACCAGCTTATGCGCGAGTAGCTCACACCACAGTGGTGATGTGAAGCTGGCCGTTGTGGGAAACAGCACTGTACCTACCTACCCGATTCGCAAGATCGTGTCACTGATCGCGGCTTGACGCAGGTAGATCGCATGACTAGACGACAGCACTTCTACTGAGTAATGTCTTCTCTCCACCGCGATGAAGCTCTGCGACTGCGATGATGTTCACAAGTCTCCAGGGCCGCATCGGCGGACGGCTGATGGTGTAGGAAACGAAGAAACGGAGAGGCAGGCAACTACTGGCTGTGAAAGATGCTTCGGGGCCATTGTCTCTCCTTTTGATAGTCCAGCAGCTGCAGATTGCGGCTGGTTGCATTTCCATCAAAGGTCGAGCATCAATAACTCCAATATTCTGCGCTGGAGCTTAACTTTCCTGGTGAACAGGACCGGGTTCTTGCCGGCTTGAGCGTGCGTTATTGCGACTGAGTCGTTGGCTGCGAATCTTCAACATGAGCAGAATGACCCGCGCGCGTCTTCCAAGATTCCCGGCTCACCTTTCGTTTCAACTGCACCCCTGTCGGGGAGATGCGTCAAGTGACTGTGGCTGAAAGCTAAAATAACGGATGCTAGCTTGATATGGATGGCTTACTCCACATTGGCCGGCAACTTCCGTATGGGCGGACCTGCAAATCTGCACTGATACGGTTAGCTTTCCGCGATTAAATAAAACACACAGTCTCTCAAATGGCCGCGTGCCGTACTTGAGTGAGGCTACCTTCTCCAGGCTGAAAAGCGAATTTCATACAGGGACCCAGCTTAATTGTACCGAGCCACGTCTTTTCTCCTTCCCATTACTTATTTTCGAATTGTCCGCTCAATCAGTGCCTTCACACCCTGGCTACGGGTTTTTCCTCTTGTACCGACCTGCGTCTATCAGAGCCCGAGCCGCAACGCGATCCATCCTCTCTTCTCCCCCTGTAACCCGTTGTTCTTTCTGTCAACCTTGTCCGCGCCGCCGAGAAGCACAGCGCATACCACGCCAGACTCGGTAAGTCAAATATCACCATGGTCAACCCTCTCCAACAAAAACCCAGTCTCGGGAGCTAGGTGACTTGTCGCGTCAAGTCGCTCCCATTTGCATCGATCGCGATGCGCCCATCCGCTGGTGCACTTGTTGCATGTTCCTCCTCAGGAGGTGCCTTGACCTGCACCGGCCGCTTTGTGCACTTATGCGATGAGCTTTGATAGACAGCTTAGGGACTAGGGACTTGCGCTGAGCACCGCGTGTTGTGGTCACACACGCCGCTGCATCTTTCTGTCCTGTTCTACATTCACTTCCCGCCCGATCGTTCCGCTTGGAGCTGAGGCTGACAAGCATCTAAATGTTGCCAGTTTCGCTGCTCACGACCGAGCCAAAAACAGTCTCGCGGTGAGCCGACAAGCCTGACGAGCCTGCCGAGCAGAGGACTTAAGGCCGCGAGTTGGAGAAGAAACAGACAACATCCTGCGATTGCGACAACCGAAGAGCAGGGGTGGAATTGACCCGGTGCTCGTACGGCTCTACGAACAGCCGCCGGGCTGTTTTAGAACCGAACAAAAGAGCTGACGCACCTGTCATTGTCTTTGGCCACCTCTAGACAGCCTTCTGGAGGATTCCGAGCAGTCATATCGGTCAACCTGGTGTGCCGATAGACCGCTGTGTTGATTGCACTAGCCTGGTTATTGTGAGTGCAGCACGCGCTTCCGCGGACCCACTTTGTCTGGTGCACTTTGGAAAACTGTCACTTTGCGCTTCCTGCAACACAAGACAGAGAACTGTTGAAATTTGAATCGAACTATCTCACTTTGCAACGCGAAACATACAACGCGAAACACGCGTCCTGCAAAGTTAACCGTCCTAGCTAACACCCTTGGTTTTGCATAGGAAGCTGTAAGAACAAGGATCAGAACGATTGCCAAGAAGCGCGGTCGTCACCTCGCACGTGCCTCGCCACCTGCTGACTGATTGTGGTCCCAGCGCTTCTGCATCTATTCACCCTGCACTGCACAGCACAGCACCCTTCGTGAACCGTGCGCTGGTCATCGACAAGCTCGTAGGTGCATCAACAAGCGACTTACACACAGCTCTGTATTTTGGAATCGGTCTCAAATCCGCATTTCCAAAGCGCAAAAAGAATCAGTCGGTCGCAGAATTCTGGCAATAAGGCTCTGTCATTCTTCAGGTGAGAGAAATTTTCGCGTTTCGTCAGCCCCGCATCATCACTTCATCATCACTTCATCGGCCACTGTCAACCATAAAAACCATCAAGCATTCAACCACCAGAACCTACAGTCCGTGATATGCCATCCACGGCCGATCGGCCCAGCATTTTCTAAACCTTGTGGCTTGTCATATACGCAATATCTGCGTGGGTTTCCTTTGACTTGTCTCTAGTTAACCATTTCGGGTCGCTCACCGCTGGATTTCCCTGCATTGCTGACCGTCATTTTTAGCGACCCGCTTCATACAAGAGTGTGACTTGTCTCAACACATAATAAAGCATCACCATGTCCCAGTCACCGTCAGCAGGCGGTGCCATGGGTATCGGCAGCGTGCTTAACATCAAGGCAGAGCCGGGCATGCAGCAACCTTCTGTTGAACAACAGCAGGACGCGACTGCCGAGCAACCTCAACAGCCGCAACAGCAACAACAGCAAAAGCAGCCTGCCACTCAGCCGCATCAGCCGCATCAGCAGATGCTAGTCGAGCGGCCTAACTCGGCGCACGGTTCTGACCAGTCGAGATACTCCGGTCCGATGAATGCATCGTACCCATCTCCAACTGTCATAGGCGCTGTTCCCTTGCCGCCTGTGCCCAGCGCCAATATGGCACCTGCTCCGATGCTTCACCCTGACTTGCGTAATGTCGTACCCGGAATGCCTCCCGTGCAGACAGTTGCACGTCCTCAACCGGCGAGAGCCTTTCCTTGCAGCACCTGCGGAAAGGAGTTCGCAAGACGTAGCGACCTTGCCCGACACGGTAAGCACCAATTTGCAACCCCATGTTGGTTTTTACTTACCCTGATTAGAGAGAATCCACACCGGCGTCCGCCCTCATGCCTGCGACTATCCTGGCTGCGAGAAACGATTCATCCAGCGGAGTGCTCTCACGGTGCACTCGCGTGTGCATACTGGTGAGAAGCCTCACCAGTGTGAGCGATGCGGAAAGGTAAGCATGGGCAACTTCATTGGGTTGGTCAATGTTGCTAACAACTTCGGGTAGCCTTTTAGTGATAGCAGCTCTCTAGCTCGGCACCGCCGGATTCACTCGGGCATGCGGCCTTACAAATGCCCTTATGAAAACTGCCAGAAGACTTTCACTCGTCGTACGACCCTGACAAGACATCAAAACCACCACTCAGGCACTGTAGAGGATGCAGCTCGTGCTCGAGCCGAAGCTTTGGCTCAAGGAGGTTTGGCTCAGGGTGCAAGCGCTGCAGTTGTGGCTGCGGCTGCAGCTGAGGCTGTTCGAGCCAATTCACAATCCTCAAACGAGCAGGCATCGAACCAGGAGTCTCCACTCAACACCCCTTCTCGCACCATGTCGATGTCGCCGGGTGCAGATCTGGCCGGAATCAATAACCTACAGTACCTGAGCAACAATGCTCTTCCGCCACATCTTCGTGGAGATGTGCATGTCGGCAGCCCCTCGCCGACGGCATCTGTGGGATACAATAACGGCATGCGACCCACGTCTCACCCGACTGGATATGCCCCCCCTCAGGCTATCGAGCCGACCATCGAACACCAGCAAGGCCCCGGAAGTGCCGCTGGTAGTCCCCACATGGCCAGTGTTGGCTGGGCGTCTCCTGGGCCTGTCGGCTCGCCTGCCCATAGCCCCAACAGCAATGGATATACGTATCCAGACCCTGCTGACCCATACCAGAGCAGCACTCCTGTCCCTCAGATGTTTTACAATGGCGCAGCGCCTACACGAGGCTCGGGGAGCGTTGAGCCAGGCAACCCCGCCTACGATGCGAAGGGCCGGCAGGCGGAGCTCTGGACGACTGCTCAGTGAGGAGCTGAGTATCATTATGAGCATCAGTACTACATGCCTTTCCGCTAGGAAGTGTGCCGACATACGGGCCATATCAATGGTGTTGCGAAGAGTGGATATATACCACTGATGCCCTCACTGGATGCTTTCACATCGCAGCTGAAATCTGGGGGAGTCGATGGTTTATACCCCGAATGGTTAACCATACGGCATACGGCCGATGTGGCCGGCACTGGACTTCGAGAGGGCACTGTTCTGTGTCAGATCCTCGCCGCGCATAACACCAACAACCAATAGCCTGTGCACCAGTTCCGAAAAGTGCTTTATTTGTTTGTTTTACTTTTCTATACCAAGATGGCTCAGGGACGGCGCGAGGTTTGCTCATTTCACATCAATGACATACATTTGACGGGCTGGCGGCGGACATTGGCATGGCGGCGCCATTTGGTGTTCTTCTCTCTCGATTGAGCTACACCTTTCTCCTATTTCCTTCTGTTAATATTTGCGCTAGACTGGTCGGTCGATGGGAATAGCGTGGATGGTTCCGGGCCCTTTCATTCTAGGGCAGTCTGTTTCTGCAGGCCCTGGCCTGGCCCGTTAGGGAGACAGCAGAACAGCACAATGGGCCGCACAGCAAGACCCCAATTGGTCATCTTTCCTTGTCGTTCGGGCCTCTACCGTCTTTCCTATGTTGTTAAGCGCAGCAAGGCGCTGGCGGAGAGAACGGAAGGCAAGGACAACCGAGAATGACTGTGTGGCGGTCAGCATAAGACTTGAGGCAGCTCTCAAAGAGGGAACGGGTCTTTTAGAGCGGTGTTCTGGAATTGCTTTGGCTGACTTGGCTAAATGAGGTTGGCCTGTCAGTTTTGTGGCATTATTACCTATGTACGGTTCAGTTGCTCATGGCATGTCGGGGTTAGTGCAGACAAAAGAAAAAGGGGGCTTGATGGTTTCGGGCTGGCGATTCTTTAGGAGGGATGGTAATTCTTTAACTAATTGCGGTAATTCCTTAGGAGCGACGGCGATTCTTTGGGAGAGCTTACCAAGCTCCCTTTATTGGGCATGTTGCCCATCAGATACTAATACAAAAGATGATGAGGTACCTGACTCACTTCACATGAAAGTGATTCTATGTTCCTCCTGTGTGAGACCGGCGGGAGGAAATGCGATGCCTGGACAGTTCTATTTCCGTGACCTACGCTTTTGTCTAGAAGAACTGGGCCGCGGCCTAACAACGTAATAGACCAATCAACCCAGATCTAGAACGGAGTTGCCTTCCTGAGAGATGGTGAAGACACTCCATTTAACAGCTTTACAATTCCTAGGACATATACACACAGCATCGCGGCTCAGTGAAACCTTCATCGATGATATCTTTTCGCTCAGGAATTTGTCCAGATACACAAAAACACCCCTGACTTAACTGGAAGACACAAGCCTCTCCAAGCACTAGTGTTTATCGTACAGTCCACTCGATCCAACAAACGGTCGACAGCAACCGTTCGCGTGCTTCGTTGACTCGCTCGCTAACTCGCATTTTTCTTCACCAGGCTCCTTCACCTCCTGGAGCCCTTGACACGCCGGGCAGAAACGTATCGATTTCCATGAAACATAAGAAACCGCACGATGAATCTGTGCTGAGGGATCGAGAAATCGGTTATAAAAAAGAAAACCCCAAGGCGGGGGTGGGGTTGTAAGGTGGGTATATAGTGTGAATTGGATGAATCAACCGGCGTCTTTAATTCCAGGTAAGGGGAATTGATGTCTTGGGGAAGGCATCTGTTGGGCTGGCCCAGAAAGCTAGTGCGATGATCATGTAAAGCCCGAGGAGCTACCCGGTCTGGTTAGCATGTTTGACTATACAGTCGGGGGAAGGGTGAGACCCGAACATACCATTGCTCCCTCGAGGTAGTTAGACTTGCCGTCCTGCACAGTGTAGGTGACGACCAGGACTGAGAGGGCAAAGGCGACGGTTTCGACTTGAGCCAGGGTTAGTGAGGATGATTTGCAGGTGAAACTGGGTCGAAGGTGTGAACTTACATGTCTCGAAATGCAGAGTCATGGGTTGCCCAATCGCCCAGCCAAGCATGACCAGCGCGGGAGTGACAAGCAGCGCAATCTGAATGCTCGATCCGATCGCCACACCCATGGCCAAGTCCATCTTGTCCTTCACGGCTACGACGCACGCCGTGACGTGCTCGGCCGCATTTCCGACAATGGGAATGAGGATTAGACCGATGAAGGTCTTGCTAATCTTGCCGGTCGCAACCAATGCATCGATGCTGTCCACCATGTAGTCGGCACAGAACGAAATGATCACCGTCGTGGCCACCAGCACAAGCGCGGCCGACCAGGGGCTCAGGATCGGCGTGTGCTCCTCCTCAGTCTGCGGTCTGCTACCGGCCTCCGGCTCGAACAGCTGCTTGTGCGTGCGCAGGGCGAAGCAGAGATACAGGCAGTAGAGGACCAACAGGATGATGGAGGTGCCGCGCGAGAGGACCAGAATACTAGCCTGCTTATGATCCTCCTCTTGCTGGTCAAGGACGCCGTAGAGGGCGGCGGGCAGGATCATGGATGCCGAGGCGAGGGCCATGAGCGAGCACGTCGTCTGCGCCGTGCCTTGCGCGAAGCTCTGCTCAATGCCCTCGCCGTGGGGGCCGCGCATGTTGTAGAAGCCGCCGAGGACAAAGCACATGCCCAGGACAAGGAGCAGGTTGGACAGGATGGACCCCAGCATGGACGCCTGCACGACCTCGATCTCGCCCGCGCGCAACGCGACAATGCTGACAATCAGCTCCACAGCATTTCCGAAGGTGGCGTTCACCAGCCCCCCAAGCGTCTCGCCCAACCGGTGGGCGATCTCCTCGGTGGCGAACGAGAGAACGGCCGCCAGCGGGATGATGGCGAAGAAGTTGAGTGAAAACACCCAACCGGCGCCCCATTTCTGCTCGCCGGCGACGATGCCCAGGGGGACAAAGATGAGAAGGAGGTTGATCCATGCTGCAATAGGGCCTTAGAACGACGCGCCTGGTGCAACGGGGGGTTTCCGGGCGATACATACAGCTAAACAGCGTGACCTTGGTCACGTTCCAGACGCGCGCCGGCCACCGGCGGAAGGGGTTCGGATCGTCAGTTCCGGGGCTGCTGGTGGGATTCAGGAACAGGTGGCGCCAGAAGTTATGCTCGGGTCGCAAGCTGTGGGAAGTATGGCGGTTGCCCAAGAGGGGCCTGACCTCGCCGTCGTCGTCCATAACCTCGGTGTTGGACGGGACGATGTAGCCGTTGGCGCGGCCGTTGGCATGTACTGGGAAGGTCATCCGGCGTAAATGATCGCGGACCTTAGGGTGGACTGCAGGATCTGTTAGGCGATGGCTCTCTAAGCTGCTGCTACCTCCCATGGCTGCCGCTCAGGTCTGGAGAAGGTGCAATAGATCGAGATGGCGGGATGGGTCGGGCCGTTCATCTCGGGCAAGGTTGCAAACTCCAAAGGGCGGGTTTGGTCCCAGCAACAGTTCGCCAGCGGAAGCGGCGGCGGCGTTCAATGGCCAGGCACGGTTTTGCAGGATGAAGCGGGATGCGGCTTCGGGTATCAAGATGGCTGGGGTTGTCGAAGGGGGGAAGTGATGATGGAGACAACGGACGGCTACTTACACATTGTAGTGGCGCGACCGTTTTATTAAGTTGAAGGTCGCACCGGGCAGGAAGAGGACCGAGCGGAGTGTTCTTACTCGCCGCGACGGGCACTCTGAAAGGCAGATTGAGATCAGGCGAACAAACGCGCCTCTGCTCGGAATAAAGAGTGGGGGGATGGATCGGGTTTACCAGATCCGGATGCGATGGGAATGGGTTTCCTGGGGAACGTTTCCCTAACTCAGTTAAGTCGACTGTCAGTTTTCTCAGTCTGCAGCTGGCGCTGGGCAAACGCTCCGTCTCAAACCCTCCGGAGTCCGGACATGGAGGCTGGATCAGGTCGATCTCGCTCTGTTCGGGCGTAGCAGCACTTCCAAGTTACTAACCGTGTCGCCAACAGCCTCCTCACCGCGGGCTTTCCACTGCAGTCTTCGAATCGGAGCGGTCTGAGATACCGATGCCAAGGCCAAGAGTGGCAGTGACTTGTGCGAGTCAGCGCAAAGTGCGCTGGTTAAATGAGGATGCGAGCTGGGCGGTTTTGTACGGACCGATTTCCCTTCTTGATTTTACTAACAGTAAGATAGAATTCGAATAGGCGAAGACCCGTGCCGTAATCCGTCACAAGGAGTACTAGGTAGCAATTGCGCGTTGGTCACAATTGAAACAGTTCAAGACCGACCAGGCGGCCAACGATCAGGACATCGACGGCTTTTGCAATCGACGTGCCAAGCTCCAACGACGTAATTTCACAGCTGAAGCTTAATCGATAAGCGACCCGACCTTGGTTTCGAGATGCGTCATGATCCCTGCTGTTTCGACGATCCAGCGATCTAGGGACCACAATATCTCCAATTGATTGAGAACATATTTCGAGGATGGAAAACAGAACGAAGTAAAGAAAAGCCAGATTGAATGGCTCTCTCAGTTGCGTAGGTACGTATTCCGTGCCTTGGGTTGAGTCCAAGGTGTGTGCCCAATCAGAAACATTCACACCATCAGACCCCCGGATTGCCCAAAAGGAAAGCCATAGAGTGATGGAATGCACTCAACAGCAGATGCACGAAGGGGAGCAATTGGCACCCCGCCGATGCAGGGCAATTGGCACCCGAAAGTCATGAATGGGCACCCGACGGAGGCCTCCCAACAAGCATGCCAAGGCTGCAATCAGAGACACTTGGCGAGCTGCATTGTGGGGCATTATCTTGCCGGTCCTTGTCCCGACATCTTGGGAGCCCTGCACGTGCCCTGGAGCCTCTGGAGCCCACTTGCCAATGGTCCGAAAATGGAGGTGCTCGGGGCCACACTTGCTGTGATAGGGAGTACACGTATACACCAAAATCACCGCAAATCTTTAAGCAGTGTATGTACCTTGGAAAGGAGTCAAGCGAACGTGAGTTTATAACTAGGTAGGTAAATCCAAGGAACGAAAGAAAAGGAAAAAGAGGGAAGAGGAAGAGGAAGAGGAAAAGTAGAGAAAGAGTAAACATAGGGGAGGGGGAGGGGAGGAGGGGTGAGCTAACATACGGTAATCTACTCATGATTTCTTTCTGTCTAGATGCTTTTTTAATGAGCGCCCTTTTTATAGCTTCTTCTTGCTGGAGCGTGAGTGGGAGATGTATGGTGGATCATCGTAAAGACGCGTTGATGAAAGGTTCTTGGTATTATACACTGCACTCGATATCAGTACCTACAAGTTATAATTGTAGGTTCGGTTGGCGTGATTTAGATACAAACCTCAATGGTCACCATATCCAGGGGAGCTTGGGAGGGCAGTGAGGTATTGCGAATCCTCATTTTCAAAAGCAAAGAGATGTCATTAGTCTGTACGGGATATATGATACTCATAAACGATGATCCATCTAACTCTTGTCCTACACGGCATCCTCCTTCCTGTGCTTCCAAAGTGGTACTACTGTGGTAGTATGTATGATAACAGAAAAGAAATGCGAAATCCTTCTAGCATCGATGCTGACGCGGTCTACACAGCCCCTAGCGACACCCCCGAAGCGCCATCTCGACTGGTGAGTCGTCATCCCCCTTCCCTTTTCACACACTTGTCATGAAGATATATCGCACGCCGAAGTTCAAACGCACATCTGCCCAACGATGCCGTCTTAGCATGCGCCCGCCGCTGCTTCATCAGCAGTGTTACCCCTGCTGCTCCGGGTGCGAGAGCCACTTGTTTGTAGCCTCTTCAATACCTTATTGCGACAGCTGAGCTTGATCTCGGGAAACTCAAGATCTGGATCAGCCCTTCACCTTCGCAATGTTCTCTTTTCTCCAGGCTCGGGCCGCACGGTTTCTCGTAGAATTAGGCTTGGTGTTCGTCTGTGCTGAGGCCCAAGGCTGAGGAGTAGGTCCATTACGGGCTGGTCGCCTGTCACTGAGGGTGCCCTGGAGCAGGGAGGTAATCTCCTTGATGACGTCGAAGGATCGTGATTCCTGGATGGTGGACTTGCTTGTTGCCGTTGACGTATAGCTCCAAGGGCTCGAACGAGGAATACAGGAGCGTCCTGATAGCTTCGGCCACCTCTAGATTCAATGTCTTGCCCTCCCTTTCTGACTTAGATGCCAAAGAGATATGACTGTGGTGGGTGCCCAAATTTCACCTCCCTACACCAGGCGAGAGTCCAGCATCTGTAAATGTCCTTGCGGGATCCATCGGGTGCGGCGGAGACTGTATGCCAGGCTGGTCAGATAGAAAGAGTAGTCGATTGCCCGTGAGTGTCCGCGCTGTGGTTGTACCCGACCAAGTGAAGTGCGGCCCGGTTATATCGGTGGTGATGGGGGTTTCCGGAACCCCTATCACAAGGCGACCCGGCACCCTGGATGCCCGCTTTAGGTTGTGTTCATCAGTGAGACTCACCCGGAGAGCTCGTGACCTCTGTCACTTGTAAGAAAGGAACTCTAGGTCATGGACCGGAATCTGAAAATCATATCATAAACTGACGCTGCTGCGATGAGCGACCCCTTTGTTTCAGCTGCTCCTAAAGCCATCTAGATACAGTTGGCTAGTCTTTGCTCTAGATTCTTTTGACCGTGACCACCTAAACGGCAATGGCACAGAGGTTGGAGTTCCTTGGAGACAGTCTCATCATGCCGTAGCACTTTCTCCGTGACTTGAATGTATCCAAATACCTCTCATCCAACATATTGTACTCGATGGAGTGCTGTATGTAAGGCCGAATGCAAATCTAGGTAAGCAGCGCTGATCCGTATATGAACTTCCGCTTCACGATGCCTTAGAAGTTCTTGCAGGAGTGCTCATGCACACGGAAATGGGCAGAATCTCTATGGGCAAGGCACGGAGATTTCTATTAGGTAGGACTTCGAAGGGCCGTGATTGTGTCAGATCCCGGTAGCAAGCAGCAGTCGCCGGGATAGGAAGCAGCAACTGACCACTTGTCGATGCCTGCCTGCCAGCCCTTCTCGGCGTCGTGTTTGGTTTCCACAATCACCAAACAGAAACTACCCGGTAATGACCGACGGAAAGCTTTTGCTTGCTTCTCTCTTCATCTCTTCACCTCTTCACCAGTGGTATTTCTGGTGTTCCGCTACCTTTCTTGCATCCTTCTCTCATCTCCATTTGTCTCCCTTCTGATCCGTCCCTCTGGTTAAAAATTCTGGAATCATGGATGTTGCCACTGGGGTCATCTCCCTGACGTGGGAGGTGTTTGACAGCACGGTCCGGAGTGAGTGGTTAAGCGATTTACAACTGCACCGGAATGCTAATCTGCTTTTCAGTCTTCAAGTTCCTCACCGCTTTGGTTGACATGCCAAGGGAATATGAGAAGTACAGCATTCAACTTATCGTCGAGTACAACCGTGTTCTCGCCTTCGGCAAGGCGGCGGGTCTGGTTGATGTCCCGGCTGGCTCTACGCTTGGTGCTACCTTGGGAACCGAGGGCATCGAACTCGTGGCTATTGTTGCGCGGATCCACTGGCTGCTTTCCGAGATCAGAGAGCTCAACGCCCGCTATGGAAACGAATTGCCCCAGTCTGGCAAGGCTGGCGACAACAAGACGGGTCTCCACGAGCAACCGACTGACAGCGATCTCCTCAAGGCCATCTTGGGTCTGGCTCTCACGCACGAAGCGGAGAAAAGAGCAGGCGAACATCTTCGGGGCGTCCCACGCATCAAGGAGTGGGTGATGAAACTCGGGCGGAACTCGAAAGACATCATCAGCTGTCCGGTCCGGGTGCGGTGGGTAGCGGTTGACAAGGAGGCCTTCGAATTGCTCCTGGACGAGCTCCACGTCCTGACGGAGCGGCTTCACGAACTGATGAGAAACCATCGCGAGAAGCAGGTCGACGACATCACGGCCAAGACGTAGCGGGAGATGATCATGACCCGGAACAAGGTCGAGGAGCTACTGGATATGCACCGTGCTGCGACCAGCTTGGTAACTAGATCCACAGGGGTTCGCAAGGAAAAGGCTGCCCATCTCAACGACCAACAGCTTGGGGTCCTCCCGAGACTGAAGATATTCAATCGTGCATCCCACAACTTGAATCTTTTCCATCTTTTCCCCGACCACTTCCAGAACCGTTTCCTGTACAGCTGTGTAGACCTCGCCCAACAGCTTGCTTGGAACGAGGACCAAGTCGACAAACCCGAGCTCCTCCGACGCCCGCGAGCCATCCTCTCTACCCCCGACAAAGTTGACATCCTCGTGTGGATCGAGTGGAAGACACTGGGCGACATCGAGCCCGGCTCCCCACAGCACGAGGTGTTCGCCGTCCGGACAGCGGCGCTGGCCCTGATGCTGAACGTCCTCGGTCCGGTCTCGCTGCACACGCCCGACTGCATGGGATACTTCGACGATCGCGACGTGAATGACGTGGCTCGCTACGGATGGCTTTTCAAAATACCCGAGGGCAGCGACCGCGACACTCGCGTGCGCTCGTTGCACGACATCCTGGGCGACGAGCGCTACAAGCCGAGCCCGTCGCAGCGCGTGGCCATGGCGTCCAAGCTCTGCTCGACGCTGCTGAACCTGCACGCCGCCGACTGGCTCCACAAGGGCATCTTCAGCGACAGTGTGGTGTTCTTCTTCGCCGGGGAGGAGGAGGAGGAGGAGAGCAACGACGCCGGCACATTGAGGCTCCCCTACGACCCCGAGAAGCCCGTCCTGTCTGGGTTTGAGTTCTCTCGGCCGGACGGCAGTCAGACTACGGGCAGAGACGTGGAGGCGCTTTGGGATCTGTACCGCTGGCCGTCGATCCGGCGCGAGAGCCCCACGGAGAGGAGCTCGCGGAAGACGTACGACTTGTACAGCCTGGGCTTGGTGCTGCTGGAGATTGCCCACTGGGAGAAGCTGCATAAGCTGATGCATTTGGGAGGAGGGGTGGCCCCTGAAGGCGAGGGCGAGGGCAGGGTGCCGCAGGTGCCGTTGGGGGAGTCGAGGATGGTGAGGGACTGGCTGCTCGGGATTCAGCAGGGGGCGCCGTTTGAGGTAGAGGGCAAGCCCAATCCGCTGAAGGAACTCCGCTATATCGCAGGAGACCGGTATTGGAAGGCCGTGGAGAAGTGTCTCTGGGCACATGGCGAGAAGGGGTTCGGCGTCCAGGAGGTGGACCAGTCCCGCGACTCCGATGTGGGCATGGCTTTGCAGGAGGCATTCACGACTCATGTGGTAGAGGAGCTGGCGTCTATCAACATTTAGGGACCTTTTCTGAGCAGGGAGTCGTTTAGATCTCGGACGACGAGGCCGCCGACGTGGCAGCAAGTGTAGCGTAAGGGCCGCATCTCATTGCGAGCGAGAAGTGTACCGAATGTAAACTGAATTCCCGTCCAGCAGGCGACTACTGCAGGTACAATAATACCTTGGAACTCTGCTAATCCACAACTGACCTGTTCTTTTATTCTATGTATTGTACATCTAGAGTAAGGTATGGTGATTAGGTATATAGTCTGTCCTTCTCGCCAGCCAAATCTTATTTGAACACGAGAAAAAGTAAAGACCCTGGGTCTCACTCCCGCTTCCACTTCCACTGGGCATGCCGATGAAGCAGATAATCCTTACTTTGGATGCTCTTATAGATACCGTAAAACCCGCCCAGCGGCCGCTGCCTCTTCAGCCAGTGCCTCTTCTTCGAGCTGGCCGCCTCGGGATCGACATGGACTTTGTCCCACACGCTCGGCAGCGTGCCGGCGTTGTACTTCTGCCGCAGCTGGTCATACCACCTGCGGCCGCCGTACATGGACCAGAACTCGTCCTGTGCATAGTACGTGTGCGCGTACAGCCACTTCATGCCGCCCAGCTCGCGCACCTTGTGCTCCAGCTCGCGGTTCTTCTTGACAAACTCGGCCGGGTCGGACGGGCCCCAGCCCCAGACGCCGACGTTGAGCATCATGTCCTCCTCCTTCTTCTCGACGCCCGCCGGCAGCGTGGTGAAGGGGTGGAAGGTGGGCGGGGCGCGCCTCTTGAGCGGGCACAGCCACAGCGGCCAGATGTCGAGCTCCGACGAGGTGTAGTCGACAAACCGCTCGGTCGTCTCGAACGGCATGGCAATATCCTGCACCACAAACCGCGCGCTCTCTCCCGAGCCGTGCAGGGCGCGGTACATCATGCGCGTGTGCAGGAAGTCGTCGAGGAACCAGCGGAAGAACCTCGTGAACGGCACGAACTTGAAGTACTCAAACGCCGCCTGGCCAACCCAAAATCCGCCCCGGTCATACCGGAACAGGTACTCGCCGAGCGGCACGTAGTCCACAGGAGCATTCGCCGCCCCGGACTCCACCGCGGCCGTCCTGTCCCGCGCGTGGAGGTAGAACCACGGATCCCACGGCCCGCTAAACGTCTGCGGCGCCACCCCCTCGGGCTTCTCATCGGTCAGCCTGCCCGTGACAACCACGCCATGGTCCTTGCCGAACAGGATCCCATCGACGTAGTCATTCTCCCCCTTTCTCACCTCCTCCCTGACGGCCTCCACCGCCTCGGCCACACTCCCGGTCCGCCGATACCGAGTCTCGACAAACTTCCTCGCCTGCATCAGCCTGACCTCCAGCAGCGTAGTCAGCCCCAGCGTCCCGACAGCGCCCGCGGCACCGCGGAACAAATCCCCCTTCCCTTCGTGGTGGGGCGCCACATCCTCCACGACCGTCCCGTCAGCAAGCACCATCTCGACCCGGTTCACCGTCTCGTCAAAAAACCCGTGCCGGAACGAGCTGCTCTCGCCCGCGGTGCCCGCGAACCCGCCGCCGGCCGTGATGCCGGGGAACTCCATCACCACGGGCGGGACCAGGCCGTGCGGCAGGGTCGCCTCGACGAGCCGGTCCATCGGCACGTTGGGCTCCACCAGCGCCACGCGGCGGGCCGCGTCGACGAAGAGCACGTTGCGCAGCGCCGAGATGTCGACCACATGACTACTGCTGGCGGCCGGGCGGGGGCGGGTCGAGTTGGTGCTCCCGTGGAAGATGCGGTAGGGCTCGTTGCGGGCGTAGAAGGCGCGGACGGCCGAGGCGATTTTGGAGACTGCTGCTTTGTGGCGGTCCATTTGTGGATTTTGGGTTTTGTTTTTCTTTATTTTATGTTGGTGAGGAATTGGTTAGGCGGGACTTTGTTCACATTGTGGTGCTAGGGGGTGGGCAAGGGGGAAGCATTGTAGATCTAAGTAGTTGATGGGATGGGAGAGGGAAAGATGAGGGTGAAAGGAGAGACTGCCCTGGGATTTGGGAATTTTGAGGTGGGTCCGGACGTTCACTCATTCAGTTGGCGCTTTCCTCTCACATGAGGCTCAACTCACCACGTCCCTTGATTGAATGAGGTTGAACGATTCAGGGCCCCTAGATGATCTCATTCACACTGAGTATAGCCAAGTTTGCATGTATTTACATGTACGACGTTAGCCTCTCAAAAACTCATGCGCCTCTACCCACCGTTCCCAAACTTGAACTCCCGTTAAACTCTATCATCACCCGCCGGTCATCTCATGACCTCATCCCATCGGGTATCAGGTAATACATCTACTAGAATCACAGCTTTGCAACCCCCTCTTCCGGCACCGTCCGCTCTCTAATGGTCTGCCAAACCCTAGCCTCGACGACCTCCTCCTCCGACACACCACCACTAGTGAACCCGGACCTGGGATCAATAGCAACCTCCTCCAACGTCCTAGCCTTTACCGTGATAAACCGACTCTCCCCCTTTTCCTCCATTCCCTCTCCTTTCCGCCCCACCTCCACAACCTCCTTCATAAACCCCGCCCAGCCCTGTATACACCTCCTCGCCTCCTTAATCTGCGGCACGACCATGGCAAAGCAGTGCGCCATCGCCTCGTACTCCTCAAACACCACCCGCACGCCGTCCCGCCACATCTTGCGCGCCACGTACCGGTCCTCGTCCGCCAGACACTCCCACCCGGTACACATATACACGGGCGGCGCGCCGGCCCAGCTGGGGGCAAGCAGGAGCGTGACGAGCGGATGCGCGAGCAACGCGTCCGCCACATAGAGGTGGGTGCGTGGCGGATTCGCGGGCCACGCCGGGCAGGGCGGGCGGCGCCGCTCCGAGGAGAGGATCTGCGCCGGCGTGGGCAGGTAGTCAAACGCCGCGTTGGTCTCGTACGAAGGGGACGATTGCGTCACGTCCATCCAGGGGGAGTTGACGGCGACGCCTGCGGGGAGGGGGATGGCGCGGGCGGTGCCGTGCCATTGGATCTGGTGGTTGTGTCGGTTCAGGTGGAGGATTAGTTGGAGCAGGGCGAGCGAGAGATTGCCTCCCGCGCTTTAAGGGAAGAGAGTTAGTGGGGCATAGTACTTGGTAAAGGGGAGGGAGAGTTTGGTGAAGGTGGCTCACCTGTCGCCGGCGAAGACGATGTGTTCCGGCTTTACCGGCTCGTGGAAGGCGCCGTCTGGCGGGTAGAGGAGTGCGAGGTAGGACATCAGCGCGTCCATTAGCGCCGCGGGGAACGGGTGCTGCGGTGCGAGGCGGTACCGGACCGAGTATACCCTCCCGCCCGTCAGCTTGGCCAGTTTCTTGGTGGTCGGGCGGTACGTGGCTGGGTCTAGCAGGTAATAGGCGCCGCCATGGAAGTAGAGCACCGTGACGGGGCTCTTGACCTCCTTCATCATCTCGGCATAGAGCTCCCTCTCCGAGACTGGGGGCAGGCGAGACGCAGGGGTGGCGTCAGCGCGGTATCCCGTCCACTCGGCCTCGACAGTCGCCGGCTCCGACATCTGGTATGCCGCCTGAGGGATCTTGGGGCCCCGCAGCCCGTCAACCGCCGCGGCAAGGGCATCCTGCAGGCCCATCTCGTCTGCCGCGGGAGGCGGGCAGGCGTACGTGCTGATCCAGATCTTGCCCTTGATCTCCGGGTTCTGGGAAGTGATTCTTTGCGTCGACGTGATGCTCAAGGGCTTCGATGGATTGAGGAAGGACCGTATCACCGCGATGATCAGCTCGGTCCGCAGATCGAGGTACTTCGACTGCTGGGAAAGGCGCAGCATATGGAGGGCGGCTACCCGCAGCATAAGCGGGACCTTGGGAAGCAGCTCAATGAGGAGGTGCTGATTCTTCCATAGTCCCGTAGGTTGGGCCGGCTCACGCCCTTGAACCTGCTCTTGCGGTGACATGGTCTGGAGAGAATGTCCAGTGCCAGTGATATAAGTATGGGGGGGGGGGGGTGGGGCACAGGTTGGCGATGGATCACAGGGTCAAGAAGAGGAAAGGCAGAAACAGAAGGTCAGTGACACCACTAGAATGGGCTGACGTCAAGAGCCTGTATTTAAAGCCCACATCGGATGCAGAATCCCTCGAGTGTTTCGATGTTTATTGCAACCGCAAACATGACTAGGTGGGGGGTCGCCGTCGCTTGCAGCCTCCAGGAGCTTGGAAATCGCCCCTTCCCGGAGGATCGGTCCACTCACCCACTGCATCATCACGAATCCGACGTTGCGGGCGCGGCAAACCTCAAGCTCGCCTCTCTCGCCTATCAATTCCGTCGTGGATGCCATGCAGACCCAGCGATATAACCGTGGGTTCATGGCGGAGAAGCAGGTGACTTCCCGGTTGGGGTTCATGACGGCCAGGGACACGGGAAAAGAGCCTCGGCACGGAGTTAATGCCCCCAATCACGTCTCAGTAGCAACCTGGAATCTGCCATTTTTCGCAAGCCTACCCCTTCCGAGGGGATGCCGCAAACCGCAAACCCTAAAATCCTGGCTGCTGGCTAGGAATGAAGGAGATGCGATTGGAGAGGATACTGTAAAGCAACAGGGGTTTGGGCTACTACACTATTACTATCAATGATGCCTATCCCCGCCCATTCCGTTTAAATCATCACAGATGAGAGCCTCATTCTGCCGGGAAGCGAACAACTCGCGACGCGGAGCAACCTCGTTCGTTCGGCAAACATCTTAATTCAAACCACTTGAAGAGCATCCGACCTGCCTGCATACCGGCTAGCCCCAACGATCAAGAGACACATGTTTCATACAGCTCGGCTTCCCTAGAGCCCGTGACTTGCGTAGTGTACATTAAATAAATCCAGCAAACGCTTGATATCCGAAATGTATCACTCTAGTCCCGCTCCACAGTGCGACACCCACACTCACTCATGCGTTACTCCAGGTTTACTGCGTCTCGCTGCCGCTTCCAGTGTCCGTGCCATTAGCAGCAGACGAGCTGGTTGACCCCGCGCCCTGGGAGGCCATCAATTGCCACGAGGGGATTGATGCCTTGGCTTGCATCCCACTGCTGAAGGGCGAGCTGCGGTTGGCATTGGAGAGGTAGTCCTGCTGCGCTGGCTTCGGCTCCTCCCTGGTCTCGGTGGCGGCCGCGTTCTCAGCTGGCGCCGGGGTAGCGGCAGGGCTGCTAGGCGTCGCATTGCCGCTGGCGCCCGGGCGCAGGTAGTTGCTGACGCTCGTTGACGTCGCGGTCGGGTTCATGCGCTGTGTGATGAGTGTCTTCAAGCTCTTGAGCTCGGCGTTGACCTCCCGTAGTCTGGTGTCGGTCAGGTCCTTCTGGCTGCTGAGCGCCCGTGGGATCGAGTCCTTGAGGTTCTGCACGTCGTCCCTGACCCGCTGTGCCTCTTCGTCGCGTCGTCGGTTGGCCGACTTAAGGTCGGCAATGACCGTCTCGAGCTCATTAAGGGCCGTGTCTAACCTCTCGGTGCGTTCCTTCTCTGCGGCCTTGAGAGCTTCCGTGTCTTTGGCGAGCTGGTCGACAAGAGCGAACGTTTTCTCGAACTGCTCGTCGATGGACTTTTTGTCTTGCTCGAGCCGTTCTGGTGTAGGTGGCGCGATTAGGGGGTAGACATAGCGCTACCGCCATGTTAGCCGATGCGAGCGGATTGCGGTGACAAGGCACCTCCTTACCTTCCCCAGAGTGTAAAGGCCATACGACACCCCGCTGACCACCGTCGCCATAATGAACCAGTCTCTCCAATCCCGCCGTGGAACTGGCTGAGGCGGTGGTTGCTGCCACCCATAAGGAGGATACTGTGGCGGATACTGTCCGTAGTAGGGCGGTTGTTGCGCGACGGCGGACGTCGTCTGGGGTGGGTATGATTGCACAGGAGCGGTCTCGGAGCCCACTCGCGAGAGAGCAGCGTTGATCTCTTCTTGCGTGAGGTTTTTCGCCTGGAGGAAAGCAACTTTCTTCTCGATCGGAGACGAGGCGACGGAAGGGTCTAGTAGGACTGAGCCAAAACGGTCAGCCACTTTCGTTGTCTAGTTGCCACTGCCAATGCCAGCGTCAGGAAACTTACACTTGGCCGCCGACGCGACCAGATCCTCACGGATGGCCATTCGAAATAGTACGACCCCAATGTGCTTCGGCAAAACGATTGAGATATCTGATCAGCTTCAAGAAAGGGAGCTGCACAGGCGTGACCAGAATGGCTGATGACAAGAGGCTGGAAAATGGGATGGCGGATCACAAGCCGAGGTCCCTAGCAGCAGCCGACGTGCTCCACTAAGCGGATGCCAAGCACTGACCCCGGACTTGGACGTAGTGTCACGTGCTGCGGTCTAGTCGCGAAGTTCTGCTGCACTTTATGTTGCAGGGGTCTGAGCGCGACCGCCCAAAGCCCCGCAGTTGTTTACCTGGGCAACGGGATTCAACGCCGTCATTACACACATCTTTTTGTTACGCGGGCGCGACGTCTCACCATTATTGGCTTCAACTTTGCGATCCACCAGCAAGCTGCCCAAAAGACTTGGCTCCGACCTCTTCTAATTTAATAACAGGCGCATAAGGAACGCTTTTCTGGCTTGTCGCCATGTCGCAAGACAATGGCATTTGGAGCGTTCGAAGACCGAGAGAGGTACAGTCGCAAAGTTATGCGCACATGTCCCTCATACCACTGACACAAATTGCTACACAGACTCTAGGGGGCCTCAACTTCAACTCGGGTATCCCACAGCCGCCGTCCGCCATAAAGCGATCGAGCACGATCGGCAGCGCCAGCCATGGCCGCTCCGTGTCTGGATCACGGCATTCGCTCGCCATGTCGCGCCCGAACCAGCCCTTATTCCAGCGCTCCTCGTCCGGCACCAACATCGCTGACATCGGCCTCTCATCGGTCAAGCGCGCTTCCGTTGCGGGCTATAACCCTCCCAGCTCAGGGGCGCTAAAGGGGTTTCACACCCCCGGCCCATCCACCGATAATGAGCGCCGCAGCAGCATCTACCGCGCGCGCCCCTCAACGACCGGTGGCCCCATGGGCGGGCATCAGAGCTTCTTCCAGCAAGCGCCGCAGGCAGCAGGTGTGCCACGAGACCCCCGGCCGCTCAAAGACAGGTCATACCAGAACCGGCTCGGGCAGGAGCTGGTCGAGTATCTGGCCAAGCACAACTTTGAGATGGAGATGAACCACAAACTGTCAGATAATTTCACCAAGTCGCCAACGCAAAAGGACTTCAACTACATGTTCCAATGGCTGTACCACCGTATCGACCCCAGTTATCGCTTCCAGAAAAACATCGAACAGGAGGTGCCACCACTGCTAAAACAGCTGCGGTACCCCTACGAAAGGAGCATCACCAAGAGCCAGATTGCGGCGGTGGGAGGGCAGAATTGGAGCACCTTCCTTGGGCTATTGCACTGGATGATGCAGCTGGCGCAAATGTTGGAGCGGTATTCGCTCAACCAGTACGACGATGCGTGCTTGGAGGCAGGGGTCGATGTCGCGGGTGATAACATTATCTTCGATTTTCTGACGAACGCCTACCAAGACTGGCTAAACATGGACGACGAGACCGGGGATGAGGACGTGGAGAAGGCACTGCAACCACACATTCAGGCGATGGCTCGGGCATTTGAGCGCTCCAACGCCAAATACATCCAAGAGATGGAGATGCTCGAGGGCGAGCATGCGCGCCTGAAAAAGGAAATCGAGGACCTCGAAAAGTCGACACCGGACCCGGCCGTCCTAGACAGCCACTTCAAGATCATGGAGGAGGACAAGGCCAAGTTTGAAGAGTACAACACAGTGGCCACACAGCGATCGGAGAAGTACGAGGGACGCATCCAAGTCTTGCAGGAGGAGCTTGACAGGCTCCAAGGGGAGCTGAAGGAAGCTGAGGAGGAGCGGCGCCGGCTCAAGGAGGCTGTGGACGACCAGGGGATCAGCATGCAGGATATCGACCGCATGACTGCCGAGCGGGAACGTCTCCAGAAGAGCATCGAGTCGGCAGAGCAGCGGTTAGAGGACGTCAAGCGAAAGGTGGCGGAGAGGGAGATGGAGGCTAGCCAGCGACTGGACGAGCTCGAGCGTATGGTCGACCGGTACAATACAGTAGCATACCAGATCGCCCTGATCCCCCCCACAGCAGCCAATGCCAAGGGCCAGGACTACGAGCTGCAGGTCACCGTCAACGAAGGTCCCAACTTCACGTCTTCCCAGATGCAGGGCTCGTACGGGCCCGGCGAGAGCGACCGGCTCCTCGCCGATGCGACTACGGGCTACCAGCCGGCGCACATCCTCAATCTGGACCTCAGGGGGCAGGTTAAGAACAGCTTCCTGGCGCTGCGCAAGGAGATCTCGGAGAGGCGCAAGGCGGCGCTCGACGCCATGATGGAGGACCACGACCTGCTGGATCGGGCCAAGGAGGCCATCGAGGACAAGCGGAACGAGGTTGAGGCGCTCGAGCACCGCGTCCGCGCTGCCGAGGAGGAGTACGAGAAGACGAAGGAGGTGACGATGGCGCAGAAGCTCGCGTCGGACGCTCAGATCGAGAAGATGGAGAAGGAGCTGGCCAAGATGCGGGCGCAGTTGTCCGAGTCGGTGCAGCTCATGGAGCAGAGGGAGATGAATACCAATATTGAGTACGTATTTTTCTGTGGGAGGGATCTCCTCAGAAAAGAGAAAGAATCCTTGGCTAACGTTGATTCTAGGTATGAACAACTGACGCTGCGAGCGAATGCGCTGCGCGAGGAGCTGCACACCGAGACTATGCGCATGCTCAACGACGTCATCAAGTTTAAGATGCACATCCAGAAGAGTCTAGAGGAGTATGAGAGCTTTGTGGCGGACGAGTTGGAGAAGGAGCTGGGCAGCGACGAGATGAGAGATGATACCCAAGCCTTGGATGCGTGATGTCTTCCTGTTTTTACTTGGATTGTTTGGTTATGTCTGTATGTCACCAGTGACGTCGAGGGAGTTCTTTTGTTTTAATGCGTATGGCAGGGTTGGGGCGGGGGTTGTTGGCGCAGGTAGAATGGTTGGGAAGGGGGGGAGGGAATGGTGTATCCATGGATGTTTGGGTATGGAAACAGGCAATATTGTCCGTCCTGTGGGTTTTGAGTCTCCAAATCCAAATGTAAGAGGCAGACCAGGGAGCAAGGAGGGCAAATACCACTTATCACCCAAGTCTCCCATTGGGCTGAGCGCACAAGTTAACACCACTGGAAGAGTGTAGCATCAGGTAACCAGCTTAACGTGAGTTCTGAGTTGATCAAAACGTTGAACCGAGAACATGCACCGGGTAGCATGTACTCCCAACGCTTATTACAACCACGAAACTTGGCCCACGCAGTCGGATACGGGTATCTTAAGTTCATCATCATGACATTCGGCTTCTCGGCTTCCGTAACAAAGCCCATGCACCCTACCCATCTGTCCATCCTGCTTCGAGCCCACAAACCCCTATATCTTCAGCCCGGACACGTTGTTGAACCTGCTCAACCCTGAAATCCTGCCTTCGCTCAAACCGGCTTTGCCCTCCAACACCACGCTATACGCCGAGCTGGGTCGGAGGCTTGGAAGCGTGATGCCCATTAGCCGCGCGCTGCCCGTTGCCCCTCACAAATCCAAGGCCATCGGCAACGAGGAGAAAGCAGAACAGCGCGAAGAGGAAGAACCCAAAGGCGATTGCCGCCTGGGAGGAGCCGCAATACGAGTTACCGCTGCAGCTCGGGATCCCCCAGTACGCGGCCAGCGCGATGGAGCCGCCCAGCCAGAAGATCGCGGTGATGCACTCGAGGGCCAGCGCGGCCATCGGGATGCGGTGGAAGAGGCCCGGCAGGTAGCGGGGCGCCAGAGCGAGAAAGGCGAGCACGAACAACGACCAGATGGACGCGAAGTGCAGGAGTCTTAGCCTGGCTGGCGCGTTCCAGTCGCCGCTGATTACTGGGGAGGAAAGTGTTACGTTGGGAACAACTTCGATGTTGGAGTTATGGGGCTTACGGTATGCTGTAAGTCCCAGCTCGGCAACAGCGAAGACCGCCGTTATGGTTTGGGCAATGGGAATGGAACGCTCCTTCATGGCCATTGTTTGTTTCTTAAGTCGAGGGTGAAGCCCGGGAGGAAGCGTGATCAGGGAGGAGAACGCAGGTAGGCGCCGTATATACAAAGTGAGGGTTGTGGATGGTAGGATATGGAAAGGTTGCTTCGGGCTTGCAGGAGGCTGTTGTTATCGTCCAGATGAATGCTTTATTTGTGTCTGCTTGAGGCTCCATGGTCTGACTGTGAGCAAGTTCGAATTTATACTTGACATAAGGACTTGCTGCGCGATGCCCGGCCCGGCGTCGGGCCCCGGCCGGGAGGCTGAAAGTCGATGAGAACGGCGGAGGTCAGGGCCGGAAAGCTGCTGGGGAGTCTCAAGTAGACCGAAAACTCGGAAGTGGATACCCGCTGCGAGATGGCCATAACCGATGTCCACGGGATCCCGTGTCTGCGTCAGTGGTCGTATTCCTGGGACGTTAGCCGTTAAGGAAACTGCGTGTTTGGGATGGCTGGGGCGGCAATGCGGGAGCGCTGACATGTGCCAAAACGCTGGGCTGGGCAGGGCCAAATGACATGACGTCTTGCCGACCCAAAACGGTCACGACTGCGAGCAGAAAGTCAAACGCTGGATATAGGCCTCTACATTAGTGTACCAAAAGCTTGGGATAAACTTGGAAAATCCCATGTTGGGTTTGCGCGCCGAACGCGTATGCGCAGCGGAAGCGCCAGGAGAAAACAATCTGGCGAATAACCCTGCTCTTTAGGTACAGTACCCTCACAGCGATAGGATGATCGGACAACTCCGCTGTTTGTGCGTGGTACTATGTTGAGGCGTGGTCAAATTCGGTTTGGGAGAATAGCCAGTGGTTTTTACTCAAGGCCATTGTATACACGCCAAAGCAAAGCACCACCCACCACTACCTTAGGCTCCTGGTGAAAACAATGAGAGAGTCCAGCTTTATTGGGATAGCCAGGTTAATTTGCACTAGTTATTCCCAGTGCCTCGCGCACCGAAGAGTGCCGGGCTCGAGTCCAACCTAGGACAGGGGAAGGACCGGGTGACGTCGCCGCGCTGCATTACCAGCCTTCGGTGTCGAAATGACCCTAGGTCTCTCTCATACCCGGCTACCTTCTCTTCCATTCAGGAAGATGTGCTAGCTGGTAAGCCTTCGGCAGTTTGTGTGCATACTTTATGCTTTCCCATATCCTCCTTCCGCACAAAGGCCACTCTGTAGGCCCACGCGCTTGACCACTGTCTTCTGCCGCTGTTCGACCATAACCGGCGGCGACAAGGTCGTCCTGAAGCTCAGCGAAAGTGACGCTGGACTTGCGGCCAAGATATGCCAAATGCCGGTTCAGCATCATATCACTCAGGCCTTCATCACCCATCCCCTTCCGTCGGTGGTCACCAAGCAGGATCCTCCAACCTCCTGAACAGTGCAACATGCTTCTGCCCCTTGTGCCTCTCCACCTTCTTGCCCTCCTCCGTCTCTGTCCGCATGATCTCCACACACGGATCCGCCTCCTGCTCCTCCTCCGACACGCGCTCAAACGACGGGTGCGCCTCAAAGTGCTGCACCATCCACTCGTGCAGGTCGGGAACGTCGGTGATGGTGTACACGATCCCACCCGGACGCAGGACATAGGCGTACTCGGAGTTGAGTGTGGTCGACACGATGCGCTGCTTGTGCTTGCGCGCCTTGAAGTGCGGGTCCGGGAAGCAGATGAACACCTTGAAGAGCTGGCCCTTGCGGAAGAAGTTGGGCAGGAACTTCATCGTGTTGGCGCGGAGCACGCCCAGGTTGCGGTAGAGCTTGGCCTCCTGGTTCTGGAGCCGCAGCGCCTTGATCCGATCTTCGACGTACTGCGTGACCGCGTAGCGGATCTCAAGCCCGAGGATCAGCTTGTCGGGCATCGTGGGCCCGAGCGCGACGAGCAGGCCGCCGAAGCCGCAGCCGATGTCTGCCACTTCGACCTCTTTGGATATCCTTTTGGGCCTCAGTGGCGCCGAGACCAGATCTGCGGGGGCTTCTGGGGCCGCTGGTGTTTGCTGGTCTTGAGGCTCGTCAACGACATAGTCTGGGTACAATGATGACCAGTCCATCTGATCAGGGTGAGGAGGACTGTATACACAGTGAGCGTCGACTCCCCACCGATCAAGCTATATAGTCGTCTCACTTACTATATTAATTGATGGTCAGAAAAGGGGTTGGCATGAGCCCTTTGGCGATAAAACTTCTTTCTTGGCAGCTCAGAGACGCCTTCCTGCCTCAGCGCTGCGCGATAATCCGCGCGCTTCTGTCTCCTGTCCTTTTTGGCGAAGCCCATCTTGTCAAGTTATGGGAAGTGAGCTCTCGATATCTAGGGAAATAATTTCGTTGAATTTGTCTTGGCTGCGGCTTGTTGTCGGGTCCAAACATGAGGCAAGTGATGGGGTGTGAAGTACGAACCTGTAAGGCCTTGAAGCGTAAGATTCTGTTAGTTACCGGTACTTGTACTTACAGTACGGTATCCACAGATCTGGTTTAGGTGGATCTTCACCCCACGTCGTCAAGTACGGATTACAATCGCTGCCCCGCTATCGGCGTCATGGCGATATTTTAGGAGTCATGAATGTGCCCCGCGTTTCGATGCTCTTCACGACTTGAAGATCAATTGAAATACTCTTTCGCTGAGAGGGTAAACGATACAAACACAATGGCTTCAGCTTCAGTTCGGCAGGTCAACATTGCCATCATTGGTACACCAACGTCGCAGCTTTCCCTATCCCTCAGCCGAGCTGACATCCCACCTTCATAGGCGCTGGAGGGGTAGGAAAGTGCTTCCTCTCCCAGCTCGAGCAACTGGCCACCCGCCGCCCGAACCCGAAGCTCGTCCTCACCTACATCTGCACGAGCAAGAAGGCGCTCTACAGCACCGACTACATCGCCGTCGACATCAAGAACGTCACATCCTCCCTCGCCTCTTCGCCGCTTGCCCCGCTGCCCCTCACCAAGCTTGCCGACTTCCTCACCAGCTCGGGCTCCAAGACCGTGCTCGTCGACAACACCAGCTCCCAAGACGTCGCCGAGGCGTACCCGCTTTTCCTCAGCCGCGGCATCAGCATCGTCACGCCCAACAAAAAGGCGTTCTCGGGCTCCTACAAGCTGTGGCAGGACATCTTCGGCGCAGCAGAGAAGTCCGGCGCCAAGGTGTACCACGAATCGTCGGTGGGCGCCGGCCTGCCCGTCATCTCGACGCTGAAGGACCTCGTCGATACGGGCGACGAGGTGACCAAGATCGAGGGTGTCTTCAGCGGTACCATGTCCTTCCTGTTCAATTCGTTTGCCCCGACCTCGGGCTCCGGCGGCAAGTGGTCGGCGGAGGTGAAGAAGGCCAAGGAGCTGGGCTACACGGAGCCTGATCCCCGGGACGACCTGAACGGCCTGGATGTCGCACGGAAGCTGACCATTCTCGCGCGGCTGGCGGGGCTGCCGGTCGAGTCTCCGACGTCATTTCCCGTGCAGAGTCTGATCCCCAAGGAGCTGGAGACGGTGGCTAGCGGGGACGAGTTTCTGGAAAAGCTGCCGGTCTTTGATGCGCAGATGGAAGAGACGAAAGCGGAGGCTGAGAAGGAAGGCAAGGTGGTGCGGTTTGTGGGCAGCATTGATGTGGCCACGAAGCAGGTCAAGGTCGGGCTCGAGAAGTTTGATCTATCACACCCCATTGCGGCGCTCAAGGGCAGCGATAACATCATTAGCTTCTACACTAAACGGTATGGAAGCAACCCGCTGATCATCCAGGGCGCTGGGGCCGGCGGCGAAGTGACCGCAATGGGCGTGACCAGCGACCTCCTAAAGGTGCTTTCTCAGATCGCTTAGTCCCAATGTCGCCACCGCTAAACATAAGTCAAAACATCAATTGAATCAAACGCAGAATGCCATGCAGTGACATACGCCCTTCCCGACAGTGTGTGTGTCTGACCACGCCCGTGTCGTTGAGCGTCAATGCTGGTTCGTCTTCTTAACCCCGGGCACGCTAGTCGAAGCAATGATGTCAGTTGACGGTGGTCGCGGTTTTGCGTGGATCCCGTCCGTCTGCATTATGGACTGTGCACGCCGGCTTGCAGCAGCATGTCTCCATAGCCACAAAACCACGTCGTAGATGACCAGCAAGGCGATTGGCACGATGGGCAGCAGGCCAAGAGTAATCTGAGCAATCAGCTGCAGTCCCTAGTGTAAAGCACTCTGGAAGGCATTGGCGGTGGACTCACAAAGAAGCTGGATATCATGCGAATAACATATCGGTATTCGCTAGGGATGACGCTCAGCTCGGTAATCCACCCATACCAGTTGGCGATGTCTGAAGCGTAGTTGGCCATGTTGTTGAGGTCTGTAGAGCTGGGAGTCCGAGAGGCTAATGGTCACCGGAAGCTGACGCCACTGCAGTAGGCGATAACAGATGGCTTTCCGACATCAGCCGTGATGCCGATAATGGTGGTGTGTGCAGCGAATGTTTGCGACAACGATGTTGCGGTCGAGATCCGTCTCAAGCTAGTCACGTCAGCTCGCTGGTTGTCCGAGACAATGTGGCAGATTCAGCGAGCTGACTTTCCATCGGGTTGAGGTTCAAATAAGCGAGAATTACGACTTGTGAAGCAAAGTGGACAGAGGATGCGTTTGCGATACGGAGAATCAGGGATGCATACCGTACAAACTCGCGAAAATGGCAAATGCTACGTGGGGCTCCAAGGGTTCATGTGTGGGGTTTGATCGGTCAGATCATGCCCGGCCTCGACGCTCGCGCTCTTTTGACGCTGAGGCACGTGACGTGAGGCCGACTCGACAACCGTGCGCAGGATGGAAGGCTGGAGCCCACCTATAGGATCCCGCGCATCGCACCCCGGCGACACCACGTAGCATTTGCCAATTTCGCGAGTTTTTACGGTACCATGGAGGTGGTGATTATCACCGTTGATTTGCGAGGGTAGGTGGCAGGTTCCACTGTTCCAGGCCTGGACTGCCCCCACACATGCAGCTGGTGTGGGTCAAACCAAACGGCACCCTTGCTCGAGCCTTGGGCCCGGGTGCCCGGGTGCTTCTCCGTTTCAATTCCGCAACTCTCGAATCTCCAGGACACCCGACATCTCAACGAAGGACGATACCAAACACTTTTGTTTCGCTTCACGGCATTTCAATCCTCCTATGCAGATACAGTCCCAACATCAACACTTGCACGGACAGCACGCGCCAACTAGTAATATGGGTCAAGCCAAGGAGGCGGCTGTTCCCCTCAGCGCCAAACGGAAAGCCGAAGTTCTTGACGATGCAGCGCACAAGAAGCCAAAGAAGGGAATGGCTTTCTCAGGAGCTTCAGACTTTGCTTCGAACATAAACTCTCTGCTTGGCGTCGCGGAAATCAACAAGGCATTGGCAGGAAATTCATCAGCCACAAGCACCACCGGTCGAACCCGCCCGTCGAAACTGAAGACAGACGAGCTATCCAACGTCAGAATCAAGCGCAGAGAATCTTCCCGTGCAGAAGCCAAGGATGGCAACAAACTTACCCTCAAATCTCCTCTCGGCACAGAACAGAGCAAAGCGGAGCTCGAATTCGCGCGCCGCAGAATGGAGTCCAAGGCGCGCCTCTACGCCGCAATGCAACGAGGCGATTATATCGGGCGCGAGATCGGTTTGGTTGATTTCGACCGAAAGTGGGCCGAATCGCAATCGAACAAACCCGCCTCACCCTCCTTGACATCCTCAGACTCCGAAGCCTCTGCAGAGGAAGACAACATCGACACGACGCTACACGAATACACGGACGAATTCGGCCGTGTCCGACATCTCACTCGCGCCCAAATCCTCCGCCTAGAAAGGCGTTCTGCCCGCGCCGCAGCATCTGCGACCGAACTCGAGCACATGTCGGCCCGCCCCAAAGCTCCCGAGGAGCTCATCATCGGCGACGCGGTGCAGGCGGCAGCTTTCGCGGCGCAGGACTTGGAGATCATGGAGACATTGGCGCGCAAGCGCGACCGGAGTCCGACGCCGCCAGATCCAACGCACTACCAGGCGGACAAGGAGATTCGGACCAAGGGGGTTGGATTCTACAAGTTCAGCCAAGAGGAGAAGAGGAGGGAAGAGGAGATGAAAGCGTTGGAAGAAGAACGAGTCAGAACGGTGCGACTAAGAGAAGAAAGGGAGGAGCAGAAGAAGAGGAGGAAGATGGAGATCGAGGCGAGACGGAAAGAACTCGCCGAGCGGAAGGCGAACAAACTGACGGAGACTTTCCTGGATGGCTTGGGGAAGGATCTAGCTGGGGGCGGTTAGGATGCACAACCACGAGATCAACCTTGCGTGAAGGTTAGGGTCCGGCTGAAGAGGACTTGCGCACCACAGGACAAATTGCCCCGGCTTGTTGCCGGAACTCAAATGACCCCGTGGATGAAGCTCGGTCCGGCGTGTCTGGCCCCCAGGAAGCAACGTCCCGTGGTGCTGAGAGCAATATCCGCTCTGGGAATGCGCTTGGTCGTCTACCTTCCGAGGATGACGAGTAGGACGCCGGGATTTGAAAAGCGGACTTGGTGCCATCAACCCTTTTGGGGGGTGGAGCAACGCTACAACGCTAGATCCTAGGATCTTTACAAGCTGGAGCTTAAATACGGATTGTCCGCTCGCCATAAGGACATACCTTTACGACAATGGGCTAGCAGCATGCTTCGGCGTAATGTCATTTGTTGATAGTTCGCGATATCCAGATAAGTTTTCCAACCGAATTCCCTCATGCATGCGTTGTGCAGCACTTGTGTTACCGTTACGATACAGTGGCGACTCGCTTCGTCCAAGGCATGAGATGCGTACTCAGGTTAGCGCTCTGCCTACCCGTAGAGAGATCTGCTGTCAATTTACCCAGCTCGAGTACGACGCTTGCCTTTTTGTCTTCCGAGTCGAGCTCCGCCAGAATATGAGGATAACTTAACTGAAACCTACCTAGGTAGGAGGTGTCATTAGACGATGCCGAGAGCGCGACTCTGCGTTGGAAGCAAGTGGTGCCGCGGAGTCCAGCTATGGGCGGCGGAACCCCTTCCAGGTTAGTTCATTGGCTCAAGAGCCACCCACACATCCTTTACAGACCGGAGATTCGGGCGGTTGCTGGACGCGCCAGGCAGGTAGCGAAGTCCCAATAGGTTTCTCCGTAAGGTAAGCATGTACGAATCTCGGGCTTGTTCGGTTCATATTGCTGAGCTGACATGAAGTGGGACTCATCAGAACTTGAAGCCATAAGAGCCTCTTGCACAACCCCAATCATCATTTCTCGCCTATCGTTGCTTCAACCTCGTGTGAACGCGCTGCCCAAGCTACTTGAAACGCTGCTTCCAAGCGACAGGATCTCATGGCTCGTCGAACTTCCGAGAGTATGGACTGGGACTGGTACCAGTCCAAGCCCGCGGAGGTTGATCGTAGGCCAACGTTACTATTCGTGACAATCCCCGCCCCAGCCCAAAACGCATCTTGTTACCCCGTGTCAGGGGAGCATAATATCCATTAGTGGTGTATCCTGTGCCTTTGGTCTCGTTAGCTTACACTAGGTATTTGCAGCGATGAGCCCGTTTGCTAAAATCACATTGGGCCGCCTCCAGGCCCAGTCGACCCTCGACAGCCCCCACGAGTCGACCAAGCACGACTCCTCTCGACCTCGAAGTCAAAAAGGGGCGCCGCCGCCACGCGCACTTTTTGGTCCGGTATTGTTTTCTACTTCCCAGAAACGGATCGACCCGAAAGCCGACTACCGGTCACTACGACGGGCTAGCCGCATGCGCAAGAGCTCCCCGTCCCTGTCGCCAGACCGACATCAAGAGCCTCTCCCGAAATCCCGTGCTCTCCGATTCCTACTACTACCGTCGTCATCACCCGATCTTCAAACAGAATCCGCGAACGCAGGTGAGGAGTCGGGTGACGACTCCAGCATAATCAACCGCAATGTCGGCCGTCCGAGGGGCCGTGCAAGGGGGAGAAATCCAGAGGCGGAGAGCACTGAGAGCCATGACAGTGAATATGGAACGGAGCGCTTTGCGACTTACGCATCTCGTATAGCCCTGGTATCTCTTTTCTTCGGTGGAAATTTCTATTACAAGGTGGTGTCAGTCAGCAGCTCGTTACTTTGGGCCTATGTTGTCTTTATCTTTCCCGGAAAGAGAAACGGACGATCCGGTCCCAAACCCATCCGCAGCGTTAGGGGACTAGTCGTCAAGTTGGTCGTGGGGTTCGTCAAGGTTTCTTGTTTTATAATGCTGCTGGCCTGGTGTGCAATGCTCAGCCCCCTCCAGATATTTGTTCCAACACTCATGGATGCTTGGATCAAGTATTCAGAGCATCCCCCCTTCAGGTCTTTTGAGGTTCTCTACGAGCCCAGCGATCCTGCTGTCGAGTAGGCTCAACCTGCGTCCCTGCTTTCTCTTGTTCCTGTTAAACTCACACCACCAGTGTTTTCGCGATACACGGACTTGGGTCAAACCCATCGAGCGCTTGGCGATACGTTGGCAACGGGACGGAAGTCTATTGGCTGCGAGACCTGCTTCCCCAGCAAGAAGGACTCTCGAGGATAAGGGTAATCATGGTCAATCACCAGACGAGATGGGACTCTCACTCGCCTGAGGTTGATTTCGATGTCGTGGCAAAGATGATGCTAGATGATATCGAGCATCTGCATCATGTGGGCACACATAGCGCCCTGTCTTTCGATTCAGTCGCTGACAGCAGCCAGAAACACCGTCCCATTATCTTCATTGCCCACAGTTTTGGTGGATTGCTCCTGAAAAGGGTACACCCTCCCTTCAAAGGTCCTCCTCTCCTTGAACCATGAGGCTAACAAGGCCTCCCAGAGCCTGGTCCTCGCCAATACCGTATCAAAACACATTGCTGAAATGACGAGGGGCATCCTCTTTCTCGGAGTCCCACACTACGGTACCAGAGCCGCATTTGTTGCTTCCATCCTAGCCTGCACAGCGTACTGGCGCGGGTCCTCAACAACCATGCTGGAATACATGGCTGAGGGAAGCCTGGCCGTTCACAACCTTGATAACGAGTTCTACGAGGCATACGCAAGGCCTGGCGCAAATCGCGACTATACGGCACCGTACATATGCAACTTTCTGGAAATGCGGCCTGAGCACGTTGGAAAACTGTCACTGAGCCCGGTGGGTAATTTCTTCAAATAAATGGTGTGCGTTAACTTTGCTAACACGGTAAACAGACAGTTAACATCAAGTCCGGAACGCTCCGCTACGCCAAGGATGTGCTGCTCGACACCGACCACCGGGGACTTAATAAGTTCCGGTCGTCGGATGATCCAAACTTCGAGAAGTTCCTGAGGCACTTCCGCCAGGCGTTTACTTGGAAGGGACATGACTCCCGGCAGGGGGCTTCACGCCGCTGGCTGACCGGAATGTAGACCGTCGACGAGGACCCCGTCCTCCGCACGTCGCGAAACCCCTTTATTATCGGCCGCGCCCTTATACCCGCCCAAGGCACCAAGCGGCAGAGTGCTCTTGATAAACCCCCGAAATCAGCCAGATGCCCGCTTCACGACGACCTGCTCTCGAGTTCCTCCGTCTCCTCTTCTCTCCACATTCGGCGCCTCAAACTCTGCGCGACTCCGCCTCCACGACTGATACCCATACTGGAATTGCCATAACCAGACAATAACCGCGATCCCCGCGAGCCCGACAAACAAACCCACAATAACCATAATAATAGCAACCGAGAACCACGCGCTCACAGCCACGAAGACGTCCCACCGACCACCAACACCCTCGGCAGCACCACCACTACTCGTGGCAGCGAGCACGACCTGCATAGCAGACAAGATCAAGGACAGCGTCGCGAACAGAAACACCAACGGCGCGGCGAACTCGTTCAGGAACTGCGTTGTCTGCCAGTACGGCGGCTCGTAATACAGCCTGTGCAGGAAACTTCCCCTCTCCGCCGCGGCCCTCGGCTGGAATAGTCGGACGGCCCAGTTCAGCCAGGCCAGGCGGAGTTGGCCGAAGCGCCATCTGGGAGATACTTGGGCTTCGGTGATGTCGGAGAAGTGCCGGAGGAAGGTTGAGAGTGAGGGATAGGTCATCTCTCCTGTCGGTTGGGCGGCGTGTGAAGAAGACGGTGATGATAACAGTGATGATGATGATGATGATGATGATGATGATGATGATGATAGTATTGGGATGAGTTTCGCCTCCTGGGCTAGGATGAAGTCGGAGTGATGACGGATGAGCCGCGTGTAAGACCGCACGAATCCCAGCACCTCAGCTCGGTGCGGGCTTCCGAGGCTGAGATGCTCGTTCCAGAAGGAGTGGCTGAGCAGGTAGTGCGGTAGCGGCTTGATGTAGACGACACCCTTATTCCAGACCAGGTGCAGACCCGGGTCTTCCGTGAGAACTATCTTGCGGCCCTTCTGGAGCTGTTTGTGGATGGGGTCGATGTTGTGGCTCGACTTGCGAGCGAAGAAGTCGAGGTGCGGATACAGTTCGTCCAATACTGCGCAGGAGAGCTCCTCGCCGAGATGGCTGGCAGCGCCAACATGAATAGCATGATCGGACAGGTTGCTAATCAGTTCATCGGCCTTGGGGAATGGGACCTTGTCAGCGGCCATTTTGACCGTGGTTTATTAAGGCGTGGAAGTATCTGCAAGTACCTAGTCAACTTGACCAGTTGGGTTGGTGTACGATTGGGGAAAGGGGTTAAGGTATTCAGGCGAAGAATAGGATATCTCGTGCGGGGGGTGACCGTATGCAGAAATACGGTAAGGTAAGATAACCATGCACTACTCTTGTCTCAGCTTGCTGCAGTGATACCCAAGCCCTCGGCCCCTTACTGGCAGGGTTGGCAGTAGGGTCGCTGGAAGAGGAATATCAATGTAACTCGAGAGTCCATTGATCACCACACTGCATGCTCTTCCGGCAGGTCACTCAATATTGCAGATTCAGATTCGCATACTTATGGTTCCCGTGCCTTAGAAATTATTACGCTGAAACCACCGTGACGGCAGAAGCAGCTGGTCTTACCTCCAACTCGCCAGATAACTCAGAAAGTCGCTACCCCATAAAAGACTGTATTTTAATATGGTCTGTCCTCGCCCTTGTTGACCTTGTGCTGCGGGACATGGTTACCCACAGTGTTAGATATAATCTCATTACTCCTCGTTCCGGTACTGATTGTAAAACCGCTATCCCTGGCCGCATTCCCCGTTATGTCGCGGGAACTCTGAACACCCAGGCTGCCTTCCCCCGGTCGGACAACTTGGAGGTCCATCTCGAAGCCCGAGGCATCATCGCCCCTGCTCGGACAGGTCCTCTCCCTAATCGATTTGAATATTGAACGGTAGAACGGGATTGAAGCGGCGCTGATGATCACGGCGCATTCCGCGGCGGCCCAGATGAGGAGGTCTGCGGAGATATCTTATTGCAATCAGCTTAGGTCGATGCTTAGAAAGCCCGAAGGTTAAGGCTCACAGGTAAAGTCCGAATGAGGCGGAACCCGTCGAAGCATAATCGTCTTGACGACGCCGGTAGTGGCGGCACTGGTAACACACATCACATTCAATCAGATTAGTACGCAAGTACGTGATGCCCATGAAGCCAGAAAGGGAACACAGCTTCGGCTTTGATCACGCACAAGACACCGAGACTCATCGCGATGCCGACGCCAATCTTCTCGACCCATTTGATGCCTCTCATGGGCAAGAGCAAGAACCACGGGAAGATGGCCAGGACGAGATCCATCGCAGCGGACCAGGCTACTTCTTGATTAGCTAAAGAAAGAGTTCAAAAAGAGAAGCTAAGAACCAAGGCTGTAGACGGGGCACAGCACCTACCGCCGGCGAAAACGGAGTAAAAGATGTAGAACCGGGGCGGCAAGCAGCGACCATCCACAGCCGAGTTCCACAGCTTCTCGGCCGGTTGGCATTGGGCGAGCAGCAGGGCGGCACACGACCACATGACCAGATTGACCGTCGCGAGCACGCTCCAGAGCAGGATCCTGTGCCACCGCTCGTTGGCGAAACGGAAGAGCGTGACGACGAAGGAGGTCTTGCTGACTGCCACGGCGATGATGGCGAAGAACTCTCCGACGTAGAGCAGCCTCCCCGACGCGGTGAGCTCGTCAGGACCGAGCGTTTCGAGGTGTCGCCCGACGCCGTAGTTCGTCGACGCGATGGAGAGCGCGACATACGCAGCGAGAAATATCTGGTAGCACCAAATAAATCCATTAGGTCAGTCAATACTAGCATGCTCTAAGGGGTATAGGCAGTGACAGGTGAACGGAGGAGTCCCCCGTGTATCGATTGTATGTACTACCCATGAGCATACCAGGATGTAATCATCCCAGCCGATTATCTTTCCGTAGTGTTTCTTGCAGGACAGCCGCAGCGTCATGAAGGCGAGGGACATTGCCGCCAAACCCGACATAGAAGCCACGATTCTTGATGCATTGGACTCGGTGTTGTCCATAGGATGAAGGTGGGCAAAATAAGTGGCGAACTGGTCGACTCCTTCCCCGCTCATCAAGAAGGGGGGCGACCGGGTGCTGGGATGGCGAGGCAACGGAATCTGGCGGTTATTAAACTGAGCATTGGGGATGACGCGACCGCTATTTCAATAAGGTACTTTGAGCTGATAAAGGAAAGGCATGGGGAGTTAGAGAGCAATGGCAAGTGGAAGAGCCTATGGTAAAACCCATAAATAAACTGTGGTCTGATGATTCCGCTATGTATGACTCGGACTCTGCTCCACGCGTCATTGACGGTGGCGATTATTACGTCTGTGCTCCGATCTGAGTTCTCTCTCACAGCACCTGTCGCGAAGTTTGTTTGTTCAAGTATGGAGTTCCTATCTAAACAAGCTCATAATATGTTGTTGACTGACGCAGGAATGAGCAGAGGGCCGATGGATGGTAGAATTAGATATCAATGGACCTCGAATTCTTGAATCTTGATTTCAATCAAGCTTCAAGTTCTGATCTCTATACCGTAGGTTACTATGGTACAGATCGCAGTTGACAGGTCTTGCGTATATATAACAGCTTCCGGCAGTAGGTATTGAACATGACTACAATCAGGTTATGTACGTACTTAGGAGATACAATCTTCATTCTTCATATAGATCAAACCCCTTGCTGCGTAAGACAATCACCACGCGTACAAACTACTAGCTTAGTAGTGTATTAGTAGTTCACCCCAAGAAAGGCTCAGTGTGCTACTTCATTTGACACTCTGATAGAAACATTAACGACACACTTTCGCATTACAATTCCAGGCTGGTTAAGAGGTCGACAATACAGGAGGCACCAAGCAACAACCAAGTTATGGCTGTATGCATGCGTACGCGTCTCGAGTGCGGCCGGGGGGTGACATTGAGAACAGGCCGCCAACATTGCTGCCTATAGTTCTCATATAAATACAAACCTATTCACAGTATCTGGAACCAGTTCAATCAGATTGAAAACTGAACTCTACAATCCCCTCCTTTCCAGCCCTACAGCAATGCAGTTAGACGTCCTCACAAGCACCGCGGCGGATCTCAGGCATCTCCTAGAAGCCGGCAAAACCAGCAGTGTGCAGATCGTACTCGCACATCTCTCCCAGATCGAGCGACACGAGCACAAGCTGCACGCCTTCATCTCGGTCGCGCCCCGCGAGTTGCTGCTTGCGATCGCGGCAGACCGGGACGAGGAACGACGCCGGGGCCGCGCACGAGGCCCGCTGCACGGGATTCCGGTCGTGCTGAAGGACAGCTTCATTACCGCCGGCTCCGAGCTCGGCATAGGTACCACGGCGGGCTCGCGCGCGCTGGTGGGCGCCAGGGCGAGCGCCAACTCGGCCATCGCGCAGCGGCTGCTTGACCAAGGGATGATCATACTCGGCAAGACGAATATGACGGTGCGTAATCCTGCGACTGTGTGCCCACTAAGGGAAGAGGGACGAGAGATGACTTAAAGGAAAGACGATCTCTGCTCGCAGGAGTTTGCAGGTATGAAGATGGCCGGGATGACTCCCGGATGGTCCTCAGCCGGCGGCCAGACCGTGTCGCCGTATGTCGGACCCATCGCAGAAGACGAGACACTCCTAGGGCACACGGTGAGTGAGGCATCCTCAGCCAAGGAGTCAGGTTTTGGTCGTTTTACCAAAGAAGGATGGGCTATCTGCTCGTACTTACTGAGTCACTTAGAACCCAGGAGGCTCCTCTACCGGCTCCGCCGTTGCCGTTGCGGCGGGCTTCAGCCCTCTGGCAATGGGCACCGAGACCATCGGATCCATCGTCACACCTGCCGTCCGGGCGGGTCTCTATGCGCTCAAGCCGACGGTGGGCGTCCAAGATGTTGGCGGCTTATTCACCCTGACGGATTTCTTTGACAGTCCCGGGCCTATGGCGAAGTGCGCGGAGGATGTTTTGGTAATGGCCGAGATTCTGCTCGGCCGATCGTTCTCCCGCGCGGGACTGGGGACCTGGGAGGGCTTGGCAGTGGGCTTCCTGGACCCGGACGTGTGGAAGATGGCTGAGGAGACGTGTCGGCAGCATGAGGGTACTGCTGAGCAGATGGTGAGCCCTTTCTATGACTACTACTAGTAGTACTATGATTGGTGATATTGACTTTCCCTTTCCCAGAAGGCGGAGTACGAAGCTGTCGCATCGAAGCTTGAGGCACTCGGTTGTGCTGTCAAGTATCCCATTCACCTGGTCGATGCCAGCGAGCTAACAGTTGATGGCATGGATGCCATTATGCCCATTGCTTGTAAGCGTCTCTCCGCCACGGCGCCGACGGCAGCGGTAACTACCAGATAGATTTACTACAGAGAATGCTAACGAGTAGTAAGTCTGGGAATTCAAAAACATCTGCATTCCCCGATTCCTCAGCGCATTCGACCAAAGCCCTGTGCGAACACTAGCCGACATCGTGGCATTCAACGACGCCCATAAAGACAACTGCCTTCCATCACGTACGTCCTCCTGCCCCTCTCGCCTACAAGTCATCCATCCATCCATCGTAACTGGGGCCAGTCTAACTCTTCAGAAAAATCCTAATAAAAGCGTATACCAACCAAGACGACCTGATCAAAGCCCTCAACAACACAGAAGCTGCCGCGCACATTGAGGTTCTCAAACGAGGCCTCCGGGCGGCTGGCCGTCGCATTCTCGACCAAGCCTTTGACAACGAGGCGGTGGACGTCATCATCGCGCCGGGAGACTGTTCGCTCTGCATCCACGCCGCGGCAGCAGGTTATCCCATCGCTATCGCGCCGCTGGGGCAGCTGCGATACAACGGCCGACCCTTCGGTCTGTGCATGGTGGCCAAGGAAAACAACGAGGAGGTGCTTCTGCGGTTCATGGCCGCGTACGACTCGTCCGGCGTAGGGGGTCGGCGGCCAGTGCCAAGTCTGTAGGTACCTACTGACACAAGACCGACAGACAGGTACCTAATTCTCAGGAGATGGACGCAGAAAGGGAACTGTAGCAGTATCTTAGTAGTCCAATATTCGGCGCAATCACGCAACATCGGCAGTACTATGAACTTGGAGTATGGATGCATCAGAACTACAGCCCATGGCGTGTACATCCAAAGCCGGAACCCCCCTTTTTCCCTCGGAACGCCCAGAGAAACAGAGGCTAAGTAACCTGGTCACTATCATGCATTCCCAATCCGACTTGTCGTCAATTCATACAACGAACTGCTTGCCGCCATTGCCCAGCTATCATACGATTCGTTATCAGAATCGCCAAGGCCATTCCTCCCTTATTCACACGAGACAAATGACCATCCATGCCCATGACATGATATACGCGCAACATAGGTAGGCAGTAGGTACTAATAGCCTCCTCCATTGCTCCTGCGCCCAGGCCTATATCTGATCCCCCAAAACGCCACACCAAAAGTGCAAAGATCTCATGGATATAGTACCTCCCCTAACTCCGAAACAGCCCGAATAAGACGGGGTTGCAGCCGATACTCTTTTTTTTGATGCCGATACCCGAATCCGGAAACCCGAACCACTACCCACACATTCGAAAGGAAGACATAGCGAAGCCTCCAGAATGACATGCTACGTCAGATACCAGATGCATCCACACGGAGTGATATCCGGCACAGGTGCTCCGCCACCTCCTCTGGGAAGAACCATCCCCTGTAGCCTCTCCTCTTCAACGGCGAACGACGACGAGGACGAGGACCGCTTAGTGAGGTCCTTAGTCGACGGCAGCGGCCCCGGCATGAATGTATCTGTCTCAACCAGGTCAACGACCACGGGCCTCCCATCGTGATGACGCACGATCCTGGCCTCTTGGCCCGGACCCTGGATCTCCACCTGCGTGCACTGCGCCATGGGCGCGCCGGACGTCGACACACGGCGCTCCTCCAGCTTGACAACCTTGGGATACGGCGGTGGGGGGAGGGGCACGCTGTCGCCCGTGTCGATCGGGCCGAAGGGTCCTGGCGTCGTAGCGGTGAAGGACGAGGTCTCGGTGATCGTGGATGTCGTGAACGTCGTGGTGGATTCCGTTGACGACCACGACGACGTGGACTCTGGTGAGTGCCCCGCCCCTCGGATCCAGTTGTTCTTGTGTCCGCCGGATGGGAAGCCGGTGGCGAACACAGTGTCGATTCCTCCAGGTGCCGATTGTTCAGTTCCGCCGTCGGGAAATGGGTCGTCACCGTACGACCCTTCGCTAGAGGTTGGCGTCGGACTTGGGCCTGATGTCGTGGATGACGTGGTTGAGGATGATGTCGAAGGCGTCTCTGTGGAGGATGATGTCGCCAACGTCTCTGTCAGGTTGGGCCAGTTCGAGTAACTCGAGTTCTGCTGGGGGAAGATGAACAGCTCGAGATAGGTGTTTGGCCAGTTGCAAATCCAAGGCTTCTCGCCCGGCTGGGCAACCCCTTTGCGCTTGAAGTTGGATATCCCAGCGCTGATAGACGCAACGTGGCGAGCCTGCTGCTGAGAGCTGCCGGACGCATTGAGCAGCCCTTCTGGCAAAATGACGGTTTTGTTGTACGATAAGACCTTGAACCAGGCGGGCCCGCGGTGCTGTTCGAATTTGTCCTCCACCAACTCGAGGGCAACGGACTTCTGTATTAGCGGAGGCTGCTGCCCGTAGGCATACACGTTGTTCATCAATGTGAGTGAATGGTTGCAGTCCAGGGAGGCTAGATAGTCACGGTCGTGCTTGAGAACGGCCAACTGGAGGCCGGAGATGACCTGATTGCACTTCCAGGCTTGCGATAGAGTGGGATCCTGGAAGCACGTGCTCGACACGCGGTTTGTCATGAGCGGCATGCCGAAAGTTCCCGTAGGGAGGGGCTGGAGGTCCGGCGGTGGCGTAGGGATGGGCGAGACGTCAAATGTGGGTTCCCTGCTGGCGTCAGTAACCCTGGCGTGTACCGCGATGGACAAGGAACATCAACGCTTACCAATCTGGCTTCTTGCGCGGCGGTCTGTCATCCTTATCCAGAACGACGCCAATCACAACGCCTAATACTACGGTCATAATGAGCAGCATGGTCCCCGCCAGACACAAGGCCCAGTAGGGAACCACACGACAAGCCTTTCGAGTCATCCAGACTTGCCATTTCTTCAGTGGCTTTCTCTTCTCCGAGATCTCCCCAATATCCGTGTTAAGTCGCCGTACGCTATCGTCAGAGGCGAAGCTACGCGTCGAGTGCCGCGACCTCGGGGAGCCGAAATCCTCTGTCGATTCAAACTCCGGATTCCTGGTGGCCAATCCAATGCCTCCAGCCCCAGGGATAGTGAGAGCGGCGGATGCAGGTGCGGTGACGACGGCAGAAAGGGGCGTGGCCACTCCACGCACAACATCAGGGATGCCCTCCACCGCAGCGGCCTTGCGGAGGTATGCCTCGTCCGGGTACCTGGTGTATGGGGGTAGCTGTTCCGTATGACCATCGGGGCCAATGATGTCGGCAACATCTTCTCCCTCGGGTCCAATCCGTCGCTGGTACTGATCGGGGAGGCCGTGGAAGCCAAGCGGGATCGGCGGTGCCGGAGTCGCAGATGACTCGATACCGTCAGTTTGGGGGTAGAGGCTGTATGGATGGCTCGGGCCTCTCGGCCCGCTATACGATGAAACCGAGGCTGTTGTCGTTATTGTCGTTGTCGTGCTCAATGTTCGCGCGAGCCTCACATTCTGCGGATACATCTGGTAGGGATGCGATGGCGCGGACGGCCCTTGGTATGGGCTGTCGGAGGGGTGGTACACGGTCGACTCGGTCGAGTTTGTCGCTTGCCGCGTCAATCTTGTATGCTCCTGGCGCGACGACGAGTTCAGAACTAGCTGGAATTTGGGCGTACTCGGGCGTTGGGCGGCCCGCGACGTTGGCCCCGGGCTGTCCTCGCCAACGATGGTGGATGAGCCCGAGGCGAGGGAGGGTGTAGATGGTTCCGTCCCGTTCGTTGCATACGTTGGCCGAAACCCATCGGCGACCATGCCCCCGGCGGCGAGCTCATAGTCTTCATCCAGGGACCCCAGGGATATCCGTACCGAAGTCCTTGTCGACACCCTCTGCTCCAGGTCGCTAGGCTTATCGTTCGTCGGCGCCATGTCCGGACCACACGGAGTCTACCCCAATGACTGTTCCCCTCCAGAGAATAGGCCGTCGGGCCGCCAACTCTTCACTGTCGGCCAGCCGCTTCCTCCTCAATCATCGACGCCCTGTGCTACCCGTTCTCGCTCGTGAACAGGGGGACACTGTCTACGAGTGCTCTACCGGGAGTCGTCGCTCGTCCGCTCGTCCGCTCCGGAGAGTTCTAGTTCGGAATTTCGAGCGCGAATTTGGGAGGTGCAGGGGATACGGATACTTGGCAGGAAATTCGTGCTTCGGCTGAAATGGGCACGCATCAGCGCTGAACCTCCGCAGCGCATGCAAGAATCTCACTCCGGCCAAGGCACGGGAAACAGCCAGATGAGGTGCACGGAACCTTAATTGAGAGAGTCGCGGACATTCAGGGACAAGAGTCTCGATTGGTTTCGGACTCGGCAAGGGGGCTGCAGACTACGCTGTCATTGGCTGGAGCTGCTAAATAGTGGGTCTAGTTTTCGGCCCCATTGCCTAAGCGGAGCCATCCTGGGGCACTTGGCGCAGCGACCATGCGGCAACAAGGGATCAAAAAACATGGCGCTTGGTGGGGAGAGGGTGTCCAGTGCCGAGAGCTGCCATTCAACATCTTGGTCCGGAGGCACGTGGGAGGGTAGACCCAGACCCTACGAAGGTACGGAATACATACTACATAACTATATAGTAGTGTACCATAGCTGAACCGTATACCGAATGCTGTAGTCCACGCTCGTACGATTTCGTAACTGTCCTCTAATCGTGCTGCATTCGACAATCGGGGCCGTTCATCAAGCGCCGCTCAGAGGGCCCGCGAGGGGATTCGGTTCTGCGGCCAAGTTCTGTTGCGTAGTCTCAAGTGAGACCGAAGAGCTATGCACATCGCACGACTCGAAATACGCCCTCGTAGGTCGTCTCTTACAAATGCGTTAACTGTTAAGTTAGTACGGTATTTATCCTTCGATGTTGTACCATGTTGTAGTCTGGTAGTGGTGCGGTGAAAGAAAAGCAACGTCTCACTAGAGTAGGTGTCTGCTAATATACGACCGGCAATGCGGTAGTATTATCTTCCACCCATGGGATTTGCCGGTGATTTAAGTCTACCGCCCAGCATATTTGAGATATATAATGGAATCGGAGGACGAGCATGCTTAGGCCCACTATCGTACATACACTACACATGTAGAGAGCATTTGGTCTCCCACAAGCGATAGAATGCCGAGGAGTCAGTAGGTAGGGAAGTCGAGGACTATCGGAACACTGCTGTCTGTCGTAATGGCCAGCCTCTTGAACGTGACGGGAAACGGATTGTGCCGGACGAAGACCCCGACTGATCGAACCAAAGCTTCCCTGTGCATTGTAATCCTGGAGATATGACAACTCTGATCTAGCAGCTCGCTAGCACGCGCTTCAACCATGGTGAGCGAAATTCAAGATCGCGGGGTGCATGTTCGAATCACCAGCTCCAGTTGGTCTTTGGTCGTTGTGTGGACCTCCCTGCAGCTGATACTGACCTGAGCCTCCACAGCAGAGAATGCAGGCTACCTAGGTACGTGAAGTCGTAATCAACAGTACAGTGTACTGCCAGTGCTCTTGTGGTGGGGATACTTCATGTCTTTCTGAGCCTCGATATTCCGCTTCCATTCGAGCAGGAAACGAGTACACACGAGAGCGACCTCTACACAACTCCATTGTCGATTCACTGAACCAAGTGAGCGATTCTCAGGGACTATGTTTTCTGGGCGGAAGATACCGGTCATGCCCGCACTAGGTGTGCGCAATGACTAACTCAGGCTCCTCGGCAGTTGCATTCCAGTGTTTTATATAGTACTGTATTAACGTTGGACCCACTTTAAGGACAGCATGAGTTCAGGTTGGCTCAGTTGAAGATATTCGTATTTGTTGGTCATTCGATTTTCTAACCTCCTCATGGTAAAAATGGGTAATGTATCAGCACGGTCCCGCGTCTCTATTGGAACAGTAATGGTTCGGCATGCCGATGATGGGCAGAGAATTCGTTCCAAGCTCCTTAACTAAGCTCGCTCAGGTATGTACCGCAGCCCCACAATTTCCTCCGCGCGCTTCTCATCCCCGAGTCATCACGTTGCGTCGTACCGAAAGTGCCCAAAATGGTTGGACGCCAACCGTCATTCCGACCGACAGCCCCGTTGGCTTCTTCCTACCCACCATCATGAACCCTCGAATCCGTGATCCCCAGCCCAGATCTAGCAGTTCGGCTTAGTCTCGCAGCCTCACTTCAGAAACTCGCCTCCATCGCAGAAGACCTGCCGCCTTTCAACAGTCCAGGGCGAACCGTGGGGTGCCAAGTCCCTCTTACGTGAGGCTGAGGTTAACACCACTGGATTCAATAGACTGACTGTTGATTCGCCTCGTTTATTCCGTTGCTGAGAAGTGAATGTCTCCCCGGTTGTTCCGGGCCGAATCGCGCGACGTTTAAAGAGTGCTACTATGTCCCGCTGGGCCTTTAGCAGCTATCCTCACTGGCATCTCCGTATCTGGAAACCGTGTCCCTGCGCATCGAACTTCCTCATAGTGGCCGTGTACGGAATACACAAGACGGCTTCGGACGGGTACTGGCATCCTGACCGCCAAGTTGTGATGTAGTGAGCAGTCACTGCATCTTTCCGTGACCTGTGGGAGCTCCTCCGCATAGCAGGGCGGTGGCTTAGAGGTCGTGATTGCAGACGCACCATGCGGGAGAGAGGGGTCCTGCGAGACGGAAGACCAATCGAACTGTTGCCCGGTTTGTATGCCGGACAACCCACCCTCCGATCTGCTCGACCTGTGAGCTCTCTCAACAAATGAGGCTCTCTGGCTCTGGGACGAATCAAGCAAACAGGATCTGCACTCCAGCGTCAAGTTTGATGATAGTGTGATACCCGAGCCTTGCACGATTCTGCGCCGGAATAGGTACTCGTCGCCTATTTCAACAAGCCCTGGATTATTGGTGAAACCAGCTATGCATCCTGCAGCCTCGGGCGCACCGGTACGCCCGACTCGGCTGCACGCCGGTGAACCAAGAGCAGGATACGGCGCGTCTTCCCATCCACGCACTAACATGGCGAGCTCGCGCACGCTACCTACGTTTGCACTACTCATATTTACAGGGCGAGACCCCTCTTGACTCCGTCGATCTTCTCTCTCTCTCTACTCTTTCCAAACCTCTCTGGACTTGCCCGTGGTGTCGTCGCCCTGCAACTCCTCCTTCTCCCATTGGGGCCCAGATATTGTCCCTCGTCGGTGTGGGCCTAGCATTCTACTCCTAGTCCTTGCTTTCGCCGAGACAGCAAGGCTGTCGGCTCCACCAGGCGTCGGAGACTGGGCTCAGAGACCCATATTTAGACCTAGAGTCCTCAACTTCTTATTGCCATCATGTCAGTCCGCTCCGGTAGCTCGGGCTCCAGCTCACGGCGCTCTGGCTCGTACAAGGAGGTCAGGATCGACAGCTTTCCTCGCAAGGCGCTGGTCTGGTTCTCCTGCCGAGATCCTCGAAAGGCCAAGAGCGTCCGTCGCTACTACGACGATGATTTCGACACTCGGAGTACCGGCTCGAGCGGCTCCATGTTCTCATGGGCGAGCGGAACGAGCCAGGTATACCTGGTCGAAACGACGGCCCCGTACTGGTACTGGGAAGACGACTCGTCGGATTCGGTGTCGTATTCGTCCTCCAGCAGCAAACGGAGATCGTCAAAGAGAGGCCGGTCCTCGCGCACATCCTACCGCAGCAACCCTACCGGCACATGGGCGCGGCGCGCCACTGTCGAGGATGACGAGGATGACGACGACGACAGCAGCAGCGATGGAAGCGTGGATGATTACGGCGGCCAACCCGCCGCGCCCTTCCCGCACCCCGGGATGATGCCTCCTCCTCAGGGTCCCCCACCGGGCGCCTTCCAGCCCTACTACGGCATGCCGCCGTATTCGCATCACCCTACTCCAGGACCAAGTCCGCCACAAGGCTACCCCCCTCCTCCGCCGCCGCCGCCAGCGGCCGGTATGCCACCACCACCGCCGCCCGGAGGCCATTTTGTGCCCGGTCGCGGCGGTATTCAGGTGTTCGTGGATGGTTGAGAGATGATTTGCGCCTAGTGCAGTCTCATACATCGTCATTGTATGTACGGTACGGCTTATGGTCTGGCGTCTACGGTGTTTCAGCAGCTGGCGTTTCGATTTGGTTTTGTGTGGTTCCCGCATACCACAACCCCCTATCACACCCCCCCCAGGCTCGTCCGGACAAACAGGACGGATGATGATTGATTTTGGTGTGGATGCCAGGTTCTTCGGTTCCCAAAATACTCTCACTTTTTCCGATGAGCAGAAGACGTAACTAGCATAATGAGATATGACTTCTCTTTTGCTGCGCTCACACACGGGAAATGCAGATGCCGATGCCGACGATTCTGGCCTGCGATTGACCTAACCACTGTCTATCGGGTAGGTACGGATAGGCATAGCGTTGTGTCACCTTAAGGTAGGTATGGTTCGTTTCCCTGAGCAGCGCCGTCGGTCAACATGAGCGGTAAGTGGTGTGAGTAAATCCAATTGTGCCGACCCCTCCAACTGTGCCACATTTATACTGCACGGTTCGTCGGCGGATGCTCACATGCAGTGATCATGGCGCTTCCTAGCTTCCATTCCTTTCTCCGCGGCTAGGTGCTGAGTAACCGATAGAAGTCAGCATCCTATTTTGGTGTCTCTACTTCAAGATGGACCAAGCACACAATGCACGAATCCTGGCTTCGGTCCTAACCAACCCAAAAAGACTCCCCTAGGCTGCCAATTTTAGATGCCCGACGGTTTCCCAATATGCTGGCGCTCAAAAACAGAACAGTGACCATACATGAGGTGGTCAGGGTTTACCGGTTTGGTGCCAAATCAGCACCGCGACGCGCCACAGCAAAGGCAACTCAGCACACTGACCTGGTGTAAACGGACTGAGATGAGGCAGCCCTGCGATCGATCCGGGCCATGCCGGTTGATAGGTACATAGAAGGTTTCCGGAACAAGGCGGCCGGCCGGATATGATTCGTCAGTCGGTCCGCGGACGAACTGCTCCTCCGGGAGGGCGCCTCCGTTCGTTCCAGTCCACTATCGGGTCTTCCGGCGGCGGCTCCACAAGGCTGGCCGCTAAAGCCCCGCCTGCCGGATCGGGGTTATAGGGACGAGCGGCATCTGTCACTGAGGTAGACACATCCATGGATACACTAGTCTACCTAGGTACCTTAGTAGAGTGTGCGCTGTGTGGGCAGCAAACTACGCAGCTCATGGAGAATTTGAAGCCACCTAGAGATAGGGGTAATATTAAAAAGTCCTGTGCGCTGTCTAGAATCAAGGAAAGGTACCTTACGGTATCAATAGGGGCAGATCGATGGGCGAAGGAAGCAATGGACAGCAAGGTACTCCACATTTCAAGATCCCTCGCCTTCCATGCATACAGTACATACAGTACATGTCCGCTGCTCACCGCCTCATGGTCCGCGGTGTTCTGACCTATTGGCGCTTACCTGACATGCTGCGGTACATACATGCGCGGTGCAGATCGATTCATGTCCATGCACAGATGCTAAGCCGATGAGGCCTCTCTATTGGGCGTTTTGGTCGCGCGTGTGATACCTACCGTAGGCAGCTATCTCTGGCACGTCCACTTGAGCTTGAGTGCCTTTCCAATGGCCCGCAGTGGTGCCTAAGACCCGAAGAATCCATTCATTCCAATGACCGAGTTTTTATCTCTTGTAGATCCCATTCCACGCATGAGCAAACTCATCGCTTCGGCGAGGAGCGAAAGGAAAAGCTGTCTGTCCTCATTCCTACAATGAATGAAAGGGAAGGAATTCACAATCGTTGTTGACATAACCGGGTCCTTGTTGGCGTCCTAGAGACATCGGCCATGACACATGCGGGGTGAATTTAGGTTGTGGGGGAGGCGTCCTCAGCCCGTAACGAATCCTCACTCGCTGGAAATACGCCGCACAGAATTCGAGACTGGAAGATTTTAGCATGTGCTTGTGTGGCTCAGCCGGCCAGTGGCCGTTGTCATCTCCATTACTCGGAGGGAACCGCTTCCCCGGGTCGGCCATGGCCGTCTTTCGTAGGCTGGGCGACCTCTAGACGTGGCCATGCAACATCGGGTGCAATGCAGCCAAGGGCAAGAGGCGATGGGCTGTGTTCAGTCCCACAACCAACAAAGCCGCATGAGTCCTCGCGTCCTCGGATGCCTCCCCCGTAACCCCCATGTCTTGTTCCAAGGCAGCCTTGTGGAGATGGAAGATAAATGGCGACTTCGTAGGGCCGGAGAGGACGGCCTTCGTCTTCGGGTGGTGGATCATTCAGAATTGACTTGCAGCTCCTTTATTAACGCAGTCAGCATCCTGCCGTGGCAGCATCCACTGTCGACTAAACCATAAATATCAATAAATCACCTGCTCTCGAATTCCTCCGTTATCTCCAAGCTGTCGCTCCTTGGAGTTTCACCGACATCACTAGTACTACACGGCCGCACCCTCATCCACCTTTTGGCATCCTGACGATGGAGGCCGTTCCCCCTTTACCATCAGGAGAAACTGGGGAGGGACTCCCTACAGCCGCTCCTCAAAATGCGCTTCTTGAGTTTTTCTTCCCTGGCTTCGGAACATTCGCTTTGGCCGTCAACAAATATCTGCATATCGATCTGAATGTGTACATCCCCGTGGTCCTGCTCTTGAGCGCTCTCACCTTCGCATGGCGCTACTTCAGCGAGTACTTCTCAGGCCTGGTGGAATCGCATCTGATGTCTGTCGTCGACATCCGGCCAGACGATGAGATCTACAATATGCTCATGGCCTGGGTGGCTAACCAGCGCTTTTCCCAAGGGGCGCGCCGCTTCGTAAGTCCTGCCACTCCTTGCGGATTGCCCAGGCCGCCTCATAAAGAAGTTCCAGCTGACATTCTCCGCAGGTGGTGAACACCAATCTAAATTCCCGGTCGTGGTACTTATGGCGGTGGGATGATGATGAGGAGGCTGAGGAAGAAGAGCAGGCGGTTGACAGCCGGAAGAAGAAGGCTCTAGCTTACACCCCGACTTTCGGTAGCCACTGGTTCCTGTACAAGGGCCGCATCCTCATTTTTCGGCGGACGCAAAACACCCAGCAGTCGGCCTTCCTGACCGTGAGCGAGCGCGAGGAGATCAGCATCTCATGCTTTGGCCGGAATCCGTGGATCCTCAAGGAGCTTCTGCACCAAGCCCGAGAGGAATATATGAAGCGCGACGAGGCGAAGACGCTCATTTACCGGGGCACAACCAAGAGCGGAAGCAGTGAGCCTCAGTGGCAGCGCTGCATGGCGCGGACTTCGCGGCCCTTCTCTACCGTGATCCTGAACGAGAAGGTCAAGCAGGAGCTGATCGACGATGTGACCGACTACCTGAATCCGGCCACACGCCGGTGGTACTCGAACCGCGGCATCCCCTATCGTCGCGGTTACCTGCTCTACGGGCCCCCAGGTACGGGCAAGTCCTCGCTCAGTCTCGCGCTTGCGGGCTTCTTCAAGATGCGCATCTACATCGTCAGCCTCAGCTCCGTCACTGCCAACGAGGAGAACCTGGCCACGCTGTTTGCCGAGCTGCCGCGCCGCTGTGTCGTTCTGCTGGAGGACATCGACACAGCGGGCCTGACTCACACCCGGGAAGATGGAAACCAGGGCGGTGACAACGGCAATGACAACGACAACGAAACGAACAGCACGAACACCACGCGCAACTCCCGCCTGCCCCCAGGAGCCACCCCCAACCCGAACCCCAACAATAACAGCGGCCGTCTCTCGCTTTCGGGTCTCCTGAACATCCTCGACGGAGTCGCATCTCAAGAAGGCCGCGTGCTGATCATGACGACTAACCACATCGACAAGCTCGACAAGGCACTCATCCGTCCGGGACGAGTGGACATGATCGTCAAGTTCGACCGTGCCGACACCGAGATGATCGCCTCGCTGTTCAAAGCCATCTACGCGCCCCTCGAAGGGGACGACGCTCCCTCCCCATCCTCGGCTCCTCCCGCCTCCTCGTCACGGGCGCTTTTCCAGTTGGAGAACACACTCAAGACCGCCGTTCCAAACCTCACCCCCGAGCAGGAAAAGAAGAAGGAGGCCGAGGCGGCCGAAGCGACTCGAAAAAGGGAAGAGACTGTCGCCAAGGTGAATGTCTTAGCAGAGCAGTTCGCCGCGAAAATCCCGGCACACGAATTCTCGCCGGCTGAGATACAGGGGTTCTTGCTCAAGAATAAGAGGCATCCGGAGAAAGCTATTGAGGGCGCTGAGCAGTGGTACGTACTAGCCAACCTTTACTTACAGGGCCCTGAGTTGCTGACATTGTTTGATTTAGGGTCATCAACACGAGGAAGGAGAAGAAGGAGAGGGAACTAAAGGAGGCAGAGGAGAAGAGGAAGCAGGAAGAGGAGGAGAAGAAGAAGGAGGAGGAGGAAGAGAAGAAGAAGAAGGAAGAGGAGGAAAAAGACGAGAAGAAGGGAAAGAAGAACAAGAAGGGGAAGAAGGACTCGCGGAAGAGCAGGAAGTCGTCGTCCAAGAAGAAGAAGGCTGGCAGCGACAGCGAGGATGGCTCTGGGTCTTCGTCATCGTCCGACGATGCCGAGAGCGACTCCGAGTCTGAGAGGGAGAAGGAGAAGGAGAAGGAGACCAAGAAAAGGAGCAAGCCTGCAGCCGCCGCTGCTCTCACCCCTGCCGCTGACACCGCCGCCCCTGCAGAGCTGAAGCAGGCTGACGCGCCCGAAGCCAAGGCGGATCCTGTCGTCATCGTCCCTACCATCACGGTTGACACGGACAAGGCTAGGGAGGCCGCCCTGGGGGCGCAGAAGACGACGCCGGGAGTTGATTCGGGTTACGGCACCCCGTGATGGCTACCGGTTATCGGATCATGATTGCGTATGCAAGCAGGCGTTTGGTTTCGGGGCTGTGCGGATTTTTCGGGGCGGATCCTTTTGGGAATCGTTACATCAGAAGGCGTTAGGAAACGGGATGGTTAGATTGGACTGTACTTTGGCACCAGCTGTATTCCAGGACACGAGTAAACCGAGACAAAATCCAACTTGATAACAGCGTCTCCCATGCATCTACGCGCGAGGACATCGGACCTGCTGGTGAACTGACTTCTTGAATTCCCGCCCGCTGAGCCCGCCGGCTGACCTGAGATCGGGATCTTCATCGTGATTCGGCAACTGAGTCTCACAAGCCAAAGCTCCGGTTCCAGTTCGCCGCCGCTGCTCAGCCACGCAGACGCGGTCGCACTTCCACACGGCGGGAGCCGTTATCCCCGTTCCTGCAGCATCGCGACCCGTCGACGAATGGAATTGCGGAACCGAGTATTTTCGGTGGGGGCGGTTGAGCCCCGCTGACCTGGACCCTAGGGTACGTATGTAGATGTAAGTAACATCGAAACTGGAACCTAAAGGGTTCCCGGCCACCACGCATTTGTACGGAATTCACAGTCCCTCAAAAAGACGATATCGAAGCCGGGATCACGTACATACGATAATGAGTGCATTAGAAACTTGGGCATAGGCTGAGGTGCTTTAAGTAGCGCCGGTAGAGTTGTGGCATTACCTTACCTACCAGGTACCTAAGGAATGCAGTCATGTCAGAAATGGAAGGGGACAGTGCGAATAGCTGAACACTGTCGGATTGCCCAACAAATTCTCTGCAACGCCTAACCAGACTATTCAACGGCACGCCTGATGCAGTGAGACTGACACCTGCCTGGATCTTTGGTAGAGTGTGTCTGCAACTCAGGTATCAATATCCTATACAGGTCGGACCCTGGTCGGTTCCAGTTTGCTCATCACCGAAAGCACAATCGGGACGGACCACTGGAGGCAAGAGACGTGGGCGGGCCTGGATCCTGTGGCCGGACAGCAACCATTGGAACCCTGAACTGGGCTGATCGACTTACACTTCTTTTGCTCCTTTTCCTTCGCCACCGTCTGCCCTTTATTCTCGCGTCTGGGCCCCAGCAGCCCACATACGTTAGTATTGTCTGTTCCGTCCTCAACTATTGTTTCCTCAAAGGTGTGTGTGGCTCCAAAATTCCCCTATTTGAGGCTCCCCCCTCGCTATGCTTGTCAGATTGTCTCGTCTATTCGAGCTCCCATCCCCGCTTCGACAAAGACACTGACGGCCCACGTAGCACAGGTATGTATGGTCAGTTCTGCCACTTCACACTTCCATCACAAAATGCCACACATCTGCATGCCAAAAAACCGGGGCTTGGGACTGTCGAGCCCACCAAGGATGGGGTAAACGGCGGTGAATGGGGCTATTTAAAATAAACATGGGAAGAGGCGCTAATAACTTATCTACCCCTCCAAAAGCAGAGAGACCCGCCTCCTTTTCCTTCAACAACCGTCTTTCTCTACCACACCTCTAAGCCTTCCTCACCCACGCCAATTACTCGCCTGCCATGGCCTCCCGTCCGCAGAACATCGGCATCAAGGCCATCGAGATCTACATCCCCAGCCAGGTACGTTTTCTGCGCGACCTCTTGGCGCCCGCGCACACGCCGCGGCGCGTCCCGCCGACATCGCTGACGGTAGCTGGCAACCGCAGTATGTGGAGCAATCCGAGCTCGAGAAATTCGATGGCGTCAGTACAGGCAAATACACGATCGGGCTTGGGCAAACAAAGATGAGCTTCTGCGACGATCGCGAAGGTCAGTAAATACTCTCTGGTGCAATTTCTCTCCTTTTTGCGCCTGGTCGTCAACCACTCGGCACCCCCCGGTCCCTGTTGGTGGTCGGCGGGTCCATTGGTAGCCAGTCGTGTGCTTCGCGTCCTGCTTGGGTTCAGGGGCTGATTTGGAGGCGGGGTGCGCCCCGCCATTTTAGACATCTACTCGTTCAGCTTGACTGTCTTGTCCAAGCTCCTCAAGAACTATGACATCGACACGAACTCGATCGGCCGCCTCGAGGTCGGCACCGAGACCATTCTCGACAAGTCCAAATCTGTCAAGTCGGTGTTGATGCCGCTTTTCGGCGAGAATACGAACATTGAGGGTGTCGACACTGTGAATGCGTGCTACGGTGGCACCAACGCCGTCTTCAACGCGGTCAACTGGATCGAGTCTTCGGCCTGGGATGGCCGCGATGCTATCGTCGTCACCGGTGATATTGCCCTCTACGCTAAGGGCAATGCACGGCCCACGGGCGGTGCCGGTGCCGTTGCCATGCTCATTGGCCCCGATGCGCCCATCGTTTTCGAGCCCGGTCTCCGCGGCACCTTCATGCAGCACGCCTACGACTTCTACAAGCCCGACTTGACGAGCGAGTACCCCTACGTCGATGGCCATTTCTCGCTTACATGCTACACTAAGGCCCTCGATGCTGCCTACCGTGCGTACTGCAAGCGTGAGGCGAAATTCACCAACGGCACCAACAGCACCAACGGCCATGCGAACGGCAATGGCGCTGCCGAGGCTGCTCTTCCCAAAACCCCTCTGGACCGCTTCGACTATCTCTCCTTCCACTCGCCGAACTGCAAGCTCGTGGCCAAGGCGTACGGGCGGCTTCTGTACCATGACTATCTTGCCGACCCCGAGAGCAAGGCCTTCGCCGAGGTCCCGCCTGAGCTGCGTGACATGGAATACCAGAAGTCACTGACCGACAAGGCGGTCGAGAAGACCTTCATGGCGCTTACAAAGAAGCGCTTCCAGGAGCGCGTCTACCCCGGCATCCAAGTGGCGACGAATGTTGGCAACATGTACTGCGCGAGTCTCTGGGGCGGCCTGGCTGGCTTGATCAGCTATGTCGATGACGCAACCCTCCAGGGCAAGAGGATAGCCATGTTCAGCTACGGCTCCGGTCTGGCCGCTAGCTTCTTCTCCCTCCGGATCAACGGGAGCACCGAGAAGATCCGCCAGGTCTTGAACATCCAGGGCAGGCTTGACGCCCGCCGGGCGGTGCCCCCGGAGACGTACGATGCTGTAAGTTGTAATGAGAATGCGAAGGCGTCGAGTTGCTCGCTAACGAGTGTCACCAGATGTGCGACCTCCGCAAGAAGGCCCACCTTCAGAAGGGCTACACCCCTGAGGGCGAGGTCTCGACCATTGCCCCTGGAACGTACTACCTCACCAAGGTCGACGATATGTTCAAGCGAGAATACGCAATCAAGGAGTAAGCGAAGACCGTTACGTGCCCGGGCGAACGTCACCTGCACGCCGCGGGATCTTGCACTGCCGTCCTGCTCCTTCCACCTCTCTTGGTTCTGGGGAGTAATAGAACCGGATGCTTGCATTTCTCGGCATTCTCAAGACTTGAACTGATTCGACTGGCGCAATGATACACAAGGAGGCTGCCTGCTTTTAGCGGTGGAGTGTCCTAAATGTGGGAGTCCGAATGGGAGCGGTGCAAAAACAGAGAGGAACTAGAGGTGGGAATACCGTTTTCCGCATACATAATGACTTGGGGATCAATTGTTGCGGCCGCTTCCCGCTTGTTCACCTAGACTTTGCTGTATATAGGTGTTGGGATGCGGCCACTCCGTATTCTGGGGGGTTTGCTGCCGCGTGGCCATAGAGTATACACAGTATAATTCTCGTTACACTTCACTGATATGCTCCCCTTCTGTTGCGATAACATGTGTCAACTTGGGTGTAGGCTCCTCCCTACTCGAGCCCCCAAGGAGGTTAGGAGGACGGGGTTGTGACTCTTCTGAATCGGTGATCTCTCTGCAGTCACTCGTGGCCAGTCACGGTCGGTTACGCACATAGTTAGTCTCTGCTGTATCAAGGTACATCATCTCCTCAATGGCGCTCTGGCATGGATAGCTGAATTAGATACCGTTTGCTTCTTATTAGTAATGATTCGTCAATTCCTTCTATGTTGTTGCATGACTCTTGAGCTGAGACCTCCCGAAGAGCTCAACCATGCTCGAGGCTCCACACCCGCGTACCCACTTAATGGGCTTGGTCATGTGCGTCGCGGTTGCCTCGCGTCGGCCGCTCACTCCCTCACTGACGTTTTCTGAGGCGTGACTCCTAGGCATAACATCCACACCAGCCTCTCCGAAATCTGTCCATTGCAGGCTCGGTTCTGAGCTCTTGGCTTTACCCGTCTGTCCAAGATTCCATCAGCCTTCCCACCTGACTTTTTAGAGGTTTCCGGTGGACATCAAGCTTCAAGCCGCTGTGTTCCGCCCCCAACTTTCTCTGCTGGATGTAGACGCGTGGATTGATCGCGCGTCGCAGTGCTCTCCGCGCCCACAATGGCATACCAACCAGAGAAGGCGGGCGTGCTCGAGTCATGCCAGATCGCCTTCGTTCAGAGCAAATCATTATCAAGCAGTATGATCACACAGGTATGGACTTTAGCCAAGTAATCGAGACGACTAAGGTTCGCTAACAAGCAAGCAGCTCTCCGAGGTGGTGAGAGAGCATGGCGCCGAGGTTCTGGAGCCGGACCGCGATGGCAAGATTCGAATCCCACAAGTTACCCACATTGTGTCCAATACGATCGACTTCGAGCAGTTCGCCGACTCGCAAGCTATGCTAATCCCGGTTGTCCGGACTGACTGGATCAAGGCGACCATTGCCCGCAACAAGCTCGCCCAGGTCCGCCCGTACTCGCCCGACCCCAGACTCATCTTCTCCGATGTCGTCCTGACCTGCGCCGACATCCCTAACACGGACAAGGAGGCGATTACGGGCGCGATCTTGGCTCTTGGTGGGATGCAGTCCAAGGAGCTGACGCGGCTAACCACACACATTTGCGCCTTGTCTATGGACCATCCTAAGTGCATCGAGGCGAAGAACAAAAAACTGAAATGCAAGATCGTTCTTCCTCACTGGTAAGGAGATGCCGCAGGCTTGCGTACTCTCTGGGTTGCGGCTCACTTGTGTTAGGTTCGACGACTGCTTTCGGCTGGGAAAGAGGATCGACGAAGGCCCGTACCTCCTGCCCAACCCCGACATCATCACTAAGGCACCGGAAGAGGCAGTCCAAGTCCCCCCAGTCAGCAACTGGAGAGCGCGATATCGACCATGCCGAGCGGGCCGTATGAGACAGGGCGCGGCGAGAAACTGGTCGTTTTCGCACAAAAGAAGGTCATGCTCTCTTGGGACATTCCTATCAATCCCATGTTGCGCAAAACGATCACGGACAAGATTACAAGAGGGGATGGAGAGGTTGTTGAAGAGGTTGAGGCCTGCGATATGTTCATCTGCCAGTACCGCGAGGGCAATCAGTACGTCCGCGCGGCGCAGCTAGGGAAAGATGTGGGCAACCTGGCGTGGCTGTACCACTTGATGGTGTACAACGAGTGGACATCTCCCTTGAGGAGATTGCTACACTATCCGGTGCCGCGGAACGGGATCCCTGGGTTCCAGGATATGCGGATCACGCTTTCGAACTATGGAGGTGAAGCACGGATTTATCTGGAGAATCTCATCACGGCGGCGGGTGCCACATACACCAAGACGATGAAAGCCGAAAACACCCATCTCATCACGGCTCGCATGCATAGTGAGAAGTGCGAGGCGGCGAAGGAATGGAATATTGAGATTGTTAACCATCTATGGATCGAAGAGAGTTACGCAGCCTGCCAGGTCCTGCCTCTCAACAACCCGAGATACAGGCACTTCCCGCCGCGGACGAATCTCGGAGAGGTCATTGGCCAGACGTTCTTGGACGAGCCCAAGCTGAGGGAGATGTTCTATCCTGGTGGAGAGGAGTTGATGGATGAGGCAGCCAAGAGAAAGAAGGTGATCAACGAACGCGCCCAGAAAAACGCCCTTGACGTGGGGCTGGATCGGGATTTCAGTGTCATGGAGGACTCCAGTCCTGTACCTGCAAAGTCGGCAAGGAAACCGCGAGCCGCCCCGGCGATGGGGAACTTCAGCACACCGGCAAAGAGCCGCCATGTCCGCTCGGGGAAGGAGAACGATACCCCGTCCGTCATATCCAGTGCCAGCCGGAGCGCCAAGGCACAAGCGCTTTCGAAGCTCCAGGACCTGGCACCGGATATCGCTCTGTACGAGAAGGAGAAGAAGCGAACCGCGAAAGACGGGATTTGGGGCGGAAAGCGTGCGGCGGACCAGCTCGACAAAGAGCGCGCGGAGAGGAGTTCGAGCCCGGCGAGCAGGGCAGCTGATGATGCTGACGATCAGGAAAACAAGCGGCCGGCCAAGAGGGCAAAGGCGTCCCTACCGGAGATCGACATGCGCATCTGCTTGACGGGATACAAGAGATGGGTCGGGAATAGGGCTTCAGAGGAAGCTGACCGGGTAAGCAACCTTGTCCTCTTCATTTCTGCCCGTGCAGCTAGCCGCTAACCTCAGTCCCAGAAAAAACTCCGCTCGTTGGGCATCCAGATCGTGCCGGAGAATGCGCCGTGCAACTACCTTGCCGCTCCAGGGATGGTCCGAACCATGAAATTTCTCAGGTGTCTGGCGAAAGGGCCCGATGTGATCGACTCTTCCTTCATCACCGCTTGCATCGAGACAGGCAAGCGGCCCAACATTGAAGATCATCGGCTCGTCGACAAGGCGAACGAGAAGAAGTTCGGCGTGACGATGGAGACGGCGGTCAGCCGAGCGCGAGCCAACCGCGGCCGGCTACTATGGGGCGTGCCCATATACTGTACCGCGGACATACCCAATGGCGTTGACGCCTACAAAGCTATTGCCGAGGCGAACGGGGCCATTTTCAAGGTCTACCGCGCCCGGAGCGGGACCACCATTAAGCCGACGACCGAGGAGGAGGATAACGGTGCCGATCCAGATCCGGTATACCTACTAACCGGGCTAACGCCGGCCGAGAGGCAGCTGTGGCCCAAGTTCGAGGAGATGGCGCGCAAGGGGCACATGGAGCCGAGGATTGTGATGTCAGATTGGCTGTTGGATGTTGCCATGCGGCAGGAGCTGAAGTTTGACCCCAAGTATTTAGTGAGCAATCGCGTGTGAGGAGTGGGCGGTTGTGAGAGGCAATTGTATTGTATATACAGCCAGGCGTTGGGGTAGGACGTTTGGCACCTTTGGAGGTCTTCTTTGTAGGTTTGTAAGGTTGTGAACCGTCGGATAGGAACCGCTGGCATAGCGAGAACCAGCGAAACATATCTCAGAAGAACTTGACACCTTGTGAATCCTCTTGGCCAAACACCTGCGCCTTGCCCCGCTTGACGAGCACATTAAGCGCTTTCAGCAGCAGTTGCTGATCCAAGCCATGGAACTCTAGGTTTCCGGTCAGTTATTGGCACACTCTCCAACTCCCCTTACCCCTGCGAAGGAGATATCACGGGCAGCCAGGGACTTACCAGTACCCCTCGTCCCATCCCCCTCAACGAGCTCATACAGCGTCAACACACTGCCCTTCTGCCCCGTCGAGTCCACCCACCCTTCCACCAGCGACGCCCACTCCTCGGGCGTCCGCCAGTAGATCCAGACAATGTCGCCCCCACCCCCTTCTGCACCACCAGCACCACCGATAGCAGCACTACTACTACTACCGCTATTCCCGTCGCCGGTCACGTACTCGGCGCGACCGTCGTTGCGCAGGAAGTCGATCACCTCCCGGATGTCGGCCAGGCTCAGCCGCCGGTCGATGCGCTGGTTATAGAACAGCTCGGTGGTGTCGAGCTCCCCCCCGCCTGGCTGGTTTGGTGTACCACCGCTGCCTGTAGTACTAGTACCCCCCTGGTTGGTGGTGGTGGAGGTGCCGCTGCTGCCGGAGAGCGAGAGCTTGAAGATGCGGTGGTGGCGGCAGTAGGCGAGGACCAGGGACGACCACTTCACCAGCTGAGCGTGGTGGGTTGTCAGGTTGGTCTGGCGGGTGAAGAAGGGTGGGAAGGAGTATTCGGGTGGGAAGGGGAATGAGGACTGCGAATGTGTTGACGGGGTGGTCATTCTTTATCCAAGTTGATTCTCGCTGAGAAGGTGAGGGGTGGGGTGATGATGGTTTTTATAGGCGAGGTTAAGGTAAGTTGTCTTGAACGTGTAATTTCAGCAGGGTCCTGGATGATAAGTTGAGTGGGTCGGAACTTGGAAGGTGCCGCGAGTCGAAGAGTTGAAGGCTGGGGGGGGGGGGGTTCCCAACCGGCGTGAGTTCCACTTTTCTCAATGACGGCGGAGGAGGATATCATTTAGGTAGGTGTAGGAGTTTACATGACGCGCCGCAGGTGAGTTGCATCCATACCGACGGCCACGGAAATATATCCCGAGGATAGCTTCTGCCATAATACAGCATGCACGGCGACGGTGCATGTATAGGTACGGTCTAGTATGTGGAGGAGAGCGACCCTGTGCTGACTGCTGAGGGGGAAAGTAGGGTTAGGGTAATATAGCGAGCTGCTGCTGCAACAAGGATGAAAGCTCCATCCGCGACCATCCGTGACGCGGCGGCCGTTATCTCGATGCGATAACCCGTCATCCGACCAAACGGGCGACGAACATGCGGCGACGACGACAGCTGTCCGCTGTGTGCACCCGACTATGGCCCTGCAAGGGAGAGACATAGCGCTTCTGGGCATCGCGTGCTTTATTGCCTGGGGGTATGCCGTCCATTGGTTCCCCGCGCTGCTCTGGGCCGGCCGCGCCTTCGTTGGCGGTGTGCTGCTGAGCGGAACTGCCCTGCTCGCCCTCGTCGTCCTCACCTCCCGCGGCCCGCACCACCGCAAGCTCAAGGAAACCGCGCGCCCGAGAGCGGCCGCCTTCCTTGCGCCAGATGCATGGAAGACCGAGGTCGCTGCGCTGCGACAGCACCAGACGTACAACAAGCAGTCGCTCTGCCCGGAGTCCCCGAAGGTGTCGGCCGCCCTCGACCAGCTCCTCGACTACATTATCCGCGACTTTATTCGAGTGTGGTACTCAAGCATTAGCAAGAACCCGGTGTTCACCGACGAGGTCGACCGAGCCACAAGATGCGCCCTGCTCCGCGTTCGCGACCGCCTCCAGGGGCTGGACCTCGCCGAGGTGCTGACCACCCGCCTCGTCCCCATCATGACGGCGCACTTCCGCGACTTTGCCGATGCCGAGCGATCCATTAGGGGGCGCAAGCTGAATCGATCGATCACCGAGACGGAGGAGTTGGACCTGGCGATTGCATCAAAATACAAAGAAGGAAAGCTCCATCCCGCTGCGAGTCTTTCGTTTTCAGACACAAAGACGGCCCAGCAAGATTATTTGCGGCAGACAATGTCCAGAATCCTACCGAAGGTCTTACCGGAGAGCCTGCTTGCCTCTCGGGCAGTGACGACCCTTATACGAGAAATCACTGCGTGCGCGGTCATGTTCCCCCTGATGCAGACCCTGTCCGAGCCGGACACCTGGAACCAGTTGATGGAGAATTACGGGCGAACCATGCTCCAGGATCGCTCAACCGTCCGAAGACTCCGTGCCGCGCTGGATCAGCACGCCTCGCCGGTGCCCAAGGCTAGCAAACCTGTAGCGTTCCCGCGCTTGACACCCGCGGACAGCGAGAGGAGGTTTGAGAAGTTCATCAGGGCTATTAGGAAGGTCAACAACCTCTCGGACGCGAGACGCTTCCGCAGCGAAGTTGCCAGTCAGCTCAAGAGGGACTCTCAGCAGGAGAACGTGGACCAGGTTTACCTGCGCCGGCTGGAGATGGGCAAGCGCATGCTGGATCAGAGGGTTCAGCATCTGGCCGCTGGGGGTGGCCGACGAGCGCTCCAAACAAGCACCGAGATTGCTATCCCAGGCGAGTCTCGGCTGGAAAACGCGTCGCTTGCCGATCTGCTGCGGGACCCATCCGCCCTATCGTACTTCATGGAGTATATGGATCGGCAACGGCTGATGCCCTTGGTCCAGTTCTGGCTTGTCGTGGACGGCTTCCGCAACCCGCTCGAAGACGACGGGCCGGAGGGAGAGCAGCTGCCGTTGCAGCTACCCCCCTGGACGGAGTCAGACCGACTTGACCTCGCGCAGATCGATGCCGCGTATCTTAGCCGGCCTGAGCTGAAGGTCCCCGATTCTTCAAAGCGCATCATCCAAGAGTTCCTCAAGGCTGGCAAAAGGGCGACGCCTGAGCAGTACTATAGGGCTCGGAGGGAGATTCTACGAGCGCAGAGCGCAGTCCTGGAGGAGATGCGCCTCAAGCACTTTCAGAATTTCAAGAAGTCGGATCTATTCTTTAAGGCACTAGCTGCTGAAGAGGCATCCAACCGCACGGCGCTCTCGGCTCCCGGCCCCGGACCCGGATTGCCCCTGCCCCGAACCTCTTCATATATTTCGTCCAAACCCAACCCTGTCGCACGTCTCGTCCCGAGACTACACACAGGGCCCATCCACCGGCGATCAGGATCGGCGTCAGATTTAAGAGCCATGAACGCTAACGGCGGTAATGATTTCGAATCCGTGCCCAGACGATCCGTAGATGGATCCCACTCGCCTCCTCTGTTTGACGATGATGATGCAGGGGATGACGCTATGGGCGATTCCATAGCAAGCCTGGAACAGGACACTGGCTCCGCACCCCCAGTGCCTGACACCAAGGTCGTCCAGGCGATGGAAGAGGCTCTCAACAGTATCCTCGAGGAGAGTCGGCCGCCAACAGCGGAAGATCTGAGAGCGTCCTTATTTGGTGACGGCGACGCCGGCAGTAGCATCTTTGCTCCGCCAGAAAATGGGCCGCAGACGGGGGTTTCACCTGCGAGAGCACCAAGGTCGAACAGAGGGTCCGTTGATCTGACCAGATCGAGTGGTAACTCGCTTGAGGTTCCAAAAGCTCTTGACAACCCCCCATCAGGTAGAAGATCTTTCGATGTCGGTCGGCCCGGTGAACTTGGCCGGTCAAGTGGATCGCTGCGCAGCGACAGACCGATAAAGGGGCAAGAGAAGCCCAGCCTGGCTTCGTTGGGCTTGGTGAGCGCGGCGTCACGAATCGGGGTATTCGTTGACGATGACCTATTTGGCGACGAGGATAAATTCCTCTCCGAGGAGCCCTCTGATTCGGATGACGACCGTAATGACGATGATGCGGATGCGGTACACGAGGCAGCCCCCGGTGACCTCGGCCTCGCAGAGGCGATCACAGCTTTGAGTAACGACATTGACAAGCTGGTCGCGCAGGAAGCGGTGGTGGATTCTCTGCTTAGAAAGGCAGAGTTGACGAACAACGCGGCTGAGTTGAGGATTCTGCGCAAGTCGAAGGCAAGTCTACAGAGAGAGCTACGACGCAAGGAGCTACAGCGACAGCAGTACGTCCTCCAAGAGAGCGACAACAGCCTCTACGGACGCTCCACTATCAAGATCAAGTCCATCCAGGTCGGTCGGGACGAGGACGGCAAGGAGTTCGCACTCTATGCGATCGAGGTCTCGCGAAACGCAGGCGAAAGGATGCCCGCCGCTACGTGGAGTGTCACCCGGCGCTACAGCGAGTTTCTCGAGTTGCACCAGAAACTCCGTTCCAGCTACCCTTCTGTGCGGCACTTAGACTTCCCGCGCCGCCGTGTCGTCATGAAGCTGCAAAGCGATTTTCTCCAGAAACGCCGCGCTGCCCTTGAGAATTATCTCAGCCAACTGCTCCTTCTGCCCGATGTCTGCCGCAGCCGTGACCTGCGCGCATTCCTCTCCCAGCGTGTCATCACCGCGGTGCAGGAAGGCGGCACCGACCGTGAGGATAGCAACAAGCAGAAGGACATGATCTCCCGGCTGTACGACTCGGTCGCCGACGGCATGGAAGATATCCTCGGCAGCATCCCCGTGCTCGACCATCTGTCCGTCGCAGGGCAGAACCTGATCAGCCAGCTTGGCACGGGACCCCTGGCTGCCCTTGCGAGCGAGGACGCTGCAGCAGCTGCAACAGGAGGAGGCACAGTGAGCGCGGCCGAGGCCGAAGCCGAGCTCAACGCGTTCGAGAGCAGGGAGCTCGAACCGTTCGTCAAACCCATCTGCGACATCTTCCTCGAGGTCTTCGAGCTCAACCGCGGCAACAACTGGCTGCGTGGCCGCGCCGTCGTCGTCGTCCTGCACCAGCTGCTCGGCGGCACCATCGAGCGCAAGCTGAGGGAGAACGTGAAGGCGCTGGTGCAGGAGGACGCGCTGCTCAAGTACATCGGCCTGTTGAGACAGGCCTTGTGGCCGGATGGCCAGTTCCCCAGGAACAGAACGCCGCGGACGCCCGTGGAGAAGGCTCGTACCCGCACCGAGGCCAGTCTGATGCTGGCCACGCTTCTGCCAGATCTCGCGGGGAGCGTGGTCGGGCGGCTGAATGCGCAGGCTGCGAGTCGCAGGGTGTTTGCCACGTTTAACAATGCGAGGTTAAAGTAGGTCCTTTTCCTACCTTCGATGAGTTCTTCCTAGCCTTGACTGCATTCTGATTGCTAACCTTGGCTACGGTCTAGTACGCACCTGGCGTTTACGCTCTTGGACGAGGTTATTGATATCTTATTCGATGATTAGCTGAAGTTTGGACTTATGACCCTGGCGAACTAAGCATCTAGCGGCTGCATCGCAACGGCGTTCTGTCCTGTTCTGACTTTTGACCTGGGCTAGTTGAAGGGGTTTCTACGCGTTTGCATTGTTGGCGTTGGGAAGCGATCATGCATATTATGACGGATGCTTAATGTTGTATGTATTGTATTGTACAATATACCAAGTCGTAGTATTATAGTTGATGGTGAGACGCTCTGTACGAAAGGTTTCCTCAACCACGCACCGGTTGCCAGACACGCAGAACCAGACATCCTCCCGAGACTCTGGATCCGAGTGATAGGGATCCTTGGCTCTAGCTGGTACCCATAAACCCACGCCCCTACCGATACGTGGCCCAACAGGAGTAGCGTTTTATAGTAACCATCGTATTGAAGATCTTGGAGATGACGGGCCCTTCAACAGCCTGGAGCCTATGGAAACATAACCAGCACGGCCGAGAGACAGCTCCTGTGTTGACTGCAGTGGTGTGCAGTAGCAGCTCGGGTTTTGCTGCTGGCGTGCATTGATGGGGCAGGCTGAATCTGCCCCCTCATTCGTCGAAATGGAAAAGATCGGCGATCTTGGCGCAGAGGTGCAGAGTCCCGCCGTCCACATTTCCAGGTTCTTCTGCATCCTAGCCGAACCGACTTGCTTCGCGCCAAATTTCCAGCTTAGGTGCCTCTTCTTTTGATCACCACTGTTCTCGCTGTTCGCAGCATCAAACTCGAGTCCCGGTCGTCTGTGCACCATAAAACCGGAATTGGGGTTTCGGCACGCCCTTTCCGACGCCCTCCCACAGTGTAACCGATTCGCGCTTCGACCTGGTCGAGCACGCTCGTAGTTAAGGTAGCTGCGAGCCTCGTCCTAGAATCGATTTGCGCTGCGAAACCCCACCCACTGGACTTCGCAGCCCCGACCGCGTTCGCAGGCCTTCCTCCATTCTTCCCATTCAAACCATCAACACCAGTGCAACGGAACATCATCTGGCGCAATGACCGAGGTTTCGTCGACCCGCCTGTACCTGGGCAACCTGCCCCGGCATGGTAAGTTTGTGCCCGCAACGCGACGGTTCTGTCGAACTCGAGGCGACCGCCTTCGCACTCGCAACAGCGATACTGACACAGGCCCCAGCTACCAAGGCCGATGTCGAGGCTCACTTCGCGACCCATGGCACCGGTGAGATTACCGAGATCAAGCTCATGAATGGTTTCGGTTTCATCGAATACAAGGATGCCATGGACGCCCGGGATGTCGTTCCAGGTAAGCCTCCGTCATCCATGCGCTGCATGTGTGCGACTCGATCAATTGCTGACCGCACCTGTTGTCTCTAGCTTTCCGTATGTTGAGGACCCGTATTCTCTGGACTCCCGATCATGATCCCCTCCTTCGCTCTCCTGGCTAACGGCATGCGCAAGACGGATCCGACTTCATGGGTGAACGTCTTACTGTCCAGTTCGCCCGCGGCACGCGACATCGCGAACAAGGCAGTGGATACAACCACGACCGCGGCAGCGCTCCCCGGCCTCGCCGCACTCCGCACCGCATGCAGATCACTGGACTTCCCAATGATACCAGCTGGCAGGTCTGTTAAAGCTCTCCCACTTCGTTTTCCATGGACACACTTTTGGAGATACACCTTCCTGAGGCTCTTGGAACAGGCCATATCCTTGGCCCGCAAGGACTGACCCGTCCTCCCTCCCTGGCTTTGGTCAACCGGTCTGGACTTCACTCCTCTTCCCTGCAAAGGTCATGTCTGGGGGTAGCCGGCTTCCTGGTCGGCGCATGCTTGGCCAGCGCTCTGATTTCTCCGCTGTGTTCGGCACTGGCCAACGTCCCCGTCTCTCGTCGTTTCCTGGTTTTGTTGACGGTGCGGTGTTTTGGGCTCGCGGAGGGACTTTCTTCCTGTTATGTTCCCAATCCTCCGGCACCCTGGCTTCGCTGGACTTAAGCTGGTTCCTCGCACGGGATATCGCCGACGCCGACTCCGGGATCTCGACTTACATGGACTCTGGCTCTAGGATCTCAAAGATTTTGCCCGACAGTCTGGCCTTGATGTCGTCTATTCGGAGACCAACCGAAATGGCGGCAATGAAGGGTACGTTGTGCCGTCCAGTACGCTTGAGTCCTGCTGACCCCCATCCCAGCTTTGTCGAGTTTGAAACTGCTGCCGATCTGAGAACTGCGGTCGAGAAGCTGGACGGTCGCGAGTTCAAGAACTCCCGTGTGACCTGTGTCGCCAATGTAGGGTTATCCAACGCTGAGATCCGTTTTATTGGCTAATTCTCTAAACAGACTCAGCCTGATATTCCCAGGATTGATCGGGCCCGCTCGCGTTCTCCGCGTCGCCCGTATCCGCCCCCCATCGATGACTATGACCGCCGCGGCCCTCCTCGTGGATATAGCCCACGGAGGGATGGTTACCGGGATGGTTACCGTGAGCGAACCCCACCCCCTCGTCGGGACTATTATGATGACAGGAGGGGAGGCTACCGTTCTCCGCCCCCGCGCCGTCCGCCTATCGATGACTACCCGCCTCCGCGTGGGCGCTACGATGACCCCTACCGCGGCCCCCGGGACTATCCCCCTGATCCGTACATGAATGGGCGCGCCCCGTACCACGACCGTCGTCCTCCCCCGCCGGACTTCCCGCCGCGTGACCCGTACGCGAGGGAGCCGTATCCTCGCGACTACGACCGTCGCTACTAAGGAGCTGGGGCAGTAGTCATTAGGCGGCGATGTGCGAGTTGGTGATGAGTTTTGTATGGATCTATCACGAATGGTTATTTTTCTCATTGCCCTGGATTGTTCCAGAAATTAGTCAGGAGCTTACATCCCGGGTGTTTTCCGTTTCTCTTTTGTCTCGTTCTCTTCTTCCGTTTCCTTTCTCTCTTTCCACCTCTCGGTGTCTGGCGCCTCATTGCTAGGGAGGAATGCAGCCATTGCCACGGTTCCGTCCTCCCAGCCTCGGTTTGGCGCTGCGCATTGAGCGGGTAGGCTGGTAGGCTTGGGACGGTCTATGTATGATGAAGTGATCAGAGACCAGATTGGCTCCTGATCACTGGTTCACGCCGTGTATCACAATGTTGAATGAGTACCGACTTATCACGCAGTTATCTGCCATGCATCCCGTGACCCCCCCCTGGCGGTGTCCCTGCCGCTTTCGTGAGATGGGAGAGCTATATGCGGCCATCTCTACCGCGCCTGCAAACGAGCCATATAGTGTAAGTTAGAGCCAAGGTGATGTCTCAGTATTTGCGATTGCTGGAAAGGCATCGGGCCCGCAGAGTTCGTCCTACGAGCGCCGGCCGTCTGTACCCGCCTCTCTTACATCGTCCGTATGAACCTGCCAGTCGGGAGGCCCCAGTACATACGACCATACCTGGTAGATAATACGGCATCCCGTCCGCTCTGCCATCGTCAAGCTACCAAGGGCCGAATCAGTACTCAGGTCGGTGACGACTGGGGAATCCTCGGTGTTGTATGTTTTTGCTGTTATTTTGCTGTATCGCCAAATCTTGGCGGATGTTCAGGACAATGAGAGCTGGAAGCTTTTATGCATACATGTAGAACTGTCGGCAGCGCAGTCTAGTGCACATATCACTAGGGCCCTGACAGGTTCCGATCTGGGCCTCCTTCAAAGAGGAAGCCGATTGTTGCTCGGCTTGTCGGAAATATCGGAGGTGATTGTACTGATTTCAAATCCACGCGCCGGCGGGGAGTTGCGGGCTGGCCCGCAGCAGGATGAGCAGGGGTTTGGGCGATTACACAAGCAAACCGACGAGAGGCCTGCTTACCAAACCGCAACTACAAGAAGGGGAGAGACGGAGCAATTGCGCGATAGCCGCCGGCAGCTGCAAGTCATCATGCTGGGTATACGAGGAAGGTGTCGATTGGCGGGGCTTATAAAAGGCCGCGCTGCTCCCCAACCTGCCCTCGTCCGAGGCCTTCATTGTTCTCTTAACTTTCGAACCCACAGTGACGTCTTGCCCCTGACCGACATCCGGAAAGCTGCCTCTTCCTATTCCTGCGCTCCCACTGAACGATTACAGTTGAGAACCCTTTCCACAACTAAGCATAACCTCCAAAGCAATTCGGACAACATGGCGGAACCCACTGGCCTCATCGCCAAATCTGGCATTGAGCTCCTTACCTTTGGTGAATAAGTACGACCATGAACCCAGGTTGACCCCTTACTTACACCACGTCAGGAACCCCCAATGGCCACAAGATCTCTATCCTCCTCGAGGAGCTTAAAGAAGCTTACGGCAAGGAGTACACGGTGCAGTCCGTCAACATCGGGAAGAACACCCAAAAGGAGCCTTGGTACACGGCACTGAATCCCAACGGCCGCATCCCGACCATCATCGACCACGACCGGGGCGGCTTCGCCGTCTTCGAAGGGCTCGCCATCCTAACCTACCTCGCCCGCCACTACGACCCTGAGCACAAGTTCAGCTTCCCCGTCGACTCAGACGATTATTCGGTCGCCGAGCAATGGATGTCGTGGCAGCATGGTGGGTTGGGCCCTATGTAAGTCTCTCCCACCGCCGCCGCCACCACCACTATGGACGATACTGATGAGAGAACTGGGTCGAAAAGGCAAGGGCAAGCATTCCATTTCCTCACTGCCTCTGAAAAGATCCCCTACGGAATCAAGCGCTACGTCGGCGAGACGGAGCGGCTGTACGGCATTCTGAACGCCCGCCTGGCCGACCGCGACTATGTCGCTGGCCCGGGTAGGGGGAAATACAGCATTGCCGACTTGAGTCTGATCGGATGGGTCAACGTCAGCGAGATCATTGGGATTGACCTGGCGGGCCAATTCCCCAACGTCAAGGCGTGGCTCGAGAGGTTGCTCGCGCGGCCGGCGGTACAGAGGGGGCTGACAGTTCCCGGCGGCGAGCCAGGCAGGTGGTCGCATGTGAACGTTGAGCGCGCCCTGAAAGGGGAAGCGGGCACCGAGGATCTGCTGAAGATGTATGAGCAGAACAAGAAATTGGTGGCTGACGCGAAGGAGAAGTATGGGTATAAGTATGCGTCGCCGTGAGGAGTTGGGACTGTTGATGTATGTATCTCTTGTCATGAACTGAGCTGTCTAGAGACTTCCACCAGAGAAGGATTTCACGCAAATGAGAGACGGCCTCCAGCATACGTAAGCGTACTAGAGTAGATTCTGCCTTGATATTGGAGAGGAAGCGAGACCCGACACCATCCGGACTTGCATAATACCACTCGTGAAGATGAAAGAGACACCTGATGAGGGGAGAGCCAAGCCGCTGCCGATTAAGCTCGTGGAGAATGTGGGGTCTGAAGCTTCGGTGCCAAGCCATCGCGCATGGCTATGTGGAGCAGCCTTATCTTATCTCCAGGATAGTCCCAAATTTTTCGAAGTCCATGGTCCCTCTGGCGGACAGAGAGACCGGGACCTGGCCTTCCGTGATCCAACGACGCAGCGGAAGCCCGAACTCGATCCCAGCAGCCACCATGAAGCGCAAACTGGACAGCAACGATGAGCCCACGGGCGTCCCGCCAGAAAACGAAACCAAGCCTAGCCAACCGGAGAAGCAACCAGCAGAAGCTGAACCCTCCTTCGCCGAGCTCGGTCTCGACCCACGCCTGGTGCAGGCTGTCGCAAAGCAGAGCTTCGAGAAGCCGACCCTCGTACAGCGCAAGGCCATTCCGCTAGCCCTTCAAGGACAGGATGTGCTTTGCAAAGCCAAGACCGGTTCCGGAAAGACGGCTGCTTACGTCCTGCCTCTGCTGTCTGGCATCTTGAAGCGCAAGAGCGTACGTGCTGAATTCTCTCTTACCCAGCCAGCCGCATCGAGCCCTGAGAACTGACCCATTGAAGACCGACTCTGCCCCCTTCACTGCCGGCCTGATCCTTGTGCCGACCCGCGAGCTCGCCGACCAAGTCTTCAAAGCCATCGAGCAGTTCTCGGCCTTCTGCACCAAGGACATCCACGCCGCGAAGCTGACCGAGAACGTGTCCGACGCCGTACAACGCTCCCTACTCGCCAACACTCCGGATATTGTCGTGTCAACGCCCGCCCGCGCATGGCACAGCGTCAACTCGTCGGCGCTCTCGCTCAGCAAGCTGCAGTACCTGGTACTCGACGAGGCCGACTTGGTGTTGTCGTATGGCTACGACGAGGATATGGAGAATATTTCGCGATCGCTGCCCAAGGGCGTGCAGACCATCATGATGAGTGCGACGCTGTCGGCCGAGCTGGATACGCTGAAGGGGATATTCTGCCGGAATCCGACGCTGCTGGATCTGAAAGAGGAGTTTGGGGCGGAGGATGAGAAGCTCACGCAATTCTACGTCAAGTATGCGGTGTGCCCTTTGCGCTGTGAGTGTGGCACGTAGCTGACAGGTGTTAGATGCGGCGAGGATGACAAGTGGTTGATCTCATACCTCATATTCAAGCTACAGCTGATCAAGGGCCCTTGTCTGATATTCGTTGCTGACATTGATCGATCCTATCGGTTAAAGGTACGCAATGAGCGTTGCACGTCCCTGACCTGGGCGCCTGCTGACAGTTCCGCCAGCTCTATTTTGAACAATTCGGCATCAGGAGCTGCGTCTTGAACTCGGAGCTCCCCATCAATACGCGGATCAAGATTATCGAGGAATTCAACCGGGTATGTCAGGCGACATTTTGGGTATAGGGGAAGAACTGAGTGCTAACGCACCGGCAGGGCATCTACGACATCATCATCGCGTCAGACGAGAAGAGCGAATTATTCGGAGATGAAGCTGCTGGTGACGAAGCGGGAAAGAAGGAGTCCAAGGAGTCCAAGAAGGAAGGGGAAGAGAGCGCCGAGAAGCCAAAGAAGAAACGGAAACACAAAAAGGACGAGGAATACGGAGTATCACGAGGTACGCAAGACAGTTTGGCTATGGCAGAAAGCGCTCTAACTGGATACAGGAATTGACTTCAAGAACGTCGCCGCGGTTGTCAACTTCGACATGCCTACATCCGCCAAATCATATACCCACAGGATCGGCCGAACTGCCAGGGCTGGGCGCGCAGGCATTGCCCTTTCCTTCGTTATTGCCAAGGAACTGTATGGCAAACACAAACCAACATCCATAAAGAGCTGCGAAAACGATGAAAAGGTGCTCGCCAAGATTATGAGGCAACAGGCGAAGATAAACAGGAAGCTTGAGCCATATAACTTCAACAAGTCGCAGATGGAGGCCTTTAGATACCGCATGAACGACGGTGAGTGGCAGTATGAATCTATTACATCTCTGTTGATCTAACTTGGTGAAGCACTTCGCGCCGTCACCAAGGTGGCTATCCGAGAGGCGAGGACAAGAGAGCTGAGACAGGAGCTGCTGAGGAGCGAGACATTAAAGCGGTGAGTACTTCCATTGTCTTCGCGTGTGGGAGTCTCGCCTAGCAGCATCCTAACTTCCGTCCTGCAGATATTTCGAGGAGAATCCCACAGAACTCGCCCACCTGAGGCACGATGGGGAGCTCGGGCGAACAACAAGACAGCTACCTCACCTGAAACATGTGCCGGATTACCTGCTGCCAACAGAAGGGAAGAAGGCGTTGGCGTCGCAGCAAGTTGGCTTTGTGCCATTCAAGAAGGAAGGGGGCAAGGATAGGAGACACAGGAAAGGCAAGGCAAAGGGCCGGTCGTTTAAGGTTGGGGGGAAAAAGGACCCGCTCAAAACATTCAAGGTCCGGCGGAAGGCTAAGTGACGCGGGCCATGGTTGTAAGGTTTGTTTTTCCCGTTCCCATAGCGCCTTTGGTTGGCAGAAGAGCATAATGCAGACGCAGTTGCCGCGCTGCTGCCACCAGACTTCGTTGCAAATGCCTGTGATCCATACAGTATGATGCTTCAAGGGGTGAGGATAGACGTCGGTGGTGAGCTCGATATATATTGATGGAAAGGCACCATCCAGCGCGCCTAGCTCGTTCACAGATCTAAGTTACGAGCTCGAGTTCTGAGGCTATACTGCGTCATGTACGCAATAATAGTCATACCTAGTGCTTTAGGGGGATGAGTTTGCCATTGCAAGGAGAAAAGGGTGCCGTTGCCCTGCCGTCCGCCTCGGGATGTCTACAGGAGCAAGCCGTCCCCGCCGTACCGCACGGCTTGCGGCGGCACGAGAGGGCCGAGCTGCCAAGTTTTCAAGTACGCCCAAGTCCGACTCCGCCACCTTCTCTCGCCACCTCGACTACGTATCTGCCCCTGCAAAGCGAGAGAGGTATAAAACCGGCTAGGGAATCTAGTACGCACCATCATTGAAGTCTGAGAAACGTAAACAAGCAGACACCCATTCACTACATCATTTGCTCTCCCTTTTTGCACAAGACATCAACGCTCACAATGCCCGACCAGCAAACCCCAACCATCCCCGCCACCGTCACCGTCACCGCCACCTCCCAGCCAGTCATCACCACCACCCAGCAACAGTCCCAGCATCATATAGAGGAATCCAGCAACTCGGGGACGGCGGCGTCGTCCCGCCCGACAGGCGCCGGGGTCAACACGGGTGCTGGGACCACCAGGGAAAAGACGGAGGCCGAGCTGGAGGCGGACAGGCGCTATGAGGAGGCCATGGAGGACGAATATGCTAAGCGCGAGGGTGGTGCGTGAGTTTGATTATTGCGGGATTGGGGATTGCGGATGCGAGGTCGCTGGCTCCGGAATGTCGGGTCGGGTTAGCACTCAATACCTAGGTACCTTACCTTACCTAGGCAGTGGGGTTGTTGTTGTTGTGTGAACTGCCACATTAAGGTTCTGGTTTGCATGCCAAGTCAACGATATGATCCTGCGTTCCCGCAGGTCTATTCGGAGGCTTGAGTCAGCGATGAATTGATGATCGGCTTTTGGGACTCTTCATGGTCAACTTTGGAAGGAAGCCGACGTTTGAGCCGTGTCAGTGATACGAGGATAACATAGCCCCTTGGTTCTTCCAGTGAAGCATTCCTCTCAAATCCGCATCACGTCTATATGAGTAGTGTTCGATGAACACGGCTACACATAGTGGCAATGAGTTGCAGCAGCACATGGTCGGCGACTGAAAACGTCAGGTGGATGCACAGGACAGAAGGTGCTGTTCGTCCAAGACCTTGTCGGAGACCCAGTTTAGTTTGGACGATGCCTATCCAACCGCAAATATGCGGCTGTCAATGATCCAAGGACATTAGTTACTAAGGCATTGTGAATACCCTTTACCACTACTCCGTCGGTAGATACCCGCCGCCCTGCCCGCCGCTCACGCGGACCTCTTTCTCCTGTACGTCTCCCTTCCTCCCGCAATCCGAACCGGGTGCGCCTCGGTATTGAACACGAATTCATTCGTATGGTCGGCCTTGACCTGCCAGGGCGCGTCCTACAAACCCCATAATCGGTCAGCATATCTCGCTTGCTTCCAGTAACATGCATCCTTCCCGGGGAATACCTCGTCACGGGAAAAGCAAGAGTAAACAGATACTCACCTCGGCATGAATCAGATAGCTATACTTCAACACCTCCGCAAACCAGAAACTCTCCTGGAAATCAGTAAACCCACCCCCATCGGGCTTATTCACATCGTTGATACTCGAGTACCCACTGCCGACGCGACACGTCTTATTGATCGCCTGGAACGCCTCCCACGCCCAGTCCTGGTACTTGGCATCGCCAGTGGCGCGGTAGGCGTAGTAATAGCTCTCGATGACCTCCGGGCGCAGGACGTAGCCGCCGTTGTTGATCCAGAAGCCCGACGCGTTATAGAAGGCGGCCTGGTCGGCGGGCGGCGGCCGGTTGTTGCTGGCGTTGAGCGGGTGGTTGGCGTCCTGCCACGAGAAGACCTCGGGCCCGATCCCCGTCGCCGTGGACGTGTATGTCTCGTGGCACCCGTCGACGAGCGCCAGGCCAAACTGCGTGTAGGCGGGCTCGTCGAGCGTCAGGCCGCCTAGGATGAAATTGCCGCCGTCGAAGCAGGCCACTGGTGCGGGAAGGTGGGTGGTTGTTAGCATATCATCTTCATAAGCCGAAGGGAACGGAACGGAACGGAAGGAAGGGGAAGAGAGCGGGGGCCATACGATGCTGAGAGACGAAGCGCAGCGTCGTGTTCGACCACATGGCGAGGAAGGTGAGATCGGGCCGGGTGGTCGGGTGCGAGACGAGATACTTGATGGACGAGTCGGCCGCGGCGATCCACCGGTCGCGGTACGTGGCGAAGCGCTCCGGGTCGTAGAGATACATCTTGATGAGATACTCGTAGAAGCTGTCGGTGCCGCCGCCCCAGCCGCCACTGCCGTCCACGAACTGCCCGTCCGAGAGCCGGACGTTGGTGCCCAACAGACCCGGGAACGGTTCTCCGAGCGCCGGGGAGGGGCTTAAGAGGTACGACTCGCCCTTCTGGGCCAGCTCCGCGTACTCCGGGTCGTTGGTCAGGTCGCTCAGGCGCGTCCATTCGAGCACCAGCGTGCCGATGGTGGCAATGCCGTTTGTGCTGGAGCCTCCCTTGCGCGGCGGGTTGAAGTAGAGGCTGTTGTCCGGGACGCCGCTGGGCGTGTCGAAGGCCACTTTCAGGTTGTCGGCCAGTCGCTTTGCTTGCGTGAGGATGGCATCCACGTTGTCCGAATAGCTGGTATGCCCATCAAGGGGCCCTGTAATGAGGTCGTACGCTGTTTGACAAGTGTTAGACGGGACTCTCTCCTATAATATTATTTCATGCTGTGGCATCTGCAGCTTACCGGACACGAGGCCGCCAAGATATCGGATGGTGGTCTCAAACAGCGATACCTCATCCGTGGTACTGTCGAAGTTGATCTGCGGGATGTACTCCAGGATCTGGTTTACGACGTCCCAGTTCTCCATAACCAGAGCCGTACTGAATGCGTCGACAGCGCTCGCCCCCCATGCGTTCCTGGGACCAGAGTTAGTCAGGACTCAGACATCGTCATGACAATGACGTAGAGACACACCTGTCATCCGCATAGCCGTTTGTGACAGGCCTCAAGGAGTCGTGGGGGAAGGCGTATTTATAGTACCCATCCCACGAGACCTGGAAAGCCTCCTTCACCGCACCGGCACGCTGCTGGTTGACGGCGTACCGGTGCTGCCGGGCCCTGGATGGAGCCGCGTCGGTGACATGGCCTGTAAGTGCGAGCAGGAGAGCTGCCCTGCCAAGAGAGAGGGAGCGCATGGTTGGTGGTAGCGAACGGTATCCCGGCGCAAGCCAGGAAATAAACAGGCACCTAAAGCCACTAGTGCCTCAGTGATAGGGATGCTGTTCGCAGAGAAGTGTGGGGGGAACGAGTGTGGATAAATACTCGAGTGAAATCCTTGTTCACCGGGAGCCTGAATACCTTAGACATAAAACGATCAACGTCGGGGCGACACTGCGGCGGCTGCGCCCGGGTTCGGCCTCCTTGACCATGCCGTCCATGCCATGCTGCAGCGGCAGGTTGCACTGCACCTTGCAAGTGCGAGTGGGCCAGGGAGATCACAGAACGCGGTATCCTCGTTGATGTGATTGTGCGGTATCATTTCTGCGAGGGAAGGAGACACAGGCACGACTTCTGAGCCATGACCGACAGGCACGAGGCATCCATGGTCCACAATAGCTTAAGAGCTATGGTGTGCCGATCCTCTTGTCGCGATGGCACACGTCCTCGCCGAACAAACCCCTGTGAAGACGGAGCCATGGCGTGATTGGTCAGATCCCCATATACCTGCCTAAAGTGGTAGGCGCTTGGATCACACTCTTGGTGGTTGTGACCAAGATTCACTGTGATCCAAGGTTACGATGCCGGATCCTCTGGCTTCACGCAACGATCATGTGCTCTTCTCCGACTGGGTGATGAACTTTCTTAAAATTCATAGAGACGTTGTGGAGTTGAAGCTTTCAATTTAAGGCGGAAGCTGTCGCACTGCCTGGCAGCAGACAAGGCAGTCGTGGTGAGTGGCCAGAGGCGCAAAGTGCGAGAAGATCCCAATACCACCAATTTTTGGCTCATGTTCCGGACACTGAACCGTCAGCATAAGGTAACCCGGAAACGGCCTCAACATCGGTGCCAGCGGTCTCAAAGGATAAGTTTCCTGGAAAAGGTTTGACCGTTGGCTTGCCGTACAAACTCTGGGGTTGCAAATGTTACTGTTACATACAATGTCTCTCCCAGTCTGGCAGGAGACCGTGTTATTGCTCCTGGACGCGGGGAAGGTAGCATGGTGTAAACAAGTCGCTCTTCTCTCCGGTAAGCCGCGTCCTCGGTGACCCATCGTAATAAATGCATGAAAGCAGGCAATATTTAACGTATGCTGCAGATTTGTGCAACGTTGAAGGTCGGATGATAGCCCATATTAGAGCAAGAATCATGGGGTAAGGCAAGGTACGGTGGGTTGCACACGCTGGCTGTAACTCCTCATCTTCCCCATGATGGACAACGACACTGCTTGATTGAGCCCTTGCAGAAGTTCGTGCCTAGGTATGCAGACGGACTAGATCACAGGGCCCGGTTTAGGCCAAGCGGACTCCCCGGCCGTTGTCCAGCTCCCGCGCACCCCTCCCGCCGATTCCGCTCCTTGGCACATGTAATGCCGAATAACCATCGGCCTCAAAAACCATGGCCAGGTGCTTTCGGCCATCTCGGGTATCGCGCCCACCTTCCGCATCGGCTATCATCCGCTCCGTGGTAGCGCCACCATATGTGAGAGCAGGACAACACGACTCTCTCGCGTCCTCGGTGTCCGGCCCCCAGCAATGTGACGAACCGTTGCTTCGAGCGCGGCCAGTTGCCGATACGACGAATTCCCGCGTGGCCTGCGTGAACCCAGGTACAGCAGCGCCCGAGCGGTGAACAGGCCCCTGACTAATGCAATGCTGAGCGACACTCATAACGTAGTGTCCGTGTCGTACCGCACAAAAACGTGACCGAACTTCCACCGTAATGGAGTCATCCCGTGGGACCAAATTTAGCCCTTCTCCCTCAGCCGTGCCAAAGCAGCAGCTATGCCGTCGCTCAGCTGATCCTCCTTGCGGGCCGGCGCGGCGGCCGTCGTGAGAAGCCCCCGGGCTGGCACGGCTTGGTTGTCTCCCATCGCAAACTCAGCCTCCACTTCCGCCGCCGCAGCAGCGAGAGCCTCCGCAGCACCCTCCTGCTCTTCGGGATCCGCACCCGCACACTTGGTCTTCGAACTAGAACCCACCGACGCTGCACCGGGCGCCCTCCTTTTCGCCGCCTTCCTGGCCCGGAACGGCTCCTCCACAGCCTTGCACCACGCCTTGACCTTCTTCTCGCCCCAGCCGCCCACCACCGCGACCTGTTCCGGGTCGGCGTTGACGGCATGTCGCAGGCTCCCAAACGTGCTGACCAGCGCGACGGCGTCCGCCTTGTTGATGTTGCGCGGCACCGTCACGAACTCGACGAGGCGCTCGGCATAGCCCGTCGCCTGCTGGCCGCGGATGGCCGAGAATCCGGCGTGCTCGTAGGACTTGTACAGCTCCAGGTAGCGGGCGGCCTCGGCGGCCGACCAGGCCAGAATGACCGTCACGTTGTTGACGAGCGACGCCTTGGACAGCTCGCGCAGCGCGTCCTCGTGGTTGGGGATGTCGACTAGCGTCAAGAGGATGCGGAGGTTGTATTTCCCTTGCAGGTTGCGGATGCGCGTGTAGATGTACTCCGGGTGGAGGCGGTGGTATTTGAGGCTGTAATTGCGTTTGCCGGGGGTGTCAGCTGGGTTTTCTTTCCGTGAAGTTGTAGAGGAGGGCATGGGTTGGCGGGAATACAGAAAACGGAAAGTAGGAAAAGGGGGAAGCAACGCACCTTAGAAACAAGGCGCATGTCGTCAAGCCCAGCCCATAGTCCGCCGGTATGTCACTGAACTCCCATGGTATCGACTTCAGGCACGCCAGCACGGGGTTTCCCTTCTGTCGGGGCGAGACGAGAATGGACGATCCCGAACCACGCGCCGGCAACGCTTGCGGAGTTGGCTGTACGACTTTGGGCGGTCCCGAACCGGAGGCATTGGATGGTGGTGCGCGATCGAGTCGTTGCGGTGTCGGCTGCTGGATTCTTGGAGCTGGTCGGGGCTGAGGTTGCGGGGCTGGATTGGCTTGCGCGGTCGCAAGGGCGACCAGGACATCGTCGGCGTCTCCGTACTCGTCGTCCATCTTACTGCTATATCGCAGCCGTCGGAAAACGGTTCCTTCCAGTTGTAAGCTTCCTACTTGGTGTCAGGAAGTACGGCTTAATGTCTGGCATGGATGTGTCGGCGGTTGAAGCTAACCTGAGACTATCCGCAGTGGGTCACGCCAAGCTTCAAACCGTTTCTTGTTTCCTCAGCAGGCGAGTCATGTTACATACAATACCTCGATCCCGGACAAGCCACAACCCTCAGAACCACTGGCGTTTCAACACGAACAATGAAGTCAGGCATACACGACAGCTGGGTTTTGCGTCAAACTGTAGCCCGGAGGAAAGATTGACCTGGCTCCGCGACTCCAGTGCTTGTCTGACCTTTTGATTGCGGAGTGATCTAGGCTTTCGGGTTAGGGTTAAATTTGGGCTCAGTACTGAGCTCAGCCCGAGCTAGGAGTAGGGCCTAGACACTTCTGGGGACAGGTCTTTAGGTATAGAGTCGCCTCCCCCCGTCTGTCGTCTTGCCTTTCTACCTTCCTCTCAATACCTATGATAGTAGGCAATGCGAGCTACTCGTAACTCTGGACTGTGTATGGCCTTGCCGTACCTTGATAACCTGGCGTAGTTGTTAGGCGCTTAGTGATAACTACGAAAACTAGAGGATGCCGAATGTCACCGTCATTGTCATTGCTATCCTGTCTCGACCCGGTGCATAGGATTCAAAGGTATGAGCTAGGGCGCTGTGGGACTCGCGGAACCAGATTGTGCGGGAAGTGTAGAATTAAAGAACTAACCATGGGATGTACGAGAAGATAGGTTCACCGCTTGACTTCTAACTCACCGCCGAGGAAGCCGTTGTTTAGATGTATGCCTGCTGCGGTTTGTTTATCTGACCATTATCACCATACACCCCCATATTCGTCCCTGAAAACAGGTCTTCTCGACGTATCGCTCCGTCCAAGCCTTGCTGAGGTGGGTGCCTCACGGGCCAGCAAAACAGCCAACAGTGTGCTGAGCGACGCGTTCAACGTAACAATAACCCCTTAATCGTTGGTAAGAAATGGCGTTTCGAGGATGGCTGGAATATATTAGCTTTATGGAAAGATCTTGGACTTATAGCTGGACAAATCTACAACCCTGAATAGTACCGTATGCCTACTAGTTCGGTATCCAACACTCATTCTTTCGTCATCGCTCAAGCTAGTGTCCAATTGTCAGAACAGAGAGGGCACCCCCCCAGTCGTCATTACATAATCGTCTGTGAGCCGGTCGAGAATTTTACAAAGTACAAGTCTGTTCATACACGTACTCCAACGACACCGTACACGGATAAGGTAAGGTATATCAGGCGAGCTACCTGGTACCCAGATGCGTAACTTATGCACAAATATAGGTACTTTACCTAGGCATATAGGTACCACACATTTGCGAATACGTAACCTAGCACGTGCCTAGGTACCTACCTCCTCATATTACATCTGGACGCTGAGCACACAGGCAGAACCAATCTCGAGCCAGTTTCCGTTCCGTAACAGAGTATCACGGTCAGCCGTTGGCTTGTTATTTTTGCCCCGGGACGTCAAAACTGCGTTGGTATTGAAAACGGCCGTTTCGTCAGTGCTGTAGGTACTGCCTGAGAACTAAGGTACACTGCACATCTCTGAATTGATGTTCGTCTATCACCGGCTGCACTACCTACTTCATCCCACTGGCAATCACCAATACCAAAACAGTGTAAAGGTGTCTCCCCCCCGAAAGGGGCGCAAGATGAGAGGTGGAACAACTGCGCCAGAGATAAAACGGGTCCCGAATCCAGCCTCAAGCATCAATGCGGAAGGAAGAAATCAAAGATTCAAAAGAACCTAACATTCTGTTTCCTCGTTGAGAAGGGGTAAACCAAGATTGGAGCCATCAGCAAAAAAGAAAAGCCCGAGGGGCGAGTTGCCCAACCAAGCCCTTCGCATCAACAAACGATGGTCGCTCTATCCATCAATGCCACGGCCGCAGAAGTTGGCGTCCCTGTTCTCGTAGCCGGTCTGGGCGCCCGTGTTGCCGTCGCGCCAGTACTCGCGCCACCCGGCCCTGTACCAGCCGCAGACGTTCGTGATCAGTTGGAGGTCGTTGGTGATGTCGCTCCGCTGGCAGGCCCAGGCGTTACTGCCGTAGTTGCAGATGTACGCGACGGTGCTCCCGGCGATCGAGTAGAAGTCCATGCCCCGGTTGATGGCGCCGGGCTGGCACTGGAACTTCAGCGCCTCCACAGCCGCGTCGGTCGAGCCGTGGTCGAGATCGTAGTTGCCGCAGCCGATGCCTGGGGCTCGCGGGACGTGGATGCGCGAGGGCGTCATGGGCTTGCGGGGAGCTGCTGCGCGGGCCGCCAGCTGAGCAACCTCGGTCTGGTTCAGGGGCGGGCCGATAAGCGTGTGGATGGCCTCGCCGTCGTTGCTGAAGTTGACGATATAGACGCCGTCGGGCTGGTCGGCGGGAATGGTGAAGCCCGCGACAAGCCCCGGCAAGAGGAGGAGAAGTGCGGCGGGATGCATGGCTTTCGGTTGAGGCCTGGTTTGGGAATGGAGAGGCAGGGCAGTGGTTGAGAAGGAGTTGAGTCTGAAGCTGTTGCTGCCAGTGTTGTTTGGAGGCGAGGAGGACGAAGCATTCAAGGGCGGAACAGCGGCCCCCTTTTATAGACATCTCCGTCTCTCCATCAACGCCGGCCATCAGAGAGCCACCGCAAAAGTCCGCAATGGGCAAGACCACCAAGTTGCCATCGTCGTCTGCACCCGGGTCCAGTCAAAGTGTTGCACCTGTAAGGTCCTTACATCATGCGGTTGGCTGGCAGTACTATGCAAGGACTACGCATGAAGAAGGTAGTACGGTATCTCGGTTGGAAAGGCTGAGGGGGCGGCAAGCATCTTGGACCTCCTTAGACATGCTATGGTGAAGAAGAGTCAGAAGACTGCTTGCGATGGACATCACGAGCTTGTGTTACAGTACCTACCTGTTAGCTAGGGGCGTAGGGCTACGAAAGTGCTTACTTCAGTTATTGGGACGCAGCTAACCCCAGCCATTGTACTACCGGCGCCAACGTCCATTGGAAAATAAAGTGATCAAAGCCTTATTAGGCCGTTGTTGTATTGTACCAGCATAGCATAAATATACCACCCTATGTAACTCCGCGCCTGACGCTCTCATTGTTCTGTACCACACCGAGCTTCTTGGCCCCAAGAGGAACAATGACCTGGGGGCCGAGGAATTGCATTGTGCCGCGCTCTCATATTACAAGATAAATAGTACGTATCCGCACTCGGCTACGAGGTGAAATCTCTTACCTAAGTTTCCCACAAATCACCCAGTCATATCTTATGAGTCGCCCATGCATCGCATCCGCACCTCTGTCCCACATGGTCCTAAAAGGACTTTAAGATCTGACTTAGACAGCGCACACAAATCCCAAGCATTGTGTCGCGGGCGTCCCGGGGGTAGCCACGAGGCTTATTAGGACATTACACACGTCCTATGCATATAGTAATAGGCATTCCTTACCAGGTAGGTATGCTTGGGGGGCCCAAGTGGCTTGGATATGTAGGCAGGACCTGGCAGGTGCTACGCGATGGTCTGTTCAGAAAACTGCTCACGGTGCCGAATATGGTAGCAGCTTTCTGAGTCTGACAATATTGGTAGCGAATGCGACATACATATCTGCGCGTTAGATTATAGACCTCGCCGAAAAAGGAGCATGTCCCAATTGAATTTACTAGCCATACCACCTTTCTCCGTATGACAGCACTCTAGATGTGGAGCGTCGTAAGCCGACAGACACCCTCCTAGGCTTCCCAAGTTCCAACCACCACCATTCGACCAGAAACACACGATTTTGCCTTTGGGCGTTTGAGTCTCGTGAGTGACGTGAGACAGCAGACACACACGCCAGACGCAATATCTTGGTTCCCTAGACACCGGAGTTAAGCGGTGAATAAATCGAGTGTCGCTTGTCACTCCCGGAGTTGATTTCAAATCATGCACACCTGGATTTCCACGCAAACCACATAGCCCAGCCACAAGGACTCGCAGTTCTGAGCCGCGGTGTACGGTCCAGTTTGAGAGCAAGGTCATCCTGACAAGTGCTGCCACAGAGAGCCTGGAGCTCGGTCTTCCGTAGGATGGCAAAGCTGGCTGCTTCACTAAGACGCGCAGACAAAAATAGACATATGTGATTAGCGAAGAGTCCTCAAACAAAACGTTTAACTTGTAGTTTGTCTCTAATATTACTCACAGACCGACATGCACGGCGGGCCAGCCAGGGCATGAAGCAACCGGAGTGTTAGTCGCAGCGAAGTGATTGCTGCTGAGAAAAGATGTAGTCTCGAAACTATTAAGCGGTCGGTTGTAGCATAGGACCCCAACAGCAGCGCTGTCAGGGCAGTTGATCCAAACATGATAGTTTCGCCATCGTCAAACGAAATCAAGATGCAAAAGGACGGACGCGATACAGGAAAGCCGGTGGCCAGCGACTCCAGTTTCCAGATGGTAATGCACAGGAGGCAGATATCGAAAGCCAGAGATTGGAGCGGTTGCCCTCCGAGTCAGTCTGACCCATGTGTAACTTAAGGTACGCAAGTCCAAACGGTCCAATTGGGTTGGCGGGAGGCTGATGGTCATGGGATGAGGCCGGAAGTGGTGTGGTTGTCGGTGGTGCTCACTGAGTTATTTGAGTACTAGGACCTGAGTTGCGGGCCAGTCCGAGGAGTTGCTAAGGTACTACCTGAGGTAAGGTAGTTCTGGCAGAGGAGGCGAAGTTGGAAAGCACGATATCACTAGTAGTTCACCGATATTGCAACATCAAGCTTGTGCTTCATCACTCGACACCGCACAGGAAGGGCCCAATGATCAGCTACTTCTACATCACAATACACCGTGTTCTTGAAGCTCTACGCCTCCGATCTGCATAGCGCCCCGCGGTCACGGGAGAATTCGGCTCGGCCCTTGTGTAGACCTCTGCGGGCAGAGAAGCAAGCAGGTGGCCGCCGAAAGTGTAGTGGTGAGAGTTGGATATCTCGTCTGCGTGGATTGGTAGTGCAATGACTGACAATACGGACACGTCGCCGAAAGTAAGTCTCGAGAAGGCTGATAGGCCGTTTGACCAGGCCACCGAGCTTCGGAACGAGAAGTCCACAGTCTCTCGCTGCGCTCGACGGTAGGCGGTGGATGCCTCCAAGTCCGACTCAAAGGCGAATGAGGGTGTGCCAGGCGGCCCAGGCCCTAGTTCGAGGGCCCCAGAGGAGACAGATTGCTCGTCTCCGGCTGGGTTTCCCCAAGACTGTTGCATCTCGTCGTCTTCGGCGTGATCGAGTTTAGATGGGGCGGCAACGCCCCGCCTGTTGGAAATCAGGCTCTGAGCATCATAGAAATCCTCGAGCTTCGCCAACCGGTGGCAAATATCTCTGTTGCTTTCAAGGAGTTGTCTGACATTGCTCGTAAGTTGTTCTCGGCATTCCTCTGCGCGCATCGCCGAGTCGCTGGGCGAAATGTCAGCCATTTGTTGAACGGCTAGAAATCTGGAATGAAGGGATGGGATCGTGGGAAGAGCAGAGGTGATGAGCGCCATACCTTTGAAAAATGCCCAGCATCAGAGAAATAGAAGCTTTGAAGCCTTGTAAGCGCGTCACAATTGACGTAAGCTCGGTCTCCTTTCTTGCCCACTGCAAGCGGAATCTGAAGTCAAGACTCGCAACAGGACTCGGAGAGTCCCCAAGGAGAAGAGACCCGACCGTTGCCTCGAGGTGGGAGAATAAGAGAACGCCATCGGTCAGGATAGCGATAAGCTGGTCGACCTGGACGAGTGCGGCACGTTGAACAGGCACAGATGCCATATTCTGCGCAAGGCTTTGAAGCGCTGACAAGATGATGGTGGTGGCCTGAACTTCGGTGTGTACCGTAACGGCGATCTCGGGTGTGTCGCGGATCGCAGCGACATAGGGCCCCAGCAGCTTGGCCACGGCGCCCGCCGCCGAGAGTAGACCTCCGATGGACGCGGCTACACTCAACGGATCCATTGTTGGACTAAACAGAAGTTGTTGGGGGGGCAAGTCGTCAAGTCTTTGAATAGTGCTTGGAGGTGTGTTTTTCGCAGCCTTGTGTTGCCTCCAGGGCCGGAGTCGCCGCTGGACCCCCTGATATCAATAATCAGCCGCACCGCGGCTTACTAGCTCAGCCACCACGATACGTGTAAGTGATTCGCTTTACCATAGTTCCAGTTTTATGGTCCCCCGCCAATCATACTTCTTCGTACCTTTATCTGATTCTTGAAGATGTTGTTTTCTCCCCCTGTTCCCAGCATACCCTAGTGCGGTACGCGCACGCGCTCCCTGGGAATGATCCAGGGAGCGTCCAGCTCTATAGAGTGATTGGAAAATGAACAAGAATACATGGTACACTTCCATAAACATCTCAAGATTCTAAGAATCGTCGGGCATGCCTACCATAGCGCGCCACAGGGCGCTGGCTTGGTGGCTCATACTCCCTGTACTCACCAATAACCACGATGGAAACGCTCGGTCGGAACTTCTATGTCCAGGTAAAGCAAACGCGATGGATACTGGATTGCCTCGAGATCTTGGGTTGTACTTTATATAGTGAGTACATAGTTTTGGTTTCTCATGGCCCATCACGTCATATAAGAGTGTTACTATAACTAAATGTTAATCAAACCTCGGACATGGAACCTGTCTTCGCGATGCATCTCAGCTTCCAGCTTCAGGTTCGATTCGAGTCCACACAATATTCTGATTGCCCCGTGCCAGTTCTGGTCACGCCGCTTCACCTTATCGACGCTCTTCAATAGCGGTCGGGAAGAAGCACCTTTGATTTGAACGCCGTGGCGATCGTGATGAACACATACAGCCAGATCAAACAGGCCAAACAGCTTAGCTTAGAAGAGGATCATCTGTTGATAAAGCAGCGGTCTATTGAGATGGAAACAAAACTCGGTACCTTGGTATCGCACACACCCAACGCCACAATCTACACTAATAATCCCACAACTCCTTCCCAACCTGGAAATCCCAACCAACCCCTGCCACATAATCATCACCAGTGCACATGCACCCCACCATCCGCAGTCCCATACTCTCGTCTCTCCAATTTAGCGAGCCAGCGAGTCGTGGATGGCGTACAACGCCCGTAGCCACATATCAAACATGCGCTCCATCTCCCTCGCCCGCCGCCCATCCTCATCCTCATCATCATCCTTCCTGCCGTGACTAGCAGTAGTAGCAGTAGTGGTACCGATCTCAACCAGTTGGTCCCGCAACCGCTCGTACGCCTCGATCATGGCCCACACCTGCAGCGCCGACATGCCGCTGTTACTCTCACTCTCCGGAGAAGAAGAAGAGGAAGAGTGGCTCGCCGGCCGGCTCCCTCCAATTGCCGCTGATAGCTCGCGCGTGAGGAGATCGAGACAGATCTGCAGGCTTACGTTGCTGCTGTCGTTCGCAGAAGACGCAGAAGACGACGATAATGATGGTGATGGAAGCCTTCTCTCTGTCGTCGTCTGGAAAGAAGGATGGTGGTGGGAAAATTGGGACGGTAGCTCCGGAGAGAAGGAGACGGGCTTGAAGTATACGGCTTCGTCGTCGAACGAGACCAGCGTGTCGTTTTCTGATCGTGGAGATATATCCTGCCACTCGGCGAAGTCGAGTGAAGGGTCCAAGGGAGATTCCTCTGGGGAATAGTAGCTCGAGCTGCGCCGCCGTTCAGTAGTGGTGGCGAGGAGTTCGCAGTTGTGGCTGTCGTCGTGCTGGGAACAATCGGTATCCGAATACGTGGAGTCGCGCCGAACTTCCAGTAGAGTCCGGTACTGCTCCGCGATTAGGTCGACGCTCGATGTCCTGGTCCTGTCATGGCCGGGACAGGGCTTCGGGGCATCCTCCACCGGGGCGATGGAAAGCGTTGGTGTCTTCCTGCGCGGCTTCATTTTCGAAATCGAGAGGGCGCGACGGATCTGGGTCGACGAATGCCGCCGCAGCTGTTTGCCGGGAATGAGGTGCGAGAGTTCCGAGAACATCTGAGCTGGCTGTCTGAGTCGTTCTAAGGGCGGGAAAGGTGTCTCGCGTTCGTAGAACTGCCCGTGTCTTCGTGAAGGCAAGTCTGGTCTAGGATTACTGGGATCCAAAGATGCTGATGATAGTTGACGGGGCGTCAGGAATTTCGACTCGTCGTCTTGGGTATTGCTTATATCGGCTCTTGTTACCGGGCGTGATATGCTTGCGTGGAATTGTTTACCGAGGTGGCAGCTTCGTTGCTTCGTGACGCCCTTTTGTAGTTTTCTCTGTGGCGTAGATGCTCTCGCTCCAAATAAACCTCCTTTCCATTGTTCCATTGTGTATTGGGAAGTGCCTATTGAGGAGCCCGTAATAATAGGAGTCCACAACTCAGAAGGTCACAATAGGGAACTAGCAATAGGCTATTGTTGTGCGATTGCGGCTATTGATTGGATGAAGACTGAAGCTGAGCTGCAGAGTGATCATTTATACCACATTTTCAGAATAGCTGCTCCTGGACCCGAGTCAGTTCCGGTGGCGATAGAAGGCCGCAAGAAGCTTCTATCACGCCTTGATGACGATACGGAGTCATGAGGGCATGGTTGATGTGCTTGGCATTGAAGGGCTGGCGAGCTGGAGTGGTGGCTCAAGTTCGCCTTTGGCGGAGCCCAAGTGCTCAGAGTCGGGGATTCCGGCCGATACTCGAGGCACAAAATCAAACCCCGCGGCCACTGACTCGAGAGATCATCAGGTGCGAAGCTCTCCATGTTAGTACTATGCAGTGGATGAGTAGGTGCGCGTGAACCCGCTCCAGCAGTCGGCAAACACCGAAATGGTGTTTGCTCCTTCGACATCCAGCATTCGAGGGTGCCTTCCTCGCTTGCATGATACTAGTAAGTAGTTCCATAGTTCCATCACTTTTAGCAATGCAAAGAGAACACTTCGGGTCTAAATCCCGCTTCTGAGTGAAACTGACAAGGCGTTTCCGTTACGCTGGTGCATACACAGACGAACACCTTGAGAAGCACACGCCTGCCCTTGAAACCGTCTGCTGTCGTGCGAGGGCGAAGGCATCCAGTGCTAATCAAACGGGACAGGAACAAAATTACCGTGCCCCAGTGAGCGTTTCTAACCTTTTTAATGGGGCCCGCAGCCCGTATTTCTACGGCTAGACACGCATCTATCCCACCTTGCGAAGGCTAGCCAACTTCACCTCCAATTCCCACCACTGACTGCTCCGTACGGTACTGTGGTTAAGCATCAGCTAAGGCGGCCAAGGCTCGTCTCCAATCCGCCGGCGCCATGGAGAGGGCTTGGCCGGGTGACAGAAAGGGATTTGGCGATGACGTCCTGGACCGGCAATCGCCGGCCGACACTCGGACTTCAGCGTGAATTATTCCGACGACAACAACCATCAATAGGTCGACTCCTGATACAGGGCGCGTCAGTGATGCTGCGATGCGGTGCCTCGAGGGTGCCCTGCTCAGCAGTACTCCGTACCCCATACTCCATGATTTATCCATCAATCACAGGCCGCTGCCTCGACCCCGGAGCTGCCCGCAACGTTCAACCCCACCATGCCCCTCATTCCCAACACTGGGCCCCACGCATGGTCGCTATAGAAGTGGACGGTCAAGGTCGCGTCCTGGAGCTACCATGGTGCTGCCGACTGGATTTAAAGCGGTTGTTAGCAGTGAGGGGATTACTTAGGACAGTAGGTTGATACTCGTCCTCGACATCTCGTTCACCGACCCGTACCCAGCCCACTGCGCGTTCTCTCCCCGTAGCAGCCGCCAGCCATGCCCGAAATCACCATCACCGGCTGGACCACACGAGATGTCCGGTTTCCGACCTCTCTGGACAAGACCGGCTCGGATGCCATGAACGCAGCAGGCGACTACTCGTCTGCCTACTGCATCCTCAAAACAGACTCCTCCTACACGGGCCATGGCATGGTACGCAGACAGACCACACCCCATCCTCGCAGCACTCCCCTCTTCCCAGGCTAATCCACGGTCCATCCAGACCTTCACCATCGGCCGCGGCAACGACATTGTCTGCGCCGCCATCAACCACGTCGCCGAGCGCATCAAGGGCCGCACGCTGTCCAGCCTGGTCGCCCACTGGGGCCAAACATGGCGCCACCTCGTCAACGATAGCCAGCTCCGCTGGATCGGGCCCGAGAAGGGCGTCATCCACCTGGCGCTGGGCGCCGTGGTGAACGCGATCTGGGATCTGTGGGCCAAGGTGCTCGGCAAGCCCGTGTGGCGGGTCGTGGCCGAGATGACGCCCGAGCAGTTCGTCGACTGCATCGACTTCCGCTACATCACCGACGCCGTGACGCCCGAGGAGGCCATCGCCATGCTGAAGGAGGCCGAGGCCGGCAAGGCCGAGCGCATGCGCGACGCCGAGAACAGCCGCGCCGTGCCGGCCTACACCACCAGCGCCGGCTGGCTCGGCTACGGGGAGGACAAGATGCGCGCGCTGCTGCAGGAAACACAGGCCAAGGGGTACAAGCACTTCAAGCTGAAGGTCGGCGGCAACGTCGAGCAGGATCGGCGGCGGCTGACCATTGCGCGCGAGGTGATCGGCTACGACAAGGGCAACGTGCTGATGGTGGACGCCAACCAGGTGTGGTCGGTGCCCGAGGCCATCGAGTACATGAAGCAGCTGGCCGAGTTCAAGCCGTGGTTCATCGAGGAGCCGACGTCGCCCGACGACATCCTCGGCCACAAGGCGGTGCGCGACGCGCTGCGGCCGTACGGCATCGGCGTGGCCACGGGCGAGATGTGCCAGAACCGCGTCGTCTTCAAGCAGCTGCTCATGTCGGGCGCCATCGACGTGTGCCAGATCGACGCCTGCCGCATGGGCGGCGTCAACGAGGTGCTCGCCGTGCTGCTGATGGCCCGCAAGTACGGCGTGCCCATCGTGCCGCACTCGGGCGGCGTCGGCCTGCCCGAGTACACGCAGCACCTCAGCACCATCGACTATGTCGTCGTCAGCGGCAAGCGCTCGGTGCTCGAGTACGTCGACCACCTGCACGAGCACTTCCTGCACCCGTCCGTCATCAAGGACGGCTACTACCAGACCCCGACCGACCCGGGGTACAGCGTTGAGATGAAGCCCGAGAGCATGGACCGGTACGAGTTCCCCGGCGGCGACGGCAGCTGGTGGCGGAGCGAGGAGGCCAAGCCGATATTGGAAAGCGAGAAGATATAACGATGTGTAGGGAATAAAGCATCTTAACAGCGTTCTCCCGGGCGGTGCTATAGTAAAACTGGAATGGGTAATAAATGTGTTCAGGTACCATGGCTTTTATAACTCGAAAATGGTGAAAGCGGGCAGCGCAAAGCTACGGGACAAGACTGGTTTGTTTGTTAGCGCGGAACGTCGCCCCATCACGCTTTCCCTTTTTGTCTTACCTTACCGGGCGTGCAGGCTCAGCTAAGCAAAACCCTCAACCTAACCAACAACTCCCCGATCTCACACCCACCACCCTTGGTACGGATGCGTAGGGTTTTGAATCTTATCATAGCATTAAGCACTACTCTACGAAATAGTTCTCCTTAGGGAATAACATTCAAGGAGCTTTAAGGTTTATTTTATAAGAAGAATAACGTAGTTGATAAGCGAATGCTCCAGACAAGCGAATGCTCCACAAAGTTGCACCTATATAACAAAATGTATATCAATCCCACCAAAACCGCTTCAAACAAATGAAACTACTCGGAATCGTCTTCCTCAGACGTTTCTACAACTATCTGACAGGTACGCGCATTATGGCCAGGTTCGCCGCAGGTGCCACAGCGCTGCGCGCGCGTCTCGACCCTCGGCTTCCGACCACTACCCGCCCGTGTTTCCTCCTTTATCTGCACCTCAACCTCTCTCTGACCCTGCAAGTCCTTTGCATCTTATATAGTAAGCAATCCTCCTTGTCGGAGCTGTTGTTTTTTAGCCTGCCGACGCCTGCTTAGTACCTTATTTGCTGCTCGGAGGCTTTGGTTCTCTGCTCTTAACAATGCCAATTGATATATAACCTTAGACGTCCCTTTTGTAAGGATATCAACTGCTCTTAAAATCTCGGTTGGAGAGCTATTTTGATGCCGGGCAATTCGATTCTTGATAAGGGTGGACTACGAGGAAGCTTCGACTAGGTTGTTTGGGGTCTTAGAAACCCAGGTGTAGGTACTGCCAGGCTGGGAGTTTGAGGGTATTAGTGTCTTCAGACGGATGTCGAGCTGGGAGATTACCTTCTTGGGATCAAAAGGAACGAGTCCAGCGCCTTTAAAACCTCCCTAAATATTTCCGGGTGTTATTACTACCTGGTAAGCTACGAGGAATACGGGAAAGAAGTCTTCCTTAGTAATATAGGTTATGCTTGCCCATATTATCGCCTCGATCTGCTTGCCATATACCGTCTTAAGCGGGCTAAAACACCTAATATCGAGCGGCTAGAGGATATAAGATAAGTGCAGAGATATATAGAGCGTAATAATGTTATTCTCCTTATAGTAGAGCTCGAAGTCGATCGAGTAGTGGCTATTATAGCTGTCGAGGACGAGAAGGCGATAAACCCCAGTTGTTCGAGCTCTGGTATATATGTCGAAATACTTGATCTAATCTAAACCTCTGTTATTGCTAGTCCAACTGTTTTCAGATGTCGCAATAACCTATTCCTTTGGTAATAGGCTGCCCTTATACTAAGAGGAGAGGTAATATTTGCCCTGGACGATAATAAACGGTGGGATCGCCTGGCCAGTAGCATTGATACCCTGGATCACTATTGCCCACTCCTGATTACTAGGCTGCTTTGACTTTGCCCTACTATAATGTTCAGAGCTTATAATAACCATTGAGGTTGTAATAACGCCTATTAGAAACCTAGTCTCGTCGAAGTTATAGATATCTGCCTCCTAGATGCCGTACTTTGCGATCGTATTCTATACAAGCGCAAACTAGCTCCGAATAATTTCTGGGTCTTTATATTAGGCCCTCTAGTAGTTGTATTTCCGATTGAAACGCATAGTAAGCTCAGGGTACCATTTGACGAAGTTATATACCCAACGTATACCGACGCGTCCTACATCATATTTGGCAAATAGTCGATTTGCTATATCTTCTATACCAGACAAGCGGGGAGGAAACCTTTTGGAATCTAGGTCGAGGATATATTAAATAATAACCGATTCTTCCAAATTGGTCAACTTCCGCGAATTAGCTAGAATGTCGCGTCGTAATTATATATTACGCCTATAACGGCTTAGCTTAGTATAATAAACCGCATAGATCTTAGCTACAGCTCTTAGGCTCAAAGTAGAGTCTTTCTCAAGAGCTTGGAGGGCTAAAATTATCTGGCGTTCGTCGTCTTTTGGATGCATATTGGGTTGCAAAGAAAATGTATGCGAGGAGAAGGTGTTATGTAGGCGCGGTAAAGTGGAGCATTCGCTTGTCTGGAGCATTCGCTTATCAACCACGTTAGTATTATTCTCAAAATGATTCAAGGGATATTACTATTTGCTCCACTTAAAGTACTACCGAGCCGCTTGATCCTGCCCGGCCGCGCAAACGTGGTCTGTGTTACAGTGCTGGTCAGCTTGCATGACTGTGATAGGCACTGTGACACGTACCATATTGCCCAGGCACGGAAGGATCAAACCAATCGGTGCCACGGAAAACCCTTAGCGCCCCCCACGTAGCATATCCGACCTTCGCGGTGTTTTACGGTATAAAGAGCAGCGAAAGGCTACAAAAATAAAAGAGAATTTAGCCGCGACTCATTTCGATCGAGTGACCTCCGGGTACTTATTAGCATATTTACCAGGGGACGACCCTGGATTTGGTGGGTTCGCTGTATGACCGGGATCCATGGATGTGTTATGAAAGTTGCACAAGGATTACGGTATATTACACCCTTAACGTCATCAAATCCACTGGCCCAAGCTCCTGTTCTACGGAGTACCTCTGGCATCACCACCTCGCTTGTCCCTGGCCGAAGCGCCAACATACGCAGCCAATTGCTATTCTGTCTCACTTCTTTAAGTACCCCGTTAATCGAGACAACCATGTCGTCGTGGCCAAGCGGAGACTGGCCGAGCGACTCGGCAGAGGAAGGCCAGCAGGACCGCCCAACCGATCCGAACTCGCTTGGGAAGCTCTCCCCGCGCGGCCAGATTATCGGAATCACACCGGAGCAGACGGAGCGGGCGTTGAAGCTGCTCAGCGTCCCATTTGATAGTCTCCCGCAGGTGCCACCCTTTGCGCCATTCTTCGGCTACACGACCCAGTGGCACAAGGTCCAGGTTGCGAGCAGCCTCGCCGGTTTCTCGGCCGAAATGCGCCGCGTGTTGACAACAACGGAGGCTGATGCGCTCGCCTATCATCGCTCCAGATGCTGCGCGATATCTTCCTGGTCGCCCCCTCTAGTGCTAGCAACTACGCTGTACTTCACCTGGCGCGGCCGTGCGACGCTCCGCTTCCCCTTCATCACCCCCGACCCGGCGAAGTTTAATCCGAATGCCTTCCCGACCGCCTCGAGACCGTTCCTCACGGGCCCGTCGGCTGTCCGGCTCTGGCACGGTTTTCGCTTCGGCGCGTACGGAATCGTGTGCTATTTCTTGGTCAAGGGCTTCGTCGATTCATATGCGTATACGACCTACCTAATGAATGTGATCGCCGACCCCCGGCTCAAGACGATACGCGACGCCGCGAAAACGGTAAGGAACCAGCAAAGCGTGCCAGGCACCGACGCCATACAGGGCGCACCGGGATATGAAAGAAGCACGACAATCGGAAGCTGGTCCCCGCAGCAGCAGCGCCAGCAGCAACAGCAGCCAGCACAGCAATCCGCGCCGCAGCCACAGGACGCGGCGCAGGATGATGACACCTTTTTGTTCGACGATGCCTCACCGGTTGCGCCGACTCAGAGACAACGACCTAAGCAATCCTCAACCAGCTACAATCCTTCAACGGGACAGGGATCTGCCTGGGACAGGGTCAGATCGCAGGCGATCGCGGAACAACTCAACCAAAGGTTCGAGCAGGCTGGGGAGCAGACACAACAGAGGATGACGGATCTGGAGGCCGCGCTGGAACGGTTTAATAATAAACAACGGCGGCTCGGTGGCCGGGAGAGGACGGAGCAGCCCACATATGGGAGGAGTGAGCAAGAGAAGACGGAGCAGTACACATATCCCACGAGCGAGCAAGAGAAGGCGTACGCCAAGGAACAGGCTCAGAAAGAGTTCGATGCCATGTTGGAACGGGAGCGGCGCGGCGAGGGCAGTTCCGGGGGGCGCATGTGATGCTGAACCGCAGAATGCAACACTGTTTCGTAATTTCGCCCCTCATACATTGTTGCGCTTCCCGGCGATTCCGCTGACTGGTTGTCATTCTGGTTTCGAGATGCATAATTTATATTTGATCCCACGAAGCTGACGGCTCAGCACAGTCGCTTCTCAGCCTCGCTGTCCCACCTAGGAAGATTCGAAGTCGGCGGTCCTTGGCCAATGAACAAGCAAACCTGTTCCCGATCCCGACCCGTTCAGGACCCATGCAGCACCCTTGTCCGAGCGGGCCACTTAAATCCTTCAGCGGTTCCGACGGCTCTGCCGAGACCTCGCTAAGAAGCGAAATGCTTGGCCGGGGTTATTCGTCGAGTCCGGCACCCGGGCGATCAATCAACAAGGGAAGCACCCCCCTACGGATACAATCCGGTCAAGGACTAGTGTGCCTAGTACCTAGCTCGCAATGGGAGGGGGTCGGAGCAAGTTCCGTCGTCTTGCAACCCTTCTCAGGGACCGCGATTTTTGTTGGCGTCGATTGACTTTTGGAGTTGGCGCGTTGCGGGTTTGAGGACGCTGAGCATCCAGCGTCAACCAGCCAACGATGGCTACCTCGACGTCGGTCCTCGCGACGACAACCTCTCCGACGCCCCTGGTGATCACCTCCTTTCCCACGATACCATTGACCACGACCTTCACGCGGCCCAATGAAGGTTGTGGGGGCATCTACCTCCCGGACGACCCGCCGCTGTTCATGATCGATGACCGACCGTCCTGTCTGCCGTCCCGCTTCTCGACCTCGGACTCGTCCTTCTTCTACTCGCCGGGCATTGCCTGCCCGAGCGGCTACTGGACAGCATGCTACGACACCACGGGCGTGTCGTCCATCACGACGGTCACCTGCTGCCCGACCTACGGCGACATTAAGCTGTCGTGCGTGGCGGACCCGCTGACCCTTAGTAGCGTGTGGGAGACGCTGTTCTGCACGTGGGTCGCGCCGGCCGAGACGGGGACGGTCATCACGACAACCGAGAGGCGGGGGAAGACGTCGGTCGGGACGGCGCAGGTGACCGCGCCGGGCGGGATCAATGCATACGGCGTGCGCATGGTGTACCAGTCGACAGACTTGTACACCTCTACCTCGACATCGTCGTCGTCATCAGCGTCCGATACGACCGATACCGCCGCTCCCTCTACGACAGCATCCCCCGGAGACCCCCCCGCGATTTCCGGCTCCGCCTCCAGCAGCGCAGACTCCTCTTCGGGCCTCTCAACCGGCGCAAAAGCGGCAATCGGCGTCGTCATTCCCTTGGTGGTCATCGGCGCATTAATACTGGGGCTATTGTTCTGGCGCAGGAGGAAACAACAGGTACTACCACTATCGCCAGAGCAAGAATACGCAGCCACAGCCGCAACAGCATCAGTGGCGCCACCCGACGAACACCACCAGCTCACGGAGCAGCCGAAGTTGCCAGTGTACTACTACGGGAGCCCACCGCAGCCGACACAGCCGCACCCCCACGAGATGCCGGGGACGTATTATCTGCCAGAGATGCCCAGTGCGCGCCAGGCCGCGGCTGAGCTGCCCGCGGACCCGACGGAGCCAACGCCCACGTACACCAGTTATTACGGGTATGGGAAGTGATGAGTGGTTGCATTTTGAAAATCTGATTTCGCTTCGAGTTGAGGAGGAGATTTATTGAAGATGTTAATTCGACCTGTCAATATTGGATGAAAGTAGAGACCGTGTTTTCTTGATACAAAAAGGGGTCCTTATATTTCACCCGCCGGATACAGCATACAAGCTCCGGAGGAACATCGGTGCAGACACAGGTTTGAGAGGGCTCGGCGGGAGAAGTCCAACATAACTCCATGTACTGTACCAGTAATGAACACCGCGCCGTCATGCTGCTCCACACGGGTTGCACTGATGCATGTGCGAGTCCGGGATGTAAGACAAGACAGAGAAAGCGGGAATAACTATCCAAGGTACCACCATCCATCATTCGCAATCTGTATATCCTAGATCCTGCCCATCTGGCAACTCCCAACACACGCAAAAGGACAAAGACGAGCCGCCCACCTTGCAATAGGTGCAGACACCCAAAATCCGTCTATAAGCCGGCGGGTATCAGAATTCCCCCTTTCATCCCATGACCAAAAGTATAACTATTGCGCGGAAAGCAAGGCATGTCGCATCGACTCATTCCCGTCCATCCGTCATCGGTGCTGAAAGCCCCTACGGTGTAAAGTCCCCACGCGGGCCAAGGGGGCACAGCGGCCCCAACCGCCACCTTGAGACTCATCCCCCCCCGGGACACAACCGACGTCTCAAAAAGTATAGAGAAGAAAAAAGGAGAGATTTTCAGACACAGTCCCAGGACAAAATGACGCCATCCAGCCCCGGGCCAGGACCCCTCAGCCACACGCCGCGCTACTGGTTGTTGAGCAGATCGCGTGCTCGGCACGCCATGCCCGCGCCAACAGCCGCCATTCTCTTTTTCCGCTCACGAGATCGCCAAATATCCAACATTTCCGCAGCGAGCCAAAAGAGCGAATAAAGAATAGCCGGCGTCCCTCATATGCGTCTCTCCCAGCCCGATTCGACCTGAGATTCCCCAGCGATATCCCAGCTGGAATCCCTCGCAAAAGCCCATCCAGCCGAGGACGAACGAACCACCACCATCGATATCAATATATATAAACCTTCTCAGTCGCCCATCCCCGCCATGCCCGCCGTGGCCGAGAAATTGCCATACACCCCCTCCTCCGAACTCTCGCTCTCCTCGCTCGGTGGGCTCTGCATCACACTGGCCTCGGCGCTATGTCGTCCTTCTTCTCCACCACCACCACCACCACCACCACCACCAAACCCATGACCACCCATCCCCATCCCCATACGCGACAACCCACTGGCGGTATTGCCGGTCCCACCAAGGGCAAGCAAGCTCTGGCGCCTGGCAGCATCAATATCCACGGCACTCCCACTCCTGCTCAGGCTCGGCTTCTCAGGCAGCTTTTTCAACAACCCGGTCGAAATGTCCAGCATGCCCATGGCAAACTCGGTCAGCCCCTTACCCTCCCCGGGCTTGGACGACACCGACAGCGTCCAGCGGTACTCGGCCAGGCGGCGGCGGTACCACTCGGCCTCCTCGCGGCCGGGAGAGGTCGCCCACAGCAGCGAGCCAAAGGTGCCGATCAGCGCGAAGTTGGTCTTGGAGGCGAAGTACCAGAACGACCGCAGGTGAGACGGCGTCAGGCGGTTGACGAAGTCCATGGCGGAGATCAGGCGGGCTTTGGCCGCGCTGCGGCAGATGTGCTGCACGTACGGATCCACGCCGACGCCGCCGGGGGTTAGTACGGAAGAAAGTGAGGGCGAGATGGCGGCGGCGGCGGTGGCGGCGGGATTGGTGGTGGTGGGCGTCGTGCTGCCTCCTCCTCCTCCGCCTCCTACTGTTGTTGTTGTTGTTGTTGTTGTTGTTGTTGTTGTTGTTGTTGTTGTTGTTGTTGTTGTTGTTGCCGCTGAGGAGGTGTCCATGGAGCGGATGATGCGTCGGTGGAGGGTGATTTCGGTGGCAAAGTAGGCGAGGTGGAGGTAGCCGATGCTGGAGAAGCGTGGGCTGGGCTGCTGGTGGACGAGGCCGGGGCTCTGGAAGGACGAGTCCATGCGCACGACGGCAGGCAGGGCGCTGTACCACTCCTTGAGCTTGAGCTGGATCGGCTTGGCGAGCGAGAGGATCAGCTGCGTGGCCTGCGCGCCCGCGTTGGTGGCCGCCTGCGCCGCCTGCAGCGTGTAGAAGGTCTCGAGGATCTCGGCGAGGATCTGCGACAGCTGCACCATCTGCCCGAACAGCACCCGTCCGCGCTCGATCTCGATGCGCTCTTCGCCATCGTTCTCGTCCCATTCCACGTCCGGGAAGTCGTTCGGCTTCAGCTGCTGGACGGCCCAGTTGGGGGCGAATATGTGCGATGGCCGCCCGTGGACGAGCGCACCCCATTTGTCCTGGAACAAACGCTTCGTTAGCGCCCCCATTCGATCCCGCTGTTAGGCTGCACGGCTTACCTGCATATACAACGCCCAAGCCAGCCGTTTCCGGAGACCGCGCTCCCACGGCGGGATCTTCCAGTGGCTGCAATCTAGATGCAAGCCGAGCTCCTGGCCGATGGCGACGAGCTGGGCCGTCGGCGCCCATTGGTCTCCCTCGGGCCGCTGCGACAGAATGAGCCCGGCCTGGATTGTCGACAGCTTCGGCCGGTACATGGCGTCGGCCAACGTCGTCCGCACCAGCCTCTCGAGCTCGCGCACATTGGGCCGCGGGAGGCTCGCGAGCTCCTCGTGGTGCTCCCACCAGTTGATGGCCAGGAGATAAATGGCGGCGAGCAGCGGAGGCGAGAACTCGCGGTGCGACCGCTCGTACTTCTCGAGGAACACGGTCTTCTGTATGATGGGGAAGCCCGGGTGTACGACCCGGAAGTACAGGTCGATCAGCTTGCGGCCATGCGGGGCAACAATGTTCTCGATCTCGTCGGCGTCGTTGAAGATGTGTTCGTAGCCCGGCGTGTTGTGGTCGGGCAGCAGCAGGAACGTGTCTTGGTCGCTGACCCTCCTGAGCGTACCGCGTGCTAGGAGGCTCTCGTCGTGCGGGTCAAAGGGGGAGAGGTTGATCAGGGAGGGCTCGAAGTCGGTGGTCGGCCCGATATACTGGCTATACCGGTCCGCCTGGAGGCCGAGGGTGCGTTTGAGCAGCGTCGGACCGCCGAAGTTGGCCATATCCTCGACGAGCGAGCTGCTGGCCGTGGTGCACGAGACGCTCTGCTGCTGATGCCGTCTCCGCCTGATATCAGAGCGGCCAGGAGAACTACATTGGCCAATCGGGTGTTAGCCGACCTGTTGTAGATTCTGGCGCCCGGCCCTCGGTGTGCGCCTCATGCAGCGGGCACGGGGGGCAGAGGGGGGGAGGGCCACAGGCTGGCGTATTGGGGCAAGCGTGGGGTGCAGTTAATAAGGAGAGGTCCGCGTCTCACCTTCGTTTGCTGCTGCTGCCATCTAGGTCACCGCCATTCAGCTTGCGCTTGCGTGGTGGTGGTGGGCTGTCAACCATCGAGCACTCGGTGCCGGCCACCAAGCATGCAACACAGCTTTCCTCGTCGTCGCCCATGACACAATCGCTCCTCCGGTTCAGACAGGCCTCGCAAGGGCCCGAGGATCCACTTATTACCGAGTCCGAGTCCGGCGAGTCGAAGCCGCTCCGGAGCCCAGGGTACGAATCGAGGTGTAGGCTGCTTTGACGGCTCGGAGGGAAGCGCGGCGGTTTTGGCGCAATGGCAATGGGAACCGTCCGGGGGACGGCGCAAGGAGTAGACATGGCCGAGGTAATTTGGGGGGCCGTTTCGCAGCGGCGTCACCAAGTGTACGGCTGGCTTGGAAACTGGTTGCCGTTCGGCAGGATCGCCGAGAATGCAACCTGGCTAAACGGTCCTCCTCGACCCAGCGAACCAAGAGGATGGGGCGTTCCACTGCCGGGGTGCCACGGAGACGCACGGGAGGCGCAATCAGGCGACTGGCTCCTCGGATCGGGAAGTTTCCCGTCGATAACAGCCCCGCGGAGGTGGTGGGTGCGCAGTGACGCACACTGGACGGGGCCCAAGCAGCTGCCCCTGACCGTTCAGAGCTGTTGTTGGCACTGACAGGGTCCACGGATGCCACACGGCAAGGTTCTTTTTGTCAGCTTCCTGGAGATAGCCAACGCAGGTAGGTACTCTACCGCTCCAGCGGCGCGGGGAGGACGGCTCCGCGCTTGTCAAGCTGGGGTCCGATAAGAACGGGCCCGGCGATTGTACCGTGGAGATAAGGTGTAGGTTACGGTAGGTAGGTGACGTTGAGGTCGATGCCCCTCCCGGCTCAGCGCAAATCACCCCGTCCAGTCAAAGTCTCCCGCAATCCGCGCGGCTGGCCACGCCCACGCGTCCCTGGTCAACAAGATAACGACGGGCCGTGCAACGATGTTGATCCTGGCTGGTATCGGTACCCTGGAAGGTGGGCAACCGAGACGCCCTTATCGTGGTGGCTATCTGCTGTTTGGCACAGCCCTTTTCCACCCCCCGCTAGCACAGTTGACCGATAAGGGAAGTGCGTCTCGTGAGATGAAAAGGAAGGGGACGGCCACCTGGCAGCGCGCGCGGATGGAGGAAAGCAGCCAGCGATAGGTGAGCAGCAGCCGTTATGCAGGCCGTAAGATTGGGGATATTGGGATGCGGACCAGGACGACGGGGCCTGCAATTGGGGGATCTATGTGATGATCGAAACTAGCACGAGATAAGCCTGGCTTATCTGCGTCATCTGCGGCGGCAGCAAAGGCACGCGGCGGTTTGGGGTTTCGGCTCGCGCCGTGAGGCAACTGGCACAGAGCCCCTTTTTCACTTGGACCTGGACTTCGCTCTTCGAGTCAGGGTGTGTTGCATGTTCGACTGGGGGAGAGCGTGCAAGTGTCCAGAGAGGAGGTGGGAACAAGTGTTTTGCGCCAATTGACAAGTCGGGCAGGAGCTCAGAAGCCTCAGATCGATAAGGATAAAACCGACCCGGTCTGCGGATCCGCGAGTACGGCAGTTAATAATGAAGGAAGATCTAACTCCGACAGAAACTCAGTGATGTCAGAACTCAGAAGTTCTGCCCCTGATATCAGACGAAAAGGAAGGAAGCTAGGTAGTAAGTCCACAGATCTATTGAGGCTGTGCCAGCTTGGTTTTGTCTGTCTGCGCCTTCTGAAGCTCATTGCATGTAGATCCTTGAATCTCTGGCCGTCCTGCCGAAAAAGATATTCCCGCATACCTATTACCTACCGAGCGGCTACCGTGTCTCTTCTGTTGTCGTTTCCTGAGCGGTGCAGAAGACGCTGTGAATGCAGACCGATAACACACGACACCTTATCGGGCTGCGGATTTTACGTTCAAATTCCTAATGCCAAAGCCTCCAGATAAGGTTTCCTGGGTTGCAGAATTGAGTCTACCTGCAGTGACTTCTGACGTGCCTGCCGGGTTGCAATCAGTAACAGCTAAGAGACCTCCCTTGCGACAATCTCCAGCAAAGCTTCATGCCAAGTGTTTGGCTTCGGGAGCCTTCCACTGCCAGCTTAGGTCACTCCGAAGTCTCCGGCGCATCTGGTGCAACACTCCGCATTTAGCCCCGCCAACGTCGAGTGAAACCGTCGATGCGGATGGGGTCCGATTACTAAATGGAAACGCCTCAATGAGCCCCGGGAACCGGCTTGCGCCCTTCCAAGAATACTTGTAACGTAATGGCTCCCTTCGCCGAGCCAGAGCTGCAGCGACGACCTGACGACGTCCGATCAGAATCATCAGAAAGTGCAGACTGCGCGCTGTCGGATCCTGGCCACCTATCTAGCCGTTGATAACGATAAGGACGTTCCGAAAGCCTCATCCTGAAAGCCGGATGACAGTGGTAAGAGAGAACCTCATCTTACATCCGTATATATTGACGTTACTACCTTGGAGGCAGTAAGTCGGCCTGCCGGCGACCAACTTGTGATGAAGGCGGGAAGCACGACAAACTTGAGCCCCTTAGTCCGATCTTTTGCTCCGAGTATTTCTCGCTGTCCTACATCATGATCACAAAGCGAGGTGGGGCCCCCGAAATTGCATCCTGCATGTCCAGCTTCTTGCAGGCCAGACCGCTTGTTGTGTCGTCCTATGGGTTGTGCGGACGAGATCTTGTCATCCATACTGTGTACGTGAGGATACGACGCTCGCGTGCCCAGGTTTGGACTGCGGCGTCCTACATAGATACAGTTTTTAGGCATGTACAGACTCCCCCCAGACAAAATTGCTGCAACAAAACACATGACTGGTTACCACATAAGTCCACCAGATGAGGGGAAAGGACTGGGCTGTCGATCCTGTTTGATTCACCTGCACACTGATCCTGTCTTGACTTGCTCTCTTCATCAACACACAAGCCATGCGTGTTGACAGCAAAAGGTCGTGCCGCTCGCTTCCCGCTTGCCGCCCCAGGTCCCTTGAACCCCACTGCCCGTTGCAACCCAGCCGTGCGGAGGAGGGTCCCGGGGTGCCCTGCACCATTATTACCGTTACACCAGGTTGGCCCGGCGCGGGGGCGCCGGCTGCATCTCATCGCCCTCCCCCCACCATTGTCCGACTTCGCCAATCTGCATCGGCCAATGTGTATGTACATAAGCAGCGACGGGGACCAACAGCGTGAATTGCCAGAGCCGGCTGAATCGTCCAGGCGATTCGGCAGGAATACCCGTGGGTGTGGCGGCTCAGGACATGATGGAGAGGGCAGTCATCTGAACCATCGGCCACCGGATCCGGATGCGTTTCCCCTTGAGACGACACGTGTCCTCGTAGGTATCACAGTCCTAAACTGGGCAGTGGTTATTGCAGTTCATCCTCGTATAGATGGTTTTCGCTGAGGCTGCCGTTATGTTGGTGGCCAGTTCGGGGGTGGAAACAACCCATGCCTACAGCACATAGAAGACTGAGAAAGTGAGCCTATACACTCGATCTCCTCGGAACTCTTCTCTCTCTCCTTACGTAGTTGTCCCTGCCCTCCTCCTCTAACTTGACTCGCCATGTCCCTGCAAGGAAGGACGCCAGACCATGCACAACTCCCTGTAAACCTCGTTCAGCTCGGCAGACCCAGCACGCGGAATCCTCATCTGAAAGCAATCGAGCAGCTGAAACCCCAGTTTGGTGTACAGCGGGACCGCAACTTCGGTGCTCTCCAAGTAGACCGGCAGTCCGTCGGCCGCGGCCATCTCCAGCACTTTCCGTGTCAGCATAGAGCCGGCGCCCTGGCCTTGGTATCCCGGGTCCGTGCAAACGAAGTTCAACCCTGGACCGGTACCCAAATTAGCTCCGAACTCCAAAATATGATCGCCGGAGAATCGGACCGGTGTGTTTGGGGGCGGAGGGGCAGGGGGAGGGGATGTTGGGAACCCCCGCGTCGAACGGGCCGGGCCGAGGCATAGCCGAGACGGTTGAACGCGGCGGAAGAAAGGGGGCAAAGTTGGACAGCAAAACCTACGGTAACAAGGCTGGTCTCCAAAGCATCTGTTCTTCGCCGCCGTAGCAAGCGCCGCATAGCCGTCAAGAAACTCGCGGTGACATCCCTCCAAGTACCGCAGATCGCCGCTCTCTAGCTTGACTTCCTCGGGGTGAGAAGGCGAGTCCCACTTCATGAATGCCGCGATTGCCCAGGTGTGCGGATCGCGCGCCACAAGCACCCCGCTGGCGGCGTTGCGCAGCTGCTCGGCCGTGTGCTCTTGCAGAAACCCTCGGAGAGACTCGAGGCTTTCGCGGGTGGGGAACTGGGCATGCAGCAAAGGGTTGGCGTTCATCGCCGCCAGGTGGATCTCGGCGATGCGGGGCGCATCGGCTTCCTGGGGCCGGGAGACCACAAAGTCCCGAGCCATCGGTACGGTTCACGATTCGTCGGTGTCAGGGTGGCGATGGAGCGGAAGCTAGCTGGATTAGCCTTGGGTTGCCACGAGGGAGGGACCCGAAACTAAGTGGCGGCGGCTAATGACGGGGCGGGTGGGATCATGTGACAGGTGCCACGTTTCAGCATGCTTGCTCCGAGTGGTTGGCCGGAGTTGCATGGGATGGCGAGCGTTCGGCGTCCATCGGGGTCCCGTTGTCTGATGCATCGGCTGCGAGGGAGTATTGCAACGCCCGGTACGGAGTCTCCACCCACGCAAACCATTCGCCGCCGCGGAAGTGGTGGGCAAGCAATGTCAGCAAATGCTGGCCTGCGCCGCCAATCATCCACGCGCTGCGGCAGTAATGCATCGCCAGAAAGAAGTAGGCAAGAACTGCTAGAGCCTCCGGTCGGCCTGCCTCCAGCATCCGAACGAATGGCCTCTGCAGCATGGCGGCCCAAGAGCACAGGACGTAGGCACGGTCTTCTGGCCTCGGCTTAGCATCGAACACCGACTGGACTAGGTCGATCGCCCTCTGAGTTGCTTCGGCCTCCTCGGCATCTAGCGCGGACGACTTGATTCTCTCCCGGATCTCGTCGCATTCCCGTCCTTCCACGTTATCAAATTGATACCACCGGGGCAGGATCTCGTCGAAGACCTGCTTGAGCTCGGTCTTGCGGCTTAAGTCGTCCCAATAGCCGTGCATAACGCTGTGCAAGCCGCGATGCAGGCGCAGGTATGCCACGAATCGCGCGAAGGCGGTGTCAAAATCGGGATCACGGTAAGTTAGGGTATCGCAGAGGGCGTGGAATCCGAGTACACTCGAGAAGATGAAGACCGGGACCCGCTTCTCGGCCGAGTCTCCAAATACGCTGACGTCAATGCAGTTGAAGAGTGATAAGGCGCGAGTCTGGAGCTGGGTAGCGAGAGTGCGATAGAAGGATTCCTGGCTGGGCCGGAGGATGCTGAGGTGGTGCGCCGAGAGGGCAAGGAGCGAGTGCATCACGTAGGGCTCTCGGAGGCCGTTGGCCATGATGACATCCCTTACAGCGTTGCACGGCAGCACGTGAAGGACCGGGTCGGTAAGGTAATGGTGTAATAGCTCCATGTGGACCATGTCAACCCTCGAGTGAGGCTCCTCTCCCAAGGCGAACGGATGAGGCCCCGGAAACGCTGTCGGCAGCGTTGTCGGGGTGAGATCATGTCCCGGAGTCAAGACTTGCGGACTGGCAGAGCGATTGGACGGTGAATGTTCCGCACCAAGCCGGGGAGTGGGATACCGGCAGTCTCGTTGAACTGTTGTGCAGTTTATGCATTGCGGGCGAGTTTCGTCACACTGCGAAAGTTAGCTAGGGGTGTGCCGGGACAACCAAGACTTGATCTGATACCCTACTTTGACTTGAGAGTGCCCGAGTCAACAAGAATGCCACGTCAAGTGAAGAAAGACATGTTCACTCACTATGGCGTTTCTTGCACTCGAGACACCCATTCCGGGACTTCCTGTGGCTTCTGCGCATCCTCCTCCAACGTGCGGCTGCGCCGACGTTCTCTGGGATCTTGTCTGTTTGGTTGCTGCCTCACAGGACCCCCTCCATACGAAGACTTAGGGCGAAAGCACGATATATAGTTACGTGGCTCTCACGGGTCGAAATGAGGCCCAACTCGTAGTTACCCCTTAATCTGCGTCTATATGGAGGCACAATTGCTGTGACTACGCGTCTCTGCTGCCACAGCCACGCTGAGGTTTGATCGATTTGCGTTGCCAAGGGCGGGCCAGGGGTCGGCACGAGGAGAAGCACCCCTCCGGAATGAGTGGGGCGGGCACCGGAAAATGCCGAACGACCTGAAGGGCAGAACTTACAACGGAAGGAGTTGCATTCATGTCACTTGCGTGTCGTCTAGCGGGGGCCTGTCCCAGCGATGTCTCGTTCTCGTATTATTCCTGTCCTGGCTCCCGCGTCCAACGAAGTCCACGACCCAATCTCGCACTCGACGGGTCTTCTCCAGCTGTGGGTGGACGCTCCCTGTAGATGACAAGTCGGATGTGCTATAATATCCTTGGACGTCTTGAGAATCCAGTCTCAGTCGGTAGAGCAAGTGTACCTTTGTCAGGTTTCTTGACAGGCTGCAGCCATACACCTTGTTGGCGAAGACATTCAAGGCCACATTCTGCATCAGGACGATGTCCCGTGGCCGCAATCCTGCAAGAGCACTGTTGGCGACGCTGTCGGATGGGAGCCAGTAGGTTATAGCGAAACCGGCCTTCGTCTCATCCCCAACGAGCACCTCAACTAGGTGTTTCGTGGCACCCCAGCGGGTCTTCACCGCCCGGGGCCGTGAGATGGAGATGATACCTACAATCAGGTTGGAGGTCATGGTCTGCGGTTGGATCTTGACAAGATACGAAGCCGAGGGAATGTTCCTGAGATCACTGAGAAGGTCGCTCCCCCGGAATACCAATGGCTCCTTGACAGGTCCCTCTTGCGTGCCATCTCCACTCCAGGAGGTAGTGCCGTCGCTGAGAAACGACGCTGCCTGTTCGCTCGACTGGGAGATCAGTTGGGATGAGGAAATTCCCTGGTGAGCGATCATGGAATGCTCGTAGAATTGACTCAGGGTGCGGTCACCGTCCTCGCCGGTCAAGGTGAAGGTCAGAGACGTAGGGGTGAGAAACTCCGGACTAGGCCCGAAGACGGAGTCCCTAGCGGTGTCTCCAAAGGGAATCGCATGCTGCTGGGAGAAGCCTGTCGGAAGATACGCCTTGTCGAGGGAAAGTGATCTCCATACGGCATATTCTGGCGTTGAAGAAGCCGCCAAACGCAGTGGTGTGGTTGTGTTTATGCGGGCGAACCAGGCGATAGCGTCTTGAAATTCGGAGAGCAACCCGCTTGAGCTCCAGTCAAGGACGTTACTCTCGGGTGCGCCGGTGAATATGAGGACCTTGCTTGACATGCCGCCAAAGCCGTATGTGGAGATGTCGATGTCTTGAACCAGAAGACGAGAATTCAGCCAGCAAACAGGGCTTGAGAGTTGAGATGTGGCAATGATCTGGTACTGCCCCGGGGTGAGTTGAACAGGAACTTGTTCGAGGGAAGGACAGGGTCCTCGGGTGGGAGAGCCAAGACTTCAGGCCCACACTCGGAAACCCAATGGAGTGGGTCCCTGTCGTGCAACTTTGGATTTTGATGATGATGCACAACTGCTTCGCTTCTTCCAAACCCTCCCACTGGACACTGAACTTCCTCCCAAGATCACCCCCAGTCTCTTGCCGCTGAGACAGCGGAGATGCCGTAGCGTCCCAATTGCTGATAGGAACTTCGCATTTGTTACACCGAGGTCGGCAGCCGCACAATGGCACGAGCACCATGGGACGAGGTGCCAGCCCACGACACCTTGTTCGTCTTGGTAACAGGTGGCAATAGGTAAGGTAGAAGTCTCACCGAGGGAAAGATCGTGTCGTATCTGACGTACACGCTGTAGCGGAATTGGCTTTGGCATCGGCGAGCGCCTGATCGACGAGTTCCTCACCACGCGATCCCTCTCCTCGCACCTTGTTTTGATCCCAACCACACGAAGCCTCAAAAAGTCGCAAGAAACGATCAATGCTCTCCGTAAACACGCCAAAGAGTTCGCCGTCACATCGAACGGCCTTCGGGCACGCGGAGGCCCAAACTATGACCCACGGCAAACGACTCGGCGGGTCCACATCCTCAGCGTCCAGATCGATCTGTGCAACCTACCCTCCGTTCGGCGCGCCGCAAACCAGCTCGTCTCCGGCACGCTTAGTAGCCCCAGCGACGATGGCGACTTTGTGTCCCTCACCGACGTCACGATCCCGCGCTTAGATTCCATCATTTTCAACGCCGGTATAGGGGGGTGGTACGGGCTTGATTGGCCCAAAGTCTTCCGCCACATCTTTACGCAGGGCCTGATTAGTGCCACGACATGGCCCACCTTCAAGGGCGCATTGGGCGGGCATGTAATTGATCCTATCAAGGGGTCGAAGGGAGAAGACGGCCCAAAGATGGGCGAGGTCTTCTGTGCGAACGTGTTCGGCCATTACATCTTTGCGCAGAGGCTGGTGCCGCTCCTTACCCGGCCGGCGAGCAGCACCCTCCCGCCCAGCCGCATCATCTGGGAGTCGAGCGTTGAGCCGGATTGGGAGAGCTTCTCGCCGGATGACTTTGAAGCGATCGAAACCAAGGCCGCCTACGAGTCCACTAAGCGGTTGACCGACCTCCTCGCCCTGACATCCACACTGCCCTCCTCTAAGCCGTATGTCAGCAGATATCTCAACATCGACACCCAGCAAGGCACTGCCAACAGACAACCGCCAACCCGGCCAAAAGTCTACCTCGTCCACCCGGGCGTTGTCCAGACCACACTGTTCCCGCTCAACGCCTTCATGTACTTCTGGTACACGGTGGTCCTCTACATCACCCGCTGGCTGGGGTCGCCCTGGCACCCGATCACGGCCTACAACGGGGCGTGCGCGCCCGTGTGGCTGGCGCTGCAGGAGCAGGGGTGGCTGGACGGGGTGCACGCCGAGCGCATCAAGTGGGGCAGCAGCACGGACTTCTGGGGCGAGTGCCGCGTCAAGAAGACCGAGGTGGACGGCTGGGGGTGGGAGGGCAAGGTGGAGGAGATGCTGCACCTGAAGCAGGAGCACAAGCTGGCCGGACGGAAGCCCGGGGCGGTGGATGTTACGGAGGAGAGGCTGGCGGAGTTCAAGGAGCTCGGGGCGAACTGCTGGAGGAGGATGGAGGAGTTGAGGGAGGAGTGGGAAAGGAGGGTTGATGCCCTCGAGAACGGGCATTGACGAGTACTAGGGTGGTATGAGATATAATCATATTGTTAATACCTAATAATGATTGACGGTGGGTGAGTGCGCTCCCTCAACCTAGCAATCACTCTTCATACGGGCGGTTTTGGGTTGTACAATGCACATGCATGTATACCTACTAGTAGGAAGCGTACATAATCATATCGGAATCTTATCCTCAGACGCCAGAGTTATCCATTATGATTCGTGATATCCAACGTCCATATTTGCAGCCCCAGACAAATAAAAAACGCCATTAACTCCCAGCGTGACCCGTGCGTGGCCTGCCACTCGGCCCACCACCCATCCACTCACTTGCCATCCTCGGCGCTGTCCCCGCTGACCCTCCCCTCCTCGTCCGACCTGACCCTCCTAAGCTGCAGGTTCTCCTTCCTCCCAAACAGGCCCAGGCACAACGGCAACGGCACGGCCGCCAGCGCCATCACAGCGGCGAAGATCAGCGCATCGTGCATATTCGCAGGCGGATCGCCCTCTCCCGGATCCGCCTTCAGCGCCCCGGAAACCACAATGAACACGCCGCCCAGCAGCTGCCCGCCGCTCCACGCCAGCGTCGACGTCACCTCGGGACTGATGGGGTGCGTCAGCTCGACGAGGTACTCGACCACAACGGGCAGCAGCGAGAAGGACGCGGCGCCGAGCACGGCCAGGACCACGTAGGGCCCCGCCACGCCGCCGCCGTCGTCGTCATTTCTGGTGGCGGGCATCCAGACGAAGACGAGGTAGCACAGGCCGATGAGCGGCACGGCCACGCGGATGGCGAGCAGATACGACTTGGTGCGGTCGATGAGCGGGCTGGTCACGGCCGAGGCGACCAGGCCGACGACGATGAGGATGGCGCCGGCGATGCCGGCCTCGACGTCGTCGTAGCCGTACGGCAGCAGGATCTGGTTGAGCAGCGACGAGGTGGAGTTGAAGAGCCCCACGTAGATGGCGAAGGGGATGAAGAGCAGCCAGAACTCGACGTGGTTGAAGAGGATCGCCGTCGACGCGCGCAGGGACAGCTTGGCCGTTTCGCTGGACGGCGCGACGGGCGTTGGCGGCCGGGCAGGGATGAAGAAGGAGGGAACGGCGCAGACGGAGGACTGGGAGGGTTTGTCACTGCTTGTCAGTTGCTATATACCTACACTGGTACTGGGACACCCGCCGCGGATTGGATTGGATTGGATTGGATTGGGGAAGACCTACGATGATGGACACGTAGAGCACCATTCGGGAGATGTCGCTGGGCTGGCCGACCCAGAACGGGACGATGAGCTGGCCCAGGGCGGCGCCAAAGGGGTTGGCAAGACTGGTCAGTGCCGTGGCCGCCACTCGCCCCCGGTTGCTGAACCACAGGTCCGAGTAGCGTGAGGGCGCGGCGAGCACGAACGGCTGCGCGAGGCCGGTCAGGATCTGGCCGAACATGACCACGCCAAACAGGCCCCCCGAGCCCGAGTGCGAGCCGGCGAAGCGGATCCAGTTCCCGACCAGGATCAGTGCCGCGGCGGTGACAATGGACAGCTTCGGTCCCAGGTGGAGCACATAGATCACCATGGGCGTCATGAAGGTGAAGGCGAACAGAAAGGCCGTGCTCAGCCAGTTGACGATGGTCTCGCTGGTGTGGAAGTACTTCGCCGCATGGCTGGCGACAGGCGCAAAGGTGAGCCACTATCCATGGATATCTGGTTAGTCAAACACACAAAGGTCGTTGTCTGTCTTTCCCCTCGGAATGAATTGAGCTCCATACCAAGTCGGCATGAAGCCCGCTCCCAACAACATTCAGACACGCCAGGCCATGAGATTGGCTTCGGTAATAAGAGAAGCTAACCTATGCATGGTTTCGGGGCGCTGACTGAGCACAACCATGACCAGGGAGCCGATGATATAAATATAAATAAGTAGGGGCGGATCCTTCAACCCAACGAATAACCCCCTGAGCTTACGGGGATGAACCACGCAGACGGCACGGCTGACGAACAGGAGATACACTTACATCCCAACTAACAACAATGTTGAGCAGCGTCAACTGCACCAAGCCAAACCATCGCCGCTTGTACACCTTGTACTGGGCCGCTGTAGGCGCCGTGCCCGTCTCCACCACGCCGGAGTCCGCGCCGGCGGCATCCGCATCAGCCGACACGGAGCCGAACGGGGCGGCACGCGGCCCTGCGCCCGAGTCTATCGCGTGCGTCCCCAACGGGCCCATCTCCACGTCGGTCGGAATCCTGCCGGCAGTAGTCCCGTAGCTGACCGCCGTGACACCGTTGTCGAAGCTGACGCCATGACCATCGCTGTCGCTGGGCCGCGCGGCCGCTGTCGTCGCCTTCTTGGTCTCGCCGGCCTCGTCCCCCTTCAGTTCCTGCCACGGGTGTGTTTCTGACGGCCAACCGCTCATCGTCTCAATGCCCGGGGAAGTCGCGTGTGCTGCCCTGGTTGTTTGAGCTGCTGCTGTCCGTTGGCGGTCGGCCCATGGGGCTTTGGTCATCGGCGTCAGCGCTGAGCATTCGCCGAGCATTTATCCCCTAGTTCAGCCGCCAGCGCACCGGATATTGGGGGCGTTCGAGCTGATGAGTTTCCGACCCGGCGCTGGAAAGTCCGATCCGTCCGGTCTGGGGCTTGCGCCTTCCTGATTGATCCCTGCTGCGATCCTTCCTCCTTACCTACCCAGCTTTACTGGCAGTCCTGGTACTGGTTCCGGGTACTGGTGCCTACCTTACGGAAATGAAACAGACACGATGGATTGGTCTTAATTGAGCCACTACTAGTATGTAAAGTTCAACCACTGAAGATGGCTCCTGCGGACGGGATTCAAGTGCCGCGACCGCCCACGGGTCTTGGGTTCTCCCCGTCCCGATCTTGGCAGGTCGGAGGCGCGCTGGAACAAGGAACATGGGAATTGGAGTCCGTCTCCGCACCGCCGTGCCATTGAAGATGATGGTGCGTAGTATCAGGTAGAAACACATGACCGGCTTCCGGATCGGGCTGTTCCAGCAAGCCAGTCAGCGGCCTCTTAACAAAAATGTCTTCATGTGTCAGCCGCGGCCGGCGGAAAAGGAGCCACGGGTGGCTGTTTCGAGAATTTACTGCCGACCGCTCCATTACTACAGTACGTAGTAATAAAGAGTCTCAGACCACAAACTTATTATTATCCATAGAACGAAAACAACTCTTGCTTGAGGTTATGTGCGTAGAAAGCAAAGGTCGGACCCACATCGCATCCAAAGAACCACCGTCCTGTAGTTAGGGACTGGTAATTAGTACTGTAGCAAGAGAAGGAATCCCTTTCGAACCACCACCACAGGTACCCCATGAATAAACACCCCCCAACCCCCACAACCTGCAAGTCATCGTCCGCGTCCAAGCGAGACATGGATTGTAAAGCATGCAACGTACTGTACACACTCTATCCTACCTACGAAGGTATGTCCTGCGCGGGGGGTTGGAGAGGAAGGGTTCAGTCCAAAGCAGTCCACCACGGTCAGCAACAACCAATAGCAGTCACAGCAGCCCTACGGAGCAAAGCCCCTCGCTTCCTGTCAAGAACCCCGCGGCAACCACATGCAAATCGGCCTTGACGTTATCAAAACAACTCAGCTGACCACTAGGCACCGATAGCGAGACGACACACAGTCTATAGTATCTGTACACATGCCTAAGAGGTGTATGTAGGGTAGCAAGGCATTAAGTAGTCAGTTATGTGGGCAGCCCGTTTAAGAAATGCTGCCAGCCGAAAGGGGGCTAGGCGGGATGGGTAGCTAGATTGCAAGGACTTCAGCATCCGTCGGTCGGCCGTGAGGGCATGGCCTGCATCCATTTTACCGATGGGTTCCTTGCCTTAACTACCTAGGTAGATCAGGCGGGAAGAGCAGATCCTCTTCAGGCGCAGTTGGCGCGCATGCAGCTTGGTCAGATAGGAAGCTGCACCGTTCACTGACCCAGCCATCTCCGAGACATTGACACTGGAAACGTGGTGGCGTTTGAGTGACCTCCGTTCTCTTGCGGCGTCGATGACGAATGATGGGAGGGTAATGATACAACAGGTCCAGATCGGACAGAAGTCCGGCGTTCGACCCCAGACCGTCCCAGTTATACACGTTGCTGCTTGCTCCCAGTGTCCTTTGGTGTGCGCCCGTCTCACGAAATGTGTTGTCTTGCTCCCCCCGGCAAACAAGGAAACCTAGCCCCTTCACTCGTCTATAGGAACAACCTCCCTCTATGGACGCCATGTATACAAAGAGAAAACGCTTGGACCGTCTCGTTAGGGGATGCTGGCTCTGATTGTCGATCGCGGGACGGGCACATCGATGGGGGTGCGGGAACCGATTTATTTGAGGATGGACCAAAGCTTGGGGGCGGCGCACTGGGTCGCGCAGTGGGCGAGGTGGAAGACTGTGTGTGGAGCAATATAGAGTCAGCAAATCTACATTGACGTTTCCGAAGAAATAGTTGGAAGCAACATACACTCCTCAACGCAGTCCTCCTTCGCACCGCCCTCGGCCTGCTGGTTGGTGACGCGCTCGACGCACTCATCGAAGTGGTGCTTCGCAGGGGCGCATTGTTTGGAATTCCGGCACTCTGTAACACAGATCATCCCCATTGTCAGCCTTCGTTCGGTGGTCTTGATGCAAGAAGCGGCGGCCGGTGTGGCGCGGAAGCTGTCCGGTCATCGCGAGCTTGAGCTTGTGCTAGAAATGGTGTGCAGAGCAATGATGCAGTCCGCAGGGACCGCAAAATGCCTCCGCGATGATCGCCTAGCGGCTCGGAGAGCTGTTCGATCGGGAGAGCGCCAGCGGTATCGGGTGACCCACCTTCCTCCAGCTGTTCCTTGGGGTCAACGACCTCCTCCTCCTCTTCCTCCTCTTCTTCTTCCTCCTCCTCGGCAGCAGGCTCCTCCTCGGCGGCGGCCTGGGCCTCTGTGCTGGCTTCCTCCTTGGTGGACTCGGCAGTGGTCTCCTCGGTCTGTAGATTGTTACGCAGCCGTCAGCAGCTGTTTCACCGGCTCCTAGATCTCCCCCAAGCTATGCATGCAGTAGCCCGGCAAGCTAAGGGACGGGAGGAGACTGGATGGCTGGCTGTCGTCCCCAGCAGAGAAGCAACAAGCCAGCGGAGAAAGTGACGCATAGCATACCGATTCTCTCGCGGGAGCCTCGGCGTCGGCCGTCGCCCAAGGCGTGGCGGCCTCGACGAGGTCGGTTATGGTGTCCCAGAAACCCATGGTTGATCAAGCCGGGGAGGCGGCGAGCGGTGTCAATGGCAGAATCTTTGGCAGTTGGGCAAGGTGCGAGCAACAACGACAATCGCGCGACGTTGAAGCCTCCAGCGAAAATCCGGTAGGCGAAAACCGCCCGAGCTGCCAATTGGTCTGTCCTGATTGGTTATGCTGCCATCCGACTTGGCTCCGGGTAATCCCGCCTGTCACGTGCTCTGATGACCGGCTTCCGGTGCGCTGTGCCCGGAGCTTGCCATCGCACCATAATAATAACCCCGACCTCCTGAGAGCTCAGTGCTGCGTCACAAGTGCAGCACGGGATGAAATCCACAATACTTCAAGGATAACCTGAAACACAGACGCAGCCATTCATGATTCTGGAATCCAAACACCCTAAGTCAACATAATCTGCCTTAAAATAAGCTCGGTCATACAGTGGGCAAACAGGTCGATCGGGAACCGTCTCCAAAACGGGCTCGACCATGGGTCCTCTAACCCCGCCGCCGAATGTTGTGTAGGACGACGGCGGTTAAAGATCTGGCCGGAGTGCCTCCAAGTGCCGGTGGGCAAAAATCCTAGAACAGATAGTATAGACATAACCTCGAGATACCCGTAGAATCTCCACCTAGAGTTGCTAGATTCTATCCCGTTGCCTCTCGTTCACTCCGTCTTCCACGTCTTGCTGAGTGCTCGGTCAAGCCTCAGGACGGTACCCCAACAAGCGACCGAGCCGTGGTAGTGGATGCCTCCCTGTCTTTTCTGCCTGGTGTCGCCATAGTTTTGGATTGTTCACGGTCTGCTGGACCGAAGTCTCGGGCTGACCGTCCCATCACAAGCACCCATCGATCACCCCAAACTGGTGACCCGTTTGGATGCTGAGGTGCCTAATGCGGACATCCGATATCTACTCCCACTTAGCTAGCAAACAGTCAAAGGGGGTCAAAAGCGTCGATCTCCGAGGCTGTGGTATCGTGGCGGACTTTAGGCCGGTATCAGCCACAAGAAGATCCTGTAATGACGGGAATCTCACACGCAGGAACCCGCCTTCTCCTGTTCGACAGCACCCAAGCGACCGAGATTCAGAACACAGAATGGTGATAAATGCCGACCGCAGTCCAAACAGAGCATAGCGCCTCTTCTTCCCAATCCTCATTACTCATATGTACACACACACAGCTTCATCCCCCGCCAACCCCGCCCCCCTCCCCAACCAAACCACATGTCCCCGTCTCAAACACCACCCAAATCATGACTGACGGTATCAAGAGGCCGCAAATTTCATGCAGAAAAAGCTGAATGACAGAACAAAAACCGAAGAATGGAAAGGAGCCATGAGAGAAGACAGAAGGTAGAATGTCCCACAAAGTATGCTCAACAAGCCATCCCCGCAAACCCTTCACTGCCTCTCTGCTTCCTCCCGCATACGCTCCTCGTACCGCATAGCGACAGCCTGGGTCTGCGCCTCTACATAATCCGGGGGCGGCTCGTCAGGCGCGGGTTGCGGCGGCTGTTGCTGCGTCTGGGTGCTGGCTTGTGCATGACCGTCGCCGGGGGCAGCAGCGGCGGCGGCGGCGGCGGCGGAGGAGGAGGAGGAGGAGGAGGAGGGCGACGGTCCCTGCGTACCGACCTCGTACGGCGGTGGCGGCTCGAGGTTCTGGCCCGGGATCAAGCCGAGTTCCTGGGCGTGGTGCAGCCGCTCCTTGAGCCACTCGAACTTGGTCTGGAAGTCGCTGTGGCCGCCATCCCGGAAGGCAAACTTCACGTCTATCCGGGGGATGTGCATGGGGATCCCGCCTCCCGGAACCGGCCTCACGGTGCCGCCCCAGCTCCAGGGGCCAATCCAGGACGAGTGCACATGCGTGTCGCTAAAGTTCAGCACAGGCGTGAAGAAGGACTTGAAGTCCTCGCTCGGTCTGGCTGGGAGGTAAATTACCTGCAGAAGGGGTAAGCTTTAGCACCGAGCAGCAGGTGTCTCCCGCCGGAGAAGAAACAGGGGGGCTCCCGGGGGTGGGGGCAACGGAAGCAGGGCGTGGAAGGGTGGTGAGCTTACCCGCTCGTTCGTAATGTACGCGATGCCATTGTCGCACTTGAGGGAGAACGGCTCGGCAATTTGAAGCTCGCGCGGAGTTGAGATCTCGAGGCTGACTCTCGGCCGCGAGGTATGTAGAATTTTCTCTCCTGGAATGGGCACAATCTGACCATCCCGAGTCAACATGACCCAGCTATCCTCCTCGTCAGACTGGGAATGTCGAAAGAGCGTCCATGTGTGCTGCTCGGCCAAGAACTGGTCGGCCATGATCCGGCAAGAGACGGGGCGTAGACGATGTGGGGCCAGGGGCTTGAAGGGGGCATCGGGCAGGCAGGGGGGGGGGGGGGGGGGGGGAAGGGGGAGGGGAGCCAGTTGGCGGCTACTAGGGAGGACTCTCGCAAGACAGAGGCGTCATGGGCGAAGAAGAGAGTCGCGAGGGCAGTATGAAGAAGAGGGCACGGCGGGCACGACATAAGAGAGAGGGTGGCCGGGGACGTGGGGAAGAGCAAAATCATATGTACTCACTTTATTGACATATCGAGGAGGCGGGTAGCTGGCCGCGCAGCGCTGGCCCGCAGAGGAGATGTTGTCTGGGTGTCCCACAGAGAGCCGTTCGATGGGGTCTCGATTCGTCAGATTTGCTGCTCGCTAGCACATCCACGGCGCAGGGTTCACGCAGTTTTAGCGGCACAGGAGGTGTCAGCGACCAGACCAGTGCGTCCTCCGCCAGTGCCGCTTGCAGCAGGCCCTGCCGGGCGAGATCTGAGGATGAGAGTCTTTGTGGGTAGGTAGTAAGTAGTATCTGGTGTGGGCCAGATTTGCTGGAAGTGCTGGCGGCCTATACTTTCCTTCCCCTCTTGGTCTTAGGAGCCTCTGCGCCGGGCGCCGGGATGTCTGGGATCCCTGAAGAATCGATGGAGATGCGGGACTTAGATGCGCCTCGGCCAACCCAACCTCTGGAACCCGCTCTGCCGGGCCTTGCTGGGTGACTTTCGGTTGTGACGTCCTGACAGTGCTCGAATGGCGCCGGCGTAAGCGAACGGTCTCGGCGGGCGTGCAATGGGCAACACGGAACTTCGTTTAGGTATGTCGGCCGCAGGTTCTCTTGCTTTGGCGTGGTATTACCTAGGTATCGGTCCCGGAACGTAAAGGTGAGGGATGGACAACGCTTTCCTACAGTAAGTTCCCACGGCCAGGATGGATAGGTGCGGGCGTGCAAGCCTGGGTTTCCTGGACCCCGCGCTAGCAACTTGAAGTCGTGCCCCCCGCAGTCGAGCTGTGGGTCGTCCGTGCAACGGGTCCTGAGCCGACGCACAGTCTTTTATTGACCAAGCTGGGTCGAATGGGAGGACAGAAAGACCAAAAGAATAGACAAGATTACATAGGGCAAGAGATAATATACTAACAGAAGACTTGAGTAGTTTTGACGGTATCCGTCGGAGAAGCAATTGAGCATTAGCTGTGGTACCTACATAGAGAAGCCAAGGAGCTAAAATGGAGCTGGTTTAATGTACCTTAGTGTATTGTACACTGTATTAAGCTGGGTAAGCACAGTATCGCTAGATGGCTGCTTTAGTCTAATTAGCAAGGGTAGCTCGTCGCTGCCAATCAAGCTTCAACGAATGTTGTCTCGTCAATGCTCCTGTCCGCCATATGTGATGACAGAATTGGCTCGTGAGACATGAAACGGAGACGGGACGGACGCGACCTCCAAGTGGTTTTCTTCCCGACGACCACGTCGAGCTTCGTATCGTGCTCTTTCCGCCTTCTCGCTGCATTGAGTTTGCGCGCGGCTGCAGCGGCGCTGTTCCACACCTCCACGACCCTTCTTTCCCATGGGGCTTCAAGTTCTTGAGAAGACACTCGCCGCTTCAGTTTAAGTTCGGTACACTATGAGGGTGTATACGGACGAAATTGAAGTTGTCAGTTCTCGGCACACCGGCCTACCGGATAGCGATTCATTGATGTCGCCGCGGGCTGGCATGTGCAGAACCAGGCGTGGCAAGGCCGCGCCAACCTTGGCTTCCGACTGCTGGGCCAGCTGTCAACGAAGCGCTTGGAGCCATGTTATGCTGCCGCATCATTTGCCCACCGGGCCCCGAGTCCCTATTCCAGGCATATTCAGGTACTAGTATGTGTGTGGCAACAATGCTCGCTCACCACTCTGCATTGGCACTGAGCAAAAAGGCATGCAGGAGGCAGTGGACGGACGTCTCCTCCAAGGTAAAAACAACAATACTCCGGCGCTCAGCATCAATATCTTCAGGGCTCTGACACAAGACTAGCGCTCCGTTTGAATCCGTAAAAGAAACAGGGCCGGGATGCGAATGTTCCGTGGCCACAACCCCAGCAAACGAGCAGGCCCGCCAGTGAGCACTGGTCTTCGTCGCCGCCTGTCTGCTCCGCCAGTGCATCTGGGCTGTTGCCGGTGGCACGCTCAACGGTAGCGAGCCGAGCCCACAGCTATGCACTGCTCATTGTTGGGGGTACACAGCATTATTATCGAGGTAGAGTGAATCCACGTTAGGGCTAACCCGCATGACGTATGCAATGAACGAGTTAACGTTATTGATTATCCGGCTAGAATTGCACATCCCAATGAGAACCCCAATGAGCCGGCGGCCCTGGGTTCGGCAACCTTCTCGCCGCCTATCAGTGGGCGCAATCGCACACCGAGCCACAGGGGTCAGACGAGGCACTTTCCCGAAGCGTCCGGGATTCTCCAGCCCAGTTGAAGGCTTCACCGCCCGGTATCATGGAGGAGGCGAGCAAGGGTTTGCGCCGGCAGGTGGGGGGCGACCGTCGCCCCGATGCCTCTCCGACGACATCTGGACATGCTCCTAGATGGACACTATTAGGAAAAAGGTTCGGGACGAGAGTTGGCGTGTAGTGCCTACCTAAGGTACAATACCTTAGGGATGGGCTGCCGTGACAGTCTTCCGGTTTCCCATCTATGCATGACGTCTCCCGCCTTCAGCCATCGTTCCACGGCCGATCCTGGCCGTACACCAGCAAGGGTCCTCGGTCCTCAGCATCACTAGCAGACACAACTGACCCGTTCCTGCTGTTGTGCCAGCTTCCACCCGCCACCCCGCAAGCTGTTCCTTACACGGTTGCCAGCCCTTCGGTGGCCCAGACTGCAGGGCGGCCTGGTCTGGTTGGTCTATCGGATCTATCACATCTCAGTCCAGATCCTCCTCCAGGGGACCGTCCAACGGCACTTGGCAATCCAACATGACGGAACCAAGTGTCTCCTGTGGCTCGGTAGCTTTGTCGTGGCTGATACCGCTTCTGGTTCTTCTCCCCGGCTATGACTAGGCCGTGCGAGCGAGCTGCGTCCGCATCTCCTGATCCCCCCCTGACTACTGCAATATGCTTTGAATCATCCACTTCTCCTCTTATATCGCCTCCAATCGCATCCAAGCAAGGCAAATGTCTATGCGCACCGCCTGCAGCCCCTCTCTCTCCAATTGCTTCCCAAGGCCGGTTATGCGTGAAGCTTCTCAGCATTTGTGGAGTCAAGGCAACGGGATCTCAGAGAGGACGGCGATGTCCCCACTATGTCACCCTCACCACCCTCGCCCAATCCGAAAGGTCCCCTCGCTCCGCTATGACGGGCTTTGATGAAGTCTCGTCTGGTCAAATTCCTGCTTTCCCGAATCCATGAGGTCATGATAGCAGCACCACAGCTACCTATCTTGTGGTCGGTTCTCATTTAGACGGCGAGGATTGGCACACTTGTGCGGTGGCTGGACAAGTCCGTCTCCAGGAATTATGCAGCATGATCATCAGGGTTGGCCGCCAATGCTTTGTACCGTTGGGACTCGGGACAAGAAAGACCCCTGCATCCAACCTCATTTCCCGGAAGTTCAGCTGCTCACGTGTGGCCACAATACCTTATGCATGGCTGACATTGGAAAGTGGACAGGAGAGCTGTTCGGAGACTCGTCTCTATAAGATGTGTCCTCAAAAACTCGCCGAGGACCAGCAGACGACGGCCGGCAGTGTCTAGCAGGTCATCAGAGAGGGGCCTTAGCTCGTGCCAGCGACAAGGGGTTCAGTACCCCGAACATGGGAGGAACGAGCGGTTGCCACGGGGCTCTGGGTCCCTGCCCACCGCCTGCTCGACAGCAAATCACGACTGCCTCCGCTTTTCCACCACTAACCCGGGCCAGAGGTTGGGATGCCGGACAGTCGCGCATGCAGGCTTGGACGCTCACTGGGTTGGGGTCTCTGGGGAAATAATGAGAGGAAGACGCCGAGAACGCCCTTCCACTGAATAGTCTCGAAGAGGCCCCAGGATCCGCGGACCGACCAAGCCAGCGGCGCTCAGCTTGAGGCAGAGACTGATCGGCCACCGGGAACTGGCCAACGCTGCTTAATCGCATATCCGTGGATGAGCCTTCCCCTGACTGTTCCAGGTGGTCAACTGGCCCGTTTCTGCGGCCGGCCTTCTCCACGTCTGTTACGGTGTCCGCATTCCAAGCTTCTCATCCGGGGAGGTGACAGTAGTACGGATAGTGATCGTGAGTACCTACAACCTAACTATTTGCTCAGGAACACACCGACAACCGCCAAGGCCACTGCCAGCTGTTGATTACTCTTCGGGAGGTCATACCTCGTGACGGAACACACTATCCCATGACTCTGGCCAGCCGGGGCGCCGTGTGATTGGACGTGTCCCGAGATAGCAGGGCTCGACAAAACGGGATCCCTAAAGTGGCAGTACAGTCCTGACTGACGTTGATGGATCGCACGTCGATGGAGGGAGTGGGGAAGACAAAGGAATGCTGGCATGATATGCCTAGGCCAGGTAGTCAAGTCCTGCCCGGCCACCTGGGAGATGAAGCGCTGGTCCTACAGTAGGTGCCAGAGCGATCTCTACTCTTATTATGCTCTGCCTTTCAGCTTCCGTCCATCTCTCCTTTGTTGTGCATGCCTTACATGCTGTACCGTTTGAACACTGCAGTCGTGGCACGCTCCTCCTGAGCAAAAAGAACTGTGACAGATCCAACCACCCTTGTGTTGTGTGCATGTGCCACCCTTACTCTGCTCAGGGGGGAGGCTAGGTAGTAAAGTGCTGGTCCTAGCTGTCAGAGCAATCTCTACACTCATGCTCTGCTTTTCAAACTTCCGCCCATCTCTCTCGGCACGTTGTCCATCATCTGAGTCAAGATTACGTCATGTGCTGAGAGATCGTTGGGTAACACAGCAGGAGGACCTCACATCTGTGAAGTGTGACTCAAGAGAGAGAGAGACCATCAAGATTTTCTTTCGTTATGCATACAGTCATGATATTCATTATTCTCTTCTTTCCTGACAACGCCCCATTGGCGGACATCTCTCGGAAAGAGCGCCATGATGACAAACAGAAACAACATCGCACCTCCTTTGCTCCCTCCTTGCTCCCCCAATCTCTCCTGAGATTGAGGTACAACATCAGACCCAAAGCTAGTGGGGTGTGACAGAAAGGAAAAACCCCAACCAGAATCAGCACGCCCCAGTTGTTATGCAATGAATGCCCGCACCGTCCTACTTCGTCCTTTCTGACAGCAGCGATCGAGATCCCCATAAGAACCGAGACACGCGGCTCATCGTCACTGCCATCCCTTCAGTTTCCCTAAATGGCCGTAAGGGACCCGTGTAGCCCCAGCCCAACACCAAATATACGGTAGAAATGACAAGCCCGAGATCCCGCTCATCACCAAAGGAATACGGTGAGTGAATGAGGGATGGCGAGGCTGTACAGGTTGTTCCGTCTTTCCAACACGTTCCAGCATCTCATTGTCATCTCGGCCAGTCCCTCCCTCTTTCATGACAACCACGGCTCATTAGCCCTCTTCACCCCGGAGAGCCTGAAATCCCCATCGCCACCCGCCCCGACGACAGGCGGCAAGCCAAAGTCAAGCTTGGGCATCTCAATCCTGGGCGGGCCGGCATCCTTATTCTTGTCTCCCGCACCGCCGGCCTTCTTGGCAGGCGACGCACTCCTGCTTTTGGCAGCGCAGCTCTCCGGCGGCGGGCCGTAGCGCACGTCCCGCACATCCCAGCCGTCCTCGTGCGCGGCCGCGACCCAGGTGCGCAGGCCGTCGTGGACGGCACCGTAGAACTTTTCCTTGCACAGGCGCAGGCTGCCGCCGAGGCAGCGCTCCCACCCGGAGATGCGCAGGTCGGCGCGGAGCGCGTTGCGCTCGGCCGCTGTGGGCCCCGTGCAGGCCAGGATGGCGTTCATCAGGTCCAGGTGGCTGGCCAGGTAGTTGGTGGCGTCCCACTCGACGCCGCCGACGTAGGGCGCCGCGGGGACGGGGGGCCGTTCCTGCGGAAAGTGCCGGGACATGTAGGCGTATTGGTTTTCTGTATCGCCATTGTCCCTTAGTGAGAGGTCGGTATTGTTGTTGTTGTTTTGGTTGGGGTTGGACGGGGTTCTGGTTGTTAACCTCCCCGCGCTGCTTAACCCAGGCAGCTCGGGAGAAGAAGACTTGATGTCGGCGGCAGGCAGAGCAACGATGTTGAGGTTGTGCAGGAAGATCCAGAACACCTCCTTGGTGACGTTGACCACCTCCTTGCACCACACGCGGTAGGGGCGCTCGCGGCGCATCTCGAGGACAAAGTCGACCGGCCGATCCTCCTCCTTCGGCTCCGGGTCGCGCAGGTAGCCCAGCACGGCCTGGGCGCGCGAAACCCGCTCCTGCGACGTGGCAGCCTCGATGTAGGTGAGTAGGATGGACGTGATGATGTTGCGTGTCGTGAACTCGCTGGGACCCTTCTTCTCGGGGTCGAAGATCATGTGCAGCAGTGCCGGAAACAGAGTGGTGTGGATCGAGTGGAGGTACTGCAGAGCCATGTCGGTGGTGCAGAGGGCTTTGAGACACAGCAGGTTCTCGTGCAGTAGCGCGTCTTCGTGCTCCTCCCTGAGAGGTGTATCAGCCAGGTACTCGGCAAGGGAGGCGGAGGTGGAGGGAAGAGGGGTGTGCATCCGGGGACTCTGGGGCCCAGGAAATATGGTGACACCGGCAACCTGTCGGGCCCCTTTCCTCCAGAAACGAATCAGAATCAGAATCAGAATCAATGTTCGAAGCTTACCTCCACTCAACTGCCATGATACGGTGTAACAGCTCCACGATCTCCTTCATGCCGCCCTGCCGGATAAACTCTTCTGTCCACGCAACCGTCTCGTTGCGGAGCAGCAGCCGTAGCTTGTGCAGCTTGCCCACCTCGACCACCTCCGGCTGCTGCACCTTCTGCAGGTATGCCACGAAGTCACCCGGCAGCTGCTGGCCTTTCACCTTCGCCAAGAGACTGTTACCGTAGCCGGAGGGCAGGAGCCCTGGCGACGGCGGCTCGCTCACCAGGCTCTCACTTGATTTCGTCCTGAAGTGCCGGCCTAGGCTGCTGTCACCCTTTTTCTTGGAGGGGGAGGGCGGGTTTGATTTGTTGCCGCTGCGAACGAGAGTCAGGCTCAGACCCCGGCCGTGCTTCTTTTTGTCCTTCTTGGTAGGACTCCCGGTGCCGTCATTGTCCCCCTGCTGATCCGAGGCAGCCCCTCCTGGAGCAGGGCCGCTGGCTCCCGCCGTGACGTTGCCGTCGTGCGAGGGTGGTCGCTCCAGCTTGGCCTGCATCTCTGCCCAATCCTGCCGGATAAGCTCCATCTTGATGGTGTCGCTCAGGTTCCGCATCTTGTAACGCTGGTTCTCCGGGATGTTGCGCCGGTCTAGCATGGCCTCGAGATGTTTGTCGATGTCCTTGGGGTCAATGCAGGGCATCTCTGGTGCAACCCTGGCAGCAGGCGCCGACGACTTGCTCCTAGATCCCTGCGATGATGCTTCAATCGATGGTGTGTTGTTCTTCCCCCACGTCATCCTCTTGGCACGGCTATTGCTGCCGCCGGAGCCAGAAGACCGCGGCGTGTCATCATCTCGGCGGGTCACGTAGGCCTGGAACGACTTCGGACGTGGCTTGTGCGTTCGAGATGACGCCGAGGCGTCAGTCCGTTCCATCCAGGGATTCCCGCTTCGGATGGGAGTCTCAACCAGGGACTCTGTTCTCGGGGAAGGCGGTGCAAAGTGCTGGGACGCGAACTGCGCGTAGATGGGGGGAGGCGGTGGCGGAGGCATATTGGCGTGGTCTCCGCTGCCCACCGAATTCGGCGGCGATCTGTTTTCCTTGTCTTTTTCTCTCGCAGCATCGCGGGCAGTATCGCCCTCGTCCGTCAGCAACTGTTTCAAGTTCTTGATGGACTTCGGCCGCAGGAGCGACACCAGGCTGGTCGCTGACTTGGCCTTCTTGGGCTTGACTGGCGAGGTGCTGCCATTGTCCCTCGTCCTGGGCGGTTTGCTCGAGTCTCTATCCCGCCCGCCAAACGCCCTCAGCGTGGTTCCCAGCCCGCTCTTCGTAGGTGACGGCGGCGCCTGATCGCCACGGTCACACGTCCTTGGTCTCTCGGGTGACCGCTCCTGCCGGTTCTGCTGCAGCTCGCTGAGGGCGTACGCGTATCGCTCAGGTTCCATGGCCGCTGCCGCTGCCGCGTCGAAGCCGACGTGGAACACGCCGCTGCTTCGACTAGGCGCAAGGCTCTGCTGGGACATGTGAAACGCTCGGGTTGTCGCTAGCGGCGTGAGAAGAGGGGCTGGTGGCAGTCCCGATCCGTCTGAATTGTTCCGCTTGTGACCGCCGCCCATGAGCGAGCGCAGGACGGATGACTTGGATCGCTGGTGGTGGCGTGGCTCGGAGTCTGCTGTCGTTGGTGGTGGTGCTGATGCCGGAAACCCGTGCACGGTATTGAGACCAGCTATAGAAGACATGGCTGCGGTTTGAACGCGCGTTGCCGTGACAAGACACTATAGCCCGGGAGCCCGCAAATGTCTCAGTAGTAGACTGGGAGGGCGCCCCAGGGAAATGGCAGTGCCGATGCGAATGCTCACGAAAAATGCAAATGCCAAAGTAAGATCCCAAAAAGTACAAAACCCGATACCGAAAAGACGCCACGGAGCCACTGTCGGATGCTGCAGGTGCTGTACTGTATTATGCCATTGCTGTCGAAGCCATGGGAATCCCAATGGTTGACTAGGAGGACCGAGGTCGTCCGCGTAAGCAAAAGGTTCACCTTGCTGTTAAAAGCTGAAACAGATGGTGCACACAGAGAGATGTTCCAAGTTGGGTCGAATTGGGCCCGAGCGAAGTTCCTAGTAGAATGACACAGTTGTTTACCGGGGCGCGTTGCTGAGCAACACATCCTTTTCCCTGGCACTGCAGCCAACCCACTCGCTTGGTCTGCCCCGCGGTTGCCCCCCCCACTTCCCCGCACTTGGCATTTTGACAGCCGTTGGGCAAACAATTGGGGAAACATGGAACAACGGTTTCAGCAACACAAATTTCTTTCTTCACGCACTATAGTGACACCCGGACAGTACTTCACCAACTCATCAAGCCCTTCTCTCGGTCAAACCCACCCCTTAGCTGCCGTTTCGGCTTGACCACCTTCCCCTGCAGCACCGTGAACTTGACAATCCCCTCACAGTCCTCCGGCCGCACCCTTGCTAACCAGATACACTGCGCCGCTCCAACATCCCCTTCTTCTTCAATCACTTCCTGTTTCGGCAGCACAACCTCTTGCCCTTGCTTCACCACCTCCCCGCGCTTCACATTGTCCAACCCAAATGCATCCCGCCTCCTGTACACCATCACATTGGCGCTGTACTTGTGGCCCCCCACGTGGCTGATGAAGTATATCCCCACACCGCCAGGCCGCTCGTCGTCCAGGTCCCGGTACAGCCCCAGCGGCTGCAGATGGCGCTGGAACTCCTTGCGCAGCAAGGGCGCGCTCTGTCCGCAGCGCGCGTCGCGCGTCTTCTGGCTGCACAGCAGGATCAGGGCGCGATGCGGGCAAGGCCGGGTGGTCAGCTCTCGTAATGCCGCAGGCGTCGCCTCCGGGAGCGGGGCCTCGAGGGACGGCGGGATGGAGACGGGCACGAGCGGGGAGGCCGTGGTGGGCGCGTTGGAGATGATGGAGGCTATCAGGGTCGGAACGGTGGCGGGCGTCACGTTCTCGATGATGGTAAAGGCCGGGAGGAGAAGGACGGTGGTGGGTTCCGAGTAGGAGGTCGTGTGGTGCGGGGTGGGGATGTTGGATGCTGAGAGCATCAGGCGCTGGTTTCCGAGTGTCTCTTGTCAGTAAGTAGCGAGAGAGGGAAGATAGGTGAGTGGAGGAGGGCACGACAGACCCCGTTGCTCGGCCCTTTGGCGGCTCCGATTGCCTGCATGACGCTGCCCTTCTCATCTTCGACGTCGCGGACCCAGTCCGTCTTGCCCGTCGCGACGAGCACGTGCGTACTCCACCCCTTGACGAATCCGTAGAGGTCGTCATCCTCATCAATCTTGAAACTTTTGGGGTACTTCACCGAGCAACTGTCGCAATCGTGATCACAGTCCTCGCCGTCGACAGCCTTGTCGACCACGGGAAACAACTCCTGCAGGGCTGCTTTGTGGCCTGAGTTGCCGATTGCTAGCGCCTTGGCGCCGTTGACGAGTGATTTGAGAGCGGCCGCCATTACTGTTTGATTGCGTCTTCCTGTCGAAAGCTGTCCGGCCGTCTTGTCTTGTTGAGAGGGGAAAAGAATCGCGATCTGATGAGGTGCCCCAACCCGCCCGCGGGACCGGACGTCACTGCAAAGCGAACGGCCGATGCCGTGGGTGCCGGCTTGATTTCGGTGATCCCTCTCGGAGCTAACGGGCGAAGAGGTGGGGCGGGCCGCACCTTACTTTCACCCGCCAACCGGCACGAGGCTTGTCAGGTGTGGTTAAACGGGAAAAGAGAAGGGAAGAATAGTGTACGCCTGCTGAAAACGGAATCCCATCGACAATGACAAGGCGCAACATACGCCAGAATGTTGATCGTTGTCCTGGGGTCTCTACACAGTTGCTGGAATTCGGGGAATGGTGTAATTAGGTACCTAGTGCGTAGGTAAGATTGACGCTGCAGAAAGCCTAGCAGCAGCCCTCGTAACGCCGAGCGAATATGTACCAGGCGGATGTACTTCCCCAACAGCAGTCAGCATCCGTGAGCACAGCCCAGACATTTGTCGGCTAGCCACAGGCTCATGACGGCAGCTTGCGCGGACATTGCGTAATGATCCGCAGATAAGTTGCAGGCTCAAGCGAGTCAGGGGCCGATGTGGGAGCTATGTACAAGGGGGGTCCGTTGGTTATCAGATCATCAGATAGTGCTTGCGTCACACATCATGATACGTTACAACATGAGATGACCTTTGTGACTAGGTATGATGCTCGATCGGGGCTCTCTTGCTCTCTTCTCCCCTTTCTTATCTTCCTTCTTTCTTCAAGGTAAGAAATTTAAGTGTACCCTTTCCTTTCGAATATGGAGTAAGACTAAGCTTAGATAGGGGGCAGCAGGAAACGGCTATGGGATGCATGGATGATGCTGTAGTTGGGTTATACGGGCCATAGTCCTGTACGACCAGATATCATAGTCCCAAGAGGTTGTCTCTACAACATACACATGAGATGCATTGGACTGGTGTGGAATTATTTGATCGGAACGCAATCATTCATCTCTCGAGAACGCCGGGAGAACATGGACACTATGAGAAAACACTGACCCCTTTTAGGTACCACAGTAAACAAGCCCGCCACCCAGAAACATGAACACAAAAGTTGGAACAAACCCATAAACACCAACGAATCCACTGCTGTAACCAATTAACTCCGAGCAAAACCCATGACCGATGTTCGCTTCACATCTCCTTCCTCGCCTCGTCATAATCCGCGGCTGAGCTCCCCACCACGCTCACACTTTCCGCTTCGTCGCTCGTCCCGTCTTCGTCCAAGAATACCTGTCTCTTTTCACTCTGCCGCCGCCTCAACTCCCCGCGCTCCCTCATGGCCTCGCGGATCTTCTTGTTCGCATGGTCGAACCCTTCCTTGCTATCCAGCGTAGTAAACGCACTGATGGGGAAACCTGCCAGACCCGGCAGCCCGCCCCCAGCACTGCTGCTCCGGCTCCTGCTGCGGCTGGGAGGACGCGTAGCAAACAGCGGCGCCTGACCGATGTTGCTGAAGGACTCGTTGCGCGGGATCGCCCGGCTGGACTGCGTCGTGCTGCGCCGGATTGGCGAGCTGACGGTCCCGTCGGCCTCGGGCGACGACGCGCCACTGGGCCTGCGGTAGTGTATCGACGGCCGGGTCGGCGAGACGGGCGTTGTGCCTTCTTGAGCCGTGTCCAGTGGCACCGTACGAGCTTTGGCTTCGGGCACCAATCTAGTTTGCTCGAAGTCCGGGAACATCTCGGGGCCGAGGGTATTGATGACGTCCGTGACTTGCGCACTAAGCTCGGCGCGCCGCTCACGGAGCTGGCCGATGCTGTAGCTCGAGGACGGGTTGATGCAGAGAGCGAGCGGCCTGAGGGACTTGAGGATGTCCATACCCACCTCACCGAACCGCAGCGCCGCAAACGTGATGGCCGGGAAGAAGATCCAGCCGGCCAAGAACACCGCCCAAATGGGCACCCACTCGGGCACCCGGCCGCCCAGACGGTCCTGGTAAACCTTGTAGGCTGTGATGCATGTGTAGAAGTTATAGAGAACCGGCGCGAAGGCCATCGCGACCAGCAACTTCCACGTTGCCATCACGTCCTTGCCCTGAATCTTGACCGATGAGCCCGCAAGTGCCGTCTTCGCCTTCTGGTGGCTGATGATTTTTGTCGCGATGAACACCGGTGCAAACAGAACAAGACCAGGAAGCACACCAGCGGAGAGGACCAGAAGCTTGGCGAGCCGGTAGATAAATGTGATAACAACTGTCGGCCACGACATTTTGGCGTACTCGACTTGGTGATCGCGGATGTTCAAATAACGCAGCTGCTTGTTGTACTCGTTGACCGAGTGCTTCAGCTTGACAATGCGCTCGTCTGTCTTGTACTTTTCGTAGCCCATGGCTAACCGGCGATTGAGTTCTACAACCACGGGGAGAGGGAGCTTTTTGCCCACTGGCTTGTAAAGTCGCCTCGCCGCCTGGATCACCATCAAGGTGTCGTAGTCGGGCGCCGAGACAGTGACAGCACTCAACGCAGAGTGTACCATGTCCAGCAGCTGGCCAATTGCGTCTCTCCTCTGGTTGTTCTTGTACAACTCGACGAGCTTCGTGGGAACCTCGAACGGTGGCCCGAATTCGACGACGGCCCGCGAACGGAACTTGTGGGCGTGAAAGTAGTTCATGCCAACCGGCACGATCCTGAGGCCACAGTCGGGCGCCTCGGCAAGAGTCCCCAGAGCCATGATGGCAACACCCGCCTTCAGGGGAAGCAGCTCAGTCCGGTCGTGGCTACCTCCCTCAGGGAAAATTCCCACGCATCCTCCAGACTTGAGGCGATCAAACACCGCCCGGTACACCTGGGTCTGATCTATGTGAGGAGCAAGCTTGTACTTGGTCCCCTCATAGCCCGGCCTTGGCCCGTTGACATCCTTGTTCAAGAACTTGCCGTTATCGTCGATGTCGTCCCGGCCAGTGAGCTGTGTCAAGGCCAGCTTACCACTGAGGGGACGCTTGGTGCGAAGTTCCTCCGGTCCGAGAATCTGAGCGATGTCGACGCTCGCTCCAGTTTGGCCCTTGGCAGATGGGAGGAAAATCATGCCGCCGACCTCGGCTTGTTCCTCAAAATTCGTGCCGATTCCGCGAACGAGCGTCGGGTCGTTGATAGGATCCGGAAGGTAAACGGTACCTTTCGCAGGCTTCGCCGAATCCTGGGCCCGGCCGACAGGGACCGAACCGACCTGGCGTGACGCCCATCCGATGAAGCCGTGGACCGACTTCTGCGCGATCAGGAGGGAGACTCGGCGTTTCGCTTCGTTTTTGAGCGTTCGCTGCAAAATGAGCGCATCAACGAACTGCGACGCAATATCATTGTTAGCGTACGCCGCGGTGGGAAACGGAGGGAGCAAGGGTTGCGCACCTGGTTCGCATGGGGTGCAGCCACGAAGAGCACTGGACCGTGACGAGGGACCCTCCAAGCGCCCCGAGGATGGACTTCACGGAAGAAGAGATCTGCCAATACAGACATGGTCCACAAGAAGGTGTCATATTTCCAGTTGCTCATGGGGTAGAGCTCCTTAGAAACAGCGGGCGAGCTCGCGCCATCTTGTCCGCCATCTTGAGGCGGTCGGGGGGTCTCCTCAGGCATGGCAAACAACGGATGTCAATGGAGTACCGCGAGGAAGGGATGAGCTGCGCCTTCAACTTTCTGGTCTTTCGGGTTGATTCTGAACTTGCGTGGGTGTCCAGCCGCACACTCGCAGTCGCCGCCGTCTCGTATGAGGCGTGAAGGTCGTCTTTGCGTTCGCACAGCTTCTAACTTTCGCGGACCATCACCAACTGTGGCTGAGGCGGCCGTAAGCAGGAGTAGTTGGCTCAATTGTCCAGCCGGGTTTGGCTCGCTCGATGCGAATGTGGTCGGCGAGGCGTTTAGCTGGCGCGGTTAAGCTTCGTGAGCAGTCGCAATGTCGAACTGTCGCGCCGTCACCCAGGAGAGGAGATCCCTAGAGCTGGTGGGGTATCAATGAGACCTCAAAAAGCTCGGGGCAGCTGTCGCAATTAGATAGGATGATTATTCTAGATCGGAATTTTAGACAGGTATGTAGTAATCTATCGGGAGCAGGGACCGTGGCGGCGTGGCTGTTTACGAAGGCCAGAACGGTTGGGATGCCTTGGAAGAGATCAAGAGAAGCGTGGCGAAAGTGCTGCGCATGCGCAAGAGAAATTCGGATGCATTGCCGACCACGATCCAAGCTCCAAATAAATGCGGGACCCAGATGTCATCCCTTGACCCCCAGAGGTTTGAACCGTTGCTGGCCCGAGCGTCCTGGTGCTCCGATACCAGCGGAGTGGGCCCACGCACACAGTGGGGACTTTGCTCTCATGGTCGCTTTCCACTGGTGTGCTGGAGCAAGCTTACAGCGAGAGACTCGAATGTATCCGTACTGTGTACGGATACGCATCATCGATGCATCCGCAGATTGCCCGCAGCGAGCACCAAGGCATGCTTCATATCAGAGCTTGGTATGCAGAACAAATCAAAACCGGAGAGGCGCCATGCAAACCCGCAATCCAACGCCAGTAGTTACACTAGTCAAAGGATTCTCAGATACGGTATCTCAGCGATCAAGTCTCCGGGGTCCCGTCTTGATACCGTATCGGCGGGGTTCCGATCCCAGGATCCGGGCGATCAAGGTGCGGAGTCTTATCGCACACGGCCGGGGATCCGGATGCGGACTGTTCAGGTTCATATCGGCATCCGCATGTCGCCCGCGGACATAGTCGGCCTGCCACACGACACCTGTACACTACGTACCTAGGTATGTAGGTCCCTGGAGGCCAAAAACATCGTTCCTCGGTTGATTCGGAGTGGCCGTCAGCGTGTTCCAGACAGAAGCTACCTAGGGCAGGGGGCATTGTATCCACAATTAGTGTTGCAGTCGACCAAGCCTTGCGAATTTGCATGTGATTGTAAAGGGTCTTAAAAGACTCGAAATGGATGAGAACCCGAAGATGTGCTTTCCGACTCGGCTGACGGTCAGGAGAGCTTGTAATCCCTACGTACAGTCCGCGGTCATCCGCCGAGAAATCACCGGCAGCAAAGTTCTTCCGCCGTTCTCCACGCCCAATAGCCTCTCATGAGACTCCCAGGTCCCAAGCCAGGCAAACACAGCCTCCCTAGTTCTTCCCCTTGCCCTTCCCCTTCCCTTTTCTCTTCCCCCCAGTATTAGTCTCCGCAACACCCACCGTCCCCTCCTCCAATTCCCCGTGCTCAACTTTGCCCTCCTCCTCCAACTCGCGCAGCTTCTCCTGTCCGCTGATGAACATGGTTAAGTCACGATTCATCTCCTTAAGCTCTTCATTCTCGGCCTTTAGCTGCTCCATCGCCTTGCTGGTCCCCTCGGCCTCGCTCTTGAGGTGCTCGATGCGCTTCATCAGCCCTGCGCTGACCTCCTTTTCCTCCTGCAAAGCCTTGCCCAGGTTCCGCGCCAGCTCGGCCGACTTGGCGGCGCGGTTCTTCTCGCGCGCCAACTCGCGCTCCAGCGCGGGGACGGTGTCTTCCTTGAGAATGCGGTGCTCCTCGCGCAGCACAGCGAGCTGCTTGAGCGCCTCGGCCGCCTGCGCCGAGGCCGAGTCGGCTGCCGCCGAGGCTTTGGCAGCTTTGTCCGCCGCCTTGCTGACCATTTCCTCGAAGTAAACGCGCTGGCTCTCCAGTTGGCTCGTGAGCAAGTGTGAGTACTCCATGCCGATGCGGTCGAGTTTGGCGCGCGGGACGACATCTTCCTGAGCAGCCGAGCCCGGCGCCTGGCGGTCGTTGGCGTTGTTGCTTGCTGGGAACTCGACAATCTTACCGTCGCCCTTGTCGCGGATCAGCCGGTGCACCCACATGTCGCCGGCGTAGTCCCAGACGTGCTGCGTCTCCAACTCGAGGCTGAAGCTGTGCGCCGTCAACTTCCAATGCTCCTTGGCGTGCCCTCCGTTATACCGTCCGCAGCCAACATTGCCGCAAATCAGACAAATCCAGAGGTCGTCGGTGCAGTTGCAGTTACTGCAGATGTTGGACACGCCAGAGCCGAACGGCTGCGAGTACGGGTTGTCTGGGTCATAGCCGTCCTGGTTCGGCTTCGGGTTCGTAGCCCGGCAGACGGGACAGCCCGAGCCTTTCCATGTCTGTAGACAAGTGCAGTGAAATACGTGCTGGCAGAGTATTGTCATCAGGCCGGTAGTGTCATCCATCCGCTCGAGGCACACCGCACAGGTGGGGAGCTCAATAAGATTTGGAGTTGGCGGCGGGAACGGTTTCAGCGAGTTGACAGGCGACGTAGCCAGAACGTTGCCTTCGGAAGCTTTCCTTTGCCTGCCTGTCCGGGTCGGCGTCTCAACCGCGATAGACTTGATGAAGGCAACGTGGCAGATCTCGGTCTATGCATGCAGAAGTCAGCGATGTGTGCTTTCACGAGCATCAGATAGCTGCAGAGAACCTACCTCCACGCTATCAAACGGCTTGCCGTCGAACTCCTTCCGCCACTGCTTAGCCCTTCGGGGATCTCGGAACTTCATGAGCACCATGTACCGGCTCATCCTGCTCGTCATGACCATCCGGTAATGGCTGACATCCCCCCGCCACCTTTCCCCTATGAAACCCAAAAAATCGTTCGGCGACATGTAGCTAGGCACAGCGAGGATGCACAGAACCGTGCCCTCCTCGTCGCCTCCACTCCCACCAGTTCCCTGCGTATTCCCCGCCTGCGGCCCATCCTGCACCTCTGGTAACCACTCTGCTGCACTCGGTTCGTCTTCTCCTTCACGATAGAGGTGCACAATCCCCCACCCAGCATGTGTACTTTTCGTCTCCAGCGGAACATATCTGGCCTTGGTAGCCTGTCCCACCCCGCCCAGGTTTGGTCCGAGGCTCGCCGCAGGGGTAGGCGCAGTGGGCATGGCTGACGAGGCCTCGCCCTCTTGCTTGCCCTCCATGTTCTTCGTCCTCTTCTCGTCCTCCTCCTCTTGGTATTCCCGCACGGGATCAAAACTCTCGATACTGATCCTCCCGAACCGCCAGTCTCTAACGGCGGTTCGTGGACCGATCCCGTCCGACACCGTCGGCGGCGGGGATTGCGTTCTCGCGCGATATTGCCGCTCGCTCAGTCGCACTACGTTCCGCCCGTTGTCGCCGGTGTCGTGGGATTTACCGCGCTGCCCGCCGCAGTCGATGACCCTCGAGTTCGTCGCGGCAGCGGCACCGTATGTCCCCGAGGCACGGCCGCTGTTTCCGTCGCAATGATCGTGCTGGTATCCGTCGTAACTCGCCCAGCGCGGGAGTGTCGGTTCTGGGCAGCGGGGGTGCGAAGGAAGGTCGTCGAATATGGTCGCGCCCGGAGAAGGCGCCCAGATGTCGCCGGGTCGGTCGGACGAGTGGTCGGTACGGCTGTGATCTCCGCTGTCGGCAGGATCGGGCGTCGGATACAGCTCGAATTTGAGATGGTAGTAATAATGCGGCGGCATAGCTGGCAACTCCACAGCTGTGCCGTCAAAGCCAGGCCAAATCTTGTATGACTAGGCGCATAAAGTGTCCTCTAAAAGTCGTTGTCGGACGCAAAAAGGCAAGGTACCTAGGTAAAGTATTAGTGGAGCACTGGAGAAGCTCCCTACGGAGGGGTAAATAAGCACCGTCACGGAGGCAATAAAGGCTCTGACTCTCGGCTCGGACTTGTCGCCTTGATTGGTAACATCGTAGGAACATCACGTTCGGAAATTCCCTCTATCATGGCTTTCGCATTACAGGAAGGAGCTGACTTGGGGGTTTTGTCGAGTTCGAGAGACGATGGTTTGCTTCACTTTTAGGCTCCATGCAGCCTTGGTGCCGCTGTCTTGGCAGTGTGGGACGGGTCGGTATTGATACGTACTGTACATAGTGGACACCAAACACGTCACTATCAACACATCACTATCACCGTGGACACAAAATGATCGAAATACTGAGATCAGTGCAGTCAATTCATCGTTGGTATCCCATTGCACCCAGTGTCGTAAAGCTATAGAGGTTCAGGCAACATTTCGGCCGCGCATGGCTGACCATCCCAAACCGCTGCTACCCATCCTGCTTCCCAAAACACCAACCGCTTACTGACCGCCGCGGAGACGGAGCACCAAGTGAAGGGTGCTCTCCTTCTGAATATTATAGTCGGACAAGGTCCGACCATCCTCCAACTGCTTACCAGCGAAGATGAGACGTTGCTGGTCAGGCGGGATACCCTCCTTGTCCTGAATCTTGGACTTCACATTGTCGATCGTGTCCGAAGATTCCACTTCCAGAGTGATCGTCTTTCCCGTGAGGGTCTTGACGAAGATCTGCATACCACCGCGAAGCCGGAGCACCAAGTGAAGAGTGCTCTCCTTCTGGATGTTATAGTCGGACAGAGTCCGGCCATCCTCCAACTGCTTGCCAGCGAAGATGAGCCGCTGCTGGTCGGGGGGGATGCCCTCCTTATCCTGGATCTTGGACTTCACGTTGTCAATTGTGTCTGACGACTCAACTTCCAACGTGATGGTCTTCCCTGTCAGGGTCTTGACAAATATCTGCATGCCGCCACGGAGACGGAGGACAAGGTGGAGCGTCGACTCCTTCTGAATGTTGTAATCAGAGAGAGTGCGGCCATCTTCGAGCTGCTTCCCGGCGAAAATCAGACGCTGCTGATCAGGAGGGATGCCCTCCTTGTCTTGGATTTTTGACTTGACGTTGTCGATGGTATCGGAAGACTCCACCTCGAGGGTGATGGTCTTGCCAGTCAGGGTCTTGACGAAAATCTGCATACCACCACGCAGGCGGAGGACGAGGTGGAGGGTAGACTCCTTCTGGATGTTGTAGTCGGAAAGGGTGCGGCCATCCTCGAGCTGCTTTCCGGCGAAAATCAGGCGCTGCTGGTCAGGAGGGATGCCCTCCTTGTCTTGGATTTTTGACTTGACATTGTCGATGGTATCGGAGGACTCCACCTCGAGGGTGATGGTCTTGCCAGTCACTAGAAACACGAGTCAGTATCGGTGTCTTCTGGTGCAGTTGGGGGTCTTGTGACCGACCCAACACTGTCATGACGAGGGGAACTTACAGGTCTTGACAAAGATCTGCATGGTGGGCAAGCGTTCTGAATGACGTCGTCAAGAGGTATTGCCGGTATCGTGTTCTCCTTGATGGATGTTTCTTTCAATCGTAAACCCAGAGATAGAAGGTTATTGAAGGAAACAGAAGAATGCAGGTGGAAGGAGGAAGGCTGGACCTTTAAATAGGTAGGAAAGTCGGTAGGTTGCCCGGCAAGTGGGGCAGGTCACGACTCACAACTCACCAAACACAGGGAAGTGGAGCGAAGCCGCCAGAATGGCCCGGTCAGATGGCTTAGCTTAAAGGCCAGCCTCGCCGCAGCGCGCCACATGGTCTCATTGCCACATTCGGAGGGTGAATAATCAGCAACGAAAGGATGTGTCAAAGAATTTTCCATTTCCGTAAGACATGCTACCGGTTATCACATGCGATGCAGTTAGGCTTTCTATCGTGTTATAATATTGTGCTTCATTCTTCACAGCTTAGATCGTGGAGTTGAGCAGTGTTCTTGGCTTCGTACAATACATACATACGGATACAGGGAAGGTAGGTAGTGCTTGCCTGGAACCTTGCTGGACAAGCACCAGGCCTGCGCATCGGAAGGAAGCCACAGTGGGTATTGTACCTGGTTTGTACTCAACTTGATGTCTTTTGCAAGCACTGGTCCGGGCCAGAAGGGGCGCTTTGCAGTTCCTGTATGTACGCCGGAGTATACTCGCTGGGCCTCCCAAAACGGCCGAATCCAGTTCCCCGCAAAGGCGGCGAAGTATGGGCCGTGCACGTCCTTATCGTGACCGCTCTGCCCGCTTGGCCCACAGCTCCATACATTTGAGCAGTTGAGTATAGGTATTTTCTCCAAACCGCTGAGGATCAGAACATTATCCCTTTGAACTTAGTGGTTTCTGAATGCTTTGCTGGGTGTGGGCTGCGGTCTTCAGCCGTCACTGCGCAAATGTGATGATGCCTCTCGGCCAGCGCCCGAATCGCGCCATTCTGGATCATAGTGAAAGCTGCCTTATCAAGGGTCGATGGGATCGACGTCATCGCCCCGTTCGCTTCCGACAATACCTCTTTGCAAGTACTGGTCCGGGTCAGAACAAAACCAACTCCTCTTGACTCTTCTTCACACCTTGCCATGTACACGATGCCACTGTACGCATGTACAGCGGCAGGTGAGTAGTACGGCAACAACGTCGGGGACGCCGTTCTCAGGGGCTTCCTTTAGCACGCGAAATAGCAGAGGAAATAACAACCTAGACTCTAGAGCCTAATGTTGTGTGGAGTGGTAAAGATATTGCGATCTCTTATATTCGTCGTGATAGACGTAGTCTGGCACTGACGGTTCATGAAAAGCTCTTGCGTGTCAGCAGTAGTTGCATACCCTCATTGCAACATAGCGGCGTGTGAGACGTTGCTGTCAGCCAGACACCTACGTCTACGGACACAAGCTGCTGAATAATCGCCCAGCATAGTGTGCCGGAGCTTGTATTTGTCTGCTTAACCGGCGTGATGGAGGGCCGGAAGCAGGCCCCCGGGTCCCGGAAGTGCCCGGCTCAGGGGTGAGATCGACCGACATCGGCTCGTCGCCAGAGACGGATAGCAGATAGCAGCAACATGCAAGATGTGCTTGGATGTAGCACAAGACTTAGCAGGCAGGTTTCCAGGAAAAGAGCAAGAGCAGGTTGACTTGGACGCCGGCCCAAGTAGATTGGAGTGTCTGTATGCGTAAGTCCACATCCGGTGTGCTGGGCAGTGTTTAGAAGGCAACAAACGGGCAACCTGGTTCAGTCTAAGCTAGACTCGGAGTTACCTACCTGGTACCTTACTTCTACGCTCACGACACACTCATGTTGACAACACATTGACTGCAGTCAACGGTCCAAGCAACCACTCAACTTCAATTAGATACTCAATCCCCCTCTTTCCAATCCACCGGCCGCTTTCTCAACGTCCCTACAGCAAATCCCTACAGCATAAGCTAAGGTAGTCGTGTCTTTTAAGCGTGCCTCTTGCCTCTGAGGAACAGCGCCTATCAAACAAACGCCAAATTCCATGCTACATCGCTTTTCTATATGCTCTGACGTTTCGTCTTCGTGATCGTGTTTTGCATGGTGGTCTCGAACGGAAAAAAAGATTCATATCAAGAGCATCTCCATCTGCCAATTCCTCGCCATGCGCCCTTCCCGTCCATGTTTCCCTTTGAGTCGCCCTCGTGGCATACAGGATCATCGGTGCTGTTGAAACGGGCTTGTGTGTGCAGTGTGCGTGTCTAACGATCATAAAGAGAGAGTAAATGTGTATGCGTGTGTGTGTGTCTGTGTCTGTGTGTGTTTGGTCATAACTCAATGCCTTTTCTCGTCATGATGGACGTGAGTCATTTCGTAATAGCGTAGCCCGTATAGGAGCCAGCCCCAAGTGAGAGTCGAGAAGATGAAAATCATAGCGAGAGTCGTGTCAGTCGAATAAAGAGAAGAGAAGATAAGCACGAAAGAACAAGATTTAACGCCTTCGCTCAGCAGCAGGCCAGAAATCAAACCAAGAAAGAAAAAAGCGGAACATAACGGAATAACACGTCGAAGGGAGCCGGCATCTACTAGTTAGACCGGATGACCAGCTTCGAGAGGAGCTTGTTCGATAAGGAATCAAAGTCATATCGGTCGAACTTAGAGTCGGCACGCGTCCGTAGGTACGCCTCTGTAGGATAGGTTAGTGCGTGTCTCAGGGGGGCCCAAGGGGGGTTAGTGCCACTCACCATGCTTGATGACATGTTGCCGCACTTCTGTCATGGCCTCGCAGACAGCAGGGTTGTTGTTGAGCAGCTGGCCATGCCTCCGAGTATCCCACTCGGTGAAGGCGGGCAGCTTCTGCGAAATTGCATGGAATAACCCGACGATCACGCCGACTGGCACGGTCTCCATGTCGTGGCAGAACTTCTCCACAGCAACAGGGTCGGGCACGCGGTAGTGGCAGTCGAACTGAACCTCCTCCCAGACAGCCAGGAGGATGGAGGCAAGCATGAAGATGGTCGGCCAGTTCTTCAGCCGCTCTCCGCTGTAAACGCTCGAGTAGAGAGCCGACAGCTCCTCCAGGATATCCTTCTGGAGCTCACGCCACATGTCGGCCATGGCGCACTTGATCTGGAAGTTGATCATGACAGGGGCGACGACCTTTCCATAGTACTTGGAATCTTCGTCGTCGATCTGGCCCTCCATTGGTTCCTCCGATGGCGGCTGCTCGACCATGGTGATGTGCAATGTAAGATTGTAAGCCACAACCAGCTTCAGGGCTTTGCGGATGACCGGTAGCCTCTCCTTGGTGTAGAAGCGATACGCCGTCTTGAAGATCTCAGTGATGAACGGTGTGCCCTCAAAGTGGTCGTCAATGAACCGCTCAAAGCCCTCATCGATGTGCTTGTCGAGATACTCATGGAGAGCCTCCATCGAGATGCCATCCTGGCCAACGTCAAGACGCTCGGTGCGAATCTCAAAGTCGATGGGGTCCTGATCCTGAAGCGTTGACTCAACCCAATCGACTTGGAAGCAACTGTCGTCCGCGACGTAGACCTCGCGCACCATGACGGGGAGGCAGAACCCGTAGCCGTGGGTGATCCACATCAGCGTCTCCTTCTGCGCGAACCCCTTCACGTTGAAAACAGACACGCCACGGCCGAGATGCCGCTCATAGTCGGCCTTCCAGTCCTTCATGAAGTACCCGATATCCTTGATGTCGATACGAGTGCACGGAACCTGCCACAAGCGAGCGTGAGAAGGCTGGCACCCGGCGCAGGGTTCACCCTTATCACACGTCTTCTTGAGGAACTTGCAGCGCAGACAGGCTCGGAGCTTCCTAATCTCGCTGGCCTGCTTCCGCTGCTCCGGAAGCAGGGGGCCGCGCCTCCGGCCAACCTTCTTCTCGCCAGTGCCGTCCTTCTTTCCTGTCGACGTCCTCCGGATGACGGGCTTTGTGGCCTTGGCAATAGGGCTCTTTCTCGTCCCCGAATTCCGCCTTGCGGGGGGTGAAGTAGAGCCAGAGCCACTCGAACCGCTACCAAGGAGGGGCCGGGTAGTCGAAACAGTCTTGATAGGCACGGGAGCAACGGCGGCAGAAGGGCTGATGAGCTCCGAGGCGGTTGATGGCGGCTGGTGGTGGTGATGGTGCTCTCCGGGCACGCAGTTTCGGTGGTTGCTTGACGCGTCGACGAAGGAGTCGGATGCTGGCGAGTAGGGAGAGTAAGGGAAAGCCACCTCCTCATAGCTGCCAAACTCGAGCGAGTTGGCGTCAGATGTGGACAAATCGGAATTGTTCCGCAAGTGCAGGGTCTGACTCGGGTTGAAGATTGCGGCGTTGTGCGAGTGCTGAGTTTGCGGGAAGGTGTCAGAGCTCGGATACATGTCCACCGATGTCCAACCATTGTCGCTACTCGAGCCTAGCGACAGGACCTCCAAGTACGTCCCAGTCGGGGAATGGCTTCCAAGACTCCTAACACGCGGAAGCCCGTCTGCCTGGAAGTTCAGGGTCGGTTCGAAGTCCTGCCAGTTCGCCATGCCCGCCCCCCACTGCATTACCCGGGAGGTGGTATCAATCGGAGACATTGTGGCGAACGGCGATTCCAGCTGCAGCCCAGCATCGAGCGTAGCCTGAGTGGTTGTCGGAAGATACTCGATCGGGGCAGGCTGGAAGTTGGACGTATATGGGTTGAAGCTGATCAGGGCCGAGTCCTGGATAAACTGAGAGAGATCGGCGGCGGGCTGTTGCTGAGCCTGCAGCGGAAGAGCCCCCGACCAGTCCTGCATCAGCCCGGCTGAGTTTGGGTGAGCGGCCGTCTGATACGGAGACGGCTGCTGCTGGAGCGGGCTCGACATGGTGCTGCTGTGATGTCCCGGAGAGTGGGCGCTCTGGTCACCCGGGGACGAAGGCGGCACGCTGGCCGAGTTGGGCGAGTGAATCGACACCGGCGCACTGACGGTTCCGGTCAGATCGAGCGGCAACCAGCTCGTCACCGGGCTCAAGCTCTGGCGGTTTGCTTGCGGCATGGTGGTCAGGGCGGTCGAGGTGAGGTCTTGAGCCGGTGCCGCCGAGGAGACGGCGGTATACGAGTAGCGGTCCCGGTGGTCATACACAAGCTGCTCCAACAGTGCGGCTTCCCCCCCCGCGGCGTGGAAGTCGTAAGTCATCTTGCCAAAACCAGGAAGGGGCAAGCGGAATAAAGAGTCGGTGAAAGCGGGATTGGAGGAGATCCAAGCGTATTGTAGCGCCGGACAGGGACGGCGAGCGGCGCAGACACCGCTTTTTCTCTATGTAGATGTCAAGTCGGTCAGGAGGGGTTCATTGACAAGCGTCGAGCGCTCTTGGAGTCTTTCTTAGAAATGGACTCCGCCGAGCACGGGTCCGGCGCGTTCGTTTACGTTGCTCGGAGGAAAGGGGAAAGGAGGCGGCGGTTCGAGTCCGGGGAAAGCGTACGGGAGCAACCCTATTCGGGCGTTGCAAGAACGTGAGAAAACACTTGCTCTCAGAAGATCGCTGGAGACCTGACTGGGCTAGGTGGAGCATAACGGACGCTGTCTCCCCCTCCTCACCAGATGCCGTCCCTCTCTCATCCTGTCGGTTGAAGAAGCGGTGAGAGTGCATATCGCCCGGTCCCGGATTGCTTCCTGATTGGAGAATATACCCCGGGATATGCATGTGATGGGTCCTTGCAGGGCGCTTGACCAATCATTGTGCGCCAGCGCAGGCTCGCTATTGGCCGAGGCGGCAGCTAGGATGGTTACGTCCAGTGGCGCCGCACTGTGCCAGGACCTCATTATTATTCCCAGCCACGCGAACTGCCGATAGATGCTGAGTCACGTGTCAGCTACACGTGTATAAAGTAATTTTAAGCAACCACAACTAAGGTATTTAAGTAGGCCCCCCAGCCTACTATTTGGGCGCACTAGGTATATTTGCATAACTGCGTATGTACAGATGTACCAAATGTATAACGTTAGTTGTATAACTTGAAATACATCCGTTCCTAGCACAGATGCCATCGCAAATGATAACCGCGCTTGATGTAGACAAAGTTGGGGTAATGTCCCGGCTCAGTAGACGGTTAGAGGACATTCAAACACACGGAAGCGGTGCTGTCCTGGAGCTGAGAGCCTGGGGACTCATCACCGACATCAAAATTTTCTTGGCAGTGGTATTGCACAAATTAAGAATGCGATTCATTGCTGTGTTGCCTTTGCCATTTTTCGAGGGAGTTGTTGAGAGTGCTTCCAGGTTTTGGCGCCGAGCCTCTAAAGAAGAATAACCTCGGTATGGCCCGTTGCTTGCGGAGCGGCTTGACCGGCTTTGGCGCTCGAAGCCAGCGACCATGGATGTTTGTGGAGATCGCGATGCGAGCTGGAGTGTTCCCCCCTGGAGCGAGAGCACAACGCAGTGGAAGCACACTGCGCACGATCCCGAGATGTGCGTTGTGCTGCAGCATCCGTCCTCAGATCACTTCTCGCGCTCGACAGCTCTGCCCTCGCCAACCCTATGTACATAGGGAAGCAGGTGCATGCCAGTGTGCACATTGTAACGGCTTCTGTTGCAGGCACCGATGTGCAATGCAGTCCTGTTGGACAGCATCTTGCACGGTGCACTGCAGCTCGGCTTCTGCCGAATCCGTTCTTCAGCTTGCGTTAACGTTACCTATTCCTGAGCAGTGGCTATCCTACACAGTACACTCACTCACTGTGTAAAGGTAGTCCACTGTGTATCTCCGCGGCCACTCTGCCAATGTGAATGCGCGCCTTGAAGCATTACGTTGTGTCCACACACAAAGTAGTTTGTTGACAGCAAAGCTTTGTCTCCTGGCTGCTTGTCCAAGTCTCTGATAGGATTCCTAAGCGGAGCCTGATTGTTGCCCTCTTAACATGCCACAGCTTGAAGTGCTACCAAGGATACTTGCCTCAGTGTAAGTGATACGGGAGAATGTTCGAAGTCATCCATACACTCAAAGAACGGACCCGTGTCTCTCTTACGGGATAACAACGTACTACGCAGTAAGTTATACATACCTACGTTACCTTACACTAGCGCCGAGGCCGCAGTGCTGTGTGTGGCAGAGTTCGTGTATTTATTGGCTACGTGTTAGTCTTTGCTTTTCCCACTGTGCACTACTTCATCTGCGCCCGGCAACGAGGGTTAGCACGAGTGATCCACAAGATTCCACACTCCACAAGTTCACTTGTCAGATCTCTCCCGAAAGTGGGCCGCTCACGCCTACATTACCTATGCGGCTATGCCTCCAGTTCATCCAATGTTGCCTTCGTCTTTGTTTGAGAGAGGAAGACAATTCTAGACGCGTCTTCTAAGCGTACGCTAGACCTCACTAGCAAGAGAGGGGACCAATTCAGTCAGTCATTGGGTCGAGGGAAGAGCCTTAACACGAGTCAGCTAACAGTTCCTCGGATTACCAGACACAGCTTGCCGGAAGGGTTCCTCATGTAAGTCCCTTATCAAGGCCAGAACCTATCAACCTGAAAGTTTCTAACCTGGGGAGAACAAGTTGTATCCATTACAGGATAAGTAGACAATTGGCTCCAGACTCCTCCTATGTGGCAACTTGAAAAAAGCCTCCTCGAGAACTCCACTGACCATTCTGGCCACTTGACACCTTCCTCCTCGGTGCGATGAACGCCACTAAGATAGGGGAAGCTGCCCCTTGATGCCAGCCATGTCACAACAGGGGTTCAGCCACAGGATCAAGACGGATTGAGATCCCGGGTGGTGACCCGTGGAGGGGAATCGATGATAGGAGGAGAACATGCCACAAAACAGCACGAGATGCACAAAACGCCATTGTTCGCCTGCCAGCCTGCTTCCACGTAAAAGTGAGTTCTCGCCTTATCGTTTCATGGCAACGGCATTGCTATGGCTTGGATTAGTAGGCTATGCACATGTGGGCTTCACCTACGCAGGAGATGCTCTATAAGTCACCCAGTACCCATGAAGACAAACAATAGGGTTCTGTCTGCAGCCCAATACACTACGGGCTTGGGTTGACCCCCATGCATCGATCGGGGAAGGTCCCGGACCATGGAATCCCTCCAGGTCCCTTGGAGCCTCTAAGCCTAAACGGATTGCCGGTTGCTGACCGCCCGGAGAGAGCGCGACTCTCCGCAGCCGAGCCCGATGTGGCCTCATGCATTTGCGGGCTTGCTATCCGTAGGTATTTGAAGATGTTTGTTAGGAGATGCGAGGCTAGTAGCTTAGTAGTATATATATGTTGTATCAGTGGCAATCGAGGGGCAGGCCAAACTCAAGGCTCAACAGTTCACTTGGAGACTTCTCTGCACAAATACGGTGACTGCTTGTCCGATGAACCCTGCATGTCTCAGAGCCCCGCAAGCCATGGTCCCCATGGGATGAGGACGATCTGTAAGATCTGCCGGGAGCATCGGCAGACTCGGCGAGATCTCCTTGAACGACCGGTAGCTTACCCGACAGCTTGAAAACCACATCACGGATTGGATCTTATATGTGAAAGTTTAATAAGGGGCGGAATCATGACCGACTGGGTTGTCAAACTTCGAACTGCGGCCCTGTCTCGCGTCCGGATCATGTGGGCTGGGTCAACCTCCAACTCATCAATGTTAGGATGTAGTTCGCCCCTTTTCGAGCATGCCGCTGACCGGATGAACAACCCGGGAAACATGCCAGCTCTGACGCCTCCGCTTCTGAGTCGTTCGTCGTCTGAAGGACCGGTCCGGGAGTGTCCACCAGACTGGGGTAGGTACCTTATCGTGCTTATTCAAGACCAGCCCCTCCACTTTGTTCGGGTGCACCGATTCTCAATAGGATACCCCTCGGGCGGAACAACGTCTTTTGTGCAATACTCAGACATTATTCCGTATGCTCCGTATCACCATCCTAGTCTCAATGAGTATCCGTACTAAAAAGTAATATGAAATGCATGGATGCTGAAATGTTCGACATCCTATCCGTATCCCTTAGTACCGACTGGCAAACAACATGATGGGAGGGAAGGAGGTGCAGGAGGTGCAAACTTGGGAGGAGCAACCAGGACCCACATTCCGGATCTAACAATCGGAGAGTCTTGGCATCTGGCGCCCATGTGAATGTGCAACTGTTGGTGAGCCCAATCACATCAGACTGCAATGCTGCAAACATCCAAACTTTCCATTTCTGGCATGACAGAACAATGTTAATGGGCAAGCAGTCCCAAGTATTGTTCTCCCTGTCTAGGCCGTCCCGCGTGAAGAATCCGTGGACCGCGCGTCCGACGGACAAAGGCACAGATGCGTCCAAAAGGCGTCGCCTTCCCGTGGAAACAAATGGCAAACCGGCAACGGCCTCCGCCAGCAGCAGCACGACAACCCAGTCCTGACAGCGACTTGGTAGACGAGGAGATAGTGTTCGACAGGAGAAGCTTGAGACTCATGATTCCAGACCTTTTCACTCAACTTCCCCCGGTCAGGGACGCCCTGGTCACGGAAACGTCCAGGGTCCAGGACGAGACGGTCTCCGTCTGTCTGCCTTCGCTGAGTGGAGAGGATGAGAGTGTCGAGTACAACGGGCACGGGGTGCCGGGACTAAGCCGGGAGAGGCACGTCAACTTCCTGCGTAAGTCGTTAGGGAAGTTGCCCGGCGCGTATGTGGCCGCCGACGCCAGCAGGCCATGGTACTTGTACTGGTGCCTGTCGGCGCTCACGATGCTCGGGGAGGATGTGACATCCTATCGGGAGTCGGTGGTGGCAACGGCGCGCTCGATGCAGAACGATTCCGGAGGCTTTGGCGGTGGCGGCAGACAGCTCTCGCACATGGCCACGACCTATGCGGTGGTTCTGGCGCTTGCGCTGGTCGGAGGCGACGAAGCATACGAGGTGGTTGACCGGAAGGCGATGTGGAGATGGCTCTGCAGTCTCAAACAGCCGGACGGCGGATTCCAAGTCTGCCTCGGGGGCGAGGAGGACATCAGGTACGCCGAGGTCTGATCGAACAAAGAAGAGTCAAAGCCCGAGCTAACCGCCGGGGTAAAAGGGGGGCGTACTGCGCAGCCGTTATCGTCACACTGTTACGGCTTCCGCTAGACCTCACACCTGAGTCTCCCGCATGGACTGGAGACAGCAGTGTGAATCTTTTAACGGGCGTGGCCGACTACGTCCGACGATGTAAGTAAGGAGGAGAATTGCCTGGGCCGCATTGTCGTAATGCACATCGCTGATTCCGCGCAGGTCAAACGTTCGAGGGCGGCATCTCGGGTCAGCCAAACGCAGAAGCACACGGGGCATACGCCTTTTGCGCACTAGGTTGTCTCGCACTCCTGGGCCACCCAGCTCGCATCATCCCAAGGTATGCAGCATCGGCGGGGGTGCTACACCCATTTAGCCATCCACGTGTACTGTGTATATGTGGCAATACCACACAGGATGCTGACCCGGCGCGCAGCTACCTTGACGTTCCACGACTGATCGCCTGGCTGTCGTCACGACAGTATGCGCCCGAAGGGGGACTTTCCGGCCGGACTAACAAACTCGTCGACGGCTGCTACAGCCACTGGGTTGGTGGATGCTTCCCGTTGATCGAGGCATGCCTTGGTACGTCCAGTAGCCGTATCACCGGGGACGTGGCCGTGGGCGACCCGGCCGCCACCAGCTCGACCAGTACGACCAGAAGCAAAGCCAGGCTTCCGCCAGCAGAAGAGAGCCTATTCAGCCGGGAAGGCCTGATCCGGTATATCCTCTGCTGTTGCCAAGACCAGTCCAGAAGGGGCGGACTGCGCGATAAACCGGGAAAGTGAGTACCCTCCTACCTGCCTACCTCTCCTCCTTCTCCCTCTTGCTCCCCTCTTCCCTGTTCCGCGTGACTAGTCAGGTGCCACATGTCGTGCTCATCGTCTGCTTTCTCCCCACCAGAAACTCAGACCCCTACCACACCAACTACGTGTTATCGGGGCTCAGCTCAGCGCAACATCAATGGGAACTGGACGAGCCCGAGGAAACTGCAGCATCAGAAGGAGCAGCGGATGCGGTGTGGGCCGTCCTGCCGTACCTCGACGGCGTGCAGATCTTTGACAACAAGGACCGCGTCCGGCCGATCCACCCCGTCTACGCCATACCGCAGCAAAATGTGCGGGCTATGAAGGAGTACTTCCAGCAGAAACAGGGATTCTGAGACAGCTTATCCGAGTGGTTTCTAGAAGGACTTCTTGTCTGGGTCTCAATTGTATCGACAGACCATGTTGGCGAGCTTCACGGCTACTGATCTCATTAGAGAGAGTCGATGAACCCTCAGCCTTGCGAAAGTGCAAATCTTCTCTGGGCTAGACATTTTTGTCTTTCTGTTGTCATTACGTGTGAAGTTGGGAGGTTCGCTCTCGTGATATTGCCGCACTGCAAGGGCGTGCCAAACAGCTCGTCTCCTTTCCGCGGAGGCAGAGGTCGAGGAGAAGAGGCTAAGGTATCTCTCTCCCTGGACGCTCACCAAAAAAACACCGGGTATCATCAAGGCTCCAACCGCCTACTCCCTTTTGAACACAAAGTGCAGCAAGCATCATATATCGAATGCACCACGGGCATGTACAACTGAGTCGGGGGGCGATAATGCAGGCGAAAGGGGACTTGTTGCCCGGGCTGAGCATGCTGCGTACGACCGTGTGTGTATCATATCAGGTAGTACAAGTACATACATTGTGTACAGATGTGCATGAAGGGGGCCATAATCTACAACCAAGCTGCAGCTGCCCATCTTGATCTGGATCCATGGATATACCTACCTACACAAGCACACGCCAAGGACATTCGCCGTCAGTCCTCTCCTTTCCTTCACGTATGTATCCAATGTGCGTGAGGTGTGTGAGGCAACTGGACTGATGTCTGCAGAATACGGAGACTCGCCACCTGCTCATCCTGCTCATGCAGGAGACCCATCTACTACTTGCCATGAAAAGAAGCCATGGCGGGTTCATTTCTCGACCATCCCGTGTCTACAACAAGGGCGGATGGATCTGTCAAAAATGATGACCCGCCAATCCGGACCGCTGCTGCTGTGGTGGTCTACTAGGCTGGGATTCGTGCACCGCGGTAGACGCAAATTTATCTTCGGTTGGGCACATTTTTCGGCTCGTGCAAGACGGTCCAGTCGAAGAACCTGCCGCGGAAGCCGATCAGGTTGAAAACCAGTGAGCCGAAGCGAAAGAGCTGCGTCCCCGATGCCTACTGACCACTGCTGCTCTTCTACGTCGACATCGACCTGCCTGGATGCTTTAGCTGCTTCTTCCCATCCTCCTTATCCATCGAATGCAGTGGTCCCCGAGGCGTTCTGCGACACTGGGCCGCGAGAATGGGCCTCGGGATGGATATCCGGATGACAGCCATCCAGTGAACTTCCTCGAACTCTCCAGATCTTGGATAGAAAGGTTGCATGGCAGCAGGCCTCTTCCATGCACCCAGGCCGTACGACTCCTGTGGTGTAATCTGCCCAGAGGATTATGTGAGCAGAGGTTTAACATGTATGGCTCCGAAAAAAAGAAGGCAACCGAAGGATGCTGCGAGGTCCGGCGGCATGGATGATGGGAGAGCGGCAGAGACAAAGCTCGGGGCGAGGAGGACATGGGCTCGAGACCGCAGCGCCCCCGCGCGGTCGATGCCGCTACCCTGTTTCCTCCTCTGCCCAGTTGTTCGAATGTGTTCCTGTTGATTTCCAGCTGCGGGTGATCAAAGATGATTCTTGCTGTATCTATCGGTCCCGTCTGCGACTCTTCTCGCTTGCCCCCAAATGCGCCAGGTAACCTTATGACGTTGTGGGGGAAGGGAGTGCTGCAGCGACAGGCGATGGAGGGGTTGTTTTCTGCCCCTCAGTACGGTAGCACCGGGGGTGATCCCGCCCCCAACATCAGAATATTGTTTATGTACACCTCCGGCCTCCCGCCCCCGGCGCCGGTCCATTGGGTACTGTGCACCGGGGGGCCGAAGTCCCGTCGCTCCGGCAGCCAGACTGATCAAGATCTTGAAGGACCTAGTACTTCCCATCAAGGCCTGGATGCCAGAGATGACTTGCTTACCCCCCAAGACGCGCTTCCATATAAGCGACAGGACGATTTGATGGTGTCATAATTGATGATGTGATCTCGTGGGTGGGCGCGAATGAAGCGCCGTTAACGAGCTTGTCCTCTGCCAGGTCTCCGCGTGGCTCCGTGTGAGTGGTGAGCCCACCGCGAGGCCGTTCGCCCGGCAGTGCGCAGGTCTGCGAGCTGGAAGCCGAGAGAGCCACGGGATTGGGCCATTGGCGGTTCCAGAATTCTTCCTCCTTCTTGACGTCCAACCACTCACCGCGCACAGCTAGACCTTATACCAGGGACGACACCGAAAACCCACAAGGATACCCTTTTTTCAAGACCACAGCCTCGAGTGCTCACAAACGTAATGGTGAGGTGATGAGTTCCAAAAGATGGCGCTCGTTGTTCTCGCCATTTGCGGTCGGTGGAGTCGTCCCACGCTCGAACTTCTCGGCCCACCGTTTCCAGTCGTGTACCTTGACGTGTATTAGGCCAGCATCTCGAGCTTGTCGCTTTGTCCATCGTCACCCGAGCAATTGGCCTGGCCTGCAACACAACTCCCCGCTCTCGCTTGGGCCGGATGGGGGAATCGCGGGGTCCGAGCCCGGGACGCGGGCGGTGTTGTATCATGTATGTACAGTACGGAATATGTACCTTATGTACGTGTCTGTACGCCGCATGTAGGTGCACGCATTCGTACCAGAGTCCTTTTGCCCCTCGCGCGCCGACCCATACTCGGGCTTCTTGGTTTAATATCAAGCAGCAGTGCCAACTCATCATTGCATGAAGCGTTAAGGCCGGCCTGTGCCTATGTAGTTGCCTTGCGAGCCATCCGCCATTCAGCGTCGCCGCTCGTCGTTAGGGTCAGATGCAGGGCATGCAAGGATTTGCAAGGGTTTGCCGGTCCCAGTCATCCCAGCCACTGTTCATGCACCTCATCGTTGCTCACCGACTTCGTGGTGCCGCTTCCAAGCCAGTCAACGCGTCCGCGCTGGCTTCTTCCTGTCCCGCCGACTGGGAGGGCGAGCAGGGGAAACATTGTATTCGCCATCCGGGCGATCTCGATGAGAGCCGCTCCTGTTCCTCCAATGCTTCGTTCGTTGATCCTCAGCGATCCCGACGAGCACCGGGCCCCCTACCGATTCCCGCTTGCGGTTCGTCCCAGAAAAGCCAATTGCCCACTTCTGATTCGCCAGTCCTGCATGCCAGCGGGAAAGTTCTCAAAAAAGTTTCGAGAACCGCGTTCCATTGCCTCCCGAATATCCCTTGCGATGCCATGAACAAGAATTGTGAGCCTGGCGAATCGCCCGTGTTTCCCAAGCTGCATGGCCCGCAAGATTGCCTCGAAGAAAAAACCCGCCTTCACTCCAACGTTGCAGATTGGCCCGGCTACCTGCGTCGTTCGCAAGTTCTTTTTTCTCGGGCGCAACTCTGTTCCTGTAAACCATTCCCCGCCGTCTGCTCTGCAATGTACTCGCGCGGCGTAGTTCTACCGCGGGCTACTTTCTTCACTTTCTTCTGTTGCCCCCATGTACATATCACATAACCGCTTTGGCAAGCAGATATGACATGTACCGCGGTGCGTGGATGACACTATCATGCTCCCAAGCGGATACACCACACAGCATGACACAGGATGCAGACGTGTTAGTGGCCGCTTGATCGCATCTCAGAACCAGCGCTCTCAGTCTCCCTCGTCCCCTCATTCACACCCTTGTCCTCGGTTGCTGTTGTGTCAACTCCAACAAGGCAATCCCTTCCTCTGAGGTCCCCCGACCTCAACTGTAAGGTGGGGGTGATTGACCGAGATCCGGCAGTACGTATGTTACTTCGTACATAGTGTAGACTAACTCTACAGTTCCTAGCGGCAACAACAACAACCAAGCCTGCGGAGTCTCTTCCAGCCACTTGGTGTCCTAGTCCCGCCGTGCTCCTCTGTTTCCCGATTTAGAAATCACCTTCAGCATGGCCATTCTTGCCCACCTTTGCTGGTCTCAGTCAACCCTCCATATCCACATACACTACACGATGCGGAGGGGGCTCCGGGGCCGGCCCAAACATCGGACCAAAACAATCCGTGAAGGGGTCTGGATGACAGATCGGCCAGTTGGAGCTACCAACAGGGTCGTGTGAAGGTGCAGCATCTGCTAGGACTATCGACTTTACCCGATCCAAACTGGCCGGACTTATCAGACGAGAGATCTTTCTGCTTCCCCCCCATGTTGCTGGTGTGGAGTTGGCCGGGCCTCTGCGGTTGTATCAACTGGCAACGACACACGCCAACACATCAGGATGGGTCACACTTTGGAGCCGCATCTCCCAGTGGACATGCGTCTCGCGGACCCCTTCCCTCCTCTCTGCTCCGACTCCTCTTCTCTCCGTTCGAGCTCTCCGTCATTTCCTTGTTGCATCTGGCCGTGATCCGGGGGCCCTGTTTGCCATCCATGCCCCGCATTCCCCTTCCCGTCACCGCAATAAAGCACTCCCGTCTCGCTGGTGGCTCGGCCCCGGCTTCCCCCTTCCTGCCGTCGCCTTGGATACGTAGCATATCAGCCTTAACATCCTCAACCTCTCCCAGCTCACACCACCCTCCAACTTGTGAGACAAGCTTTCACCTCCGGCATTGCTCCCTACTTTTGTCCCCCAGTCCGTTTCTATCCCGCATTGCCCCTTGGGTTGGGCTCGATTGCAGCACATCACACCGAATATCTCGGTTCGCGGCCGACAGTTTGTTTACAACTCTGCCCACTTTTTTTTTATTTTTTGTTTTTGGGCTCTCCAAATTTCCGGCCTCTGGCTGAGGTACCCTGGGCCGCTCTCCCGTCTTATCCACGCCTATTACCCGACTACACACAAGTGTCATTGTTAGCCTCCCCGGAAGCCTCAGGAAGCAATTGACACGCACTCTGGCACCATGGGCGGTTTCTACATTCAGTATCTCGAAAGTAAGTGGTCAATTGGCGTTTCTGTATGTCTACCGAGGCAGCTCGTCCCGGCAGTGGTCTTCTAGCCCTCAGCAACGCACGTCACTCCTGTTACGGTGGGGTGTCTCTGAGATGAGAAGGAGGGCATCCCCACGTGGTTGACCCCCGCACGCACCGTTCCGTTGTCCCTGAACTCTGATCGGACCTCGAAAGCCCCTGGCCACCTCTCCCGTGTGAGGCCTCCTTCTCTGTCGACCTGCTGGCACTTTGCCATAACCATCCAATGCATCCCGTAGGGCTGAGGCGTTCATGTCGGGCTGTCATGCAGATTTATCTCCATTTCGTCTCGTCATTTCCGGGGCTTACACGTTACATGATACACCCTCACGAGTCTCCTCCCATTCTTTGACCGCTTTCCCGCAGAGGCAGGGTATCCAATTGGGCAGCTACCGCGCAGCACACAGGGCTAACCGAGGATGACTTAACAGGCCTATGCCGGCGGCGTGGATGGCATGACCCCTTGTACGAGTCCTACCGGGACGCCAATGGCTACACGTGCCTGGTCCTGGTAAATGGGCGGGAGTACCAAACGGATCTGGCGTACGAGTCCAAGACGCTGGCCGAGGAAAACGCAGCCATGCGTGCCTTCATGGTCTGCCGCAACTTCTCCGTCAACGGAGGCATGCTTGCCCGCAACGGCATTGTCCAGGGCCTGCCGGCCGATGAGACCGGCCGCAAGGCCAGGAAGGGGAGCCGCCACACCTCCTCCTCCAATCACGGCCACAGGAGCAGATCGGGCAACCACTCCAGCAGCAGCTCGACCGCCTCGCTTGAGTGAGGCTGAAAAGCCAGAGCCAGAGCCAGCGGGAACCGCATTTCCACCGTCTGATGGCCGGTTCGGTCAAAGATGGGGGCAGCTTGAATCCCTCAGTTCTTTCCTGATTTCCTTCCGCTTTACCCGCTTTCACCCTGGTCGGGAGCTTGGACCGAACCAAGGAAGAGGAAGCAGCTCAAACCAAAGAAAACAAAAAGCTAAGACCACTACTTATAAAACCGGATCGTTTTTTCTTGCTATACATTTCGGAGAAGGCTTCACAGCAACACGACAAGAAAGAGAGATGAATACACGGCCGCAGATTATACCCCTATTCGTGGCATTACTCCGTTCTCAGGACCTGAGGAGCCCAAAGTCCTGGAGAATTGGATGGATTGAAAGACATGAGCTTTTTCATTTCTCTCTTCCCAAAAAGACAGCATTTTCTTTTTCGCGGCAGCATCATCACGACATGATTGAACGACCCGTTACGACGACGACCCCAATTTAGACAAAGTTCGGCCTTTTGGACGACCAATTTTCGACACCATCGAACATGCTTTCTATACCACCAACCCACTCAGCCCCCTTTTTGGCCGTCTGGAGGCTATGGGCTGGGCTTGGCTTCATGTTCCTGCTTCATGACTCTCACGTTTTCCCCCCATTTACAGAAAGACTTGATGGCCCGGGCTTTTGTTTTTGATTTTGTCTTTTTCCCCCCCCTCTTCTTTCTTCCCTTCGTCGTCGCCGGTTATATCTGGGTATCACAGCACCAGCCGGACCGAAAAGACGAAAACGCAGACGAGGAGATTGAGTCGGGCGGGTAGTACTCCTGGAGGCAACTCTGGGTTTGGCCACGACACGGCACGCGCGGAAGATGCATCACCGGACCATGGACTGGGTGTCTGGACCGGATTGAACCAGTTGGAGCATAGGGAAAGGTTGGCTGGCCTAGTCTGAGTTGAATGTTTCTCTTTTCCTTTTTTATACTTTTCTCCCGGGCATGCCCTGGCGTCTTCTCCGCTGGTGGTTGGCACAGCGCGGCGCTGTTGGTTTCCTTTTGACCACCGGATGGTGTCCGATTCTGGTCGTGGGTTGCATACCTGTTTCTACGAATTCGCCTGGCACTTTGTGCGGCATCTCGGGGGCCAGAGGAGGGGGGAAGGGCGGAACGGCCTCACACCACTCAACTTATTGCTCTGGAGGGGTTTCAGGGTGAGAGGGTACGGTCATGATTGTCTTGATGGGTAATCGAGAGAGGTTTGGGCTGGGAAGAAATCGGGATTCTACTTTCTTTCCTCTTCTCTCTTGCTGGAAGAACTCACTCATCCTTTGATGATTCATGAATGATGACGATGATGACGATGACTCACGAGGCTTATGTTAGTCAAGAATTCTGACGGCCTTCAAAATAAACTATGCATGAGGCATTTCATGGCCTGCTGATGGAAGGACGACGCGGTGTCTTCTTATCGTGACGTACTTCCAAATGTTCCGTGCACCTGTTGGTCAACATGGGTATCGATGCGTCCAACCGTCAGCCAACCTTACACCAGATCTATGCGAAACAATGTTATGAGCTGTTAATGTTGATACATTGCTTCCGCCAGCACTCGGTCAAACAGTCAGCTGGAGCCGTCCACTCTGTCTCTCATTGGGTCTCCTCGTTGTTCCGTCACGGATATAAGACTGCCACTCTTGAACGTACAAAGACGGCACGGTCACGGGTTACACCACCTTTCAACCCCCAAGCATCCGCGCGACATCAGCAACGGCCTGGAGCAGCGCCTTTTTCCGTTCCGCGTTTCATCGACCCTGGGATCTGGAAGAGTGGCCTTTCCTTGCAGATAGCCGAGTTTTGTGTTACCTACTCAAGCTTGTCCTCCCACCCTCCGTACCTCTCTACCTACCGTACCTATGTTTCATATGACATACACGTCATCAGCGTAGCGAATTGAGCAGGTGACCACCGGCATGGCGAGACGCCGTTGTTCCACGGAATCGTTGGTTATATGCAGTATGTTCTGTGCATTGTTGGTCATCGTCGTTGGGTGTTGTTGGACCAAGCATTGCGTAGCCCCTGACCTTTCCCCTTATTCAGAAAGTTAAAAAGGCCCACTCGAGAAACCCGGTCATGGGTGCTGCTGTGCGATCCAATCTCGCAATGGGGGAATGGAGCATGCTGATTGGCTGTTAGTCTGGGATATGGCCTGGGAAACCACCCCTTCAGCAGCCCTGTGACAACGCTAGCTGCCGCGACAGTGGCGCGAGCCGTGGGCCCCGTAAAGGTGTCCTTCTCCTGCATTCCCAGATCGGGCTCTTCGCGGTCCTCGCAGCTAGGTTCGAACACGACGTCGTGGTCCCTTACGATATATACCTCGTATTTTTACTGTTCTCGCGGTTCGCGACTGCCTTTCTTCCAGAAGCAAGGTGGCTGCCTACTATTTAACTGCTGAGCGTTGCGCGCCCGAGTTCTAATTTCCCCACCTTTCTACCTTCGTACGCTCGTTCACCACCACCACCGCAACCATGAAGGGTAAGTAAGAATCTGTGCGTTGTGCGTTGCGCATGCAGGAGACCGAGGCTAACCTCGCTTCGCTTCTCGCAGCCTTAATTCTTGTCGGCGGCTTCGGCACTCGCCTGCGTCCTCTCGTGCGTTTTCCGATGATGCCCGACTCCCCGTCATGTCACCGAAAGGGTCGCTGACACCAACTCTCCTAGACTCTGACCCTGCCGAAACCGCTCGTGGAGTTCGGCAACAAGCGGATGATTCTGCACCAGATCGAGGCCCTTGCCGCTGCTGGTGTCACCGACATTGTCTTGGCCGTGAACTATCGCCCTGAGATTATGGAGAAGTACCTCGCCGAGGTTAGTGCCTTTACACGCAGCCCGAGAGGGTCGGGGTCGGGGGTTGGCGCAGAAAGCTGACGGTGTACCCTGAACAGTACGAGAAGCAATTCGGGATCAACATCACCATCTCGATCGAGAACGAACCCCTGGGCACCGCCGGCCCCCTGAAGCTTGCCGAGGAGGTTCTAACAAAGGACGACTCGCCGTTCTTCGTCCTCAACTCTGATATCACGTGCGAATACCCCTTTAAGCAGCTCGCCGAATTCCACAAATCACACGGTGACGAGGGCACCATCGTGGTAACCAAGGTGGAGGAGCCGTCGAAGTACGGTGTCATCGTCCACAAGCCAAACCACCCCTCGCGTATCGACCGCTTCGTCGAGAAGCCCGTCGAGTTCGTCGGCAACCGTATCAATGCCGGTATCTACATCCTCAACACCTCGGTGCTGAAGCGCATCGAGCTGCGACCCACATCCATCGAGCAGGAGACGTTCCCGGCCATGGTCAAGGACGGGCAGCTGCACTCGTTCGACCTCGAGGGCTTCTGGATGGATGTTGGGCAACCGAAAGACTTCCTCACAGGCACCTGCTTGTATCTGTCTTCGCTTGCGAAGAAGGGCTCCAAGCTGCTCACACCGGCCACAGAGCCATACGTCTACGGCGGCAACGTGCTGATCGACCCCTCGGCCAAGATCGGCAAGAACTGCAGGATAGGACCGAACGTGACGATCGGCCCGGACGTCGTGGTGGGCGACGGAGTCCGGCTGCAGCGCTGCGTGCTGATGGCAGGGTCCAAGGTCAAGGACCACGCCTGGGTCAAGAGCACCATCGTCGGCTGGAACAGCACAGTCGGAAAATGGGCGCGCCTCGAGAACGTGACGGTCCTGGGCGACGACGTCACCATCGGGGATGAGATCTACGTCAACGGCGGCAGCATCCTGCCGCATAAGACCATCAAGGCAAACGTCGACGTGCCTGCTATCATCATGTGAACGGAGCCATAACCAACGTTCCGCGATTATTTCTATTTTTGCCGCCGGTCTTTACGATCTCACCTCCTTTTTTTCGCTTTTAATTCGGATCCCCTTCTGTAGCCCCCTTTTCTAATACTGAGACGGAGGCGGAGCGCGCGAAACGCATACCACTCCCCTCTTCCACTCGAGAATCCCTCGTTCTACCGCCGTCAATACTCGGCGCGTAGATCTGAGCACCCATATCTGCCTCGTGGCAAGCCATCTTATTTGACCGAATGTGGAGGATGAGATCATGAAAACAACGAGGGCGGTGCGGGTATACCTATATGCTTCTGGGTTGCAAGCAACGGAGTAGGGCGGGCGCGCAATGGTTTAAGGGAGGGCTGCGGGTACCTGCACTGCGCATCGTGGAGACGGGTTACGGAACAGGGTCTGGCGCGGCTAGTTGTGTGGTGATTCCCCCGGGTCTGCATCCGACGGGAGCATCACCTAGGACATCGTGCAATAAACATCACTTGCACCAAATCCATACGGCTCTCTGGCAGTTTGTTCTCGTGACTCGACAAAGACCTTGGGACTGTTTCCTCCGGGAGAACAAAACTTGACCACCTGCGAAGCAAGGCATCCAGATGATTCAAAGAGGGCAGTGAAACACTCCACAGTTCTCCTGCCTTAGTCATGATGCTCGAGTCAGTCATGGCCCAGCATAAACAACGGTTGAACCTCGGACCAGCCACAGCATCGGAGGCGATGATCCGATGATATCGGTGACGTATCTGTTGACGGTCAGCAAGTTGTGATTTCAGTTGTATGCTCACGGGAATAAGAGGACCCTGAGGATGGCATCATAGGGATGCGCATCCGCAGTTGATCGGCAAACGGTCCATCGGATGAGGGACGATCGTGGAGCAACCTACTGCAACCCTTGGTGTAATGCACACCGGGGAAGATATGACGTGTACCAAACAATGGACCATGAGTTGGACATCATAGGTAACATTATGTGGTAGGTGGATTGATGATTCCAACCACGTCGCCAACGGAATGCCGTGGTTACGCTACCGGGATCAACCTTCACGTTGCCGAAGGTGATAGTACTGTCTAAGCAACAGAGGACAAGAAGAGTGGCACAGGATGATCAGTCATCAAGCTGCCAAGTCGTCGTTCTAGTGGTAGATCCGCGGGACACTGAGATAGGTCTCTCTCACGGTTTGTTATTGTTGGGCCCGTTTGGATCCCTACGGCCTGAATACCTCGAGTCAGTACTAGAGATGGGACTGGTGTCATTCCAAAGGGATCAAACAACACACTACAACGGGCATGTGAGATCCTTTTGGCTATGACATTGGCTTCGCTGCCAAGTGGTAGCCGGCACCGCGGCACCTGTAGTACCCGCGGCACGCTGAAGGGAGGCGAAAGTGGTGATGGACATTAACCTAGTAGACTGTGAACCACTTGAATGATGTACGTACCTAACCATGTTCCGGACAAGACAGGAAGGACACCAAGGGAATGACCGTCATGCCGGACTATGATGATTTAGCCACCCATGGAAGCGAAATAGGTACAATCTCCTCGAGTTTAGTGACTAGGTAAGTAAGAATAGACATCTCACAGGTAGATATGGTAGAGGTGGCAAGGTTGGCGCTTGAAGGAATCTTTATAGTACTAACGTTATAGTGTTATCCCTTACCATGGACGACTCAAGTAATGAACAAGGCTTTAGAGTTATGCCTAAGTTCGACAACATCGCAACCTAAGATAGCGGACAGAAAACACGTCTCGTAGTTTAACACCACCGTAGCCATTAAGCTCTATAGCTCCCTACTATCATACAGGTCCCATCCCGTTTCCTCCACCAGGGTTGCAAATGCTTGTTCGATGAATGTAGTACCCCACGGTATGAGACAGCCAGCCAACACCGAGCACATACTAGACTTGAAACTAAAAGTGTGTGAAAAGACGCCTGAAGAAAGCAAACCCATTGCCCCAAACCCGCTCCACGCCATCATTGCCATGAAAATCACACAAAAAGGACACCCAAGCTGAAAGAAAAAAAAAAGAAAAAAAAAGGAAAGGAAAGGAAAAAGGACGACCGCTTCACTTCGCCATGCAATCATCCCTCACCCACCCCCTACTCATCTCCACCGCCTGCTCCCACTTCCTAAACAACCTATCGGCCTCGGCCCTCTTTATTTGCGGCATGAACACCTTGCGGCCGTTGCGGCCAACTTCCTTGAGGTCTTCGAGCTCACGCCAGACGCCCGTGGCCAGGCCGGCGGCGATGGCCGCGCCCAGGGCGGTGGTCTCGCGCATGCGCGGGCGGTCGACGGGGATGCCGCTGATGTCGGCCTGGGTCTGCATGCACAGGTCCGAGTTGGAGAGCCCGCCGTCGACGGCGAGCGACTCGAGCTTGTGGCTCGAGTCCTTCTCCATGGCCTCGAGGATGGCCCGCGTCTGGTAGCACGTCGCCTCGAGCGTGGCGCGCGCGATGTGGCCCTTGTTGGTGTGCTGCGTGATGCCGAAGAGGGTGCCCTTGGCGTCGTCGATCCAGTACGGCGCGAACAGCCCGCTGAAGGCCGTGACGAAGACCACGCCGCCGTTATCCGGGACCGACTCGGCCAGCGCGTTGATCTCGCTCGAGGACTCGATGAAGCCGAGGTTGTTCTGCAGGAACTTGACGCCCGACCCCGCGACGGCGATGCTGCCCTCCAGCGCGTACACCGGTTTCCTGCCGCGCCCGAAGTCATAGGCCACGGTGGCCAGCAGGCCGTACTTGGAGATGACAGGCTCCGTGCCGACGTTGTACAGGAGGAAGCATCCGGTGCCGTACGTATTCTTGGCCTGCCCGGGACTGAATCCGCACTGGCCGACCAGGGCGCTGGACTGGTCGCCCAGACACCCGGCAATGGGAACGCCTTTTAATGGGCCGCTGGCGAGCTTGCCGAAGCATTCGGAATCTGACGACGGCACAATCTTGGGCAATTGTACCTTTGTCTTGTCGATGCCGAAGAACCCCAGAAGCTTGTCATCGTACTGCATGGTGCGCAGGTTCATGAACATGGTCCTGCTGGCGTTGGTGCTGTCTGTGACATGAACGGGCTTGTCGGCTTGCGCGCCGCCATTGAGTCTGTAGATAAGCCAAGAGTCGACGGTTCCGAATGCGAGGCGCCCTTCCTCGTAGGCCTGCTTCACGGAATCCACATTCTGGAGGAGCCACATGAGCTTGACACTGCTGGGGTATGTCGACAGAGGCAGGCCGCAGAGGTCCATGAGGCTATCTGAGTCCTCGCGCGCCTTGAGCTCGCGCACGAGCCCTTTTGTCCGGGTGTCGGGCCAGACGATGGCATTGTGGAGCGGTTCGCCGGTGGTGCTGTCCCACACTACTGTTGTTTCGCGCTGGTTGGTGATGCCGATTGAGCGGATGTCGGATTTTGAGTAGCCCAGGTCGACAAACTCTCGCATGGCCCCTTCGATGCATTCTTCGACGGAGCGGAGAAGCTCTAACGGGTCATGTTCGTGCCATCTTCAATTTAGAGTTGTTAGCCCAGGCGTCGCTAATGCAGAGGCTCCGCAGCGATCCCGGCTTAGGGTGGAGGCAGAGCGGAGATTGGGGGGTGGGAGTGAGCGTAACATACCCAGATTTTGGGTAAAGATTCTCAAACTCTATTTGATGGCTCGCGACAGGGTCGCCGTCACCGTTGAAGATGAGGAAGCGCGATGATGTGGTGCCTTGGTCGATGCTGCCGACGAACCAGTGGTGTTTCTTCTCTTCGTCCGTCTCGATGATTCCCTGCGGGAGGTGCTCTACGTGGGAAGTGTGGATGTCGGCAGTGATGTCGGGCAGCCTCCTGGGTGTTGCTGCGGTGGGCTTCATCGACAGGGCATCCAATTTGAGACTTAAACCAGGACCGCCGGGGATGAGCGTGTCCTCCAAGCGGGTGGAACTGAGGTTGCTGGCGTGATGGACCATGGTGTGCTTGTGTTTAGACTTGCGCCACAGGGACATAAATCTGCTGAATCGGAAAGTGCGAAGGTGTGGTTGTTCTTTCCGGGGCAGGCCAGTTGCTGCTTGCGATGGTGGATGGGACAACATTGATAAAGGCGGTCGGCGTGGGGCTTTGGAGGGTCAGAATCGGGCAGGTCGGAAAAGGAGGGGCAACGTCATGGAAGGCCTAGCCCCGGCCATGCGTACAGCGATTGGAATGTGTGATGGACTGGGAAGAGGCGGTATTGCATCTGATCCGCTGGCTGCCCACCGGTGACGCTGTAAGCGGCGCTGCTGCGTTCCACAGGGCAGTGGCTCCAACAACAGGGACAGCTCGAGGGGCGAATGTCCGCCGAAACGGTTGCGCGCGCATTGCGAGCGGAATCGGCTATTTAAAGGCCGGGATTGCGTTTAAAATACGGGATGCCGCGGGAGCTCGTTACCACCGGCGCGGGAGGCGGGAAGCAACAGCCATTCGTGCCGCATTCATGCCGTCTCTCGGCTGGAATTTTTCCTGGCTGAACGGCGCATGCCGCTATTGCAATTTCGGGCATTGCGTGGGGTGCCGAGGCCTGCTCGAGGCCTGGTCCATTGGTGGAACATCTCATGCGGGGGACAGCCAAGTGCTTGTGGGCCATCTGGGGGATTGCCTTTGATCACGGGAATGCTCTCCAAGCCACGCTCCACCATCTTGGGAACCCCGCAGGAACCCGCATAACCCCGCCAACAACGAAGGATCTCGAACGTGACGGATGGAGGATGTCATTCTCCTACCGATCGTCGGTCTTTCACCCACACAGCAACACAGCTTGAATCCCCCTAACGTCATCCATGGTCAATCAACTCGGCAGGCTTCAAGTTGAGCTCCAATCGATAGGCAGCGTGTATTTCCTGAATAATAAAGGAGGGACTATGTCATTTCTTCCTGTAGTTTTGGTCTACTCCAGGAATACCCCATGAGCCCCTTGAAAAGGGGGCATCAACATGCACTGTCTCCAGCAACTCGGCTTCGTCGGTGGCTACTGCGTAATGAGTGACAGCGAAGTAACCTGGCAAAGGTCTTCTGTTGTCTAGAATTTGCCGATCCCTCGCTGTACTGCCAACGTAGCTGCGCACGCGCACTATCAAAAAAATTGCAATCCACATTCACACTGGCCAGAACACAGCATTTTCGATCGTATCTCCAAGCGCCTACGCTAGTGATTCCCTTTCCCCTGGCAGATGCAGCACACAAGGACATGGTTCGCATCGGCAAGAACTTACCCGAGGGGACTTCCTTTTTCCTCGGCTTGTTGTTCGGTCAACAAATCTGCTTGATAAATGGAGAACGAGCCAATGCAAAATGTGAATGACCGGAGTAACTGGAATAAATGCTTAAATAAAACAGAGAAAAACAAAGACGTAGTCACGCTAGCCAACAAGACAAGGGAAGCTCCAGGGGAAATGGGACATTTCAGCCGGGGCGAAAGTACGAAAAAGGATGACCAAGATGGAAAAATGAAAGTCTCGAAGACGGGAATTGAGCCCGACGTGGGGGTCGAACCCACAACCTTGAGATTACGGAGATTCCTTTTAGTAAGAGTCTCACGCTCTACCGATTGAGCTAGCCGGGCAGGCTATTTGATTGTTCTTCTCGGTGGCAAAGGCTTGGCTTAGATAGGGGACGCAGACCTAGTCTATCCAACACCAGCCGCGACTCCAAGATCAAGAGTCATCAAATCTTACAGGGGGCCGGATTCACAGTGGCCTAGACGATTTACCTTAGGGAAACCCGTTGTATTCCTCGTATGTGACATTTCATGATCCCACAATGTTCCTGTCTCTGAACCTTGAAGCCGCCATGGACCATGTTGGACCGATGCGCCTCCTCCGGGCCCGGAAACAGGGCTCTTAGAAAGAGAATTAAAACCAACAGATATGGCACAACCAGACACCATGGTATGTTACATGTACAATATAATCCACACAGCCCAAGAAGCCATGCCCATCGACAAGCCAGTGAGTGTCTACCCGTTCTGCCATCCCCCTTCGTAGGTGATAAGGTATAGATGCGCCCGTAACCTCTCACAGTGGGGACAGAAACCCAACAATACCCGCTGCCAACTCGAGGGGAAAGCATCACACAGAAAAAAGCATGGAAACAGGAGGACATAACTGAGAAAACTCCTTTGGACATGCCACCTTCCCATCAACCAATCCTAAACAACTCCTTTCCCTTTCGATGCTGTGTAATCACCATCTCAGTTCGATCTTCAACCAGAACACTCGCCCACGTCAACGGGCGATGAAGTGGGAATCCACTGTGACGAAGGGGGAATCCATTGTGACGATGCCGGATTACCCCCCTCGTCGTCCTCGTCCTGCAGGGGTCCCAGGCGCAGGCGCAGATTGTGAGAAGGGGTACGGCGGCGTCTGTGTCCATGTCCCTGTCTATGACGTCGTCGTCGTTGGCGGCCGCGGCGGTGGCGGGATTCATTCCTAGGTCTTCGCAGGACGACGACGACGACGACGGCGCACCACCAACACCGCTACCGACCGTCGAGGTGCGGCTGAGCATGCCACTCTGGTTCCGGTTCTGGCTTGAGCTTGAACTCTGGCTCGAGCTCGGACCGGGGATGATGATTACGTTGCCCGTGCGCCGTTCCGCCTCACAGTTGGCACACACTCCGCCCCCGACGATCTGGTCGTAAACCGAGTACAGGTGGTAGAACCAGGGGTAGAGCTGGTGCGCTTCGGGCCGCAGGTGCTGGGTGGCGCTCATCATCTCCTGGATGCGCGGGAGGACGGGCAGAAGAGCGTGGACCGAGCGTTCGCGCGAGGGGTCGGAGGCGGCGAGCTCGTGGCCCAGACTGGTGAGCGTGGCGAGATAGGTCGGGAGGTTGGGCAGCGCGTCGGCGTACTTGAACGGGCGGTCTTCGCTCCGTCCTCCGTAGTAGTAGTAGGATCTGTCGGCCGCGAAGAAGGGAGAGGAGGAGGGATGTTGGTGCGTGCTACTATTGCTAGTATTTCTAATATGGGCGAGCTGCTCCTCCGCGAACTTGGCTGGCTGGCCCAGCAGGACGGTGACGATCTCCAGGTACACACAACCCAGCGAGAAGATGTCGGAGCGCTCGTCGCGCCTCTGTTCCGCGAGGGACTCGGGGTCGGCGTACTTGAGCGTCTTGGGCGTCGGGCCCTCGGAGTAATCGCCCGTCTCAAAGTGCTTTGACAGGCCGGAATCCGTGAGCATGGGCTGGCCAAAGTCGTCCACCACGATGTTCTCCGGCTTGATGTCCTTGTGCCAGATCTGCACGCCCTGCTTGTGGAGGTGCGTCACGGCCTGTGTGAGGCAGCCGAAGAACGAGTGCAGCCGTGGTATGATCCACTTGGCTCGGCTGGGATCGAGGAACACATCGCTCATGAAGGTGTTCAGGTTACCACCAGCGGGCGGGTACATCGCGATGGCTAGTACGTGATCTTTCACACGCTGCTCGGATGGCGCACCGATTCCAGTCCTCTTCTGCAGGCAATACCTAATCAGCCGTGTATTAAAGCAGAATGACTCGAATGATGCGACATAGGCAACTATATGTGGATGTCTAAGTCGCGACATCGTCTTCACCTCCTTGAGTGCCCTGCTACGGGCTTCGCTGTCCGAGCCTAGGAGCTGCTTCTCCCCCTGGCAAGAAATGACCTTGAGGGCAAGCGGGCGGCGGTAGTCATACCCGTCAGGGGGCGCGACTCTATATACGGTTGTCGTCCCGGATCTGCCTAGCGATGCGCCCCTGCCCACGAAGGGGAAAGGCGGGATTCGATGATCCGTTTCGCTGCCGCCGCGGAACACCTTGTGCTTCGCTAACACGAGGTCCGCCTTCCGCACCGGGTTGAGCTAATTGTCAGACACCTCCCGGTCGGCATCATCTCAGGCGAACTGCCCGTCTTCCTGAGCTTGTAGGAAGTCGTTCATTGCGACGGACAATGGACTGCTGCTGACGGACGATGGATTGCTGCTGGACGCGAACGACATTGTAACTGACGCTGACTTGCTGGGATGTGGACGGATGGGTGTTGAGACGAAACCGGAACTTAAGAGCTACGAGGGTGATTGTGATGGGAGATGCGTTCAGATCGCATTCGCGGAAGAAGTAAGTATCCAGCTGTGTGATCGGTCGGTCTCGAATCGTCCCCCCAACGAAATATGATGTGACCACCAACCAGTGTGTAGCCGCTGCCGCCGAGGTGACTGTCAGGCACCGGTCTGTGCCCGGAAATGCAGCTGTCTGACGACCGGCAGGCACTCCTAATACCTAGCTCCGTGGCACTCCGGAAACGCAGCGTCATGACCGAGGAAGGCACCCCAGTTCTGTAGTCCTAGCCCAGAAGTTCTCGAGCCTCCCAGGGTTGATCTGAACCTAGCTGAGATCGGAATATCAATCCCATCTCGCATCCTCTTTGAGTCATCCCCTCTCTGTCTCCTATCCAAGGATAGGTAAGTACCTCCACTGGTACTATACGGGCCGTGCTGTGCCTGGCTGTAACACCCCCCTTTTTCAGGGAAATAGGACGTGTAAGCCGGGACCTTCCGCTTTAGGGGATGCATACTCCCCGGCACACTGATGCCTGGTGTTCGGCCCAGTGGCCGCTCAACTCCCGAGCCGTACACGGCAGGAGCAAATCGAGATGAGGTCGCACAGTTGCCGGGCCAGCGGCAAGCTTTATGAACACTGGTTAGTAACAGAGGATGTTAAACTGGAGCTCACAGAACCGAAAGGATGCAAGCAAAGATAAAAGATAGGCCTCTTGTGAATGAAACGTACACATTGCTTACTTGCCCTCCGTCAGAACAACAACAGGGGCAATGCCATACGTTGTATACTCCTAACCCTGAACGACGGGACTGCAACCCCCTTTTTTCTCATAGAGGGAAGCGGCGACGGGAACCTGGGCAGTCACGCTGACTGGACGTCGGAAAGAATGCGCCGATTTGATGACTTATGATATGACTCAAACCGCTCATGTCTTGCGAAGTCGGTGGGGAAGTCACAGAAGTTGAGTCTGGATTCCCTGGAATTTGTCAGCGATGGTGTGAGAGATGCCAGCTGCTACCGCGGAGGAACGGCCGATTGCTCGCCAGTTGCCGCCTTGCCTGCATGACACTCGTTCGACAGAGAGATTCCATCCGATCTCAGTACAGACCATCTGTCTCCGGCTTCTCCCGAAAACAACAAGACTTCAACTTGCTTCAGCAGTTCCGAGTACAGCTTAGCAATACAGCTGGGTCGTGGCTCCCATCACGTGGATAGCGAGTATCTGAGTACTAGAGATGACCAAAAGCGGCCGCTGTAATGGAATTATGCAGGTTACCAATGCTCCAGATGCCCTAAGTGTTTACAAAGACAGAAAGGTACGGTGAGGTATACAAGGTAAAGAAAGGAAAAGAAGGGTATACAGAGAGAAAACGGTATACAGAGAAAGGAAAACGGTGTACAGAGAAAGAAAAACGGTGTACAGAGATAGTAAAGGTCAGGTAAAAGGATGCTGCTGTCCAACTTGCCAGACTGAGTCCCATATCAACACAACAAGCCCTGCGTGTAGCGACACGGCCCTCTCTGCCACTGACGAAGGAACCCAACCGCCCGCGGTCCTGTACAATACAAAACTAAGGTAGGTGGTATTCGGACCAAGCAACTCAAAGCCCGCCGAGTGCTGTTTGCAAAGCACAAAATCGTCAGCTCATATACCCTGCAGGATACACACACGCACACGTCTTTAATTGCCAGTGTGAAGAAGGCCATGCGGGGAAACTTACCAGCAGAATAACACAAATACCACGTCAGACTAGCGCCGCCATCGATCCACGAGGCATCGAAACCGGCCTGGCTGAAGAAGCTGTACGCACCGCGAGGGTCGACCGTGGCCAGGTTGCCGTAGACGATGCCCTTCCAGCCGCCCGCTATGGCGGCCGCGCGGCCGTCGCCGAAGTACGTCTCCCACTCCTCGCGCACGAACTGCGGCGTGCGGATGAAGGGCGTGTGCGGCAGCAGCGGCAGCATGTGGATGCCCTGGATGTACTCGTCGTTGGCGCCGAAGAAGGTCGTGTGGTCCACCTTGTTCTCGAACAGAATCCCCGCCACCTTGTTTCCGATAAAGTTGGATGGCTGGACCTGGTTCGTGGTCGTGTACAGGTAGTACGACTGCAGCGAGCGCGCTTGGACGGCGAGCATGAGGTTTCCGCTGGAGACACACACGGAAGGCGGTTTGGGTCAGTACTAGTAGTACTAATATATATATATATATATATATATATATATATCATTTGGGGGGGGGGGGGGGGGGGGGGGGGGTGGGGTAAAAAGCCAAGAAAGCTGTAGGGACGGGAGAGAGGCGCGGAGGGGGGGGGGAAAGGGGGGAACAAATGTGAAATGAGAAACGTACCGAGCTTCCATGTTGGCGTTGCCCGAGACGGCACCCCACATCTTGATGGCGTACGAGGCCATGGTGTCCTCGGAGCTGGATTCCTGGTTCTTCCCATCGAGCGTGTCGTAGAGTCCGTGGGCCCAGCTGTGGCCGTGGTACCAGTCAAAGTTGCGCGAGACGGGGAAGTATGTGTCCTGGGCGCTGGGGTTGGCGATGTCGCGCACGAGCATGTCGATGTAGGCCCGGTTGTTGGCCGCGTTGAGCCACGAAGGGTCTAGATGCCCAATGACGGCGGCCGCGTAGATGAAGTAGCCGTAGTGGAAGTGGTGGTCGTTGTACAGCGAGTTGCCGAAGTCCGCCCCGGTGTCGCCTGTGTTATAGGTCGCCGACGAGACCACCCCGCCCCAGGCACCTGCTTGCGTTAGCCTTTCGGCGGCTCTTCCAGGGCGCTAACTGCGAAAAAAAAAGAAAAATAAAAATAAAAAAAACATAAAAATAAAAAAAACATAAAAAATAAAAAAAACATAAAAAATAAAAAAACATAAAAAATAAAAAAAACATAAAAAATAAAAAAAACATAAAAAATAAAAAAAACATAAAAAATAAAAAAAACAACCACTTACTCTCATACACAAGTGGGTACTGCTGCGCGTTCCGCACGAAACGGTCAAACGCCACCTTCAGCTGCTCCAGTCCGCCCTGGGCCAGCGTGTTATCGCCCAGCATCTCCTTCGTCGCCAGAATGATACTGGCAAATTTGGCAAGCGCCTGTATTAAGTAACATTGATGTCAGCTTCGTGTTCCACTTCCCCGGGAAGATACCAGTAGTAGAGTAGTAGTCCTTCTTACCTTTCCGCTGTAGTACATCGAGTTCAGGTTGGACTGCTCCTGCATGTCCTGCGACACCTCCTGCTGGGCGATGCGCAGGATAGACTGCCTGGTAGCGTCCGAGAGGGCCGCCAAGCTGCCAGCCTGCGGGGACCACGGCAGGAAGCCGACGCTGGTCGGCAGGTTCGACTCGACCATGGTCCACGAGTCGGCGACCACGGCGGCTGCTATCCCCTTGGTCGTCGTCTGCAACTGCACGCCCGTTACCTTGCCCTTGGTGGCGGCGTCGAACGAGCTCTGGTGGTGGGGCAGCGCGAACATGGCGAGCGTGGCGTCGGCCATGCCGGCCTTCTTGAAGGAGAAGCCGTACGTGCCCGTCGCGCCGGACATGGTCCCGGAGAGAGTCGCGCCGGTGGCATAGGCACCGCAGGCCGCGTCGTACACCGCTTCCCCGTTGCCGGGGTCCTTGGCCACCTGGATGGTGCCATAGAACGCCCCCGCGGCCTGCGCAAGGCCGTTGTTGACGACTTGGAGATCCAGGGCGTTGCCTTGGGTGTGGCGTGCATACAGGAGCCACGTAGTGCCGTCGGCCATGCTCAGCTTGTACTTGACCACGCCAGCCTTGGGACTCTGCGTCATCCGCGTGACGGTGCTGAAGAAGACGCCAGTCTGGATCATGGGCGTCGCCCCATTGTAGACCCCGGTGATGAATGCCGACCCCTGAACCAGGGGGAACTGGATGGCGGCATCGGATCGTGCGTTGGGGCGTAGACTGACTTGCACGGAGAGGTCCGTCGGCGACTCGGTGGTCAGCGCCGTGTCAGACCCCAGCTCCTTCGCCGAGAGGACGACGGACTGAATCCCAATGGGGTTGATGAAGTACGCCGCAGCACCGGTGCCGGGCTTGGCCGGCCCATATACTCTCTGCTTAGCGTCGATATGGGAGATTGCCAGCCCCCAGCTTCCCGAGGCCCCCTTGCCGCGCGCCCAGGCGACTGAGTACGGGTGGAGGAATGTGGGCGATGTCTGCTCGCCGAGGAAGAAGTTGGCGTAGAACTTGTTGGTCTCGATCGGGCCGTTCTTCGTGATGCCCTTTCTGGCCACCGGATGGTCCGCCTTCCTGCCAATGTTGGCCGGAGGGGCGTCCGTGCCAATGGGCGCCGAGAAGATGTCCCCGGCCGCCATCTGGACGGCTGCGACCGCCACCTTTTGGCGGACACTCGCGGTGGTCGTCGCCGTTGGGAGCAGCGAGGTCGGCGAGGGAATCTCACTCGTCAGAATAGGCACAGGCTCTGTGGTCTCAAGCGTGGACACGATGGTGCCGCTGGTGGAGGGCTCCTTCTTGCTGACGAGGCTCTGGACCGTGCCGGACGGAGCAACGCTCGTGACAACCTTGGCGGAAGCCGTTATGGCGCTGCTAGGCGGAGGAGTGTCGTCCCTTGCCCGGAGGGCCTCGGGCACGGCCACCGGAGAGGCGAAGGACGCAGTAGCCTGCAAGGCGGTTAGCAGCACGAACCGTAACCTCCATGTTGGTGTCATCTTGGGTGAGCCTGGTGCGTGACGATCCAGGAGTTGCTGCTTTGCCTTGGGATGACCCCATGCCAGGTCCCGACCGTCGGGCCCTTATGTATAACACAACGGCTCTCCCCGATCCATCTGGAGAGTCACGTCTGAGACAGATCCGGCTAGCCTTGTTCGGCAGGCGCCGTGATCATGCCGCCCGCCGACCGGCCGTTCCCCGGAACTACAACAGTAGCATCATCGTGCGGCCGGGGTTGTCCCGAAGGGGTGCCCGGGGTACTGGGTCCTCACTCATTTCCCGCGGCTCTGCGATCCCCCGCAGAACACTAGTATACGCTTGAGGGTCACTAGGCCCCTCGGGTCCCTCTCGACCTCAGTATAGCTGAAGTACACCAACATGCCGGCGGCAGTGGCGGTTCGGTACGTAAACATTCCCGCTTGTGGCGCTCCAACATGCCAGCAGCCAGAACAAGCCGGATGTACCTACCTCAGCTGTAGCCCCGTTGTCTGCCCCGTTATCTGATCCGTGCGTAAGCATAGTACTATTCAAGGGAAGAGGTACCAGAATCTTACAAGCTGAGGAGTCGGATTTTCATATGAAAGCCCCATGCAGAAGTCCCTGCCAATACTCCTGAGGCATGTACTGTACAATACAATACATACACACCACAGTACAAGAAGGGCATTGTGGGGATGAGGACCAAACAGACCAAGATAGCTCAGGAACAACCGTAGCCGGCCGGCACGCGTGACTGCTCCGTTGACTGCCTGGAAGGTGATTTGGGCGGTATGACTTGAAACCTCAGCACGACATGTACTTACTTACTTGGAAGTCACTGGAAGAGATATTGGACTCAGGGACAGAGAGCCGGAGTAGGACTAGGGGTGCCGTAGTATCGATGCAGGGGAATGAATGTAGGTCAAGGTACACTAGACCAGGATCGGTGAGAATAGGTAGACAAAAGGCCAAGGTAAGGTGGGTACAGGATCTGGAGATCTGGGGAGGCCAGAAGTCCCAAAGTTCCGTTCCTCGAAAAAGTGGATCCGATTCTGTCATGGTGGGATCGTCCGAACATGTGCGGCAAGCGCTCCTCCTTCCGAGTCTGGTGACAGCCCGAGTCGGCAGGCGCTCGGTTTGGTTGACAAGGACGGGGCTTTCTAACGCCGTTACCGCCAGGAATGCAGCGTTCAAACCGCACAGCTCCATTGGACCAAGCGTTTAGCCCTGAAACGATGAAGGGTCAGACTGGAATTCAATTGGAGTAGTGTCCCACGTGTGGAAGCAGCATGATGATACTCGGGAATAAGCTTGGAAGTTGGGAGGTAGGATTTCGCATGACACTGCCCTATGATCCATACCATACGGTGGTGTTGCTGCTGCCTGTCGTGATGCAATGAGATCGTGTGATATAGACTTGCCATAACTTCTGGATGTCGGCCAATAATGATAGATGCAGGTGACTGCAGTTTCGGATGTTTCCTTTTGGAGAGACACCTCCGCCAAGAAATGAGACATGCTCCGCGCGTAGAAATGATGTCTCATGGAGCATGTCGCAATATCTCAGGCTGTGTTCTTACGTTCATAAACCCAGAGCGTCGTAGTTGCCCGTCACTGGAATTAGCCGCATGACGGGCTTAGCCGGAGTCTTCCTCTCCATCCCAGTCACTTTCCTCGGCCGCTTTACGGGTTGCGGCTTGCTCTCAGGCCCTCCAAGGCGCGAGTTCTCCCCCCCCTCGGCGTGTGCTCTCGTCTTCCTGCTCTCCAGCCTGGTCACTCTCCTCGGCCGCTTCTCCGGTTCCGGTTTGCTCTCATGCATGCTCTTGCTCCCGTGGCCTTCGAGGCGCGAGCTTTCCTCGCCTTCGTCATGTGCTCTTGTCTTCCTGCTCTCCATCCCAGTCGTTTTCTTAGGCCGCTTCGCCGGTTCCGCCTTGCTCTCCGGCCCTCCACGCCGCGCATTCTCCTCGCATTCGTCACGTACCCTCGTCTTCCTGAGTCCAGCTTTGTCCGCCTGCTTCCTGCTGTGTCTCTCCCCGGGTTCCTTACGGCGATGGCTTGTAGACCTTCCTTCCTCTTCCTTCCTGCATTTCATCACCTCCCTCCGATCTAAGACCCATGGCTTAGACAGCACGTCCCTCCGCAGCTGCACGACCTTCTCCCAGAAGACCACCTCTTGTTCGGTCGACCGCAGGTGGACGATCTTCTCGGCGCGGACTTGCCTATTTGTGCGAAAGGTGGTGACGCTGCCTTTGATATCCAAGACATGTCCTACGTCAATGGGCCCGTCGGCCACCGGGGCTGTGTTTGAGTCCCCATCGGATTTTGAGTTCATTCCAGCCGCGCCCGTCCCCAGTGCGGCAGGAGGCGCAACCTTCACGACGCATTCAAGCGTTGCCCCACTGCCATCGTCGATCATGTAGAAGCGCCTCGTCTCGCGTTCGTCGACAGCGACCACGACGCCGCAGATGCGCACCCATTTTATCGGGTGGTTGAGATGGAAGTAGACATCCTGGCCTTCACGCATCGAGTCAGCTAAACCCGCGGGGCCACAGCCAAGACATGGAACACAACGGCTGACCCACCCTCAAATCCTCGGTGGTTCTTGAGTGCCAGGATGTCGGTGTTCTGAAGATGGCACCAGCGATTGATGGTCGGCGACAGGTGGAAACAGTACTGCGGGTATACCTCGGGCGCAGTTTCGTCGGTCATGGCATCCTTGGTCTCATGCGACCCGGCACACAGCCTCCGGCAATGCTGTTCATGGCCTCCTGGGGGACTTGTCGGCGTTTGTTGCTTTGCACGTGGGGTTGCTGTTTCGACGCGTGAAGTTGCGTCGGAAGACGCCGGTTCAAGTTGAGGTTCTTTACCCCGCGTCATCAAGGGTCCAGTGCCAAGGCCGTGTGGGTCGTGCGCGTTGGCCAGGTGATTTCTTGGTAGCCCGATCTGGGCCAATCAGGGCCGGCGGATGATTCTGCATGTCATTTGGCGATGCCCATGACCCTTCATCTTGCTAGTCTTCATGCTGTAGCCGCAGTGAGCACTTTGGACTTCCACTGCAACACTGCTCGGCCATCCACCCCCGAGGAGAAGGGGGTTGGCCCGAAGCCGGTCCGAATGGTTAGTGTCAAGGAGCCCCAAAATACCTGAATCTAAACCAATGAGTTGGCCGCCCCAGGCGGGAGTTCGGTGACGGATAAAAAGCTGGTGAAGAAACTGCCGATGGCCAGTTTAACATAGCGTGTCATTAGGCAGCCGCCAAACCTGCAACGTTACTCGAATTCCAGAGTCCCCAACGCCGATGCTGCGTACCCCTTTTACGCCCTTCTTCGCCCTTCTATGCAAAAGCCGATCTGTAAATGCCTCTCCTAGGACCCAGATCAATGTCTCCATCGTCAAACAAACGGCCCTCGAGTGCTCCATGCCCAGCCCAGGAGGAAACTAATCCTTCATTTACGCTTCTTCATCATGTCCGCCTGTATGGCTTGGAATTGCTCCTCTGAGATGTCGGGCTCCTCCAGCTCCTTCGCACCTCTCTTCTTCCCCTTCGCGGCCTTCGACACAGCCCCATACTTCTCCGCCAGCTTGTCCAGCGCACTCACTCTGGAAGCTTGGTTCCGCTGAATGAGCGCGGCCAGACCGGCCTCAGAGTCCTTCTGGCTCTTCTTGCTGCCTCCGCGCAGCTTGTCGTAGACGCCCAGCTCCTTCGCGAGCTCATCCGCCTCTTTGGCCTCCTCCTTCGCGGCCTTGACCCGCGCTTGTCTAGTCTTCTTCGTCTCCGTCACATATGCATCAAACCGCGGCACCTCCTCAGCCTTGATAGCCGCGTCGATTATCTTGCGAAACCGCGCGTCGTCCTCGAGCACGTTGCTCAGCATCACCGTCTCGTAGATCTTGTCCATGTTGCCCTCAAACTCCTCGTAGGCCGCCAACAGGTCGTCCTTCTCCTCGTCCGACCCCTTGTATTTCGCGGCAAACTGCTTGATGGCCTCCTCCGAGACAGCATCGCGAAATTGCTCGCGGTAGTAGTCCGTCCAGCTGAAGCCGTCCGAGTCGACGACTGCTTCGGAGGTTGAGCCGGTCTCGTCGTAGCGCTTGCGCCGGGCCGGGTCCGAGAGAACGGCATAGGCGAAGGCGACCTGTTGGAATCTTTCTTTGGCTTCGTCCTTCTTGTCTTCGGGCACCTTGTCTGGATGTGTCTTCAGTGCGGCTTTGCGGTAGGCCGATTTGATCTGGTCTGGCGAGGCAGTGCGCTCTAATCCCAAGACCTCATACGGGTCGATCGAGGGTGGCTCGCCGTCGCTGAGGTCGTCGTAGACTGGCATTGTGGTTGGTGTTTTACTGGCGAGTTGAGCGGTTGAATTGTCCGCTTGCCTCATCAACGAGGTAACTTTAAATGGGATTCGAGGCGCGACGCGTCAGAGCCGCTGGAAGCGTGTCAGTGCGTGTGCCAATGCCGTAGGGGGATTTCATTGGCCAGTGCGTGCACCATTCTCTCACACTGTCTCGGCAAGACGCCGGCAGTAGCCGCGACTTGCCCGTGGCTGATCTGCAGGACCTTGGCGACATGCATCTCACTCCAACCTACGATTCACAACATGCCTGACATCCCGGCAGGAGACCACAGGGCATACATGCGGCTCGCCCTCGAGCAGGCACAGAAGTCGCCACCGAAACCAACCAACTACCGCGTGGGAGCCATCCTAGTGGACTCGGCCGCAAACGAGATTCTCGCGACTGGTTACACACTCGAGCTCCCGGGCAACACTCACGCAGAGCAGTGTTGTTTCATCAAGTTGGCTCAGAAGCATGGCGTTGCCGAAGAAGATCTCAAAAAGATCTTACCTCCTAAGGTGGTACTCTACACGACGGTTGAACCCTGCTCGAAACGGCTGAGCGGGAACCTGCCGTGCGTCGAGAGGGTGCTCCGCCTGGCTGGGTCGATCCGGACAGTGTATGTTGGCATCATGGAGCCGGAGAAGTTTGTGTCTGAGAACACGGGCAAGAAGAGCCTGGAAAGTGCCGGCATCTCGGTTGTTCATGTCGAGGGCCTGGAGAAAGAGATCCTGGATGTCGCCACTGCCGGCCACATCAAGAGCTGAGCACAAGTGAAACCGCTAGCGACTGCGGAAAAGGCTCATCGTCAACCCCTTCGGGCTGAGTTTCAGGGACCAGAAGAGGTGACTGCTACAACAGTTGATGGTTGGGTTGTGCTTCAGTGCGGATGGGAGCCGAACTACGAGACCCGGCGGAAAGAACTCATAGCTCTGCGCTTCCGCATTGCAGCGTTCTGGGGCGGCTCCGGTAAAGCAGTACGGACATGTATATATAGTGTAGGCGGGGGCTTACCATGGGGATCGTACACCGCCGCGGCTGGTTTAGACGGAGGAACTACATCTCTTCACAGAGCTCGTTCCTAGGTGATTTGCAGCGATCCGAGACTGCTACCAGCCGCGGCCATTGAAGGCTTCTAGCCAAGGGCATGTAGAAGCCAAGGAGCGCATCCTCCTAACTTCTCTGCATTCAACCGCGAGAACCTCAACTGGAAGAAACGATGTATATCTAGAATTGACGGACTTTACTACTCATATGGAGGTGAATCTTCCGTTGCTAATAGCGAACCGAACGGCCTCCCTGGTAACCTGAACATGCTCGAGATGTCCAAGCTAAGAGCTATCTTTCCCATTCCCCTCACCAACTAACTTCCCCGGGAGATATCGCAAAAACAGTATATGGAAATATAAGAGGCGGGAATTACAAAACATCCTAAAAAGTAGTAATCAAAACTTGGCAAAAATATCGCACCCGACGTGGGACTCGAACCCACAACCCCTAGATTCACTTCTAACTTGACTTAGAAGTCTAGAACTCTACCATTGAGCCAGCCGGGCAAACGTAAAATATTCTGCCAAGGCATAGGCCTATTAGCCCGGACACACCAAGCACAATACTGCAGCAAAGTAACAACGATCCAAGACAGACCTGCATTCGAAACAAAATGCTGGCAATTGACTTTGATGATATCGCTATTCCATGAATTCTAAGAGAGCCTCTCGGCACCTAAGGTAAGGTAGTTAGCGATTGTTGCTGGCGAACGTGAGTTGTAGAGATTAGAATAGATACTAAACACTAAGACCATTTGTTCCTCAAGATGCTATAAGTCGACCACCTCCCATTCCGCCCACTTTGTAAGTCCAGACCGCTTTTTCAACCCAACCACTTCAACTTACCACAACTCACTCAATCTCTGGCCAAACGGCCTTTTTTTGGATCAAACTGATTGCCAGTTAAAGATGGCTTACTCAGAGCAAGATATACAAGATGCAGTTGAGCAATACCGTCTTGGGCGCCAGTCATTGCGAAGCATCTGTAGTGAGTTCGGCATCCCACGCTCTACTATTCGCGACCGCCTTCGTGGTACTTAGACCCATTCAACTGCGGCCGAACCGCAACAGACACTTAGCCGAGTACAAGAAGATCATCTTACGCGATGGGTCTTAGCCCAGGTCGCTCTAGGTGTCCCACCAACCTATGCGCAGATCCGGGAGTTCGCCAGCTGGGTTCTATAGGCCCAAGGAGCACCCGAAAAGACTATCGGGAAGAGCTGGATCAACCGGTTTATCCGAAGGAACCCGGTCCTCCGTACCTAACGAGGCCGTAAGATCGACTCAGCCCGTATCAATGGCGCTACTAACTCGGTTATCCGCAGCTGGTTCCTACTCCTAAAGATCCTAGCCGTCAAAGATATCTTACCGGCTAACCGCTGGAACTTGAACGAATTCGGCCTTATAGAAGGTCAGGGTATCAACGGCTTGGTAGTTGGAAGTGCCTACACATGCACAGTGCAACGGAAAGTCCCTGGTTCGCGTACGTAGACCTCCTTAGAGTGCATCTCTACGACAGGGGTATTACTCCTACCAGCTGTTATTTTCAAGGGCAAGAGTGTTCAATAGCAGTGGTTTCCTATCGCCAAGGACGAACTAAAGGACTGGCTATTCACTGCAACTGAAAAAGGCTGGGTAAATAGGGTGGTTGCGTTGGAATGGCTGCAACAGGTCTTCATCCCCCGGACCCAGCCGCAAGATCCTACCTAGAAGCGTCTGTTGATACTGGACGGCCACGGTAGCCATACAAGTACTGAGTTTATATAGGAGTGCTTCAGCAACAATATCCAACTACTCTTTTTACCAGCCTATACCTCCCACGTCCTCCAGCCGTTGGATTTATCAGTGTTCTCCCCCCTGAAGCATACCTACCGCAAGCTCCTCAACCAGTTAACCAGCTGGTCAGAAACTACGGCATTAGACAAGCAGTTGATATTGCGGTGCCTCGTCAAGGCTCGCAGGGAGGCAATTATAGCTCATAATATCAAAGCTAGGTGGAAGGCATCCGGGTTGTAGCCTCTTAATATGGTGAAACCACTGATAAGCCCTCTTTTGTTGGAAAATTCGAACCAGGCGCTTGGCAAAGACGATCCACTACTACTACCACAGACCCCGGCATCTAGGCTACCTAGCCAGACCATAACTATGGCTCAGGAGGTCGAATTACAGACACCACGCAAGAAAGTAGACCTTCGCGTTCACCTAACCAACCTGGCTATCCGGCGGCAAGATCTTTCTGCACGACGGCTTTTATTCAGGAAGGTTGAGAAGGCATTTGACGAGAAGGACTTCCAATTGGCTCAATTGCAACAGGAAAACGAGGCTCTGAAGGTTCAGTTAGAGGCAGCCCGGCCGTCGAGAAGAAAGAGGGTGGTCCCGGATCCGAACAAGCAGTTCGCTTCCATTGAACAGGTCCACCGGGTTCAAATTGAGGCTGGCCGTATTGAAGAGTCTGGCTTTGAAGAGAGCAGGCCAGAAAGCCCCGAATCAGATGCTTCCTGTATTGTGGTGGGTTGAACAGACTGTAATAGATGGTGTTGAAGAAGATGGGTGGTTTAGACGCCAAGACTTACAAAGTGGGCAGAATGGGGGGTGGGCGAAATGGGGTGTGGTCGACTTATGTGCTGTTCTGTGTTTTGAGTTAACCCACCCCTTAGCAGCTATATCTATATTACGAAATGCGGATCCAATGGGATTATCGACTTCTAGTCGGTGGCTGCCACGGCCTAAGAAATCACGCTTCATCATTAACGACATACTGGCACTGACATAATGTGGCGGCTGTCTTTGGTGAATCATTTTGCGGCCTTTTGCATCGCTCTTACCATGGTTCATAGCAGACTCGTACCTATAGAGATGTGCAGGGTAAAGAGTGACTAGTGATGAAGGTGCAGAAGTGGGTATACCATAAGAAATGTACCCAGGTAAGCCAGAGAAGTCGCTTGTACGTAGGGGGGGTTTAAAGGAGAAGTGAATATTAAGACCACAAAGTCTTAATGTTCAACAGTATCCTTCTCTTTACGGCCTCGTTGATTCGATATAACTTATAAGGACATCCTCGCGCGTCTCCTACACGTGCATCCACACTTAAACCACAGGACTAACTGACGATTGTGAGTCTCCCTAGGAGACTCCTTGAGTTCTCCCACACCTCATTGGGTTACCAGCACTCTATGCCGTCAGCAGCACAACAAATCCCCACGATGGAAGTCTCGCCTCCTTGAGCCCTGGAGCAATTTGGGGCGCGGCTAGCCCTTTCATTCTCGTTGCTTTGCCATCAACTCCTCCGTCGCCCGTCTCTTCACGCTCACGCTCCCTAACTGGCTCTGCCCCTTTCTCAACCTCACCATTCCCTCACCTTGCGGCAGTAGAGTTTTACCGCATCCTCCACCCGGTTTTTGGTGCCACAATCAAAAGGAGTAGACTAGACAAAACAAAAAAGAAACAGCTGTACTCCATAACTGTGGAGCCAAAAGGTCATGACAAGGGTGAGATTCGAACTCACGCCCCTTTCGAGACCACGGATAGTGGATTAAGGGTTTTGAATACCTTAACGTGGCGCCTTGGACCGCTCGGCCACCTTGCCTATGCCCTGCAGAGTGTGTGGAGCTGAACATAAGACCGGTCGAAGGTCGAAGCAGAATCTAACTTGCTTTGAACCAAGTAGGTGTTGTGAGGGCACCCATCCGCACCGCATCCACAACCATTAGCTCCTTCGTTTTAACTCGCCCTCGACACGGCTGGAATAAAAGGACTGGAAGGGCCAAAGGATCCAACCCCGGTGCGCAGGTCACTAGAAGGAGATTAGTAGTACCTTTACTTTACATGCGAAAGTAGAACCTGACCGTAGCAAGTTCTATATCAGGTGTATAGAGCCCCTACACAACGGGTATGAACTTACCTATGAATGTAGCCTATATCGCCGTCCACACGTGCAGTAAGAAGTCTGAGTCTGTCAGACGTTGACGCACTCGGGAAGACATCTTGAAATACAAATTCCCGGAGATGTCCGAAGGCGGGCCCGCGTTAGAGATATGGGATTTCCTATGTACCAGGTACCTAGGTATTTGACTGACCTGTCCGAGCGCTTATGTCAACCTATCTGAGATTTAAGATGTGGTGTGAATAGGTAAGTAATCACTATCTTAGGATTGATGGTGTGATGTTGGTGGCAACGTCGATATTGATGCTTTTAGCTGCATCTCAACATGCCAGTGCTAATAAGCCCCCTTGGAATCTTTCACTGGCGGATTTCTTGTCTTGATATCCAATAACACAAAATGCGTGCTACCAGATTTCAAGAGGCTGTACTTCTTCCTTCCAACCACACACTCTGTGTAGACGGCCATCTCCGGCGGCTGGCGTAGGCTTTGGTGGAGAAGATGCCGGGTCTTGAGGAGCAGGTTTTCGCGGCGCTTCCGGAGGCGGCGGGGAGGGCGTTCTTCGTTGAGTTTCCGTCGGGGCGGAAGGGGGGTTCCGTGGAGTTTACCGTCGGGGGCGACGGAGCCTTCCTCGTAGTCGTGGTTGCAGTAGGGCGGTTGTTTCGTTGGTTTGTGGGTTGCGGCGGATGCTTGTGTAAGTACCCAGCTACTAGTACGTAGGGAAGTACCGCCTGGGAAGATTGCAGCAGCCGGTTGAGCTCCAGGCTGTTTGAGACCTGGTGTTGTCTAATGCTGGCCTCTTCGGTGACACGGTTATACTTTTTCAAAGATCTGACACTCTCAGTTATCGGTGCGGCCCGGAGGCCCGCCCCTATCTTCCGGTTAATCTTCTGAAGTTTTCTTTCACTTTGCCCTGTGAGCTGCGGCGTTTGGGGCCCGAGGGATAAGTGTCAAGGTGTTCCGACTCCGTGTCACCTGGAACGAAGGACTTGTTGGTTTCGCAATAATGCAGAGCTAAGGTAGGCATACTGATCAACTGATGAAGGACTAAAGCCTAAGACTGAATTACACGTAAGCCTTCACCAACGCATAGGTAGATTCTCTTATCCGACAAACTGCTAATAAAAGAGACCTGGGGACGGACTGTCCGAGGATGAATTTACTACCTGCACCCCATAGGCTGATCATCTGTTCGTGGCTTGTCGTTAGCGGGCCGTCTGTCACCAACCATTACAATAATAGCAGATGGGCCCGCTGCCACGCGACCAACGGACCACGGTCCCAACCAGACCACGGAGAAGCAACCTGCAGAATCCCTTTCGAAACCAATGGCCGAAGGTCGCCACCTCTCCTTCCCATCCCACACATCGTCACAACATTCATGTGCTCTGATTTCTTGATCTCCGTATCATATGTCTCCCAACTTCACGGGCGCAGTTCTCCAAGCTCAAACCCCAGGTCCCTAGCCGCCCGGCAAGCTGGCCACTGTCGCTCAAGTCGTCCGTTCCCAAAATACGTTTTGGGCGAAGCAGCATTTGCAGGAGACAACACGGCATTATTTTGGCTAAGTTCATGAGAGAGCAATGCTTTCATTAACAGATTTCATCCTCAGTCCTCCTCTTAGCCCTCCTGTCCCTCTTCCCCAGGTGCCGGGTCCTAAACTCATACCGTTCACTCCTACCGCGCATGCCGATATCGAGTTCATCAGGAACCTCGGCCGTCCCAATGACAAAGATACTCGAGTTTGGAAGGTCAAGATCAACAAGTGTGGACCCTTTGCTCTCAAGATGGTGCGTTATTCATATTCCGCGCACGTGACGTACACTACCTAAGGTAGGTAGGTATGCACCATGAGCGGCGAAACCTGACTTATGCACTCGGTCACATACAGTTCTTCTTTAACAGTGGGGAGCATTTGGAGAGATCTCCGGGCAATTACCTCAACAACCACCCTCTTGCAAAGCGCCAGTCTTACGTCGACTATCTTGATCCCTTCAACTGCGAGTGCCGCGCCTATGGTCGGCTCAAACAAGAAGAGCGCGAGGACCGTGCCATCAAGGCCTACGGCTATCTCCTCATTACCCCGGAGCAAGAAGCGGAAGTGACGAGGAGAATCGAGGGTGACCCGGAGATATTCGATGAACTCCACGGCTCGCACCAAGTACTCAATGGTGACAATACGTGGCGCCGATATGAGCAATACCGTGGCCACCCCATCCGAGCCATCGTCAAACAGCTCGTCTCCGACGACGCCGAGCCATTCGGGGTCGCCGACATCCCCCACCTATGGTCTGACCTGGAGGAACTTCACAAGCCGGGCATCCTCGTACGGGATGTGCACATCGGCAAATACCTGGGCGGCAAGCTGATTGACTTCAGTCGATCATGGGCCATGTATCATCCATGCCTGGATCGGACTACTCCGTCCCTCCTGCAAGAAATCAGGCAGAGCGAAGCAGAGGACCTGTTTGACCTGCTTATTACGTGGTTCAATCTGAATCCCAATGAACAATTGGCAATTCCAGAGAGGTTGGATTATTGTGTTAATACGTTGACTGACGACGTTGGCTACGATCCGAGGCGCTATAACTGGCGCAAGTGGGAAGAGGATGTCAGGATGGCTGACAGTTATATTGCACATGAACTATTCAAAAGCTAGGACCGTCGAGGTTACTAGTGAATTAGGGCTAGGAGATAATCTAGGCTAGAGGGATGCAAGCAGGAAATACCCTAGTAGTACCTGATTTCCATGATGTGCGACGAAGTAAACTCTCATACCCTCGCCCTGCCTGCAACAACGATGGCTTCTAGTCTTCCGTTTTATTCAAAGGCGAGGTTTCTTGTCCTCGTAGGAGTCATAGCTACTACGGTACTTTCGGTCAAGAAATTCTGGGCCCTTCTAAACTTTAACGCAGACAGTGAACTCGTTATAAGAGAAGGTATGGTTGAAAACTTGAAATACATATTTGTACAACAGAGTCTATTACGCTACTCTCCGAAGAATGCTCGAAAAACCAGGTTTGCACCGCTGCTATGCAGATCTTGGCTCGCGCACCTCTCAAGGCCTGCCCCACCTTACACTACCTGTTATGCCGCTCCTGCCCGCCCTTACCTAACCGTCGTACAGTACCTGCACTCCCGCAACCGCGCTTCGCGACACCAGCTTCTGACAGAACACAACCTCAGGTTCCCGCTTCCACGGCGTGCGCGTCGTCGCAACAGTTTCAAGATGTCGACGCAACAGCAAGCCATGATTATGGAAACCATCCTTGGGCTCAAGAGGGCCTCGAAGCGCAAGGCCTACGGTGCGTTCGCCCTGTTTCCTGCCGGCGCTTTTGTTGCTTGCCTTCTAACAGCTGCGCTTTGCTTGCAGAGTCCGACTCCGACTCATCAATCGACCAAACCACGAACCGCGGCAACAAGCTAAAGAAGCGAGCGAGGTTTGTCCGCCAGGGCCGACTGGCGTCCTCCATGGGCCCGGCGGCATACAAGGAGGTGCGTGCCATTGTCGCGCGACAAGTCGCAAACCTCGGCAGACAGGCTGACGGGACGCAGGTTACGGAACATGCCGGCTACCAACGAGCGATCATAAACCGCAACCCGCCGCTGATTGACGAAGATGGCTACGACATTACAAGCGACGACGACGAGGAGCAGATACAGGAGGCGGTCGCCTCGGCGATGGAGGAGAACCCGTATTCGTCGATCCGGTTGGAACGTTAGTTAAGCGCCATTCGACCTCTGCAGCTCGTCTGGGCGCGCGACACTAACTGGAACTAGAAATCCTGGCTCCGTTGACCTCCGTCATCGATTTACCATCACACCCCACGCTTTCGCGACCGTTTACCTCGAAGGCGCTGACAGAGTTGATTGAACAAGGGCTGGCATTGATGCAAAAGGAAAATGCGGCGCTATGGAAAGCTAAGCCCCTGCTCACCAAGCTGGTTGGTGATAATACATGGGCACCTTGCGGCCTCATGACCGCACCCGACGGCAGTGACGCGTTGTTATTCACCGACACTGTGAGCTTCTTCAACCGGCCAGCGCGCCACGACCCAGCGCAAATGACCGCGCCTCCTGGCATCAGTGGGGCTCCCGAGCCTTTTGGAAACACTTCTACAGGGTTGGCGCAACGAAGAGTAGGCCAGGATGCGCTCGAAATTGAGGCAGCAGTACGGCCTGTGGGGAACACGGAGCAGAATGTAGAGTCAGGCGAGAAAGCGCTCGATGGAGAAACATTACCAGATGCGCCGAGGAGCGTCAACGGCGAAGCCCACCCTTCAAAGGGATCCAGTGCGCCAGGAAACCCCGTGAAGGAACCACAAGTCAACGGCAGACTCGATCACGGCGACGAGAACAAGGACGGACCTATCCGAGTTGATGGCGAGGGGCTGAACAAACGAAATAACGCTGAGAGTGAGGATACGGAGATGGCAGTAGCTGCCAGCGTCGGCCCTACCACAACAGCGCAGCGGAACACGACATTACCAACAGCACACCCCATGATCCCACCCCCCGACATACAGGTACAATCTGACGCCACAGAAACCCCCGAAGAGCTGTTCATTCATCCGCTCTTTCGCCTCCCACCAGCGGCGCACCCTGACCGGGACCTGGGCCTCCCCGAACAAGAGGCCGAAGAGGTGCGGCGGCTGCTGCTGCTGTACGTGCAGAAGCAGGAGGAGATCTGCCGAGGGACGAAGCGGTTATATGAGGGGCTACTCAAGGCGGATCGGTACCGCAAGACGGTGTGGAGGTGGGCCAAGGCTGAGGCACACTGCGGGCCAAACCGCGACATGTCGGACGGGGAAGACTGGTATGACAAGGAGGAATGGGGGTTGACGGAGGACCTGAAAAAGGGGGAGGACGAGGTGGAGGAGGACGCGGCGCAGCCGCAGAAGAAGACAAGGAACCGGAAGTGATCGGAGTAAAACGGGATTCGGGGGTAGGCGCTCGGAGCTACGAGACGATGGTTGTGGTTGTCAGTCAACAATACGAATCTGGTGGGATTGCGTCTAATTGGTTCGTTGGAACATGCTGGTGATGCACTAGAGCTGAGCCCGGAAACAGATTAGGGAATTCTTGATGCACGATTATTCGGTACTCCAAGTCATCACACACTCACACAGGCCATATGCGAAGTGCTGGAACTAACAAGGTCCCAGAGAGCCACCATCCTGTTGGGACGCAACAGTCAAGCGCCAACCAAACAATGCAAAATTTCTAGCCTTGGCGCTGAGGTTGAAAAAAACTTCTCGGCGGAACAAGAACGCCGAGCACCGAAAGCATTCCGACTTAGAAGCATGCAGCCAAGCCGTACCCGGGTAAGCCCGCCCTTGCACCGAGTCGGCGGGTGCAATGTTGGACCAATTGCCGTGTCGGGGAAGCGAGCCGGGCGCCGCACGGGCATCTAACCAACATTGCGGCTTAGCGAAGTCACCAATGCACGACTCTTCCTGACTTTTCCGTTCAGGTCTGGAACACCGGCTGCTAGCCACCCTGAACCGTGCCAGCAGCTCCAGCTCACTAAACTGGGGAGAAAGAAGCAAGGGCAATAAGAGATGGAGACGATGCGGGTCAATCCGTTCTGCGAGGAGCTCCGAGGGCCGAGCCAGGGCCACCCCGCGTCTTAGTGAACCTGTGGTTCTTTATCAGATCGCTGGGAGCTTCGAGCTATGGGTACTAAAGGGGGTTTGTGACGTCGTGAGTCTGGGCGTTCTGCCGCCGTCATCATTAACTTCATCAGACATAACCTCAGAGGCCCATCTTGGTGGTCTATTCTGCTCAATCTCCAGTGCCTTCGAGTCTTGGCTTTGATCTTGATCACGAACTCTGACGCAGCGCTCTGGTTGCCGTATTTGGACGGCATCCGCCACCACACTTCATCCCGGAAACGGCCGCTCAGACGGTTTGACATCAACCAAAGGTACCTAGGCTACCGTGACTGCCGCAGGCATATTTTGTCTCTTCTTGACCCCCCTTTTCCCACATCAGATGGTCTCGTCAGCCACCAAGATGACGGACAGAGACAACATGACAACCGACACAGAGCCCGAGAAAACGACCCCTTCGGGGCGGGCCTCTCCCGGCCCTGACCCTGCGCCGAGCCCAATCCCGAACGTCAAAGCAACCACTACTGCCGCCACCACCACCACCAACAACAACAGCAGCAGCAACAATGACGACAATGACGACCCATTCGCCTCCACGGGCGCCGGCATCGACAGCGCGGACGTGGTGTACCCGACGGGGCTCAAGCTCGTGCTGATCGTCGCGTCGCTGTGCCTGGCCGTGTTCCTGGTGGCGCTGGACCAGACCATCATCGCGCCGGCGCTGGGCGCCATCACGGGCGAGTTCGGGTCGGTCAAGGACATCGGCTGGTACGGCGCCGCCTACCTGCTGACGACCACGGCGCTGCAGCCGGCGTACGGGTCGCTGTACCGCATGTTCAGCGTCAAGTGGACCTACCTGGCCGCCGTCTTCCTGTTCGAGGTGGGCAGCCTGGTGTGCGCCACCGCGCCGTCCAGCGATGCCTTTATCGTGGGCAGGGCGCTGGCCGGTGTCGGGACGGCCGGGTTGTTCTCTGGCGGTATTGTGATTCTGTCGTATACCCTCCCGCTGCGGCAGCGGCCCATGGCGTTCGGGCTGATCGGTGCCATGTGGGGGATCGCGAGCGTCGCGGGGCCGTTGCTGGGCGGTGCCTTTACCGACCATGTGACGTGGCGCTGGTGCTTCTACATCAACCTGCCGATCGGCGGCGCCGCGATGCTGGCTCTGTACCTGTTCCTGCGGATTAAGGTCACGCGCAACGCCGCCGGCCTGACGGTTGTCCAGAGGATCCTGAGCCTGGACCTGCCCGGCACGGCGATGCTGGTGCCGGCGATTGTGTGCTTGCTGCTGGCGCTGCAGTGGGGGGGCACCGAGTACGCGTGGAGCAGCTCCGTCGTGATCGGGCTGTTTGTCGGGTTCGCCGCCATGATCGTCATCTTCATTGGGATCCAGATCTGGAAGGGCGATAAAGGGACGCTGCCACCGCGGCTGTTCAAGAACCGGGATGTCCTCTGCGCCATGCTCTTCGGCTTCTTCTTTGGCGCCGGCTTCTTCCCGCTGCTGTACTACTTGTGTAAGTGAACTTCTCTCCTTGTGGTGTACTCAAACCCGCAAATAATGGAACACCGCATGGTTGGTGCTGACCGTCCATCAGCGTTGTACTTCCAGGCGATTCAGCACGACACGGCCGTCCAGGCCGGCATCAAGCTGCTGCCGATGCTGATCGCGGTCGTCATCAGCTCGGTCAGCTGTGGCGGCCTGATCAGCGCCGTCGGGTACTACAACCCCTTTGTCCTGCCTTCCATGGTCCTGTTCACGGTCGGAGCCGGCATGATCACCACGCTGCAAATCGACAGCCCGCTCCGGGTCTGGTTCGGCTACCAAGTCATTGCGGGTATGTCCTTTTCCTGACTTCAGTTGTTATTACCAGACCCCCTTAGCTATCCATCATATCTGACTTATTTTTTGTGTCCAGGTCTCGGCATTGGCGTCGGCTTCCAGACCGGCGTGCTCGTGGTGCAGAACAACGTTCCCCACGAATGGATCCCCCAGGCCACCGCCTGCGTGCAGTTCTTCCAGGCCATGGGCGGCGCCATTTTCATCGCGGTCGCGCAGGCCGTCTTCCAGAACGGCCTCACCGAGCACATCAAGCGGGACGTGCCCGGCATCCCGCCCGAGGTCTTCATCCACAGCGGCGCCTCGCAAATTCCTCAGCTGCTCGAGGAGATGCAGGCTACGCAATACCTGGGCGCCGTGCTGAATGCCTACCTCCAGGGCCTGCGGAACGCCTTCTTTATTACCGTTGGCTGCGCCGCGGCTTCGTTTGTGGCAGCGTGTGGGCTCAGCTGGAAGAAGATCCAGAAGAGAAAGGCGCCCGCCGCAGCAGAGGCCGAGAAGGGCGAGGCGGATGTGGAGAGTACGAAATAGTGCCAGGCTCTGTGTGTGTGTGTGTGTTGAGTGCCCAGGATTTCAGGTTTGGGTTTGGTTTGTACGAATAGGCGAGACGGTGTTGGCAAACGCCTGGAGTTTGGCAAGCGGTGCGGGTGTTACAGAAAAGCTAGATACCCTACTCTTGATCCTTTTGAATATAGTTAATACATATAACAATTACATTTGCGTTTAGTGCAAGTTCGGTATATTGCCTTGTTTCGGAATGTAAGTCCTATCTATCGGTGTCCTGTTGTCAGACACCGACGCATGGTACGTCTGTCTCCCTTGACCCTCGTCCCTTACGACGCCCATGCCTTGACCGTAATAGTGCTATGCACTGTAAAACCTAAGTAGTCTTGCCGCTCGCATCATCTATAGCCCTCATCTTCCCCAACTCTCAACCCCGGAACTCCATACACTAAACCAACACAACATCCCCCCTGAGGTTTAGGTCAAACCCTCAAAGGTCCCATCCTCCCCGACCTCCCCAATAACAGGCTCCAACAACCGCGGCAACACCTCCGCGGCGTCCCCCGCAAACGCGAAATCCTCCTTCTTCAAATTACGCACATTATGCGGTAGCTCAGCCTCCAAATTGACCGTCACGACGCTCGTCCGCCCCTTGGTCCTCGCCACCTCGGCGAAGCCGGCGGCAGGCCACACCACCGAGCTGGTGCCGACCACCAGCACCATGTCGACCTCCCGCTCGTCGATCCACGCATAGATGGAATCGAGCATGGCCTCGTCCAGCGCCTCGCCGAACCACACCACCCCGGGCCGCTGCAGGCCGTTGCCGCACTCTGGGCAGTGCGGGAGCTCCGAGGCCGGGATGTGCGGCAGCGGCTTGCTGGTGTCGAGCAGCGGGTGGATCTGGTCGGGCGAGCTGGGCGCGTCTTCCGCGGCCGGCGCCAGGGCCGGGCAGAACGGGTCTGAGAAGTTGGCTGGGTCGGACCAATGGCAGGTCTGGGAGGAGCATTTAATGCTGAAGAGCGAGCCGTGCAGGAGACGGAGTTGGGAGGGTGGGTGGCCGGCGCGGGGATGCAAGTCTGGGAGAGGGGTGTTAGTTTCGGGGAATAACTAGTGGAAATGGGGGAAAGAGGGCGGGAACGGACAGTCCACGTTTTGTGAGAGGCAGAGAAAGTCTGGGTTCTTGCGGGCGAGTGCTGCCAGGGCGTAGTGGCCTGCGTTCGGCTTGGCTTGCAGTGCCATGTGCCGTCGCTGGTTGCTCATCGTCAGTCCTCTCTATCGTGCGTCCCCCATCCACTTCAATTCGGCTACTCACATAGGCATAAAACATCCACACGAGCCCCGGATCCTCTCTGAAAGCCTCTGGGCTGGCCAGCGTCGTGGCCTTGTAGTTTCTCCACAGGCCGCCGGCGCCGCGGAAGGTGGGCAGGCCGGACGACGCCGAGAGGCCGGCCCCACACACGGCCAAGATCCGCTTGCTCCGGGCGAGCTTGGCGTGGAAGGCCGAGACGCTGTTGTAGTCGGGATTTGGGGCCATTGTCTTGGACGGGGATGAATAAATTGAGAAGAAAGCGCTAAGCGACCGGACAACTGATGATGCGGCGTTGTTGCGCATTGAGTTTTGTAGTCGAAGAACTTGTGTGAAGCTGAAGCATCTTCAGGCAGCCGCAGTGCACGGACAAACTGCCCCGCACTTGGTCGATTCATGAGCTCATCAGTTCACACCTCATCGCAATGATGACGGACTGCTTCAACCATACAATTCATCTTATTACTTACGTACTGAGCCTCCTATGTTAATTAAGCCTATTGACACTCAGGTGATGGGAGCAGAAGGCATGTTAGTATGGCGTGGGTTGCTTACTGACACTGACCCTTCCTCCGGCTGCCATATTGGGGGCCTCAAGGTAAAACAATGATTCAAATGTATGCCTTCAGAATGCAGTCATGTTTCAACTCTTATTGCCCAATGGACATCAGCGCCGGCCTTGGCATATTGTGATGTGATACTAGGTATCACTCCGGGTTTCACCATGGCGAAACATCCCTAGACTGTGCCACCGAACACAACATCATCGTCAGGGGTAACACCACATGTCACCAGAGTGCAGAACTGACTCAACTGAGTGAGACAGAAATAAGTGGCCAGCGCAGATGGTACATAATGTATCACCTAGCCTTCGACAGAATCTAGAGATCTAGTCTAGTCTAGCATGGAAAATACACCGCTGCCGATGTAGGGAAGAGAAATAACAGCAAGACCGCTTTCCATAGGTATCGGTATCAATGATGCTCAATCCTCCGCGAAAAAAGACCATCCATGCCGCATCGCTTTATGTAGAAGCCCCGATAACCACCAACCGCCCGCCCCTCAAGAATCCCATCACTTCATCACGACCATCTTGTCTTGTACATACACACAAATGCCGCATCTACACGTCGTACAATGCTGCATGCCATAGAAACCGTTCCTTCCCCCCCGTCATCCCTGATTTACCCCGTTACCCTCCACCCCACTCCGGAAGAACTTCCCCTGGCGTGTGCGCGTAGCGTGATACGTCTGTCCTTTCCCTCGGCGACCGGTATTAAAACAACGGTAACATGGTATATAATCAGAAGGAGTATCATGGGGGCATGCCGTCGTGTGAGCTCGTGAGCCCCCGAGTTGGGTTCAACCGGTTCCCAAGGGCAAAGGAGGTTCAGAAGACGGGCAAAAAAATAAAAGGATCGTGGGAGAAGATGTTGAAAATAGCACCGGTCCTCCCGCGAAGAAAAAGAGAAGAGACCAAATTACGGCAACAGCCAGCGAGCTCTCTGGCGCCCTCGATCTAAGCTAGCGCCTTAGAGGACCAGGTAGCCGAGGAGCGCAGCAGCGCCGGCTGCAGCCAGGTTGCCACCGACCTTACCGGCGGCGCCAGTAGCAACGCCGGTAGGGGCAGTCGAGACGCTGGAGGCGGCAGTGCTGGAGGTGCCGGTGGAGGTCTCCGAGGCACCGCTGTCGCCGGACCCGCTGGTGGTGTTGCCCTTGGAGCCGGCGCTGTTGGTGGTCTGCGAGGCCGAGGCGGAGGACGAGGTGACGGTGGTCAGGGTGGTGGCGGTCGAGCTCGCGGTCGACTTGGAGCTCGCGCTGGTGCTGGTGGTCTTGGCCGAGGACGAGGTGCTGCTGGGCTTGGTCTCGGAGCCGTCGTTGATCACCTTGATGCTCTGCCAGTGGCCGCTGCGGTCGCCATAGACGTACTCAGTCGCCCCGGTCGCGCCCTTTCCGCCCATGAAGTCCTGAATCTTGACGTTCTGGTAGTAGCCGTCGAAGGGAGCCTTGGAGAAGTCGGTCAGGCCGCCAGCCCACTCGATGGTGCCCTGGGGAGCATCCTTGCGGCCGGCAACCCAGGTGCCGAGCTTGATCTGCATGGGCGTCTGCGGGTAGCCGGAGCAGCCATCGACACCGGTGTTCTTCAGCGTGCGGACGACGTTGCCGTCAATAATCCAGTCGAGCTGCTCGGGGGTCCACTTGATGGTGTAAGTGTGGAATTGGTTGATGGGGTCCGCCACGGGCGAAAAGCCACCGCGGTCATACACCTCGGTGCAGCCCTTGCTGAAGTAGTTGGTCTGGACCTGGGTGGCATCACCGCCGAGCCACTCCCAGTCGATCTCGTCGAGATCGTCCGACTGCAGCACGAAGCTCGTCACAACACCCACACCCTGGGAGGCCCGCACCGTCACGTCGACCTGGCCGAAGAAAATGTACGCGTTGCTGCCGATGGTGGGGGCATCGGTTTCCTTGCTGATCGAGAAGACGGCACCAAGGTCCTTGTCGTACTTGAGGGTAGTGCCGTCGGCGTTCTTGAAGAAGCTGTTGGCGCCCTTGCGGAAATCAATCTCGACGATCTTGGCGCCAACGGCCGGGTCGGGAGGGCAGTCTGCATAAACGCCATCTTGGTCAGTAACTTGGGGTTTGGTGCGCCACAGCGGGATCGGGACTCACCCTTCTTGGTGGGGTCACACGCGGTGTACGTCTGCGCTGAAGCCAGCGAGGCAGCGAGAGCCACCGTGGTGGCTGTCAGGAACTTGGAGAACATCTTGAACGTGTGCAGGTGCTGATGTAGGAATGGTGATGGGGTGTGTGTGTCTGGTAGGGTTCTTGGTGTATTAAAAGATGTAGGGCAGAGCCAACAAGGCGCAACGCTAAAAGCGAGTGTAGTTTATAAATGGCAAAAAATGAACGAGAGACAGGAGGTTGCTGAAGCGACTGAATGCCACGACGAATCCCGGGCTTGTGGCTGAGGGTCTGCTGATGGCAGCTGTTGCGATGTAGGACAAGGGAAAGAGAAGGAGCGATCCGATCCGGGGGCCCATCACCACTTTCAATCAACTCTCTGGTTGCCTTTCCTGGTGCCCCAATCCCCACACCCAAGGCTCGGTCGTGCTTCGTGTTGGACCCCTGGATGTTCCTGGGGCCGCCGAGGGAGACTCGGACCCTGCAGCCTGCTCGTACGACGGTTCACTGTCATGGGTTTGTCACCTGCAAAGTCCGTGCAGGGACCAGACGCCGTGGCTGACCGGCCAATCGCGTTGCGCTCAGCCGCCAGATCAAGCGTGCCCGCGCAGGGTCTCCTCCTCCAGGCTGACTCGGCTGAGCCATTTCGGCTTGGCGGGCTCGGCGTGATGCATCCACGGGCGGTTCAATAATTCCAATAAAATACGAACCGGTCACCGGACCAACAACACCGGCACACATCACCCGGGCAGTCGCCCGTTATGGTACCGTCGCCTCGGGAACAGCCAGCAAGATCCTGATGCACGGATCCTCCCGAATCGCGATGCCGCTCGGCCTACACTACGTTGTACAACTCCCTAGGACAGATGAGACTATTTTTGCATCCCCCCATATTCGGGCGCTACGTGTGTGTGCATGACACGGCGGCGGCGACCCAAGTGTTGCCAGCCACATCGGGCTAAGCGCTGGCGCTGTTTCTTGTCGAGGAAATGAGGGCCAAGCGAATCGTGGTTCCCTTGCTTGGCCGACCGCCAGCCTACGGTAATGGAACCGATAGTCCATGCGCCCGAACCCGAACAGCACAGCTGCGCGAAGGAATTGTGGTGCCTTCGCCAGTCGCAGACGTCGACCTGAGCGAGGTACAAAAGCAGTGGACGTTGTCATTCCCGCCGCTTTGCGCTCTCACAATCTCATTGCTTTCATATAGTTGTGTCTCGTACATGACATTATCGATGTCCTGCCGCGACCACGGCGGCGCGCCGAAATCCCGGAAAGTCTTGGCCAATGTGGACCAAAAACCCCCTTGCCCCTGCCGATGATCCAGTGCCTTCTTGCCCCACGATGCACGCTGCAACCTGGGAAAAGTCGTGGAGGATCACGCAAATCGGTCCGCAGGGGAGGGATGCCAACCGGCGGCCAGTTGCACAAGCCCTCGGTGCTTTTTAAGCACGCCCAGACCACCGAAACACAATGCGGGCAAATCCCCATCCTCGATGGCTGGTTCCCCTCTTGACACTGAAACCGTACCAACCACCAAGCAAACATGAAGCAAATGCTTGAAATCCCCCCTTTTTTCCTGAGCGACTTCAAAAAGGGAAGGTGAGTCGGAGACCCCTTTCATGCCGGGATGTCGAAACAAGCACAACGGTATCGGTAGCGAAGTTTCAAGATCTTCCGTTCACTTACCGGTTTCACTCGTCGCACACGATGTAAAGAACTTGAAGACTGAACGGGAGGAGGCAAGAAGCTTCATGGCAACGTTCCATTAACGTTAACGGCGCCCTGTACCACAGTACGTACATACATAAACTGCCTGAGTCATGAGTATCAATGCGTCGCAGTCTTGAGAGTCTCAATCCCACACAAACTTTGTTGGGTGCCGAGTCAGCAACAGTGGGGTTGAGTTATCGTATTCAACCTTTTCACGAGATGCTGGGCATGGGAAGAAATGCCTACTTGTTTTTTTTTTACGAGGAGGGGGAAAAGAGAGGCCATTTTTATAACTCGGGTGCCGGCAATTTCACGATGTCGTTATCTTTCGGTCAGGGGCGCTCTGACCTCTCCGTGGTCAGCCCTGCGACCGGGGGCCTGGAGAAGATGGAGTCGTCTGTCAGCAAACTGTGTCCTCGTCTCGCTTGACCGACGATCACCAGCAGGCATGTTGAGAAGTCAAATGATCCGAGTGATGACATCGACACTTGCTTCGAAAGTGTGTTATATCGAATCTCTCTCTGAGCCGTCTTGATTCAGGATGGCGGCAGAGTTTTCGACAATTTGCTACCAATAGATGATAATAAGAGGAAGGAGTAATGCAAGGAACTTGTGCTTCAGTGTGTTTCTCAAAGCCCCGTAGCTCATTTTAACGGATATTGCTCGGACTTAGCAGGCAAAACGCGACGCAGCCAGGGTTGGTGGGCGATGTCACATGCTTGCAAAGCAATAATATTGTGTCCAGAGCTGGACAAAAAGAGGAAAAATCTCTCCCGCCGGGAATTGAACCCGGGTCTCGAGCGAAGTCAGATCGAGGTGACAAGCTCACATACTGACCACTATACTACGGAAGACTTGCAGGTGTGGGCACCTGCCGTAGCTGGTTGGTTGAGCGGACAAGCGAGTTCTAGATATATCAAGCAATCAAAATGCCGTGCCTCTTTTGCCATTTTATTCCAAACGGTCACCTGTCCTCTGATTCCTCGAGTTGCTGGTTGGAAACGCTGTGATGCATGGCACACAAATAAGCAAGTGGCACCCGAAGGTCCCGTCTGCTACTCGCTTTGTGTCCCTGCTACATTGGCGGAGAGAGAGAGCAAAGATATCGACAATCACCCAGACTGTGCCGTTGATGCTGAGAATACCAGCCCGGAGGACGGCACGGAACGGAGGCTATCCACTCGTACTCCGGGCCGGGCCAAGCTTCGGCCCTCCGGCTTGGCACGGTCTCGTCCGCCCCGGCTACTGCCTGAAACGTTCAGCTGGCGCCGTTCTGATTCGTCCAGGCCTTAACATCCTACCACGGCTGGATGGTGGTAGCATGCCAGTATACACTCAGTTCGGGTCATGACATGCACCTTCCAGGTTGTATGTACCTTACTCAGCCCGTGCTGGCCGCTGACAAAACCTTAGTGCCTTCAGTTTGTACCACAAAATCGCGGATTTGCTGTATTGTGTAAATACGCTGAGTCAAATCGACACCGGAAATGCCGATCTCAGCGCCCACTCGCGAATGCTTCCCCGCCCCCGCTCCCGCCGGTTCATGCCCACCGCCGATCCCTCCTCGATGGGGTGTCGGTTGGTTCCCCGGCGACGGCTTTTTCTCTCATCGTGATTCTCTTTCCTACAACCTTCAGGACATGACCGTCCCTGCTTCCGTTTCTCTCTTAAATACTACCTCTCCAACGTTCGCGTCACTTGATGAACCCTGGGGGTTCCGACCATGAGCGAAGCCGACTTCTCTGCCGCGGCGAACGCGACGCCGGCAGGCGCGGAAGAAGAGGCCAAGGCGCCACCGACGAACTCCGAGGAAGACCAACAACGAACTCGTGTTGCAGTCCTCACGGCCGCTGACCCGATTGATCCCGCGGTCGAGAAGCGGTTGAGGAGGAAGTTTGACTGCTCCCTGCTGCCTCTCGTCTTCGTGGCGTACTTGCTTGCCTTCCTGGACCGTTCGAACATCGGGAACGCTGAGACGGCGGGGATGAGTGCTGACTTGGGTTTTGACGATGCGCACTTCCAGGTAGGTTGATGGGGTGTGTGGTTGGGACGAAAGAGTTTCTGGGACACGGGGCTGATGACGGGAGCGGGGGAGCGGGACGGCAGTGGCTGCTCACGATATTCTACATCCCATACAGTACGGCCGCCCTTCTTTCTGGCTACCTCAAGACCTGGAATGTCTTCTTGCTTTCTGACCAGTTCCAAATCCAGTCCTCTTTGAATGGTGCGCTTTGATGTGGAAGTTGGTACCACCGCGTACGTTTCGGTCATCTTCCCCTTGGAAAAGCATACCTCCGGAGCATAGGACACTAACATTGGGGGGGGGCGGGGGGGCGCCAGATATCTGGGCTGGCATCACGGTCATGACATGGTTTGAGACGCACTTGCATCGAACTTCTTCCAGGGACGTAGTAGCTGACGGACGATCTAGGGGTCTCGCATCGACTCTTCAAGCGGCGGCCTTCAACTGGGAGGGCCTCATGGTCTGCCGCTGGTTCCTGGCCATGGCCGAGGCCGCCTTCGCCCCGGGCGTGCCCTACCTCCTCAGCTTCTTCTACCGCCGGAACGAACTGGGCCTCCGGTGCGGCATCTTCCTGTCGGCGGCGCCGCTCGCCACCACGTTCGCCGGCGCGCTGGCCTCGGCCATCACATCCAACCCGCATATCCGGCTGGCCCCCTGGCGCCTGCTCTTCCTGGTCGAGGGCCTCCCCACCCTGCTCTTCGCGCTGCTCATCTTCCTCCGCCTCCCGGACTCCCCGGACACGGCCCGCTTCCTCACGCCGTCCGAGAAGGCTGTCGCCCGGTCGCGCGCGATCCTGCAGTCCGGGCAGGAAGGCCATGGCCGGCTCGGCACCGTCGACCTCGGCGAGATCCCGGCCGCGCTGGGGAGCCTGTCGACGGTGCTCCCTGCGCTCATGTACTTCAGCTGCAACGTGTCCTTCTCGTCGCTGCCCGTCTTCCTGCCGGCCGTGCTGAGCTCCATGGGCTTCTCGTCGCTCTCGGCGCAGGGGCTGACCGCGCCGCCCTACTTTGTGGCCTTCCTGGTCTGCATCGGCACGACGTACCTCGCCGACCGCACCCAGCAGCGCGGGCTGGCCATCGCCTTGCTGTCCGTGATGGCCGCGGCGGGCTACGTGCTGCTGGCCACGGTGCGGTCGGTCGCGGTGCGCTACCTGGGCGTATTCCTCGCCGCCGCCGGCGTGTTCCCGGCCATTGCGAACATCCTGCCGTGGACGCTCAACAACCAGGGCACCGACACCAGGCGCGGGGCCGGCATTGCCGTGCTCAATATCATCGGCCAGTGCGGCCCGCTGCTGGGGACGCGGCTGTTTCCGGCCGCGGAGAAGCCGTACTACGTCAAGGGCATGGCGGTTTGTGCTGCCTTTATGGGGTTTAATGCGCTTCTGGCGGGGACGCTGAGGTGGCACCTGGCGAGGAAGAATCGAGCGCTTGAGGAGGCCGAGGCGGCTATGGCTGGAACGGCTCACACGGGGGTGGACTTCGCTGCGGCGAAGGGGCCGGTTGAGATGGAAGGCACTGTGGGATATCGCTATGTGCTTTGATACGACTAATAGATGTCGGTGGATCTGCACCTAACATTGCTACGCTTTGTGCGCATCTCTGTCTGACTAGAGGTAGATAGTTCTACATAAGGTGAACCTGATGAAGCAAGTCACTGTGGCAACAAATCACTGGTACATTGCCTAGCTTAGTACTAGTAGTCTGTCGGACCAACACAACAAACTCCAGGAATCCGAGCACATCGTGGCCACAACACAATGCCATAGCCAAAGCAGTGATCAATAGTCCCAGTTGCCCATAGCCGGGGTCCATTGAAAAGCAAACAATAACCGTCAAAGTCATGGAAGAGCCAGCCCGAAAACAAATACTAGCCCTTTGTCCCTTTTACTATGACCAAGTATGGGCCCCAGTGTCGGCAGGCAGCCTTTGGGCTACCTCTACCCAGAGGCTCATGACTCATGACCATCTCTGACATCAATCCCTCCGCCCCTTTACGGCTCCGCGCGAATGGGCATCAAGAACCGCTGACGGGAATCCCTAAAGGAGAGAGAGCCTGGCCCATCACGCCACATAGGCTAGTAACCCAACGGAATCCCGCTGCTGTCTCCTGAGCCCAGGTGGTGTGTGCGAGCCTCCCGCCGTTACACAGAAAGAACACTGGTCCAAATAGCCAGAAGGGAAAGTGAGCCATCACCCTCCATAATGAAGGCAGTGCGCACCTAGGGATTAGACAGGACAGAGAGAGGAGATTGCCAAGCAGTGGCACAGCAGCACGCGATTGACGCCTGACAACACCCACACTGTCATTGCCATTACCATCGCATTTACCATATCACCAATGTTGATGCTGATGCTGACACACCTCGACCATTTGCAGTCCAAAGGATGGTGGGAAGTTCGAGGCATTCACCCCCCGCGGTCTGTACTCCAAGCCTTGTGCATATTTTGAACTTTGCAAGCTGGGAATGTGGTGACGGGTAGCACAGCAGGGTCAATCTGTAACAAGGGTCGTGATATCAGTCTCGACCATGTCAAGAACCAAGGCGCTCATTAGGTAGTGGTAAACCATATCATTCGTGCCATCTATGCCGCGGGGATATCGCGCTGATTTGGATTGTTTAATGTTGTCCCATGTCGTATTCCTTCCCAAGACGCCTACATGGGGTTTGAGTGGTAGGTAAGGGAACGACTAAAATCTATACTAAACTGCTGGATGCTGCAAAGGACAGCCATAACGGGGATTGGCCGTCTCTATTACAACCCCCTCAACGCCTTGACGGCAACGAAAGCGTAAGATTACTTGAAAGTGTGGGCATAAGACAGACGCGGGAGGTACTGGTTGGCCAGCCTTACCGTATGGGAACCCCACGACGTGCTGCGGGCTGTCAGTCGACCCTACTCCATGAATCACAAGGTTGTGCTCTCGTGACGTACCTCGACGAGTGCACGTACGGTCAGTGTCAAGGGATGAGAAGGAGGCCGTAAGTGTAGTGAAATGATCAGCTTTTTGTCTCGCTCAGGGGCAGCCCGTGATAGGAGATACCATCTACTACATGCCCCCGACGCCGTTTTTACGCACTGTGAGGGATGCCGTAGCAACCCTGGTCGACCTTTATTAACAAGCAGGTAGTCAACCCCGTTCGGAGAGGAGTGCTCCCAGTTGTTATGCATTAGTACCCGAGACCATCATTAGGAAAGGTCCTCGGTCATCAGCAGGGCTGGGACAGGATAAGGCATCATTAGCACTTGCGGCCCTCCCCGGATCTACATCGCGTTGATGTTGCCTCTCGTCGGCGGTCGTCTCGTATTTTGGTCTTGCCGACTTTGACGCCGTCCTCAGGAACAGGGAAGTCGTGGGATGGTGATGGCTTAGGCCCCCCTCCCATGACAGTGACTCGACATCCTGACAACGCAGCGCGGTGCGGCTCTCCAGGCATGGACAGCGAGCATGGGCGGTACACATCAGGTATAGTACGGAATACATATATTACAAACACGCGGTTGGCTGCGGGCTGCAGACCCAACACGGGCGGGAAGCAAGGACTCAGGCATCCAGACGACACCAAACAGCTGGCCTTGCGGAGCTCGATGTCCTATTTCCCCCCCCCCCCCCGACGTTTTTTGCGTGGGGGGTCACCATGTTTGCTCCTTTCTGCATCTACTCTCATGCTAGTACACCTGAAAGTCAAGGGATGGCATGGCACCCTTCGAAGCTAAGCTCAAGTCCCTGTAGGTAGTCCTCCGTATGCCCAAGCGGGTTCTCCGGAACTGCCGTGACACACTCCATCCGCATCGTGTGAGTAACGGCAGCCGTATCATCGTCCAGCCCGACTTCGGCCTTGATGGGACTGTTTTCTGGTTTATGGCACATACTTAGTACTCGGTTGCCTGGAATACTTTATCCTGTTGTTTCTAACAGCTCCAGCTCCAAGTCCTCTGCGTCGCCACACGCGGCGGCATCGTCGACGGAGCATGTACTCTTTATCTGCACTTACCGCCAACAGCTATTAGAAAAGAAAAAAAGGGGCTACCGGCACCCTGGCAGTGCAACTGATGTCCTGCTCTGCGCCTAACCCGGCTCTGCGGTTCCCTCCCGGCCTTGTATTGTACATTATCTCCTTTGTTTACCGCCTTCCAGGTTGAGTCATGAGGTCTTGTCACCCCTGTTAGTCAGAGGTACATGCAGTTACACGTACTAGTACGGTACAATACAACATTCAGTATCGCATGTGGCGCACCGGGAGCCTGGTTCCGGGACATCGGCGCACCACGCGGCTACACAAAGACGAAAAGGGGCTTTGATCTACGCAGATTCAGCAGCCAGTTTGCAGTCAAGACAGGGGTGGCAGCCAAGCCCCCTGAGTCACTTCACAGTAATCCGTACCCGGCTGTGAGACAGTTTGCTTGGACGCCATCAAGCCTTCTTCGAGAAGACCGCCCAGTGGCTGACGATCTGTCGGCCGATCTCACTGTGATGCTACCCAAAGGCTGCATGGTGTTTGCTTTGAGCTCAATGCCATAAGCTGAATGCTTCTGCCGGAGCCCGCCGTCATCCCGCAGCAGTTGAACCTCGCAGGTGACCCGGCTGTTCTCGACGACATGTAGCTGTCGTACTCGAGGACTGTGAGGGTGAGACGAAAACGTTATAGATCGACGGAAGTCAACATTCCACCTTTCCACTGCCTTCACGAGTCTAGCCATTCTCACCGCCATGAAGGAGACTGGGAGGCAAGCATATCAGGAATGGGAACTGGGACTAAGGTGCAATGACTTGAACTTTTCGTGCGGTAGCGACATGAGAGATGAGAGATGCGTGTATTGATCCATGCATGAACCCTATATGCGTATCCCCTATTTTTTGTCCCTGCAACGCCGCGAGGAGAGCGAAGAGAGTGAGAGAGATGGAGAACCATTTATCTCTTTTTGCCCCGTTCCTATCAAATGAACGCCTGTTTTGCCCATGTAAAACCCCCTTTCCAACCCGAGTGGCTTCCCATGCAGTCCGTCGTGTAGGAAGTACCAAGAAAGAAAGTAAAAATAAAAAAAATGGAAAGGAGAACCCCTTTCGCAATGCAGCCAAGTCATCTCTACCTTACTCTCCCCATCCATTACATCACCCCCCTCCCCAACTTCACCATCATCCAGTCCATCATGAAGAAGAAGAAGAAGAAGAAGAAGAAGAAGAAGAAAGCGACTTCTCCAGCATAACCAACTCCCGATACCCCTCCTTCCAAGCCCTCGCCTGCTCGCCCGTCGGCCGCGGCAGCGGGCTGCGCGCATACCCGCCGTACCCCATCCAGGCCTGCAAGCCGTACTTGACGCCCACCACGCCGCCCTGGATGGCCGTCCAGTCGCCCTGCGCAACCACCTCCTGCAGCGCCTGCGCCTCGGCCACCTGCCCGCGCCGGAACAGCTCCATGGTGCGCACGCACGCCCGCGGCGCGATGTTGGCCAGCCCCGCGAGGATGCCGTGCCCGCCCGCGACGAGGGACTGCAGCGTGAAGTCGGCCGAGCCGGCCAGGACTAGGAAGTCGGGTCGCCCGGCGACTGGGTCGTGGGCGTCGGCGTCGGCGTCCTTGGTGGTGGTGGTGGTGGTGGTGGTGGTGGTCATCTTACGGGTCGCGGCCGCCACGCGGTTCAGCTTGCCCGTGTTGCCGCAGGTCAGCTTGACGCCGACGATGTTGGGGTGCGCCGCCAGGCGGACGATGGTGTCGGACGACAGGTCGAGGCCGTTGACGGCGCCGGGGAAGTTGTAGATGATGAGCGGGACGGGGGAGGCGTCGGCGACGGCGGTGAAGAAGGAGACGATTGTCTCGGCGGACGGGGCGAAGAGCGGCGCGTAGTAGGACGGCGGCAGCACCAGCGCGTAGTCGCCGCCGGCTTCCCAGGCCTCGCGGCACAGCTGGATGGTCTCGCGCGTGCTCTGGGCGCCGCAGCCGACGATGATGGGCATGTGGGCGAAGCCGGCGTCGTTGAGCGCCTTGCGCGTGGTGGCCGTCACGAGCTGCCGCTCCGCGTGCGTAAGGTGGACGGCTTCGCCGTTGGAGCCCTGCGTGGCGAGGCCCGTGACGCCGGCGCGCGCCAGGCGCACGGCGTGCCGCGCGATGGTGTCGGTGTCGATATCCTCGGTCGCCTCGTCAAAGAAGCACATGGTCGGCACGTAGACGCCCGGCACCAGCGGCCGCGTCATGTGCAAATCTGGGGCGTCCGAGGCGGTGCTGCAGGAGCTGCTGATGGGGGAGTGCGGCTCCATCGAGCCCAGCCGGCCCGGCAGAAGGCTCGAGGTGACCACGGGCCGGTATGGGCCCCGGTTGAACCCGGCAGAGTAGCTGCTGCTCGGGGAGGGAGCATCGTTGTGGGGAGACATGGCGGAGGGTACTAGTACTAGTAGCGTGGTGATGGTCCGGTGTATAAGAGCAGAAACCAATAAGGAGGTGTGTGGGAGCCTGTGACCACGCGAGACAATGAGGGAGACCCTCGGAATCCGTGGGGAGGACCAGAGCATATTTGTATACATGACGATCTGTTGAACAGTTCAACTAGTAAGGCGGAGCGTCTGACGAGGTGGACCGCCGTCTCGATCACGGGGGTCAGAAGACGACAAGAGACAGGGAACGGCAGTCATCAATGGGCAAGGATCAGGGGCTCGTCCGCTGCCCAAAGATACGGTATCGCACATACCGGTGGATTTCCTTTTCTCGTGTCGTCTGGGAAGGCCTACCTAACCTATGTACAATACATACACAGTAGATGCAGCGGGCGGCCGCTGAGAGGACGAACTCGGTGCAGACTTGGGCCGAAAATGGCGCCGCGACGTGGTACCGAGCAACGGCTTGCCTTCGAATGTACCGACGAGGTCAATCTGACCGCTGTCCGGATACAACTGGGTACCCTGTAGAGACTGTTGGCACGACGGAGCACAGTGTGAGCACCAGAACCGGGCCAGGCCCATCCAATCCGGGGGCGTTGCCTTGCCCGGTCGGGCGGACAGGCTAGGTCCCAGGATCAGCGGGTGCCGAGTGTGGGGGTTAGACGAAGTTTGCTTGCCAGATCCGGGATGTCGTGTAAGCAAGGTACTAATGTACAAGGCTAAACTCAGAACGGAAGTTCTGTGCTTCCCTCAGAAAACCTGTAGTTATCCTGGAATCAGATGGTATTAGTGAGGTTCGACGGACATGTTCATGATGATGACGAGGCGTTTCCCTCAGCGGCCGGTAGTGCTTACCGTGTATGCTTGCTGTAGCGGCTCCAGGGGCTGATGGATACTATTGCATGATCAGGTGGCCCCGATGCAGCGGTCTGCTGTAGCTATGTATTGTGCTGTACTCGGTACACGTACACGTCGTATATGTGGCAGGCTGCTTGAACTCCACGTATGTCGGCGGTAGCTAGAATCCAGTCCCATCTGACTTGATGTCCGCGAAGTCGAGACTGTATTTTGCACAAATGGGCCGGGACGGCATGGCCGTGTCCTATCAAAGGCCGTTGCTTCTGAGTGTCCGATACTACTTTGGGTGTCCAACTGTGTGACGGTGCGTAGTACAGATCGGAGAGTGGGCCAAAGAAACATGGTGATACCGGCCGTCAATGTTGATGCTGCCGTTCATGTTCCGTGTAACATGCGCGGCGTCTCGGAGCCTTGCGAACACTCGATGATACCGAACGACGGGAAATCGTCATGGTCAGACGCCACGCTGATCTCACCGCCAGGCCCCCTTACATCACCCTGCCTTGCCCGCTTTGTATATGGAAGCGGTAGATACGGATAAGGTATGCAACTAACGGCGTCCCAGCTAGGCGTGTGATGTTTTTGGTTCCTTGCGGGTAGGGTACCTACCTCAGGAGCCGCCTTGCGGGGTCCCGGCACAACACTATTTCTGGAGTTGGACAAGTCCGCCAGCTAGCGTTGGCCGGAACACTGGATTTGGTATGGGCGATGGTAGGCAGGGGCAGGCCGCTGACGAGCGCCGGTCTGCTGACAGGTTTGGTTCGCCAGGAACAGAGAATGAGGGTCATATGCGCCGTGTTGCATCCGTCAGGAATGTGGACTCGGGGGTCGTGTACAGCACTCGCAGGTTGAAAAAGTGGCGTATGAGATGATGACTGCATGGTCCCTTCGCTTGCCGTTGCTGGAGTCGCTTGACGTGACCAACATCAGACATCGGACATCATGATAGTAACATGGATGTGGAGGACGTTGGCGAAGGGGCCGGCTGCATCGTGACGGGCGAGGTGCCACAGATGCTTGGCCCGCCTGCACCGGCGGCATTGGCGGCCTCCCGTCACTTGGCTACGCTAGCAAACGATGTCGATGGCTCCCTTTTCCTTTTGCCGCAGCGTGTCTGTATGCTGTGACTGGCTCGCAGCAACGCGCATTGAGGGGCAGTGAGGGGCTCTCGAGGAGGCACCTGACATGCTCTCAACTTGAATTCCCAACCACTCAGCCACGGCCGAGTTTCCTTTTGAGAGCTGTTGCATCTCTGTTTCGGCTGACCGACTGCTTTAATCTTTGGCTTGGGCTCCCGAGGTGGTTCTGTGAACTGGGCAACAGGCAAGGAGTGGAATCAGTGGATTCGCGGGGTTGGACGCTCGAAGCCGAAGCAGCAGTGAAGGGAGAGACGAGACCCAAAAAGGCATGGCGAGGCCCACTTCGGTGTGGAAATTACCCCACGTTCTTCTGTCGGGAAAGAATCCCCGCGACGTGCCTGAAACTTCCCCTGCGCCGTTCCAACGAGGCGGTTCTCACTTCTTACACCAGGTTGATTGGGGATGTCTTCCACCTTTATCCAAGATAACTAGGGTTTACAGTATTGGTATCTGCGGAATCCAAAAAGAGCCAACGAATCAGGTAGTATTTCTTCATCAGACACGGGCGGTCGAGAAGATCACTGACCCTTGTTCGCCGGCTCAGCGTCCACTTCCAGAAACTACCTATGTATAAAAGTACACGCGTACTGTAACATCGCACTGTGTCCAACAAGGATCGCCGGCCTCCACAATCAATCGTTTGCGGGAACTGCAATCGAGCCTCGTGTGATCGGGGATTTTGCTTCAGGAACCGGTTCAGGATTGGGATTTGTGTTCCGATATCCGCGATCTTGGGGATCTTCCGTACTAGCAGAAGAACCTCACAAACGCAATCTCGACTGCAGTCAGTGCATCTCTCCTATATTGATGTAGTGTTGCCTGTCGTCGACTGTTGTGTACTGTACGCAGAAGAGCACATGACGGCAAATAAAGTGGGTGTCGTAATTTACCGAGGTCGCTCACCTGATTCGTGGTGGATCTGGGTTCTGTGACCCCCACGCTTTTTGTCCCCACCGTGCGTATGGATCCGTACACAGTACGGACTGTATTGTACAACGTCCGGAGCATCTCGATCTCGGCACCAAAGACATAGCTGGGTCTCGAAAACGAAAAGCCAACAACACAGCCGTCGAGCCATTGTGCGTCTTTCCCTCTCATTCTCTACTTCCTTTCCCCTTCCCTCCCGCGATCGGAATGCCGTCGTTGAATTCCACCAATCAGGCTCAGAAGCATCCCCCCTTTTCATCCTCAGCTAAGCCCCTTTCCGAACATCTTTACACAGCCCTTGGCGGGTTTCAATAGGCCCTCACCCATCGTTCGATCTGCTATGAGCAAAGCCACTCACGGTTTGACCTGTTTGGGTTCACAAAGATGCCGAGGCTAACTCTTGCCACTCTCCTCTTGCATGAGGTCTCCTTGTCAAGTCGACGCAAAACACCCGCCTGCTTGCAATAGCCTGACCTCTCGAGCGTCCAGACAAGAGCTTACACAGAGCTTGGCTCCCTTACTACGACCTTTCGTGGCATCATGATCTTCCAAGTATCGGGAACCGGCACGGACGCTTGGACTTAGCCAATGGAGTGTTGGAGACGTGTCACACGTTTGTGGTGACGTGCATATTCCCGGAGGTCTGGGTCGATCTGCTCATGATGGCTTCGACTTGTTATGGCCTCTGCCGAGGTCTGTCTCATGTGCTTAGCGCCATGCACCCCGCAGGACCACAAGATGTATCGGCATCAGAGCCAAGGATCTGGAACCAATTGCCTGGCCCTCGGGGAGGCAGGACTGGGCGACCTGAGCCACCGCGCTTGTTCCGTGTGGTAACCCCGGGCGAGCCACGCGCCCCCAAGAGACTCTCACTTGTGCCTCATTGGCTAGCTCTACGCACGGCACGACAGCTTTCGCACCCCTTCGAGCCAAAGGGATTTCGCAAGTGGCTGATGGTGGCTACACTTGGTTGTACTGTAGTCTGTGTGATGGCGAGGGGGATGACATGCGTCTCCGATCTGTACGGAACCGATCTCGAGGGTCTGCCAATGCGAGATCCGACGGAAATGGTATTTAATGCATCTCGGCCCGTCACCTCTCATCCGATCATGCACCCGTTATGCTTTTCCCGAGGTTACCTGTGCTATGACCGGTATCCGACGGGGGGCTAGAAGAGGCAATGACTTACATGCGGTTGGGTGGTATGTGAGCTGTCATAAGCACAGGAACGGGAGCAGACCCTGTCTATGTCCACTCCAGATGGTCGAGGTTGAGCCAGGCTGTCCGTGGCTGGTCCATCCTTTGTGGTTGCCGTGTTATGGCCGGCCCACAATGGCACAAGCTTAGTATCAATAGAGAAAAGGGCATTTCCGGAGGGATTCACCCTTCTGTCTCCCCAAACCAATAGTGTTGGGGCGATGGTCTCGACGGCAGTCAATGATCTAGGTATTTGAAGTTGGGGTGGTATTGATGACAGTCACACGACACTAGGAAATAGGAGTCGGCCCTCCGAGGTGAGGTGTGGGCGGAGTTATGTAAAGGTTTGCTAAACTAGCCGCTTACCACACCAACCGGACGCCTCACCGGCCAATGCTCTCCGCACACCCAGCAGACCGGCACCTGCACGGCGGGAACGATCGGATTGCCAGACAAGGGGGAAGGAATACGGTACCGTGCCACATACCCAGACTTGTCCCGTACATATTACAGTGCCTAGTGTACTCCTCGTCAAACTGTATCTTCTGCCTCCAACCACCCACGCTGACCCCCAACTTGCATCAAATGAAGGGGCCTGTTCTTGGTGGGGGTTGTTTTTCGGGGGTTGTCAAACTATCGACCCCGTGGGTTCCTTGATGGACGAGCGCAGCGGCAGCGAGTAACTAACACAGCTACCTTCCTTATTACGGTCCACCGGCAGATGCAGCTGCGCAGAAGTCTGCCACGAGTCCTGCAGACTTTGGGTTTCCATTAATGAAGCTCCATATTAGACAGTCATTCCATCACACCCAGTCCTACATAGTCCTGCGTACACAGTAGAGTACTGTGCGAAACCGGCACAACGTAGAGCACAGGTGCAACTACATAACGAGCGGGGCAGAGTAACGTTATCGATTCAAGTACTCCTTGACTCGATTGGATCTGTAAGCATATTTAACAACCAAATGCTAAGGTAAGGTAGCGTTAGTGTAAGGTAGGGAGCTACATGCCTCGTCAACTGATTCACTGCCACACACGATTGTACGATTCCTGAAATTTCCACAAACCTGCGGCTCCGGAGAAGGGCATTCGGATATGCGGACAACATGTGTAAAGTGGATTCTGGAGCCGACTCCGATCCGACTTCTCCACTCCGGTAGAAGACGTCCGAAAAAGGAGGGTCCCAATCCCAACAACACGACAAATGCTCGGCAACCATCGGGTTGTCTCAGTTAACGAGCTAATAAGAAGCTCTGTGGTGTCTTCCTTCGCCTGATGTAACTAAGGTATGTATTTGTGGGCGATGCAATCCCGATATCCATCCCGGCGGCCGCCGACTCCCGACCGGCACTAGATCCGGTTGCCCCGGGCTTGTATGTAGGAGCGGTTTGCCGGGCTCGCCGGGGTGGGGGTTCTCGCCGCCGCCTCTCTGGCGAAAAGAAACTCAGGCTAAATTTTCTCAACCCGTGAGGCATCAACTTCATCAAAGCAAAAGTTATGAGATTGGCCGCGACCCGCGCCGTCCGCGGATTCACAAGAATTTCGGAGCAAGGGGACCCCCACGGCCGGCCAGGGGCACACGACGTCATGGCGTTGAAGCTTATGCAGGAAGACAAGGCCGGAACGCCCGCCTTATTTTGGTTCTGGTGCTCCCTCAAACAAGGTTCGCCACTCCAATCACCTCACGTCGGAGCAGACGGAGAGCTTACTCACACGAAGCGGTGAAGAACCCCCCGAGCCCCCCAACATCCCCCCTTGAACTTTTTTTTTTCTACTATTTCCATCCCGCGCTCTCCTGCTACCGTCTTCCGCCGCCGTCCCAAAAGCTGACTAGGGGTCCTGCCGGCAGTCAGCGCAAGCCGCGCCTGGAAAGCTGTAGACATGGTTCGGCTGCAGGTCCCAAATTTGTGTGCGGCCTTCCCATTGCATGAAGCGGTACCAAGGATTGCTGGAGCGCCTTGCAGATGGATGCCACTGTTTGTGAGGATTTTGTGTCATGACCGCCATAACCGCGTCCATGCTGCCGAGACCCCCCCCGGTCCCGTTCCATGATGTCCCGCCGATATGGGATCAGAGTCCAGCGGTCGAGATAGGTAACTAAAGAGCCGTTGACTTCAGCGGCTGATGCTCAGCCCTGGCTCCGGGTATGTACATGTACTGTACACACAATACATACACGTTATAAACAATCAGTAGTATCCTTGGGAGGATGGGCATCCAACCTCTTAACCAGCCGGACCATCTCCTTCAATATGATCGATGTTACCACTGGCTAAAATCCAATGTTTAGATATTCTATTCGCTCCTTCTATTTCGCTGAGGTGAACGCTACTAACAGCCTACTAATACTGGTATCAAGTAAATAAAAAAGAGAAATATACCATAGAATCAGACCATCCCTCCAGCCCCAGCATCGGGGTTGTCGCCACGCCTGATCAAGGCGCGAAGATACCCAAGCCAGCGCTGCTTCCATTGACTCAGCGTCTGGCGTATCCGCGGACGCCATGCCCTTTTGCCTTCAGACACCGCCGCCGCCTGAGACGAAGCTCCGGGAGTAGTTGCGGCGGGCCTCTCGCTTTGGGGTTGGGCGCCGCTGCTGTCGATGTGTAAAATTTCCGCGTCAGGGTGGGTTTGACGCTGACCTGAGGCTGCTCCCTGACTGGAAGACGGCGTCTGACTGGAAGACGGCGCCTGACTGGAAGATGGTCCCTGACTGGAAGTAGTCGCTTGGCCGGAGGTAGTCCCCTGACCGGAAGCTGGTTCCTGACCTGAACCGGAGGCACTCCTCTGACTGGGTGCTTCCGTCTGAGCAGAGGCAGTCGCTTGGCCGGAAGTCGTCCCTTGACCGGAAGTAGTAGTCACCTGGCCGGAGGCAGTCCCTTGACCGGAAGTAGTCGTTTGGCCGGAGGCACTCCCCTGACCGGAGGCTGTCATTGGATCGGGAGCTTCGGTCTGCGTGGAGGCAGTCACCCGGCCAGAAGTAGTCGCCTGGCCGGAGGCGGTCCCCTTTCCTGAAGCCGGCCCTTGACTGTAATCCACTGCTTTGCCTTTCCCCTTGTCCAAGGCCTGCCCTTGTTGATCCGAAGGACTTCGCTCTGGAGACTCAGCGGCACGTACTTCGGATATCGAATAAAGCGAATCAACGCCCCTTACTGCGGGCAGGCCCGGCAGGGTCCTCCCGGATCGCGAATCGGGGGGAGATGGATCGTCCCTCGGGGATTGACCTGTCGGTGGGGGGGCACCCCCGGTGGAGACAGCCCTGTGGGTGTGGTTGGAGCCGCCTCATAGTTCGAACTCGACGAGGACGAGCCGACAGGCGAGGGTGGATCAGCCGGTGCGGAGGGACTGGCGGCGGATAATAGATATGCTTCCACGGAGGATTCGGCTGACGGAGATGGGCCCGTGACTGAGGGCAGAGCTGTCAATTGAGATGGGCCGGTATCTGCGGACAGACTGGTATTTATGAATAGACCGGGTGTTGCTGGGGATGTAACAGTCCCTGAGGATGGACCGGCCTCCGGCAATGGACTAGCGTATGCGGACGGATCGGCCGCTGCCGGCGTACCGGCCTCTGAAGATGGGCCAGCCCATGCCGGCAGACCCAGAGCTGACAGGCGTGCACTTGAGGCTATCCCTGCTGGTGGGGACCGGCCTGTAGCTGAGGAGGGATCGGGCGCTGAGGGTGTCACAGGCTCGGAGGATGGACGGGCCGATGGAGACGGGCCCAAGGCTGACAGGCGTGCACTTGAGCTTATCCCTGCTGGTGCGGACAGGCCTGTAACTGAGGATGGGAGGGGCTCGGAGTATGGATTAGTCGCGGAGGATGGACGCGCCAATGTAGATGGTCCCGCTGTGGACGCTTCTTGTGACTGATCACCTTCCTGACTGCCATGAGCCTGGGAAGGCTGGGTACAGGCGCGAGCGTATTGAGTACCAACAGGCCCCCAATTCACACTCTGAACCTGCTTCCTAGACCGGGAAGTGACGTGAGACTGCAGCTCATTCTGCTGGCCGCTCAGCCCCGATCTGTGTCCCGGGCGAGCGGACGCTGAGGAGCTGCTGACGGTATTCTCCACGGAGTTTGGCGAAACCGGCCCTGGCACGTGGAAGTCGACCGTCCGGGGGGTGGCCGTCTTCAAGTAGCTCTTGTATGCCAGGTCAACCATCGTTGCCAGTACCATACTGTCCGCCGTCGTGACCCAAGCACCAGAGCCCGGACGCCCTCTCACGCGGTTGACGAACTCATCCAGCATGTACTTGGGCGCCGTCCAGTACGGCTTCGAGTCCCGGTCCAAGGACACTTCCCGCAGCGTGTAAGGCGTCCGCCTTTTCACGGTCTTGCGCCGGTCAAGGAATTCTCCGTTCTTCTCATCCTGCACGACACGCACATCCTCGACCTCGACTTGATTCCGCGCAGGCCTCCCCCATGAGAAGTATAGTCTCACCGTCCTCGTCTTGTACAGATTCTTGCCTGCCTTCGGGTCCGCGTGCGTTTCTTCTACCCTGCTGTGCACGACCACCACCTCGGCTACGGTATGTCTCGCAAAATGCCAGGCCTTCATCCCTCTCACCACGGCCCTTGCCGTGCGCCTGCCGTTGAGCTGAATCCGAAACATGGCGGAATATTCGTCGACCCCGTGCTACGGCGGCGACTGCGACACATTCCATTGCTCACATCTTGGCACGCCAAATCCAAAGATGCCCTGCAGGATCGAGAACGCATATGCCGGCCCCATCCTTGCGCTGCCCGACTGCTCCGCCATGAACCTGGCGTTTCCCGGAGCAGCATTCGAGGCGACGGGCGTCATCACGGTGACTCTGACCTCCGAGACGCGGTATTTGTCAATGCGGCGCTGGAATTCGATCCAACTCGGGTGGAAGCGGTAGGGGATTGCTTCCAGGAAGACGGGGCCGTCTGGTCGCAGGATCGGGAAGGAGTGGAAGAGGCGTTGTGCGTCCACTTCAGCGCATGCGGAGGGTGTGTCGAGCAGGACGTGTTTACCGCGTTCGAGGGCATTCTAGGCCAATTTATACTGCTGACTGCCCGCGCCGATGTAGACCGCATCGATTGTCGGGTCGTTGATGAGCTCTGGACACGTCAGTTTGTAACCTCTTGTTTTCGAAGTGCGCCCGTTGGATGTTGGGATATGAATGACACCCCGTACCATCAAAACTCGTGAGAACCCTGGGGATACCGTGTTCTTTGGCGAACCGTTCAGCCCTCGCGGAATTTGTTGCGGCAACAACCGCAGCAACAACGACTTCCGGATGGAGTCTTGCCGGATCGATCAGCACTTCCGGCCTGTGTGGACGGCACGTCAGTCCAGAGTGAGCCGGCGCCACAGGATGCAGCTGGCACCTTACGCAACACTGCCCCCGCTCATGATACCGAATCTCAACGCATTGCCGGCTTTTGTGGGAGGCGTCGGTGGGAAGAATCTTGACCGGATGTGGCGCTGGGCCCACTCCTTGAAGCCCACGGAAAGGTTCATGGTTGCCGCGTCTCAGAGGTATCTCATACGGACACAAGCCTCTAAATATTCTCGAGTCAAACGCAAACTGACGGAAGTGTTGTAACGAGGAGGTTTGTGGTTGTGGTAAGGAAATGATTGTCGGAAGAACCAAGACAAACTGGAACTGGCTTCGAAGTTCCTAGGCACGGATGACAACGGCGCCTTCGATTCAGCCTTGCTTGGGGGCCTCGAGGCAGGGGCGACCTGAAGGAGAGCAAGCCGCCCCCGCGGGCCGTCTTCGAGATAACTCGGAAGAATGGCAAGGCCGGCCGGAGGGCACTTGCACAAGTTGTGACTACCTTGCCCAACCATTTTCGGAATCCCAAGTTCAAGTTAGTATACTTGAGAATTCACAGGGAGCTCACCTTAGATTGCCATGACAACCATCTGCACAAGTAATCCAAGACCAAGACAAGGCCATGCCATCTTTTCTCATGATCCTAACATACACTATACACATGCACAAAGCATAATATAGTCCGCGGTAGGTACACCGGCCACGAATCACCGTGGCATCACCCTACACGCCGCCGCGGGCAGCCGACATCTCGGGTCGGGCCCTTTCTCTCAACACAGAGTCTGATCACCAGCTGTGTGTGCCCATACGACCCAGGACATACCTGTTGAACAGCCAACCCCCTTGATGCCAACATCCGGCCCCATCCACTCCACCCCCTCCCCCTCGAACCCAGCCTTACTTGACACACATTCCGCCGCCTTCTATGCCCAACATGAGATGTTTGAGCAGCCGTCTCGCCTTGTCTTGTCCTGGGATAAATGAAAAGGAGGGCCGCCAAAAGCAAAACACGCAGAACGCCCCTAAGCAACCCCCAAATCCGAAGACATCCACGCCCAAAAATGCGTCAAAAATACGTACTCGCTTTGACCGAGATCGCCCCCTAATGCTATGCCGGATGGTGCCGTGCGATGCAGATGCTGGTCCGTGATCACAAGTCAAGACAAAGAAGCGTAAAAGGGATAGAACTGTATAGACAGACCCAGCCAGTTCTAACAGAGCAAAGCAAACAGTAGCAAAGAAATTGGGCCCAGTTGAGAGAGAGCGTCGAAACGGCGAGGAAGCATCGAGGTTGCAGATGTGGCAAAAGAGCGGTGCGTTATGGTCCGTGTAGGAGAACTGCCTTAGTATCGGGGTACACGCTTGAGCTGCGAGAGGAGCGCGTCGAGCTGCGTCCAGTTTTCATCGTTCTCTGCAAACTTGCGGTGCTTGCGGGAGACGATGTGCTGCAGGCAGGAAGTTAGTCAATAGGCTCACGAGCAAGGGGAACAGCAAGAACAAGAACGAGGGCTGCCAGACGAACCTCTTCAAAATCAGCGAACTTATCCTGGCAATTCTCGCAGTACCCCGGTTTGGGATCGCGCTTCGGCTTGGGCTGCGAGACGGGGACACTGACGGTCCTCCGCAGCTTCTCCTGCTCCTTTAACCTCTCTTCGTCCACGAAAGGGTCGAGTCTCCGGCTTGTTACTCCGGTGACGCTGGCTGACCGGCCGAACGTGGTACCGTTATGGCTTGTCTCGCCTCTCCGGACAGAGCTAAGATCCTGAGCCTGCGCAGAAGTACCGGTCCTTTGTAGAACGACTTTCCTTTGCAGCCCATGGATCTCCTTGCTCGTCCCCGCTTTGGCTCCCAGTACACCACCAGTAGTGGAGGAGATCATCTGGGACCGGATGGCCGATGTGATGTTGGACGGCTGCAAGCCGGATGCCACCGGTTCACCGGCGACGAAGCGGCCGGCCTTCGCCTGGCTGACAAACGCGTTCTGGGACTGGAAGTCAAAGACAGGCGGATTGGAGATCTTGGACCGGTCGAGCAACACGGTCTCCCGAACGTTTGCCATCCCCCGGTTATGCCCATCTTCCATCTGCGACAGGGTGCGCTTGCCTGTTGCCGGCTTTGGCGGAGGGGCCTCGGAAGCCTTCGGTTGCTGGGCTGCCGGATCAACAGCATCTTCGGCGGCAGCTCTGGCAGCCCGCGCCTTGGCTCGAGCTCGGTCCCGTTCCCGGTCTTCCTTTTCCGCGGCGTCGTAGTTCTCGTCGATCACAAAGGGACAGCGGCCGTGCGACGCGGACCGGAACTGGGGCCACTCTCCATCCGTTGGGTCCGCTCCCTTGCGGAATTCGCGGGCCATGATCGGCTTGGTCTTCTCCTCGAGATCGTACACATAGATGTAATACCCCTTGAAGGTGTACAGTTCCTTGCCCGGGACCGTCGGGTCTCGATCCGAGGGGCCATGGACACGTTCCTCGTCGAGGAGCCTCTTTATGTCGGGATGGCCGGTTGCCACCTTTGTGGTTGTGCTCTGTGTACTCCCGTGGTCGTAACCCCCAGCAGCGGCCAAGCGCGGGTCGGTTTCCAGCAGCATCTTCAGGATCTTCTGCAATTTCTCCAATGACCAGATCTTCTTGCCCATCTCGCGAGCCCGGTCCAGAACATCCACACTGCGCGTCTTGGGGGCACCGGGTCTCCCGCTCGAGGCCGTATCGAACACCAGCTTCCTCCTTGTGGGATCCGCGGGGCGATTGAGAAGAGACGGGTCGATCGTCCTCGGCTGCTCGCGGTCCCCCTGACCCTCAGCCCGGCCATCTTGCTCTCCCTTCGGCTTCTCGGACGGGATCGTTCGGGTGGTGACGACGTGGGTAATGTCGATGGAGAAGAACTTCTCTTCGCGCTGTGAGAGGTGGCCGGTAAGCATCTGTGCTCACGTGGGCACTAAACAAAGCGTGTTTTTTTGGGGGGGTGGGGGCGACCTACAGCACCAAGGCGGCTAACCTGCTTAGCCAGTTTGGGCCGCAGCTCGTCGGGGATGCTCTCGAAGTAGAACACCATCTTGGGAAAGCGAGCACGGGTATGAGTGGTCCATGCCTGGAGACTAATCAGCTCCTCCTGGGTATGCCCGTAAGTCGTAGTGTGGGTCGCTCTGTTGGTCGTGGCGGTGGTGGCTCCCGTGGCCCGGGAAGCTGTTCGATGGACGATAGCCCGGGTGGCCCTAGTTGCGGTTGGTGAAGCCACGCCGCGGTCAATCATCTGTCGCTTCGCGGGCGGAGGTTGGCCGTACGGCTCCTCCCGCACCGACTCTGCGTGAGTGCGGCCCTTCTTGATGCCATTGCCGACAGCCGACCCAACTCGCGCAGGGGAATTGAGAATATTCGGATTGCTGTAGGACAGGGGAACCCTCCTGGTAGACATGGCCGGGTGTTGAGCGGAGGCTGGAGATAGCTAGAAATGCTGCTGCCATATGTGGACGCCCAGTCAACCCCAAGTCGGCACAGACACGTGAGATGACGGAACACGCGACTTGTGCAGACCACGCTTTACCCGCCGTGCACCGTAAAACACCCCGGCAATGTTGGTGCAGAAGATATCGCGGTCAATTGCACATGCCACGCAGTCGACAGATCTTTGGTCTGCACAGCAGAAGGTCGGCAAAGGCGTCAGTCGTTTGGTAGGTGAGTGTCCAATCCGTGCAGGGAAGGGCTTTTGTGGTGGCGGATCGCGGAGTCTCAAAAAGGCAGCAGAAAGTGGCCCGAGCTCCAGCGAGCTAAGCCTGCTTCGCGGAGCACAACAAACTTTGGCCCCACCTACGCGGTTGGTAGCAGGCCAATTCTGTCGCTCACAGCAACGGCTCAATTGGGACTTCTGTCATCCGATTTCCTAGCACAGGCAAACATCGCAGTGCACGCACCAACTCGCCACAAGTCACCCACACTGCAACCTACAATTCGACAATAGGAACAGCAGGTCAGAGACCTGGCTTATTAGCACGGCTTGCATACTGTGGCAGTAGGTCATTAGACAGAACGTACCCGGTAAGGTAATTACATCATACATACCACACCGTACCCACATGGTACGTTAGGTACTGTGTAGTCCGTACTCCGTACCTACCAAGTAGGCAGTCTCAAGGTGTTCCGCCTCTTTTATGACATAGTACTCGGTATTAACTAGGTAGGTCCGCAGATAACGTAGGGCAGAGTCAATATTGGCGATTTGGATTGCCTTTACCGGTACTTACTGTGTTGGAATTTAAAAATGGATGAAAAGGGGCATCTACCTCCGGGTTCTTCTGTTAGTGCTGTATTGGGTCAAGCACTGTCTTGCTAACCGCTGTAGAATGCCAGTGGTGGGCTTTGCAGAGAATCAGGGGATTGGATAGGTCCACTGCAACTCTCAGTTTGTTAGCCTCACTTACAGTCTCTCATTCATCCATCACCCTAATAAGTTAAATATGAGGCTCCTAAGGTCTGTTTTGCGGCAATTACACAGGCCTCTGAATACATGGACTTCCACACAGTTTCTGCGGGGGATACCAAAGAGACGCAGCTACGCAACGTCCATTTCAGCAGCCGAGCTCGAATTCGGCCAACCTGTCCATGAGACTCACCCTCACATCCTCAAGCCCGGTGAGAGTATGTTGTGTGCTACGCTTAGACAATAATGTATTCCTAACTAACGGTGCTTCGTAGTAACTCCCGGCATCACGGCCCAAGAGTATGCCGACCGCCGTGCCAAGCTCGCCTTCAGCCTACCCGAGGGCGCCGTGGCCGTCCTGCCCTCTGCCGAGGTCAAGTACCGCTCGGGGGCCGTCTTCTACCCGTTCCGGCAGGAATCCAACTTTCTCTACTTGACCGGCTTCTCAGAGCCTCAGTCCCTCGCCGTCATCCGCAAAACCGGCCCCTCCCTAGGCGACTACACCTTCCACCTCTTCTGCCGGCCCAAAGATGCCTTCGCGGAGCAGTGGTCCGGGCCCTGGTCCGGCCTCCGCGCAGCCGAAGACGTCTTCAACGCCGACTCAACAGGCGACATCGCCGACATCTCCACCCTGCTGCCCCCGCTCCTCCGCGATGCCTCCCGCATCTACGCCGACGTACCCCTGCACACGCAGGACGCCTCCTCTCCCTCCTCCTCTCCCTCAACCTCTCTCACCTCAGTCCTCCGCTCCCTGCAAACCCGCATCTCCGCAGTACCCCTCGCCCCGCAGATCAACCCGCTGCGCGCCATCAAATCCCCGGCCGAGATCGCCGTCATGCGCCACGCAGGGCGCGTATCCGGCCGCGCCCTGACCTCGGCCATGCGGCGCGCGTGGACGAGCGAGAAGGACCTGGACGCGTACCTATCCTACGCCTTCACGCAGGACGGCCTGTCCGGCCCGGCCTACGTGCCCGTGGTGGCGGGCGGCTCGCGGGGCCGGATGATCCACTACACGCAGAACACGGCGCTGCTGCGGGAGGGCGAGACGGTGCTGGTGGACGCGGGCGGGGAGTATGGGTGGTACATCACCGACATCACGCGGGTGTGGCCGGTCGGCGGGAAGTTCGGCGCGGCGCAGCGGGATCTGTACAGCGCGGTGCTGCGCGTACAGAGGATGAGTGTCGCGCTGTGCAGGGCGAGCAGCGGCCTGTCGCTGGACGAGATCCATCGCGCGGCGGAGCGGGCGCTTCAGGAGGAACTGGAGAAGTTGGGGTTTGAGTTTGGGTGGAAGACGGATGTCATTGGGATGCTGTTCCCGCACCATGTCGGTCATTATGTTGGGTTGGATGTTCATGATGTGCCGGGGTATCCGCGATCGATGCCGCTGCGGGCGGGCCATTGTGTGACTATCGAGCCCGGCGTGTACGTGCCGGATGACGAGCGGTTTCCGAAGCATTTCAGGGGGCTGGCCGTCAGGATCGAGGATAGTGTGTGCGTAAATGATGACGGGCCGGTCGTGTTGACGCCTGAAGCAGTCAAGGAGGTCGAGGATATTGAAGCACTGAGGTAGGGGTAGGGTCACGTTCATCGTTGTGTGTATAGCAGCGGTTTAGTCATCACCGTGTACACTAGCAGTCATTGGGGGTTTGTGCGAGATAGATTGATGGGTATCTAGACCGTTCCTCCCGGGGGTCTTCATGTCTTCCGGTCCTTTTACCCACCCCCGTTTCGCACTCGTTCGCCCGATCTTGGGTCTGATATACCCATTGAAGGAGAAAAGCCACCTGCCACCAACAAAATGCAGAAATACTGGCTCCATAGCGCTTCTATCCCATCAACCTTAGCAGCGTATATGTGGAAGGACGAGGGACGCGATGACCCCCAGCGAATCACGATGCCAACCGAAACTCCAGGCGTGCCGGCTTCGCCACCATGAGGACAAGAGACACAGGGAAAGCAGATCAGTGCTAGCTAACAAGACATGATAAAAAAACGCTTGAACAGGTCATGGCGGCTATAGGCCCAGTTTTGCCCTCCTTTCTTCCGTTTATCGCATCATTCCCAACTTTTAAAGGCACAACACGTCGTGAGGAAGATGCAACATGCGCGTCCATGCCGCAGAGAATGCCCAAGCGGTCCGTTTCGCTCCCAAGTTCCGTTACCGAATTATATGCGTGGTAATGGAAAGATGGAGTGGCGAGAAATGAAGAAATCGTCAAATGCATATATACAGAGAAGGAAATATCGAGAGGTGAGTAATATGGTCGAGACGGAGTAGTGTTAGCAGAACCCTCTTGGGTCGAATAACGTCCTGCTGTAGGTTGGCATGGTGTATGACGACCGTGCCGTTGCATTCAGCAGCTGCTCAAACGCTTGGAGGCGTCGCGAGAGGTCTCGGTGCTCCTGCATGATCTGCTTGTTCCGTCGTTCAAGGAAATGTATGTACTCAGTTGCTTTTGTCAGAACAGTCCCCTTATGCCCATGTTAGTAACCTCCAACAAGCCAAAAGCCCGCTAGATCCACACACCTTGCTGACCTTGGCCGTCCTTTGAGGCTGTGCCCCTTCTTCCTCGCCCCCGTTCTCCGATATTGTCCGCAGCGTAGGCACGGCATCTCGCAACTCGGCAATCTTGTCCTTCAAGTTTGTCCGATATTTTCGCTCAATGTCGTTGTGTGCCGTCCGGTCCCCTGATTTCGGCTTCTCCTTTCCCTTGTCACTCACACTCCCCTGCTTCTTCGGCGGATTTGGCGGGGCCGGACGGGGCGGCGCCGCCGGTGGCTGTGGCGGGGATACGGGTTTAGGACCTTCGCCCACCCCACTGCTTCCCAAGCCGGTTCCAAACGTCATTGGGATACCAGGAGCTAGGCCGCTGAAGTTGAGGTTGATGTTCGACCCAAGTCCACCCATACTTGGCCCCGGGTTCATGGCGATAGCGATTAGGCGTCTCTGCTCGGCTTCATTGAGGGATGGGCCGTGGAAACCGATTAAGGAGTCCATGCGTATCCCGGGCTGTGGCCTCTCCCAGCTCAGCGGTGTCGAATACAGACCTTCGCGTGGTGGAACCTCCTGAGGCGGCGCCGTGTCGATCTTGGAAAGCTGATCAGCGACGTTGATGGACGAAAAGCCGTCATCGTCATCGGACAACGCGTTGTCGAGCGCGCTGTCGTCGAAGAAATCATCCTGTTTCAGCCCGGAAGGCTGAGGAGTGGGATTTGTGGGTCTTCAATACGTCAGTCGCGATGCCACTCCCGAGGAAAAGTACGGGTGGTTGACAGGACATCTCTCGTGGCTCACGCTCACTCACCCGCTCGTCGTGGGGCCTTTGCCCTTTCCCTCCACGGTTTGACTGGGGGGCTCAAATCCCTCAGGAACGCTGGTGAGACCGTCGTCCTTATCGAAGTCGATCCAGTAGTCAACAGAGTCGAGAGGTGTGGTTGCGTCTATGCTAAGCCTCGACCGTTTCCTCTCGTGCGTATCTCTAGAGCTAGGGCCACGCGCGGGTCGGATGGGCCGTGACTGGATTCCCTGCGTCGATGGTCTTGATCTTGATGTGAGGTCGGAGGACATGGACATGGTTGTGAGTCCGGTAAGAGGGGACGGCTGAGTGACAGAATCGAGTGATAAGCTGGTAGGTGCCGTGGACGGCGACGCGGCAAGACCGGCCTCTAGTCCTGCGGTGTCCCATATTGAAGAGGATTGTGCTGAAGACCGGCCCAAGAAGGGTTGATCAACAGGGTTGACTGTCTGGGCAGTGTAAGCGAAAGGACGATATGCCGCTTGTGAATGACCGTACCTGATTGTTGGGCATCGAGAAGAACTCGAGGTGTTTAAGCGGGTCTGAGTCCATTATCAACTGGCATGCCGTATGGCGTGACCGAGATGAGGGAAGTGAAGTGGTTGTGAGAAGAAGTTTGTTGTGTCAGGGGCGGCCGATGAAGTGAACCCTATCTCAACCAAGTGTTGCGATAAACACTAGGAACTGTGAGTGGCCTTCCGACCGACGCCCACGCCGAATGAGATCCCAACGTTGCTGCCAAAATGTTATGAACCAGGCGGTCAAGCGCAGAGAGCCTTTCGGGACTGAGACGAACGTTGTCAAGAACGAAGGGTGAGGGGTTTCCGATGTGATGTTTGCGAGAGTGCTGTGGGGCCCACGGGTGAGATGGATGGGCTTGACTCTTGAGAGGCGACATCCAGCACGAGGATGATCAGGAGGAGTCGGCGGGGGACGACGACAGGCTTGTATCCATGGGATTCACCAAAGCGGGAATCGGGGAGGAAGGGCGCCAGATGGCGAAATATTATCGTGGGACAGCGCGGGCATGTATTGCCGTGCGGACCAGGACCCCGAAATGCAGATGAGAAACGGGATACACAAGACAGGGGCAGCGGATCTAGAATGAGTTTGAGCAGGGGCGCAGCTTCTGTCGGGGCAGTGATGTTGATTTCCGTCACCGATTAGGACCGTCAACGGGCCGAGCATACGATATCAGGCGGTTAATCAGTGAGAGACGAAAGTTGCAGTTACGAAGACAATAGAGACTGGGGATCGGAAACAGTTGGAGATGGTTGAGCGCGGCACCCCGGCAACCTGCAACTCGGGGCAAGGGCAGTCGTTCCACGACTACCTACCTGGAAGGTAGGCGGTGGCAATCAGGAACGGGTGAACGAGGGGTCTAGCGTAGCAGCAGAACTGAGGTGTCCTTGCTAAGGTACCACGGGTAGTGTAGGAGACCAACTGATACCTCAAGACTGCGTGGTTGATGCTTAACTCGCTGAGCTCCCATCTCAATAACTCACCGTCGTTATCGCGAACAGTTAACATTTTTGGAGGCTTGCTCGGGCCCTGGCGCAGAGGGCATTACCGATTGGTCTGGCGCCGCTCAGATATTGCTGAAATGGCCTGATACTCTACGCTGGGACAAAGATTCGCTCCATCCAAAAGTCCAATCGGGACCCTGGCGACGTGACGCAGGTGCTTTCGATTTTGAGCCGATTTGACCAGAAAATCATGCCACTTTTTGTCTTTGGGAAGGCAGCGAGGGGCACGAGACCCACTCTGCCAGCACAGCTACTCTGACTTTGGACGCAGATAATTTTACTTGCCCTTGCCTGTTTACGGAATGCTTGAGCATACGTAACCATCATAGTAACCGCACATGGAAGTCAACACTTCCCGATCGTCTTTTAAGTTTTAATAATCAGAAAGCTCTTAATCCAAACCATAACATGGATGCCTGGTTATGAGCCTACCTATATCATAACGCAAGCGGCAAAAGTAACCGTTAATCGTTTGTTGTTGTTGTTTTGCGGTGTTCCACTTGCGCAAGCCTCGAGCTTGATAAATCTATGTGGAATATCAAAGGTTCTGGTCTGAATAGCATTACTGGACCCTGCCAAGAAAGAGTGGCTAGTGAGAGCGCCATCTCTCCATGGTGCAGCCTCAGATGTGGCTCATCAGCCTTACCGACGGGCCGACGGCGGTCTGGATTCGACTCGAGTCAGCGGCTGCAGCTCAATCCATGCAAACCGACACGCGCGAGCCACAGCGGGGCTTTTGATATTCCGACAGGCGCTGGCCTTGGGTGCAACCTCAAAGGAGGAGAGCGTACGAATATTATCCAAGAGATTGAAGGGTCAAGAATGAGAACAATGTTTGACACTTTACAGACCTCTCTTCTGATCGTCCTGAAGCAGAGGGCCACAGATGCATCTACGCAAAAAGAGAGTGAAAATGGAATCTGGGGAGGGTATCTTACTGAACCCTAACCCTTCGACACCTCCCTAGAGGTTGGATCGGCGGGGCTGTCTGACCTGAGGAGCTTCATCCCAAGTAAGAGCTTTCAAGAATCACTTCGGGTATTCTGCGGCAGCGAATCTAACCTTGTTTTCCTTGTGTCCCCAGAGAAAGCGCACATTAAGATGGCTTCACCACCTCCAAATCTCGTGGCCTCACCGGGCAACAACTCGCCGCCCGCATCTCCTGTTCTCGAAGGACGAGAGTCCCCGGACCTTCCCCTCACCATGACCGCATCCACAGTTTTGATGACGCTCCCGCGTGACGCCAGTGCCGCTCTCGCGGCCGCCGGAGCCTTTCCCCAGGAAAAAGTTGTAGTGCGCTTCAAGCCTGTCGGGTCAGCGCCGCCGATCCGACGAGAGCTTGTCAAGGTTGCGAGTGCACATAAGTTTGAGTCGGTTGTGGCCTATCTCAGGAAGACGCTCAAAGTCAGTGAGACGGAGAGCGTGTTTCTGTACGTCAACAGCACCTTTGCGCCGGCGCTTGATGAGGTGGTGGGTAACTTGTGGCGGGTGAGTGTCTCTTTTGGCATTATTGTATAGGGCTTCAGGGGTAACCTATGGTGTTGATGCCTCGCAGTGCTTTAAGGACTCCAACGACCATCTCAACGTCGCGTATTCAATGACGCCCGCGTTTGGGTAGTCTCGGATGATATTTTGTTTATGACAAAAGTTCTGTCTAACATGCCAGGATTACATCGGAGTGAGTCCGAGGAACAAGCCACTACTAGACTCGGGCGTAACAGATGCTATGCGCCAAAAAAAAAAAAAAAAAATGGCTATCAAAATGCCGCCGACGTCGCTATGGCCGCTTATCACAACGCTTAACCCATATCTTTTACGCCGGAAATGCAGCAGGACGCACTGTCATATCCCCTTGACGGCTTCGGCAAACCCCTCCAGCTCCTCCTTCGCGATCGGATAGGTGTGCTCAGGGGCCGGATATTGCCGAGTCTTCACCTCTTCTCGGTATGTCTTGATAGCCCGGAGGCTCTCGGACCAGACATCACCGTACTTCTTGACAAATTTGGGGAGGTGCCTCCCAGGTGGAGAATTGCCTGTCATGTCGATCTGGACAAGCACTTGGCCCGAGCAGCCATTTCCGGCGCCTATTCCGATGGTCGGGATGGACAATTTCTGGGTGACGATGGCGGCAACTTCGGCCGGGACCGCTTCTAGAACAACCGCGAAACATCCAGCTTTTTGGACGGCGAGAGCATCGTCGAGTACCTCCATCGCACTGGCTGCGGTCTTGCCCTGGACGCGGAAGCCTCCCAGCATATTCTGCCGCTGTGGGGTCAAACCTACATGGCCAAGGACTGGTATCCCAGCAGTGGTGATTTTCTGTATGGCGGGGACCATCTCTTTACCGCCCTCGAGCTTGACACCCTGCATGCGGCCCTCCTTGACGAAACGGATTGCCGTCTGGAGAGCTTGCGTGGGCCCAGCCTCATAGGAGCCCATGGGCAGATCTCCAACCTGGCAGAAGGACATGGTTGGCAAACCGAAAGAAGAAGGTCCAGAGGGATACAAGGGGGCCGACGGGGAGATAGGGGAGGGTTAACTGGGAAGCAAACATACAACAAACGCAGACTTGGTCGCACGCGCAACGGACCGGCAGTGCAGGAGCATCTCCTCCACCACGATTTCGCTCGTGTCCTCCATCCCCAGTGCGACCATGGCGAGGCTGTCCCCGACAAGGATGACGTCTATATCAGCGGCGTCGGCGACATGGGCACTAGGGAAGTCGTGGGCGGTGATCATGGTGATGGGTTCCCCCTTCCTGTGCATGGCCCGGAGCTTGCCGATGGTGACCTTTTTCCTGGGCTCCGTTGGCGGCGAGCCCATGGGCGAGTGTGAACTCCATCGGGCCTGGGTCTGGGACTGTTGCAGGACGGCTGGAACGCGAAGACCTTGCAAGAAGAGGTGGGATGGTCGCGCGCTCCTTGTTAGGGAGGATACACACGACCGTCCCAGTGAGGAGAGATACATAGGTACTTTGTCGTATAGCGATGTTGCAGGGGTCCGGAACTGAGGCGCATATGCAACAAAAGAGGTTGCGGCTGTTGTGGTGGTCAGATGGAGATTGCTTGGGCTTACAAGAGAACAAATGAGGGAATAATCGGGATCTATGGATCGTAGCGATTTGCGCCGCTCTTATTCACCAAGTCATGATGATTTTTGCTGCGTACAATTGAGTATCTTGGAGGCTTCGGCTGGAGTTTTCCTATTCGGTGAGCTTCTTTCTCAAAACGGTTTCGGCGGGCTAGCATTCGGCCGATCGGATTGGATTTGACGGTGGATGGAGCCCCACCCGGATGTGGAGTTGCCATTGGACGTCCATTGTCACGGTCCCTGTGAAGCCGAGGCGCACCTCGGGAGCTGCCTGGGATCTTGAATCTTGACTCTTTGACTCTTAACAGCGCCTTCCGTCATGGTTGACTTAGGTTGCTCTTAACTTTTTGGCACTAATCCAAAGAGTTCAGGTGGGGTGAATGAGTTCGCCTTGATAATGATTCCAGGAATCTTCAACCGTCCAAAGTTGTGTAAATTTTCCTTCCCAGTGAACACCCCATATGAGACTCCATTCCGAATGACCTTCGCCGTTCAGACGAGAATGAAGTCGATCAATCCAATGGCAAGTATCGTCAGTTGGACATGGCACCGCTCAGCTCCTGTTCACCCATTTAGGACTTCTGTCATCCGAAGTAGGCTCGTAAGTCGTGACTCGTGCCATTATCTGGAACTTAGTTATGCGAGGATCTCTTGGTTTGGTCGAGGCTTTTCGAGTTGGCGGGCATTGGAGCTAATGTATTACAGTCTCTATCATATGTTATCGGTCGAATCTGGGTGCGGATAGAGAAGACACTGACACAAGAGTGAGAACTTAGTGTTCAACCAGGTCTTAGCCTTCTTATATTGTTCACATACGGATATGGAAGGAATGTCCCACTGCCCAACATCAGCCCCTTGTCCGATACGCCGAGGTCCCGCAGAGTTGCGTCACTTGGGTTCCATATCCCGAATCGGCCAACTCAACTCTGTTTCCAAGCGTGACTTGACTGGTGAATGCATGCAGTGGTCGTACATAGGAGACACACAAGGCAAGGCGTGCACCAAGCTGTATGTATTGTACATCCGTACTCCTGAAACACGTCAACTCAGTCTACTCCAACTGACTGGGTGGCAGCAGACCCGCTAGAAACAACTTGCCCAAGCATTCTTGATCGCCCAGCCCTGTGTAACTTGGAAGTTAGCCCAACAAGCCACTGACGGGAAGCCTTGACCGTCAAGGTTCGCTTATTACTTTCCCAGACTCGGAGTTTCTCAACCGCAGCTTCAGGCGCGAACGACCGCCGGGCATCAGGCGCCACTTTAGGACACAAATTCTGAGTCAAGTGATCAACCCCTGCCGCCACTTTATCTGGGACGTACGGAGTAAGGTCCTTCCCCAGAGCGCCGGCTACCGCATTCGAGAGTCCCCACCCTCTTTGTTATCGCCACCACCGTTCCGTCGTCACACCTCAACCGTCTTCCGTCACCGCCCGCCACTCCTCCTGAACCACCAGGCACGCCCGCGATCAGTCAACATTCTCAGCAGCCCAAACCAAGACAGCCGAAGCACAGTCTGTAAGCCGGCATCGCAGCAGCAAAGAAGTGCAAGAGTACCGAAGCGTCAAAATGGCTTCACCACGCCGCCGCATCGAGACAGACGTAAGTTGCCCCTATAAAGCCAGAGCGGTTGGCTCCGGATTCTTGCGGTATTGGCTGACGATGGATGCGGGACTCAGGTCATGAAGATGTAGGTGCGAGGGAGGCTATCGATCTCTCGGTTGTTCGCTGACCACAGCCCAGGCTCATGAGCGACTATGAGGTGACTCTAGTCAATGACAATAGTATGTCCCAGTCTCAATGTGCCAGATTTCTACCCTGTTTTGGTGCGACCTGTCTGCATACAAGCTGACACTTCAACTTTCGTGCAGTGTAAGCAATAAATAAGCTTAGCCGACGACGATGCTACGACCGAGTCCGGCCCGCACTAACTCGAAGGACTTCGCACACTCCAGGCAAGAGTTCTACGTCCGCTTTAAGGGGCCGGCAGAAAGTTAGTAGCCACATCCTTCCCTCCCCACCAACCTCCCAACACTACAGTCATGCTTACGCATACCACCCCAAAAACACAGCTCCATTCGAAGGCGGCGTCTGGAAGGTCCACGTCGAACTACCCGACCAGTACCCATATAAGTCGCCCAGCATTGGCTTTGTGAACCGGATTTTCCATCCGAACATCGACGAACTGTGAGTGGGGCACGCGACCGACGCTGCAAGGGACACCTCCACGCCCATGGGGTATCCCGGTCGAGGCGGGACTCGCAAGTCGACGGGGAGAGTGCAAAACGGATGACTAAAAGCTTTGGAACAACAGGTCCGGATCCGTCTGCCTGGACGTCATCAACCAGACATGGTCGCCCATGTTCGACATGATCAATATTTTCGAAGTGTTCCTCCCGCAGCTGCTGCGCTATCCAAACCCTTCCGACCCGCTCAACGGAGAGGCTGCGGCCTTGATGCTTAGGGAGCCTAAGAGCTACGAGCAGAAGGTGAAGGGTGAGACGCACCCCCCCACCCTTGCACGAATTCCCACAGCTGTGGTCATGACAGGAATGCTGACGGGTGTGCCGCCACGCAGAGTACGTCCAGAAGTACGCGACTAAGAATGCGGCGGACGAGGCCACCAATGAGACCGGAGACGAGGACGATCTCTCCTCCGTCGGGAGTTACGGCGACGACGACGACAACGATGACGACGATGCCCAGGCTACGGGACAAATGGACGATGTATGAAGGTGATGAAGAAGAAGAGGAGAGGAGAGGTTGGAGGTCGCCTCCTAAGGAAGACAATGCATCATGAACATTCGCATCAGGACGCAGCGCCTCATCATGTGTTCTACGGGCGTGTGTTGTATACGGTTGGCTTTAGGTGTTTTGCCTGGTTTTCTCTCTTGCACCCCTCATTTCCTTACCTTAACATGGAATATCCGAGACATGACGCAATGGTTGGTAGCGGGCGGTTGGCGCATCTTGGGATTGGTATGAGAAATATTAGTTACAATTTCGGTAGACTCCAAATTCAGGAGAACGCTGACCTAAGGGGCCGATGATACGCAAGCTTCCTCGATCTGACCCATGTATGCGATGGAGAGCGTGACGGAGAGCCTCCGTTTGATCGGGGAACTTTATAATTCCATGTATCACTATTTTCCAGAGGTATCATTGTTCTATAACCAGTATCCATAAACGCCATGATCTCGTTAACTAACCACAGAGACGATGTGGCCGGGCCGCTCAGTCCGAGTCCGAGTTGTAGCTCACCAAACCAGGCGTGCCAGCCACTGATTTGGGAGTATCAGTCTCTTCCTCGGTGGAGGGCGGAGGACCCGGTGCTTCGTCCGCCACTCTTTTCCTCTTGAGCCCCGGTAACCGGACGTGTCCCCTGGGCGTGCTCTCCCTGCTGCCAAAAGCCAGGAAAGGATCTCTAGCTGCCCGGGTATTGCTGATGATCTCGGAGACGAGGCCCTCTCGTATCTGGGACGCCGCAATCTCTGACTTGAGCTTCCTCTGCCTCTTCACTGATGTTCTATCTTCCTCCCTTTCTTTCTGCCTGGGCACGCTTTCGAACAGCGGGCGCGCTAGCGCCTTGTTGGCTCCGAGATCTTCCTCGGCATCCACCCTGCCGAAGCGAATCAGCTTCGCCCGCCTCGCATCCTCCTCCCGCTCCGGCAGCAACACAATCCCCAGACCCATCCTCTCCCTCAACGCCTCCGCCTTTGTCGCCTCTCTTTCCCTCTCGTGCCGTGCAGCACGAAAAGCCTTCCTCAAACGCTGATTCTGCGCATACGGATCGTCCCACTGCCTCTCGGCCACATCCTTCAGCTCGCCTATCCTCTGCTTGGCCCCCTCCAGCTGTTCCCGATCCGCAATGGTAATCTCCAGCTTCCCAAAGGCGCTCTCCCTCTGCTCGGCACGTTCTCGCGGCGTTGTTATCGCGAACTCGCTCTTGACCAAGCTCGCGTCGTGATCCTCGCCGCCGTAGTCCCGCCTCCGGGCGCCGGACACGAGCACGAACTCGTTGTTCTTGGGGTCCGTCCGGATCTCGATCTCGCCGCCGCAGGCCGGGTGCCGGAGCTTGAACGACCAGATCGGCGTGCTGTAGTAGCTGCCCGCGCGCTGCTTCTCGGCGTTGAAGCGCACGCCCTGCCCGATCGTGGTCGGCTGCGGGCAGTGGGCGCACCACACGGCGAAGGGCATCTCGAAGCGCACGGTGAGGATGCCGTGCGACGCCAGCTTGCGCGCGCGCGAGCCCAGCGGGTGTTTCTTGTGCAGCGCGTTGCCCGAAGTCGTGCCCTCGGCGTCCGGCGGGATGTACCGCCCCATGTTGAAGCCTTGCATCTTGCCGGCGGAGGGCGGGCGGCGGCCCGTCGATGGCTGTCGTGGTGGTGGTGTGTGTTGGAGACGTCGAGGGCGGTAGAGATCGTGGTGGTAGCTCGAACACCTTTCGTTCAGCAAGCTTCGGGGGAATGAAGCGCTCAAGGGGAAACGCTAATGAAGCACCTGTCGTGTAAGTTGTGGTGCGGATGATTTGTCGTTCTGCAAGATGTGTGTCTCGCGATTGTCGGTTGCTTATAGGAGGGTTGCTTGTAACGAACAAACTCACAATGAAGAGAAATGCCACGTGGGTCTGGGACGGATGTGTCCTCTGATAGACCCAAAGCTGAAAGTGGGCAGACGTGATTGGCCAACACTCAGAGTTGGTCGACATGATTCGACGACATCATGTCTCGAGTCCCCTACGTCATCAGCAAGCTCGTGACAGAGGAGCCGTGTGCTGCAAGTGGGCTTGTATTCGCCAATCACCTATATGGGTCGGGCTTGAGGTCAGCCAATAGGAGACGTCAGGTACATTCTATTGTATCTAACTCTTACCCCCATGTGGTGTTTCTGTTTCGCGTGTTTGTACTGTGCACACAGCGGGCTGTCTTGGCGGGGTGGTGGGGTGTGTTGGGCTGTGCACGGAAGATACGATACGGGCGTGGATCCAGTACTTAACTGGGTCTGGGATTGGGACTCTTGATCCCTCTTACACAACCCTAGCCTACCACATCTTCAGTCGTTTGGCCCTGGCCTGGTGCCAGTTACATCAATCAATCGCTTCTTGGTCCCAGTCATGATCAGGACCCTGCTCAGTCACTTGCACTCTCTGGGTGCTGTCTACCTTAATATTGTACAACTTCTCTGACAGGTCACAGATGGATATCCGGCCCTAACCCTCATCTTTACCCTCCTTGCGTGCTCCATTGCCATAACCTGGAACATAAGAATGGTGTCTCGGGATGTGCAACCAGACTGAATATTGGGCAACGTTTTGAAGTCCTCAGCCAGACAGCGATGAATATTCACTTGCGCCTGTGTGCAAGTGGGCGGGGTTGACTGTCTTCAAAGGCATCCATCCTTTTTTATCCAGACTCCAGATCTCCCCTGTGCCCGGTACAGCCAAAATAACCCAAGATCGGCAGCGTATGATCATGTGCTTAAACAAACGTCTGAAGGCTTCGGGGTATTTTGATCCGGGAACAAGGTGAGAATTGTGTTGTCCCTCTTTACCCGGGGAATTGCAACCACTTTGTGTCCTTGCGGGGGGACGGGAACCGGCTACCGGGTTCCTCACCACGAAATGGCACACATGCCTACATAGCCATGGGCATATCTGCCGCAGGCATGGGATTTCTCAGAGGTACACACTTTCGTTGCAGGGCGCGTCCAGCTGTACTGTACATCATGCTTTGCACTTTATTGCTGCTAACGTGTCTGACTGCCTGCGTGTCCGCCTCACGCGGGCATGCCGCCAACTCAGCCTTCCACAACCCCATCTTTCCCGGCTTCTACCCGGATCCGAGTTGTATTTACGTGGCTGAACGAGACCAGACTTTCTTCTGTGCCTCGTCGACCTTCAATGCCTTCCCCGGCATCCCTATCCATGCCAGCAAGGACCTGCGGAACTGGAAGCTGATCGGTCATGTCTTGAACCGGAGAGAACAGCTGCCTCGACTGGCCGAGACCAACAGGTCGACCAGGTAGGTACCTTAGACCGACTTTTGAGCGCATTTTTGTAGGCTCCTCCATGACTGACCCCGGCAGTGGCATCTGGGCACCAACACTCCGTTTCCACGACGACACCTTCTGGCTGGTCACGACGCTGGTTGACGATGACAGGCCCAAGGAAGACCCCTCCAGATGGGACAACGTAGGATGATGAGCAGCCTGTGGTGATTCATAGCCTAATGATGATGACTGACATACCTATATGGTGTAGATCATCTTCAAAGGCAAAGACCCATACAGTGAGAAGTCATGGTCCAAGGCAGTTCACTTCAATTTTACCGGCTACGACACCGAGCCCTTCTGGGACGAGGACGGAAAGGTCTACATCACTGGTGCTCATGCTTGGCAAGTCGGGTGCGTTGGCCCCTCGATGACGAACCTCGTCGTGACACTCAGTGCTTACGCTGGGCTCAAGGCCGTACATCCAACAAGCCGAGGCGAACCTCGAGACCGGCGAAACCGGGGAATGGCGTGTTATTTGGAATGGGACCGGCGGCATGGTATGTTTGCGTGCTCTTAGACCCAAGAGGATCCTTCCTTGTCTGACCGCAGCAAATTTCAGGCTCCTGAGGGACCGCACATCTACCGCAAAGATGGTTGTTACTACCTGCTGGCCGCCGAAGGTAGCTGATCCCCAAGATACCTCGTGGAAGTAGGGCAAGCTCATCAAGCCACTCAGGAGGCACCGGGCTGGGTCACATGGTGACCATAGCCCGTTCCAAGAAGATTTCCGGGCCATACGAGTCCAACCCAGCGAACCCCGTGTTGACCAATGCGAACACTACGAGTTACTGTATGAATGAATGCCACTGTTCGACTTCATGGTTGTGGAGAAGGCTCACAATGACGCAGTCCAGACTGTTGGCCATTCCGATTTGTTCCATGACCGCAACGGAAACTGGTAAGACGGACCTCTGCCGCTGATGTTAGAGGTTCCATTGATACCTAGCCGGGTTGACACGAGTTCAACAGGTGGGCTGTTGCCCTATCCACCCGCTCCGGGCCGGATTACCTCCATTATCCCATGGGCCGCGAGACCGTTATGACCGCAGTCAGCTGGCCCAAGGGCGAATGGCCAGTATTTACCCCGATCTCAGGCAAGATGAGCGGCTGGCCAATGCCACCAGAGACAACAGACATCCGCGGAATCGGGTACGTCAACGCTCACTCTCTCTCTCACCCCCTTTTCCCCGAGTGAAACCACAGCATGTCCTGACTCGGCTCCAAAGCCCCTACGTCAACACCAACGCCCCAGAAACCCTCACCTTCAACCCCAAATCCACTCTCCCAGCCCACCTCACGCACTGGCGCTTCCCGATCCCCTCCTCCTACACAATCTCCCCTCCCGAAAAGCCCTACACGCTCCGGCTGGCCCCGTCCACCCTGAACCTCACCGCGCTCAACGGCAACTACGCCGGCCCGGGAGGACAGACCTTCATCTCGCGCCGGCAGCAACACACCCTCTTCACCTTCAGCATCGACCTCGATTTCGCCCCCTCCAGCCTCGAGGAGGAGGCCGGCGTGACCGTCTTCTTGACGCAGAACCACCACCTCAACCTGGGAATCGTCCTGCTCCCCCGCCGCCGCAGCAGCGCCATGTCCACTTTGCCCACCGCCATCTCTGGAGACGGGAAGCACAAGAAACCTGGCGATGCGGACGAGGAGGAAGGGCCGGATGAGGAGCTGGTTCCACACATCCGGTTCAGGGGCGAGTCGTACGTCCCCTTGCCGGCGCCGGTGGTGGTTCCTGTGCCGGAGGGGTGGGGGAGAGGCGGGACGTTGACGCTGGAGATTAGCGCGTGCAACGCGACGCACTACGCCTTCGGCGTCGGGCCTGCGGGGAGGCGGTCGCTGATGCGGCGGGTGCAGGAGGTTTCGAACGAGCCTGTTAGTTGGGGCTTTACCGGTGAGTGATGTGGCAAGAGAGCCGCTTGTTGGGACATGTTTGAATCCAGATGTGTGAGACATATACTTGGGTACTTACTTGTGTTGTACAATACGTCATAGGAACGCTGCTGGGGATCTACGCCACGAGTAATGGACGGAATGGGACTACGCCGGCGTACTTCTCCAATTGGCGTTATGTTCCGCTGGAGCAGTTCCGTGACTAGGAGGGAATGTGATGCAGGAGTAGGTTTCAGGGGTGGAAGGGTGATATCTATCACTTACCATTTACTTGGATGCTTAAGCAACAAATTCCACTTAGTCAGGGAACAAACCAAAATTGGTGTTCAGAATATGGGGGTATCGTATCTGCCTGTGTTGTACAGTTACATGACCAGCGTGGTGTTTCCATAAGCTGTTGATACAGCAAAGACTCATGGCGGCTAAGCAAACAACCTTGTGTAATACTTGCAGTCGAGTCCACTCACATTCGGAGCAGCTAAGCTTTCATAGTGAGGTGAGAACCATCAAAGCTGTGAGAGCCATAACCCTCGAGCTGCTGTGCCTTTCCGGGTTCATTTGTGGTAATGTCTGTCACAGACTCACAAGTGACAAGTCGATGGATTGAATGTGCGAGTGGGGTCAATTACTCAGCGATGCCTTCCCTTCTAGCTTTAGCGGCGTCTGCCTACACCTTAACAAAGCACCTCCTCCATAACCATGAACTTGCACTTGTCGTGATTGACTCTTAGGCTTGGGATCTAACATGTAAAAGCCAAACCTTTACTCCAGACCTCGGTTACTCCTTTTTTTTCCGCTTGCCCCTAAACTCGGCGATAGTTGCGCGCAAACACCATAAAGATCCATCATGTCAACCTTCAACGGCCTGGTGGCCGAATTTCCCGATATCAGAGGTAAGATACTTACATAGCCACTCTTCTTCTTGACCGTTTCCCGTGGTGGTCATCTCGGACTAACGTCTGATGCAGTTGACTTCTTCCGCTCGCATCCAGATCTTCGACCTCCCTTGGCATGCTTCTTGAGCCATATCCACAGCGACCATCTCGCTGGTCTTGAGAGTCTCCGGTCACCATTGTATGCGCGAGCGAGCCTTTCTTCAGACTCCAGGAGAAAACACAAGTCTCTGCATTAGGTACTGACCCGCAACCCAGTGTCTACTGTTCCGCTGCTACGAGGGCGATGCTGCTCCGCCTGGAGAGATATCCTTGTCGGATCAACTATGCCAATGGCATTCTCGAGGCACGCGTCCAGCGATACCGCCATCTCAAGAATCTACTTGTGAGGAGGTGAGCTCCGCACCGTGTTCTTTGGCGGCACCACTCACGCCTCTCCAGAAACCGATACCCCTTGACACGCCGACCGTCCTGGAGCTCGAGCCCGGAAACCATCTTCAGGTCACGCTCTTCAATGCCAACCACTGCCTCGGCGCCGTCATGTTCTGTAAGTGCTTGGCAGCTCGGAGAAGCATTGAGTGTCCACCTATTCACACTCCTTCTCCGCAGTATTTGAGGGCCAGGGGAAGGCTGTCTTGTACACGGGAGACATAAGGAGCGAGCCGTGGTTCGTGAATGCAATTGCGAGGTCTCCGCCTCTAGTTGAATACACTACGGGTCTCAAGACTCTCGACACGATCTACCTCGACACCTCCTTTGTTGACAACCTTGCGTTCCCCACCAAGTCCGAGGGGATCAAGGAATTGCTACAGAAGGTTTCGAGGTACCCGGCCGACACCATCTTCCATTTTCAGGCTTGGACATACGGGTAAGCTAACCCAAGCGATGCGGCTTCCATCGAACAGTGTATACTAATAACCGCCGTGTAGGTACGAAGACGTATGGATTGCTCTGTCAAAGGCCCTGGGATCCAAGGTATTGTACAGTCTCCTTCGGCATGCGCGGCCAGCAGGGCACTGATTATTAGAAACCCACAGATCCACGTCGACGACTACAAAATGAGCATGTATCATTCTCTCCTGACCGCGCACACCGGCGCGAAGTTTGCGCCCTGGTCACATCTCGCGCCCGAAGGCCCTGCACTGGTAGGCTTCATGTGCGGCAACACCCACCACGCTGGCTGCCTGACTCTGGACGAGAACGTCCGCATCCACAGCTGTGAGAAAGGGAACTACTGCCGCACCGTGAAGGAAGCCCCGGTGGTGTGGATCCGTCCCATCATTGCACGCCTTCCGGACGGCCACGATGTCGCCGAGATTGGGGTGGGCGGCGGCGGCGATGACCTGGAGAGGGAAGCGGAGCTGGACTATCTCGCGCCGGATGATGTCGAGTCTCTCCTTGACGCGTGGGTTCTCCAGTGTTCTGCTTTTTAGCAGTACTAGTAGCATCTGACTTTGACTCGCCCCAGGCTCCGCGATGTCGACGATGTCCCGGACGATGTGCGGGAGCAGGCTCGTCAGTTCCTGCGCAGCACTATCGCCAACGGCCGGAAGGTTCAGCTTGATCTGGAGCGAACCGTATTTGGAGAAAACAACGAGGCAGACCTGACCGCCGGCTTGCGGGCGCTGGTCAGCAAGCTCAAGCTGGGCGGAAAACCGCCCGCGGGGAACAGCTCCGAGTCTGATTCGCGCGCTTCTCCTAATAATGTCGTCACCTTCCCCTATTCTCGCCATTCTTCCTACCCCGAGCTTTGTGACCTTGTCAGAGCATTCAAACCCAGAGATGTGTGGCCTTGTACAGTCGATGTTCCCAGATGGCTGCGTGAAGGTCTGTTTTGCACTAGTACCAAGCTCATGATTGGTGGGTGGATAACTGACCCAAGCTTCTCAGATATTACGGTCGATCGACTCTTCTCTGAGTATTGCTCGGGAGACGAGTTTCGGCACGACAAGCTCATGAGAGAGCGCTTCAAGGATTACGAAGTGGCGATGATTGGACAACCGGACAGCCAGGTTACGGCTTCCTCCGCTGATGATGCTGCCCATCTCGCACATGGCTGCTCGGCGAACGAGCCCGGATCGGCCCACAATCAGCCTTTGACGTCATTCGCAGACGGAGACCGCCTACCTCAGCCCCTGGGTAGTCCCGAGCTTGACATCGAGGCAGGAGCTCCTGAAGTATAGGAGCATCACCTTTCAGACTCCTGGGTATGCGAGTCCTTTGAAGAAATTACAGGTTTCGCGGAGGTTGATCCGATGAGCCTCCAAGACTCACAGGACTCGACGATCTCCGCCCTAGCGCTTGAAACTCGCGAACAAGCCTTTCAGGTGATTTTGGAGAACGCAAAAGGCAGGGCCGGAGGGGTGGTTGGTTTATTTTCAACAACAGACAATCACTACACTCCGGAGGAGGAGCTGACCTATGAAGGACCGTTGCGCTGAGGTTGTCAGGGTATCGGCATGTCGACTGGCATGAAGACAGGCGCCATGTCCTTTGAAGTCTCCCCCCATCTCAGCCTCGGATCTAAAAAGCGTGCCCTAGATCGATCCTCAGATATCTATGTATCCGCTCGGGCATTCAACTGCCGAACCCCCCCGCACAAACCCCTGACGCGGGCCTGGATCTGGGCGTGCAGATACAACATTCCCTATTCGGTAGGCAGAATTATTCCACAAATCCGTTTGCCGGCCTACTTTGCCAAGGGCGGTGGAGATGGGGTCACTACGGAAGACGGTAGTAGAGTTTGTTGAGAAACCTGAAAAGTGGTATATACGCTCACACCGACCGTAGCACATTTCACTTTAGCTATATACTGCTTACATGCTAAAACTCCGTTATGGCCATTAGTGCTCCTATCAGCCACACCTGTATTCTATAAAATACTAGTGCTCATATAGAGTACTTGGCTATAATAGCTAGGATTAATTATAGTAAGTGTCACGAGGGCTATTATTTAAGGCCAGAGTTAAGCCTCTAATAGTAAACTGACTGCATTGCAAGAATATTAAACTTGTAGGAGGAAAGAAATCCTTGAGACTGCAGGTAGGCTTTAAATATAAGATGCGAGTAGGTTTAAGCTTGCATGCATGATGTAATAATGGAACATGCATAATAAATCATCACTTAGTATGATGAATTATTATACATACAAATAATATCATTATCATAGTCAGTATGTTCTACCATCATAGTAAGTATAGTTCAATTATAACGGCTATAATATATATAGTTTAATTGTGATAACTATAGTAGCTATATATTAGTAAAGGTTATGGTGGTGTAGAAGATATGAATATAGCATAGGAGCATATTCAGTGGCACTAGGCCTATTACGGCTAGACTATTATAAGATGCATCGAACCGGTATTCAATGCAGGCACGGAAGGTGTGCGTGCATTGGTGCACAGACCACTTCTGGGTTTTTCAACAAACTCTACTACCGGCTTCCGTAGTCACAACGACCGTGCTTGGTACCGACCCAGACGTAGGGGATATCACTACAACTGATCGCCCTGTTTCGGCGGCTCTTACTCGAGTCTCGCCGGTATGCGCTCAAATCATATGTTGGGATTTAGCCACAGGCTCGCAACAGCGCTCGGGCATTTTAAGCCTAAATGCGGCCCAACCGTCGACAAGCGAGTTAGGGGAGAACATGTCTCGCTACGGCAGGAAGCATTCAAAGCCGAAGGGTTTGGCCGTGGGCTGGGTGGGTGTGAGCAGCATACACTCCCTAACATACCTATATAAGCTGCCGCCATTTATTATCAGCCCGGTCGCGTCGTCATGCCCTCTTTCTCCCGGGTAGTTACTAGTAGGATTCTGACGCCAACTATAGCAGTGCCAGCCCGCCCTTCCTCGGCACGCAAGGTCTGACGTGCGTCTTCAACGATGGCTGGGATAAGTCCTGGAAGGCTCTTCGCCATCGCCTTCTTCCTTTCCACATGGTCATGCATCGCCCTCGGGCTTGCTATTGACACCGCCGGGTACAGCCAAGTGGCGCGCTATGCTGATCCCAACCTAGCCGGGTACCTGGGAGTGTTCTTCCTTGGGGCCGATCCCTACGTCTACTTCTACCTCAGCAACGGTAACGATCCTGTGTCGTTCAAGGCGCTCAACGGAGGATCGCCAGTCATCAGGCCGACGAAGGGGACCGGGGGTGTGCGGGACCCGACCATCATCCCGGGAAGCGGCAGTGAAGCCGGCAAGAAATGGTATATAATAGGGACCGACCTCAACATCGGGAAGGTGGGTTGGAGCTAGGGCCGTGTTGCGGTTGTGCGCCAGCGTCCTGACGAAAGGGCGGTGGGTAGACAACATGGGATGCGGCACAGCGGACCGGATCAAGGGGGATCTTCGTCTGGGAGAGCAGCGATCTCGTCAAATGGGGGAATGAGAGACTTGTCGTCGTGGAAGACGCCACCGCCGGCATGGTTTGGGCTCCCGAAGCGATTTGGGATCCTGCGAAAGGCAAGACACCAGCAACCAAGCGAACGGGGACATCGAGTCAACTCGTACTAGTTAGCTGACTAGTAGTTTGATAGGGCAATACCTCGTCCACTGGGCATCCAAATTCGTGAGCAGCCCAGCCCGTCAAATGAACCGGGGTAGTAGTAGTAGTAGGAATCAACCAGCGAGACTCACCACTTACACACAATACTCTGTCTGTCTCTAGTACTCGGCCTCGGACCCTCGCCACACCGGCTCGCCAACCACCACCATCCGCATCCGCTACGCCTACACAAGCGACTTCCGCACCTTCACCGCGCCGCAGACGCTCATCGACAAGTCGCCCACGAACATCATCGATCTGACCATCCTCCCCTTCACCACCACCACCACCAACACCAACACCAACTCCAGTTCGAACAACAACAACAACAACAACAACAACAACTCCTTCCTGCGCTTCATGAAGGACGAGACCCGCAAGACGGTCTTCGTCGAGGTCTCCGAGACGGGCCTGTTCGGCACCTGGACCCGCCCCGGCGGCGACTCGGCCGTCATCGAGCACAACGTCGAAGGCCCCGCCGCGTACTGGGACAACGCCGTGCCGGGCAAGGTGCACCTGCTCGTCGACTTCTATGGCGGGGACGGCTACCGCCCGTACGAGAGTACGAACCCCAGGAGCAATGCCGGGTGGGTGGCGAGTAGTACTACTAGTAGTAGTACTAATGCCGCGGGATTTCCGAGGGGGTTGAGGCATGGTAGTGTGCTGCCTGTGGATGAGCGGCTGTATGCTGCTTTGAAGGCGAGATGGGGTTAGTGAGTAGTAAGGTCTTTTCACTCTTTTGTCAGTTGTGGGCGTGGGGGAGGGCGAGTAGGAAGGTGTGGGAAGGGGCTGGCGTGAAAGGAGAAGGGGGGGTGGTGCAAAGGGGGCTGAATTGAGACAGGGGATATGATCGGGAGTTTTGGGTCGTTGTCTGATCCTCGAAAAAGGGGCTCCCGCCGCTTCGGTTCGTTCTCGAGCATTCCGCCTGCCGCGTTCGTGATCTCGGGAGGAAGGGGATCCGCTGAGGACGAGCCCGTCGCCTCCTATCTGGACAGAAGGGAACGAATACCACATATTATACCGGATTAGTACCGCTACAGAGAGTTCCGCAGGACTTTTTGGCATAACGACAGGAGCGGAGTGTTGATACGAGGTGCGCAACAGAGGAGCAGGGAGGTCCAATGACAAGCTTTCCACCGCGTCACGTATTCGTGCCAGGAACTAGAGCGTTCGAATGGAGTTCCAGCGAGTAGTTCATCCCTTGGTGTGAATCAAGCCCGGTCGTGGGCCTGTCTGGTGTACACTTGAGTACCTCACAGCACCAGTACCGGGTTCCATAGAGGGGAAGCACCGAACACAGGAGGTTTGTAAGGGGGTCAATACACCAGCCATCACCTTGTGTACTAACTAGGGCTCCCTCGTTCAGTGGATGTCGTGCACTGCGCCGCTACGGTAGACTCGTCACGGACCTCGGTCGCTCAAGTGCGGATCTTAGGTTGCCGGGCATGGAGACCCCAGATATAGAGGGATGTTTGGACGCGTAAAAGGCCATGGGCCCGGTACTGCGGCATTAGTACCTACCTGTTAGGTTTGAAACGGCACAGGATGCCATTGCTACGTATGTGTAAATCAAAGACCCTCACTGACGCTAGGAGGCTAGCCGGTGGGTTCTGAATTCCGTACTAATATCCCAGAGTTGAAGAAGGAAGTAAGTGAACGGAGCTGGGGGAAGGGGTCAGTCATTCAACTTAGGTAAATGTGTGGTAGCAGAGGCCACTGGAGGCGCAGACAGAAGATGGGACCCTGTAACCTCTTCTCGCCTTCCTCGACATTCATCTACGTCTCTGTAGTCATGTCGAAGGGCGTTCTCTTCGTTGAGGTCCCTTTGCGCGTGTCGACCGAGGATAGATCTGAGGTCGCGAAGTTCATGGACTACGAGTCTGGCTTTCATAGGCTAAAAGCGCATGTCCAAAGCATCATGGGACTATAGGTTGGGAAGCCCAGCAAGAAATCTGCGTGGTAGAAAGGTAAAGGGAAAAAAGAAAAACGTACCTTACAACGAACGGTTTGTGGGCTGTTCGGACTACACATGGAGTGGTTGGTGTGCGCACTGTGGTATGATGTATGGCAAGCAGAAGGCCCAGTCCGTACTGTGACTGCTGGATAGAGGGAAAGCATGGTGGGATTCCTTACCTGAGACCTTGGAAGCAATAGAACACATGAATGGTTTCTCCATAGACATCATAATCAAACAGCATTGTGGCTGACACAACGCGGAAACAAATGAAGAATCAGTCAGGAAGACAGGAGCCCTATCTAGGTCATAAGAAGTATACGTCTAAGTTCTTATGTCCCACTCTTCTCGACAATCACCGATTGCAGTGCTTCATTGTGACTGACTCGAGTATCCTTATATCATTCTTCGAATTCTCAACTCTTGCCCTGATTTTTGAACCTGACGAGCTAAGTTGAAATCTCAGGGTCGTACACAGACGTCAGCACGGGCAGTCTGCCGCAGACCGGCCAACAATTCCACCGCCCGGGCTCTCTAGGAGGAAAATGGACTCCAGGCTACAAGCCCGTGTCCGTCGAAGTCTAGCAGGATGAAGCCCTCCGAAACAAACCCGCCAGAAACCTGAATTGCGGCCCACGAAACTAACCTTACCTCAAAATCTCAGATGAGCTCTGTGTGCGTGTGAGCTATGCGTGATGATGGCATGATGGCAGGATGACACAATGACACGATGGCACGATGGGCTGTGGTGGGGCCACTGAATGGGCAGCACTTGAGAGTTGAGACCGTCCGAACAGAGGCAGCCGACGCTTTGATGTCTTAGTAGCAGGATTATAGGTGCTAGTTTTGGAGGAGTTGCATTTCTCTGCAGGAAGGCGGAGCTCCGGAACCCGATGCTCGATGCGGTTGCTACCAAGCACTAACCCCGGGGCCGGCTGCGGCCTGCCGAGTGCCTGCATACGCGAACTCCAAACCTGGACATGCACATTTGGAGAGAGGTACGATGTATTGTACCGTACCGTATGTGCCCAATCGTTGAACCATTCTATATCCGGACTGCCGTGGCCTCCTGATCGGGACAGCTGCTTGCTGACCCAATCGTGCCAATCCATGATTCCATCTCAGGGTTGGTTTAGCAGAGCGGGAGCCCCAAGTGGCGACCACAACGTAGCAGCAAACGCTCACTGGCCTTGGTATTTGACAGCTGTCTGCTCGGCGATGTCAATCATGCCATGGCGGATGAGCGGAATGACGCAGCGTACTACGGCCAAGAGTCAAGACTCGCTGGTGAATGGGCCAGAACGAAATCTAGCTCAATCTTTCTTTCCTGGCATGCGGCCTTGGATGCGACCCCAGTCAGTACGAAGCAGCACGCGATCGAAGCGAGAACCAATGCGCTGCCACTCGCCCGTGTCGAGCCCTGAGTCCCTGACACCATCACGCTGCTGATGCCTTGAGCGTCGAGCGGTGGCGGCCTACATGATTCATCAAACTTCCACCTTCTTACTTGGGCAGTCGAGCTGCGAGAGCGGACTGGCTCCCGCCAATCACGGCCGCCGGAGCCAACTCGCAATTGCGGTGTCGATTAACTACCTATCAAGCTCAGTGTTCGTGGTCTACCATCACCATCTCCGAACCCTTCACACCAGTGTAACCTGCTGAAAAGTTCGTCATGGCCGTTCATCTGCCAGGTCACGCTCAATTTCAGAAGCAGATCATGCTGCTACCCCATTTCTATTTACACAGTCGGAACAAGGAACACCTCCGTAGCAGCATTGCTTTCCCTCAGCGGGAGCGAGATTTGACAACAGCCCCATGGTTGCAACTGCGGAGAGGGGGGAAGCGAAGCACAGGGGTCCTCCCACACTGACATTCCGTGAGCCGTCGTTGCATCCTGCCGAAACACATGCAGCGAAGCCCAATCAGCAGTCGCCGCACCCTTCCATCAGACCACCAAACGGCCGAGTTCATCTGGCCTTCTTCTGTTTGTTCGCAGGACCCGGCCACCTACATGATAGGCGTGTGTGACGGGACGAGCCAGAAGGCCCTGCGACTCCTGCCCGCCAAGAGATAGCAGTTCGCATTCGCAAATGGCTCTGGACTTGCCCATTCATTCATTCATTCAACCCACATCGGGACCTGCGACTTTCCCAGGTTCTGATAGCAACCTCCCCGCCCCCCCGTTTTCGGTACCAACACCGATCTCACCCTCCGTTGCTGCGCCGTGGTCCGAGCCCTTGCCACCTCCACCGTCCAAGATCCTCTGTGGTGAGGGTCTGGTGGCACTAGCGTCGATTGGAGTCAGCGGTCTTGTTTCTGTGCTACACCAGAATGTCAGCATTGCGTCTGATTTTGATCTGCCTGCCGTCACTGACAAACTGTGATCGGCGGTCGTAGTAACTAATCAGCTTTCGGCAGCACAGTGGGGGGTTTTGGATTACCGGTAGTGGGCTATGCCGGCCGTCTCACGTACAGTACTAGTATGTACAACGCGAGCCATGTCTACATAGGCGGTCTAGTCAACCTTAGGTTACCTTAGTGTCTTGTCTGAGACATACGGCGTTCTTACGGTATGTAGGGCTGAGACATAATCAACGGCGGCTAAGAAAAGATCATAGACAGGGGTTGAGCACCTCAGCGTGGATGCGATCTTTGCTTGCTTCAGCACCATAGGAGAGACAGCAAGCAGATAGTACCCACAGCCATCCCCCCCTTAGAGGTTTCGAATCTCACTTAACAACTTGAAATCAGCACAGTAAGCACACAAGTTACTACTCTTCCACCTTGCAGTATGCACTCGTTCCGATCCGAGCGTGCCGTCTACACCACTATCCATCGTTTGGAGAAGCGGGATGGCACGCACATGTATTAAACACCTGGAACTTTCATGCTTTACCTGCGGTTGGGTAGCATTATCGGCAAACCACCAATGGTAATTCTGAAATTTAAACAGCCAATACCGAACCGGTGAGTCTCCTATTTCCCAATCACAGTCGAGAATTGCTGGGCATGGCCGTTGGGGGCCGAAGTCGCTCAGTGGTTGTTCAAAACCAAGAAACGGACCTTCAAACCACGGAGAATCTACCGGGGATAGTATCAGTCATTGGAGGGTAGCTTGCCATAGCCTAATCCCTGACGACATCTAACAGAAAACAGCAGTTTATGAAAGCAGGCAGGCTGAAAAATGTCGACGGTGTCCTGAAGGGCAGCACGTGTTGCCCACAGACCAGTACTACAATGTTACATTTCTGTCTGTAAAAGTCGTCTTGCAGATGCGTATGTACTAAAGCTATCCCGTGCCGTGCTATGGTATGTGGTTGGAAGTAACGGTATACACCATACTAGCACATGCACATGTCCGAATCCGTGCTTAACACAGGGCTGATATCATCGTAGCGATTCAACAAGACAACAGTAAGACATTGAAAGGGACCTAACAAGCGAAATATGATTCGGATACCTGGGGAGAAAGCGAAAAAAAAAAAGAAAATCAGAACGAGAACGGAGCTGGGTACCTTACCTATCATCTTGAATCTCTTCTGCCAGTATGTCAAGTCAGCAACACCTGAACCTGATTGTCATCAGACCAGGCCGGGTTGTCCCAGGGTCCAGAGCCACCCCCCGCAAAACACTGTTGCCGGCCCCATGGTCGCCTGTTTGAACTGTCCTGGAAAAGATCGTTTTGTGGAAGGCGGCGTTGGGCCTGCCGAGCAATCCGAAGCGGGATAATAAGGGCGCCGAAGAGTGCTCGAGTTTGGGTGAAGTGGAAACGGGCTGCAGCTTGCCGCTCATTCGTTTTACTACCATCGTCTCAAGTATGGCTTAAGGGATCTCTATACTTTGAAAGTTCGTACCATAACTCCCAATGGAGCTGTTCTCCAAGGTAAAGCGAAAAACGTGTTAGGAATGGCGCCCTTCAGAGAAAATAAAATAAATGCGAATAACTCAATGTTTAATAAATTTCATTCACGCGAAAAGGAAGAGCTGCTTGTCTCGCATCCAGAACCTCCGTTTACGGAGTTAGATCGACTACATACACTAATGTGACTACCTGCCTAGGCACCTTATGCACGTTGGACCCTTCGATCAAAACGATTGGAACAGCCAGACGGCAGAAAACAGTAGCTCCAGTTATACCGTTAACATAGTAGTAGTACGTACTACAAGTTTCTGACTGGATGCAGTTAGCCGGTGATGGCTTCGTTCTAGAGGAACTTAGTGCCACCCCGCTGACATAGCTAAGCAAACACCCGAGGGGGTCGAGAACAACACGCAGAAGACACACAGGCAGAAGGGAGTTAGGTACGTGAGAATTGGATCAAGAGAGAGACACAAGCAAGAAAACTCCATTGCTCCGGAGCGTCATTTGACCTCCACACCGTTACAAAAAGAAAGGCCTATACTGCTTCATGACATCTTATCAACCTACAACCTGACAGTATGGACCTCCATGACATCTAGATGGACGGGGGCTCACCGGTACAATACTGTATAGGTATGTACATAAGCACACAGGCGTATCGGTATCGGAACCGGAGCCGCGGCCGGCAGTTGGTCGGAGAGTTTCCAATATCCGAACCAACCTTCTCTGGACGGTCGATTCAAAGACCGTGCCGCCGAACCGGTCAGGGGGGTGAAGGGACAGCTAAAGTGAACGCCAGCCTACAAGTCATTAGGAGACTGAAGCTGATCGCTTAAGAGTGCAGGAAGCCGGGGCCTTCCTTTGCTTGGGAAACGGACTAGAAAAGGGACACTGGACCATAGTAATCTATAGCCTGGCCGCTTGCGGGCTAATCAGTTTTAAGTCTAACTCTAGTTCTTTTCCCTAGAAACTGAAGAAAAACAACGGGGGGGGGGGGGGGGGGGGGGGGGGGTTCTGATCTCCTGGACCACCGTACAGATGCATGGGGAGCCCTCGAAGCTCGAGGCGTCCTCTAGCGGATGTTGACGAGGTCCTACGGATCGTGGAAGTTGATGGAACTCCATTGGCTGTCGGCCCGTGGACTTGGAGAGCAAGATCCATGTACGAATCGGCTCAGCTGCGATGTCGTCTCCAGCCAACCTCTAAAGAGCCTCAGCCCAATTTATGGCATATTGAGCTGCAGGGCCAGCCACGCGTTTTCATCTATTTGTCATGATATTTTTGGCTCACATGGAGAGCCTTGACCGGGGCCGCGTCTGAACCTCCCTTGCGGGAAGTAGATTGGGGATTAATTGCCTGACGGCAATTTACTCGTGCCGCCTTGAAGATGGTTAGCCCAGCATGCAATGACGGATAGCTGGTGGACATATCGATGCGAATTGAGCCATAGTTACCTAGTATCCGGACTCGCCGTGGGACCGCCACACCAGCCGGATTTGGTCCCTCCCAGAGGTTCGAAAGTCCATCTTTTGCCTACCTACTGGTACTCCCAAGACGGACTCCTCTGGGCATCTACAAAAGGGAGCAAAGGGACCTTTCGAAACTCACTCAAACGGGCTGACGCCTCAGCGTAATTTTGCAATTAGGCGGGTCCGGGTAAGCCCTTGGATGCGACCCAGGGAGGCCGATTGGGCGGGGGTTGTTTCTCGGGCCTAGGAGCGGTACGACGTCGGCAGCTGCACTAGTTATGGCCGTTTGCAGTTATTGGAAGTGGTTGGGGCCCGACCCGGGAAATGTGAAGGCATCAGACGGGCACAGCAAATTCCCGCGGCGGCTCGACCCCAAGGCCGTGGTAAAGGGAGAGCAGAACGAGGTCACCGGTAAAAGGAAACCTGATTCTTGTCTCTGCAGTATCCCCTGCGGCAGCTGGTACTTGCATCCACTCCAAACCGTCCTACAGAACTTAGAACCCGGCTGTGTGGGCTGAGGGTTTGCTGTGAAGGACCTGAAGCAGGGAGGAAAACAAAGCATTGCGAGGAACTTGGAATAATCCAGCGGATTGTCATCAGCCAGTTTGATATGGACATGTCGGGCCGCGGAGAATGGAGGTTCCCGGTGCCAAATGGTGGGTGGGTAAGAAAGGCCGAATGAACGCCTTCCACGACCGAGGACTGTCAAGACAAAACCCCGTTGCTTGAAAAATCGCACCTTCGGTTGTTCAGCTATCGCGCTGTCGGGCATGAACAATATCGGGAGCTAGATCTGGAAGCCTTCTGGACGTGTGTTGATGTGCGGCCTGAAACGCCGAGGCTAAAGGAGTCCGAGGTGCAGGCAGGATTCGGGAGTCGACGATACAGGCAGAGTGCACACCCTGTGAGTCCTTTGATGGCCGGGGGCCGCTCTCGAGGTCCAGGCCGTCTCCGTCCGCCAGCAACTGGCAAGACTGCCAGTTCTCGGACGGAATGACGGGCCCCGGTGCTGTGCTAAGCCTCAACTTCTCAGAGCACATCCCGTGCTGTCACTCTCCTCCGCTCTCCTCCACTTTGACATTGTTAGCGTTCGACGAAAGAGAGCGAGCAGAGGCAAAGAACCGGGGAAGGCCTACCGATCGGAGCGAACTGGTCCAGCAAATCGAATCCATGGATGTCAGTGAAAGCCGGATGCGAGGCCGGGTAGGGCTTAACATGCCATTTATAGGGGCATGGGGCTATGGGTACTTACCCACCATTGGCCGGGTTCTCCCTATTCATGGACGACCATGGCTGCTTTCGGCAAAGCCCAGACGTTGTCCAAGTCCGCATCGAGCGAGCAGTGGAGTGTGCAACGGTCTACACTAACCAGTCGGGTTGACATCCCATCTGCAGATTGCGGAAAGCTGCGAGTGAGCAAGCTGTTCAGGAATACGGATCCGTACACGTGTAAGATCAACCCGCGTGTGACAGTGTACCCCGTAGCTGTCACTATGTGCGCCTTATTTCTTGCACCCGTTTTTGATGGATCTCGAGGGGAATGGATTGTCAACTCTCAGCACCCAGAGGGTCCGTGTCACACACGACAGCCGCAGGCTGCCAGATGTCGCCCTTTTACACAACGTTGGAAGTGTTTATGGCCTAGTTACCTTTCCGTCTAGTGTTCTCATGTCATAAGACAAAGGGGCCGGAGAGTTAATGTAACCGGCCTTTCAGCAATGCATCGGGATTCGGGATGTAGCAGCAAACGACCAGGCATGCCAAGTACATAGGTCCTCCGGGTTCAATTGTTTAGAAAGTCAACGATGAGAACTCACACAATGAGTTATATACGGAATACGAATACATGTCAGTCCCGTCGCTAATATGCACAGCCAGACAGCGGGCGCTCGCTTTTCAACATTGACTCTATTCGCGGCTTGGCACTCACGATCCGCTTTCCGCGTCCCGCAACATCGTCTGACCGCAACGGTTAAGACGAAACCTGGTAGGGTCCGTAGGGGCAATTTGGGAAGCCGGAACAGCGTTTGTCGACCAGCCGATGCCCTGACGGAGCCAATAGCACCATATCTGATTCGTCTCATCATACCGGACGGATTGGGCACTTGAACAATCAAGTTAGGTGCGTACATCGGTTTAGCACATTAATTATCGCAAAATTCGACCTCACGTGCAGTGGATCAAGCTGCGGCTTGAAATCAGATGATCCCAGTTGCTGCCCTGACTGTTGACTCGTGAGTGCGACGTTGAGCAGGTTCCCTGTTTGGGAAGCTCGTTTGAAGGTGGCTCCACCTCGCTCGATCAGCTCCGCCCAAAGTGTGGAGATTGTTTGAGCCCTGTCCTCGTACAACTCCACAGCCCCCAGACCCCTTCAATGCGGCCAAGGCAGCCGATCGAAGCCTGTCAACTGTCAAAAAGTTCTCCGCCGATATCGAAGGGCCGATTCATCAGTTTGCGCTTGTGAACTGCCAGTGTGCTCATTGGAATGGGAGATTACTATTGACTATCCTGGCCGTTAATAGCGAGCTCTAGTGGCGTGACGAGGACAAGATACGACGACAGCAAGCGAACCGATGCGGCTTTATGGATGTTCAGCTCGGTTCTGCGACCGCTGGCAACTTATGTACAGTAGTACGCTAGGTATGTACGGTACTATGTACATGTACGGTGTAAGTCACACCACAACTCTCGAATCGAGCACTCCATGAAGCTGCAATCCCAAAGGTTATGCAGCAGCGCGAAAGCACGTCGGTTAACCGCGGACCCGCAGCCCGGTTCAGTAACTGAGGAGGTGATTGGCCTCTGCAACCACGGCACCTGAAGCCCGTGTATACGGCGGAGCCCAATCCCATCTGGCACAAGGGCAACCAAGATCTGTGAAGGAGAGGTTGGACCACAGCAAGAGCCTGCTTCCCCCAGAAAATCATCGACGCGGGTTCCTTGGTTAGCAGTGGGGATAGCAAAAAGCTTCGTTCAACCTGCGCCTGCTTTATTACAGCGCTCTACTACAGCCTGTAGAAGTACGAGTGAAGTCGTTTTGTCAGGCTGTCAGATGCCTTCGGCCCCCAATGCGTTACGGAACGTTGCCGAATGGACGGAGTCTGCACAAAGCCGAGTTAATAAGCGGCCGCCCTTCGAGGGGGCTTCCCGGCTCGGATCTGGCCGAGAAGGCACACGAAACTAAACTCCGGACACCGGGTCCACCCCGCTCTGCGAATATGAATATGTTGGCGATGCTTTCTTGGGCGAGAGGACATACCAAGGCCCTCCCACGCCGCCGCCCTTGATCATCAACAAAGCCACATGTTACGTACATACAGAGCTTGGGCAGTCCATTGTCTCCCCGCGCCATCAGACGATGTCGCTCAACGCTAGGGGCCGCTTACCTTGCACACACAGCGCCACGCGCATTGCCAAGCGCATGGATGCTGATACGCTCGAGCGTTAATTATTAATATAACGAGCTCGCTATCGACAACAGACCGTCTCGGAGTATCTCGAGGTTCCTTCACGATCCTTTGTGGCTACGAGGAGACGACACGAAGGGGCTTATTGTCCATGTCGCACCAACCCTTCCTGCTCGACATTAGGACAGTTGATGAGAAGATTTCGAAACGCAGCATGATGACTTTCCAAGTGGCAGGTCGCGGTTGGTAGGTACCTATGTTGGAGTTGACGAACCACGGGACGAAACCCGCTCCCCCCTTCCTCTTGACATGCCGCTCATGCATTAGCTGGGGTGGGACTCTGGCCGTCCCTGAATTTATACCATGTGCCCCCGATGTTAGGCTGAATGCAAACGCTTTGATGAAGGGATCCGAGCACGAGCTAGAAGAAAACAACTCGAAGCCTTCTAGAAAGGTTAGGCGAGCGGCGGTCCTTTGTCATCCTCCCTGGTTAAAGCACAGAATTGCTGGACGTCACTGCGGCTCGGCCGCTATCAGTGATGGTTGCTCCTCAGCAGAGCGTAGATGTGACGGCTCGCCGGTATCTTGAGTTGTTGGCTTCAGAGCCGCTTTCACAAAAGCGCATTGTTACGTATTTCTGCACCCAGCATGCAAACCGAACCCAGAAGAAGAACCGGGAGGGACCTCCGATGGCAACAGCCAGCTCGGTTACACTGCGAGTTCGGGCCTCATGTGGCACCCGGGGAGGGTGAGATCTCAGGAATAGCGGTCCTTGACGAAAAGAGACGGCAGAGGCGAGGGATTGGGCTGGAAAGGGCTTAGAGCCAGCTCCTGCGTTATGCGTTGTATGCAGGCTGCAGCGCACAGACAGCAGCAAGGCCCCAGAACGGAACAGTCGGACGGTGGATCGCTTCTCATCAATGCCGGGGCAGCTCATTGTTCGAGAAAGGCCAAAGCCGTGACCGCACAGCACCCCAGTACTACTATAGGTATGTACGTATGTACAGTACTAACATACATACAACGCCAGCAGCCGAGATGCCCGGGGTGCTCCAGGCAAAGTGGGGGAAATGAAATGCAGAAGAGAACAACGGTGTGCAGGGACGGTTGGAGAGGGCTTAACAACAGCAGCAAAACACCGCCAGGGGACAGTTCCAGCACAATACAAGAGACACGGGGGTTAGAATAGGACGACATACACTACGGGCTCAGGACACCGCCATGGGAAGACATGTCCGCAGTCCGGGACCTTGCAAGTCCGCAGCCCCGTCCTGAGTACCTGCATACATACCTCGTTCGTTCCGGAGCAGTATTACCTACCCTTTGGCGCTATTCCAGGTTAAGGATGGGACAGGTGAAGGCCGGCGGAAGCTTACCGCAGCGTTAGTGGCAGTTTGAGCTGGTGGCGTTGCCGCAGGCCGACTTCCGGCCCATTTATCCAGAAGGGTCATGGCCGGCCATCCTTGGCACGTACCGGGCACTCCCATCAGCGGCCAAGGGACTTCCTTCGATGATGTCTTCCCCCAATTCAACACTGACGGCTTGCCCCTCCTGAGGACGGCCCGCGTTTGTGTGTGTGTTTCCGGGAAGCGGAACTTGGTGTCTGGGCCGCGCATCACCGGTTCGGGCAGCACATGGACTTGACGAGATTCGCAGGACCGCAAACGCCGCCAAGCCCTTCCCGTCTGTCAGAGTGTCAGTCAAAAGCCATCTTTGCGACGTTGGAATATCGACCCACTCCGGTCTACCCTGCCCTGTCCTGCCCTGCGTCATCCCTGCCCTGTTCACTCTGCAGGCCCTCCCCTTGCACTGCTCGGGTGCTCTGCCGGCGGCGATGGGGTAACGTTAGTGGGTGGTAGCAGGTGTTCTGCCGTCCAGGACCCGTGGCCCAGAACCCCTAGCACATCGAGCACACAACCCATGAGCTGCTCTCTGCTTCGGTCGAGTCATCTTGCACGGTGAGGATCGAGACCAATGGAAGTCCTCTGGGGAAGCCTCGAGGCCCTCCGACGTTCCGCTGATTCCAAGTAGCTTCCGGGCATATCCCTCGCTGTCAATCATATCACTGAGCTTTTGCAAATCTGTTATTGATGTCCACCTCCACTTTGCACCGAGGAGCGGTCCTGACTGGATGTTTCCTTTGTGAACTTTCCTGTTATGCTCCTCGTCCCGCTCCGCTATGTGACCGTACTTGTACTTGCACATGTACATACAATACAGTACTACATACATCCCATTTTAGGGTGCTGCTATACGGTAGCTACTATATCTGATCTAACTCTTACTTCACCTCATCTACCCTTTTCATCCCATCCTCCTCCGGCCTGCAACCGGTTCCAGACGATCACCTCCCCCACCCCTGACGGAGCGGCTCCTTAACCCCGGATTACAATCCTCGCAGACAAAAAGGCTCCAGATTCGGCACACATGCGCATCACACGGCTTCCTGGATTTACATCTACAACCCTCAACGACGAGACAAAAGCTGCAGTGCTATTATTACGAAATTGACAAGAGACAGTCCGTGGCCCGTCCATTGTCAAATCTGAAGCCATAAGCCGGCCTCCCCTTCGACTTGCTACCGCTTGGTGGAGTCACCAAAGATAGGAACGGGAGAGGGAGAAGAACGCACGGGCAAGAAGAGGATGAGGAGCGGGCAAGACTGTCCCGGAGGCAGAAGCTTACTGCGGCGTGCACGAGGACTGGACAATCTGGACGAGTGACGACAGCAGCCTTTTTTTGGCATTTGCCACTCCGCCTTCAAGTTCTCCGTCCCGCCAGGCCCGGTGTATTGTCCTGTACACTGTACAATCCACTCTACCAACTCCGGCCGTCTTCGAGTCTCGGAAGCCGGTTGGCCTTCAGAACGCAGCAACCAGCTTACTACTCAGGTCCTGCATGCTGCAGAGCCTTGCTCTTTGACGCATCCCACCCTCCGCGCCTCGCCTCCCGCAGCGCAAAGCAACAAGCAGTGCAGTGCAGTGCCGGCTGCCCCGCCCACTGACACCGAAGCTCCCGGGATTCGAATCAAGCTACCCCCGGCCGCTCGCTGCATGTCCAGGACTCCAGCTTGTCGACAACACCCCCGGACTGTCACACTTATTAGGCTGCCGAACTGCATCGCTGCTTACTAGTACTTACACACACAACTACCACTAGTAGTACTTATTACAATCTGTGTCAGTTCCACCCCTACGACCACGCCCCATCCATACATACAGCATCCGTCACTCCCTTTCCCCTCATTCTCCAACACCCCGACGACCTATACCACATTCCGCCTCTCGCACTGCTGAAACTGACAGCAGCAAGTTCCTTTAGATGCTTTCGGTGTTGTTGTTCTTCTTCTGAAATCGTCCCATTAGTACGCCCAAGGGAAGACGGAGACGGCCACACAACAAGAGAAACAACGGCAGTATGATGTCGACATTGGGAGGGGGTGACTTTGAGTTGGTGGTGCGGCAACAGCCCAAGTATGCCTGCGTAGCCATCGGAAAAGGCAAAGGTATTGTACTACTTACTACTATCCCTTCACTCTTCCGAAAACAATCAGCTCCAGCACACACTTTCCATCTGTTTGTTGTCCCAACGGTTCGGGAGACGACGACGCTAACGCAGGGTATAGAGAGGAAACCGATCGACCCGCCGCCCATTGTGCAGCTGCTGGTCAACCCGCGGAAAGACCCGGCCAGGACGTTTCTCCAGAACCCCTATCTGATCCTGACGGCGCGGCTGATCCGCAAGGGCGACGAGGATCAGGACGAGCAGGCGGGCCCCAAGGAGAACGACCTCACGGGCACGCTCGTGTCGTCTCTGTACAGCCTCAAGGACACGGACAACAGCCAGGGCGGCTTCTTCGTCTTCGGCGACCTCTCGGTGCGGAGGGTGGGCACGTACAGGCTGGCCTTCATCCTGTACGAGCTCAAGCTGGCGGAAAAGGAGTGCTGGCTGCTCTCGCGCACCGTGTCGGACCCGTTTGTGGTCTACGCGACCAAGACATTCCCGGGACTGGCCGAGTCGACATTCCTGACGCGCTCCTTCAGCGACCAGGGCGTGCGCCTGCGCCTCCGCAAGGACTCGCGCACCGTGTCGACCAAGAAGCGGACCATTGGCCAGGCCGACCCGATGCGGGCGTCGTCGCAGGGGATGCACCAGCACGGCTACCTCGCGCACGACGGCAGCCACCACCACCACCACCACCACCAGCAGCAGCAGGATCTAACTCTCAGCCCGACCGGCCACTCCCCGCACCCGCTGCGCCGCCTCAGCAGCCTGCACGACCCGGTGGGCATGGGCGGCGGCGGCGGCGGCCCGCTCGACCGGTCCCGCGGCTCGCTGAGCTCCCAGGCGACGAGCTACTACGCCGACTCGCCGCAACTCCGGTCGGCCGCGGGTGACTACACGGCCACCACCGGGGGCTCGTCGTACGGCTACGCCACCACCACGGCCACGCCTTACGACGTGGACCACCACCACCACAAGCCGCCGCACAAGCGCGCGCGCATGAGCATGGACGGCGGGCCCGGCACTTCGCCCGACGACGACGACAGCCCGCACCCCCACCCGGGTAGCGGCTACGAGGCCGAGACGACGAGCTACGGCCACGGCCACCATCCTTACAGCTCCCACTCCCACGCCGCCGGCGGTCCGCGCACCGTCCCCGCCTCGCTCACCTCCCTCTATCCCGTAACAACAGCAACTACTAGTACTACTAGTACTCCAACAGCAATACCAACAGGGTATGTCAGTGGTGGTGTTGGTGGTGGTGGTCTCCCAGCCATGGCGAGCCCCTTCGCATCCATGCACCACCCTCACCACCACCAACAACAACACATGTCACTGCCGCGGCTGGATACCAGCACAATATCCCACCATCATCCCCACAATAACCACAACCATAACCATACCAGCCAACAACAACAACGGCAACAACAACACCTACCGCACCACCACTCCCCAGCAACGGCAGTGTCCGCAAGCACTCCTACCACTACCAGTACTACTACCACACCGCACTCGGCACTACACACCACGACCGCCGCCGCCGCCGCCGCAGCAGCAGCCGCCCACCACGCGGCGGCGGCAGCAATGTTTGCCTCGGGAGGAGGGCCCGGCTTGCCCTATCATCACCATCATCATCATCCCGCTGCTGCTGTGCAAAGTCTTCACCAGCAGCAGCTGAATGGGTTGGGCATTGTCAATGCCTTGCCTGGGCTGGAGCTGGATGGTGTTGGTGTTGGTGTGGGGCATGGGAGGCATTGAGAGTAGAGTATATCTCTCATCTGATCTGATCTGATCTGATTAAGAAGAGCTGTGAGAGAGAGCTTTAAAAAGAAGAGCGATTTTCTTTTGTCTGGCTTTTTGTTTTGTTGTTTCTTAGCACGGTTGGGGTTCTTTTACGAGTAACTACCTTACCTAACTTGGTGGGGAAAGCACGATTCACACCTAACTTACTTACCGTACTTACTACTTACCTTACTTAAGTGATACCAAACTCTCGGTGGAAAAAGGTGCGGGGGAATGGGGTCATCATCACACAGGTTCAGGAAGGGAAGGGAAGGGAACGGAAAGAGGGATTGCCGGGTACAACCTTGTGGTAGGCACAGAATGAGTGAGGGTTTACTCACTTCACAGATGGGCGGAGGGGCGTGCTCTCTGGATTTTTGTTTTTGGTTGGTTTGGATGGATCCTTGTTGGTCTTCTGGAGGCTCTATGGAGGGCGGCGATACTGATTTCCAACGGTCTTTTTTTGTCCCCCCACAAATTTCCTAGTACTACTTATTACTACTACTAGTACTCCTAGTACTTCTCCTCACCCTCCTCACATTCCATGGCTGCAAAGCACAAGCGCGTACTACTACTACTACTACTACTTACTAGTACTCAGAATGATATCCCCCGGGGACCGAACTGGACGGGACGGTTCCCTTCCCTTGTTTCTTTTTGCACTTTTGATCCTCCTTCTTCTTTTCTTTGTCTCATCTCCCTCACTCGCCGATCTGAAGGCCAGCCAGCGGCCGCTCCGGCGAGTTGGCATGGGAATGTACGTATGAGATACCCTTGCGGAAAAGGATGAGGCTGGGCCACTTGTCTAGACACTTTCTTAGGTAGGTATTGTACAGGGCGTTGCTCTGCGGATCTTGGCTGGCCTCCTTAGGGTTTGAAGAAGGTTATGTTCGGCGTATGCTAGGATTATGCTTATGATAGTTCTAATCTCTGTTGCATGACAAGAACCCACCTCGAGACATGGTTGTCGCGTCCCTGAGCAAGCAGAGGCGAGGGCGGACTTGGTTGACTTCTGGGCAGCCCCGGGGAGCCGGTAAACAGGTGTAACATAATTCTATCCATGTAAGTAACTGTGTTTCGTTGGATGAGCCGTACGTTACTTGCGTCACTCAATACAAATTGCCATAAAAGGAAAAACCTTATTATCTCAAGGGACTCCAGAAATCACGCAGGTGCCGCAAGACGATGTGCAAGACGACGACTGGTAGTATGATCCCCTTGCAAACCTTCCGGATGAAGTGTTTCCCCGTTGAGTACCCGGCATGCGTCTTAGTGTCTAGAAGAAGCTAAACATTAGACATCAAACGAAGGCCCCGGGGCGGGTGACGACAACCCGGATGGGCATGGAAACGCTTTAAAGTCACCATCGAATGCGGAGCGAGAGAATATTGACTGTCCCGGGGTCAACAGGGAAAAGGATGGATAGCCCCGCATGATGATGATGAGGATGTCTGATGTGGTGAGTGGCAGTGTTGATCTCCGGCCTCTTCCTTTCCGAGGACTCGGGAGAGCCAGGTGACATTCCCGTTGCCCCTCAAGGAAGTCACAACACTCGTTAGGACTATAACAGACTCCTAAAAGGACTGGATCCCCCAAAGCAGTGCTACATGCAGAAGAGTATGCAGGACGGGTGGATGGCTCTCGATGAAGGGAACAGGATCCTCATCCTGAATGCATGCTGCCCTTCGGAAATAACCGCTGTTCATCATCACTGTGCAAATATACAGGGTATTATACCAGTAGTTGCGCTGCACGGAATGTATACGCTAGAACACAAATATACCTCAGCTTATACGCAGAGACAGGACGGTCCAAGCCACGCGTCAGAATCGCCATCACCAGCTCCCCCCCCCCCCTTTTCCCCCCCATTTCCCCCGGCCAGTAAGAATTCCATTCCATTCCAACCCCTTTCTCAGCTGGACGCGCGCCTCTAACGGGCCTTATCCCCTTTGTACCTCGACCCATAACCCCATCTATCAGGATGGTAACCGGCTCCGGCACTCCAAGGACCACCACCACCACTCTCTCGACGGGACGGATATCCGTCCTCTCTCTCCGGTTCTGATCGCCCAAGCGCAATGGCTTCCATCTCTCTCAGCAGGTCGGCGCCACATTGTGGCTCGATTTCCTGTCCGTCCTTACCGACCAGGACCGACAGGTTCTCGTTGTAAGCGTTCTTGAGGTGGCCGATGCGGAAGAAGTCGACTGACGTTTTGCTGAGCCACTCCACGTAGAATGGGTGCTAAAGTTCCCATAATAAAGTCAGCGATTACGATTTCCAGAGGAGAGGGGTGGTTGGGTGGAGGGGAGCTTTTTGGCGTAGAGGCGCTGGAAAGTTGAAAAAAAAGGGGGCGATGGACGACCCAAGAGGGGTTTTACATACGCTAGTATCCCAGTTGAGCGCCTTGACCCATCTGGGGGTAGGAATGTCCGGAGATGGTGCAGATGCCATGCGTGCCTGGAAGAAGAGATCAGTATTACTACTAATGGGACAAAACGGAGAAGAGAGAATGAAGTTTGGAAAAAAGAAGGGAAACGTTGGCCAAACTTACATATCCCTGGAAAGCTTTGCTCTTATTAACAGAAAAGAAGAATATTACATTCCTGCAGTCCTTGTAGGCCTTTGTGAAGAGTCCTCCATTTTGAACTTGTGTGGTCCAGATGCCCTGGAAGAGTCAGTTGTTTTGTCACGTGAAGAAAGAAGAGAGGGGATGGCGGCGCGTTCAGATTAGGTGGGGATGATCAGCACTTACATCGTCCATGCACTGTCGCACGTTCTCCTCAGTGAAGGATTTCAAGATGAAATAACGGGTATCTGCCGTAATGTCAGTCATAAACACAGCCTTCTGAGACACAGGGAAAGGAAATGGGAAATGATCGGTCCTAGTACTCACCACCCTTGCGACCCAAATCGATGGGGACTGGATATGTCCTGTAGCTCCTCGACCGCTCGGGCCTTGGAGGATAGTCGTCGTGGCTGCCGTAATTATCAGCGCCGGGCCTTGGCCCTGGACGAGATGGCCGGTAGGGAGAGGGCTCTCGGGGTCGACGATACTCGTGGCGGCTAGGAGACGGCGGACGCGGGAGCCGAGACGGCGGCGAACCCCGGCCAGGGGACCTTGGGGGCTGCACAGCCTTGCCGGGGGGAGAAGGCTGCCGGGTTCTGGTGTCAACCTCGGATAAACTGTGTGGAGGTGCTTCGCTCCGAGGCACCTTTGCCTGGCGAGACTCCGATGGACTTTCCTCGCGGGCTCTCTTGTCAGGACGAGCGTGCGGCGTGTCCTGTGGAACGGGCGTGCCTTTCCCCACGCCGGTAAGCGGGACGACAGTCGATGGCGTCAAAGCCATCTCTAGCGCTTCTTCCTCCATGAGCTTCTTCTCCTCCTCCTCAATCCTGCGCTTCTCCGCGGCAAGAACCTTCGCTCTCCGGAAGCGATCGAGCTTTCTGGTCCGAGTCTCCACATCGTCGTAGTTAGTCATCTCGAGCCAGTCCCTGAGGTCGGGCACCTGGTTGAGCAGCCGAGTGAAGGCCTCGCCAGACAGAGCCGATTCATCCGCACGACGTAATACTTCCGGGCGCTTGGCTGGCAAGGCAGCCGGGTCATCGCGGTAGTGGTTCGGCGCTGACCGACGCCTGGGTTCGTCCAGGTTTTTGCTGCCGGCCGAAGTGTGGTGGGTGCTACTGTCCTCGTGCTTGATGTTGCCGAGACTGGCGGCGGAGGGCCTGCGTGGCGAGCGCTGAGAAGGGGAGGGTAAGACTTTGTCGTCCTCCGCAGTTCGGGCGGGAGCAGAACCGACGGGAGGAGGTGGGCCCATCCCGGTGACAACCTGGCTGATACTATTGCTGTGGTGACCCGTCTTCAGCTTCTCAGCGGAATCGGCACTCTGAACCGCCGGCTTAGAAGCTGCTGTATGTGGCTTGCTCCCGCTGTCACGACGAGTTGGATCTTGGGCAGGTTGTCTTCCGGACGTCGGCTCAGTCTCCTTGCGAGCGGATTCCCAGCGACGGTCAGAAGCCGCGGTGGATGGAGCATTACTACTGCGCGAAACAGGCGTGGCCGACGGAGTCTTAGGGGCCCCCCTTCTCAACGCCGCTCCCCCTGACCTTGTTGCCTCTCCCTCCTGAGGACCTTTCCTTACGGGCGCCGGGTCAGTGTTCCCGCGAGCGGATTCTCGGCGACCTCCGCTAGCTGCAGCGGGCCGGGAGCCATCCGTGCGCAAAGCAGGCGTGGCCAAGGGGCTCTTGGCATCGGACCCTTTCAGCGTACCTTCGTCTGGGCTCGTTACCTCTCCCTCCTCAAGATTTGCCTCTTTGGCGGCCTTGTGGGAGACATGGCTGGGATTGGGCGGGCTAGCTTTTCGTGTCGAGCTGGTCGTAGAAAGAGTGAGCCCCGGGCGTCGGCCGTTGGTGGCGGCAGGCCGGAGACCAGATGACCCCTCTCCCTCCTTAGGCCTCTCTTGGTCGGCGGCAGCCTTGTGGGCCTCATTGCTGCGACTGGAACCGTCATTCTTAGAGTCCGGGGTGGGAGCCAGAAGGGAGGAAATCATTTGCCGCAGTTCGCTTGCCTCGGACCCAGATGACGTTGACGCAGAGGGCTGGGGGTCCTCGCGCGGCATTGACTGGGCCGGTTTCGTTTGGTCCGATGCGCGGACTCCGGGCTCGGATATGTTTGCCGGACTCGCTGGCGCAACACCAACACTGACGCCGGCCTTGGTAGCACTGGGTGACGGGTGTGCCGAGTTTGCGCGCGCTTGTGATTGGCTCCGGCTCCTGAGCAACTTCTCCTTCAGCTCAGCAGCGCGGGCGTCCAGCCCGATCCGGGTGGTCGGGGGTGTGCCCGACATGGCTTGTGCATGAGCCCTTCCAGGCGACTGGGACTGAGTCAGTGAAGCGCTCAACAAGAGGTGAAGAAGGAGTACATGGTGAAGACATAGAAGGCGCCTTGCTCACATTGGCACTGTTCGTCGAAAAGCCGAGATCGGTTGAAGGGGACGTGTAAATGCTACTGGCTGAGCCTATTAAATGGTCCAGGTTTGATGTGAAGTTGAAGTCATTGAGAATTGAACTCTGCCGCGGCGGTAGATAACCATCAACCTCGAAATTTGAAGCATTGGCAGCTGCAGATGATGGCGCCTGCCAGCTTTGTTCGTTATAGTGGCCAGGCCACATTGGATCCTTTGCGCGTGACGCTGCGTGGCGCGTGTATTGACGAACGCGACTGCTCGGGTTTCTCCTGAGAAATGGATGCCCTTTCACTGCCCTACCTCCAGCTAGGATAGAACTAGTATATTAGGATATTATTTGAGTCAGGTACGCATCCGAAAAGCACTGGGGCTGTGAACAGAAGAAAAATGTGGCAGATAGGCTTCCACAACACCGATGCATGTCCCAGACAAGCAGTCGCGATTTGATGTCAGAGTTCTCAACGGTGGGCACCAGCAGGGATTGCGCTGATTGGCTTGACTGTGTCCCACCTGCCCCAGTCCGTAAAGCACCGTACGTTTAACGGCATCCTTTCTTGATCATAACAAAACAACGAGAGTGCCCCAAGAAGTTGATGTGATTCATTGAGTGCACGACATCCGTCTGCCCATATGCATGTATGTCGCGGATATCGGTCTGATCATGCCGCTCTTCTTTCTCCCTCATCTCTTGCTCTCTGCCAGATCCCCTTCTCATCCTTCTCATCCTTCTCCATCAACATGCCTACAGTTCAAGTGGACATTCAGACCCCGCAGGAGGGTATTCTAATGCCACGGTGGGATTTGGCCCCGATTTTCTATCTGTTACTAACATTATGCGTTGACCATGACGCCCGTCTCAAGCGTTGCTATCGGGTACTGGGACCAGTAATGACAGCATAACAGAACGGAATAATCCAAGCGGTATCACCAGGATGATGTAGACAGCAGTCGCCCCATAAGGATGCAAGAGGAGGAAGAGAGAGCCTACCAAACTATCTGCGGCGTGATTGGGCAGTCGCTGTCAAACAGGTCGCTCTCGTCGTCCTCGAGTCTTCGTCAACCACTTCGCCGTCTGCATCCCAGTCCCCATTATTTGCTGGCCGAAATTCGTCTCCCCGTGATTGCGTCAAAGGCATATACATCAAGAGACGGCAGGTCGTGTGAAATAATCCTTCCTTAGAGATCGAGGGTTCCGTAAACAGGCGGCGAGTGTTGCTGCCTGCGTTTCTGTGAAAGATTCCCTAACAACAGTCCGGCAGCGATTTGGGTAGCGGTATGATGTGATGGTATCGGACAGCTGGGAGATGTTCAAATTAATGATGACTTGCTCGAGGGCTGGGTCGCTTGGTGGATGCTCGAGGAGGTCCTCACATATCCCCTCCATTCGGCAATGGAGATGTCACAACCATGGTAGCAGGGAGTTTGTTTGACCGACGGAGATGCACATTGTTATTTGGAGGTGGTGGTTTGAGAACTTGAAGACAGTCCCCAGTGTCGAGTTCCAAGGAGATGAGATGTTGGAGAGAGAGAAGGTCGGGCAGCCAGAGGGGCCGCGTCCAAATAAGCTGTATCCCTGGACATGATTGCGATAATGTAGCTGCCAGCTTCGCTAGAGACGAATCAGGTTGCGCAGGTGCCTACTACCTTGACTCATCGCTGACGCTCAAAGAATAGCTCGATTGTGACCATGTATGGGGCACTTCGCTTAAGCGCGGCCTCGTCCTTGGTGAATCCCCGAGACCGCCCAAGCCAGGTCGTACCAGGTTCGGGAAATGGTCAATTGGTGGATAGTATGTAGTTATCATAGGTGAAGAACTCAGAGCCCAAAAGCCAAGAACATGGAGAAGAATCCCTGGGGGTAACCGGGAAAGTGACATGGCGCTACCCCATATATGCCAAGAGCACAAGTAATAAGTGGAAGTTTATTGATGACAAAAGCTCGAGGCGAGCACACAGTTCAGTGCTGGTTTCTATTGTTTTGTTACTCCTAGTACGGATTACTACGTACGTGTATGTCGGGACATCCCCTCACCAAAGTGACCAAACTCTTGTCTCAGCGACAGCGCCTTGTACGGTAGGCAATCCGGCCAACCAATTTCCTGAGATCTGACCCACAACACCTCGATGTTGCACCCTCCAACATGTACCGCATCACGCCTCTTTTATTATCGCCCAATGACCAACACATAAACCGAATGCATTACGCGCAGGTCTCTGGTTTTCGTGATATCGGAGGCAATTCGGGCGCTGCAAACGCCGCCTTCGCCTTGCCAGTCTGCACCTTCTTAGCCGAGTCCCGAGCACCTGGCTTATCAAGGCGCCGGCGGTCTCAGGACGGTGGAACCTTCCGGGCCGCGTTCCGGAAATCTGCACCTTCGAGATCATCTCGGAGGATTCTCTAGCAATTCGTTCAGGGCTGCTTTCTGTTGATCCTGATCCCTGCTGCCATGCACTGGCAGCGCTTGTCGCAACGCTCATTGACGTGGATGCTGCAGATGCTGGCTTGGCTGGTCGTTGAGATTCGGGAGCGCTTTGTGGGGACGGAATCGCAAGCGAGTCTTGTGTTCCTGCATCACCGCATCCCCCCTGCATCGGTGCATCATATTCGCGCCCCTTAAGATAATCTTATCCCCCTGCCCATCCCCTGAGGCGCTATCCATGATCCGGTAGTTAGCCGCACAACAACGATATTCCCGTCGTCGACCCATCCCCACCTCGCCGTGTTTCATGCTGGCCCCCGCCTCGGACGAAGCGCGTTGCTGCCGCCGGCGGAGCTGCGCGGGCGGTTATGCGTTGTTGTTGACGCCTATGGCTCCCTCATGCAGAGTACAGCCATCACCGACTCGCCCATCGGCGCCATGACACCACCCGACGGCACGATGCTCAAATCCCCCGGTCTCCTCATCACACGACGGCCGACATCTCCCTTTTTGTTCATTATTTTAATAAGCCGCTTCGGGTGTCGTGGTGTAACGGTCGGTTCTGTCGTCAACTCTCCACCGGATGATCGCCCGGGATGGCTCCCTGTTGGCAGCGATCTGTTTCCTTCACCCTGCCCCGACGTTGCCGCGCCTATCAAGTAATATCAAGCAGGGGTCTGCTTCTCCACGCCTTGGGCCGTGTCTTGTGGGCTTTCATCATCGTGAACCCCCGCGGTCGAGGAAGCGAGCTTGCTGGCCCACCTCGGCTGGGACACTAATTTTACTGAAACACCAAGAGCGGTGGGCACCGGGCCTGCTGCCAAGGCCCAAGCTTCCCAAGGAATCGTCATCACTCTCTGTATGCAGTGTCTGCATGTTCTCTCCTTTGGTGGACCACGGATTCCACGCCCAAGAGGGAAGAACACCCGTTCAGGGGTAACATCACGATGCTCAAGATCCGCAGGGCGTCGACGGGATATAAGATGTGCTTCCCGTCCCAGTTGATGGACTGACTTTCTGCTCTCTCACCAGGCGCAAGGCGACCTTCAAGCAAAGCCATTCTTCCCATTCGTTCCTTGTTTAACAATACATTCGCTTCATTGACTGAAGACGGAATCTTCCTCTCTTTAACCACTTGATCCATTCATTCCGCTAGACGGTACCGCTGAGCTTGTTTGACCACCTACGCACAGCTTCTCTTCACACACACGACACACAAACAAAATACCACCAGCTTCGAAGATGCCTTCCATCACGTCCACATCTCTCCTTACCGCCCTCGCGGGCGCCGTGTCGGTTGCGGCCCACGGCCATGTCCGGAACATAGTCATCAACGGTGTCTCATACCAGGGCTATGAACCGTCGATGTCTTACATGCCGAACCCGCCCAAGGTGGTTGGTTGGACGGCCAGCAACCAGGACAACGGCTTCGTTGCGCCCGACGCCTTCGCCAGCGGCGACATCATTTGCCACAAGTCGGCCAAAAACGCGGGAGGCCACGCGGTTGTTGCGGCGGGCGACAGGATCTTCATCCAGTGGGACACATGGCCCGAGTCGCACCACGGCCCCGTCATCGACTACCTGGCCAACTGCGGCGACGCCGGCTGCGAGACCGTCGACAAGACCAGCCTCGAGTTCTTCAAGATTGACGAGGTCGGCCTGGTGGACGGCACCAGCGCCCCCGGATTCTGGGGCTCCGACCAGCTGATTGCCAACAACAACTCGTGGCTGGTCGAGATCCCGTCCAACATCAAGCCCGGTTTCTACGTGCTGCGCCACGAGATCATCGCGCTCCACAGCGCCGGCCAGGCCAACGGCGCGCAGAACTACCCGCAGTGCTTCAACCTGCAGGTCACGGGCTCCGGCACCGCTAGCCCCGCCGGCGTGCTCGGCACCAAGCTGTACACGCCCACCGACAAGGGCATCCTGGCCAACATCTACACCTCGCCCGTTACCTACGAGATCCCCGGCCCGGCCCTGATCGAGGGCGCCGCTAGCATCGAGCAGAGCTCGTCCGCCATCACCTCCTCGGCCACCGCCATCACCGGCTCTGCCTCGGCCCCCGCCGCCGTCGCCACCACCACCACCGGCAACGCCGCTGCCACCACCACCGCCGCTTCTTCCACCACCGCCGCGCCCGTCCAGACCTCAGCCGCGGCTTCGGCTGCCCCGGTCGCCTCGTCGACCAGCACCCGCCCGCGCCCGACCGGCTGCGCGAACGCCAAGAGGCGCCGCCACGCCCGCGATCTGGCCAAGCGCAAGCTCTAAGCTCTAAAGCTCTAAGGCTGGCTTGACGGCATAATAAACCGTTTCTCGCCCGGTGCGGTTTATTCCGATCAAAGTTGTGGGGGTTGTTACTAGTAGTAGTGTAGCTCCCCCACGATCTCTGATCTGTTTCTCTTCATTGTATATAGTATGGCTTTGCTTCATTCTTGTATCATATCCTTTTTGGAGGGGAGGGATGGAAGTGGTGAGGGGCGGCGAGTGGCAGGAGCCAGTGTGCGGATAGACAAATACGACTAACATAGGTCGGTGTTTGCTAAACAGAGGCTGCAGCGTCTTTTTTGAGACTGGTGCAGAGATTGTGCTGTGCATTGTGTGACAGATATCAAATGTGCTACTTTTGTGATGTGGTATGAGGTTGCTGGCCCTGACTAGTACTCCCTGACCGCGTGGCTCAGACGAAGCTGGCCTCTTGGTGAGTTTTGTAGCTATTAGTAGCTATACCCCTTCGACTGAAGAAAGGGCTGGCCGGTGAGCTTTGAAATTTCCCACCTTACTATAGGTATGTACTTGTACGTAGTATCCTGTTCCAGTTACCCAGCGTCATGAGACAAAGTAAGGTACCCATCCTGTGGTCCTGTAACTAACACATGGCAATCGTCACTCCTGCTACGCCGTCCTCCCTACACGTCAAAACTATAGGTAGCCGACATTTCGAAGCGGAGCTCAAGCGCTGTTAGGTCCAAGGTGGCCTGGGCCCGTCAGCAGAGTTGAACATCATCTACCTACGAGAAGGTGAAGTGAGCGCACAGTGGGGTTCAGCTAGAAAGAAGGATCAATGACTTGGATGTGTCCCGCGATTTAGTCCAAACTCACTGCTATTGACAGACGTTGTGTTGATCTGGTTGCACCTCGCTGACACCTGGATGGGTCCCACTTTTGATCTGCACTTCCCACGTGGTAGTGGATCCCCAGCTGCCCTATTTGGTACGGTATCCGTTCTGGAATCCTGGAAGGCATGCTTTGGCACTTTGCAGCTTCATTCACAAGCTGTTAGGCACCCTTTCCTCAAGCCTCGCACTATTGTCAGACTCACAACAGGGTAATGCTTACCGGTGCGACTTCGTAGACGAGACACCTTCCTGGCTCCGGGGGATGATTCACGAATGATCTTGGCTGCGCGGCTTCCCATGACACGATGCTGGCGAGGTCGTTCTCTCCTAACAGGCCCAGCATGAGATTCAACGGATAGGCGTCTTAGGACGAGCAGTAGCGACTTGAGTTTGTTCATCGCGGGACCGAGTCACTGTCTCCCATGAACTACGCGGGTGGTAGATTCCTGACCTCCACCTGTTACGCATTTTTAGATGCCCGGTACTTGTTCTTTTACTCATCAGCAGAGCGTCGTGTCGCGCACAGGACGACACGTTATACATCGGAAAGCCTCTGCACCACAATTTATTCCACATCTTCAATCCCTCTTCTTCACGGCCTGAACCAAACAATGTGGTGGATCGCGCGTAATCCGAGCAAGCTGCCGTCTTGCGAGATGGCGACCTTGTCAGGTCCACGAGACGAAGCTGCGAAATCCAGCACCTGGACTGAGCTCTCTCTTGAGTCGCAAGGAGTCGAAATACCAACTCCGGCCCGGTTATGTCGGCCCAAAATCAATCACATGTCCAGACACCAGTTGCTGTACCTCTTGCTCCAAGGCGTCAGCGCCATGCTCATCGCGGGAGTGATCAACTTTATCTTTGGGTACTGTACGTTCTCGCCCCTTCCACCCTCCTCTCCTCCCCCCCTAACCCCAATCAACCATTCCCAAGATCTGCACCGATACACAGCTTTTCATCTCCTTTAATTCCCTACTCCTGACCAAAGAACATCTACAGTGGACTACGTCGAACCCTACACGGGGACCTTCCCGCCCTTCATCTTCGGCTCCAGCGCGCTCTTCGGCGACCTGGCCATAACCACGCTGCTCACGGGCATCGCCACCTGGATGTGCGCCCTCGTCCTTGTCAACTGGGATCTGTGCCGGGGCCGCGTGGCGCCGCTGCACTACACTTGCGAGCTGCGCAGCTCTTTCTTGCGCTGGTTCATGTTCCTCGACCACTACAATAGCGAGCGCGGCAGCTACTTGTGCGGGTGCTGTGACCGGGGCATGGCGCGGAAAGTGATGTTTGTGCTGGCCAACGTGGGAAGGGGGGTCCTTGTGGCCATGTTCACGATCCTCCTGACCGTTGGGCCGGCGGTGGGGCTTTTGGTCTTTGCCGGCAAGGAGTATCAACGGCGCCAGGTGTTCCAAGGGCGGTGGGACGGCCCGGTTTTCAAGATGGTTTATGGTGGGCTGTTGGCGGGGCTGACCTCGCCGTTGCTGGCGTATATGTGGATGGTGAGGACCGGATGGATCACGGGTGAGTGGGATTGAGACGTAGGTGGGCGAGTCTGTCCCGGACCTTCTTGGCGGATGCCGGGCTGGACCTGGGCAAAGCATAGGAGCAGAGCATTACAGAGTATTTCTTTTATTCAGTCAGCGGTTGGACAACAGTGCAAAAGCAAGGTCATGGAATTTGTGAGCTTAAATCCTGGACCAGCGGTACTAGTAGTTGTTCTGGCAAGATACCTAGCCTGCGGCTATGCCGGCGGTAGAAATGAAGCGAACAACACACACTGGATCGAGGCGTACATCACCATGAACATGACAACGTGACTGCCCGTCTTCTCGCCGCGGCTGAGGCACCGGGCAAGCCAAAAGTACCACAACGGATACCCAGAGGAGATCCTCGTGATGATCTGCACGTGGTACGTGGTCAGCGCGAGCACCGTCAACAGCACTTGGGCCGCGGCGGCGGTCCGGATAAGAGACAACAGGCGACCCGACTCAGCCGGGTTGTCGGCGACAGGAAGTCGCCGACCCATCGTCAGTTCCTCCACCCCGGATTTGGACAGGACTACTAGCATCGGCGCGGCGAGGAGGAACAGTGGCAAGTTGGACACGGTCCAGTACCGGAGGAATCCGTTGTTCCTATGGCCTCGCGGTCAGCAGAGTCACCTCGCACGGGATGTCTCGGAATAATAAGCTTACCAATAGTGCTGCTGGACAAAGGCGAAAATGCTTGGCACGTATCCCTGACACCACGGCCTGAGTTGGGCTCCGGATGTGCCGGAGCAGAAGCGCAGATAGGCGACCGCCTGCGGGCCGAGCGAGCCAACAGCAACGCAAACTCCACCAATGCCAAGCGCGAACAGCCGACGCACCGTGTCGAGGGGCCGCCGAGGCAGATCCGGCAAGTTCCGCAGCACTTCCCAGGCGAACGGAATTCCGTTCAGGATGCCATTGCTCCGGAAGGCCGTGGCGAGACCAAAGATGACTCCGGCCAGGACGGTGTAGAGATCGCGACGTGCCGGCCTCTGCTCGGCCCGGCAGCCTAAGGCGAAGAGGAGGTACCCAGAGAAGGCGAGCAGCGCAAATGAGCTCTCGGTGTAAGGCGCGGACAGGAATAGACCGGCGGGGGAGATGATGTGCAGCAGGGCAGCAACCAAAGATAGCGTCTGGTCACGCCAGACCACCTGGCCGAGCCGGTAGAGTACCAGGGCCGAGAGCAGGTGGGCCGTGTTGGCGACGAAGATGCCCGCCACGGCTTCCGGGATTGCTCCTCCATCGGGAGCGGATGAGACAACACACCCGAGATGCCGAAGGCCTGATGACAACAAGATGGCAAAACAACAAATAGTCAGCGCCGGGAAGCCTCGTGAACATTGGGTCAGGCAGATATGGAAAGAAGGGCAATGAATGCCATAGCTGGGTCACAAGTCCTAGCTCGGACAAGCAACGAAATCACCACTCTCTCACCTTTCAGGATACTCCCCACCACGACCGGCAAGCCCCCCCCAAACGCCCACTCCTGCTCGAACCGGTATCCCCGGCGCGCAATGCTCACAAAGTAGATGGCGTCCCAGCTAGTAAACCGGCCGATCAACCGTGGCCCAAGACCCGTCAGCTGGCCAGCACCCGCGCCGTCGCTGCCGGCCGGCCCCTGCACGACCAGTCGTGCCGAAGTGTCGTACGCATCGCCTATGATGCTACTTCCCAGGGCGATCGCGAACAGGAAGAGCTTCCACGCCACGAAGGCGGCAAGTAGCGTGCGGTAAGGGCGTCGTGTTTGGACGCGGCTCTGTGGGGGCATCGTCTGAACCGTAAGGGGCAAGGGAGAAAAGGGGGAAGAAAAAGAACAGAAACCGCGGTGCAACTTCCAGGTTGTTAACACATGTGATATTAGTGAAGTACAGAAGCACACACGGTAAGATACGACATGAAGACAGTTTGTTGCTATAATTGAACTTCAGGCACGGGGTTTTGCTGCTGTGCCGGATCTCGAATGTTTCAGGCCAATTGCCAACCATCTGACGACGTTACCTGGTAGTTGTGAGCTTGGACTTGGGGCCCCAATTGCCCTGATGCAACCCTTGTTTGCGGGCTAAGATGAAGACCGGGCTCGGCGGACCGGCATTTGGGCGCGCCGATGCCCCGCGAGCGCAAGCGCAAAAGCCGCACTCGATGCAACCTATCCAAATCCCAAACACCTGGTTCGGCCGGTTGCTTTGCCGTGTGGTTGTATGTAAGCGGCTTATTAGAGGTGCCGGCATCAATGGATTTTGTTGGTGGTTGGTACTCGAACGGACCCAACATGAGCAGTACTACTAGTAGTACCTACTATGTGTACTGTACTAGTGCTGTGCGAGTACTTACATTAGTTTTACGGAGCACACTAACCCTCGTCTGACATTGGCATCAAAAGTTGGGGCCCGCCGTCGTACAGCGTGGCAACTCGACAAAACCCCATCGAAATTGCCGCCCACCAGCTCCGAGATTTCCGGAGCACAGATGAGACAGGTGTCACGCCAACTTGTCCTAACCAGTCCGACTACTTCCGTCGAGTGTGGTGTAGGTAACCATATGAGGTCTCCTGCGAAACGAGCCAGCAACCCATCCGCTGCAAAGCATGCCCAGCCTCGAGAGACGGGCCGCAACTTGCCAGGCAGGTTCCGTTCGGTGAATTACAGAGACGGGCGGCTGGTGTCCACTTGTGGCCGATTCACCGCCATCGTGGGCTGCCCGGCGACCTCGAAACTGCCCTTGAGGACTGTTATTTTCTCACCGTGTCTACACCGTAGGTAGCCACGTGGTAGCGTACCCTGACCCTACGAGGCTAGCAACAGGCAATCTTGAGTTGAGGCTTTCCTGCCAAATCTTCTTCCTCCCTTCCGACGACCCGATCTTGTATCACTCATTAAATAAGAAGGTGCGGCCGGTACAAGGATGGAAACCAACGTAAATGCGCATAGGCTGCTCAGCTGACTTTCCTGGAGGGACCACCTGGACAACCGCGTGGGACCTAGCTTGCAGCGAGGCTGCGTTCGCAGGTCCCACCCACGGCATCGGAGTTCATGAAGGAATCCGTCCCCGGGCGGTGGGTCCGTGGAGTGGGACAAGACGTCAGATTTGCTAGGCAATAACGTTAATAATAACACATCCCATTTCCCTTTCGATATCAGCTTCATTGATCGCTGACCGCTTTGCTTAACGTATGACCGCAAGACGACGACTTTCTTTTGTTCTCGATACTCACCGTTTCCGGCCATTGCATACGCCATACGCACATAGGTACGAGGACTTTTCGGACGGCGACAGTTCAGGAGACGTCTATTGCAAGGAGGGGAGGGTTGCACAAGGCTATGATCGCAATCGCTGCTGGGCGCTGTGTGAGAATCTACATACAGGACGAAGAACATCCCAAGCATTTGGATCAAGCAGACACAGCTCCCAAAGCTTGCCATACGCTACCGCGCGGGAGTCCCCGGTGCATGTCGCCATTGCAACGCAATTGAATCCCGCTGCTGCAGGTCCCGGTGGAGCCTTTCGCATGTGGTGGAGACTTGGACATTTGAGCCGGGAGCTTCGTCCAGCAAAGGTGGTCAGCTCATTGCTAGGAGAGCTCGACTCTCAGGCGCACCATTGCGTCCGCGCAGCTTGAAGTTGCGCCAGCGAGGCTGGTCCTTTCCGCGACTTTTTTCTTCTCCGACAATCCCTTTCGGTTTTCTTTTTGTCTCATCCTCCTTTCTTCAAGGCGCCAGCCATTCGAAACGATGTTTCTGCATTCCGGGGCGAGCCTCCACGGCCACGAGTACTCCAACCGCCCATCCTCGAACGTGCACATACAATCGCCTGCCCATCTGCGAGCGCCCTTACTGCGATCCGCCTTCGCTCCCCCGAAACAACGTGCGCGCGCTACGTCAGAGGGCACGCCGACACCCGTCCTCCGCCGACGACCGGCTTCAGACTACATTCCCCGCGCGCCCTCGCCCGTGGTCCGCTTCCGAGAGCCCGAGGACGAGCCTCCTCCCACCCCGGCGACGCATGACGGGTCTATCTCCGAGTCCGAGCTCAGCGATATCACGCTCTCAGTCGACGGCGCCGCAGCGCCACGGACCGGTCGCTCGAGGCGGTCGCGACGAGCCCAACGCAAGAGCACCACATATTATCTTGGATACCCGGCGCCGAGGATAATTGGCAAGACAAAGGTTGTACAGCAGGTCCTCTTGCCGAGGCTGCTCTTGCAACTCCAAAAGGTCGGAGAGGATGGGAAGTCACAGCCTGTGCTCGAGGTCTTCCCAGCGTCGCGCATCGCCGGCCCTGTGGTCGCTCCTCGGTTGGCTAAGAGGTGTCCGGACATTTTTGGGGCCAAGCGCCGTCTAGGATACGACGACATTGTGCTGGTGAGGAGGGACGATAACGACACAAGCTCGGACGGCACGGAGAGCGAGGTTGAGGAGGATCTGGAGAGGAGGAATCTCCTGGCAGTGTACAGCCCGCTGAAGCACTCGGAGGAGGCCGAGATTGTGCTTGACGACGGTTCGGTATGGGTGGCCAAGCCCCTGGCCAATGGGTCCTTTGACTTTGTCCACACCGATGCGGAGGGCAACACCACAACGGCGCGGTGGGCGCGCAGGCACACGGTTGCTGTTACTCCTACGTCTCTCTCCACAGAGACATCGTCTTCTTCCTCGTCTTCTCCCCCGACGCGGTACACCTTTAGCATCATCGATCCGTCCACCCGTCGCCATCCGGTTATGGCCACATTGACACCCTCCACTCTCGAGGTCCGAGATACCTACGCAGCTGTTTCTTCCTCCCGCGGTCGGCACCCGCCCATCACCAGGGTGGGTCGGTCCTTATCAGTGACTTCGTCCCCATCATTAGCTCCATATTCGCCCTCAATACCATTATCTCCCGGCGTCACGAGCGACGGCGAGAACGATTCCGCAGTCTACCTTCCTTCCTCGCCAAGTCATGATCCATCGCAGCCGATAGTCCACGAGGTCGACGACGCCACCAAGATGCTTATCTCTGTTACTGCCCTCTGGGTGGCTCTTCGTTCGGGCTGGTCCAAAAGCTACAACTCAGCCAGCACCACCCACGAAAGCGCAGCGTCGCCGGGAGCGACGGCCCAGCGGAACCGCAGCAGGAGAAACACGTGGAACACGCGCTCCTCGACATCCGACACACCGCGGCCGCCGGACGTCCCTGGCGCAGAGCCATCCCGGTGCGCGAGTGTGTTCAAGCGGTACTCTATGCCCGCGCACCCGGGGGAGAGCACCGTCAAGCCTCCCACTCCGAAGCCGACGCCGCCGGCATCGCGCACATCAACACCCACCTCCTTGGTCGCCGCCCTAGACGCCAGACCGCTCCCGAGAAGGGCGACAAGCACAGGCGCGGCGTTCATGCAGCGGCATCTGCAGGCCTCTTCTTCCCTGTCTGCTCACCCTTCGCCCGAAAGGGCTGCTGCCGTGGAGTCTGACGCGGAGAGGAAGGGACATCCGCCCACGACAACGACAACGGCCGCGCCATTGGCGCCCGCTCCAACACCACCAGTGAAGCCGGCAGAAGTTCAAATCAGCCCGGCGGGGCCAAGACCCAAGACAGAGAAGCGCTTTAGCATGCTCGCGAGCCCCAAGCCGAAATGGGCGGCTAAGGGGGAGGAGGATGGCACGTCAGACGGTAACAGTGGCAACAAGAAGAGCGGCGTGCGGTTGAGGCTGTCTCGCTGGATTCATAAGCTTGCGCCCTCCTCTCGCTAGCAGCGGAGGAGGCGCAGGGTTTCTGATAGTATGAGGTGCCGGCTTTGCGGCTCCCGTTGTCCATCTCTCCTCTCATGTTGGGTCGTGTGTAACATAGACTGTATGGATAGAAAGGCGTGCTGAATTTGTGATACCTATGGGATGCTAGGCGGTAGATATGGAGATACAGAACATGCTTATCTCTACCTACCTATTCATGCACAATACTACGCTCCGAGGAACATATTGATCTGAATTCTGGTGCCTGGAAGTTTCCTCGGCCCTCAGGGGGTTCGGTGGTGAGCAGACTGGTGTCAGGGCACCGAATCATAACAGAAATATCATTTGTCTGCGAAACGGCGGGACTCAGATAGATGGATCCTGGGACGAGGACTAAAGAAGGACATGGAGCTAGACAGAATCCAGCATGTGAACAAGGGCGGCTGCAACATGTCCACTTTGGATGGTGTCCGGCCACTTGTATATGTACAATGGCAGATCTAACTGTGCACCCGCAACACAACATCTCTCCTCATGCGCCCCAGACTTTTCCTTCCTCCCATCCTCTGAGAAACACTGATGAACCACAACACCACACCAAGAGGAAGGCGTCCCCACACGCTGGCTCGGGAAAGATCGACAACAGGAAACCCACCTGAGTTATGCGCGAGCCGAGCCGTAGCTCCCGCCGTTCGGGCAATGCAAACCTCCGCAAGAGGCGGGTGGATAAGTACCCGCCTGGCCAAGATTCATCAGGGAGGAACCTGGATATAGAATTGCGTCTTAGACTGAGAGGCGGACGGTTTCCGACATAGGTACCGTCCGTGGAATCCCACTTCACTTATCTGGTTAGGGTCTGTGTGCTAGAGTAGTGGATCACGAATCAAGGGCCACGGTTTAGGCAACACCAAACCAAGGCCACTGATCCAGGCTGTCTTGGCTACGGCAACGTCAGTGTGTGATGCCCAGTGTTTCCTCTCGGGGATGGGGCTTCGGAGTTGACTTCTGCGGACGGGGAAGTAACACTTCGGACTCCGGTCTAAGATATTTCGGCTTGCAGTGCTTTCAGCTGCCGCTAGCTCGCTACAGTGGCTACACCAATGTCGTTGTCAAGCACATGGTATATCCTTGTATGGTCGCCGTGGATCTGATGTTGCGTAGAACGGAGGTTTTTGATTGGCAAAGAAGACATGATGGAGAACCAGGACGCAGTCGGCTTTGATCCCGAACGAGCAAGCCCATCCCACCAGTGGCCTTATATACCACACCTGCTTCACTGCTTCACGGCTGGGGATGGAAATGGGGATGAAAGGAACTGGAACGTAAGAACATAGCTAATAGTTCGCCGGCCTCGACTTTCTAGCCTGTGTTTATCAATACACTAAAAACGGAACGACAAATCAGTAGTAGTGGGATACTAGTATTGCCCCGTCCCAGACAGAACAACCCTCCCTCCCCCTTAACCTAATCCAGCACAATTTCCACATCATACTCCTTCGACGCATCCAACGTGTACTGCGGCAGCGTCTCGGGCCCACACGATCCCGTCCCCAAGCCGTGATGCATCCAGTCCAGATGCAGAACCCGGTCCTCCCTCCTGCGGGCATGGAGCTCATACGGATGCTGAGCCTCGTCCAAGTCGCGGGCAGAGTAGGGCAGCACCGAGAAACTGGCGCCCTCCAGAGCGCCATATCTCGCCCGCAACAGCCGCCAGCGGTTATGCTTGATATTATCCCTGGCGGACAGTAGCTCGACCCACTGCACATCCGTCCTATTCCCAAACTCCTGCGGGTACTCGTACTCTGTTTTGATGAGCCTGTCGACCGGCGCTTCCCACTTGGCCACCATCTGGCTGAGCTTCTTGTCGCGGTAGCTCTCGTCGGGTCCGCGCCCGAGATAGCGGACAAGCTCGCAGCCGGAAACAGCCGTGACGAGACCCAAGCGACCCCATGCTCGGGGGAGCAGGTTGCCGGTTGGTTTGGCGTGGGCTCGGATGGAGACAGACGAGCCGTTGAAGTGGTAGGTCGCCGTGATCTCGAGTGCCCAGTTCAGCACGGGCGGAGCGATGCGGCTCTTGACGACGACTTCGACGGTGCCGTCGGCCCCTTGCCGCCAGGACGACTGGATCAGATGCTGCTTCGCCTGATGGAGACGACGGTCCCGCCAGTTTCTGCCAAAGTCGCACCCGCGATCGTTGTCGGTCTGCGCGCGGTAGATGTCGAAGAGAAGTGGCTCGGTGAGGACGTTGCGGCGACCTTTGAGCGCGACCGGGTCGGGTACGGGGCGTGTCCAGCCGACGAGAGCGCCGCGGGCGAGGTCGAACGTCCAAAACTCTGCGTGTTTGGACTTGATCAACAACGTTGTCTTCCTTTGGAGCACTCCTACTAGGTGCACGGAAGGCGTACGTGCAGGATCGCTAGGAACGATAGCCATGCTCGGGGCCGGTTGGTAGTTCTCAAGCGTCTGCAACTCGATCTGGCTCTGCAACTGGATCTGAGCGGTTGCAACACGCCAGCCCGCTGTGCAGCATCCCGTCGCCTCCGAGAGCTCAAAGGACAGGATTAGGTAGGCGAACCCCGTGTAGGGAGGCTTAAGCGCGGGGATGTCTAGGAGAGCTTCGGTATGTGGCTCAATGTCTAGAACTATGTGAGACCCAAAGTACGGAGCAAGGGGACGTGCTAAGACACTTACTGCTAGGGATTCGCACAGTGGCGGGCGACGTTATATTAACCCCAAAAGCATCCATAAGCATATACCGGCATGTTAGACGATCGAGAGTAACAAAGTCGTACCGATTCACGATCCGCACTTTGTTGCCGTCCTCGAGGCCGAGAATCTGGACGGGCTGGATGGCCTTGCTGTACTCGAGGAGACCACGGCCGGGACTGTGATCCGAACGACACAGCCCGTCCAAGACGAAGTTGTAGTCGTTGGGCTCATCGCCGAAATCCCCGCCGTAGCCCATGTACGGGATGCCGTCCTTGGTTTTCGTCCTCAGGCCCTGTAGGAACGCTATGCATCAGCTCTACACCCAAAAGACAGGGTAGCACATACAACCCAGCAACCCCTTCCCCTTCCCCCCCCCCCCCCCCCCAAAAAAAAGAAAGAAAAAAGAAAAAAGAGAAAAAAAAGAAAAAACCCAAACACAGTCACACTTACATGGTTTGCCCACTCCCACACGAAACCGCCCATCAAGCGCGGATACTTGTAAAAGAGATCGATGTACTCCTGGATCGCGCCCGGGCCGTTGCCCATGGCATGGGCGTACTCGCACAACACGAGCGGCTTCGTCCAGTTCCTATCCTTGGCGTAGGCCTCCGTATCGCCGATGGAGTGGTACATCCTGCTCAGGATATCCGCAGTCTGCGCATTCCGGTCGCCCTCGTAGTGAATCGGGCGGCTAGGATCGAAGGCCTTGATGAATCTGTACATGGCCGCATGGTTCCGTCCGTAGCCGGATTCGTTGCCGAGAGACCAGATGATCACGCTGGGGCGGTTGAAGTCGCGATGCACCATCTGCCGGGCGCGGTCGATGTAGGCCGCCTCCCAGTCGGGATTGTCAGACGCGAAGCCACTCCCATTGCCTCCCACCACGAACAGTCCGTGGCACTCGAGGTCGCTAAAGTTAACTGTGAATGAGCAGCCAATTCTGTCTTCGCCTGACACTGGCAGTTTGGGGGGGTATAAGTAGTAAAAGTAGCAAACGTACCATTCATCCAGGATCCACAGACCTAGCTCATCAGCGAGCTCGTAGAGCCTGGGGTCGTTGATGTAATGCGACGTCCTGACGGCGTTGATGTTGTGCAGCTTCATGCCGATCAAGTCCGCCTTGAGAAAGTCGTAGGGGACTGCGCGTCCATGGTCCGGGTGGTGCTCGTGTCTGTTGACGCCCCTCAACTTGACGGCTCTGCCGTTCACGGAGAACACGCCGTCGATCAGCTCGATGCGCCGGAAGCCCACTCTCTCGGCCAGGACGCAGCCCGGCATGCTGACCACCAGCTGGTACAGGTACGGCGTCTCGGCCGTCCATTTATGCGGGTTCTTGACGGGTAACTTGGCCGTAAGCATGCCGGCTCGCTCCGCGTCGATGGGCAGGGTGGCGACCTCGGCCCCGTCCGCGTCCAAGAGAGATATTGCGACGGTGGCGGGAGAGTTGACTTCGAGATTCACATGCAACCGGGCATCTAGGTAGTCGTCGTCTAGAACTGGCAGGATTTTGATGTCCGAAAAGTGGGTTTTCGGGAACTTGTGCAGCCACACATCACGGAAGATGCCACTTAGCCACCATTGATCCTGCATCAGAGATCAGCCTGGCGTCCTGTGGTGCCGACGGGGTGCAAGACGGGGCAACAAACGAACCTGGTCCTCGATGTAGCTGCCATCACAACGCTGGTACACCTCGACATGCAAGTAGTTGGGCCCCGGACAGCGGACATATGGGGTGATGTCGAACTCGCTGGGATTCCGGGACCCCTGGGAATAGCCGACCTCGCGATGGTTTACCCACACAGTGAAGGCCGAGTCCACGCCCTCGAAGCGCAGCCTCAGCTGGTGGTCTTTATCCTGGTCACCGAGCTCGAAAAGGGTCGCATAACGGCCGCACTCGTTGTCATCGATGGGCACGCGGGGAGGGTCAACCGGGAACGGGAAGTTGTAGTTGGTGTAATGCGGGCCTTTCCCGTAGCCCTGGAGCTGCCACATGCCAGGGACACGGATGGTCTGCGGCACGGCGGCCCACATCAACGACCGAGCGGCTAGAGTGTCGGTCGTCTCCCGGTAGAAGTCGGTGTGACCTTCCAAGGGAGATTTGGAAAGCTGGAACAGCCACGTCCCGGAGAGCAGCTGGGCTTTGGCGCGAGACACATCGCGCGAGAGGGCGTCATCACGGTTCCCGTACACGAAGAAGTGGGATCGCGGCGGCAGGGTGTTCCGATGAAGGACCGTGAGGTCGTTCCAGGGCGGAGTGGACGGTGGGTAGATCCAGGGTTGTGACTCGCCGGGTGGCGCATCATCGGGGATGCGCGCCGCTCCCGGCCTGCCGGAGGCCGTAATTCCTTGGGACATCGGCGCAATTGCCGACTGCAGTACGCTCGTGTTGGAGGCTGGAGTACGGACGGAATACGGATACGTATACATGGACCCCTCCGGCCTTTGGCTTCAGAAATCATTCATTCAAGTGATCCATTGCGGACCGTACCAAAGACATTGCCCGCCAGAAGTTGGGATGGAAGGTACAAAGCCTGGCATTGGTTCACGCTCTCCGTTGGTACTCACGATCCTGTGGCGGAAGGTCACCTGCACTTTCACCCCGCATCAACTGAGGGATGGGAGTTGGGGTAGGTGCAGGCGATGAGAGTTGCCTGCTTACCTAGGGTTAGGGTTGGGACCGGTTTCGAAAGGATGGAACTCACTTGCCCCTGACTGCCCTCGTCATTTCGCTGGATGCACAACACCCCACTTCACTCCAAGCACGAACCTTCCGGCAAAAGCAGCCGGCTTTACATTGTACATGTATGTACATACATCATCGCAGCTGTGGGCTCTCCATATACAGGAACGAAGACTTCAACGAAGCTTTTCACTGTACTGTGATTCCGTAGTTGAGATCGCCAGCCGTGATATCGGGTCCTTTTGTTTGTACTTTGATGTGTTTTGCTCGGCCTGTTCTTCCGTCCCGCCCTCCACATCGACGAACCGCGGAAGCAGATCCTCCATTCCTCTACTAAACGACGTTGCATTTACGGGAAGGCGGGACCACCAAGCCTGTGTCCACTGCCGATTCGCGGAATATCTCGCAAGGTCTTGACTAGCCATCCTCGACATCCTCTTGGGGTCCCGTGGGTCAACCATGGCCTCGGGCCAGGAACTGTTGATCATGGCGCCATGGGTCCTTGGGTTGTATCCTGAGCGGCGTTCGCGGGAAGCCGGGCAGATGCAGGCGGCTCCGGCTTGCGAGCTAACTAGAGTCTAGGCCCCATGTCTTCCGAGATGACCATGGTTCCCTACCGTGTAGCGTATATTAACTGCAATGCCTCTCTGCCGGCGGGCCCAGCGCCGTGAGGCTCTGCTTGTCATAGTACCGCAACCGCACCCGGTGCTAATATGAAGGGCCAGTTGGCGTTGCAGCTTCTCCTCGCCGCCGTGGTGGCTCCCGCCACGGCCGCGACTTGGAAGAACGTCAATATCGGAGGCGGCGGTGGCTTCATTCCGGGTGTTGTGTTCCATCCCAAGGTCAAGGGCGTCGCGTATGCCAGGACAGACATCGGAGGCCTCTACAGGCTGAACTCGGACGACTCGTGGACTCCCGTCACAGACAGCATCGCCACCGATGCGAGATGGTAAGCCCCCTGTCGTATAAGTATGTAGAGAGCAGTCACTGACGTAGCGCGCAGGGGAAACTGGGGCATCGACGCCGTCGCGCTTGACCCGCAGGATGCGAACAAGGTCTACGCCGCGGTCGGCATGTACACCAACAGCTGGGACCCGAATCCCGGCGCCATCATCCGCAGCTCCGACAAGGGCGCAACATGGGCGTCGACGGATCTGCCGTTCAAGGTCGGCGGCAACATGCCCGGCCGCGGCATGGGCGAGAGGCTGGCCGTGGACCCGCACAACTCCAAGATCCTCTACTTCGGCGCGCGCAGCGGCAACGGCCTGTGGAAGAGCACCGACGGCGGCGTCACCTGGGCCAAGGTGTCGTCCTTCACCGCCACGGGCACCTTCGCCCCGGATCCCAGCGACACGAGCGGGCTCAACAACGACAAGATGGGCCTCGCCTTCGTCACCTTCGACTCGACGTCGGCCGTTACCAACGGCGCCACGTCGCGCATCTTCGTCGGAACGGCCGACAACATCACCGCCTCGGTGTACGTCTCCACCGACGCCGGCGCCACCTGGTCTGCCGTCGCCGGCCAGCCCAAGAAGTACTTCCCCCACAAGTGCCGGCTCCAGCCTGACGAGAAGGCCCTGTACCTGACGTACAGCGACGGCACGGGCCCCTATGACGGCACGTCTGGCGCCGTCTACCGCTACGACATTGCGGCCGGCACCTGGAAGGACATCACGCCCGCGTCGGGCGGCGACCTGTACTTTGGCTTTGGCGGCCTCGGCGTGGACATGCAGAAGCCCGGCACGCTCGTGGTCGCCACGCTGAACTCGTGGTACCCGGACGCGCAGCTGTTCCGGTCGACCGACTCGGGCACGACCTGGTCCAAGATCTGGGAGTGGACCAACTACCCGAGCATGAACTGGTACTACGGGCTTCACACGGACAATGCGCCCTGGATCAACGCCGGGTTCGTCTCGCAGGACACCAAGCGGCTGGGCTGGATGATCGAGGCGCTCGAGATCGACCCCCTGGACAGCGACCACTGGCTGTACGGGACGGGGCTGACCCTCTACGGCGGCCACGACCTGACCAAGTGGGATACGGTGCACAACGTCAGCATCTCCTCGCTGGCCGTCGGCATTGAGGAGATGGCCGTGCTCGGCCTTGCTTCGGCACCTGGAGGGACGGAACTCCTTGCCGCCGTAGGCGACGACTGCGGGTTCACCTTCAAGAGCAGCAGCGACCTCGGCACCTCGCCCAAGACGCCCTGGATGAATCCCATGTGGACCAGCTCGACCGACGTTGGTGAGTATTTCTTGACCTGTTTCGGCTCTCCTTTTTTTTCTTTTTCTTTTTTTTTTTTTAGAAAAGAATAAGAGGCACACACTGCCGCAGCAAACGGACTAATTCCCGGTACTACTAGACTATGCCGGCAACAAGCCTGCAAACGTCGTGCGCGTCGGCAACTCCAACGGCGCGCCGCAGATTGCCGTTTCCACCGACGGCGGAGCGACCTGGAACGCCCATTCCGGCACCGACAACACCAAGAACAGCGGCACGCTCGCCTATTCCGCCGACGCCGACACCATCGTGTGGTCCTCGGGCAACGCCGGCGTGCTCCGCTCGCAGAACCAGGGCACCTTCACCGCCGTGGCCTCCGTGCCCTCGGGCGCCGCCGTCGCGGCCGACAGGCGCAACAACACCGTCTTCTACGCCGGCTCGGGCAGCGCCTTCTACCGCAGCACCGACACGGGCGCCACCTTCGCCAAGGTGGCGTCCGCCTTCGGCAGCAGCAGCAGCAGCGTCACCGCCGTCAAGGACATCGCCGCGCACCCGGCCGTGGCGGGCGAGGTCTGGGTCAGCACCGACGCCGGCCTGTTCCGCAGCACCAACTACGGCGCCACCTTCGCCCAGATCGGCGCCGGCAGCATCACCAAGACGGAGCAGATCGCCTTTGGCAAGGGCAGCGGCTCGGCCTGGAACCTGTACGCCTTCGGCACCGGTTCCGCCGGGGCGAAGCTCTACGCCAGCTCCGACAGCGGCGCGTCCTGGATCGACGTCCAGGGCAGCCAGGGCTTTGGCTCCATCGGCGCGAACAGAGTGGTCGGCAGCGGCAACGTGGCCAACCAGGTCTACGTCGGCACCAACGGCCGCGGTGTTCTGTACGCCCAGGTGTCTGTGCCGGGTGGTGGTGGTGGTGGCAGCGCGCCGAGCTCTTCCGCCGCGCCGTACTCGACCACCTCTACCGCTAGCCGGACAAGCAGCGTGCGCACCACCCTGACCACCTCGACCGTCAAGACTACTACTACTAGTACTACTGTTCAGAGCTCCACCAAGACGAGTGCGGCGCCCACCACTTCGACGACTGCGCTCGCCCAACGCTACGCGCAATGCGGAGGTGCTTCGGTAAGTCCTTTTTCTTTTCAGTGTAGCGTAATAAGACAGCGAGGAAAAGGAATGACTGACATCACACAGTGGACTGGCCCGACCCAGTGCGTGCCGCCTTACACTTGCCAGAAGCAGAATGAGTGGTATTCTCAGTGCCTGTGAGAGGTAAAAGAGAGAGATAGAGATGTCCCAACGGGAAAGGGGTTGAGGGGAAGGGGTTCCAATAAGTTGAGGGATGTGAATATTCTTGTTCGCTGTACATGCTTACGACTAGTAGTATTTGTCATTCTATCGTACATATTTGCCTTCATCTAAGGATATATATGCTCTCATCTACCAGCTCCTTTCTAATGTTTCCTCCCCGCAACCGCCCTCGCTCTCGCACCCTCTCACTCTGCCCCTTTCTATCCACTTTCTGCTGCCATCCAGCCTTCTTTGAGGCATTTCTCCGCCACTTTCCACCCCTTTCTTTTCTCCTTTTTCCTCTCCGTTCCATATCTCGTGTAACTGTTGCATCTACCTTGCTAGCTAGCTGAGGAGGGAGAGGCTGCGTGAAAGCCATGCGGGCGATAACGTTAATTTTGGGGAAAGGATATTTGTAAGGATGCTGGTTGCCCAGCCAACTCCCAATGGCAGTGTAAACAATCACAGCCCCTTTTTCCTCCACTGTTGTGCAGAGACAGCCACAAGGACACCAAAGCTTGGATCCCCCGTCTCCAAAAGCCCGAAGTCAACGGTAGACACGGTTGCCTATACGGATAGAGATCAGGTATTCTATTCAATCTACCCACTTTAACAAGTCTCTCTGCGTCAGACGGAGAACAACCCCTGAGGAAGTCAAAGCCGCACTCCGCCCTCCTCGGCAAATGGCCACGGCTCGCAGCGGCAAGGAGACCAGCAACATCATTCAGCAATTGCCGAGACACATACAAGCACCCCACTAGAACAGAACACATAACCTAGCATCTTTGGGGGTTGAACCCCCGGCCGCGAAGCAGTTGGCGAATCCGCTTCGAGCCCCTCGATAGCGCTTTCATCCTCGCGGAGACCCATCCGACAGACCTCGGCCCTGCCGTTCAACGCTCATGAATCATGACGTCCCTTCTCCTGTTGACACAGCAAAAGCCCAGGTGTACAGCATGTCTATCGGGTTCTAATCGGCTCCCCTTCAGACTGACTGATAACGGGTGTACTGACGTCACTGGTTGTGCCTTCCCCCTCACATGCGGCATACTGGGGCAGTGGCTTCTTGAGGACGGGAGAGGAGCCGACACGGCTGTCTGCAGCTGCGGCCTCGCATAGGTAGAATCCGATCGCCTTCTGCTCGGGCTTTCCGAAGCACGGTGTCGGTGACTACAACACTCCGGTCCGCGTACCTGACCCCGCGCTGACTCATAGAGTTATCGCGGCTTGTTTGTAGTCCAACCTGCATCATCCCTGGTGGGCTTGTGAAGGACATCCTCGATGAGGAAGTTCGCGAAGCCTCAACTCACTTGGAAGCCCACAAGATCGAGACACGCTGGAGATAGGTGGTTACGTCATAGATGACTCAACCTCCAAACGGTGAAGTTCGAGGCATCTAGTAAACGGTGGGATGTGAAAATGACCCGCGGGGGTCGTCAATGATCTTACGTGCCATACATTAGAGTACCAGGACGTAAAGCCTGGAAAGACTCAGAAGAGTAACAAACGCTATCAAGCGAAAGCCTTGGCCCAGCCCACTCCGTACCCCGATCCGCACGCCGATCCGCTTCACTACCCAGTTGCAAACACCACCCTACCATCCGTAGACCGTCCAGACTGAAGCGAGAGCGCGATAAGAGAAATAACCGAGAGGGAGGCCCGCGCCTATGTGCGGGCTGAGATGGTTCAAGAACCGGAGATAGGGGAATTTCTTGATGATTCAGGGAACGAAGGCGAGAAGAAGGACTGCTTGGCGGCGGCCTCTGAAAGCCTAGCAGGTAGCACCTGAAGCGCTGCCCGCCTTCGGAATTGCACAAGCGTCGGGCTGCTGTTTGTTCGAGGATAGCCAGGGCAAAGGAACGCTCATGTCCACGGCAATTTATTCCTCAACCTCCATCCCTTCGACTCCGTTCTCGCCGCCGTCTTCAAAGCCGGCAGTTAACCCCAGAATCCGCGCGTATTGAACAGTTAGCCGCTGCAGGTCGCGGAATTTGCCTGTTTCGAGGGCGGTTAGCAAGTGATGACGCCAGTTGATATGGCATGCATGAACTGATAACTCACCCAATATCAGCACTACCCCCTTCAACAACTCCTTCCTGTCCCAACCACAGAGGGTCACCTCTTTGCTGTACCACCCCTTGCCCTCAGAGCCCTTAGCATCACTCGCCTTTTCCTGCAGCACGCCTCCCATCAGGCTATTCAGGAGCTCTTCGACCTTGGTCCTCAAGCCTTCGGCGCCGATCCGCTTGGCGTACATGAACAGATACAACCTGAATTCCTCCTTGGCCTCGAGCGCCAGCGCGCCCGCAATGCGGTTCTCCAGATGCGCCACGCTCACCGTGCTCTCGAGCCCCTCAAACCCGTCCTTGGACAGCAGAGTCTTAATCATGCGCTGCAGGGTGAAGGCGCGGCCCTTGAGCAGGAACTCGGTGGTGGTATGCCGTTCCAGGAAAGGTATGATGCCAGCCGACACGCTGACCTCGCCTTCTGACGTCGTCTTGTCGCCTGGCCCGCCGTTCTTCGTGACCGGCCCGACCGCGGTGGAAGAAAGCGCGCTGACGGACGAGTCGTTGCTGTTCCAGTACTGGCTACCTAGCGCCCACCACGACTCGCTCAGCCGCTGCCAGGCATGCATGCTGGACGAGTAGTAGAAGCCGTCACCGTTGCTAAGCGTGACGACAATGGCCCCGACGCTGTTGAGGTGCGCCGAGGTGACGCCCGGTCCGGGACTGGCACCCTCGGAGGAGAGCGAAGTGATGGCGATATCGAGGATTGGGCTGAGAGAGACGGGTGGGTGGGGGGCTGACATGGTCTTGATGTCAAACACGTAGCAGAGGCCGGCCGAGGTGATGCAGAGAAGCCAGTGCTCGCGGGATTCCAGGATGACCGGCTGGGATTCCATGATGATGCCGTTGAGGAGTCTGCGGCCCGCCGGTGTCCATGTGTGGAGAGAGCCGTCCTCGCAAGCGGCAGCCCAGAAGTGCTTGTTCCCGGTGACGAGAATAATGGCGCGTGGGAGGAAATCCTGCCATAGAAGCGTGCCGCGTTTGGTGGCCGTGATGCGTGACGGCTCGCGGAGTCTGGCGGGGTTTCTGGCCTCGAGAATGATGTTCTCGGGTACCTTGGATGCCTCCTCAAGACTCGACTCTCCTTGAAGGACGCCTCTCTCAAGAGGCCTGAGGATATGGGATCGTACCTTGGGAACAGCTAGCCTCACCTGGGACAGAGAGATAGCGGGGTTGACGACGGCCGGCCGAAGGTACTCTGGCGTGGGCACAACACCTTGAGCCGGTGCTGTCAGAAGGGCAGGTTCCAGGCCGTCCGGCGTGTCGACCATGATCGGTACAGGGGCTGCCGACGACCGTTTGTTCGGCGAGTCTTCTTCTTCCTCTCCTTCCATCGCAGCAGCTTTCCTCTTGTTTCCGAGCAGCATCGTGGCGATACCACCCCTGGGTAGACCGTGGAACGGCTTGGAGAGGTCCAGTATTGTTTGCGGCGTATCATTCTGTGTTGGTTTTGTTGACTTCGCGCCAACCAGCTGCGACTGAGGTAATGATAGGAGGCCGGTGGCAGAAGAGGAGACGAGCAAGGGAGCCACGCGCTTCTTCCCGTCCTTCGTAACCTGCACGCGAGACTTCAACTCGGCTATTCGTTCAGCCTTCTTCTCTGCGCTCTCCTCGGAAGGGGCCGCCTTCTTTGGCGCTTCATTTCTCGTGCTCTCTTCTCCGATGCCGTTAGCGGCGGCATCTTTGGCGGCCGGCTTCGTGCCGTTCGTGGCGGCCGTTTCTTTTTTGTCTGCAGGTTCGAAGTCTCCCATAAGAGCACCCATCCTCGACTCGGCCCCCCGCAGCTCTCCCTCTTTGCTGTGATTCTCCAGGTGAAGACCGTCAACATCCTCGGCGGTCCCCATCCCCTTCCTCGATCCGCCGTATTTTTGCAGCGCTTTGTCATTCTCCTCCGAGGTTGCGACCCAGCCCAACTCGCCCACCTCGAACTTGACCACAACAATACTGCCATCCAAACTCGAGGCAAACAGTGTCTGGCCGTCCGGGGTCCAGGCGAGATCCGAGATTGATTTCGAAGCCGCGTCTTGCACGATGACGACCGGCCTCGAGGTAGTGGTGTTCCAGATACTCAGTGTCTTGTCCTGCCCAGCGGATGCAATGACCGTCACAAGCCCCGAAGACGCCTTATCGCCCGACCCTGTCTCGCTCGGCTTCTGCGTATGAAACAAACGCGGAGAAAACATGCAGACTTCTGTGGGCGCTTCGTGGCCGATGAGGTTGATATCACAATCCCATCTGGTGCGCTCAATGATCGCAACACTGCTCACCGGACCGTTCACTGCGTTGGCCGCTGCGATATGGTTGCCATCCGGTGACCAACTGCACCTCCGGAAGTATGTTGTGAGCGGCGAACTCTTGAACGGCGCGCTGATGGTGGTTTCGAGGACAAAGTTATTCACCATATCGTGTTGGGTGGCGTTCGGTGGCGGAGGCGTAAAGCGGAAGATCTTGATGTGTCGATCGTCGCCCGCGGTAGCGAAGTACTTGTTCGCCGGGTCGAATGTGATGCCTTTGACATGACTCTGGTGTACGGTGATTGTCTTCAGTTTCTCGAAGGTGTGGCCCGACCATACAACCACTTTGGAGTCCAGTCCCACGGAGACGAGAATGGAGTTGTCGTAGGACCAGGCAAGGTCTTGGACGTCGCTGTCATGGCCGACGAGGCGTTTGTGCGTCTTCCAGTTCTCTATCGGCGGCGGTTCGTTTGTACCTGTGGTGACTCGGTCAGCGAACACCAAATTGGCCTATCCCATCCCGTTTTGTTGCGTACCAAATGTTGCTGCGTGGGAAGGTGGGCTGCGGTCGAGCTGGTATATGCAAATAACTCTGTCATCGGCCCCAGATGCTAGGTAGCGGCCGTTCGGCGAAAAGCGGACAGAGTGAATGGTGCCCAGGTGGTGGCTCATGTGACAAAGCTGCCGTGGCTTGTCGTAGTCGGGGTCGCTCGAGTTGTAGACGGCATCGGTCGACCAGATGCGGACGTGTCCATCTGCGCAAATCCGGTCAGTTATTGACCGCTAACGAGTCGGTCATTCGAGAGCCTACCTCCTCCGGCTGTCGCTAGGCGGGAGCCATCTGGCGAAATGTGGCAACTGTAGACTTCGAAATCCTTCTGCTCGCCTGTGTCGCGACGCATGGATCAGCGACGGCTCAGAGAACTGCCCCAGATCACTGCGACCTACCACTATGGCGCAGCCACGAAGGCTTAATGATATACATATCCGATTGGAGGCTGCAAGAAATGTGCGATGTCGAGGATCATATCGATGCTGTTTGCTCGGATTGAGAGGCGACTCGAGCTGCACACAGATTTGACGTGCAGATGCGCGACACACGTCAGTGTCGCGCATGCAATTGATTCACCCGCCGCGACAAGTGGGGCGCCAGGCGGGCCCCATGCGTCTGAGCTCTACTGTGTAATCAGCGGAGTGACATCGTTACATACGCACCGAGTGTGTAAGGTACCTGACGTATTCCGTCACAGTATGTAACTAGTATCCTTACCACATGGAGGGATCCGGGTCACAGTTCCCCTGGACTTTTCTTGGGAGATACCCGTGACTCTAGCCTCCTAATACGAATGACAGCCATTATCACATCGATGAGGCAATCAACTTGGAGTCTTTGCGCATCACAGCCCGCTATTATCAAAAAGACTCTTAGTAGGTACAAATAAGCAGCTTGGCACATGCAGTAGCAGTATCTCCCATCAAGACCCAAGAAGGAAAAAAGAAGACAAAGAAAACAGTCGAGACGCTCCGCTTACTCGAGCTGTATGGTACCCAAGCCAGCGAAATGCCACGCGGTAAACCAAGAGTACAAGCAAACCTCAACAGCGACACGCGACAACAAGCGTACACATCCGCATGCCCGACAGAGATGAGTCGTGGCGACGAGCAGCACCAGTCGCGGTCGACTAGTCCCCCATCACTTGCTATCGGCGGCTTCCTTCTTCTTGGTTGTTGTCTTTGACTTGGACTCGGTTGCTGTCTTTGGCTTGGCCTCCTGTAGATACGCAAAGTTAGCCACATCGCCAGGACAGGGAGGAGAGCAGGCCTGTGAAGCTGTCAAGGAGACCTGAGAACCGGGGAGGGGGAAGCGGGGAACGACGATTACCTTCTCAGCTTTCGCAGGCTTCTCCTCCGCGTTCTTCTCCGGCTCCACCTCGGTCTTCGCCGGTGTCTTCTCTTCCCCCTTCTTTGCGCCCTTCTTCTCAGTTGCGCCCACCTTCTTCGTAGCCTTCTTCACCGCAGACTTGACCTATGTATGACGAGTCAGCGTCGGCTTTTGGTATGGGGTGAGTACATGTGAAGGAGCATGTGCTATACCTTCTTGGCTACGTCGCTCTCCTTCTTGGAAGCCTTCTTCTTCGTCACACCGGTGGGTTTAGCAGCCTTTGATGGCGTCTTCACGGAGGCCTTCTTCTTGGGTGCGGCCTTGGGCTTTACAGTCCGCTTGATGGTGGGCTCCGTGTCGATGATGGGGACGACACGCGGCTTGGAGTTGCCCGTCTGGGAGCGCGTTTCGCGAGCCATATTGCGTCTTAAGGTTGGAACTAGGAATATGCGCAAAGGGATGAGCATACACTCGATGTGATAATGGAGACACGAAAATGGACCCGCGTTGCTGCGTGCAGTTCGCGACAGTCGCGAGTCTCTGCCGGATCGGCTCTTTCCTCGCGCGATGTCTGATGTGCGACGACAACGCAAGCAGGCGCAAACCTACAATATCGAAACAAGGGCGTTCTTTGCGACGAAAGTAACCTGCAACAATGGACTGGAAGCTGAGAATAGCAAGCACGAAGATGAGCTCTTTAAGGTGCAAAGGCAAGAAATCAGGAGCAGAGTTGTCGCGAAGGCGGGAAGGTCGCAAGCAAAACAGAGGGTGGGCGGCAGAAAAACACGGGGCTGGCATGCCAGCACCGCCTGCTAGCCTCCTGGCGCGACAGTCCCCTCCCACTTCACAAAAACAACATAGGCTAAGGCTGCCTAAAAGCTCCGGGACTCGAGGGCCTTGGTCACTTAGTGTCATTGTGTTTGATGGGTTGCTTTGCCGCTGGGTGCTGCTGATTTGGCCATTCTTTCTCATCTCTTCTGTTGAACCCCGGTCGCTCGCAGCACTAGAAGCTTCAGGTTCGGGCACTGGATCAAGCTTCGGGAGGGGTCCGGTGCCGCGCGCCTGTCGGGGAAAACCAGCCATGGACACGTGGGCGGATGAATCTGGAAACAGCCATTGTTACTGGAGTCTCTTACTCTCCCTTCGGTGACCTTGCTTCTGGAAGAGGAGGGCTGGTCCAGAAACACATAAACTGGTCGAGGCGAACGCCAAGGTGCCGTGGACAGTGGTCTGCTGCGCTTGTTTGTTGTCGTATGTACATTTCGTTAGGTGAGGAGGGGGAGGGTCCGGAAATATCGTGGAGGGGAGCGTTGCAGAAACGGCGGGTGGGAAGCGGATGGTGACCGATTCTACTCAGTCTCCCAAGTTGCGCAGCAGTGTTTGAAGTTGGCCAGCAGATGCAAGGCCGAACGAAACATTCAAGTCGTGGACTTCTGGTGGGACTCAGGTACAAACAGACCCACCTGCTGCTAAAGTCGCGGGAATGAGCATTTATTACCCCACATTTCAAATTGCGGGGCCCTGGCCAGAAACGCTGAAGCTATTCGGAATCCGAGTTTGGCAGTTCTTTTCATCAGCAACTCGATTGCAGGCAGATAGTTACTGATGAGGCGGCTTTATGTCTTCGGCAGTTCCAATTCTCATCAAAGACTGAAATGAGCTAGATTTGATGCTTATATGGTGTCTGAAAGCACATTTGCAAAGGTCCTCAATTACACAGTATGTATTGACCAAGACCACGCTGCCTGGTAATAAGGGCACAACTGGTATGATGATAACGTTATCGCCGATGATAACACCCGACAATCCCGACTTCGGCACGGCCCGCATCGGTATTCTCTCAATTTGTCTTACACTAGGGGACCGGGATCCAATCTCGGGTGCCAGCCATTAACTGGTATGTACCTACGAAAATCGAGTCAAAGTGTTGACTGCGGATCACGGTCCGGTGGTCGCGGCAGAAGTGTGATGTACAGATTATTCAGTCTCGCGGCCGTACTAACTGATACAAGGTACCGTACGTAAATTACTTTTGGCACCGACCCCTTCGGATGTGCACAGTACATTGCAACTTCCTAGCCGTGGATGCCGTTCCCGCTGACCTTCTCACAACAATTCCACGTACTTAGGTGTTAGAGCATCACCTGGTGATCTTAATTCACTGTTCTCGGGACGGGTGAGCACTCGCAGTAGGCGCCAAGTCCCGATGGTACAGTCCCGTCGGTCCGAAGCTCGGATGACTCACTAAGGGGAACAACCTAAGCGCACCTTTGTCTATCTTTAAAATGGACTACGTTGATGTGTCATCCACAAGGGGCAGGAAGGGGTAAAGCGAGCGATACCCGAGTAGATATAAACCAGTGACTGACCTTATCCCTCGGTCTTGCTCTCTAACTCTTCTTGCTTTCGTATTCGATAGCAAACGGGCAGACGGCTTCAGGCCGCTTGTGTGAGAACCTGAAAAGGGGTCAACACATTAGCACCATACCATACAGCACTCCACATCAGCGCACCGCACAATCCAGACGAGAAAGATGATACCCGCAAATGAACTACGCACCTGGACCCGCCAGCTCGGCGACGTCACTTACACCGTCTCAACCGATCCATCCCAAATTCAGCTTGACGCCCTCAATGATGCTTTCGCCTCCGACATGGTCTACTGGGCAAAACCGATCCCCCGGAAGCGCTCAAGCTCTGCGTGGAGCAGTCGCTGTGTTTCGGGCTGTACGTCCAGGAACGGTACCAACAAGGAGGAGATTCCATCCCAGCTAGTATGTATCCTAGTCTCTAGCATACCGCAACTGGGCTAGCTTACTCACACATACACCTTTCTCCCAGCCGAAGAGGGCAGCCAAGGTCACAAAATGGTCGGCTTCGGCCGTCTCATCACCGATTACGTGACTTTTGCGTACCTCACGGACGTCTATGTACTGGCTGAACATCAGGGCAAGGGCCTGGGCAAGTGGATGATGCAGTGTCTGGACGAGGTGCTGCGCTCGTGGCCCAACCTTCGGCGGTGTGTGCTGTTTACGCGGGGCGCGGCTGCGGTGAGGATGTATGGCGAGACCATTGGGGCGCGGGATGTCAGCGAGACGAGTCCCAGTCTAGTTGTTTTGGAGAAGCGCGGTCCGGATGCCGCGATGGCGGGTGGCAATGAGAAGACAAGGGAACAAAAGGGCGACGGGATCGCGTTGGCGGGGGAAGGAAGGTAAAGACATGGTGAAATAAAACTTCCATTCGGTTATGCGCATTTATCTCCCGGGCGGTTTTCCGTACGCCCCGCCGTTGGCGCGTCTCAGCTCGATCGCGCGTTTGTAGGGCGGTGCCGTGGGCGGCTGGACCGGGTCGAGTGAGACGTGGTCCACAGGGAGCTTGTAGGAAGCATCCGAGTCGAAGGCTGAGAGATCGCCACATGCCACGAAGGGAGCGATCCAGCGAATGTCCTTGCGACGCGGTTCGGAGGAAAGGTCCTCTACCTCCACGTCACAGATCCCGTTCTCGTCTGCACCCTGTAACCGTGAGGGTGCGGAATCCCAAGCCCCGGTCTCCTGGTTCTGCATCAACACCGGGGCGGCAATGGGTGATGCTGCGGTTTCCTGCGCCAGCGTCTCGGGCAACCTGCTGCCGGCGCCCAGCGGCTCCTCCAAGCTGGCTTTGAAACTCTCGGGTGGCTGAAAGTTGATGCAAACAATGAAAGCCTCGACACTGCTCGCGCGAGACGACCGGGGCTTCGCGACGTAGACCTTCTCAAAAAAGATCTTGAGTTGCGCGTAGAGGAGATCAACATTGCGGCCCCTGAAAATCTTGGCAACGAACTTCCCACCGGGTTTCAGCACGCACAGCGCGAGGTTGAGCGCGGCGAAGAGCAACTGAGATTGCACGTAAATGTCGAGGTCATGCAAGCCCGTGACGTCAGGGGCGCCATCGCTGATCACAAGGTCGACGGGCTGCGAAGCCTTTTGGTCCATGCTGTTGGGGTCATAGTTCGGGTCCAGCGCCTTGAGGAGGAGAGGAACAGTGGCAGGGTGGGTGATGTCGGCTCGGAGGGTGATGATGCCGGGAAGCGGGCTGATGGGCTGGAGATCAATAGAGACTATCTTAACATCTCTCCGGGAGCTGAAGTTGTCCTTTGTCGGCCTGTCATCCGCCGCGACCGCCTTCCGCTGCTCTGCGGATGGATCTAAAGGGACAACGTTGAACATGTGCTGGCGGAACTTGGCTTCCCGGTCTTGCCATGCGCAGCGGCCAAACTTCTCGCCTTTGATAAGCACCCTAGAGAGTACTTGGGACCAGCTGCCAGGAGCGGCGCATAGATCAACCACCCGAGTTACGTTCTCGAAAAGATTGAACTCTGCAAGCGCCAGTGTCAGCGACCTGAACGGAGCACGCGGGTTGTTCCACTCACCCTCATCAAGCTGTAGCAGCTTAAATGCGCTTCTTGCCCGCCAACCCTGCTCTTTTGCGAGCCGATAGTAGGCATCGCGCTTGTCTTTGGACGACTTCCCCATCTTGCGAAGGTGATCACGGGTGCTTTTACCTCCTGCGCGGAGCTAATGAGTGGCGGTGCTGGTAATACTGTAGGACACACTTTGACTTGCAAACCTCGCGCCAGGAGTCAGGGCAGGACTCGGACCCCGCTACGGATGCTCGTACCTTCATCTAACCCTCTTTCAGAGGGATCTACCATATATAACCCTAGCCACAAATTTCCGCTTTACCCAGTAGCGCAAGATCGCACCTTCAAGTCAACACATACCGCGTATACCACTAGTATTCTTCCATAGTCACACTGAGCAGAGCCCAAAACCTGACCACTAACTTCCAGCCGTTAGTTGCGTTGTCAGTATTCGCTTGTCCAAGGTTTGGTCTACAGCGACCTAGTCGGGTTATGGCGGTATGAGGGAGCATCGTGTAGCGGTACAGTACTCCGTACGACTTCCAGTCTTACTGTGGGTAACGATACGTATCGGATGTATTGTACCTAAGTCTGGGGCATGTTAGCGGTAAGGGGCTGGGGTATTCCGTATTGCACAATACGAAGGCGTGACTCGGCCACGTGACATGACTTTTGCCCCGTACTGTATCCGTAATCCGTACAATGACAATACAGTACTACCGTTACGCTATGCAGCAGTGGGTCGCCGCATTGACACCTGCAGCATGACGATCTCAGAACCGAGGACCAACCTGGAGGTACTACGTACTGCACAGAACACATACACATTGCTTGGTTCACGCCAGAGTTTGGAGAAACTGGACTTAGGGAATAGTTGCTGCCGATAACCCTGTTTTGCCGTCAATTTCAGCTGATTTCTACGCGGCGGTTGGTGAGCGCCGCGGTGTCGTCTGACTGGGCGGAACACATGTGGTGAAAAATTGATCATCCGGAAAGGGCAGTGGGCAAGCCTTCATCTCGCCACCGCCATCGACATTTGCGAGACTCCGCTGTCAACGATCCAAATCATAAAATCTTTCTGCCACAAAATGGCCGTTGACAAGAAGCGGAAACGGTCAGAAGGGCATGGCAAGCGCGGCAAGGCGCCGGCGGTCAGCTCTAAACGTCAAAAGACCAGTGAAACGAAGCGGGTGACCAGTGTTGATTCGCTGGCATGGAAGCAGGTGGAGATCCCAGAGATGTTCGATGATGCCGAGGGATTCTACGGTCTGGAAGAGGTGAAAGGTGTTGACGTTGTGCGGGAAGGCAATACAGTCAAGTTTGTGAGTCCCGACCAGGCCTCAACCCCCGGGATCAGTCAGCTCTTTCACCTGTGCGCCTGCTTCTTTGGCGCCTGCCTGCACCAGCTCTTGCTGACACTGAGTCACAGGTGGCTGCAACGACCGAGTCGGATTCCGGCGAGGACTCAGAGTTCGAGGGGTTTGGGGACGTTGCTGCAGAAGGTGCAGAGCCACCACCTGCATCTGCTGGGCTGGGCGTGCCTGCGGTTTCTGGAACGGGGTCTGAGCTTCTCGGGCCGGGCTCGGAGGGAAGGGCAGAGAGGAAAGAAAGGAAGGAGAAGGAGAAGGTGCCAGCCGCTGCTCAACCAGCGAAGGCTGACCCTGAACTTGAACCCAATGTGTTTGCGCAAGCCACGGACATTGCAGAGGTCGAGGCGGACACGGAAGGTGTCCCAATGTCCGAATGGGGCCCAATCGGTCTCTCTTCGCAGATGCTAACAGCGCTGGCCCGCCTCAAATTCACCAAGCCAACAGCGATTCAGTCCCAAGCCATTCCCCACGTCCTCAACGGCCACGACCTCATTGGAAAGGCAGCAACCGGTTCAGGGAAGACTCTAGCCTTCGGAATTCCCATCGTCGAGAACTGGCTGGCCGATACACAGGCGGTCGGTAACCGGGCCGGAGGGAAAAGGCAACCCATCGCCCTGATCCTGTCGCCCACCCGAGAGCTTGCACACCAGATCACGGATCACCTCAAACAACTCTGCGCCGGACTCAGCACCTCGCCCTACATCTGCTCGGTCACCGGCGGACTCGCCGTGCAGAAACAACAGCGACAACTTGAGAGAGCGGACATCGTCATTGGAACGCCTGGGCGGATGTGGGAGGTCATGAGCACAAGCGATTCGGTGCTCTCGGCGCTCAGAGGTATTCGCTTTCTGGTTGTGGACGAAGCTGACCGGCTTCTTCAAGACGGCCACTTTAAGGAAGCCGAAGAAATCCTAAAAGCCCTCGACAGATCTGCACCGGTAGACGAGGACCACGACAGCTCGGAGGACAGCTCAGTCCAGGCCACGGCGCCAGGCCACCACCGACAGACCCTGGTTTTCTCGGCCACGTTCAACAAAGCACTGCAACAGAAGCTAGCCGGGAAAGCCCGCTACAACCTCATGGGTGAAGCCGAGTCCCTCGAATACCTTCTCAAGCGCCTCAATTTCCGCGAAGCCCAACCAAAGTTCCTAGACACCAACCCTGTCTCGCAAATGGCCGAGAACCTCAAAGAAGGCCTGATACAGTGCGGCGACCTAGAGAAAGACCTCTACCTTTACGCCGTCCTCCTCCTCCAACCTACCCGACGCGCCCTCGTCTTCACGAATTCCATTAATACCGTCCGCCGCCTGACACCCTTCTTGCAAAACCTCAATATCCCTGCGTTTGCCCTACACTCCGACATGGAGCAGAAAGCCCGACTGCGCTCGATTGAACGCTTCAAAGCCGACAACCCGGACAAGCAAGCCTCGTCGGTGCTGATCGCAACCGACGTCGCCGCCCGAGGTCTCGACATCCCCAACATCGACCTTGTCATCCACTACCATGTGCCGCGTTCCGCCGACGACTACGTTCATCGCTCCGGCCGCACTGCGCGAGCCGCCAACTCGGGGGTGTCCATCCTCCTGTGCGGACCAAAGGAGGCGGTACCCACGCAGCGGTTGATTGCCAAAGTCCACGCCACCGCTGCCGCCCACACCTCCAGGTCAAAGTTGGCGAGCGCCGCGGTCGGCCTGCAGACAATCGACATCAACCGAAGGCTCGTGTCCCACCTCCGGCCACGGGTCGAGCTATCCAAGAAGATTACCGAGACGACGCTTGCGAAAGAGAAGGGGGCGAAAGAAGACACCTGGATGAAGCAGGCCGCTGAGGAGCTCGGCGTCGAGTATGATCCCGACGAGCTGGAGCAGGCTGGCTCATGGAAGGGACGGGGCAGCGGGAAAAAGCAAAGGGAGAAAGAGGCGAGGGCTGTGACCAAGGGCGAGGTGAAGCAGTGGCGGTGGGAATTAAAGGAGCTGTTGAATAGGAGGGTCAATAACGGGGTGAGCGAGAAATACCTTGCCGGAGTGGACGTCGATGGGCTGTTGAGCGGTGCCAGGGGCAGTTTCTTGGGGGTGGTAGACGGGTTGGGATTGTAGCTAAGTTGCTTCAACAGAGCAGGTGGTCGTCTCCGAGCCTCCTTCCGCTTTCTGTTGTCGTTCTTGCAGGTGCTTGTGAGGTATCGGGGGAGCGGGGGTACCACCACTTTGAGGTACCACCACTTTGTTTGGCGTAAGGAGACGCAGATCTACGGTAGACTGCAACGCCAACCAAGCAGGTCGCACACAGGCGAGACACGAAGACTCGACGCGGCTACCCGGCACAAAGACGCCAAGCGCCAAGTGATTTACTGTGGTGGTCACGTCTTTTCCATACCGTGCCTCCGCTCGGTCAAAAAGCGGAGATAGACCTGGCCCTTGACTTGTATGTGGATGGGCCTCTGGTATTCTGACCAGGGGGAGCATGGACACACCACATACCTCTCCTGAGCTCTCATTGCAGGCGCATACATGCATGTTACCTTAGGTACTGGCCTGGCATCGCTCAAGAGCGCCCGAGAAGGCCTGTGCAAGCCCTCTCCGGACCGGTGGAAAACGGGATCGTCGCTGTATCACCCAATATCCCAGCAAGGCTAACGGTCGTACGCCCCGCGAAGCATTGCCGCACAAGCGATTCGTTGCGAAAAGTCGCCAACGTCAATGCCCTGCAGTCATGACGACTGTTTCTCCTTCCCGGCACTCTATCGCAATCCCAGTTCCCTGCAGTTCGGCGCTACGCTGTCGGGGTATCTACCTGCGCAATTACAAGGTGACAGTGCCAACTGACGTTGTGGCCAGCACCGCAGCAAACCCGGGCAGCCTGTCGTGGCAGTCGGGGCGACCACTCACATGGGTCATTCACTTGACATGGGGTACGTCTCAAGTTTCAAGTTCTACCGTTGTATGTACGTGTACTGTACTGTACGTGTAGACAGCCCTGCTGGGTATGGGTTTCCATCTCCCGCTGTCACATCTTCCTAGCACCTCCCCCGGCCAATCAGCCTTCCCGGCCGAATCTCCGGAATGTAGAGCGACTCGTCACCTTGGCGCTGGACGAAGCCCAGTGCTGCCTTCAAGCTTACCTGTAGTTACTACCTAGTAGTCTACGGCATCCTTTGGCGATTGGTTCCGTCAGCTGGACTTTGCTACTCTGCGACTCTCTTCTGAATCTTCAACAAAAGGCCTGGAGCAATCCAGCGAGTCAGTGATGTCTGCGATGGCAAGGATCCACCTCGACGGGACTTAAATTGCGCAAGGTGAGGTGCCAAGCCTGCCAATTGAGATTTGCTCCACCACAGTGTCAGGCGATCCCGTCTAATTTAACCAATGAGCTTGACTGACCTTCAGCCCTACGGATAGTATACGGTTACAGTACCACATTAGTAAACAATAGCGTAGACAGCTTGCACCGTTGCTTTCCCACTTGTTGCAATGGCAAATCTCGAGCGAAAAATCGGTGATAAAAGGAAGGAGACACGGGAATCCGTGCTCATGCCATACGATTCTGAACATTGCCGGTGGATACGGGAAGGCGGGCGATTGCACAGTACTTTACTTGTGGGGGGCTGATGACCCACTCCGAATATTGTCTGGAGTCTTGGCGCGAGGCCCACTTGACTTATCACCGACCACCTATCGTGCACGTATAAGCCGTACCATCAGCACGATCAAAGACACATTCGGAAACGCCTTCCTCAGTCGCCGCGTCATCAACAATGGCATGCTCGACCCCATCGAGATGTGTGGTCAAGGTGATTCATGTCGTTACATGGTCGAGGTCTGGCCTTCACGTCAAACACCCTGGGCATTGCCTGCTTGTCTTGGGTAGACACCGCGTACGACGCCGATCGAGTGCATTAGCACGCAGCAGAGCTTTGAGTCAACCACCCCTGTGTTGCTATTGTATCTGATTCTCCCCTCTGTTCCTCTCCAGGTCTCGCCTGGCGGCCTGGGCCGTCTGGCTCTCTCCCGGTCTTCCCTCTGTCCCTCTTCCGATCTCCCTCTGCTCGACCATGACCTCAACAGACAGTTTACTCCCTGGCAGTGCATCATGAATCATTGATCGAAACTCACATCCTATTCAACACTACGATTAAGCACTAAAACGTAAGCGGAAGCCTAGAACCACCTCCACTCCGCGCGTCATCTATCGATCACGAAACGACTGGTACCCTCCCTCCGATGCACCATTTCTCACCGAATCGCTACCGAAGCGGAACTCCCCCATACCCGTCAAAGGTTTGGTCCATCGGCACCCCGCCCATACCACCGCAGTATCTAACAGCAAACACCGCACAGCTTGTACACAAGGTTCATTGTACGTTTCGACACCGCGGTTGATTGGTCAGTCTCCGACGACGTCACGGTGCGATCTCCCGCGGCGGGACAGTATTCGCAATCGATAACAGAGTGCTGTGGCATGCGCAAGCTGGACGGTTCCGAACCCTGGCGCTGCCAGAAGTTAGACCTCTCTTCGCCGTCGTCGTACTGATTGTTGGCACCCCTGACGTCGTTTAGCGGGCGGCACGCGGCAATGGTGGCGGCGGCAGCAGCAGCGCAATTGCCGGGACAGAAGCTACAATTGCTTGTTCTTCTTTTTGGTACATCCCCCCGCCGTGGCCGCAGTCCGAATACCTTTGCCGCCGCTGCCTGGGCCGACTTGTTTACGGTCGCCCACATCCACCTGACGTTGAGGCATCCTTCGGTGCCAAAGGAGCCGGTGATGGCGGCGCGGGGGAGTGTTGCGTTTCCTCTGGTCCTGTCTGCTGTGCTGTGCACCCTAACCCAAGTATCCTCGTCTCTGCCGTCGCCGTTGTTGTCGCCGCGGCTGGCTTCCCCGGTGAGTCTCTCCCAGAGTCCATCGCTAACTTCCTCTTGGATGAAGGGCACTCGGATTAGCTAGCCGCCGGCAGACTTGCCTGCCCTCGGTTTCCGGGAGCGACCCGACATTCCGCAGTTGTGTTAAGGTAAAACTGCAGTCTATGTGCATGACATTGGCGTGGTTGAGCCAGTCGCTGTTGATGTAGTCTCTGATGTACTCTTGGGCGTCCCATATGGGGAGGAACTACGATGCTAGAAGTCTGTACTTCTTATTAGTAGGGGCTTTAGGATTTGGGGGACTTTTGACAGGTGTCAACCCCACTGTAAAGTGCTGGTGGAGATGTGACGTGCTGGAAAAGCAAAGGTATGACTGTTATGACTGTGTGGGCAACGCTAGACGCGGGGGGCTGGTCCACGCACTGATCGGCATCTGTCGCAGCTGGCGACGTACGGGGAGCAGGGTCCCCATTGGTCCACGAATTTAAGCGTAGTTGAGGGACAAGGGATATACTCATGATGGGAGTATAGAGGAGAATTCGTAAAGGCAGGTAAGAGCACACTCTTTTCTAATTATGCTAATAAGTGGTCAGGGAAGCTCTGTTGAAACTCGAGATGGTATGAATCTGGCCCTGGCCGCTACTTCTACAGACCTTTTAACTGATCTATGCTTGGCCGTGCTTGTCACATTGCCCTCCATGATTGATCGAGATCGTTGTTGAGCAACACTGGTGTGGGGGAGGGAAATCGAGGGCCCCTTGCTTCTCTCTCATCCGTGGCCCAATAGCTGTCGTAGAAGAATCATGACAAGAAGAAGTCAAGGAGGGGAAATGGGAGATGCCACAAGAGTGTTGCGTGTCTATAGCGTTGCGAGTAAGGAACCCCAGGCCGGGTGATCGAGCAAAACCACCATTCACCAGCACACCGGACCCCCTAACAGCATTACAACCACCCCCGGAGCAGCACCATCGACGGCGCTTTCCATTGCCAAACAAAGCAAGGAAACCGGCGGAGGTTGCACAATAGCGAAAGGCAGAGCGCGTCACATGTCAGAGCTCCCAGCGCACCTTCACCTCCCACGACCTGAGTCGCTCTTCTACTCCCTCCCCTCCCGAATAGAGAGTCCATCTGACTCCACAGCTGGACCATTTACACCGTTTCAGCATCCAAAACAACTTGCAAGCCAAGTGCCCAAGCAGAAACTCGAACGTAAAAGCGGCACCCTCTCTCCTCCCCCTCAGCCCCCCCCCCCCCACCCCCACCCCACATATCCCTGCCCAACCTAGCTTCGGAAACATCTATATTATAGCAAGCTCAAGGAGGCTCCCAACAGCTAGACAAGCTTACATAAGCTGCAGTGGATGTCCCCTTGGTGCTCAAGTGGCTAAGGAGCCAGGAACAAGGCGAAAACACGATCGGGGGCCGCGTGTCCTTGACTTCTACCCGAAACAGCCCCTTTTTGCGACCTTCTCCGCATTTACTGACTCTCTATCCAAGACGTTGACTCTATAAAATCGTTGCTAGGTCATCTGTGAGGATATAGAGAGCCTCTAGGATGAGTTCTGAGGTCCTGGAAGAGCTAGGGTGGTGGTAAAGTGGACTCGGAGAGAAACTTGGACTGGTCGGTGTCCTCCGCTCGGTTGTCTGTGGGGATCCGCATCTCTTGAGAGACCGGAATCTCATGGAGCAGGAGACATTGTTAGCTGCGTGTTGAATGTCTGGAACTCGGCGCTTTCACTCGATGTCACATGTGAGACAGCGCTATGATCTATCCGGATTCTGGAAGGGTTAAAGCTCCAGAAGCCTGGGCAAAGGGGCATTGCCCTATCGTAAGCTCATCTGTAGGCCACTAATCGTTAACGTTAGCAGTCAGAGGGTGGGGCCGCAGAGTGACAACTCGAAAGTTTGTCACCTCAGGTCTTTTCTAGCAACCGTTCTGAGACTGCCTGCTGCGCCTGATGTCGGGACTGTGTGCAATGACCACGGCGCGCCGTGGGTGAGAATCCATGATGGACACTCGATGGATTCGGGCGTAGTATAGCTCATCAGATCCGTAATCGTTTGGTGAGGTCCTTGTGTTGACATCCGGCGCTCAGTGTAAGGTAACTTTATCTTAGCCGGATCTTAAGCTGCGACGAATACGTATTCGTATTAGTCTCGCACGGACGCGGCCCGACACATCCAATTCATCAAGTGTGTAAGAGCCCTCGAGAGCTCATCCCTGTTGCACCGCTCTGTAGAGCCCGCTATTCGGACTTGCATCGCACAATATTTAACCCACCAACCTTCCATCCTAGGATGGACGCTTCAGTCCTGTTTGTGCCTGCGAACAACCACATACCAAAGGTCTCATTGTTTCCAGAACCCCCTATACTGCCCTTTCCCTTAGAGATACGATCGAGTTAGAACTGCCTTAGTAGCGATAATAATGCTGATAGTGTTGGTAGCAAGCCTGGCCCTGCGGCGATGAGGAAGATGCTCGGGTTTAAACCTTAACCCCGCCGAACCGGCCCAACATGGAATGAGTTTTCCAGAAATCGAGATTTCATTCGTTGATCAGCTTGCTATAGAGCCTAGCTCATTAATATTGTCTGGGAAACAATGACGGCATCACTGCTCCAGATCACATCTCTTAAGACCTGCTCAGGTTGTTCGGCTGGAACTCGATCCGACTCCCGACATTCCTGCTGGCTTTGGCTACTCCCGCAGTCGGGACACGACCTCTCTAAACCGACCGTATTTCTTTCGGATTAGCGCTGCAAATTCACTTCCCACCAAGCTTTGCAGCAAAGTTACCTGCACACCCGACCGTTCAAATCACAAAATGGACGAAAGACCAGACGCAAGACTGGAATATGCATGCAAATTTGCCAGAGAGCCCAGGACTGGCTGAATCGCTTAGCAATATAGAGGATCGCTTTTCTAATTGCTAGCCCAAGTTTTTACATACATATCCCTAACCCTTGCACATCTACCACGCAGAACATGGACCGAAAACTTTAAGTTCAAGTTGACGAGATGAATTGGCAAACGCATGGAAATGCCAGAGAGCCCAGAACTGGCTGAATCGCTCAAGAATGCAACGAAACCGAAGAGGTTATGCATTCTCAACTAATTGCGTGCAACTGGAAACGAATCAGCAAGCCGTTATGGTTAGACAAAAGAGAGTTTTTAAGGGGGTGGCCGCAATGTAGCTTTGTTGCAAAACTTTGAGTTTCATCTGAAGGCGCTAAGCCGAAAAATTACGGTAGAAATAAAATGGGCATACGGTCGATTTAGGGGGTCGACGGGACAGCGCACTGCGGGTCTACCTGAGTGGAGTAATCCGTAACTCCGTACTACGTACATATGTATGAATGTACTGTACAATACAATACAAATTTCCGTACAATAAATACATACAGACATTGGCCGGGATGCAAAATGCCTGCGTCCCTGATAAGCGTCGAACTTCGAAACAAGAAGTTTGTATGGCGTTAAAAACAAACTTGATACGGTAGCGGAGCTCATCCAATCTCGGTTGCATAGCATAGTTGGACGGGCTGCGGTAAAGGTTCCTACATCTGCCATTTCAAGATCATTTATATGGGATCCAAGCAGTGAGGTGCGGCGTAACTTACGAAGGTAATGCAAGTTTCGGAACGGTTGCGCACACCCCACCTTTTCTTCCCTGCGAAATGATGCATGTAATCCGTACCTGCATTGGCCATGGCGGTCTGCAGGGTGCTGAATTTTTTGACAGATGGGCTGATTACCTTACCTACCAGGTGGCCCGGGGTCGTAAATGATCTAGGGCCACACGAGCCCGCCAGGTGTCACGTCTACTGATGTAACAAGCATGAAAGAAAGGGTGTAAGTCGGGACGGAGATGCCGCGGTGTATCAATGTAGATATGGTGTAATATGTATTTTACCTTACCTCGGGTCTGTACCTAAGGTACCTACCAGGTGCCTATGTTATTAGCGATCTTTCATTCTTAACTTACAGTACTAACCTATTAAACCTCTGGGTTAGATGGTACACTACATCGAGCATTGCCTACGGGTACTTAATGGATGGGAATTTCTTTAACTTCTAGACTTGACTTACTTGATACTGTACCTTAAAGCAACGTAAGTCCCTTGCTACCTGTAATATATAGCTGGAATGCATGCGTTACATGCATAGCCCGTACACAGTACCTGATTCGGCTGACCATCTAAAGCTGGGAGGTTCGTCGAATCGCAGTCAGCATCTATGGGCGCCTCATAACTTTAATTCAATGTAGTTGGTAGAAAACGCATCTGGGATAAAATTCAACGCTAGTTCAGGTCGGCTTCCATTTCTCGTTTGTTTGATCAAGAAGCTTGGAAGATGCAAGCGCTGTGCTTAGCGGACAGAAACAGTGCCGGCCAGTGCGCCGCCGTCCTCTGGCACGGTCCACAGAGCATTTGGCCTTCGTCCGGCATGACGTTGGGTGATTCCGTATTGGGGGCGATTTCACGAAGTCGGGCTGCAACCAAACAACAATAAAATCTCATGCGCTACATGGCTCTTTGCATCTGCCAACCTTAAGAAAGGAAAGGGATAAGTCTGCAATACACGAGCATAGCCATACAGCCATACAAACATCGACCCAGTACACGTGGACCACCACCTGGTCGGACAAACCAGCCCACGACGGTTGTCAGCATTTTGCGTTAACGTTGCAACATCCAACGGATTGGCTCTTTGGAAGAACGCAGGCAAGAGAATGTCAGAAGCTTTCCCCACTCCCCGGTTATTGAGCCTTAGCCACCAACCAGCGATTGACAGGGCGTCGTCGAGCATCTCGCTCAACGAGGCACAGCGCCCGCGCTCACTGCATCTGCTTGTTGCCTCCAATGGCCCACGCGATGTTGCCTTTGCTGAGGCCATCGCTGTCCGCCTGTCTAAAGAGACGCAGATCACAACCCGAGCCGTAGTGGACGAGATGACCCACCGGCTGGCGCAGGAGATACTAGCAGTACAAAATCGGAGTTTGAGACTGGGCGCCGGAGATGGTTCAAGACTTAAGGACATTGAGTCTTGTCAACAACAAGCGTCCGAGCTCGTAGAGTGGACCGACTTGCTCGTGCTTGCGCCCATCGATGCGGACAACCTTGCCAAGATGATGTGCGGAATCTCCGACACGCTGTTGCTTGAGGTTTTGCGGAGCTGGGACGCTTCCAAGAGAATCTTGATGATCCCCGGAATGAGCACGCAGATGTGGGAGAACCCCGTCACCAAGCGGCAGATGAGTAAACTGCATCGAAAATGGGGATGGATCAGGGTCATGCCGCCGATTCTCTGGCACTACGACAACAGCGCCCATCCCAAGCGCATCGTCGAGTGGGACGGCTTCACCGAGCTCCTCGGTATCATCAAGAACCAGGCAGACTTTCTCAAGCTGGGCCACGATGTCGAGGTCAGCGCTCACCCAGGCGCATCCCCAGCGATTTCCACCAAGGCAAGGAGCACCCTGCCGCCCGAGATCTGGAGCATGATCTTCGAATTCACCAACGACTGGGAGCTGGCAACCTGCCTCGGTGTCTTCACCACCCTGGAGATGCCCACCAGCCAAGGGTGGCGGCGCGAGCCCAAAGACCCCAACGATCCGCTCCAGGTGTTCATGCACGACCTCGAATGGACCCTCCTCACTGCCAACACCAAGGCCGTCTGCGACAAGCTCGCACAGGCACCCACGACCTTCCACGACCTCTCCGCCCTGGCCGTCCACCTTATCTTCAAGTTCTCCCTTACCGGGGTATTGACCTACATCGAGTCCAACCTCCCCCACATCTTCAAGTGTTTCGACGGTAAGACCATCCCGACCAAGGCCTCAGCGTATTACGGCCGCACCGACATCCTCGACTGGTGGGCGCGCTCGCCGTCCTTCCTCGAGAAACAGTACGACGCCGAGGCGCTCAACAACGCCTCCGGCCGCGGCTTCATCCACGTGCTGGACTGGTGGCGCCGCTCCGGCCTGCCCCTCAAGTACGACGAGCAGGCGCTCGAGATGGCCAGCTCCAAGGGCCACGTGCATGTGCTGGAGTGGTGGCGCGAGACGAGCATGCAGGACCCCACTATCGTGCTCAAGCCCGGGAGGTCGTTGCTGGCGGCAGCGCAGTGGGGCCAGCTCGCGGTCATACGCTGGTGGGAGGAGAGCGGCATTCCCGTGGGCCATCAGGATGCTGTGTGCAAGATGGCCAGCAGATGGGGACAGGTCAAGGTGCTGGACCTCTGGCGGCAGTTGAGAGGCGATGACAAGCTGCAGTTTGACAATCAGATCCTGATCGAGGCGACATTTCACGCGCATATCCCGGTGCTGGAGTGGTGGCGGAAGTACGCGCACGGGGAGCTGCCCGGGATGGGCGGACGCAAGGGCAATAAGGTTGAGTACAAGACGATGGATGTCGAGGAGGCGTTGGAGGACTCCCTGGGCGATCAGACGAAGGTCCGGCGGTGGTGGGCCGAGAACGGTCTTAACCTGGGGCTGGGAACGAGCGAGTGGATGAAGATACGGACCTTGTGATGTCAACGGCATAGCGAGCCCTCGGGTGCAGCAGATGCAGCGGGAGCTGAGACTTTGGAAGGCTTTGCGGCGAGCAAGCGGGGAGGTCCATGGGACGAAGACATAGATATACGCCTATTCACTGTTCTGGGTCAACGGAAAATGGTCAGGGAGGATGGTATTGTACGAGTACTAGCGTTCTATCGGCGATGACGAAACCAAGGAGACACGAAATCTGTAATATCGCATTTGGGGTATCTTGAAAGCAACCGAACCTAAGCAAACTTCGCCGGATTACTGGGTATCATCCTCCTTAGGACATCAATCTGCCTCGCCTGCCCCTTATTCTTCAGCTCGGCCACCCCACGCTTGTCTGTTCTCCTCATCCCGTTGGAGTAGACGACGGTGAAGTCGGGCACTACCTCGCCCGCCGCGATCTCCGTATGCGGTGTAAGGGTGCAGTGCTATGATCATGTCCAAGTCAGTAAGCTTCAATCACATCTCTCCCAATGCCTCCCTCCACGAGCATCTTGAAGCGCAGCACTAACCTTCCCAACAACGGCACCAGCCCCGACCCTTGCCCCGACGCCCACTACCGTTCCCTCCCCAATAACCGTCTCCCCGGCCTCGATTGACGCCCCGACCTCGACGGTCACATACTCTCCCAGCGTGACCGCTGCCTCTGTTATCTTCCCTGATGTTCCCACCGCTCCTAATGTAGCCCGCTCGTGTACGATGCATCGCCGGCCGACAGTAATACGGCCCGCGAGGGAATCGAGCTTGGCGCGCGGGTGTATGACGCTCTCGCCATGGATGACGATCAGGTTGGTTCCGGTGAGAAGCGCCGAGTCGGCAATCGTTATGGAGGAGGAGAAGTGCACGGGCGGTTTGGGTCCGGACTGCGAGACCGGCGGGAGGATCGAGTGTCGTTTGGAGGACATTCTGCTTTTCTGCTCTTCCTTGCGTTGGCTTTGTTTGGCGGCTGGCGGTTACGGGGAGGGCGGGAACAGTATTTGGCCGTACATCACGTTGCTGGGAGACACGACCAAGTCGTGGCCTTCTCAGCCCCCAGAGATGTTGAGAAAGTGGGAGGTTGAGGGAGTTGCTTGAGCAAGTTGAGCGCGTTACTGTTAGTGTCAGCTTCTGGGGGCTTGGTCGCTGTAGTGTAATCCGTACTGAAAGGCCCACTCTTCGCGGGTTTTGGCAGCCGCCCCACACAGCAGAACCCCACCCGGCTCCCGGACCACCCAATCGGCGCAATCCTAAACCAAACCAAAGCTGCCAATGCTCCAGGGCGGCAACTCGGAAGTTAACCTCACCTCGATCCACGAAAACCACAATCTCCGGATCCCGGCCAATTGGCATCCCATACCTCTGCTCTGCCGAGCAGAGAACACTTGCCATGCTGTCACGTACTGCGGTGCCGACCAAGGCGTCGGCGAGGACAATTTCGAGCGCCGTTTCCAGCGCGACATCGCCGCAATGTCGCTCGTTCGCTACGGTCCAGGACGCCCCGAAGCGCACCTACGGCGGACTACGGGACCAAGACCGCATCTTCCAGAACCTCTACGGCCGCTATCCGCCCGACCTCAAGCACGCTAAGAAGATGGGCGACTGGCACAAGACCAAGGAGATCATTCTCAAGGGGCACGACTGGATCATCGGCGAGATCAAGGCGTCCGGCCTGCGCGGGCGTGGTGGAGCTGGCTTTCCCTCGGGGCTGAAATGGGTGTGTGCTGTCTCTCCGACGTTGTGCGTCGATTGGCATCATGGCTGACTTCTGTTGTTCCGCGCAGTCGTTCATGAACTTCAAGGACTGGGACAAGGACAACAAGCCGAGATACCTGGTGGTCAACGCCGACGAAGGTGAGCCAGGCACCTGCAAGGACCGCGAGATCATGCGCAAGGACCCCCACAAGCTGGTCGAGGGTTGTTTGGTTGCCGGGCGTGCCATGAATGCCACGGCCGCCTACATCTACATCCGTGGCGAGTTCATCCAGGAGGCCGCCGTCCTACAAAACGCGATCAATGAGGCCTATGCCGAGGGTCTGATCGGCAAGAACGCCTGCGGTTCCGGCTACGACTTTGACGTCTACATTCACCGCGGTGCCGGTGCCTACGTCTGTGGTGAGGAGACCAGCTTGATTGAGTCCCTCGAGGGCAAGCCCGGCAAGCCCCGCCTCAAGCCGCCCTTCCCCGCCGCCGTCGGCCTGTTTGGCTGCCCGTCGACCGTCGCCAACGTTGAGACTGTCGCCGTAGCACCCACCATCTGCCGTCGCGGTGGCAGCTGGTTCGCAGGCTTCGGCCGCGAGCGCAACCAGGGCACCAAACTCTACTCCATCAGCGGTCACGTCAACAACCCGTGCACGGTCGAGGAGGAGATGAGCATTCCTCTGCGCGAGCTGATCGAAAAGCACTGCGGTGGTGTGCGCGGCGGGTGGGACAACCTCCTCGCCGTCATCCCGGGCGGCTCGTCGACGCCGATTCTGCCCAAGCACATCTGCGACGACCAATTGATGGACTTCGACGCGCTCAAGGACAGCCAGTCAGGGATGGGCACCGCGGCCGTCATCGTCATGGACAAAAGCACCGATGTGGTGCGCGCCATCTCCCGCCTCAGCCACTTCTACCGCCACGAGTCCTGCGGCCAGTGCACCCCCTGCCGCGAGGGCAGCAAGTGGACAGAGCAGATCATGCAGCGCTTCGAGAAGGGCATGGGCCGCGAGCGCGAGATCGATATGCTGCAGGAGCTGACCAAGCAGGTCGAAGGCCACACAATTTGCGGTAGGTTTTTGCCCCCCTCCACTAAAAATGTCTCAGCCGGTGCTGACAGTGTCGTCTTGCTAGCTCTTGGTGAAGCCTTCGCATGGCCCATTCAGGGTCTGATCCGCCACTTCCGGCCGGAGCTGGAGGCGCGCATGCAGAAATTCGCCCAGGAGAACGGTGGTGCGGCTTTGGCTGGCGGTTGGGATCACAATGCGAGGGAGCAGGGCACGCTCGTCTCCCCTGGCATGTAAAGGAACTGGATGACTGCGCGCATAGAAGGGAGCGGACAATGTGTTGATTCCTGTACATTCTACTACATACGCACAGTTTGCCGTGGAGTACCCGTGGGTTGTACTGTACTTGGTCCCTTGCTACAGTTCCAACAGGCTCTGGGCATCGAAGAAAATGACTTGGCATGGTAGCAGGACTGCGCCAGCCCCAATATTTCCCGACTGAAGTGTGATAACCTTAGGTCCCTCTTCGTGAAGGAGATCTAGAGCATCCGCGATATCCGAGTCTCCTACCGTAACACTAACCCCGTAGGGTGATTCAAGGGTCATGATGGAACTGGGATCCGATACCCGACGGCGGTGTCACCCCCCCGCAGCTCCCACGTCGAAGATCCGGGGTAAGTCAATGCTAATAGCAAAATATGTATCAAATGGGGAAATAGCTAATCTACTACCAGGTAATATCCCAAATTCTCAATGCAATAACAAGACCGGGAATCACCAGCGCTCCAACGTTGTCATTCGCGACAGATGCGCGCTTAAAAGCTTCCGTCTCAATCACCTACACAGATTCGACGGGGACAATCAGATGATTACAAGTAGGTAGTGGTAAACCAAGTATACAGATACCGATGCGCGGATACTGCACATATCATATGCATTGAGACAAAACACGGACCTCGGATACTCTTTCCGGTAGCACTCGGTTACAGCGTACCTCACACCTTCCTTCACGAAGTCTTGACTGCGACTGCGGCAACGAATCATGGCTGGAGGCCTAGGACTTGTTAGGAGAGACTCGATCCTCCAACAGCGCGTGGCAACGCTAGGCGCCCAGGATCTAAGGCATCAGGCTGACCAAGGTTTACATCATCACATCTCATTTCAGACAGTTACTACTACCGTTCTGCTGTGTATAAGAGCCACTGTTCTTCTCGCTCCATGTTCGTCCATGCGCATTGGCACACCGGTTTCGCACAAACGCATTGAATCGCACGATGAACAGTCTGATGAGGCGAGCGGCAGCTGTTGTGCTGCTGCTGGGTTACTACACTGCAGAGGCACAGACCAGTACCACTACCACCACGGCGGCAACGACCAGTGCATCGTCAACAACATGCGCAACCGTTCTGACACCGTCGTATTCACCACCAGTCGTGGCTAAGGGATGGAAGGCCCAACTGATCGCCACGGGCCTCACCCGTCCCCGCAGCATGAAGTTCGACAGCAATGGCGGGCTGCTGGTGGTTGAGCAAGGCGTGGGGGTCAGCCGCTTGACGTTCGCAGACGACGGGGGCACATGCATGTCAGTCAATGGCAACACGACCGTGTTAGTGGACAGGGAGGTATGCAAGATGAGTGACCGTCTCGCCTAGAGCATGTGCGCACGCTCACACTCCGAAATCAGCTCTTCCACGGCCTGGAGTTGTCAGAGGATGGCAGGACCCTTTACGTCTCAACCGAGGAGGAGGTTCGCAGCCACAGTTACGACCCCGATGCCGCCAGCGTGAGCAGCCAGCAGCAGCGCCTGGTTTCCAACATGACCAACCCTGGCCGCGGGCATGTCACGAGAACGCTCCTGCTCTCCCGCAAAGTGCCTGGTCTGCTGCTCGTCTCCCGCGGCAGCGCGGCCAACTTGGACGACCTTGCCGCGCAGCAATCCTCGGGCATCTCGCAGATCCGCGCCTACAACATCTCCAACGCGACCGACACCGCTTACAACTACCCCACCGACGGCCTGCTTATCGGCTGGGGGCTGCGCAACTCTGTCGGCGTCGCCGAGCACCCTCTCACCGGCGGCATCTGGTCGGTCGAGAACAGCGCCGACGACATCTCGCGCCTCGGCCGGGACATCCACGAGGACAACCCGGGCGAGGAGCTCAACTTCCACGGCTTCCTCAACGACACCTCCGCGCTGGGCGCCAACTACGGCTACCCTTCGTGCTTCGCCCTCTGGAACACGACCGACTTCCCGTCCCTCAACGACCTCACCGTCGGCAGCCAGTTCTCGCTCGACAGCAACGCCACCCTCAACGACACCACCTGCGCCCAGCGCAGCGTCTCGCCCCGCCTGACCTTCCGAGCGCACATGGCGCCCCTGGACATCAAGTTCCAGCCCTCCAACGCCTCGCGCGCCTTCGTCTCGTTCCACGGCAGCTGGAACAGGGACCACCCCGCCGGCTACAAGCTGTCGTACGTGGAGTTCAACCCGGACACGGGCGAGCCGGTCGAGCAGAGCGACAGCGTCTCGGCGGCGCACGACGTGCTCACGAGCCCCGATCTGTCGGCTTGTCGTCCCGACGGCGGGTGTCTCCGGCCGGCTGGATTGGCGTTTGATAGCAGCGGAGAGCGACTGTTTGTGTCGAGCGACGCGACGGGGGAGATCTGGGTTGTCATGAGGTCGGGGGAGGACGAGGACGGCGGGGCTACGACGACGGGAACCGAAACCAGGACTGGGACTGGGGGCGCTGTGACTAGTACATCATCAGCTGCTGCTGCTGCTGCGTTGGGAGCATGGAATCGGGGTATGGGTGGGGAAGGACTGCTGATGGTTGCGGTTACCGTGCTGATGGCGGCTGTTGGGGGGCTGACGTTTGCCGGTTGACGATGAGTACCTTATTAGGGAGCCCTGTTGGTCAAACAAGCAAGCAGCGGACATCGAACTCCTCCAGAGATATTCCGTACACCCGTCAATATAGACATACCTCACTTCTTAGCCGTAGCAATCCATTGATGGTTCAGGGGCCTAGGTACCTTGGAATCCCGGAATTTCAGCGTCCCCAGAACACATCCGTATCGCCATTCTATCCAAGACCATGATCACGGCGACGACGACGACGACATAGGGCAAAGAAATGGAATAAATCCAGACTGCATTAGTTTCCGTACCGTCCGAACCGTGAACGCCTGAGCCAACCTTCCCCTAAGCCCGCATTACTCCTCGATGGTCTTTACACATTCCCACTCGCCCTTGAGATTCTCCTTCCACAGCGTCACCTTGTTGTCGCCGCCGCTGGCCGCAAGGACGTTCCCGCTCAGCGACCAGCTCACGCGCCAGACAGCGGCCTCGAAATTGAGCACCTTGCAGTTCCACTGCAGCGGGTTGGCCGGGTCGCTGGTCCAAATGCGCACGGTCCGGTCCTGCGACGCGCTCGCGATGTAGCTCTTTTGCAGCACGGTCGGGCTCCACGCCACGTCACGCACCCAGTCCGTGTGGCCCGTCAGCGGCTCCCGCTCGAGCTTGTACCCGTTGGTGGCCGGGTCGAAGACCCAGATCTTGAGCGTGTTGTCCGACCCGCCCGTGACGAAGCGCCGGTTGCCCGTCGACTTGGGGCTCGGCTTGCTGCTGACGATGCTGCCCGGGTTGGTGGCGGGCGCCCACGAGACCGAGTTGACGCCGAGCCCGTGAGCGTGGAAGATGCTGTGCTCCCAGCTGTTGTCCTTGAACTCGAGCACGCTGACGTTGCCGTCCGATGACGCGCACGCGAGCAGGCAGCCCGCCTCGTGGGGCGACCAGGAGACGACGTTGACGCTGGCCTTGTGGAGCGCGAAGTCGAAGATGCGCTGCCACGCCCCGTTCATTTCGCGCCAGATCAGCACCTTCCCGTCGTACCCCGCGCTCGCGAGGATATTGCCGTACTTGGGGTGCGCCCACGAGACGCACCACACGGCGCCGTCGTGTCTAGCGGATTCATCGTGAGCTTTGGTTCGCTTCCCCCCTCATCCAGTGTTCCCACATACCCCTTCAGTGTTTCGGTAAGCCGTTGTGTCTCGCCTTCTATCTCGAAGATCTTGATGGTGCGGTCTGAGGAGCAGGTCGCTAACCTCCGGCCATAGTAGTCGAGGACCGCATCGTGCTGCGTCGTGTCAGATCACGTCGTCCGGCCTTGAAGGTCTCGTGGTTCCGGGATGGGATGAAAGACAGGGGAGGAAAGGTGGGTGCGTTCGAGGATAGGCCCGGGCATCGAAGGAGACGTACAATCATATCATCGTGGCCGGAGTTGGCGATAACTTGCGTTCCCGCTGCCTAGAATGAGCTGCTTAGCATGGCCTCCCCAAGGGGCTCCTGTCAGCGGAGCAGAGGGGACCGGAGAGGGCTGCACACCATTGTGAAAGCAGTCCCTGGGTTTCTGTTAATTCGAAAAACAAACACAGCTGATGCGCACTGCTATTCTTCCTTATTCGAAATTCAGAGTCGCCTATTCGGATTCGAGGGGTTGGCTGTGAATTGGAACGCCGAGAAACGGGTTCCGCCGTCGCGCAGAGCTCCGGCCGTCTTGTGCACTCCAGTTGTTGTCCAGCTGGCCTGAAATTCAAGGTGAACCACGGTGTGCAGCGGAATAACAGGGGCTCACCGAAATCTCCACATTATGCCGCCCCGCACCCATATCCAGCCCTGTCTTGCCCCTCGGTCACAAGCTTATCCACATCTCTTGCAACCACCTTGGACATCTGCGGACGACACCCAGATTCTACATCACGAACCCCCATGGCGATTCCGGCGGCGACCACACAAACACGGGATGGAAGCGGGTCCGAACTGCGAATAGCCTCCGCAACATTCACACAATAGATATGCCTCTTATTGTTCCTGCATTCTATTTCTCCTCACCGACGCGGCCGCTATATAGTCTTCGGCTCCGGCTCCCAACACCGGCCATGAACCTCGGCTTCTCAAACAACACTTACTCCTCCGTCCTCTGACTGAAAGCAACCAAGTCAAATCTCTTGCTTGTGCAGAGTACAAACTCGAAGAAACACCGCTTCAACCAAGACTCGCTTCATTCCTATTCAAAATGGCAGACAACATGTGTGGCCCTTCCAACGGCGCCAAGGATCTTCTAGCGCATGCGGACCGCGATCGCACCATCCACCAGGATCGCCTTGTCAATGCGCCGCAGGCCGGCCCGGGCAATGTGAGTGCTTGAAGTCCCCAGCTCCTCTGGCGCAACGCGTCGCTGACCTCGCACCTTTGCCAAGCAGGCTTTCCGCTCCCAACTCCCCGTCGACCATGGCGCCGCCGAGATGGCCTTCGGAAACTTCCAGGAGGGCGGCGCTCCCATGGACGCGACCTTCAATCCCGGCTTGCATATGACCACCGTCGCTCCGATCGGTCACCACGCCCCTGGCGCTCCGGCCTACGGTCCTCCCGCCGTCGGTACCCCTATGTCGATGGGTTATGCTGGTCCTAGCGCTCCTGCTGCTCGTCTGGCTTCTCCTCTGATTGGTAGCGACTCTCACCAGGAGTGGGTTAATCAGTTCGCGCGCATGCAGGTCGCTCCTGGTGCGGCTGGCCCGGGCACTGCGATGCCGAACCATCTGATGAACCCGGCCATGCGTCTTCAGTCGGCTCCCTTTGGCGCGCCTATGCTCGGCGGTGCGCCTCCCGCTCTTCTCCCCTTCCACGGCCCAGTCATGAACGCAGGCACCCAGGAACAGGCTCAAGTTGGCCCCTTGCAGGACAATGCGGCTTTGATCGACGACGAGGCATTCAACCGCGCCTTCGACGAATATGACGACGTCTTCGTCGATCAGTCCGCCGACTGGGAAGAGAAGCAGAAGCTCGCTAACACCGAGTTCATCAAAGCTCAGGACCAGTGGATGGCTGAGCACGGCCCGCGCGCCGAATCGAAGCGCGTGGTCACGCCGCCCACCGCCGAGGAGATGAAGGTGATTGACGCCGACCTCGAGAAGATCGCGCAGGAGCAAGACAAGAAGCGCTCCGAGGACGAGCTTGCGCGCGCCGCTGGCGAAATCGTCAATTCGGTCATCGACGACGACTCGGACAAGTTCAAGAACTCGCGCTTCTTTGAGCTGATGCGCCGCATCCGCGACCGCGAGGTGGTCATTGCGGGTGACAACTTCGTCGACACAGCCACTGGCGAGAAGGTCGAGCAGAGCCATAGCGATGAGGGTGATTCGGGCTTCAACTCGGAAGCGATTGCGAATGGAGAGAGCAACGGTGCCGGTTCGCATTCCGCTTGATCCGCACCGTGTCATCGAGGACCGGCGCACCTGATCACCGTTTAGGCGCTTGTTGCTCGAAGACTCGAAGATTATGAGTGCGGCATACGCAAGCATCGGACTTGTCTCGTCACACCTAAGGTGCATCACCTATCTGTATTATGTTATTCCGACTGCATCACGTCACGACGCTTGCCTTCATACATTTTGCTGATTTTTCGCTCGTCCCCCTTCTTCAGTGACTGTACCCTTCTGGAGCTCGGACTTGCATCACCTCGGCGCACTCAACCTGTTGTTGACAACGGCATCATGGGTGAATAGAGGTATAAGTGCGGTTGCATATGGGAGGCGTTTGAAGATACCGGGGGATTTTCTGTTCTTTTGTCCTGATCTTTCCAACTTTTTCCTACTCATTGGTCTTTCCGCTGCATCGGGCATTGGGCTGGCGTAACGGTCGCTGTGGTACAACCTGCAAAGGTACCCTTATCTGTGCCATCATCGCCGTTTTGCTCGCGGTTTCTTGCTCTAGGCACCTAGGTAAACGGTGTAGGCGGTTTTAGAGAGTCGGGCTAGTTTCCCGGTTCTCATCAGCATCTGGGCGAGGCAGTCGAATGGCAGTCACATTAACTTTCCGAAGGCTCCCCTAAGGTGCCTTTTATGAATGTGTGATGTGAGTGTACTTGTTGCAGGCGACCCATGGAGGAAATCCGGCCATCGGGCATCGTCTTGCAGGTGCAGTGTGGAGTTGCCCCCGCTCTCTCTCACCTCCTTTTCTCACTGGTTGCCGTCCCAACCTGCCCACCCACATAATATGGGACTCACCCTTCGGCCGGATAACTACTGCGGCACACATGGAGCTAGAGGGCAACCATCCGGAGTCGGCTGTCTCGGCACACTCCCTCTGCAGCCAGCAGCTTCGCATACCTGACCTCCGCCCCGCGTTCGCTGATTGGCACCAGGGCATAAACGCCCTCTACGAGCAAGCAAAGCGGGCGGTTGATGCAAGGCTGGAAGGGCTGATTGCAAATGAGCGGGTCTTGGTCAAGGTGAAAGCCGCGGATATCGGGCTCTTTGCCTCTGGGTATTGTGCCGTTCCTGTCACTGTTACAGGTCTTGGAGAGGCGCTTCGTCTCGGTTTTGCTGACTAGGCCGCTCAGATGGTTCCCAGCCGCGCCGTACGCTGTCCTCGAGGCAGTGGCCTTCTATTGCGTCTGGCTGTTCCTCTGGGACGATGCCATCGACGGTGCCTCTGCCTCCTCGGACGGGCTGGCCGCTGAGGAGTACTGCCGACAATCTGTTGCCTTTGTGAAGCATCATCTCGGTCTCGATGAGCCTGGCGCCGTGGAACCAAAGGCACCGACCAGGGTATGTGGGAGCTTTGCTGAGGTGGGTGCTCGGATCTGTGAGCGCTGCGGTCTGGCTCAGAGGCACGAGCTGTTCAAACACCTGAAGGAGTACATGGAAGCGTGTGTGACGGAGTATAGATGGAGGTTATCCGGGAAGGTGCCGACTGTGGAGCAGTTCTATTCATGGCGCCTGAGGACCTCGTCAGTAGACGTGATGCTGGATCTCTCTAGGTAGGTTTATGATCCTGTAACGGTGTGTGCTCCAGCCAGCAGAGTATTATGTTAACCGGAGACAGAATCCTGAATGGGATATCGCTTCCGGAAGACATCCTCGAATCCGCAGAACTGGCAGCCATGGGCCTCAGTGTGAACAAGCTACTGATCCTGTGAGTTCCTGGATTTGTCCGACCCCGAGGACTGTGTAAAACCCAACTAACTGCAGTGGGCGCTGTACAGCATCAATGAGCTGTTCTCACTCAAGAAGGAACTGGTAAGCGAGTCACCCGGCTTCTTGCGTCTTACTCAGGCCCAGGAAATTGTCCTACTCGCGCTCTACTCACCAAGATCTCTACTCGGCAGTCCTCGAACGCTAACTTGTCTCCAGCGAGACGGAGCGTATGGAAACCTCATACCCATCACGATGCGTTCGTCAAGTGTAGACCTTGACGCTGCAGCGCGAAGTGTCGTTCAGGACATCTACAACTGCATACGCGACTTCGATGACAATGCATCAATCCTTCGAGGAACCGTCCGCAGGGAGCATGGAGACAAAGTTGCAGATCACCTGGGCACGCTGATCAGGGCGTATCAGGCAATCGCAACGACCGTTCTCAATTTCTCAGTCCAGAGTCCTCGGTACGGACTGCTGGAAGATAGGCAGGACGATGGCTCGTTTGTGGTGACGTTACGATAGACAGTGAAGGGGTGCCGCGCGGAGTGATCGGCGGGTTGCCGATCCGGCTGAATGGCCGGCCCGTTCCGTTGATGGGGCGCCGGATAAGAGAGGCCCTACGCCGACCGGAGTCCCTATTTTGTGGAAGTAGGCGGCAATTTATTGTAGACGCAAGACCGGATCATCCAGAAGCATCCGAGACAAATGCACCATTTGGACTATCAGCTGCCAAATCACGCCATTCTCCCCATTGCAGGCGCCTGCTTGGTGTCTGAATCTGGTTCCTCAGTGCGGGGCGCGCGATTCCATAAGCCGTGGAGATGGCTTACCAACTGGTGCCTGCTTCAACTTGTTGAGCTTTCGATCGGATCTACTGTGCACGAGTAACTCACTAACAGCACCAGATGCTTCTTCAGTCAACATCGTAACTGTTGCAGCCGTTCCACAAGTGCAAACCGGCTTTTAAGTTTCACTAGAATCCGCTCACAATGCCGGACTCCTGGGACTTTACCTACCCTTCGCCGCTGGCCGGTTACGAAAACGCCCCGCCGCTTCCTGAGGAGCGGGCCGACGATGGCAAGAGCTTCCGGAACCCACAAACTGGCGCTCTCAGCAGCGCATACGAGAAGTTTATTGATCCTCTCGACAACGGCAGGCGTGGCGGATTGTAAGCGCCGTGGCTGCTGCTCCCCCATCCCGCAGCGCTGTCCCTCCGTGCCGCTCATCATCCGATCAGGCTGACCCGGGATCTAACACAGCGACGTGCACATCTACTACTTCCAGAACAACGCCGAGCAATCCCAATATGCGCGCGAGCTGTGGGAGCGCGTCCGGCGCGAGTTCCCCGAACTGCGCATCTACACCTTCTGGGACCGGCCGATCGGCCCCCACCCGGTCGCCATGTTCGAGGTGAACCTGTTGACGCCGGCCCAGTTCGGTGCTTTCATTCCCTGGCTTGCCATCTGGCGCGGGCCGCTCTCGGTCTTGGTTCATCCCAACACCACCGAACAGGACGTACCGCATGCCGAGAGGGAGCTGAGGAACCACACCCAGCGGGCGATCTGGATGGGCGAGAGGCTGCCGTTGGATGTCGGCTTGTTCACGGCGCAGATTCGGGCACAGCAGAGGGCCGGCGGGACCGCGGAATCAGCTACAGCATCGTCTTGAGGGCGGAGTTACTTGCTTGTTTGTTTGTTGCTGTTACTCGTTCTTTCTCCTCAGGACGAGGTGTATGACTGACGGTTGTGGTTGTTTCGGTGGCTACTACCTCGTGCGGGATCGTCTTCGAGATTTCGGACTTGCGGCTGACGGCTGGCAGATGAGAATGAATATCCGATATCTTTAACTATCTGGCTCAGACCACGTTTACGGTGCTTCCAATTCCTGTGGTCGTGATCATAGCCCTGGATGGAAACATTGGTCCTCGCACTGTCCCTGACTCCCAGACAAGGCACCTCAGCCGTAAGAACGGCGGCAGGTTGCGCCGTCCCCAGCACAACCACGAATCCTTGATTGAGGTGGCACTTCAACATCGAAACGAGACGGAAACACCGCGATGGGAGCAAGCGCGCTGTGATATATTAAAACAAAGACTAACCAACTGCGATGGCTTCGGTTTTGCCTTCAACTCCCATCAGATCGCATGTCATGTTCCCTGCTCCCTGCGCTCTTGGCATCTCTGGGTCACGAACTCAGTCCAGAACTTTAAGCCCATGGCATCGCGATGCATGCCCAGCTAGTGCAGGTCTGTCGCTTCCCACTTACACCTCATTGGCCGAGCTGTAGCTCACTCCTTCAGTCCATTGGACAACCTCTTCCTGAGACAGCCTTCTTGATCTTGGCTTTGGATTGCTGTGGATCGTCACGCGGGTGACTTTCAGCTGACAGGGATCGTCGAACCGTTTTCTCAGGGGTTTTACGACGCCAAGGAACCTGCATGCTCTGCGATCTTTTACCTCCTCCGTGCTGTGGTAGCTGTCCGTGACGCTTGTCCCGACGGGGAAGGGTTGAGAATGAGATGGGCCCTATGAAATTGGGTGAGCGTGCTCTCAGCCTGTCTGGTCTGGGCTGGAGGACGCGCGCCGGTCCCCCTCCCCCATGTGACAGTCCACCTCCAATACCATTGCCCTCGAATTTTCCCTCTCTCCCCGATTCCTGCTGCTCCCAGATCGTGTGAAACCCAGGGCACCCTCGAGGACGACGCGGTGTCCCAGTGCCATCCTCTCGTTTGGTCTTCTTGCGCTGCTTTAAGCCCAGCTAGTAGTACACATCTGTGTGCTTTCCGTTCTTTTACCCTTTTGCATGCCAATATGGCCCAGATGCTCCTGACGGCCATCCTCACTCTGGCAGTCGCCTCGGCGAGGGCAGCCTCGATCGCCTATGTGACGGACCTCCCTCTGTACAGCGCTCTTGTATGCATAGCTCCGCGCTTGAAGCCCGATTCGAGCCCACGTGAAGGCTAACTGATCTACTATGCTCAAGGCACCCTGTGCGCAGTCCGCCCTGAAGTATGGCGTCCAGACACAGACATACTCGGCATGCCCCGAAGACGCCACGGCACTCCAGTCTTGCGTCTGCACCAAGAACAACAACCTTGCCTCGATCAAGTCCAAGGTCTCCGTGTCCATCAGCTACTCGTGCGGATCGACGGCGAGCGACGACCAGGCTTCCGCACAGACTGTGAGAGATTTGTCTCGATCGTACCAGGCTTGCCGACCGTGTTGACTCTTCTCTGCCAGGTCCTCAGCGCCTATTGCAACCCTGATGCAACAGTCACCTTCCAGTCCCCGACTGCTGTCACCGACTACATCACAGATATCCCCGAGTTTGGCTACCTCGCACCATGTGCCCAGAGTGCGCTCCGTCATGCGGTTGGGTAAGTTGCTGATGCTTCGGGCTCCTTCGAGACTACAAGACCGGTTAGAATCTCTCTTACTGACAATAAAACGAACAGGACGGTGGTAAGCACAGCCCGGTCGGTGCTACTACTTAACTAAGTAGTAGTGCTCCTCAACTCTCAATCAGCCCGCTGACTGCGACATCAGACCTGGGACTCTTGCCCGACGGATGCTCCCGGCCTCGCGAGCTGTGCTTGCTTCAAGAACCAGAACTCGCTCGTGATCAGCCAGTTGATCAACAGCGAGGCAAAGCAGTCTTGCTCCGGGCACACAGTGGACATCTCGTCGGCACAAGCCATGTTCGCCGCCTACTGCCTCATGAACAATGGCACGACGAGTTTCCCCGTGCCCACAAACCCTCCGGGAGACAGTAAGGGGCCCAACCTCTCCACCTGGGCTGTCTACATGTAGGATAGTTGGCTGATGGGGGACCAGTGACGTACTACATCACGGATCTGCCGCAGTTCAGTTCGCTTGCTCCGTGCGCGGCATCGGGACTGAGCTATGCCATTCAATCAGTCAGTATCTCCGCCCGCCCGCCCCTTTACTTATTATGTGCGGTGTGTCAATAGACTTGGAGCCCGGCTTACCTTTACCGCTCGGCTGCAGCAAACGTACCGCTTGTGCGCCGAGGGGCCGCAGGCTCTGGCCTCCTGCGTGTGCCTCAAAGACACCAGCATGACGAATGAGATGCTGAAGAGCATTACTTCGTCCGTCAAGTACAGCTGTGACGCAACTGCCAGCGAAGATGTGTCGTCTGCCGTTGCCGTGAGTTTCCTCTGCTCGATGCGCTGATGGGGGGATTTTGTCTTGCCCACGGACTGACTGAACCCCGGCCAGGTCTACAACATGTACTGCGACGCGGCAGCGGCGAAAGTGACTGCCGCCGGTGTGACGAACTCGGTGGAGCAGTCGTACCCTGCGAGCCGCGCCCCAGCTGGCCCTAATCAGACGGGCGGCAGCGGGACTGGGACTGGGAGTGGAAGCGGTAGCGGAAGCGGAAGCGGGAACGGAGGCTCCAACGGCGACGGGTCTGCAGGCTCGGCGGAAGGCAACAGCACCTCGGGTTCAAGCGGCCCCAGCACCGGCGCCATTGTTGGCGGTGTTGTTGGTGGCATCGGTGGCCTCGCCTTGCTGGGAGCCCTCATCTTCTTCGTCATGAAGCGTGTGAGGAAGGGCAAGTCGGGTGCTTTGCCGGTTCCGGACACGGCGAATCCGGCGAACCGACCGCCGGGCGGCCCTGTTGGCTTCGGCGGCAAGGCGGAACTGCCCAGCGACTCGGCCGCCGCCTCGCCACCACCACCGAGCCCGTCTCCGAGCACGCTCAAGGTCGGCGCTGTCCCTGCGCGCGGCGATACAGTTTCGCCCGTCTCGGACAACACCAGCAGCGCCAAGTCGCCACCGAACCAAGCCGAGCTGAGCGGCCAGTCAACATTGTATCCTCCCATGCCTAACCGGCCTGAGCTGCTCGGCCAATCCGCAGCAGCCCCGCCTCCGCCGTCGCCAAACGCATCCGAACTCTACGGCCAGGGCTCCCCGTCGCCCAACCGGCCCGAACTCCAAGGGCAAGGCGCCATGTATCCTCCACCGCCGCCGAACATGTCCGAGCTGCAGGGGCAGGGGTCGCAGTTCCAGCATCCGGACCCGAATCGGCCGGAACTGGCCGGGCAGTACAGCTATCCGTCGCCGCAGTCGCCTCCCGTGTATCCGTCTCCCGTTCCTTCTCCTCAACCCCAGCAGATGCAAGCCCACCAACAAGTCTATCATCATCCGGGCACGCCGCCCGTCGGTGGGCCTGCTATGTATGGGCAGCCGCACCCGCAGGCATCATGGCAAGCGGGACCGGTGCCGGGGTATCACGAGATGGACGCCAGCGGGCCTGGCGTGCCGTCGCAAAGGTGACCCGGGTAGAGAGATACTGAGGAGGAGGTGCGTTGGGTGCAAGGATGGAGTGTACAATACAATCTGTGATTGCACAGGGGGTTAGGCGTTATTAGTGTGTAACTTCCGTACTGTCACTGTTACCGCGTTGAAGCTTCATCACAGGGACCTTTAGTTCCGATCTCGTACCAGAGACGCAGATCACTTATCGTGTACCTAATTGAAATTTAAACGTATATCTGCGGAGCTAATAATGCTCACCCGTCATCCTCACCAAGAAACCGTAGCCACAATTGTCGACTCATTTGAGCGGCTTCGTTCAAAACTTCAGAGAGCCTGAGGCCTACAACAAATTACTGTGTATAATACAATACAAATTTTCGAGTTGAACTTGACACATGCCTGGCAGCCACGTGATGATTTGGTGCCCCACCCATTCACGTGACTATGCCAGACTAACCTAACCTTTAGCGCCCGTGGCTTTGTGTCACCCAACGCGACCAGTGAAGACCCACATAAATTGGCTGCTGTGTTGACTGTTGATTGGCCGCCAAGCTTGCAGCTGCCTTGCCGAAAACAGTTCTCAACGTGAAGCTTCCAGCTCCAGGTCAGTTCCTTCCTTTTAACTTCACAGTAAGCGAAAGGTCTGCCAGAACGGTTGTGGCTTCGTTGGCGAAACCCGCACCGATTTCGTCGCCTTCTTTACACTACAAACCCGTTTGCCATCACGCGATCGGTCGTCAACCTTGACTCGCTGATGCGCTGAAATATTCGGATCGCGAAACACAATGGCGGCGGTGGAGGTGGACCTGGGCTACCTGTCCGCGCATGCCGGCGTGCCAGAGGCCGACCTGAACACAATTGTCACTGCGCCGACCGTCGACATCGTGACGTCTGTGCTGGCGGCAATTGTTACGAAACTGCGTGACCTTGAACAAGAGAAGTTTCAACTTGGCGTTGAACTTGAGGGCGCGTTCAGAGGCGCAGAATCGCGATGCGAACAGTTCAAGGCAACCGCAGATAAGGCGCTCAAGGAGGTGGACGAATTGCGGCAGAAGTTGCAAACCGAGGGTAAGGCGCCACCTCTCCGACTTTCTCGACGCCCGAATCTGGTCACCTAACTTCTTGCTTTTTTCCTTTATCTAGAAACTGCCCGCCGCTCTCTCGAAAACGAGCTCCAAACTCTCAAGTCCTCAAAGACGACATCGGTTTCGGAGATTGAGACACTTCGCGCGCGAATTACCTCCCTCGAGACTTCCAACCGTGAGACCCTGGCGATCGTCGACTCCAAGACGACCGCAAATGCCAGCCTCTCCGAAGAACTCCAGAAACAACACCAGAAAATTCTGAAGCTCAATCAGGAGATCACCGCCCTGAATCAGTCAGTCCAGACGGCGCAGACAGCGGCGAATTCGGCAAAGTATCGCGAGGAGGCGCTCAAGCAGGAGCTCGACCTCGCGAAGAAGAACAACGACTGGTACGACGCCGAATTAAAGACAAAGACGGCCGAGAACCTCAAGATTCGGAAAGAGAAGGGCGCCAAAATTGCCGAGCTGCAACGCCAGAACGAGGATGCCTTGTCGAACATCGAGTCGCTTACGCGGACCGAGCAGCAACTTCGAAAGAGATTGGAGGAGGCCCAGTCCAAGGCGGAGGAGTCGCTTACCAAGGTGCAACAGCTGCAAGAATCTGCCGCCCGCGCTGAAGAGAGCTTCAGGCAAGAGTTGGAGTCGTCAAAACGCCTAGTTCAGCTGAAGGATGAGCAGTCCCAAACTCATCGCAACCGCCTCAGGGAGGTTGAGCTTCGGCTCGAGCAAGTAAAAGACGATGCTGCTGAAGAGGTTCGGCGAGTGCGGCGCGAGTTGGAGAAAGAGAAGGAGGAGCACGCTCGGACTGAACAGCAGGCTCAGGAACTGCAGGCCGATGTGGACCGGCTGAGGGCCCTCGTTGACTCCCACGATGGCGGGCCCGGCTCGGGACCACAGACTCCGCGGGCTAACGGCTCCTTCCTGGGCCGGCCAGGCTCTCCATTCGGCACCCCTGCATCGATACGCGGAAAGGCGACGCAGCGCGCCACGGAAACCCTTGAGGAGCTCCTCAAGGTCAAGGCGCAGCTCACTGGGGAACAGCGCCGGAATCAGAAGCTGCAAGAAGATCTGGACGATGCCGTGACCATGTTGGAGGCCAAGCTACCTGAGCTTGAGGAGTACCAAGCCGAGAACGAGCGCCTCACGAACGAAAACATCCAGATGTCAGAACTTGCGCAGCAGTCTTACGAGCAGCGAGATTCAGCCGTCAAGGCTCTCCGCAAGGCTGAGGGTGCTGCCGCCGCCGCTCAGGCTGAAATCAGGGTCCTGCAGACTCAGTTGCGCGATCTCAGCACGCAGATACACGTCCTCATCTTCAACATTCATGCCCAAGAGAAGGGCATGGATCATCTTACCGATGAGGAGGTGGAACAGTTCGAGCGCCTTCAGCGCGGCGAGGTCGCCGAGAACGCCTTGGACGACATGTCGGACACCCATAGATTCATCACCGAAAGATTCACCGCGTTCAAGAACATCTTCGAGTTGCAGCAAAAGAACGAAGAGCTTCTGAAGCTTACCCGGGAGCTCGCTACTAAGATGGAGAATGAAGAAGCTTTGGCTGCCAAGCAACAAGCCGCCGAGGACCACGAAGAAGTCCAGCAACTCCGGGGTACGGTATCGGCGTTGCAGGACGAGGTTCAATCTATTACCGTCCGCATGAAGAGCTACATGACGGAGCGCGACATGTTCCGCCGTATGCTCCAACAAAAGGTGACACCTGCCGAGATTCAGCAAGCTCTCGGCCTTCCTCGGGAAGGTGGGCAGCGCGAAGTGCTCGCTAGCATCGAGCAGGGCCCGCAAGTCGACGAAGCCAACCTTACTGCAGCGCTGAGAGAACTGCAAGCACAGTTCGATTCCTACCGGAACGACCAAGCCGCAGACAGGAACGCCATGAAGGACCAGATCGGGAAACTGTCGTCTGAGAAGGGCTCTCTTCAGAGCGAGGTATCGCGCCTTTCCAGTCAGCTCACCCTTGCGACGGAGCGCTACCACATGCTCGAGTCGAACTTCAAGGCTCTTCAGAGCGAGAAGCTCGAGCTGCAGAAGAGAAACCAGTCCCTGTCTGAGTCTGCAGCCAAGCAAGACATGCGGACCCAACAGGTCGCGGAGGACCTCGTCGAGGCTCGCGGTTTGGTCGAGAGCCTCAGGAGTGAGAATGCTAACCTCCGCGCGGAGAAGACGTTGTGGAAGACGATCCAAGAGCGCCTCAGCCAGGATAATGAGAGTCTTGCACAGGAGAAGACTCGGCTCAACGGCCTGCTCTCGAGCCAACAATCTCTGCTCAACGAACGTGAGCTCTCGGAATCGGAAACCAAGCGCAGGTTGCAGGCCCAAGTCGATTCCTTGGACAGCGAACTCGCGTCGACCAAACGCAAGCTCTCCGAGGAGATGGAAGAGAGCAAGAAGCTTCAACTGCGCAAAGAGTTCGATGCGCAGCAGTTCCAGAAGCGCATCGACGAACTCACTTCCATGCTTGGCCAGATCAAGGAAGAAAATGTGCAGGTCAAGACGACGCGCGACCATCTGCAGGCCCGCGTGGGTGAGTTGGAGATCGAACTTCGGAACTCACAGGAGCGCGCCGAGCGTCTCCGGCCCATTCCAACGCCGAGACCCGGCGCCTTCAGTGAGCAGCGGAGCGATGACGAGTCTCGAGCTCGGGTAGAAGAGCTGGAGAACGAAGTTCAGGAGCTCAAAAACAGCCTTGACCTGGCCAATGTCCAGCTGGAGAACGCGAAGCAGCAGGCTGAGCAGTTCAAACAGCTCAGCAAAGACTTGGAGGAGGAACTTTCAAGCCTGAACGAGTCCCACAACCAGTACCGCGAAGAGATGGACGCGGCTCTCGAAGCCAAGACTGGCTCTGTCAACGAGCTTCAACAACGCGTCGAAGCCCTCACGGCGGAGCTTTCAGCTTCGAATCACGAGCTTAACATGCTGCGGGATTCTCAGAGCGACTTCGCGAGGAAGTTTGATGAGAAGGAGCGCATGCTTCAGAGTGAGATTGCTCGCCTGAAGGATGAGGAAGAGCGCTACAAGGAAACGGCTCGGTTCCATCAGCAGGACCTGCGCGCGCAGGCAGAAATCGCCACCAAGGCTCAGCAGGACTACGAGCAGGAACTTGTCAGGCACGCGGAAGCAGCCAAGCTCCTGCAGCAGCTTCGCTCTGAGCACAACGAACTTAAGACGCAGTCGGCCGCGTGGCGGGCCGAAGCAGAATCCGCCAGACTTGCTCTGGCTCAGAGTGAACAGTCCTGGGAGGAGCGCAGGCAGCAGCTCGAGCAGGAGATCTCGGAGATCAAGGCAAGGCGTGAAGACGCTGCGGCACAAAATAAACTCCTGCACCAGCAACTTGACAGCGTCACCGGTCAGATCGCAGCCCTGCAGCAGCACCGGGCGCAAACGGGTGATGAGGGCCCGTCGCCGACCGTTGCGGACACTGCGACTGAGGGCCTACGTGAGCTCAACAACTACCTGCGCCGGGAGAAGGAAATTCTTGAGGTGCAGTATGACATCAAGCTCCAGGAAGCGAAGCGGCTCCAACAGCAACTCGAGTACTCGCAATCTCAACTGGACGAGGCACGTCTCAAACTCGACCAGGAGCGCAGGGCACATGCCGACAGCTCGCGCAGCTCCCTTACCCACAAGGAGCTCATGGACAAGCTCAACGAGCTCAACCTCATTCGTGAGAGCAACGTTACGCTGCGGAATGAGAACCAGCGTGCTCAGGCACAGCTTGAAGAGAAGTCTCGGAAGATTGCGGAGCTGGAGGGCAAGATCCAGCCTCTAGAGGCTCGCATCTCGGAGCTCGAGCTTGACAAGGGCTTCAAGGAGCAGGAGATTAAGCAGCTGCAGGAGGCTCGGGAAGGCCTACAGAAGAGAATCGAGTCGATCCTTAGTAAGTACGGCCAGGTTGATCCCCAAGAAGCCGAGCAGCTTCGGACCACGATCTCGGGTCTGGAGAGCGAACGGGACGCGCTCAAAGAGTCTGAGCAGACTCTCCAGCAGAAGGTCAAGGAGGCCGAGGAAGCCCTGGAGACGAAGACCAATGAGTGGAAGGCCACCAAGGAGAAGCTGGCCGAGGACTTCAAGGGACGGTGGAGGACAGTGAAGGCTCAGCGCGACGAGGCTATTGCCGAGAAGAATGCTCTCCAGAGCACCCTTGACTCGGTCAATGAGCGGCTGTCCGGATTGGAGAAGGAGCTGGAAACATCCAAGCTGGAGTTGGCAGAGCTTACCGGGAGGAACCAGCTGCTTGAACAACAGGCCGCGACTCCACCCCCGGCGGCTGAGGCACCTTCCGCGACTGCGGATCTCGACCAGGTTGTCTCTCTTACGCAGCAGCTGGAGAGCGTAAGACAGGAGCTGGAGGCTGTCTCATCCGAAAAGGCGGCAGCGGAGAGTCAGATCGCCCAGCTGAAGGAGGAATTGGCAACAGCCATTGCTGAGCGCGACCAGGCTCTGGCACAGGCTGCAGAAGCGGTAAATGCTGGTGAGGTTGTCATGGCAGATGCTGCTCCCGCACCGCCTCAGCCTCCCGCTGGTCTTTCGGACGACGAGCGGAAGGCTCTCGAGGAGAGAATCGCGGCCGCCGAAGCCAAGGCGGCGGAATTTGAGCAGAAGGCCAGGGAGCTCGAGGAGCAGTCGGACAGCATCGTGAAGCAGCGATCCGAGAAGATGAAGAACGCTCTTAATAAGAAGCTGGCAGAGTCTAAAGAGGCTATGGAGAAGCAGGCCCAGGAGGATCGGGTAAAGATGCAGCAAGAGTTCGATCTCAAGCTGCAGCAGGAGCTGGCCATCATCAAGGCCGAACAGCAGACGGCAGCGCCTCAGAACGGCGTGCCTTCAACTCCCGCCAAGCCCTCCAACGATACCGAGGCACCACAGACTCCGGCCGTCGATCTCAGCGCTATGAATGATATTCAGGTCCGCGAGCTTGTCGCCACCAACCCTACCGTCTCCAGCATCGTGAAGGCCAACGTCAAGAGGATGGTTGCGGCTGAAACGAAGAAGGTCAAGGAAGAGACCGAGGCCACGATGAAGGCCGAGTACGAACAAAAGATTGCCAACGCAAGGGAGCAGGCGTCCGCCTTGACCGAGAAGAAGTCGGCGCTGCGTATCAACATGCTCGACCGACAGAACAAGACGGCCCAAGCTAAGATCGCTATCGTCGAGACGGCAGCCAAGGAGACGCCCCAGAAGCCGGTGGTCGAGGTCTGGAACATCGCTAAGGACGCGAAGCCTCCTGCCCCTCCCGCGGCGCCAGCGCAGGCGAATGCTGCTGCCGCAGCTGCCACTCCCGCAGTTGCCTCTACTCCTCCTACTCCCGCTCCTACAGGCCAGGCTGCTCCTTCAGGTATGTTGTCGTCGAGCGCACAATCCAAGCCGTCTCCACATTCCCATGCTAATACAAGTCCCTTGATAGTTACTCCTGGCAAAGACGAAGCGAAACCCGCAGCGCCTCCCGCTCAGAGTGCGCTCCGCCAGCCGACAAAGCCGGCCACTGGGATCCCGAACCCGTTCGGAGCTCCGAGCAACCCCTTCGGTGCGCCCGCTCCCCCGACCAGCAGTCTGCCAGTTAGCGCCACGGGACCACCACAGCCTTCTGCTTCAGCAGGACAGCAGCAGCCGCAACCTCAAGCACAACAGCCTCAACAACCCCAACATACACAGAATCAGCCGCGAGGTATCCCCGTGCCGGCTGGACGAGGCGGTGCTAGCGCTGGCCGGGGGGGAAGAGGCATCTACCAGGCCGGACCGGGTCGCGGGGGTCAAGGACAGCGCGGACGTGGCGGTTTCAGCCGGGGAGGCGGTGCCGCCGGGATGAATCCTAACGCCGGGGAGTTTCACCCGCCCGGTGGTGGTGGTGCCGGCGGGGCAGGGAATAAGAGGCCGCATGATGGTGGGCAGGAGAGCGCGCGGGGTGGAAAGAGGGCCAGGGGCGGCGGCGGGGGACAGCAGAATGTCTAGAGGGGACTCGGTCTGCCTCATGGGGGGTTACATAGCCGTGCGGCAGATTGAGGGGTTGATGCTTACTTTCCGTTTGTTCGAAGGGTAGGGAAGTGGTCAAGGGCTCGTGGGAGATACCATGGCATGGCATGGAGGGTGCTCCAGTCAGTGATGGGAGGGAGAAAAAAGACTGCTACAGATACACGCTGTCTTCCGGGTTGTATTGTTTTTACTTACTTTGCTCTCATACGGACATGGCATGGTTCTTTTGTTGCTTCCCCGGAGCCGGGCATGGAGAGAAAATGGACATAGGGCTCGGGCGGCTGTTTCGGGAGTTCAGCGAATACTTATTCCAGACGGTAGACAGGCATGTAAGCCAAGTTGAGCAGAATAAAGCATTGATGGGCTTGCTGGTCGACTCCCCGATCTCCGTGGTGGTTCTTGTCACTTGTGAGACTCATCGCTTTCTGGCCTGCCCAGCCCCTGAGTGATGAGCGTACATACTATATGTATAATGCTGGCCATTATTCCGCCTGTGACGACGGCCGTCCCGCTCTTCATGAACCCAACTTATACCGACCAGGTCAGCTTGGTGTTGTGTCTCATCCCGGTGAAACACACAGCTAGGCTCAGGCCCCGAACTTCTCTCATCAAGTTCTTCTTGTCAGACGAGTTATCCGATTTCTCCGTGGAGTTGGGTTCCTCGTCAATGGTCATATTCGTTCATTTGTTCCTGCTCATCTTCCGTCTTATAGCCCCCTTTGACGCTCTTCTCCCTCGCTGATTGCTTTTCTTCATGATTAGTTAACCATTGAGGGTAACATTAACCCACAAGTCAACCTGAAGCTGGATTCAAGACCGCAAACATGTCGCATCGCGAATCTAGGCAACAACAAACCTCCCCCTGGTCAAGGAACCAACGTTTCCCTGATGAAGAGAGCGAGACGGATTGCCAGATCCTACGCAGACGCACTGACGCTATGGCCTAACTATTCGGACTTTCTGGGGGTCCCTGTTCGGAGCGGGGTAGAAAGATCGGAACCTCAGAGCCTTGCTCATCGGACCGAGAGATCCTGCGTGGCAACAGAGGATCCGAGTAGCGAGATTGTTAGAGTGTACACCCAGGGGTATTGTAATGTATATACAATACAATACAGGGCTAGGGTCATGAGGGCCCACCGTTCATTGAATGTATAGTACAGTGTACTGTACGGAATACAACACACATTACGCTCATGCCCGAAAACTCTGAGTAGGCGACCTTCCGCTTGCTGACCAACTTGTTGGATAAACTATTGAGTTCAACAAGCTTCGCACGTCTGCCATTCGGGAAAGGACTTATCCGGTAAGTCTGCATGTGGAAGGAGGAGGCTCCAGTCGGATTGCCGGAGGATTTGAGTCCGTGCCCCGTGCATGACACAGGACAGTCGGGGATCTCCGCCGGTCCCGGTCCCGGTTCTCCGCCGGGCCCGGGGCCGGGCTCAGTTTCTGGGAAAGGCTTGAGATCCCGCGACAGGAGTCAAAGGACTCATCAGTGTGACTGGGGGGATGTCTTTCGGACGATTTGTAACAGAATTGAGGGATTCAGCGTTGTTGAGCAGCCACACTGGCGCATGCAATGACCAACATTTGCTCGCCAGAAACCAGGAGCAGCAGATATACCCGAAAATAACGCTTGAATGTAAGCCGTTGGCCGGTCTGGACGACCATGTCGCACCGGCGCACGATCCGACTTTGGCGAGGCGCTAAAGCAAGAAGATACTATACAATAATAGCCAGCACTTTGCTAGAAAACTAGGTCTGCACCAAGATGCATTGCCTCGCCTCCTCCGTGCTAGGCCAGCGTGATAGTTATTGGGGGCGATTGGCTCGCAAATGATAGGTAGTTAATGATTACCAGTGACCCAAAATGGGCAACCCTTAAAAGCTTACTTATATTTAGCCCCCACACCCATCGAGTCGACACCCATGCCCAGATGTTACGCGGCAACCAAAGTCCCAGACGCTCTATTGACCCATAACCAACAGCTCAGAGATGGAACGTAGTTTCTGCACAGCCCTCTGGTCCCCAAGGTACACAGTCGAGACAGTCTACACAGTATGTTTGGCCCCTATTCCGGAAATATAGATCGAGGCAGAGAGATCCTCCAGCCAAAACAAGACCTACACGCGGGACATCACAACCCCAGGGCCCCAGAGGGTGCCGCTGACACTGCACCGTAACCTCTAACCGATCTACCCATTGCTGCCGAGCCGCCGGTCCGGTCAAGACACCGGTCGGTTCCGAAGGTTGCCCTTCATCCAGCACTCGGCGATAAAGCCGTTCTCTCATCCGGGCCTCTCAGCAGGGTCTCTAGGTCTGGGACGCTTTGCCGCAACCAGGCGTGCTGCAGAGAACATGTGTTTTGCTCGCGTACGTGTTGCGCTCTGCCATATACGTACAGGACTTCGTACGCAGACGACCGTTGTTCGTAACCAACCGCGCAACTCCCCGGCGACATGGAACCTCCATCGCAAAGCGGTCTCCTGTGCGATGGAACGCAGGCTATTTTGGATTCGGTGTCGCATTGCACATGTGTGTTCGACCGTTCCGAGGACGGGTGTGCCCCCGAAGGGTTCCGAAGGCCGCGCAACCACGACGGAAACAGTAGCCCTCCCTTCCCCTCCACGACGAAGCCGAGATGTATATGCTGCAGAACGGCATGAGTGCATGATACTGTGGAACAAGCCCCCGCCTAACGACAAGCGGGTAAATTGGGGTTGTCATGTGTCAAGTGCCGCCGGCAGCAATTGACTTCGACGTTGTTGGGGGCCGGCCGGATCTTGATCCGTACGTCCGTGCTACAGTACTCATATCGGTATGATTGACGAGCTATTGGTACGGAGTGAAGTGCGAACAGGAAACACGAAACGGAACAATGCCCCCCCCCCTCCTCCCCCCCCCCCTTTTCGCGGATGTTGAACGAGAAGCGGCGTAGCCATGAGAATCGAAACAGAACGAGGCGTACCAGTGGAAGAACCAGGCCTGCTTGTTTGGCCTCGGAAAGAGATGACTGTACGCTGATTTTGAAACTCTTCCACGAGCGAATCGAACGGTTGAGCCCTCTCCCTCTCTGATGAGTCCCTCAGCCCTATTGCTGACAATTGCACTAGCGGCCGCAACAAGAGGGATTTGTCAGATCTTTATCTTACTCGCGCGGGGTCTCCTAAGCGTGCCAAGAGGGCGAGATCCGCGAAGCTGGCCGTGAAGAGAGGGGTTTATGTTATCTTAGCATTGGGAACGGGCGGAACACCAAAGAATGATTGATCATGTCATTTGTGCTCCATCGCTAGTAGTGACAGGCTACTATCTATCCACTGAGTGAAAAGGCCATAAATCTACTTAGGAGTTCCAATGTCTGCGTTGGAAAGAAATGGAAAAGAACACAGTTTCGAAAGCCTTTGCCGTAGTTTTCCCCCTTCCCATTACGGTCGAGCACTTCGACCGCCAATGGAAGGCAAGGAAAAAACTGAACGAGAGCCCAATATTCCCCTCATACGGTGCGCCCCTGATGCCCTTCCCGAGAAGACCGGCCGATGTATACAGATGCCTCAGTCCCGTCCCAGTTCCCGTGAAACATTGCCCATCATACCCCGTCTCATGAGAAAAGAACCAAGACAACACAAAAGGTCGAGATGTTCCCTCCGCAGCTCCCAAGTGTCCCAACGAACGAACCAAGAAGCAAAACAGTAAAAGCGGTAGTAGTTGATGCCCTATATGTAGCGTGAAACGTATCATGTGCCTTCCTGCGGCAGCCCAGAATGCCCCTTTCCCCCTTTCAGGGCTGCTGTTGCGTCATACTGGGGGAGCCCGGCATTGAGAGCGGCGTGGTGGGATAGGCCTCATAGCTGCCCGAGTCGGAGCAGGCCGCGGAGTGGTCATAGGAGTGCGAAAGAGGCGGGGTCTGTGTTGCGAAACCCGTCAGCACTTGGGGGTGTGACCAACCATGGTAGTACACAACGGATGAGGCAACTTACGTGTGGCATCTGCTCGTATGGCGACGGGTGTCCGGCGGGCCCCATGTCGACCCCCGGAATGTGCTGGTAGCCGTTGTAGCTCATGTACGAGAGACCCTCCTCGGCGCCCGACCCGCCCGGGTAGCCCGGCTCCCGCTTGATGGCGTCGTTGAAGTGCGTCAGCGATGGCAGCGTCACAGGCACCGGCACCGGCGGCGGCGAGAGGTACTCCGGATAGGCCTCGCCCGGCATCGGCCGATACCCTTGCACGGCTGGGTACTGCGCCATCATCATGTCTTCCGGAGGCGGCGGGTACGTCGAGTAGGTGAACATGGGAGGCGTGTGCGACCGCTCCCGCTCGTCGTAGGATGATGGCGGGAAGAGATAGTCGTCGTCGTGGTTCATAGGAGGCGTACATTGACCCTGCATTGCCGGCTTCACAGGAGATGGTGGTGCTTGCCTCTGCGACTTGTGCGTCTGTGTGCGCTTCGTCTTGGCTGGCGGGCTCGCCTTCTCATTGCCCGACGGCGGGCTGCCATCCGATGTCCCCGCCCGTCTCTCAAGCTCCTCCAGGCGCTTCTTGAGCTTCTTGCCTGTTGTGCGACGTTTTAGCCATCTGCGAACCCGCCCCTCCTGTGAGGGGGCTACATACGGTAGTTGCGCTGGGCAATGCGGTTCTGTATCCTCCTGCGCTCAGCAAGATCGGAAATCTTGGTCCAGTCCTCGTCAGGGTTTGCGGAGCTGCTGAAGGCGCTGCTGGTGCTGTGGTTGGAGTAGTGCCGGGTAGGGACGGGAGCTGGTTGCGCCGCATAGGCGTACGTATGTTGGGACATGGCGAACATGGCTGTCGTCGATCACCACCTCTCGGCTGGTGTGTGTTGGGAAGTCGAAGATTAGGTGAGAACCGAATTCCCAGGCCCAAGGAACAAGAGGGGGGTGAGGCGAGATGATATAATGTCTGAGACCGAGTGAGGATCTTTCGAGTCCGAGAACGGCGGATCTTCCATGGCTCGCTAAGGAAGAAGGGAAGCCTTCGGATTAAGTATCTGGAAGCTGTTCCCTTGGTCGGCAGGGTCACCCACATGGCGGCGTCCCCAGGTTCCCTTGTCGACTCCATTGTTACGGCGGAGTTAACTTCACACCCACACCCATAGCTCTGAGCCCTGAAGCCCTCGTCCGGCACTATCCACTGTGAACTGACAAGGATCCGAGGAAATCCCACACCCCGGTATGTACGCAGTGCTCGAGTGACTTCTGGCCGCCATCCTGCAGCCTGGGCGAGGTCTCCGCTACGGCGCCGCGACAGGGGCCGTCGTGTCTGGGCTAGGGGGGGTGTGATCCGTGGGACAGCTCTCATGCACGGGACCTGCGGGCTGGATTGATGCCAAGCGGGGGTACATGTACCTACGTACCCGGCCTGTCGCTTTGGGAAAGTCCTCCACCAATTACAAATTACAAGAGGTTTCTTTTCCTCTACGTGTCCTGGTAGTGGGGAGAATTCCCTCCACCAACTTCTCTGCGAGGATTAGTATTCTTCGCACTCACATGATGGGAAGGAGCAGGTCTCGTTAGACCGATCGAGAATACTAGGCGCAAGCTGTTGAGGATCGCAGCGGCACTACCGCACTCTCGAGCGATTTCAGAGAACGGGGTGTAACGAGAGTCTTAGCTTCGGTGCCAGCTCCGGCAGCCCGCAGCAGTGCATCTCAGGATCGTGAACAAGACAATGTGCGTGGTTGATTTTACGAGGTGGTCAATTGCGGGGACGGAGACCAAAGTGTAGAAACGGTACTCCGTACGAAGCAGCTCCGCCACTGCGTGTTGGCAGGTAAAATTAGCCCAGACATTATATTTTACCCACCACTACTACCCGTTTGCAGCAGGACGGCAGCGTACGTTTCAGCCACCGTGGAACCAATGGCACAGCTGCGTTTCTGACCCATCGGGCCGTAGGGCTGCGGTTCGGTTCAGATTACCCAATCGGGCCAACTTGGGAATCTTTTCGTTCGACCCCACTCGCCCATCACCAATATCCTTTTGTGATACTAGTAGGTATTGGTAATGGCGCTCAAGATGTCAGGAGTCGCTGCAAGTTGTATAGGTACGTATTCCTCACAAACATCTTTAACTTTTGCTTGATATTCATCCCCTAGATAGGGGTCTCCCTGGAAGCTTAAGATCTTTTGCTGTCTCGTTTTAACTGCCTCTGTCAGGCGCTCCCCGCCACAGTGACAAATGGCCGGCACGCTAGCGGAATTCTGGGAGCGGTGCGGGCAAATTGAACGCCCGCACCCTTGTACGTGGTCGCCGAGCTCTCACAAACAAGAACCCCGTTCTATGAATCGATTGCTTGCAGTTTTGAATCGGACGACCTCTGCAGAACGAGGCCCTGGCCTAACTTCCAGAACCGTTCTCTCGCAGATGATACGACGATGGCACTTTCGTGCCTCAGACTTGCTTCGTTGCAAATAACTGTGGAAGCGGACCAATCACGGCTCCCTGTCAGTCCTTCACCCAAAGTGGTCCGCCGTTTAACTTAGTTCGAATCTCAACACCTTAAACGGGCCGGGAGCTTAGTTCAACCAGGCCTTGGCAGGAATAGGACTCCGTTATTCGTACCTCTCCCGGATGACACTAAGTACTTTTATCCCCGTAAACTGGAGCCTGCCTCGGATTCGCTTGCGTTACTAATCGGGGGTCCCAGTAAGTTAAGCTCTATTCCAAGGTGCCCCTGCGTTGAGTGGTCGGACTCCCGAGCTTCTCATTTCCTTCGAAATAAGGTTGTCGATGGGCGCCTTGGCATGGCAGTCCGTCGGGGTTCATCTCAACACCTACAGTCCCCGTAAGCAAAAATCAAGTTTGTGACAGGCAAAATGTTCAAGCTTTTATGATTCTCTTCTAGCCCATCAACTTGTCGCTCTACGGCCCGCTTATTCGTAAGTTTTGGCCCCCGTTTCTCGTCTAACTTAAATTCCTAATTGGGCGCTTGAGCCAAGCACTTTTCAGAAAACGAAGACGGACGATCGAGAACTCAGCCCTACACTCTGCATCCATTAGCTGCATAGACAGGCGCCAGATCGAAGTAGAGTTCATGAGTCGTCCACCATCACTACTATTATGTGCGTACTCAGTACTCACCCAAGATGACTTCCCCGTGGGTAGCTTCGGAGTCCACGGTGATCTCCGACCCGGATCTCAGCCAATCCCCGCGGATTCCCACAGAGCCCGGATCCGTGGGGCTCGTCTGGCCAATCAAGCGCCGCTCCTCGTATCGGAAAGATCTCCGCCCGGCGCAGCCTCCGCGTTCTGTCCGGGGTCCTTGGATACCTTTTTGTACGTTTGCCGTTCACCTGGGTAGCAGAAAGATCAAAATTGTTCGTATGTCCCAGGCATCAGGATTTCCATTCACCAAAAGCCATGGGAGCTGCTATAAATTTCCTGATATAGCATCAGGATGTCGTGGCGTCCGCCACGGGTCACGACGGTACAAGCTGACCTGGGCATTTTCGTCATTCTGGCGATAACGCTACGGCTTGGCCCGTGGCTTGCTGCGGCGTTGAACACTTCCAGTCGAGGCAGGAAGGAGGTCAACGGCACCAAAAGGTCGACGCCAAGCAACACGCTCAAGGGGACCATAGCCGTCTCGCTGCCATTGGAATGGCTGTGTTCTCTGCAACTTGTTCTCGTCAATTGACACCCGGTGGGCGAAGCCGACTGGTTTTCAGTATCCCGGAACAACGGGACCCGAGCGACCCAAGCCATCGGGCCGGGTTCGGAAAGCTCCAATGGCGCACCACATCGAAAAGGAGACCTTGGAAACACTATGTCTGTGCTCCTGACCACTGGGTCGGCGCAGCGAGTGTAGCTGTTTCCAATCCCCCGGGAATGGGGCCGGGCTACACAGTATCCACACTACGTGACGGCTGCACGGGAAAGGCGCGGTCTGCGCATGCCACAATCCGGCGCCATTCTTTAAGGTGCTGACCGGACCACGCCACCTCCGAGTTGCTTATCACCTGTTTAAGATCACCACCAGTCGACCACTGGCGTTGGTTCAAGCGGCGCTCTTGGCCTTTGATCGAGGCCAACCATGCTGTATGTGATGTACGGTACTGCACTCGAGTCTCAGAGCCCTAGTCGGTTGTTCTGCACTTGCTCCGAGAGGACAATCCGGAATTTGGGGTAAGAGTACATACGGATTACATATCTCAAGCACCCGTCACCGCAACGGCAAGGCCGTTTATTATGTCAGAAGTCTAGTTTGCCGAGACGTGTTTGAGGGTCTCTCCGTCCATGAGTGGACCGAGATGGCGACTTCAACTGAAAACTTTAAAATGCGTAGGATCTCACCCTTGCAACTGCCAGCAGCTCTTTTGCCCAGCCCAGTATCAATTCTCGATATGAGGCCGGGACCGCAAGGCGCAGGGCAAAGATTCGTTGGCACATCGACCGCTATCGAGACATGTGGGCGCAGCTGTGCCAGTGCTGTGCATCATTGACAATACAAAACAGACGAGCTTTTTGCGAGAGGAAGCGCCGTCATCAAACCTCAACCCCGTCTGAGCGCGCGAGCTGGGGGCTCCGGTTAAGATTGGCGGATTCCCGCGACGCTATTAGCATAGGTACCTAATCTCGAAGGATATATCCCGAGTTGGATGAATAGGCTCCCTGTAACTCCGAGTACCACTATTAGCCGTTATCGGACCCCGCAAACGGTCCAGACGCATAATCTATACCACCCGTGCTCCCTGGAGCAGCAGCTTGCCACTTTGGTACGAAACTATGCAGATGGTATTCCGTCTCTTGAGACCGGTGCAGGTCATCAGCCACGGCCAAGTTGCCTCAGTTTCAGGTGGAAGTGTACTGTGATACTGTGTAAGCTATGCATTGCGCAGCACTTTTGCGTTCTGTGCCGCTTCCTCAGTGAACATTGGACAAATAACAAGCTCTTTCTCATTCAGCTTCTGTGTACTAACATCCAATACGCGGCCCCCAATTCACACAAGCATGTGTAACGTACCTGATCTTCGATTTCCCCGCAGGCGTGTAGTTCAGAAGCAACAGATGTTGGCTTGAATGAATAAAGGCATTATCTCATTCCAACCTTATCTGACCCCAACCATTGGTGAGGAAGCCGAAGTAAATGAACGGTTCGCATTGCCGGGATAGCTCATTGCACTCTTGCAATCCGCATAGCCTCGCTCCAACGCAGTAAATGTACGTAAGTACTTGCCATAGGCTACTCCCAAGTACCTGTATGGAAACCTCCTTCCAAAATCAGTAAGGTGGAAGAAGAGGCCGCTGTCAGACTCTCTGGAGTCTAGAGTCTAGACTGTTTTTGATGAGATTTACGCGCAGGATAATGGCACGATCCGCTAAGGAGTATTTGTGAGTCTGGCAGCGAACAGCCTTCGGGTTTTCGGATCCCGAAAGCGGGTATTGCAAGGTCACGGAATTCCAAATCCCCAGAAGTTTCGGATACGCGGAGAGAATCGCCGTCAAGCGACTCTTTTGAGCCCCGGGTCCTGATGATCGATGTTCGGTGATCTCATCAATAAGCACCGCTGAGGACCTAGACGTCAGGGGGTTGTTTCCGGGACAGTCATGTCCTGGAAGGTGGGCAAACGTGTAGAAGAAGGATCGAAAAAGGAAGGTCGTGATAACCTTGGGTATACGATCCGTAGCGTGGCAGGTGGCAGAGCAGCCAGCGCTTCCCGAAAGTCCCGGCATTGATTGTGAGACCTGATTGGCATGAGAGGGGGGCGGGCATACCTGGTCTATACTGTTGTAGACGCCAACGCTAGAGCAAGAGAACGAGCGTCAGCGAGACGTACTTCGTACCAGGCCAACGGGAATGCAGATGCATCGGCAATGTGACTACCCGATCCCAGTGCCCCGACACCGGGTTCTGAGGCAGCATAGGTAGCTAAGGGATACTGGGGTCTGGTTGGTTCCCAGCAATCAATTCAGAACCGACAAGCTCACACAACGTTGGATGCCCGGAGACATAACGGGTGGTTGAACCAACTGTCCCAGTGTTGTTAGACTGGTCCTTTTAGAGAGACGGCTCGTAAACAAGCTGATCAAGTTTCGAGGTGTATAAGATGTACATTACATACGTTGCATTGAGAGGCACATATGGCCTTGCCTGGAACATATATCAGCAAGCGAAGACGTCGTAGTCGCAACGGGCCATACCTGGGGATTCGTCAAAGGGCTACTCATCAACTCTGCCACCGAGCCCCTTGACGGATGGGCACTTTGGACAACGCGGCTATCATGGGAGTTTGTGGGGAACGAGAGAGCTGACTCGAATCAATGCGGGGCCTGGTCATGTAACCCTCAGGGCTGCTTAGACGAGGCGGGCAAAATGTCTTCTTTGAGACAACCGTCCGATCAGACCCTGAAACATGAGCGAGAAACGGTTCTTTCTGGTGCTAGTACCGTAGTAACGTTATCCATATCAAGCCTCCGTTTTCTCATCAGCCGCGCGATCCGGACGTGTCAATTCTGTCGGCAAAAGACGGCCTACTAACGTCGCATCAACCCTATCTTAAAACAAACCCACTCATGCCTAAATAAATAAATCCGCGTGGATTTCCCCTCCGTGGCTTCCTTCATTGTTGCTGCCCTTTAACCCCGTGGCTGGTGCGGAAAACAGACACTGGCTGGATCGAGCAAAGACGGCGCATGAAGTGATCTCGATACCTGACTACCTAACCTGAGTGGGTTTTGCGGACTTCCACCCCCCTAACCGCCGCACGCTATGCAGTAGCGTGGTTACATCGGTACATTCCATACAATACACAGCCAAGTACAGATGACCTACCTGCGACATCTCGTAGGGCTGGGTTGTGGCTGTACATAGCTCCGTTCTCCACAACATGAGCTCAAGCTTCGATGCGACGTGTATCCGTAGCTCCTACTCCTCCTCACGGCACCACAAGCGGTTGAGAAGGTGGAAAGAACCACAATGACTATACGGCGATACCGATTGTCTTCGGGTTCTTACACGTTGCAGGTATCCCTAATGCTGGTTGCTACCTACGGTCTTCACTACTAGGTGGTACTACAGTAATAAATACCTAACGCACAAACAGAAGAATCCGTGAAGTCTCGGAACGCACGCTCAGGGTACAATAGCGGGGCTGTGTTGATCCGTCGGCGACCTAGTACGGCAGACACCGCCTTCTGATCACTGATCTGCTTCATATGGCGGTGTAGGAGACTGCGACGGGCAGGAAGGGTGTGTTACAAAATGTCAAGAACCCTACATATAGAGTGCATGGTGATTAGAGAGCAGCACCAAGAGTGCTGGTTACACCTAGGAACGGGAGTGGTGGCAACCTGTGACAAATGCATGTTTTGGGGCGGATCACCCGCCGTGCTGCATGTCGGTAACCCCTCATAGGGCTGAGTTGCTGTGAGGTCGGAGTTGCTTGTTGCGGTAGGAAAGCGACTACACCTCGCTAGGGTGGTGATAAGGACCCAAAGTTCATCCGGAAGCATTCAGGTAGTCTACACCAAGAGACAAGGCCCCGCTCGGGAGGTGCCGGCGTGCAGCAAATTAGGGTCCTTGCAGTCCCTTGATAGCTGCTTTGGGAACTGTCATGCAACTCTCAATGGAGGGTCAAGAGTACTGTTCGTCTGGTAGTAGTCCCGTCGAGGCGGTCAACATAACATTAGCCGTGCCATCTGATGCGGTAGACAGGGCCTCATCGAGACTGGGGTATTGGCGAGGATGCAGAACTCAACTGTAGGAGATCGCCTAACCAGCGACACGAACCCCATGCGGTCCTTGACCTCAGAGCATGCCCAGACGTATCAAGAGATGGGGGGGGGGGGGGGGGGTGCTTGCTGCTGCCCACACCACCAAGGTTCCCGTAAGGTACTCACAGGACCGACGCCGCTCGCGCCTTGCCATTGACACGAAAATAGCAGATGTCGTCCGGCAGTGAGTGAGGGAGTTATGCGTAATCCCAAGGGTTGGGTGGTGCCGGTGAACGAGTGACAGGGCCAGCTTAACCAGCATATACTATACGTCAGGTAGGTAGTCGAGGCACTGTAACCTGTATGCCCGGCTAAACCCCGTGACGAGGGAATTGGAGAGCCTTTCCTAAGCGCGTCCACAATTGATGCGCGGGAACAGGGGAATTGTGATTAAACCACACCTAGATGGGTTCTAAGCGGAGAAGAGCCGGATATTGCTGTTCTGCCTAGCCACGAAAGCCATCTCCGGCGGATGCGCCGTATCTCGACGAGTCGTACGCACGGGATATCCGATTCTCGCTCTGGATAAAGTAACACATCCAGCTTAGCAGCGCAACATTCCAGCGGGTGACGGCGGCCGCAAGAGCGGACTTAAGGATGGCCCGGGAACTTGAAAATGGAAGGTAACGCTCAGAGGAGCTTGTCAACCGGCCCGTGCGACGGACCCGGCCCCGGTGCTGTGGGGCCGGGTCTGTTCCATGTAACGTCATAACGATCTCCATTGGTCTGGCCCGAGTGGGGTCACGGGAAACACGTGGGAGCGTTGGCATTGGCTAAAAGCTCAAACCACCTAATGCTGCCGTCCTCGCAGCAGTTTGGGGAGTTAATAACTCCGTCCAAGAACAGTGCAGGACGATGCAGCATTCTTGGCGTTACAGTGCATTCGCGAAGACAAATTCGGGGGCGCAGCAACCAAGTTCATGCCCGCCTGTTCTAGGTGCGTTCTCAAGGACGGCCAGCAAAAATGAGCGGTGGGCAAAACGATTACCTAGGTTCTCTTCGCGGTTAGGCAGCCCCAGGTCGGGCCGTCCAACGACTCCAATCACCTTTCCTACCCTGACACCACCCAACGGCTGAACCGGTCGGCAACATCACGAGTCCCTTTTCGGGCACTTCGACGATAATTACTTACCTTCCAGGTTATCTAGATTGCATCAGGTTCCCAAAGATCCCCCTGCATCCTTTATCCGGACACAATGTCTGCTGTATTGTGCAATATAGCGTCTCTTTGAGCCAATGCATCATGGTAAAACCGAGCAGGACTTGTCCGAAGACCAGTCAGTGCCTCGGTACCTTTCCCCAAAGCGAAGATAACTACCGTACCCGACATTAGCTCGCCGCCCGTCGAGTACCGACGGCATCTCTGAGTTTCAAATCTGAGTCGCAGTCCCAGCTAGGTACCTACCTATCTTTTGGCGGACTTCCATGCTCATCTCGCACATCGGACTTCCAATCTACACTAGCCGGTCCGGACCTGGCGGATCCCATCCTTCATCAAGTCCTTTTCTGATGATCACCGTTCTCATAGGTACTACATTTCCTTGCGCTAAACCCTTCAGTTCGCATGGCGCCATTCCTGTTGCCATGCACCATCCTTGAACATAACTGGATTCCAAATGCAAGCTTATTCCTCATTCGTTGCGACAACAGGCATACTTACCTACACCTATTACTCCAATATACGTTACACAACAACTCATAAATCCCATCGGCGACAGTGGCACGCGTCACGATTCGTTCTGCAATCTGTCTGCCTTCCCAAATCTGAGAATCCTCCTAGTACAAGTCATGCTACCCTCGGACTCGCCCCCTGCATTCATCATGCTCGACCGTCACTTCTCCCCCATGTCTTGTCGGACTTTATGAGTCCTAAACACCAATCTCCGTCGAAAGACTCCTAGTGTACTGTGTAGTTTGCCCACGTCTACCATATCTCTCCCACTCGGTCATTGCTCGGGCAGAAAGGGCGCCAACCCACCCACCCTTTGAGCGCCGCGATATCCCTGCATCTAACGGTGACACCAGGGACGACCCAGTAGGGCGGTACATGGCGTCTTGTAGTCAGCACCCAATCTCCCCGGCCGGGGGAGCGGCATGCTCGGAGCCTTTTCGCCTACATATGTAATCCGTGCGTGATTGGGGCTGAACCCCCGCAGCCCCGATACCTTGCAGGAGGAGTCGACCGTCTCGCGAATGGCAAAGCTGAGTCCGTTATTTGAAAGTTGAAACCCGATTCTTCTCTCCCGACCTAGAACGTGCCGGGAGGAAGGGGGAGGGGAGGGGGAAGGGATGGAGGGATGGGGTCCGCTTGGGGCATCCCCTTGTCTCGCAACCTCCGAACGACACCGGGACAATGGGCCACAGCTGCTGTACAGTAGTCGCCAAGTGGGAATGCCGTGCGACCTGATCCCTATTGTGATACGTTTGACATTGGTTGACGGCTTCGCCGGTGAGTCTTTGACCGTGTCGTGAAGGTTACATCCATTAGGCGGTCTGTCAGGAGGGTGCAGATAGATCCGAGTGATGTCGGGCTTTGCTGCCGGCCGCACTCAACACGAATCCGTGCGAAGGCGGTGCCGCGGATGTGTCTAAGTGAGGTGGTTATCTGGTTGCTTTACTACTTGTCTGGGGACGCTTAGTACTACTACAGGATCTAAAACGCTTACAGTCGTCGACAGCCTCCTTCCTATCTTAACCACGACACGCTCAGTGACTCGTGGAAGGCTGACAATGGCCTCATTTTATCAACAAGCGGCGTGCATCGGACGGATGAATGTCACATGTACCGTACACACCTGCCCTGGCCTTGGCCGAAGAACTGCTCTGCTGGTTCATTACGACTCATTACGAATCCTTGTGGCTGAGGGCTCGGTTCCTGACCGGGTGCTGATACTCTCCATTGGGAAACCGAGTTCTACGGGCGGGACCGACTCGGTGCACTGGTCGCTCCGCGTCACAACCCACTTTCTGCAACCGGTAGCCATAGCGACCTTATCAGATTGCACGTGGACGAACTTCCGCTCCGGTTGGAAGTGCCATTCTCCTTGCCTCAACCAAGTATCAAATACTAGTAGATGGCAACATAGGCAGTTACCCACCCTCCGGCCGGCCGCCACAGCCCCGACGTCTTGATCTTCGCAAGCCCCAGCATGTGGTTGTGACGGAAGGACAGACGTTTCATTAGAAAGGGGTCTTCCCCGTTTATTGGCCGGTCTACCAGTGATGATCTCGTGATGATCTCTGAACGGGAAATGACAAGATACCAACCCTCTCGGGGGGTACTCTCCGTCGAGGAAGGGGAGACCATGTATTGCATTACTAAGGCATGACTGAGTCCTTGTTGACATATCATCTTGACAAACAGCATCACATTGTCCAGGAGATCGGGATAGGGTCATACCAGGCAACAGCCTTCAGGTAGGGGTCCCCACGTCCAACAAATAAGTAGCCCATCAGAAGTGTCTCTTTTCCGCCACAGCTCAATGGGGCGAGCAGAGGATTGAAGTTAACTTGAAATTAGGCCAGGCATTGCAGACATCAGACGTACTCAACCACGACAAACCCTGAAGGGCTTAAGCTCTAGGATAAAGAACTCAAGGTAGACAGTATCCGGACAAGAGTAAGGCATCAGAACACATCTGTACGTGGAGAGGCTTCCCCTGGATGAGACGGCCAGTGGAAAAAGACAAGCATCCCGTCTCCCTGTTGAAGCGCACAGAAGCTCTACAGGAGTCCTTGAATAGCAGTGTTATTGTGATATTTGCGTCTTGTTGTTTACGAGGAAGATCCGGGCAAACCCTGAGAGGGGGCTATCGGTAAGACGACTCAAAGACCCTGTGCTCATACAGATC